CTTCCTCAAAACCCGCCTCTTTTCCCATCTCGAGACAACCTGATATCCGTACACGGGCCACACCATCTAGGCGACCCTATCGTGCATGGGCTAAAAAGGAGGGTAGTTAGGGTAGGGGAGGCATGCGAGACATGCGTCCTGATCTGCCAGACTTGCAGTCGTCCAGTTAGCAAGTCCGGGCCTCCGGCTCCTTGCCTTGTTTCTTGTTTCCGTCTGTCTCGCCTCCCACCTTTCCTCTCTATCTCTCTCTTCCTGTCTGTGCCGTCCCTTATACAGCCTAGAAACCTGACGTCTGCGAATCGGCCTCCTGCCGCCCTCCCCACCTCCGTCTGTCTAGGTATGCATAGCTTCGAGTGCTACCGCTACAATTTACAGGCCGGGGCTTGGACCTAATGCTCTAGTTCCACCCCTCCTATCTCTCGTAAGGGTGGTACAACCGTTTCGTGGTATACGTCAACGTGCATTCCGCGTAGCCTCATGACCCCATTACTTAGTCATTCCCTCCCGCACTTTGTGCTCCAAGAGCCTATCCGCATTAGAATAGTCTATGCTTGCGCCCCCCCCCCCCCAACTCCCCTAGAGCGGAAAGGAGACTACCCTTTTCTAGTTCCTTTCCAAGAGCTCTAGAGCCTCCGGAGCGGATGAGGAGTGGCTTGATTCGGGTCCGACGTGATGAAGGGGGCTTGTCAGCGCTTGTACAGTGGTGTCCGATAAATCCAAATACTTAGTCGACCAAGTTCCGTTATCTGTAAGCCTCTCCCAGCCAGGAGCACGTTTTCCCATTTCCCCCCCAGATTCCTTGGCCAGGATCGCCGGCCTGCTCTTGTCTCTCTTTGGAGATGATTGACAAGCGCTGTCTCGGGGAATTTTTAGAAAAGGACGCGATGCGCTCGGCCACAGCACGTCCCGGGTGGCTGAGAGCCTGTTTTGACGACAACGACCTTGGCTATGGCGCGCGTTCCGCAGGCGATAATATCTGGTGATAAGCTTTTTTATTCCCGCGGTACTTTGATCGCGAAGGGGGGGCTACTGTTTCTGCTAATTGCGAATAATGGGTTAGCGCCCGGTGAGTATGAACAAGACAGTAGTGTATAGGTGGTATATCTTCTTCGAGTTTATCATCGACTATCCACACCCGCCAACCTTGATGATGCCCAGATCTTCATCCGCGCCCGCAAATCCAAGTCTCATGACCTTTCCCGTGCATGCGCTTCACCGTGTGCCCCGCTGTTCCCTGGGCGGCCTCCGAAGTCGCGACTGTGCCCTTCTTTCGATTCATGCTGTTTGTTTGCCCCAAGAAGGAGGGACGGGACGACGGCTCACTTAGGCACGAGCGGGAAAACCCACAGCGGAACACTTGACTCGGATTCAACGGGTGACTTGTATATCAGAGACAGGAGATCAAGATTGCGATCGTGTAGCACGACATTGACGCATATTGCTTCTTCCGCGAGAACAAAGATGGGAGATCGCCACCGCCGGAGGGGGTAGAGTAACGGCGCATGCTGCTTGCTGCCATGCCTGTGCGGCCACCCAACGACCGGTCTAGATACATGGCCAAACATATTCTTAGAAACCGGCATTTGACTCCCCTTACCCAGTTACACTTACACCGGTTATCTGATTGGGCTTCCTTGGGGGTTTACAAAGTGTTTGCATCGGGCTCCTCGGGCGCTAAAGTCTGCGCAGAGACTGGGGCTGGTCGCCGAGGGCTCTCTCTTTCATGCTCTTTCTCTTTATTCATTCATGTTCCTCTCATGTTACGTGTCGAGTAGGTACATACACGTACCTTCAGCTTTCCCTGCACACCCTCAACTCCCGTCGATACCTCGCGGCTCCACACCACCTCCACATCCAGACGGCCACGGGATCGTCCCCGTGGCCCTTCGTTACTCTCAAGTAGACGTCATTCGTCCGCTGAAATCGCAGCCTTTGAGACCTTCGAGGATGCGAGTGAGTCACCAAGTCGGGTGGGACTCCATCCGCCTGAGTAGGAGTGCGCGCGCACATGTGCGTGTGTGTGTGTGGGTATGTTTGTGAAATACGGCGTTCCGCCCAGCCTCCTTTTACTCAAGTCAACTGCCTGGGCTCAATCCACCCTCTCCCGCTTTTGTTGCGTATTTGTCAAAAGGTCAAGCATATACGGGGATCTGCTCAGTCATTGGGCACCTCGCGGTGTGAAATCCGGTTTTATCACCTCTGGCCTCCCCTAGTTGGTTGCCTAGTTTGGCCCAGGGGTTGCAGTGGGAACCAGCTTTCAGCCTTGCGTGACCATAGGCGAATGCTTTTCTCGGCGTCCGTGCATACTCGGTGTAAATACACTTGCGGTGCCGTTTCTTTTAACCCTCTTGGACTGGTTTCTGAGTGGTGTGATCCGAGTTCATCCAAATATGTTCCATATGTGAATATGTGATGAACATAGTGGTCAACATCCAATCGTCGGAGCTTCCGTATCTCGAAATAATTATGCGGCCTTGAAACGTCCCGTCTGCTATGTCTCGGCAAGAGGAAATTTTGTCTCCTGCAGAATTGAGACAATAGGGCTATACGGGTCGGGTCACCACTTGGCTGCAGTGCGCAAGCGGCCCCAGGGCTATCCCTTGGGCGCTTCACTTCGCCAACGCCAGCGAATCCTCTCATGATCCGAACTACCGCGACTCAGATCGCAATCTAACCACGGCCGACCGGGGATATCCTCGACGGTTTAAACAGCTGTTCGTCGGCCTGGCAGCTGCACGTAACGAGCCGTGAACGCAAGCGTTGTCGCGCCGCGTTCCGCAGACGGAAGCAATGGCCAGGTTATCCCGCCCACGATGCTCCCATCACCAGGTCAGCCAGTCAATGCCGCCAGCACACACGGGACTAGTCCCTCTCGGCCCTTTATACCCAAGCACACCAGGAGGCTACGTTAGCCATGGGCCCGCTGAACCTAATCCAGCTGGTTGTGGGACCTACATATCCCACTATCACATCACGTCTTGGAAGTGCTCGGTCTATGTGGCCCGACTGGCATTTCTGTTGCACTGATCATGGACTTCTAGCCGCGCGCCGCCGTTCATAGACCGGACTTCCCGGTCACGCTCTCATCACTGTTTCATCATAGACTCTTTTGTCGAGGCGCCGGTGACCAGCTGTCGCGAGACCAGCCCGCCTCACCCGAGTATTCACCTGTTCTCGCTTCCGAACAATCAAGAACAAGTGTTGAACTCTAAAAAGAGCATGAAAACAATCCCCGTCCATGTCTGCGGTTCGGACGGGAGACGCACAGTCTGCCGCCCTGCGAGCCGCTAGCCTCTGAGACGGGCGTAGCTTGTTTTCTTACCCTGCACTATCTATTTCCTTCTCCTGTCCGGAACGGCCACTAGTCTGCGTTGGGAGCGTGGCGTGGTCATGTGTGTGGGCGTTGGCGTTTTGGAGTCTGACTGATCGGAGCGCCAACATTTTGTGAGCCGGGATCGACACTGTCAGAAAGGCATGTCGCGTGGGTGGCCTGCGTAATTGTTTGCCCAGTCACTCATCTCAAAGTGGGTACAGTAACCTGGGTCTATGGTACCGTATTTTCAAACCAAGATACAACCATCCATTTTGAAGACACAAAAAGCCATTCAGCCACCAAGCCCCATGCCCACGTCCGCCCGGGCTGTCGGATGGGTTCCTATTCGTCACCAGCATGAATAAGCTCCGCGAGAAAGACACCCACCATCTTGAGTCGATCATCTTGACCGGCTGCGCTTGTGGTTCAGCTGTAGGACGACGAATTTCAAGCATCATCGTGGATGGCTGTTCACTCGGTCCCGAGATGTCCCAGGTGTTTTCGTCCCAGAGACGTTTTAGAAACCAATGTCTCGTCCATCTCGTGCTACCATCATTCGAAAACATACGCAATCTTGGAGGGCATCTTTACCACCCAAGGCCACGTCATGAGAGCGGCTGCGTTTCATGTTTAGTCGAGGCGGTTCATGTGGCTTAAGGGCTTGATATTTGCCACCCTTGCTTGGGTCTTGGTGAATTGTGTGAAGGGCCTTGGTCGGGGTTTGAGGTCTCCCTCGAAGTGCAGCCTCTATCCCACCTTTGCGCCCTTTCATGTTCAGAAGTCGTCCATTTCACTCCACTTTCCTCAGTATAGCTAAGAAACGAGTGGAGACCTCTGCATGCGAGGAAACTCTTTGCGCGTGTGGATTGACAGAGACAGGTGACAAGCCAAAAGAGGATACAAGCAGAAGCTTCCTTCATTATACGAGCCTCGGACTTTTTGCATCGCATTTCAAAACCACTGCATGAGAACGTGAGCGAATCAAAATAGATGTATCGCGGGTCAGCCCGCACAGATTGTGACATATCTTCAAACTTCTGACATGAGTAATATCCGCCCACGCCAAGTCCGGGAAGGCGGCCGCCCGATGATTTGTATAGAACACAAAAACGTTCACCTGGCAACGACGACATAGTCAAGAACTGAGCGGCGAGTACAATTTGAACGACTTGAGTAGAGGGCATATAGGCAGCGCCACGACTATGATTTGGACCAACCTGCATATCCAGATAGAACAAATCCAGAGGCTCGGGGAGACCTTATGGTCAATTGAATTGTACAAATTGAGACATGTACACAAGATACATGTGCTCATACTTTGAGTCAGTCCATGTAGAAAAAAGCTTGCAAACCTTGCTTTTGACGTTTGTCGAAGAGGTTCAACGACATCACGAATTTTTGATCAGCAACAAGGCCTAATCATCGCTCCATTGCTGTGAAAATATTGGGCGTCGGCTGCACCAACTCAGTACTTCATTTTTTCGGAGACACGCAAGTCATCAAAATCGTTCAATTTGGATAATTCTCGTCTCCAGTATCATAACTTAACTATCTTGTGAACAAAAGAAAACGTTGTGAATCATTCTGCCATAACTATTTGTCACAGCTGACAAATTCGCGATATTGCCTTCATCAGGCGCGGACACCTCATCATCTCCGGCTCTGCGAGCTACCCTTTAGTGAGGTTCTATAGATTCAGCTCACCGCGATTCTGTTCTGTCAATCCTCCGACCTTGCCTGCTGTAGCCTCCGGAAACACTTCGCAATGACCCCAAGTTGGAAGTTCAGCATTGGACCCTGGAACTGACACAGGCTGGGCGGAGACACCAACAGTGAGGGCAAAGTCATCGGTAATAGGGACATCTTGGGTGTCCTAAAATGAAAGCAATTAACACTTTTACGCTCCGGGTTTCGCGGTCGTCGTATTCCAGAGGCTTACCTTGACCACCCTCCACGACAGGTTCTCCTTCAGATACGCGACGACGGCCGCGATGTCACCAACATTCAGTCCTCTCTCCTCTAACTCCTCATTCAGCGGCACCGAGCCTGTAACCAGAATACCGCTCTCGGCCTGCGATACGCAGTTCGCACAGTTCTGCCTCGAACGGTTTGATAGCATGGTGACCGTCCCGACACGACTGTCCGACAGGAGCCAGTCGGCAGTCGAGGCGGGCAGCTCGCCCAGGAAGATGTGAATACCCCAGGTTCCTGTGAGGGCAAAGTTTTTCACACGCAAGAAGACTTGCCAGTGGTTGGTGTTGTGGTTGGCGCTGCTCCCATTGTGGTCTGCAGCGGACTCCTGATGGCGGCTGTTAATGGGACGGAGGCTGTCGCTCTGTTTGCCGCTTGCAGGAGCCCCATTAGTAGACTTGGCGTTTATAGTAGCCACGTTTGCAAGCTTCTGTGATGGAGGCGCAAGGGAAGGGGGAGCGTAGAGCTTGTAGACCTGCTGCGTGGCATATGCCTTCATCTGGTCTGACTTCTTAAGAAGATCCAAGGGCGTTTCCGGGTAGTAGTATCCGGCATCAAACGTGCTGATGAGCTCCTTGGTGTCATTGGCGACGTAATAGTCGGCCATGGAGTGCGCCGAGCTCTTGTGCCACGGCTCGAGGTTCGACGTGCCACCCTCCACCGATCCCGATCGTTTGACGAATCGATCTGTCAGAGATGGGAACTCGTCAATGGTGCAGTTGGGATTCATGGCCTGCCAGATGGCCGTGAGACGGTCGCAGTTGACATGATGGAGCCAGAAGATTGGGTCGAAGGAGCTGGCCTGCACATCTGACATGTTACCGTACTGCTTGTTCTGGTCCACAGAATCGTTGGTGCCAGTGTAGTCATGTATGGTATTGTGCATGCCCTCAACCGAACTGTAGGCCTTCACCGGCTGTTTGGGTCTCCAGGCCTGAGTAGTGAACTGGTCAAAGTTGGTGACGTGTGTGATGGCGTCGAACGTAGAAGACTTGAATGACTTCGCGACTTTGGCAAGCTGAGCATCCGCGATTTCCTGGTGGCTCTTTCCGTTGGCGTCAGGGCAACGCTTGGACTCTGCCCACACAGCAGTGGAAGCCCAGCCCATTTCCTTCTGAATGGTGTCGGTTGCCCACTTGGAAGTGAATTGGTACGAATACAGAGGGTTATGTGACAGATGAAGACTCTCCTTTGTTCCGGGCTTGGTCCCTGGAACCGTAAGCGTGATGTCTGGGGACATAGTCACCGCTGGAAGGTGAGGATCGGAGGCCCAATCCCAATAACTGCGTGGAAAAGTCAGAAATGACCAGAAAGAACCAAAATAAAGCGTGAACATGCATCGTATGGAAAAGACCTACGGTAATCGGACGTCAGAAAGTGCCGCCATGTACTCGTCACCAACGGAGCCAGGCGCCTTTGCAGCAATCTCCAAGGCGTAGGCAAATATGATTTGCTGTACAGGTCAGCTAAATTGCTTGCTATGAGAACGCTTCATGTACCTCATAGAGCATCAAGTATGGTCGGTGCCATGGGATGAAGAGAACGCTGCGATGAGTGCAGTATCCAACGTTCGTGGCTGCCTCTGCAGTTGGGTCTTTCTGCCAAGGGACATAGGGGACTCCGTGAACGCCTGCAGAAGTCTTTTCAGCGGCATGACCGGCTGTCAGAGTCTCCATTCGACATGAATTAATTTACCTGCGACTTGGAAGTAACTTGTGCCGTTAGCATTGTCTTGGTCATACTTCTCGTTGCCATTCTTCTGCCAAGCAGCAAGGGCCTGGACATAGAGAGCAAATGCAAACTCGTGCTGAGTGCGAAACAACTCGATCGGAAGGCGTTGGGCAGGCTTTCCCCCAGCGGTCCTAACACCGATGATGGGAGTTGGTGAGGATATGACGGGAGCCATAACTATTTGATGCCCGCTGTCTCTCAAGGAAAGACTTTATCTGTTGTAGGAGTAGAAACAGTGCAGCTTTCAACCCACAGAGAATTGTATCAAGCAAGAGATTTTATGGTTTCCAACTATACTGAGATCTCACATAATTTCTTTGATATTCAGCCGCGGCTGAGGTTTACATCATTCGCTGAACACAACAGGAATGCTCGTCTTACACTGTGGCTGATTTGCATGTCCGAGAGTCTCACCGTCTTTCTTTGTCTCAAGTAGATCTTACGATCATATGACTCAGGACCGAAGACGCTAATTTATTTCTAAGGTCCGGCGGTTATTGTCGAGATGTCAGATCTACATTGCAGGCAGGCCAAGGCAAGGGGACATCAACTTGTAGAGACCTAGGGACTTCACCACCTGGAGAAAATGGAGCTGAGCTGGCGACAGCCGAAAAGCTCTTTATCATCGAACACGCGGCAGAGATTGGGTGCAATGGCCTGAGACAAAGCCGGCGGTTGCTTTGCCAGGTCGACATCCCTTTGTCTGGCCCAACCTCCCGCCCCGACAGTGGCGCTCAACAGACATTCGTGGATAGCATCTACCCCTCCTGTGGCAATGCAGTGAATCATGTGTACTACATAAATCGTGTCACAGCCAAGGGAAGGCCCAGGGATATCCGCAGGGGGCAACGATAATGTCCTTGCTCTTACTGCCAATAAAGGGTCCTCGATCCTGCTGAAGGAAGCGCCCGATTTTCTGATCTCGGGGCACGACAGGTTTGGTTGCGCGAGAAGTGAGTGGCTTAACAGGACAAGAAGATAACTAGCAGAGTTTAGCATCCACAACTTGCTGGTTGAGGCATTGTCCAAGAAAAATGATCAAAATGTAATTTCAAGGGGTTAGACTTGGAGAAACATATCAAGGCCTTATGGACGGACAGTTCGAGCGATTGACCCCTTGATTTCACCATCAGGAAGTGAGTAGTGAGCGACAACCGGGAGCAAAGGCGCGATAAAATTAGTGGCACGTTGTGAACTAGGAAGATGCCCATGACTTAGCTGTGGCACTGAGTGGCGTGTTGCCAGCCTCCCACAGCATATACCAAGTTGGCAGAAATAGTGCTCATCGTTACTTTTATCTATCAGGCTTCTGGCTTTGTCTAATCTAAGCCCTGTGACGACAGAATTCATCTAATAACCGCTGATAAATCAATCATGCTGCACTCAGAAATTTACCCCTTGAACGGCAGGGCCCTCTTAGCTGTCTTTTGGCTGTCGCATGGAATGTCCGAGACCAAAGCAAAAGGGCTCACAACAAGGTCATGGTACCAGTATACCTGTTGTTGGGGCTCAGGTGTCAGGTTCGGGAGAGCATCTACGGTCTTGTTGGTCTTCAGGACCGTGTACTGAGTTTGGTAGCTATACATGCCACGGTTAGAAATAGGACAACATATCTGCGGACTGCGGCGTGGGTCCTTACTAAAGCTGAGAGCAGTTGCTTATAGGCGCCGGATAGGTCTGCTCCATGCGGCCCCATGATTCATATGTTGTGGCGGTCTCATTGTTGGATGCAACAAATGTCTTGTTTGGGAAGTGCTAGGTTTTTGAGTGTTAGCTTTATGACGATCCCTTTTATATCCAGGATGCAAAAACTTACTACAAGCTCTCTGCCATTGACAAGGAATGCATCCTTGCATTTCTGAATACCTGCGGCACCGACGCAGTGGATAGACTCAGTTGTCTGCATACCATCGGCAGGGAAGTAGTCAGTATAGCCAGTTGTGACACTGCCGTCCTCAGCTGCGTTGACGAGGCTACGCTTACAAGTCAGTAATTGCAAGGTCACCATTACGGTGCGAACATAGAAACACAAGAAAGGACTCACGCCTCAAGAAATGGCTTCACCTCCGCCGGAAGCCCAGGTTGTGGATCGTAGTCTGCAAAATTTATCGCGGCGGCCAGCTGTGCTGTGGCAAGAATGAGTGTTGTGGCGAGCATTATGAAGAATGCGGATGGACGGCGAAGTAGAAATTAGATCGACAAGTGGGATTTTAAAGACAGTATTGATCGAAGTCGTTGATAGTTGGATAAATCCGAATGATAGATAGAGCTGCAAATAATACTGCAATGCAGGCTTCTTCACATGTTCCCTTTATGTTAAATGCGTGCCTGAGATCGGGCGTAGCCGAAACTCTATTACCCCTGAACGGTGTGCCACTATTCAGATTGAGTGAATCGCGCCACAGGCATAGATGTTCCTTGGCATCCACTCAGCCCTGTTTCTATTCATAGCTCTTTAGGTCTGGACCCGTCAACTTTAAGCTGCCGGACTATCCGAAGTCAATTGTCGTAGAGGCCATACACAAAATAGAATCAATATGAAACTATTGAGTTATTCTTGAAGAGCAACTTTCAACAACCAAAGCTATTACAATGTTGTGGGCCCACCACACAAGGAATTTGTTTGGACTTGCAATGAATCCGGCTCATCCATCGGGAAGCAATGGAAAGACCACGAATGAGATTACTGGAATATGCGAAACGATGCAAAGAGAACCCTCAAAGAGAAGCGCCCCCACCGTGAAAAGACACATTTCGAACACCGATTCTACATTGCCAGAGTACCTCCACTTGAGTAGCTCGTCATCGACTACAAAGTGACAGCATATCTCGAGGTCCTAGATCGAGCATGGATACGGTAAGTGAAAACTATGTGTGTTTTGCTTTTTGGAATGAGGGTTCTGATGAAAGCGATTATGAAGGTGGAGGTGTGTCTTTTGGTTTCGACGATATATGTGTGTCCCACTCTCGTCAATGGGCTTGTCCTAGTCTCGTACCTACTATATAGTCAAGTACGGAGTACGGAATATGTGACCGAGTCTTCGGGCGAGTCAACGATCGATAAGAATCCCGACATTTTCAAGCTTCAATGGGTGGGTCTGTGATTTGGCCCCATCACACAGCTTACGCGCCATCCCCCAACAGGTTTAAGTGTTGACTGCTAAGTCTAGACTGCACCAAATTACTGCGTTGTTAAGGGGTGATTCTTTGATTGAGCCTTGGCGTAATACATACTTCCTTTAGCGGCCAAGCGATAAGACTAAGCGAGGGTAATAGTACGCACCAAACCGGCCATTTCGACCGAATGGCTCCAATTGCTTGAGCGACATGCCACTTATGCATGTGTTCAGGTTCATTGATAGGACAGGGAGCGAAGTAGCCTTGCTGTCTGTTGTCGAAGGATTCAGGTATATGTGGGGAGCCGCTTGAGGCTGTGCCAGTACTTTGATGCCTATAAATCAGACTGCGGCTCTTCTCCAGCATTCAAGAGTTTCGAGAGATCTACTCAATGTACAGCGAGGACATTTTTTTTTGGCATAATAGCATTTTGCAAAGCCTTCTGCTGGATGTGAAGTCTTCTGCTTCTGCTGCTGCTGGTCCGTCTGCCGCTGCGTCTCGACCCTCACCAGCATCGCTTTGAGGCAATGCCATAGAAATCACTCTGCATACCTCTTGTATTAAAGACTCCTTGTTATTCAACTTTTGGTCTACACCCATCGTCATTGATTCCTTCAGAGCCATGTTTCCCATTCGAGGCTCTCCCGGTATAGGGCTACTGGCCATATGTCTACTCCTGACTATCATTGGTCTCGCCAACCTCAATAGCAACGACAAGCCCATCGACTACCGCAACCCCTCACATAATCCTCGCGGGAATAGCATTCATAACGACCGGCCGGGACCTCGCGGTCTACAATACGCTGCCAAAGAAGGCCGCCGCCAAGCGCGAAGAAGTGGCACTCGCAGCGCCTCCATCTCGGCCACACGCACGTCTTCCCCGCAGCCTACGCCTACTTGCTACATACCAGGCTCGCTCACCCCCTGGTACGATGTAGAGGTAGACAAGCTGTGCCAATGTGACCACTACGAGTGGGACGACGGCAGCGCAACGGCGAACGCGGGTTGGTACGGCGGGACGGCGATTTGCGGGGCAACTTGTGTGCCGCAGATTGCGAATCAAACTAGATTGGTGAACGAAGCAAATGGAAGCTTTTCGGCGTGTATGGGGGCTTGTATGGGATCTTTTGACAAAGCCAAGATGAAGAATAAAAGACAAGCGGACGAGTATTGGTTTTGTCATGGGGTTAACTTTAAGAAGGGGGAAAAGTGTGAGTTTATTGGTGCTATTCAGTATGATCATTTCACAGGGGACCCGTCTGAAGGGCAGTGTTGGGATAATGGACTTACCCCCAGCGGATGATGGAACGTGTGTGGAGGTTGTTGAGGATAAGCAAAATAGGGTTGCATCAAGACAACAACGCGAACGTGCAAATGCCAATTATTCCTCCAAGACAATCTACCTAGGTATCTTCACATATTGTTGAGCAGAGAGCCTACATTTACCACACCATTACCCCCCTACTTACCAAGTATCCCCATCAAATGCTTCACATCAACATTCTCCAGGTTCTTCACCAGCGCTGCAACCTCCTCAGCTGTCTCTTCACCATAGACCGGTGCATAAAGTCTCTGGAACTTTGCTTTCACGCCTTCCCAATCAATGGGCCTCTCTCTCTCCCCAAGAGGAAGCATACAGGATTTGCTGACCTCGGTGCCATCCGCCCATTCAACCTGAAGCTTGCTTTCGAATGATTTCAATGATTCGTCAACCTCGGCGATGATCTTACTGGATAAATCTCGCACGGTAGGATCGTCTCTCTTCTCATACACGGCCCATCCCAGGTCAAGACCGTAGAGGTACGAAGTGGCAGTCTGGTAGTAGCTGCTGAACTGAGCATCGACGACTGTCTTTGGATGGATCTTGTTTGGGACCGGCGCACCAACAATTTCCCAGCACGGCTTGGGCAGACCGACAACTATCTTGGCAACTTTCTTGCCCTCACTTCTCGCAACACGCCCAATCTCCGCCGCCATCTCAATCTGCCCGTGAGTCATTCTGCAAGCTGGAAATGGCTTGATAGCAGTCTCAACCAGCTCCCACCTCTTCCCCAGATCCTGCACGGCGAGGGCATTCAGATCCGCGCCCTGGGCGTAAGAATTAAGGAAGCCATCTTTTCCCTCGATAGCCTCGGCAGCTCCAACAACGCCGGCGTCTGCCAAATTGACGCACAGCAAGGCATCCGCAGCCGCGAAGCCAGCATGAAGCCGCTTATTCCAGGCTCCGTTCTCGAGATACTGCATGCTGCCCGCGGTCTTCGACAATGCCAGCCCGAATGCGTTCTCGACCGCCCCGGCGGAGAGGCCCCGGAGGTTGGAGATTGCCGCCACGGCGCCGAAGATGCCGCACGTCGAAGTGTTATGGAAGCCCTTTGGGTAGCCGCCCATGCCGATCGCCTTGGAGATCCTGCAGACAGTCTCATAGCCGACGGCGAGGGCGGCGAGCAGATGGCCCGATGCAAGGTCGGGCATGGTCTCGGCTTGTGCGAGGGCGGCGGTGATGACCGTCACGCCTATGTGCAGAGTGCCCGGTGCATACGTATCATCGAAGTCGAGGGAGTGAGACAAGGCTCCATTGAGGAGCGAAGCGGTCGACTGGGTGAAGGTGGAACCACGGCCGAAGATCGTCGATCTCCCAGACTCTCCGATGCTTAGCTTTTTGAGCGCGGCAAAAAATGCTGGCGTCGAGTCTGCGTAGCTGACTGCCCCCAAGGATACGCCGATGTAATCGAGGACCAGCTTCTTCAGAGTTTCGGCGACCTCGTACGGGACGGACGAGGGCTCGGTAGTTGACGCGAAGTGCGCGAATGCTTTGGTCGGAGAGCGCGTGTGAGATGCCGCACCCCCATTTTCTTGGGCAAAAGGCTCTGATACTTGTTGCGAGGCCATTTTTATGATTTGAACTTAGAGTGATAGACACAGTCCAGTTGTCGCGTTGCGCAGAAACTCGCAGCGAGTTTATCCCCACTTTGAGGGTTCACGGCAATTAATAGCCGGATACTTGTGCAACCAGGACTAGCCTTAACTTTACGCGGAGGACATATAGCCTATTCACAAGCGATGCGGTTCTCTAGGAGAGGGGTTGTGGAAGTTGGGGATAGTCCGCCGAGGCGGCCCCGAAACCAAGGATGGATGCTCCTGTGCTGTGAATAATGACGAATTAGTGCAAAGCAACTGATGACCATCATCTTGATTTTGGCATAGTGGGTGGAAACGTCCGTAAATTTATTACAATCTTTCATGTCTGCTGGAAACGTCGATTCTATCATTGACACCTAAAGTGTCAAGAATCGAACCAAAAAGCCATAGAACCGTTGAAACTTGTTAGAGAACATAAACCTCATATCCACGAGAGCTGCTTTTCTACCACCGTCTGAATGGGTGAGTAACGGAGCTTTGAATGCAGGTTCACTGGGAGAGTCTTGGATCGACCCACGAGAGTGTGAGCTAGTCGTTTCGATTACGAACAAGCTATCCAACTGTCGAAGACCACGATGTCAATGCCCGATATCATCCAAACAAGGAGACTATTCCAAGGAGGCTATATCATGTCTTGGCCTATTGTTCCACGAATAAATGGCTCTTGAAATCAAATCTAGATGGCTGTCATCGATATACGCGGTGAAATACTTATTACGGATGGGGCGATTCCTTTTGACTGTCTTAGCTGGGCACTGAGAGTCTCCAGTCTTTGTCGCCAGTATAAATCAGGACTATTGACTATAAGCCTAACGAAACCCATTCATGCAAGTTTCAACGTCATCATGAGTTGACATCTTCACGACTGCGTAAGAAATGAAGGCTTCGGAAACATGATCATTTACAAAAGAATGCGCTGACCCTTCCACCATGCACCACACGGGTTTGACACTTTTGGCGCTGATTACATACACTATTAGGACAACACCGCCACAGACTCAAAAATCGCAATAAGTCATGAGGGAATCCCCTGTGGCTTGGGTACTTCCTTCTTTAGAAGGGTATATAACAGGAACATTTCTCACATGAGGTTATGCCACAGGAGGCTATACTACAAGAGGCTGTTCTTCACAGGGATTCATTCCTGTTAGATGATATCTTAGGCTTATTTACCACATAGATATCATTTTCTTTTTCTTTACCCCACCTTTTTGTTTTCCCTACTCACTCTAGATAGATTCTGTGGCCGTAAAACCGACTTCCGGGCTCAAGCCTGTATCTTCTGATATGGCTTCTTCTGAAATCAGATGCATTGTAATGTAGTACCATCAAGTTTGTTGCCTTAGTATAGGGCAAATGCGCAACCTGACACGACAAAATGAAGGGGGGGGGGGCAAAGATTGACATTGATGTGCAGACCAGGAAAAGGAAACAGCATGTAAATAAGAGGAATGCAGGAACAGAGAACGTAATTGAGTGGCATAAGTAGCAATTAAATATAAAGCAAGGCATGACAACAAAGTTCATACAATGCGAGAGGAACTTGGATCGATCCAGTAGTAACAGCCGGGACTCGGGTCTTCGTTGTTGGCAGCCAGTATTGGTTAGCCGGGCATGGAATTTCCACTAGTAAAAGGATTACCAAGGGTTCGGGTGACATGCAGCTGTCCCAGGACACTGGCCCTTCAATCTCCAGATCTACATCCTGGAAGATCTACGTTGTTGGTGGAAAATCACTCGAGCGTAGCAGCCGGGCTCGGTGAGGCTCAAAGGCCATCAAACCGGGCAAAGAAGCTTAATTCGAGCGATTTTGAGCCGCAGGACTGGAGATCGGCAAAATCCCGTTGCTCATCAATGTGGGGATCACTGGGGTCCGAGGTCTACGTTGAGACGAATGAGACGAACTCTGGAACAGGCCAGGGTTGTGAGACGCCGAACCCCTGAGGCGCCCTTTTCGCTTCGAAATAACCTTAAACATTGCTCGAATGAACTTGCCCGTTTTACGCGGACTAGCCGTTGGCGCGCTTGGAATACAAGCCTCGTCTCCTTAAAGTAGTTATTGCAGATGTTTACGATGACTCGTCCCGTCTCATCCCTCGAATGTCACACAGACCCCTGCAGCGGTAATGTCAAACTGCTAGTGTTCAGGCGGCGGCTTGGCGATAGCTTCAAGGTTAGATGGCATGCGAGCACATCAGCACATAAATACATCGGGCTAAGGGCACACGATCTTGTGCGATTCTCGATGTGACAGCAGCACATTCTCGTTGAACGCCTCTCTTCATTCTCTACCGCCGGTCGTTGGATTTGTTTTAATATTTCACGTTTCGATTCTCTCGCTACCGTCTAAACGCCACTCCCTCACTTTCCACAGTTTTAATCCGCCTCTCACTTTCTATCAAAATGAGGTTCGCCTACATCGTCACTCTCTTTGCCGCAACGGCGTCCGCAGCGAGTCTGCAAGCCCGGAAGAAGGGCAAAAAGGGTGCCGCCGCAGGTGCAGCTGTTGGTGCTGGAGCCGCTACAGGGGCGGCCACAGGAGCGGCCGCCGGCGCGGCCGCGGGCTCAGCGAACACTGCGGCGACTGGAGCTGTCCAAAGGGGAGCCTCCACTTTGGTTTTCAAAGAAGATGGTGGCGTTCCCGGGAATGAGTGCCTGACCTTCCGCAACAATGGTGAGTAGACCATGCCGAATATCTACCAGAATCTCATGGACACTAGCTGACATTTCCCGCCAGGTGAAATCGTCGATGCGGCTTGCGTCAATGAGGCCGCCGACCGACAGATAACCCCCTCCACACTCAACGGAGCCAATGTGCTTCTTGTCCAGAGGTCATTCACCGCCGGATTCAGGCCTGACCTGGTTGGAGTGCAGGCTTGCGTTGGCTTCAACGGCACTACCTTCCGGGCTGAGGATTGTGCCGCCAGCGGCATTGAACTGGTTAGCTTCGATGAGGCTAAGAGCCAGCTGGTTGCGACGGGTGGAGCTTGCCAGAGTGGCCATGACGGTGCTGCCCAGCTGACAGTCGATGAGACGGGACAGAACTGTGCTACTCTCACCACGACCACCGTCACACCAACAGCCCCTTAGTAGGAGGTCCAAACAATGCTTTGGACATGACCTGCACAACAATATACTAGGAGCACACACTTAATATTAAACTTCTTCACTGGCAGCTCCTTGCAACCACTGGAAAACATTATGAGCGATGTACGCGCAAGAAAGAGCTCTGTCCTATCTGCTTAGCTGAAATGCCCTGTTCGACTTTGATTTGTCCCTTCTAAGACCAAATTATTTATCGACATCAAGTTTGAACTTTCTCAGTAACAGAATTGTATGTTGACAGAATTGTACGTGATTCAAGAGGAGCGTTGTTACCAGAAACGTCTCGGCTAATCTAAATAAGTGGTACATTTGCCAGGTAGTCAATCAATCGCTGCCAGAAATTTACAAAAGTTCCAATGAGGACTAAGACATGAATCCATTCATCTCAGTCTGCGCGCTTGACAGAGAACGTGTTGGGGGTAAAAGTCCCGTCCGGGTCAGCAATCTTCCTAGCCTCCATCAGCCTTTCGTACTTGGCCCGGTCATCGTAGTAGAACTGCCAGGAGGCGTCGAGGTCAAAACTTCCATATGAGCCCCATAGCACGCGGCGATCTTGCTTGCTGAAGATGCCGTCGGGTCCGATACCCTGCACGTCATTTGTCTGTGCCCATTGCTCCGCGTCATCCTTCTTTGACGGCTTGTGGAACGAGTCGATAGTGAAGCACAATGTTGAGTCCCGCCACTGCCGCATGTTGTCAGTCCTTAATTCTTGAGTCTCGGTGTTATCAGATTCTCACTTACACTAAAAGACGTTCCATTATCAGCATTCGTCCTAAACCGCGAGTGCTTCCCACCAAAACACTGCAGCTGAGCCGAAAGCCACTGCCCATTCCCAACAGGCCGAACAATTTCGTCCATCCTGCCAGCCACCCAGTCCACCCAACCATTGGTGCTTAGCTCCGTTGACGTCGTCAGGTACGTTCTCTTGACATATGGAAGATCAAATTCCCCTACTACGCGTTAGTCACCTGATACGGAGCCCGAAGGGATGCATTCTGAAAGACTCTGATAGGAGACGAATGGGCAACTGTAGTGGGAGAAAACTTATACTCACTTGTATTCCGGAAAATCCACTGGGCCGTCAACTCGGACATGGGCTTCTCTTTGACGCCGCTCTGGAACCAACAACCGGTGCGCACCCGGTCGAAAAAGGTCATATCGGGTTTGTCGTCCTTACTGAAGGGGACATATTGGGCATACACGACGATCATGCGCGGCCAGGCCGGATTTCCGTCCTCCCCGAATATCTCGGGGTGTTCCTCCTCCATCTTATTATCCAACCCGCCCATCAAGCCCAGGATATCGAATGACGCGCTGAGAACGCTGATGCACAGGTCGTAGTTCCGTGGGAACTCTTCGTCGTCATTCATCTCCGCCAGTACCTGCAAGAGGGACTTGAGTTTGTCTTCGTCGTAGAGATGCAACACTCTCACACCCATGGAGCCCTTGTAGTCGGCATCGCGGTGGACCTCGACGGTGAAGTGCGTCAGCACGCCCAGATTGCCCGGGCTACCTCCCAGCCAGGCGTAGAAGAGCTCGGGGTCGCCGGCGCGCGTGATCTCCTTCTCCTCACCGGCATGGTCGATGATCTCCAGAGAGCGGATGTGGTCCCCAAACAGGCCGAAGCTACGGCCTAGTTGGCCATAGCCACCCGTCTGCACATGGCCGCCCACATGTACGGCTGTGCACTGTCCATGGGGCACGAAAGCCTTATGCTTTCCAAGGAACGCGTTGAACGCGCCAAGGCTCCAGCTCACACTGGCGTGGACGTAGCTCTTATCGTCCTTCTCAAAGTATGCTAGGTCATCAGACGCCTTGAACGTGTCGCGGAGGTCCAGCAGGATGTTGGATTTGCCGGTCGATGAGGCGCCGCTGTACTGGTGGCCACCAGTACGGATGGCAATGGCCTTGTTCTGTTCCTTCGCGAAGAGGACTGCGAGCTGAATATCTTTCTTGTTCTTTGGCTGGATGATCAAGCCTGGCTCCATGTCATGGTCGAGACCGTGGGTCGTTGTGGCATATTGGTATTGCCAGTCAGGATAGTCCTTTGTCCCGATGGGGAATTGCTTGCCTGTGACGCCCTCTATGGTTGCCATTTTGCGTGGTTTGTGAGTCTCAGTGGCTCCTGAGAAGAGCTTCCGCCATATTCTTTTCACCGGTGCGAGAAAGGCTCTTATATGCTTCAACTGGATCTTACCAAGCACAAGACGCTGACCGGTCAACTTGTGGCTGCGCATTTCGGCTGCGTATCTTACTCGTTCGTATACGATTCGCTGTCAGCTGAAAGTGGGACGGATTAATTCCTTTGTTGCACAAAGAAGAGAGACGCAGGCGGCTACGTTCCGTGGGCGATACAAGAACGGTTATGTAGCACATCGCCAGAGTTGGAACCGTGGCAGCAGGAGCCATTCTCTATATACCTTGGTCAGATGTCTTCTTTCGCGAAACCAGGTGTAGAATCAGTTGATGCTAACAGGTGAGTTTGTTGCCGCGTACCTTGTATGAATACGCTATGTTGTCAGATGAGATGTGGCGTGGGCATGTGGGAAAGGGTACTGCTTGCATTTCTTTCAGCTGAGATGGGCTGTGTGTATGTGACAAAGAACACTACAACTGTTATCTCAACTGGTGCCCATGATATGTGATGTTTCTTTGGACTTGTAGACCACCGTTTCGCTGGATAAACAGGGGTGGTCATCTTTTTGGGGGCTGTCGTGGTCGAACACCTGTGCATACGGGAAAGGATACTGCTTGTACTGCTTTCAACGCTAATCTTAGTCACCCAATCTTTTACAAAAACGATCATCTGCCAACATGTCGTCCGCCGCTAATACTATTCCACAGCTTCACACATGTCAAAATTCTCATTGCTTAGTGAGTGCAGCATTTTCTAACCCTGAGCAAAGTGGTCGTTCTGACTGTATTCGTCGTGGTTGGTCGCACGAGGTTGACTATTTCGTGGCTGCAGCTGACGTTGCAGTAAGGCTGCAGGTTGCAACGTCAGCTGCAAGTGAGCTTACATGTGTTCATGATTCCAACTCTTCCGGACGAATAGCATGTCAATCATCGGTGGCTATGCCTTATTTGTGCACGTTTGCAAGCTGATTTGGCTAACGAGAACTCACATGTTTCGTCACATCTGTGCTGGAAAATTAGCTTCTGCTGAACATCCAGTGATTCACATTAGGGGTCATCTCCATTTGAATTTTGTTTCCCGCGTCAGTTTGAGCAGATTGGTGCAACGGTACAAAATCGATTATTTGCGCGTCAAAGTTTCGCGAGTCTAGACGGTCAGGAACTTGTCCGGAACAGAGTGGGGCTTCCAGCTGAGGATCGTCTCAGCTTCGCTCGCCAGTGTTCGAGCCATCCTAATCCGAGTCGTGATATCCACATCTTAGACGGGACGTTTTCTGACAGGAGTTTCTACGTAACACATCAGTGTCGAACCAGTATTTTCGAGGCGGGCAGACGGAAACCTGCCGGTGTATTGTAATCAAGAAACACATTCAAAGACCTTGTATAAGTCCATTGCAACTTGGAATTTCGAATGTGGACGATCTTGGCGTTTTCAGACTGTTGACTTTCAGCGCGAATACATACTTTGTTTGAAACGTCTTGCTGTTTGCCATGATCCGTAAACCTCTCATCGCCCTGTGGGCTGTAGCAACGCTGGTCGTTGGGAAAACACCCTCAGGGTTCACACCGGCTTCCGATACCGATTTGATCGTCGTCTACGGCCAAACTCCAGCCATGAATGGCGTCGCCGTCGATAAAGCAGGTAAGACTGAACTACGTCCTACTTTACAGTCAACTGGGTAGTTCCCTGATCATGAACAGCCACGGCTAGCGCACCAATCATTGCTACAACATCGCGCCTTACCGGCACCTCGTACACCGTCGTCATGGTCGACCTCGACATACCCTCGGAGCAAAACCCACATACTTTCTTGCACTGGATGCAGACTGGCCTCACTCCGGCTACAACAGCCACGACAATTCTAGCCTCCAATGGAAGTACTCAAGCATTTACTCTATCCAATGCCAAGAACACAAGTGCTCTGGTCGCCTATACTCAGCCCGCACCTCCAGCTGAGAACCCACTTAGCCATAGGTATACCCAGATCCTGATCGACACCAGCACTATGAGCTCAGACGGTCTGTCCGCGCTACAGTTTGCAGCAGAGACGCGCGTGGGGTTCGATACCGACTCTGCGCTAGAGGCTGCCGGGTTGAGCAGCAATGTCGTTGCGGGCAACTCATTCAACGTGACGAACCCTGGCCAGGCCGTCGCGTCCCTCAAGCTGGGAAACTCAACATCAAGTCAAATCGGGAGTGAAGCAAGCAATGACCAGACGAATGATCAAAGGATCAAGTCCAATAATGGGACTCGGGGATTTGGAACTGCGGACGTCGGCGGTGGTTCCAATGCAGGAGGCACGCTCACATCCACAATCTCCTCAGCACCGGCCGGGGCTACAGCAAACGTCGCAAATGCTGGGACAGATGGGAGTAGTACCTCGGCTGCCCTAGAATTCTCACGTAGAGATTCTTCCTTGCTGATGAGTACATGCATTATTGCTGTCTTTGTTCTGAGCCTTTAGAGAGGCGCTCGAATACAATCCGCACTGACTGTCAACCTTGTATGATATCAATTAATGTGGTATGTCGCTTTCTCTGCGTCTATCAAAGTATATAGATCTAAATATAAGACAGCAGGGGCAACCTCCGAATCGAAAGTGTCGATTTTCACAACTTCGGCTCCGGTGGTTTAGAAGACGCCCAGCTCTCTAGGATGACATTCCTCTTACTGTCCAGTCTCTCCTGCGTCACCTCATATAATCTTGGTACACCAGTGCTCTTAAAATTCACCTCATCTAAGGCCATTTCGGCAATAGCCTTCGCCGAGAGGAATATTTGAGGCATACCGTGACCGGTAAAACCGGCGATGATCAATTGATTTGGGCGACTGGGCACGGGGCCAACGTACGGCCATCCATCGGATGAATACCCCATTACTAAAAATGCAGTCAGAAAAGAAGAACGATAATTCAGAGTTGGCTTGATGAACTCACTCCCTGTCCAGACCTTGTTAGTGTAGGCCCCTGAGTCTTCCCAGCCCTTGAAGTTCTTCTGCATGTAATCATCAAAGTAATGATGAGCACCACCCGTCGTGATGAGCTTGTCGTCTTCAACGCTATTGTACCAGCTGTCGAGATCCTTATAATATCTTTCCCTAGCGCCGCCCACAACGATGCTGCCGTCCAACCGCGGGATGAGATACTCGTACTCAGTAGGCGACCATCGTATGATGTAGCTGTTTGGCAAATGTGGGGCGGGTTTCGTTCTTGGGACAATATGGCTGCAGATGCCCTTGACAGGCACAATCTTGTTCTCAAACTCTGGTAGAATCGAAGAAGTGTACCCGTTCGTGGCATAAATAACTTTCTTCGCCCTCAAAATTCCCCTGTCCTTGGTCGTCAGAGTGTAATAACCATGAGCATCTGGCTTCGCCGACACCCCAGTGACAGGCGTGTGCGTCTGCAGGTTCACCCCCGCGTCCACCGCCTTCTGCAGTAGGGCACAGATGAGCTTGTACGGCCACAAGTGACCCGCCGAGTAGCTGACACAGCCCTTGGCGCCTTTCACACCCGAGAGCTGCTCTGCGCCGGGACCTCCCTGGTAGGAGACGTCCTTCATGACCTCCAGGCCCCCCTTGCGGAGGAGGTCGAAGCCAGCCTTCATGCGATCGTTTATGGCGTCTGTCATGAGCGCATCGACGGCCCGGGTTAGCACGAAGTCGCAGTCTATTTGCTCATCCTCAATTGCTGTCTTGAGCGCGGCGAGAGTGGCTGCCTCGAACGAGGCGCACTCGGCTGCCGTCTCGAAGCCGTGGGAGACTGCCACGGATGCCGGGCGATTGTAGGGGTCTGGCTTGAGATGACCGCCTGAGATTGATCAGCATGGTGGTAGAAAAGCAGAGAGTCTCGGGGTCTTTCTTTACCATTTCGGCCAGTTGCGCCCGAGCAGGCCTGACGCGCCTCGAGGATGACTATTGATGGTGGTGGAACAGCTTTGTCTTTACTTTGCTTGAGTATGTGGTAGACCACTGAAGCTCCCGCATAGCCAGCCCCTACCACGGCGATGTCGACCAGGGATGGGAGCTCACGGGTGCTTCGGTGGTTGTCAATAGGGTGGAGCTCACTCCTCCAGAAAGAATCTGTGGAGTTGGCCACGGGAAGTGGGGAAGGCGCCATGCTTGTTTGCGGCTCTGGCTGAAGAAAACTCAGGGTAGCTTGACGATCACGGTTACTGGAACGGCTTGAAGTCTTTTGGTCCCCATGCGGCCCAGCAATGGTGCATAATTGTGCTGCACTGAAGTTATAGGGCCCAAGAGCTTTTCAGGGGTGCATTCCGGAGTATGCCGACATCGAGCCGGTGGGAACCCGGATGGGCAGTGAGCTTATCAGGCGCGGACCACTGTTTCTCGGCAGTCGGAATCCCGGCCGGTTGCGTATAGATAATTCAGGCGATGACACACACAGGCGAGAGCCGGGCCGGGTAGGCATGTTGATTCATTCTCTCTGGCTCTGGGCCTATTCACGACGATGATACCACAACGATCAATGGCGACAAAGATAGATTCCGGTTGCATTGTTCCTCAGGGTCCTCTCAACCGACCCAGATGACTACAATGACTGCCAGCCAACATTGTGGAACACATCAAGACACTTTTAGAGACACTCGAAGAGAACAAGTCGAGTGGGAAGATACTGCGACCTCCTCCCGATCCACATAAGCTCTCAAGTGAGCCAAAGATATGGGAACACAATTTAAAATGAAGCCATAGCTACAGATATGAGTCCCATACCCGCCTTGAGAGTCATTAGGCTTATTGGGTCGCAGCAATGATCTTGTCCGCCATCTCAGGCAGCGTAGGCGCAACAGCATCCAGCTGGCCGAAGACATCGTAAAGAGGCTCCGCCTCCAACACCGTGCAATATGCTCCGTGAAACCTATAGGAGAACTTTAGTTCACTCATCTCCATCTTCTCGTATCATCATCAGGCAAGGGGCTAAAAACTTACCCAACCGTCCTTGCCGTGCTCACATCCCACATGTGTGCAGCTGCAAACCACGGCTTCTTCCCGTCCTTGCTCAGCCTCTCGAGCAACGGCCTGTATGCATCTGGGACTGGCTTCGCGACACCCACGGTATCGCAACTGAGCAGGTTCTCGGCGGGCATGTCCACCCCAGCCGACCTAAAATAACCGCCCACGCGCGCAATATCACCAGCCGTGAAGCACCACACCGTGAACCCCGCATCGCGGAGCTTCTGCACACACTCCTTCGCCCCGGGTCTCAGATAAAGCTTCTGCCATTCGCCCACGAGCCACTTGACGTCCTCCTCCGCGCAGAACTCCCTCGGCTTCTGCACACCAGCGAAATGGAGCATCCGGTAGAAGAGCGCGCTGAACACCTCGAAGAAGGGCTTGTACCGCCCAGAGAGCGAGAGGTATGTGTACTCGCGCTCGGCGGTCTCGATCCAGCACGCGCCGAGCAGCTCGGACTTGATGCCCGCTGCCTTGAGCTTGTCACCCAGGCGCTCGTCCATGGCTTCCCAGAGCCGGTCGTGCGCTACCAGTGTGCCTACTACGTCGAAGACGACATCTTTGGTTGCAGAGATGGACATCTTGGTCTTTCTGAGTCAGGTGGTGTCTCTCCAGGGTATGCTTCTAGTTGACGTGTGTTCGCTGAATCCGTTGCGTGATGGAGAATGGGTTGCGTTGTGAGGGGTACTGCGATCCGGAATACGTTGATAGGCTTGCAGAAAAACATGTGTTTTCTCCAAAGAATCGAACTATTGTAGCCGGGCGTCACTGTGAGTCACGGTGATCTTCGGACCGGCGAACCCGGACTGAAGCGGCAGTTCCGGCGATCAGAGCCGATCCGAACGGCAGGGATAGATAAGCCGGTGATTGATCGACCGTATGTGAAATTCTCCGGGAGGACGATTTCGGTTCTCGGCCACTTTCTCAAAATGTCAATCGCCGGCCCGGGATTTCTGGGCGGTGGTGAGGACTGGGCATAGCTACATTGTATTTGTGCAGGCTGCATGCAGCGATACGGATTTCGAGGACATTGTCGATTGCTCTTCAAGACAAGATGGATATGCACATTGATCATTTGTAACATTGGGTATACGCAGAAGTCACAATGGTCTTCACTGGACCAACTCAAAGCATGGCCAGACTCGGCCGCTTTCACACACCAGTCCTTGTTTTAATAAACTTGTGTTCAACACGGTCTCGAAGTTAAATAAGTCCCGGCCACCCGTCCAACGCGCCGAGCTCAGGGAAGCCACCAAACAGGCTCAAATCATCAATCTGCTCCACTCGCAGACCAGCATTGTCCATCAATGCCATCCATCTGGCCGAATCAGGGCTATGCTCAGCCAGATCCGGCGGTGGGCCCAGTACACCTGGACCCGCTGGCATCCCAGGATAAGGTGAAGGGACGGTGGCCATCTCGAGGGCCCTGCCATCCGACCTCTTGAATCCCCTTGCGGTACCATCCTCCTGGTGGTGGTGATGCGATTGTTGCTGTGGCTCGCCACCACCAGCACCACCAGCACCACCAGCCGGCCACAGCGCAGCCCACTCGCGAAACCTCTCATAGCCAGTCTTGCCGACATCCATCTCGCCGCGCACGTTGATCTCGACAAACGTCTCGCCCCGGCCCTCCACGAGCCCACCAGCCGCGCCCCGCGCGTCCTGCATGGCATGCAGCCTCCGCACAGCCGTCTCCAGAGCCTCGATGACGCTCGTCTCGCTCTGCGTCGACACGTTGTTGCCGGCGGACATGCGCCGGATCAGCCGCATGCCCATCTCGACGGCGGCCTTGAGCCGCGGCGGCTGCGGGCCCGACCCGGGCACCACCGACTGCGCCAGCATCACCAGCAGCGCGGCGCGGCACGAGCTGAACTCGGTGTAGCTCGAGCGCGCGAGCCCGGTCGTCTCGTGCAGCGTGCGGAGCAGCGCGATCGTGTTGATCGCTGCCTCTACCGCGCGCTCGACGAGTGCGGCGCGGTTCCGTGGCCGTTCTGGGGCGGACTGGGGAGGGGGTGAGGATGATGTGCCTTGGGGGTCATTGGGCCGGCGGGTTACTTCGGGGGACGAAGCGGCTTCTGGAGTGACGCCGCTAGTCTGAGAGAAGATGAAGGGCCGGCCTACGAAGATGTCGTTGAGGTATAGGCAAAGCTTGAGGTGAGCGTTTGAGCGGAAGTTTGGCGATGATGGAGTTGGGTTCTGAACGTCTGGGTTGAGGGTGGACCACCAGGTGTGAAGGGCCTGGCATATTACCACGATGCGTTCAAAGTAGGTTGGTTGAAGATTTCTGGGACACCGTCGAAGCAGCGTTCTGTGACCATCATCAGTAATTCCGAACTCAAAGAGCTGAGAATGCTTACATAAGGCCGCGAGGAAACTTACATGGCGTTGGCGACCTCGCCTAGTCGTGTTGTCATGTCTATCAAAGCAGACATGTTGGCATATCTGGATACTTCGTCGTGCGATCTAAACTCATGCAGGTCTTTGGGGAGCTCTGCATCCACCTCAGTCGCGGAAATGGAAGCTGGCCGGCCGTGAAGTACGCTCACGCGCCTCTCAACGGTGTACGCCGTCCACCACAGCCTGTTGCGAGTCTCGATAGTCCAGGTGTCGAGGTCATTGCCGGCATATTTCCTGTGCATTCCATTTTGGATAGCCATCTTGATTCCTAGCCCGAGGTAAGTATACGCTAAACCATGCGTGTCAAGAGGCAGCGCGTAGTGCGCAATCAGCAAGCAAGCTTGTACGCTCTCCATGGAAGCCATTGTGATGATGTCCGGTATAAGCTTCGAAGCCATCTGATAGAACGTGACGCCAACGTCCGAGTCTGTATCAGAAGGCCCGCTCGGCGTCTTCTGCCCATCCCTGTCAGCGCTATCAGGTTCAGACAAGCTGTCCTCAGGCGGCCCAGCAGCCATGTGCGCGAATTGGGTCCCAATGGCCAGCACCATGAGCACCGAGCACACCCAAGCCGAGTCCTCGCTGTTGACGTGGCCAGGCGCTTCATACAGGAACTCGAGCTTCTTCCGCAGCCAGGACTCCTCCACATAGAAGCAGTTGACCTGTGCGTGCCGGAAGTACACTTGCACAAGGAAGTTGGCGACGGCTCGGGGAGGGAGGCAGCTGATGACACTCTGCACCAAAGACTTATGCGACTGAAGCTGTGTTGCTCGCCAGTACTCGAGGATCTTCATGCCCTTCCTGGGCGCCGGTGCAGCGCCGCGGGCAGACGCCTGATGCAAGTTTCTTGCGTCGCGGGCGTCTAGCCTGGCTGACGAGATCGGGATGTCGGAGTCGAGACATTGGCTGAGTCTACGGCGAAGTTTCTGGGAGAAATTCCAATGGGAGAACTCTCCAGAGTAGTCTAGGGCAACCTTAGCCATCACATTTTAATCACGCGCGAAAAGATGAGCTCTTACGTGCTATGCTCTGGGACAGCGTCTTCACCGTGAAGTTTTCGTCCTCGAGAGTCAGGTCATCCAGGTACTCGGGCTCTGGTCTCTCGTCTCCAACATCGCTCCCTGGCCCTGCTCTCTGCCTGACCTTGTCTGCCATGCGCCGAAGATTGCTCAAATCCATGGGCACGTTCCCAAGCAGGTGCTGGACGAGACTCTCGAGACATTTGACCCTTTCCTCGGACCGCACATCGTCACCGCCGCCGCCGCCTCCGCCGCCACTGCTGCTCTCCCCAGTGGACCTTACTGAGGCTGCGTGTGCATGCTGAGGACGTTGCTTGCTCGAGTACGAGCTTGTCTGGGCTGTGAACCCGGCGGCTACCGGCGTGAACTCGCAGCTACGTCCGGAGCGAGAGCACCGCTGGCATGGATGTCTCCCATCGCATTTTTCCTTCAGTCGTCGACACCGCTGACATGCCCTTGCGGCGCGGACCCGAACGCTGTCCGCGACTCGGCGGCGTTTAGGCTGCGGGGGACTGCCGAGGCTCCTATCCGGGGCGTGGTGCTGATCATGTTGAACTACCACCACTTCGTCTTCCTCCAAGTCCCGGGCCGGTCTCTTGGAGTCTTGCTCGGTGGTTGACGCCATGGTTCCGTAATTTGAGGGTGATAAATACTGAGTAGCCCGAGGGCAAGAAGAGCCCGGCGAAGGTGGTATCGCCAAGTAGACCCTGAGCTTATCAGAAAGGATGGGTCCAAGATTAGGGAGTGTTGATGCTAGTGGGCTACCCTTGGTGAGCTTCCGGGGTAGCCCCTCGTGGCAAGTGGATCAAGTTGAGGGGCTGATGCGTAATGGCTAAAGCCCTGGGTGAAAGCCAACGGCTGGGGACCTCGAAGAATCTAGACTGGTCCTCCGCCAGCTTATCAGAGCGCAAGGAGGGAAATATGTTTATCTAGGCAATACTATCATTGAGATGCCATGCTATCTGCAGCTTACTTTTGGCAATGGATGTTGTCCTTGTTGGACATTTGGGATACTAATCTCAACCTTTTGAGCTCAGAAGGATAGTGAAGGTTAATGAGATCAAATGAACCTGTCTGCTGAAACGAGTAACGCGAGACGTGGTTTTCGAAAAGAAGTCGTATTGCGAGATGATGCATCGATGCCGCCGTCGTGGATTCGAGACATTCACGACAATACACAGTACAAGTTGACGATGCAAACGCTGAGCTTGAAAACACCCTTGAGCCGATATCGGAGTACGTTGATTGGTCAATTCCTGACGTCACGATGGGACGCCTTTACAACCTCATGTCAGCAATTCTCTGGGATGGCTCTCAACAGGTGTCTTGAGTCTTCTTTCAAGCAACACTTCTTTCAGCCGTAACCTCAGCCGGTGCACGATTCGCCATAATCATGCCGTCACAAACCTATACGCTGGCCAGCAGGGTCAAGGTGCGCCAGCTCCTTTCCAGCCCCAGCATATCCGAGATGCTGACTCTCAAGGACAGCTGGCGACGGGCCAGACGATCCCCCAGATCCAGCTCGGGTTGTACATGATGTCCGGCAAGGAGGCCTACCAGTCGACCAAGTGGGCCCTGTCAGCAGGCTACCGAGGCTTTGACTCGGCGCAGATGTACCACAACGAGCGCGAGTCGGGCAAGGCCATCCTGGACTGGCTCAGCAGCCCGGAGAACACCGACGGCCTCAAGCGCGAGGACATCCACTACACCTCCAAGCTGGCGACCTGCAGCTCCCATTACGACCAGGTGCGCCGGAGTATCAAGAAGTCTGTGGACGTGTCGGGCTTGGGCTACGTGGACCTCTTCCTGCTGCATAGCCCGTACGGAGGCAAGGAGGCGCGGTTGACGAGCTGGAAGGCTCTGGAGGATGCGGTGGAGGCGGGCGAGGTCAAGATGGCCGGTGTGAGCAACTACGGTGTTAGACATGTGAGTGCTTGTGCAACTGACGGGAAGAGGCAAACAATACTATCGGATGCGTTTGTGTGACTGACATGGCAACACTGTGCACAGATCGAAGAGCTCATGGCTTCAAGCCCAAAGGTGCACCCTGTTATCAATCAGATCGAGGTCCATCCATTCAACACGCAGATTTCCATACGGGAAACGTGTGCCAAGCACAACATCAACGTGGAGGCGTACGCCCCTCTGGCCAGGGCAATGAGGATGAAGCACCCCAAGATTGTCAGCCTTGCCAAGGCATACTCTTGTACACCTGCGCAGCTGTTTGTGAGGTGAGTACTGTACGAGTGATTGCATGTACCACTCTGTACACGTATCGTATTCTCTCCAGGTGATACTGATCTGCGTGGGGTAGATGGTCTTTGCAGAATAACATGATCACCCTGCCTAAGAGTGTGAAGAAGGAGAGGCTGATCGAGAACGTCGATGTCAACGGCTTTGAGATCTCGGAGGAAGACCTGGCTGTAATGGACAAACTTGACGAGGGTCTGGTTACGGATTGGTAAGTTGATCTTTCTCGGGCTTGGAGACTCTGTTCCTTCATCTTCCACTTCTTTGTCTGACCGAACTGCAGGGATCCGACGGATGCCCCGTGAACAACTATCACTATCCAGGAGGAAAGACTCCTGGACTTGGAAAATTGTCCTTTTGAGATGACCACATACCCCTACTTCATGTTCGCACCCTGTCGAATAATCAGATAACACATCCACCTCACGAATGTTGACTTTGAAAAATGCCATGAGTTCAAAAATGCCGCGGTCACATGCCATCTGCGACGGCCTCCTGACCTTTTCTTACGCAGACAAATCTGCAGTTGTAACATTAATTATACCGCTAAACGCCCATCCAAGCCATGTGTAGCTAAACGGCAGCGAGTCTTACATGAATGGATGATTCAACTCCTGTCACGCAGACAGGGGAGAACAATTCATTGTACCGCTTGAGTCGCACGGCCTAGGGGAGGCGCATTTCGAAAATTATCAGAATCATGATTGCCTTGCACAAATGCTATGTGGTGACCATTTGGCGAGCACACCAAGCCAACTCTTGATTCGAAATGCCTGACGACCAAGAGCCGGTGATCACGGGGCCTAAACCCTTCCTCCCGACTTTCCCGAGTTTGATCAAAGTGGGGGCGTCATCTTGGCTGAATTGCCATTCATCTAGGGATGGTGCCTTGCAAGGAGTAAGTACTCAGACCCTGTTGATCTCATCGAACACATTTCTGATTTCTTCTTGCTCACGTCACTGGAATGTCACAGGCTCCATTCGCAATTCAGTCTCGTACCTTTGTGGTCATCTTAACAGCAGTCCGATTCGGTCGACGAAATGCAATCTGTCACCCCGTTTCTTCTTCTATTGCTACAGGGCGTGTTCTTTGTCCATGTTCGCATTCCCCTCGGTATTTCGAAAGATATGCCACAAACTTGGGACTCCACAAGAGTCTCTGATGAGCCCCTGGGAGCAGTTGTGACAAAGACGCCTCGACATTGGCTCAGATCTCCAACGTGTGGATGGCAGAGCCAGGGCACATGTATGTTTTCATCTGGCGCATCTCAGCGAACATTTCATACCATGAAAATGGTCTTGTTCTTGAACGCTAAGGTTTTATCGTTATCAAATAACTAATCGGTGGGTGGGAAGGGACTCCTGTTCTCTGCGCAAACACGGCCACCGAGGTATGCACCACCTCAGGGCTCTACATAGGCTGTGTTCCAGTTGGAATGGACTCGGCCGATGTGACTTTGAACACCGAGTGTCGTGATCTGGGCCCTGACTACCGCAGAATGGATAACATGTTGGCCGTGACAACGCCTCTTCCGGAATACACCCCATCCAGCTACATGACAGCTGGGGCATCACCCTCTCCAACTTACTCCTCGGCCAACGGCCCACAAATTAGTGCGACATCTTTTCCAATTGCATGTGGCTTGAATACTTTGTGCTGGTAAGAAATGATCAATTTCTCAGCTTTTTGAGACATAGCCGCAGCTGACGATAGCTAATACGTCAATAACACCGACCCCAGCTCATCTGCGTGTGTCACGTGGGCCCGGCCTGACTCGTCGTGGATGTTCAGCAGCACCACAAGCCATGGCTTAATGACTTATCTGTCCTGTGGTTACAGCTATATGAGGGGAGACAATATAATGTTTAGCGAAGTTGAATCATTGAGCTATATGAGCGGTAGCAGCAGCCGAAGTATAGATATCCCCAGCATAATCGGTGGCGTTATTGGTGGGCTAGTAGTAATCGGCCTCCTCGGCTTGGGGGCTCTACTTCTATGGCGCAGAGGAGGTATTTTTAAACGCAATCCTAGCGTGCAAGTAAACAGAGAGGACGGCCAGAATGAACATTTGATGCCAGTCGAGCTACCCCCTGACTCCAAAAAGCCGGAGCTACCATCAGACGCAAAGTCAGAACTACCTCCAGACGCCAGCAAGGCGGAGTTGCATTGCCCCGAGGACTCGACGGTTGCCGCAGAGAGAACACATTTGTCATCGGGGGGAATAGTGAGGGAGTTTCAAACCAGTCTGAGCTTCGATGGCAACCCCAGTCTCACAAATCCATCAACAATTCTGCCCGTGGGCGAGTTAGCAGGGTCATGTGAAGCGGCACAATGAGTCGCTGAACCTTTTGACACAACATCACAAATGCATGATGGACCGGCCAAATAAGAACATTACTATGCCATTACTTTGTATATATATGCAGCATCCATAGTAAGACCGCGAAATGACTTATGTTTGCCTTCTTGCTTCTCGACAAAGGGAATGGCTGATTTGGTTTTTGATTGTTTCCTGCTCTCCCAGGCAGTCATACCACTGAAGAAGCCAGCGTATGATGAAAGTCCCAGTCTCCTGATCTGAATTCCAATGACTCCACAAGCACACTAAAATTTCAATCTCAACTGAATATTATATCGCACGGAGAGTTTACATTGAAATTTGTAAAATGCAATAGTTCATTAACGTAATGTCCTCGAATTCCTGTGAATCACGAGGCACCCAAATGCTTGTGCAAATATCACCATTCCACGCGCCGTGGCATTTTGAGGTCATTTGGCGGCTCTCCGTACATCATGACTCTCTCTTTTGCAATATACCAATTGGCTCTTGTTGGATTACCCCAATAATGTCCAAAACTCGTCAGACTCGCCTCTGGATCGCCGAACCGGATCTCATGCTCAGCGAGTGAGTTGGGGAGCCTTAAGCCCAGTTCCACAACTTTACGCGATCAGGCCAGATATTTTCCATCTCGACACAGGTTCCTAGTTTGATTCTCGGAGTCACATTATTATTCGGTCTTACGGGTAGAGAATGTGGTGAGTGCAAGCAGGTACAGCCCGTTTGTGTGAGCACTCGAGCATATGACATGCATTGTCCCCCCCGCGGCATGGTTTGTGGTGTAATACACATCGCATCGCCATGAAATCGAGTCTTTATGAGCATCACTCTGCTTCGTGTGCCTTTACTCCGATAATTCCAAGAGTTTCAATACCGAACTGAAGCAATTGCCAAGGGTATGCGTTTGCGCGGCAGCAGCCTCCTTAGTTACCTCATAGATTGACCTCACGGGCGGTTGCATTGGTCGACGTGGCCCTTGATAAGCTGATTTCAAGATCGCATCATGCTCGTGTCACCGCGTGTTGTACTCAGCAAACAGTTTGACTCTTCGACTCCGATTTGCCCTTGATATTACCGAAATATCAATAGTGTTTTCGGTCGGAGACGCCTTTTCCTCACATCCGCGAATTTCCTGGGCTATCTGTCATTACCGCTGAAACTACTTGATGCCTGGCCTTATTTGTGACAATACAACTATCTTCTATTGAGTTTTGCAATTGTCTTCAATTCAGATTGCTGTCTTCTGCAGCCAGAAGGCATCACTCTTCTATTGACAAGACAGCCGGCAGGGTCTCAAGGACGATTGCCAGAACAGCCCATGTATGTGGACGAAACTCAAGTGATGTGCTGGAAACTGATAGGTGTAGCAATTAGTCCATCAGTCGTCCATCACTCGACTACCACCCACCTCTCCAATTCGAGAGAATTTGGGGCCAATGGACCAATCCTTCGACATGGCCGGGTCCGGCACCAAAACGGCGATGCTCGAAGCCATCAATCCAAACGTGACCACCAGCAACTCCACCCAGACAAACTCAACTACCATCGGCCCATTCGACGGGAATACCAGCAAACGCAACATCTGGATCATGGCGGGTTTCATGGCCGCTATACTAGTAATTTTTGGCGTGTTTTTCTATTGTTATCGGAAAAGAGCACATCGAAAGGAACGTGAAGCAGGCAATATCAACCTTGCCATCTCGCGACCCAACCCCAAATAGAAGCATTGGGATTTATTGTCGTGTTTGGGTAGTATTCATTTCATTTATTCACATGTGAACAAGGTTTTAAGATCATGACTTGAGCTCTACTCTGATACGAGGGGAAAGTGTATGCGGCAAGAAGATCCAAAGCTCTCTCAGCAAGTAGTCAGGCAAAACTTTCATTAAAATTTCACCCCATTTCAGTGAAATTCACTCACTCTTACCATGTCCTCGCTGGGATGAGCCTTCACATTGGCTATTGGACGCTTTTGTACTGAACAGAGGCTACATACTAGCTATGACTCTCAAAATAGCTTTCAAACCATGTGCAAAAGCCAAGCCACAGATATTGTTGGCCTCCGAGGAATTTCAAACATTTTAGAGTTGGTCTTGTACTTTGTTTGCTTATTTTACTACCCTCGTGCCGGAGTGACACACAATCACCATACAGATACTTGAAAAGACGGGAGTAACACTCGCTCTCCAGGGGCTGAGCTCTGTCCGACATGCCACTACAACGTCAATCAAACGAAATGCTGAGGCTCCATGCAATCATCATGTAAGGAGAGGGTTACAGCCGATAAAGAGGCCTCCTTGAGCCCTGTGAGGCGGTGATGATGAAAAGCACAATCTCAATCGAATTCAGCAAATTTGATTGCCTTGTGAGATGGAACCCGGCTGTTTGTCGCTTATATGTGGACACTGCCATTGTCTGATAGCGGAAGCATGATACCAGGCTCTTGTCTTCGTGTGGAGTTGTACCGAACTCTGGCTATCTCATCAAAAATCCAATTTCTTCTCAAGAATTGAGTTGAGGTACTCCATGTGTTGTAGAAATTGTTGAAAAGTTACAAGTCTTCCTTTAGACACCTCTGCAAGGAGTTGGACTCGTCAACACCAGAACCGGTACGTACAAATCTTCCAGCACAAAAAGTCATATTTCGCTGAATATCAATAGTGGAATAGCGGAACCATTGGAAGTCAACTCCGTGTAGTTCCGTGCCGGAAGAATGGCCAAGTCCATGCCATCAGCGTTCTATGAACATCTTGTTCCAAGAAGCGATATTGCGAGCTGCAGTGGTGGCAGCTGTGACGTAAATGCTACCGGAGCAATCAATTCGGCTAAAACCCAGTGGGAAAAGTTCTCACAGGGTGCTAAAGTTGGGATTATTGTGGGTGCTGCTGTCGGGGCCACGCTGCTGATTTCAGTCACGGCATGTTGTTTATGGCGTTGGTGCCGTAAACGACGAACCACTTAGGTATGCCTTGCCTCTTTAAAAAAAAAAAAAAAAAAAAAAGGTTAGCATGAGTATGCTGATTTCTAGAAATACTAGTGCCTATTGGGGCCCTGTCGTGGTGCGCCGAAACATCCCTGGTGCTCTGTGCGAAGACAGGCTTGAGTGTTGAGACAGATAAATAGGATAATCACTCGTTTCCACAACGTCATTTCGACCTCGAACCCAGAGACTTTTGTGCAGCAGACGTCGAGGGAGTTCTAGCTCCGAACATCATGGATTTTCAACCTATTTGTTGTCCCCAGCCTGCGACCATATTTCTCGAAGGCTTCTCCCCTTTATGCGTTAAATGTATCGAATGTTAACTCCTAGGAGAATATCATGTAACGAAACACCGAGCCTTGGATTGCGTCTTTTTTTTTTTCATTCTTTTTTTTCGGATGTGAAACCCTGCCCGTGAAGGATAGTTCCGCGCCAAATTGCTCTTTGATCCCGCATACGATTCCATTGCGTGAACTGGGTTTGTAAAAATTACAAGTCTAGTTCTGCCTGTTTCCTCCCTTCCCTAGCTTTAGAGAATTGATCTTGCATGGGCTTTCCGTTCATCAAATTTTGCACATTCAGTCGAGCACTCCAAACCAGATTTGGCGACTCTCCCACTTCTCTTACTTCCTCGCCATCCTCCACGGTCTCAATATCGGAGCCTGCTGCCTTCCTCCCACGAGGCTTGTGCTGAGAGAACAGAGGCGGATTGACACTCAAACACCGCATATTGGCGCCGGGATATCCGGGTGGACCTTTTACATCGTCAGGGCTATCCCATGGCGTGTGGTCACGGCAGAGGTGGCTCATGGCATTGTCCAGCTGCTCAATAAGTGTGCCGCCGACACTTAAAGCATGCAGAATTTTCCTCGCGCCAGCTTGTGACAAGGCGTAAGCCTGACTACAAGTCGGACCACCACTAAAGTGCACCCATCGCGTGCTGCGGTACTTTTCACTCTCGTGCTCAAGACCGATCCATGTCTCTGTGATATCCTTGGGATCGCTTGGCAAGGTTTCGTCGTCCTGCAGTGCGTAGTATGTGTATCGCGCCGATGACAGGTCGTAAATTTCGTGGTGCCCAGGAATTCGCTCTGGGAATGTTTCGCCGCAATGCCCCAGCCACAGGATGTCCCAACCTTCACCGTAGGGTGAGTTGATATTGTCCCATTTTCTGGTATTTGGGCTCAATTTCGACACAAAGTCCTCTTCCTTGTGAGCTCTTTCGAGAAGCAGTCGCGTTCCCTCAGAGATGGACTCAAGTTGTTCTTTCAAACGAACATCCCAATCGGCATCGTCCTCTAAAATAAGGGCGCTCGCTATATTCTCCTCGACCATACTTGATGGGTAAAATCGTCAGTCCGGCTACTACAGTCATTGGTGAAGTCGGCACCTACGTTCGAATCACATTCATTTGGCTGCGCCAGGACCCAATGCCTCCATCTCGCCAACCTTTCCTGTCTACGCCTAAGGGCAGGGCTTTGTCCGGCACGTTTGACCCGCGAATCGCACTCGTCCATGTCAGTCTGATATCGGTCAGGGCAGAAATGAGAGACAAAGCGTCGCGCTTGTCTGTCCGCTCCGGTAGATTGATGACAAATATTTTCTGGAACCCCAGTGTCTCATTATAGACTAGTTGCTCGTGGATCTCGGCTGCGGATTCATTCTGGGAGGGAACAGGAGTTTCCTGATCGGACGGTTTGCTGCTTGACTGTATGCTGAACGAAAACGCTTGCTCTGGTTTGCCCAATGGCACTGTTTCCTGTTCGCGCGGTGACGAAGATAACGACCAAAACAATACGGCTATGGAGACATACGCGGCAATGCGAGCATATATGCTGAATGCGGCTCTTTCACTCGACTTTTGGCCACTCGTAGTCTTTTGCTGTTTCCCGGCCTGCTTTCTCATTGTAGAGACATGCTCCAGGAGTCTGGTGTCACTAGCCGCAAACCAGGCCAAGAGCAGCCAGACCCACGCTGTCGGTAATGCAGCCATCTCGCCCAGCGACGATCGACCGAAGAACTGGATGTCAAAGTGTGGATGAAAGAATGGATTGTTCTGATGTTGTTCTTGAAAGAGGGCCGGGAGCGCAACAGACGGGCCTACTGGGCCTTTTGTATCTCCAATGGCACTGCCGGCGTGCGTATAGACGAGGGCGTTGTGGCTATGGTCACTGCTGGGATTTCGTCTGTGCTCTCCAATCAGAAATTTGGACGGCTTGGCGATTAGGTTGCAAATCGAGACTCGACTGTTTCAGTTGTGACCCCGAATGTGAGCCTCTGCGGCATAATGAAACATCCAGGGGTCCGCGCAACGAAATGCGCCTTAGAGCTGAGAAGGACTTAGCTTCTGTGCGCATGAAAGGCCTGTCAAGATGCAGGATAGTGTGAGCTCAGACAAACTGTGATCCTCAGACGGGTAACTTCATTGGCTAGGAAATTGATCGCGACATTGCGCGCACCCATGGAGAGTTGCGCTTCAAAACCCCCTCGCACACCCTTTGCGCCTCGTTATCTTTTATGTTGTCTGGATCTCAGTCTTCGCGATGCCCATGCAGAACCCTAAGAATGCAAGCATGAAACCAGCAATTGCAAAACCGCCTTGAACATCGCTTCGCACAAGAGACCAAATTGTTGCCAATATTAGGGCAGCCAAGAAACCTGAACAGCCGCAAAGAAATACAGCGAACCAATTCAGACCTTCAACAAACTGTACTCCCCATCCCACTGCGCTACCCTTCTGAGGGCAGGCTTGCAGCTTCGCGCGGATTTTCTTTGGAAATTTCCGGTACAGTACAGGAAGAACCTCTGCATCCTCAGGATGCTCAAGTAAGTGTGTGAGGAGATTGGGCCCGATGGGAGGATTGGTCTCGGCAGGGAGGGGATCGAAGGAGTAGGTGTTGTGTGCTTGACTTTCGGATGGGACATCGGGGCATCTTTGAATATCCACTAGCTGGCTCTGATACATCTCAAACTGTTGAAATCGTTAGGTATTGTCAATCATGTCAGGCATATGAGGAAATGGCACGCAACAACATGACCTGGGACAGTCTGCGATGACCAGAGGCTAGCTTGCCGGGTAGAAAGGGTCAAACTGACCTTGACAAAATTCACAGCCTGCACCTTGCGCAGCCAAGCCCATGGCCTTTTACCATGGTTATCGTAGTAGTGACGCAGGACGCGGAAGAAGTCACGGTCGGAGTTTATTCTGCAAATCTCTGCCTGCCATAACTTTGAGGCCCACCGCATGAAGGGAACGCATAGCAAAACAAAGTTGTGGTCCATCTGAGGAGTTTCTGGCATCAGTGGACACGTTCCCAACTCTTCTGCAGTTCGTTTCGATGGCTGATGGCGCGGTAGACTGGAACCTTTGTTTTTAAAGGGCCAAAGCACAGAGCGGAGCTTTGCGCTGCATGAAGATATCGGACCTTGACGCATGACATTGGACGATACGCTCGGATTTAGACTTTCATCAGTTCCGTGCACAATGGAGAAATAGTCAGCCAGGAGCTGTTCGATCTTCGAAATGGCCCCTGGCTGAAGCTCAATGTAGTCATCGTAAAGCTTCATCCCGCATTTCTATACGATGGTCAGTACATTTCAAGTAAGGAAAACATCAAGAGAAACTAGCACTCTATGTTTGGAGTGACCGGGCAGTATAATGGCATTACGAAGATAACTCACGCATCTCCATCGCACTCTTCGTTTCCCGGGCTCGGGAGCAGGCTCATGAATTATAGAGACGACATTCGAAAAGCAGACCTCCGCAGATAGAAGGAATCTACTGACGATCCCATCGACACCTGGGTGCGGAAACCCAACGAACGCCTTGACATTGGCCTCTAGTGCCAGTATAGGGGTCGTTTCAAAGAGAAAGCGTTCTGACAAATCGTAGACGAAGTTCTTGTCGTTGTCATCTCCAACCTTCTCTGCGTCTATATTGTCAACTGCCCGGTCGGCGCTATAGTCCTCTGCTTCCTCGTGGTCATCTGAGCCTTCGTCATGAGCTTCCCAGATCCTGTGTGCAATATTGAGTCGCGATTTGCGGACAAACTGAGATGCGGCGAGACAGATACCGCTCTCTGAATCCTGAACAGTCGCGGCACAGCCTGCCAGGTCTTCCGAATAGCGCCTGATGAACCTTTCAATCGTAACGACACCAATACTGCGAGATCCGCATCGGACTAGTAATTGTGGCCAAAGATGCTTCAGGTCTCGGAATAACAGCAGACGCCGGAAGATGGCCTCGGTTGCATCGCTGTCGACAGTAGTATTTGTCGATACTAGTGAGCTGATCGATTCTGTCTCTGACTCCACGGATTCATCGGACAGGCATGACTCTGAATCTGTTTCAATGCCACCTGCGAAGACATAGTCTTCAAAATCATCGGTCTGGCTCGGAGTTGCCAGTGGGTGGGAATCACTGTAGTCACCAACTTCTTCATGATGGGAATCTGTACCGCGAACGTGGTAATCTGCATGCTCTGTGATCTCGAAAGCTGTTGGTGTATCAAGTTGCTTTCCAGTCGTTATAGTTGTTCGAGGGAGTCTCGTTACATTCACGGGGGCGGACGCCTCGCTTGCTGGTGATGGTGCAGTAAGGGGCGAGGACTTTAAGTCCTTCGGATTCAGTTTTGATCCCGTCTTAATCCACTTCGGCGTTCTGATTTCGATCGGAATCTCATTTGATGAAGACTTCTGCGAGCGAGCTGGCGATTTGCGTGGTGTCTTGTCTTTTGCAGCTGTTCTCAGCTGGCCAGACGGCTCATTGAGACAGTACTGTGCATTCTCCCTGGAATGATCGAAGCAGGCGTACCCGACCAGTATTTTTCTTTGATTGATATTGTGTCCTCTCTTCCCGTACTCCGGGCAACGATCGACAGCGTGTTGGTAGTACAGGCATCGGCAAGCGCTGTACAGCTCCAAAACTTGAAAACACATAGTTGTCGTCTGTGCGTGGCTTAAGAATAGCAGGTGAGAGTACGTTGATACATATCACAATCAGGTTCACGAATTTTCGATTCTCACGGAAAGTTTAAAGGTCAAGTGTATTGTCGAATTCGGGAGATTGCCTCGCTGTGTGCCTGACGTGGCAGAGCCTCAGCAGGTGGCGTCTCATTCGACAAGAGTTGCAGAACCCCTGGCAAGCTGCAGGCACACGTGCAGGAGAATCGCCGCCTAGCAAGGATTGTTTGTCGTATCTCGGTCGACGGACGAAGGAATTGGCCGGTAATACCACACCGACAGGCTGACCACCGCCTTGCATGCCAATATCAAACACTGCCCTCTATACTTTGTGTCCTGGGTTAATAGGATAGGACATGTCTATTTTCCGAACGCACCCCGCCAATTCCCCTTTTTGAGCTCTCTGAGATCACTAAAGAGCCGAACAACCATATTGCCTCACCCCAGCGGACTTGTGGTACAGTGGCCGACCAGAATAGTCAGCTGACAAAGGCCGGTTGAGGCTGAACGAACGACAAACTCCTGTCAGAAGATTTGGTCAATGCTCAGAGTGTCAGAGTCAACTAAAGTCATGGTAGCTTCTCAGAATGGTCACCAAGACATTATATCGGCTGGGGGTACAGTTAAAAGCAGGGTACACTGGATCTAGTAATATTGCAGGGAGTATGCACATATCGCCTTGATCAGAAGCCCTTGGCTTATACCTACGACCAGCAAGCCATACAAGACAGCTCAGAAAACTTCTACAGCCACTGTCTCTGAGAAGTCGATACTTGCACAGCCTCATAGCGGGTGTAGAACAAACACCACACCTGTCGTCTGGGACGTTTTCACTCCCTTTTTCCTGCAAAACGCACCATCCCATGATCAAAACATATTTCCCAACTGGCTTCCAGTGTTAGGTATCCCCAGGATAAAGTTATTGGTTATCTGCTGATGTTTCTTCGCACCCTGTCCGCCAAAAGTGCCCCAGCTACCACGCCTCGGACTGATTTCCATCTCTTCGGCGGGTGGCGATGGCGGGTATGGGGGCCGTGGCTTGTGGAATGTTATATGAGGTCGACTCCCGGACCATACCTCGCCGCCACCCCTCGTATGAGGCCGTGCGTGTGAATTGTCATTGGCCGTGGTGCTCATGGGTTGCGACTGATTCCGTAAGTACCCAAAATCCGGCATGGTGTGTTGAGGTGGGTCAGCTGGCTTTTGCTCCGGCTTTTTCAATATCAATGACTAAAGCGACATTTATTAGTGTAACAGTTCTCCACGGAGAAATCAAAACAAAACAAAAAAAAAATTACTCACTTTGGACCTCAACAATTCCGCTCGCTTCAACCCTCGCCGAGCATCCAGACTAAGACGAGACTGCGACTCCGTGCTCGTATGCTTCAGCCCCGGACGCGAGAAATTCCGCGCAGCACTGAAACTCGGCGGAGGTCCCGTACGCGATCCCAAGGAGTACGTCCGATCAGCTGTCGGTCTCGGGCCGAAAGATTGTTCGGTAGCGCGGCTAATCAGATTGGAATGGCTGCCCGCCCGCCTAGGCGCGGGTTGCAACCCAGGACGGACCCGTGGGCTGTTCAGGCCATTCGACTCAAGATATTCGGCTGCTAATCGCCGCTCCTCGTCCAGGTCGACCTCATCATTGGTAGCTGGTGGAATTTTGATGATCCGAGTCGTCGTCGTTGTGGTGATAGTTGTGGTGGTCATAGTAATAGTAAGCTCGCCCGTGACAGGGTCAGTATATGTGTCGCGCTTGACGACCGGACTGGAGGTTGATGTGGATGTTGACTTGGTGTGCTCGACCGGCGCTATTGACGCGTTGCTGAGTGATCTTGGGTTGAGGCTCGGCGAGGCGGGGGAAGCGATGGACTCCTTGGGCTCGCTGGAAGCATCCGAGCCACTTTCAATGATCTGGCCTGGCAGGCTGGCATTCTCAAAAGTCTGGCCATGGAGTCTCCTTGAAGATCCAGCTCGGTAACTGTCATCACTTCGACTGCTGCTCTGTTTCGCCGTTGAGCTAGCTTGAGATGTCTCGCCGCTTTTGCTTCGCCAGAACTTCCACCGCGGTCGCCTTCCTTCTCCTTCAGAGTAATATGGCATGTTTGATGGCGTACGTGCACCCCTCGTGCTGACCTCCCAAGGCCCGAGTGAACGACTTGTTTGAGACGTGAAATGAGTTGCCAGATCGCATTGCACGGTCGTGCGTTTTCAGTGTTGAGGAATTATCTCGCAATGCGGCGACGTATTCAACCAAAATCATGCGTTAATTCAACGACCGAGTCTGACGTCTTTGTTGGCATTGCCGGGTGGCACTCTGTCGCGTGGATCACGATGAGATGCCTTGAGTGCGACGGTGTTGAACAAAGTCATCATTGAGAATCCCACCATCGGACTTCAACCTGTGCCGTGCGGCATCCCCGGTTGACCGAAGATGTGGAGGCGTAATGCTGCGCTCGGATGAGATGAATGGCCAGAAAAGAGGAGCGCGCAAGAATTAAGTGATTGGAGCAGGCCGCCTCCCTGTTGTACCCGGCGGACAGTGCCCAATTCGTTCCTGCATTGATGTGGAGTTGAGTGGGCTGAGGATTGCCGTTTCTCGAATGGTTACTCGCAGCCTGATAATTAGACCGCTGAGGTGAACTCGAGTCAAAGGGCTCAGCAAGCTTAATCTCTCTCATAAACTAGGTTTTAGGTACCGGTCAAGGTTGGGCGTGGGGGTAACCTTATTCTGTTAGGTTCAAACACGTACAACGCAGTGACGAATAGAACGAGAAGGGGGTATAGGAGAAAATCTCATTGGCTATTAATTGAGGCTGTCGTTTTACATGCCGATTTCCGTTTTTCCTGGTAGCGAAATCGCTTATGTACAGCTAGATCTGAGCATTGCTCTCATGTATCCCACGGAGACAGATGAAGTGGAGCCACACCTTTCTCACCTGGACAAGGTAACGAGTGACCACTGCCGCCCTGTTTGGTAACCACTGCCGTGATACAAGGTCAGCGCCGCAGCCTGCATTGCAACTGCAAGAAGTTTCAAGTCCGGATGGGAAGAGAAAGGACTTGACTAAAACTCTATTGGACCTTGGCATCACCCAACGCTCGTGGCCTGCGTGGAAAATACGACGCCTGCACATGGGGCTGCATCGTCGCGAGCCCACCCTGCAACCCGGTTACCAGTCAAAGCCAAAATCGACAGTGGGCCCTTTCATCCGTTATGTCCGTGCCACGGGGCTCGCGGAAAATTAGACTTCGTATGCAAGAGCTGGGGACGTGCACCCATACGTAGAACATAACCTCCGAGTGATGCTCATAGACCTCTTCTCTTTGTTTCAAAACCCATAGCATATGGAGCACTCATATGAGGGACCGAGCAAGAAACGAACAAGGAGCATGGGGGTGCTGCTGCTACAATGCTATTGGTGAGGCAGTATCTAGCGCACCTTTGGGCACGGAGCTGAGCATATCGAGTTCAACCGATCATCGTCAGCTCATAATAAAACAAACTGTATCATTTTGACAGTTCACATTATGAGGAAAACTATGGTCAAAGTGTGCACGCACAGGGGATTGGTTGCTGTCCTCGCTTGGATGCAACCTACAAGCTACATCCCTCCATCCACGTTACATACATGTATATTGAGGTCTATGACTTAAAATGGCCAAGCTGGAGATGACGCCCGGGTGAACATCATATAAATATCTATGCGATCCGCCAGTCGTTAAAAGCATCTCGAAGTCGAGAACACAACTGCTCTGTATGGGGGTTTCTCAGGGTTAGGGCGAGCCAGTACTAGCGACTGGGGGAACCAGGGGGGGGCAGGGGGGGATGCAGCTGCTCATGAGATGAAACCTAAATTCACATGCCGTCTCCAGCTCGGGATCTAGAACGCCACTCAATCCGACCATCAACCTCCAACAAAACCTTCCGCATCAAGGCCATCACACTACGTCATGGTCTCACAACGCCTGCGCCTGCTCGGGGCGCTGCTCGCGGTAGCCATCCCGACAATCCATCTGCTCCGGCGCATCACGGCCCGCCGCAGAAAACTGACCTCGGCAGAACGCGTCCTCGTCCTCGGCGCGTCCAGCGGCGTCGGCCACGCTCTCGCTCGGCAGTATGCCCGTCGCGGCGCGAGGGTATGCGTCGTCGCGCGACGCACTGACAAAATCAACGCGCTGGCCGCTGAGTGCGGCGAGGGCTGCATCGGCGTCGCGGCTGACCTGACTGTGGTCGAGGACATGGTCAGGCTCCGGGAGACGCTCGCCCGTGAGTGGGGCGGTCTGGACACGATCCACTTATGTGCTGGAGTGTCGGCCTTGCAGCCTGTGATGGCTCTCACTGGGGCGGAAGGGAAGGAGGATGCTGTCGGACAGGGAATACAGGACGCTGTGGATATCGCTGGGAAGGCTGTCCAGGGCAATTTTGTCGGGCCTATGGTGGCTGCTCTGACGTTTGTGAGTCTTTGCATCATCTCGTGACCTTGCTGAACAACTCTCAATGGACAGTGTGGTTAATGTCTCTCCAGATTCCAATGTTGACGCGCACATCCACTGCACCGGCCATTGTACTCGTCTCTTCTATGGCTGCCCTGGTTCCGGCACCAACACGAGCTCTCTACGCCGCGACCAAGGCATCATCGTTGCTCCTGTACCAGGCACTCGCCATAGAGCACCGGGATATTGCCTTCACCTTCATCCTGCCGGCCACCATCGAAGGAGACTTCCGGGCATCAGCTGTCGACTCGGGCCCCGTCCGTGAGGCGGACCCGAACAAGCACGGACTCAAAATCAACTACGTTGCGTCTCGGTGTATCGATGCAGTTGACAAGGGTGTCCGCGGCAGTCTGATGATGCCATGGATCCCATATGCCTTTGCGCATCATTTGTACTACCTCTGGCCGTCGCTGATCGAGCGTATGGCGGCGAGGAAGTATAATTTCTCCGCCTGAGGCATGATGCGCATAAAGACTACGGTGAGAAGGTACGGTGCGAATCATGGCTTGTTATTAATAGCGGCTCCGGAGCATCAGGTTTAGAGACTACCGTCATTGATACATGACCAACTGCTTCAATAAGAAAGCGGGCAGGTCAACCCGTCAATTGATCGGAGAACGGGACGGAAAATCTCAATTAGTCGATGAATTCCAGTGCGACGAAGGAACTAGTAAAGTAGACACACATTTTGAATTGATATCAATTTGATAATTCATCCTACCTTATCCGAGACGCGTAGCGTTCCTATAGTCCTTCGGCACCATGTTGAATGGGCCTACCATTGTCGGCTGCGATGGCCATTTCTTACCCTGAGCGAAACCAAAGCCCCTAACGGACACTAACAGGAACCACCTTGGATTTGATACACTTCCCAGGCAGATACCCAACTCCGACGCGTTGGTATATCTGACGCCCGTCTTGGTCCCGATCCTTTGTTGGTTCAATCACCAAGAGATAGTGTGTTCTGCGGCTGTCTTTCATGTTCACCGTTCCCATCTTCCGACCTAAGACAATGCACTTGGTTGATGGAGGCGGTTTTTTGCTAGTCCGATCGAAAATGATCTCTCCGTCTCCATCCTCGATGGCGGTCGATACGTCGTAATCGCGAGCTTCAGCTACCAAAGCATCCCGGACCTCCTCCCCCGAGGACCAAGGAGATTCCAAAGGTTCCCAATACACCCCTCCAAAGGGTGGGCTGATGTAATCAATGCTGCCAGTGTACTTCATCCATGACCAAGAAGGCACGTGTGTGATGCCGTGATGTGGGAGGAATGTAATTGGAGACATATCGGGAGTTTTGTCAGCTCGCCGCCAAAGCAGACTACGTCGCAGGAGCCCGCGACCTCGGATGTGACCTTCGCTATCTTGGTGCTCCTCATCAAGAACACCAAATCCGCCCCTGGCCCCAAGTACATTCAAGACTCGGGCCTGCAGGCTGTCTATAGCCATTGGTCGATCAGAAGAGTCGGAAAGACCCAGACTAGAGTATCTTTTGTATAGGTCTTGATATCGGAGGATTTTCTCTCCTTGTCCCGCTCTCATGATGATTCGGGGGAAGTTCGGGTCGCCCATGAAAGTGGCAAGTTCACTAAATGGGATTGACTTGTCAGCTTCTAAATCGACATGCAACATGAGGGCGGATCGCTTACTTTTGCATCTTCGTCATCGTCTCACATCGTATACCATCTCCGCATTCGAAGTATGTTTGATGCTCGGTGAAATACACCGTTCGGCGAGCCAACGCATGCTCCTGGAGAACCCAACCTCTTTTGTTCAACGAGCTTTCTAGAACATGCTCACTGAAATCATCGATAGCCTCGCAGATATAGAATGCCGCGGATCCCTTGTCTTGTTGCAATGTGACCGTGGGTCTTTGCTTGCGAGTCTGCAAGAAGCCGGCGTAATGACCTGGGGATCGTGCTGCCGCCAACACACAATATGCTCCACTGTATACATCTTCCATGCGTTTCGCCTCCTCCTTGAAATCGCCCTTAGGTCCCTGAACGATACAGATGGAATCAATCCAGAGGAATGGACGATTGAGAGCGCGAGTGACTTCAACGGCATCTCTGAATGTCTTGGGAAGCTCGGCGAAGGCTATACCATCATCGATGTAACTCTTTCGATTCTCCGGGAGAGTGCGAAACAGTTGACCATTCCCCCATTGATGAGACAGGGCGATCCATTCGCCGTTGTCTTTAGGGCTCGTTTCACGAAGATAAACCTTGGCACCGCCAGGTTTACCCACGTCAATCACCCGTTTTGGCAAGTTTCGGAGATGAGTCAGGCTGGCCGAGCTAGCAAGACTGTTTTCAGCCGACAGCGATGTAGCCGGGCAACAGTCCTGATGGCTTCGGTCACAATGCTCCAGCCACTGCCTGATGATATCAAAGTGAATCTCACTGTTGGCGTCTGCAAGGTCAGGATAGCCTAGCTGAATGTCTTGGTTCTCCCTCATATCTAAAACCTCTGGATTAGGTCCGCTAACATTTGATTGAATCCATGTGGAATACCAAGAGACTTTAACTGATAAATAAAGGCGGGGTGCTTCATACCAAGGCTGCGATAGATGGACAATGCTGGACGCCCTTCGTCATTGATCCGGATCGATGAATGCTTCCTTGTGACTGTGACTGTCGAGTCTCTAGTCGCGCCGCTTTTGGAGCACGCTTTCCAAATGAGCCGACAAAGGTCACATGACTTGGCTTTGGAGTTGGATTTCAGCTGGTACGTCCTGTATGTTTTCTCCGGTTGAGGCTCCCATATCCCTTCACGGAAGTCTCGACAAGCCTCACACAAGTTTAAAGAAGGGTTGGGGCAGGGTAATCTCAGGGACTTCGTTCGGATAGACGATAGCACGTTTCCTGCAAAGTTGTTGTCGGAAAGAAGGTCCCAATCATCAAGTAACTTCACAGACTCGGAGTTAGAGGACAAGACTCCCTTTCTCTGAAGAATCTCGAATAATGAGACACTCACCATCTGCGTCACATTGAGTAAAGGTCTAGTTAGATTCTTACGTAGATTCTACTTACAGTCTAGATGGATGTGTGAGAAAGCACAAGATTAAATCTTCATTAAAGCATCTTGCCTCCACGGGAGGATCACTTACATGCTGATTTTGTTCCAAGAATTAGTTCCGTAATCATGTAACATAAGAGGGTCGTAGAAGGAAAGAAACATACCCCCTTGAGGACCAAGTATTGCCTCGTCAGCGACTAATTCATGGAAATGGGTTGACGGGCTGAAGACTTACGTACTGTAATGTGTCAGCACAACTGGTTTCAACCACTGGGACCCGAAGTACGACTTACATCCTGAAATCATGATCGACTCTGCGATTAGTGCCAGCATTTCATCGGATAAAGCAGTAGGATAGCGTACAGTCTCAAAGGTTTTCGTGTTAGCAATGCGTGAAGGGAGGGATTGTTAGGACTAGGACAGAATAAGAAATACTCACTCGTTCTGTATTACCAGCAGATAAACCTTGCACAACTGCGGACTGGATGTTTCGAAGAATGTCATTCACTTCGGGACCTCTAGGGTTTCGCGGTTGACCTATAAACCAGTAGCTCTCGTCATCCTCACCTTCAACTTCCTCCAATAAATGGAGGAGTTCGTAGGCACGCGCACGTTCCCAGCCACGTCGGCCTTGCGCTTTCGGAAAAGGATCTTTGTGAACAGTTCGACTCACTGCGTTTGCTGGTGACTCTGCTTCGTCAAACGTGATGGCCGGGATTGATGTGTTTACATCTGGGTCAGATGCTGGTAATTCGGAGTTTGGGCTGTCGATATTCATCGTGTCGTTGTCCTCCGGCATGATGTTTTCCGAAGGCCTCATTGTCGTCCCCAGGCGCTCTGGTAACTTGACCACGAGGAGTCGGTTCTGTACGATCTCTAGAAGACTTCCTAGAGCAGTACTTCCACTCTTGCAGATTGGGTCATTGGCCATGTGTTCCATCCATTTAGCAGCAACATCGTGAACTCTAGCTTTTGGGTTGCCATTGTCGTCCAGCTTGGTCAGATAAAACCGCGTATTGTTTGCGTCGTCGATTATGATGCCCTGGTTGAATCGTTTGAGCTCTTCGCGTCCGTACATAAGCCAAATGAGAAACTCCAAGGTGATGCAGCCGAATGCCCACATGTCGTACAGTCGGGATCTCTTCGAGCCGTATTGGCCTGGAATGCGTAGATTGGTGCTCTGGTCACATACTTCCTCTGGAGGTTCATAGGTTCGCGTGCCCCAAGCTGTCTTAGTTCTGGTATTTCGCATTTCAGTCACATGGAAGTGCTGTTTCGCGGTCCCCCAGTCACCAATCTTCAGTGTTCCCATTTCCTTACCGGTGAACCAGAGTATGTTCTCAGGCTTGAGGTCACCATGACGGAAGTTGGGACCGGTCTCAGGATAGTGGGCCTTGTCAATTGCCTTGGCAAGGCCTAGGATTTGACGCACTGTCGCCTTGACCAACTCTCTGCTCAGGGCTGGTCGATCAAAGGTTCTCCACAGGTCTCTCAGGTTCCCTCCATCGGCCCACTCGAACATCAGATAATGATCTTGCCTTCCTGGATCACCTCGACGGAAGGACGTGTGAAATTTGACGATATGTGGCTGGTGGAGCAGGTTCATTTTCTGAAGTGCTCTGGCCTCTTGTCCCCACATGTCGACAATATGCTTGCGGTCTTCTTCGTTTGGCTGAATTTCCTTGACCGCAACAGTTCCAGGGCAGCGAAATTTCTACATGAGAACGCAAATCAGTACGTTGGCGGAAGTTAGCTAATGTGACTTAGGTAAACACTACTTACCGCATCATCCTCGTCGACAAGGTGAGACTTGTCTATTTGCAATTGCCACACGCGGCCAGATGCGCCAGGATCGCACTTCGAAACCCTTTTAATGAACGGCAGTATTGCCTGCGGCTCGAGATCATACGTGAACTTCCTTCTTGAGAACACAGGGGCTATGAATGACCACTGTTGCGTACAGAAATCAATGGTTCTGAGCAAATCCCACTCTTCTGGAAGAGATCCCTGGTCGATCGGAAGACTTTCATCAGAAATTCCCGCGTTTCGCAATAGTTGCATAGCGACTCGCAATTCTTGGGCGGGAATTCCGATCCTGATGGCAATTGCAAAAACCTTTTTGGCTTTAGCCATAATGAAGTCGATCAGTGGGTCCATGGAAAGTCCGTCACTATTGCCTGGCACTGTCTGTGCCTCTCCTAATGCCTTGATGATGGATCTTCCATGAATAAGATCATCGATCACGCCGTCAGGATAGAAATACCGTTCTGTCTGGTCGAATTCACTCAGGACGCGAGCTCTCACAATTTGGGCCGCAAGGCTATCGTCCTTGTCGCGGCGCGCCATTTCGGGCGACAAACAGTGGTGTCTTGATGAAGCTATTGATTTGCGACGGGTATTCTTTCGATTCAAAGGTGATATCAACAAAGGGCTGCAGTTTGGGCGGTAAATCTTTGACTGATAGCAGCGCCAGCTTTATTGAGGCTCTGACACTGCACCCGATCGTTTCGAGGGCGATGAGCCGCCAATCTCTGACCGGTGATACTTACCCCGCTTCAATTGTTCAGCCATTTCCTGAAAGGTTAATCAAATCATCGTAAGGATACAGCATGAGAGAATCAACTTTCGAAGCAGGCTGGGATGTGTCAAGCAGGCTCTGATGTATCAATTGACGCGTGTCCTACCACATCTCTTATCATGCCAATAGACTGTGGCATTGCAAGGCAAGAGATGCAGCCACCTGCTAATTCCAGACAAGCCATTGGTAAATCAAAAGCAAGTCACACCCGAACTCAGCTGCCAAGCGGACAATCCACGGGCTAAGTCTCCCCAGCTGAACAGCACACACAAGCCGGCATACTGCCGTGCATATATTCCCAGTCTTCACATTATCGTTTCAATCTCGGGGCTCTTCCCCCCTCGGATACCGGCAGCTATCGTTTCATTCATCTTCCAAGGTCATGGGCTTGTAGCCCAGGCTTCCTGCACTCTTCAATCTCAGTCTGAACATCACTGAGCGTCAGTTCCGGTCACCATAAGGATGCGGTTTGAGGGGACAAGTACTGCTGAGAGGCGCCTAGGGGCTCGAATACTGTAATGCGTGTTATGTACCAGCTGTTCCGAAACATATAGTATCAGTATAACATACTTGATCGTCATGGGCAACGGAGCTTGCCTACATAAACTTCAAATTTCTGGTCCGGGCAAGTCGAAGTCAACTTCTGTTCCAGCTTGATCGGGTCAATGTTGGCAACTTCTATGCGCTGAGTTGACAACGCCCTCCACCTCCAAATATTACGCGGAAAGGTTAGACGCATTCGGATTTAGAGTAGAAAAGGTACGAGAGAAATGCTGCTTGAGATGATAGGACTTAGATGGGCACGATCAGAGAAGAAACGAAAACTGATCCAGACGACTCAAGCTCTCATCTTGTATACAGATAGCCCCTCTTTCGTATTCAGCAAGGAGTCGAAATCTCACGGCAGATTCTCACCGGTCGGGTGATAGGTGGCTACTGTGTGTCTTCGGAGAGGTAAGAGCGGCTGATACTTATGCAGCCTGAGTTGGGACCCCTCCATTAGAGGTGATGGTGTGTCGGGGAGGACAAAATCGAAGTAGAAAAAGTAGCCTAAAGCGCCGCATTGGGGTCCCCAAGTGTGGTAGAGGCTGCATGTGGTACCTCCAGCCTGCTGCGAAAGGACAGAAAGGGGGTGTGCGGTCTCAGCCTGAACCGGAGAACGAGCCATCTTCCTCGGCCTGTTTTCCAAAATTAGAGATTATGCCTGAGTGAGACTCATGAGGGGGTTTGATTCACTTAGGTATGAGGCAGCCGCCTCCAGACGGTCTTGGAAGATGGCTCGAGGGATTGAGATTGGTCACATGAATTATTGATTTAATGAAGATACTTGGTTCATCCTAGGTGAAACTTCCAACCACAGACGAAGGAGACTCGACTTTTGTCCCTTATTCTGTGTTTTATTTTAATTTTTGGAACTCCTTTCACGGCTAAAGTTTTACCATGTTCTTTGACGGAGCACTGGTGAGATCCATCGCAGTCATGTCCCAGCCCAGCGACACTCTGACACAAGTCGACTCCATCACTACGACTAGGCGTAACGGCGCTGAAGTCAGCATTTTCGAGGCCTTAATACCGGCCGTCACATCAAACAGCGAGCCTGAATTTCCGGCCCGCCAAAGATGGCGCTTTCTTCCGAAGGCTTTCAGTGGCACCCGACCAATCTCGAAAACCGACATCCCCTCTTCCCATCACCAACTCCAGAATGGACAACCCCAGAGTTTCAGTCGACTGAAACTGCATTCTGTCAATTCTCCTTCTGTTAAAAGCGACGGTAAGGAATCTGTAGGTGACTCTGCCAGCGAGCGCAGCCCCCAACTATCAGCTGCAGACCAACACGAAGCTATTGGGAGGATTGAGGCCATTAAATCCACCTTGTTCCAACGGAAATGAGACTAACAAACATCCAAAGCGCATCAGAAGTACCACGACAGCCTCGAAATCTAAGCTGCGGCTCCCTCAAGCCCTCAAGTCAGACAAACACGATGTTGAGAATACGCAACGAATCACTGACTCTGGTCTCGGAGACTATGATGCGTTACCTAGAGGACTTCAGAATACACTTTACAGAGAGATCAATAGATATAGTTGGGCATCCAATAGTAAAGGTTTCATAACGCCCCGGAAACTTGTCAAGCTATTGGATATTCCAACCTTGGAGAAGGAACTAAAGAAATACGACTCTTTCCTCAGTAAAGGGCCGCAGAAGCTGCAGTACCTGCGATTTGATTTTACTGAAAGCAAGAATTCACCCGAAACCAAAGAAAGAAGACGCAACGCTATTGTCGCCACAGCAGAGCGAATATATGGCAACATAGAAGATCAGATGCCGTCAAATGCCTCAGCTAAGCCGGAAAAGATGTTCCCACTACGCCATAAAGGGCGGTTTGATAGATCTTATGTCAAGATCTTGGCTATTTTAATCTTGATCGAGAGGCCAGCAAGAATCAAGCTCTTTGTCGAGGAGGGTATATGCGACGCCGACTTGCCTCTAGTCAAAAAGCCAATTGAGGGAGGATTCGAGGAGCTTCGGCGGAGCACCACTCCAAACGACCGATTAAGATGTTTCGAAAGATGGGATAGTCTAAGCCTGGTCAGATTTGAGGAGTTTCAGTGGAGGCTTCTCGCACCTTCCTTTGAACATGGAAGCGGAAAAATCATCCTCCACCAGACATTTGATTCGAATGTGATTCTTCCTTTTACCTACTTCAGCGAGAGTCCAAAGACTGGTGGATTTGGAGAAGTGACCAAAGTCAGAATCCATCCGGACCACCACAATTTCAACAATGACTGCGTACGTCTCCCTTCATATCACTTCATAGGCCGTGTTCCATATCTCATGACCTTCTGGTTCTTTCAGGCCTACAAGCAATGTTTTGCTATAAAACGTCTAATGTCTCGGAGAGATGTCCTACCCATGTTTGTGAGAGAAGTTGCGATATTGCGCAGACTAAGTAACGACACTACTCATCAGCACCTCATATCCCTCCTATGTACCTATGAGCACCATGGATCGTACCATCTTGTTTTTCCTTGGGCAAAAACTGATCTTCTTACGTATTGGAAGACTGTCAATGTCAGACACTGGGATCGACATAAAACCCTTCCTTGGTTAGCCGAACAATGTCAGGGCATTGCAGACGGACTCTCCCACATACATCACTATCTTACATACTCAGGCAAATCACTTGTTCATTCGGACTCCATACAGAATCTGGCGGAGAAAAGAATGCAAGACGGCTCGGCTTCTCAACAAAGCAGTGAATCTCGTATCCTCCTATATGGCCGCCACGGGGACATTAAGCCAGAAAACATTCTTTGGTTTCCCGCTACCCGCATGTCAAGGAGCAAAGATCAAGGAATACTCAAGCTTGCAGATTTTGGAGTCGCTGACTTCAGCACAAAGAATGAATTTGAAGTTGACTTTAACAGAAGGAGACATCAGTTTCTTGCCCAGTCACCCACGTATCGCTCACCAGAAAATGACTTCGAAGACCCGCGCATCGGGTCATCGTATGACATCTGGAGTCTCGGCTGTGTCTATCTGGAGTTCATCGCATGGTGGTTTGGCCGCTGGAAATTAGTCAAGAAATTTGCCGATGAGCGAACAGATGATGACCAATTTTGGACCAAGCATGCAGGCCTAAACAAGGTCCTGAAGGTGGACACTTTCTTCGAGATAAAACAGAATCAGGGCCCTGGTGGCTCGGAGGCTTTTGCGAAACCATCTGTCTCTAAGGTTAGTAAGCTCGTTCTAAGATCAATATGAGACAAATGACTTACTTACCCTAGCTTATCAAAACTCTGGAATGCCATCGAGACAGGAATACTTTCACGGATGGCTTTTTGAAAGTGGTCAAAGAGGACATGCTGGTGGTTCACCAGCCTGTCAGAGAAGGTCATATACCAGGAAGAAAGAGTGCCAAGGATATTGTGAGGTTGATACATAACTTGCGCAGCCAAGAAGCTTGGAAATTGCCGTCCACATCGCGGCAGAGTACATTGAGTTTTGGAGGAGGGTAATATAGCGTGAAAATACGAGAGACGATATTTCCAGCTCATTTGTTCGAATCGAGTCACCTTTTCGAGAAACCATCGCTCTTTTGAATAAGCACTCGCAAGTCGAATTCCGGATTGATCGTTCTCTTAAGAATGCTATGACCGAACATCTGAACAAGCTAGGGTGTCGTTAATTGGATGCGTTGCGTATGATCGTTACTAATGCATTTCTTTACATATCCTCTTTATGAATCCTTTCCAAGATGCCAGGATAATTTTACTTATGTAGAATCCCTGGAAGAATGCCACTCCGCAAAAAGCTCTGTCGGGGCCAGAGGATTGCCTTGGACAAACACATTTCGGAAACCAAGTTCGAGTGAGGACTTGACCCGCCAATCTCAAGGAAGATTTCACGCCCCCAGAATATAATCGTATGCGGCTAGAGATACTGACTTGGAATATGGAACCTATGGAAGATTTATCCCTCGAGTACCAGGGGTCGCATACTTGCACCGGAATCGCTCATGCTGCATAGACTTGATCAACAATGGGGAAAGGGACTTGGTATTGGCTTTGAAATGATGGCTAATGTGCTCGCTTCACTGCTGTGTACATGGGTTGTTAATAGGTCTTTACTAAAAGGACCATTCCTGATGAAGAGAACTAGTCTAACTGAATAGTTTGATCTGGAGAATATGTTCTGGACTTCGATCGCAATGCCAGGCTTCCAATTTCCAGCTCGTGTGAAGGAACTCAAATACAATGGCATTTCGAGACATCTCAAGATCCGAGTCCAATCATGGACCATACGCGCTAAAGGAGTGTCAATGAATACTGGCTTAGACTTCAAGACGCTTTCAAATTCAATGGCACCATGTGTTATATCGGCTGTTACGAAAAAGCAAAGCTGCTGTTGGGGAATGGTAGCCTCAGTCTCATCGCCACGTGGAGTGGTACTGAGAAGAATCATAATTCCCCGCATGCAGCATACTTGAAGGCTGATATACGCCCTCGACCTATCCAGCCTATTAAGGGCGCAGTAGTACTCTGAAACGAAGTTCAATTTCGTCAGCAATGTCCACACCTACCACCCCAGCAACGACTGTAATGGTTCTATCGGAAACGAACGTGGAACGACGTCAGTCCTGGTGTACGATTCCCAAAAGCGAGCATACTTGGGCCCTAACTTGAGCTTTGTGTTCCATCTTTTCAGGGTTGAAGCGTTGAGGAGCCAGCCAGTTTTGGACACCGACCATCAAATCAGCCCAGTCGTCCTGGCAAAGGTACCATCCGATGACGGATCTCAGACGACACTGAAAGTCCTCCAAGAGAAATAGGAGGCAACCTTTAGAGGCTCGTAGAGCACGGCTGACAAAACAGAACTAAGGCAACTATTCTTTAGATTCACTTGGAACCAGTGAAGGCATAAGATCTTCGCGAGAAAACCCAAGAAGTGTAGCACTGTTCGGGTCCAAAGCATCCGCCACAGAGCTCAGGAGAGCATTTGAGCGACCGGACGGAGGCACCCCATTGACCGTGATCAAGGACCCTCGAATCTCCGCCTGGGTCCTTCAAGTGGCTCTTGCAAATGCGGTCTGCATATGATCGAACCTAGGCACAGCCATCCGACATCTGGACGGGTCCCAGTTGGCAATGTCTCAGATTGCGAGTTTTACGAGTTGCCACATGGCAAATATTTTCTAGCAGCGCATATGGCACGTCTTCAAGATATTCTCGAAAGGCAATGCTGTGCATTTGTCGGAACTGGACCTACGCTGACAACTCGATTTCGTCGAAGGACACATAATGCGCTTGTGTGTGCGCCGCCTTTGGACTCAAGGTCGACACCATAAACATGAACGATTTTGGGAGATCAAAGCCGAGATTGTTCATTCAATATACAAAGAGGACGGGGTAGACGGCAAAGTCAGGAAAGTTTCAGGCACAGACCGCAACGAAGGCCAACTCAAGGGAGAAGACCCTACTTTGACCAGCTTGATGGTAGTCAAGTTTAAGACACGTCGTTGATGCACAAGACACCTGGTTCGATTCTTGGGCTGTAGATGCTTAATTAAGCTACTTCAACCCAGATCACAGACCGCCATCCGTCAGATTCGACGACAAAGGCCCGAAGAGGATCTGTACTGTCCTGGTCTGAAATTTCCACGTTCCATCTGTTTCGACCAGATTGTCAAAGTACTTCGCCCAAGTCTGCTGGAAGTACCCATCATTGACATTGCCAAGCTTGTTCCACGTCGCACTACCAAAATGGTTGACGGGATCAGCAATTTGTTCCATAAATGATGGTGGACGTAAACCGGCACCATGGGTCGCAAAAAATCACATTGTGCTACTTTGGACTTACTAGCTGGTAGCGTTCGCCGTTCCGTCTTCATTAAAAGTGATCAGGCTGTTCACGTAGGTGTGGACGAGGGTAAAGGTATTGTTGAGGGCTTCCTGCTCGAAAGCGATGATGTTCGCGACGCCAACGTGGGGCTCTTCATCAGCGAATTGAATCGAGCCATCGTCTGCATATACTTGTCCTAGTTTCGTCAGGTCCCTGGTATCTAGCAGGAAGGCCTCTGTGGCGAGTGTGTTGCGGATTTGTTCGTAGGCTGAAAGAGTGGGCAGCGAGCTGTTTGTGTTTTGTGCTACGGCGAGGCTGGAGAACAGCAGGGCCAGCGAAGGAAGCGTAATCTGCATTTTGCTGGTCTTGGTCTTGAGGATGAAGTAATTCACGGATAGACGAAACGACCTTGAATTTTGGCAGTGGGAGCACGCTCCGTTGGAAGACTGTGGAAACGAGTGTGTGAGATGAGATACCTGTCGTTTGCAGCTTTGCTCCTATTCAAGTATACTGGCTGTAGCTCACGATGCCTTTATACTAAGTGAATCGGACTCAGACATAATCCCGCTCGGTGAGGTATATTCAGCCCTGATGGGTCAACCTCTGTTATAGTTTGACCCCTGAACCCTAAATAGCGGGAACACTGTTGCATTCCGCTGATCTCCGCTCCTATTGTCACCCACAACCCGATCTAAGCTGGCCAGCACGCGATCGCCCGCTTGCGCGTCCTGCACTATCTCGGAAATTACGTGGTGTGCGTGCATTGCATGCGTGACTAGCATCCGCGCAGATTTATCTAGAAATTATTGTGCACAAATACCATTGTGCTCTACTAGATTCATTTTGGGACGGAAAGAAGGGTGTCAAGTTTTGCCAATTTCGATTGCTCTCAGAGCCTATAAGCACCCACATTATCTCGAGTATAGTCAGAACAACCTCCTTTGCACATGCAGCATCTCAACAGCGACCGGCACAGATCAGATCATTTACTCAAAGAGTGCATATGTACGTGCGTCACAATCCCCGAATGGACCTTGGAATTACGGCAAAAGGGGCAGGACGGAATGACCCGGTGCAATGGCTATTAGCCTGCTGGGATTACCGGCCACATCGTTATGCTTCATTAGGAAGGTCGAACTTTCCTCGATGCTTGACCTAGCCTGGCGATTATTATTCGAGTCCGACACTCTACCAAACCTGACCGTCGCCGGAGCTGTTGCTGAGGTGCTTCTGATCCATCTGGTGTATGATAATCAACCGTCTACAACCGCTTCTTTGTATTTCATAAGCCACGCTCTTTTCGACTCAAACCTCGCTGTCTGGATGTATGCGAGATTGGAGGGTTTACTACCTCGTCAGTCGATTTGTTATTACAGTCGATGTGGGTAAGCATGACGGTATGAGCACGAAACTCCTTTATAAGCCAAACATAAGCCGGAAACAGTGAAGAACGAATATCATCCTGACCCATGAAACTTAGTGAATTAAATGATCAGTCCTTTCCCACGAACCCCTTATGCAGATTCCCAAAACGCCGTAGTAACTAATGCGACATATTTTACAATATTGTACAAAATACAGGAAAGCGCTGAATGCTCTTCAGAGCTTAGGCCTTTCCTTGTCCAACAATCTCGATGTCGTCGTCTATAACAGTTTTTGAAATTTCTTTGGCCACCCAAGTAGACACGCTTGATACTGCTTCAATTGCATTGTCCAGATGAATCTGGAAAAAGCCTTGTAGCTGAGAAGGTGTGAACGCGCCCTCAGGAATGTGTTTCGAGAACTCGGCCGCCAGCTGCCGCAGGGCCTCCATGTCCAAGTCCGAAGAGGGTCCCCTAGCATCACAAGCAAACATTCTCATGAACATCTCGGCCGCTGATTTGCGACTGATGTTCCCCAGGTGGACCTTCAAGTCAACCCTCCCCGGGCGCACCAAAGCTGGGTCGAGTAGCTCAGGCTTGTTAGTGGTCATGATGACAATCCGGCCCTCTTGCGACCCAACTCCGTCCAGGACATTCAGCAGTCCAGAGAGCGTGCAGTTCGACCTGGGGCTGTGGCTGCCGCTGGAACTGATCGTCCGGTCTTCCCTATCGGGCAGGTCGCGGTCCGCCGCCCACACTGCGTCGATATCCTCGAGCAGCACTATACACTGAGGCGGAATCTCCTGGAACATTTGCTCGAGGTCGGCGTCGGAGGCGACGCTGGGAATTTTCACCTCATAGAGGTCGAGGCCAAACTCGCCTGCCAGCGCGGTGGATAGGGACGATTTGCCGGTGCCTGGGGGGCCATAGAAGAGGTAGCCTCTTCGGTATGGCATGCTCCTGCCTTGATAGCGCTTCTGTGTTTCAGGGTCGAGATATTTCCGGATGTCGGCCAGTAGGCTTTTCTTAACGTCCTCGTCGAAGTGCACCGTCTCCAGTAGCCGGATGGGCTTTCTGGACTTGGGCTGCCAGGAAATACCATAGCGGTCTCGTGAGTAGATCATTACAAAGTACTGTGTCTGTTGATCTGCGAAGTCGCGACAAGTCTGGACCAGGGAGCGAATGGGTTCCGCAGATCGACCAAGGCAGCTTATTGTGAGATCCTCGCCTCCGATTCCGTCGTACCCTGGGTCGCACATGGAGGCGTTGAAGCTTTCGAGGGAGCGATGTATGATGAAAACCTGCCCATCCTGCCAGAACCAAACCGTCTCAAAATGTGGCAAGTACTGGACCTGTCTTTGCGTCTTCTTCAGCGACGCAGTCTCCGATGCATCTCCTCGACCAAGCCTGTCTCTAATTTCCGTCCGAGCGGTGAAGAAACGCGTATTATTTCGAGGTTGGATGACATGAGCCAATACCCAGCTGACAACATTTTTGTTCAAGGGGTCTCGGCCAGGAATTGTAACAGAGGCAACAAAGAATTGTTTGATCCAGCTATACGTCTCGCGCCAAGCGCCGTGAAGCAGTCGCCAGGCTGCAGGGATGACGCCAGCGATAGCTATGAGTGACCCGAGACGAGTGATATCCAGATGAGAGAGAGACGGCCAGTAGGCAGTGACTGCACCCAAGAGACCTTGCATTGACGGCTCAGCAAGTCTGAAAGCCGGGACGGCGCCTCCGGCGTGGAACGGCTGCGCCATGGGTTCGGCTTTCGGGGTTCAATCGGCCCAAGAAAAAAGTCGGAACCGATAAAAGGGGTCGCCGCGCATGAACGGACAAGCGCCACGCGTGAGGGCAGCCCCTGGGAAGTACCTATACTCGACAAAAGGGGGACAATTGGGAAAAGAAACACATTAAAGCTACATCTCGAAGCAATGAGTGACGCGAAGAAGAAAGCCAAATGAACGGGAGGCCGGAAATCGTGGAGGATGACGGTGAGTGAGATTGAAGAGTCCGATTGAGGTCACGTAGCCGAAAGGCCCGTCAGAAACTTTGATGATCAGCTGCCAGCTGGCACCAGCTGTTCACCTGGTAGCTCACCAGCTGGCAAAAACACCAAGCCTTCGGTCCCATTGAAACTGCTAAGCACGATTCCCTACTTGCCAATACACCGGTCGAAGATTCCCGATTTTAATAGTTTTATGCATGTACTCATTTCCAAAAACAAGTTGCCTTCTCTGTGTACTCAGTTATCATCTTACAACAGACTGTCCTTGAGTAGACGTCTCAAGGCGAAAATCAATAACTCGTTGGTATCGTATCTTCCAAAGCGATAATATTGGCTGACGATGCACGTTATGCCACAGGATAGTATATATGTAACCGACATCATGCCGCCAGATTCGGGCGTTCAGTATTGGACAGCTCGATACATCCGATCAACACTACTGCGAAAGTAAAGTCCAAACCACTGGCTCAGCAAGGCACCCGATCAACGGTGGGGACAGATGTTGTGTATGACCTGTCCCGACCGAAGCAGTGGTAAAATCTAGCATTCCTAGAATTTGTTTGTTTGATGACGGTAGCTGCTTCTCCCCTAAACCATGGCATGATCGAGGCTCTCTGAATTAAGAGATTGCGAAGATGGCAATTCTGTAAGAATCACTTAGAAATAATGAAGCACTGAGTTACATCTCCTTCTTTGGCTTGGTAGACCTCTACATGTTGAAGTAATCCTGGATAATAAAGGAAGGTAAACCGAAAATCGCTTTCAACCAAAAGTCAGCCGACTCATCTCACATTGGAACTACTTCGCGCATCAATAAGACCCTTTGCGGTGTGATTTGCGCTGAAAAGTGGGCATGTCATATTAATTGGTAATTCTCTATGCAAACCCGATGGTGTTTCAAAAGAATTGACCCACTGAATCTTTCCAACTCCAATCCTACCGGGGCTGCAGGGCTGACCGTCCAGGCTCCAAAACTGTGCGATCCACGCCACACATACTGCCGTTTATTTCAACTTCTTGTCCTCATGTAGCAGGCTATACTCAGGGTAACTCGCTTGGTACCTATCAAACACAATCATCAGCGTCAGCACAAACCTCTGCTTTTCAAAAAGTTCAAGGCCGGAGCGCAACAACTAACCCAAGTAGTCCTGCCCCCACCCAATAGGCCAAGACATGATGCAGAACTACCAATAGCCAGATCGGCGTCCAGAATGGGGGCGTCAGCACAATGTCGCTGTGGTACAGAAACAGCAGGATCTGGAAGAGCGAGGGTGCGACCTTGCTCTTCTCACAATCCTTCAGGTATCCGCTGAAGTTGCGCATGAAAGCCTCGTCGAAGCCGTGGTCGAGGCCCTGGGGCTCAACCCACACGGTGAAGATGAGGTCTTCTTTCGATGAGGCGTGGGCCCAGAAAGTGTGTCTGCGGGTGATGTCAGGTCATCTGATACAACATGGCCTCTGCAACAAACAAGTACTTGTCGTGGCTTCCTCCAAGACATGATGGCGGCCACATACCTCGCTCCGGACGGCACAGAGATCCGGCCGTCATCCTTCGTGATGGCATACTCCTTTCCGTTCTTCACAACACCCAGCACGCCCTGCTGCACCTCGAAGTGCTCGTCCTGGCGCAGGTGGATGTGCAGCGGTGGGCCCGACTTGCCATCGCGAACGACCTTCTTACTCAGGTAATGGGTCTCGCGCACGGCGCTGAGGCCGGCGTTGTTTTTGACGAAGTCATAAAGGATCGCGTCCTCGGCCGTGGTGACAGATGCGTCATGCGCCGTTGTCGTGCGTTGCGTGGGGCGCGGCGACAGCCACAGTTGCAGCCAGCTTGGTGACATGTTGCTGATCTATACCAGAGATGGAGTCGAGTGGAGTGGGAAGCAGGCTCGGGGGCAGTGGTGGATAATATGGCTGAGACATCTCCTTTTGAAGGCGTTGCGTGCCAAGGATCTCAAGCCGGTCAGCGCTAGGCGCAAACTTGTGCCTTGTAACCGTTAGCTGCTGACACGTCAGCACGTGTGCTTCGGACTGCTCCTTCGATTCTCGGTTCAGCCTCTGATAATTGCTTTGATCCAGTAATCCTTTCATTGCACTTTTTTTGTGGATGTGAAATCCTGATGGAATACGTGGGCAGGTCGAGTATTCGCAACTAGGCCCAATGGAGGCAACAATCGTGACAGAGAGCTTACACGGGTGCATAGTGGAGAAAGATTTGTTCTTCAACTTTATTACTTTTCCGTGTATAGGTGTATAGAGTGATTAAATACAATAAGATTCTCCTTCATTAAGCTAGGGCCGACACAAAATCCCGCTATAAACCCACCCGTTACAGGTTGGCGAGGACGGCAGCACCACCGAACAGAGCACCCATGCCAACGGCAGCAGTCTGCACGGGGCCGTAGTTGCCAGAAGCGGATGAGCTCGCACTTGAGGCAGCGCTACCAGCCGACTTGGTGGCAGAGGAGACCTTGGACCCGGCGGAGCTGCTCAGGCTGGCGAGTGCCGAGGACAGGGAGGCGGCGGCTGAGCCAGTAGCAGTGGAAAGCTCAGACTGGATGGATGAGGCACGGCTGTTGGTGTCCGAAGTGATGGAGTTCAGGGCCGATGAGACCTCAGACGAAGCTGAGGACAGGCGAGACGAGATCGCAGACCCGATGGAGGAGGTGACGCTGGCCGCTGAGCTGGCGGCGGAGCTGGCATCCGAGGTGCTCATGCTCATGCTGGATGAGGTAGTGGTGGTCTCTTGGGCCTGGGAGCAAACAAGTCAGCAATAGTCACTATGGTTGTATACATGAAGACAACTTACCAGCGCCAGAGGGGCGATAGCGACGAGGAGAGTTGAGAAACGCATATTGACGGTGGTTTGTTTCGATACGGGTGAAACGAGTTTGTTTTGGTGGGTTGTTTTAAAGCTTAGAAGCAGGATCAACAGTCAAGACTTCTTGGAATGAATAAACTTTAGATCTAATCGGCACCCAAGGTAAGAAGAACGAGGGAGATGCCACCCTTTTATGCCCGTCCCCGTGGCATCGAGTGAGCTCGAGGAGCTTGGACATTGCCGCACATGGGCTGCGGGACTACGCCAGGGACGGTCTCACCATGTCGACCAAATCCGCCTAGTCGACACAGCTCCAATGAGAAAGCTGAAGGACTGGGAGATCGGATGAGCGGCACCAAACACCTTCACTGCCCACGGGCCACAGTGACGAAGCAGGCACAGCTGGGCAGCTGGGGCATCAGGCGAGCCTTCTGCCAAGTGCCGTGCGTACAAGGGTGCAAGGAGCAGGGCAGGACTTCTGGTTTCCAAGCTGAGCCGGGACAAGAGACGGCTCGCCTGGCTCGATCAGTCTGGGGTGAGGGCACTGCCTTTGTCGATCCAGGCCCGCATCGAACGCCCACTGGCCCGAAAGCAGCTTCTATTTAGTCATCGTCAGCCACGGATCCCTGGGTTGTCTATGTGTAATGTGTTCCCCCGAGCCGTCCGTGGTCCAGGATGAAGGCAGGTCAGGGCGAGGTGATGGTAGCTTGCAGCTCTCAGCTTGGAGCTGCGGAGGCGCCAAGCCAAGCCTCGGTTTGAGCTGTCAAATATGGGGCTTCCGAGCACCTTCACCATTGCCCGAGCCGGGGTGCTATGCGGGTTACCGCAATCCCAGACAAGTATAGATCACAAAGGAACTCCGACTGGTCGTGCGACTGATGCCGTCATGTTATTGATAATGGAGCTATGGCACCTCTTCGTGATCTCGGTTCCAGAATTCTCCAGGCTCTCGGGCAACAGAAGTGCGGGTGGGTTACCTCCAACTCAAGCTGCGGTGGAGAAGTCCTCAAGTCCAGGCTCTATTTTTGAACCGGCCGTGGGCTGATGGACACCACTATCTACAACAGAATAGCCGGATTATGTGGAGATGCAAGCATAGCATTAGGGAAGCCTAGCTCATTCAACGAGGCGTTGCCACTGAGACTTGCACCGAGAGCTTCGGGCTGTCTGCCTGTACAGAGCAGCATTTCTGGCTGTCAGAACTCAGAACAGCCTGTCCGAGCCACTGTCAGATTTCAAATGCTGCTGCACGAGCCCCTGTGCTAGCGCTGATATTGCCACTTTGCGACGCCAGACCGCGCCAACACTCGTCCGGGACTCTATTACGTCTGACGACGTCATTCGGCGATCTCCTCGCTCCTTTGTTGTTAATCGAGATGCTTTGCATGGATTTTCCCTAATCGACTTCGTGTGACAGCTTCAGAAAGCCCCTGCCGTCGGCTAATAACTCCAGCGCCGGAGGCCTGATTCGGCCCTGCTGCTCTGTCGTGTTTGCTTAAAAGTTGACGTTACATATGATGATGGCTGAGGCCCACCATCACATCCGGATGTGCCGCCACAACGCCCCTGACGAAGGCTCGGCACGTTGTGCATCGATCTGCGCAGGGATTCTAGGGGCACGTTGGCTGTAACCTCCCTGTGCTACCCGAATACGTTTTGGGACCGCTGTGGTGGCCAAACCCGAGGTTTAGTGTTCGCTGGCATGCGGGCGTAGCCATTCACGGCTAAGTAGAGAAGAAGCCAATGCAGACGAAAATCGCTCTAGGTCTTCTAAAGCTGTGGAACAAACCTAAACGCCAGCAAGTGCGCCGCGAGTGGCTTGGCTCTTGGTTCCATACTGGTGTGTTGTTACTCTCCGGCTGGCTGCAATGTCCTGGCTGTTGTGCTGTTGTCGGTTGTTGTGCTTGTATCGTAGGCACACTCGGCAAGTTCGAGGCATGGTTCCACGGTCGGTTGAAGCAGTACTGGATCGTGAGATGGAATTCTATGCATTTTGAAAACAGATCCAGGTCGAACAGCAACGAACACAAATTATGAGGCCCTCTGCAGTACCGTCCCTGTTGAAAATGCCATTCCCTAAGTGGACTGTGAGCCCGACCAAACCCGAAACCGCGGGTGCACTCTCAAAAGCGAATACGTTCAATTGGGTAGGATTGCTGGACTGTTTCATCTTTTGATACGACATCCATCAAATTAATCGTCCATTGCATGCAACGTACTATTGCACGGAGTGCCACTGAAACTCCGTTAGTCCATCGCAGTGCTCATCAGGAACGGCCAGCTGGAAAGGTTATTTTATCTATTTACTCAACTTGTAAAGAAGTAGTTCAGTTAAAGACACATCCCGACCTGTCACATGTTCTCAACGAAATCTATCGGCTTGTCGTAGGTTTTCTCCGTGAAATAAGGATAGTCATTGTTCAACGGATGATGGCTGCCCGGGACGGTCTCAGTGACCCACTCAGTAAACATGTCAGAATGCGTCGTCGAGGATATTATTGGATGTGCACAGTGACACAATTTTTATGATTGCTAACAAGGCCGTTTACGCGAACATGAACTATCGATAGGCTCCTGTAGAAGTGCCGAGTTTTCTTCTCTAGTTCATGTGATGCGTGTGAGATATTCGCTGATATCGCCAGCTCGCGAAAACATATATGGGGAGACATCACTCGGCATTGTGAATGACACGGGTCTCCAGCCAGCTTCAATCTTTCTACGTACGTTGACGTACATCGCCATCTGGATGGCCATGATAGTGATCGTCTGACGCACAGCAAAGCATTTTGATTTCTGCTCTGCGTCTCTTAAGGCAAATGAAGGGCTTGTACTTGACCAACTATGAATATAAAAACATAATACTATCTCATCTGCAACACTTGCTTTTGACATGCGATAGGAATAATATCTCCATTCAATAACTCAACCTCTATAAGACGGAACCATATGTACACCAAATGAACCTATATACTCGTACCACCGCAACACCCTCCTCTAATACATAACCACAGCCAACCGATTATTCGAACTAACAGCGACATCCGTTCCAGACAGATTATCGATATAAGCGTTCTTAACCCCGACCTTGTCCTTCAGATAATCCACAGCGTCCTGATTAAATATCTTGCCCACGCTCCAAGGCGTAGCAATGACAGTGGCCCCGTCACTCTCGCGCGTCGTCTTCGCACCGTCGGGCGCACCGCTGACGACGTCCCTTTTGTCGAAACCAACCTCAGAGCTGCCGTCCCCGTCAGTCGGCGCTACCGTCGCCGCGCCGTCACACCCCGTCTGCAAGCTGACATCGCCCCACGCGTTGCCGTCGGTGGCCTTGATCTGCACCTCGACCCACGTCGCCGGCATGTCCGTCGCGCGGACGATGCGGCCTTTGAAATCTGCACCCAGTGACACCGACGCCGTTTGGGAGGGCTGCACGGTCACCTTTGTTACCATATTTGTACATGGGATGCCGGGGTCTGCAGTGCCGTCACCGTTGGCAACGTTATTACAGAAGAAATAGGTCGCCTCTTTGTCTGAGGCATTGCTTAGATCTACGCCTGGGTCGGAGCCGGCGCGGGGGCGGAGTACGGCGGCTGTAGTGAAGGAAGCCAGGGCAGTGAGACCGGTAAGAATGGTGTTGGAACGCATGTTTGCTTTGGGTGTGATAAGTGTGGGTATCTTAGAGTGATCGAATGGCTCTTTGGATAAATAAAACGAAGGAGATATGACCCAAAATGAACGTGGGCCACCAGGGCGACAATGGCATTAATGACTGACAGAAGACAGAGGGCTGGATAATTAATCAACTTGGCAGATATCATGGCGATCATGATTTTATATACAATTGAATCTTGTGTCGCTTGAGCCTTGATCATGGTGGTGGTGGCGGCGGTCGATGTAGCATGGCCTCGGCCAAGGGCCACCATCAAAAACGGTGACCATATATCCCTTACAGTCTCGTCGCTGAGACCCTACCCCAGGTCAAGACCGCTGTCAACTTCATCTAACATCCTATCAACGTGTATCAGTTTTACATACGCGTCACTAATAGTAGACTCCTTTGGGTACTTCTTTCAGAGTCGAAGATGAGCTTATGGTTGGATATATCGCCTTTGTTAGGAACGCTTCGTGATACAAAGTCCACCCATGTAGAGAAGACCGACAGACGATGAGTGTTGTCTCTCTGCTGGAAACTCCAGACAAATTTCTTGCGATCATACCGGAAATTAGACCAGGAAATGATGACTACGGAAGGGCATGCACCTTTGGCCTGGGTGGACCCAGTTTGACGAGGCCAGCCGTTCCACCTACCAAATCTATTCTCAACATCTGGCGACCTGGAAGAGCAAATAACAGCATCAGTTATAATTGTTTCACGAGGAAACCAAACGGCCCTTCCAGGCCACCAAATCGGTGCGCGAATGCTCCGGTGAACCAGAAGTCAGAGAAAGTTGAAGGGTTTTACTGATAGCCTGCGGGATGTGAACTCCGAATCGCAGCTCTCCGCTCTCCCAAATTGACCACACCGCCTAGCTAGTCCATAACTCAGTAGCTGTCATCTTACGAATGAGCGCGTCCTCCTTGAGATTTGCTGCTCTTGATTGCGCTCCTTCATGTACCTGGCTCATCAGCTGATGGTGTCACAAAAGCTGTGGCGGAACGCTGAGAGCCATCATTGGTGCACCTATCACGAAAGCACGCACTAACGTGCAGAATAGTCTCCGAGGATCAAGATGTCATGGGTTTAAGCGGCCAAAGAGAAACAGAGCAGTCAGCAACAGCTCGCGCCCAGGTTGATAACCGTCTCGTTCGACTAGAAGAGAAAGCGAGACGACAGCAAAACCGTCTTTGGGGGCTGTCGAACGATTCTGGACCTAATCGTACTGCTGACGCGAGTACCACGTTTCAGGGCCTTCAAAAGCTTGGCTCCCCATTGCTCATTCCAGTCATCGACCCAGCGTGATGGATTCGGCGGCCCGGCGGCCCAGGAACAGACCTAGTCTCGTTTCCCCGTCTGTCAGCCCAGCCAAGCCCGCCGCCGTCTGTCCGCGGCTCGGGATCAAGAGGGAACCAATTACAACATTAAACAAATTGTTTCTGCCATGAAACAGTATTGTTAGTATGTTTCTAATTGTTTGGCCTCCAGAAAATTGCCTCGTAGCACTGGGCGCCCCCACCCATGGCCATGGCGCCAACCTATTCCACATCGACCTCGCTGTTTCATAACTATCAAGACCATCGTCCAAAAGATCGCCACACAACACAGCTTGGGCCATCAGTATAACTGCCGATTGAGTCCTGCAATTAGATTTAGAGGTCTGTCTAGTCATGTTTTCAGGAACGAACGGGTGCAGTTCCACGACCCCCTTGAGGGAGGCGTATCCTACACCCACCTGAAGAAACAACGCGCGGAAATTACTTATTGTTATTTTCGATATTCGAAATTTGTATTTCAGACTGAATTCAAACTTTTGATCATTTATGAATTCGTCAGAAGGGACAAGGCCCAGTATGACCGCACGTTTGCCCGCCTCTGGGAGTGACTGCTACCAGGGGTTCTCATTGACGGTGCTGGCATTGCTTCACCGCGTGCTAAACAAAGTATCACGAGATTACGACCAAACGGCTCGGTCTGAAATGTGCCTTCCATCTGCAGATATGCATTTTCCGGCGACCGCTTGCGCGTTGATCCTAACATCTTCAACTCACAATTGTTCTAAGGCGGAACTCTCGCCCAAGCCATTCGTAACTCGGTCAGGCAGGCGCATGGGGCTCTTCGTTTGAATATGGAAGATCCTAGTTGCCAGCTGGTTGAAAACTTGAAATCGATTATCAAATGTACGCATGCGCAAGGTCGTTGGGCACAGGGCTGCTTGGTGTGAGACGTTGCTGTAACATAACGATGGAGTTCATACTCTAGGAGTCGTAAGATGTACAAAATTTGCCACCCAGAAAGAAGCAGACTGATTCGGCGTCTATTAGATGAAGAGGCAATCGAGTCTCGCGCGCTGACTGTAGGCTATCCTGTGATACAACACTTTCTAGATTGTGCGGACCATCTGTGATTTCCTACTTGATCGAGTGATAACAAGACTTCAACTCACTGCCCAGATCCTCAAGCAAAGACCGGAATGGGAACGCCATCCTAAGAAAAGCAAACAAGCCTTTCATTAGTGATAGCACCAGTTTTGGTTCCTAGATAATGGAGCGAAGTCCCAAGCAGGGAAAGACTGGTCAACCACCTGCCCCGATTATCTATGTATCTTCACTTAGGAAGTTTGTGATTGAGAGTCAGTTTTAAAAAGCACCAAGCACCTCGCCCGTACAGATACCCCTCAGCTGAAGCCATCATATTTTGAGCACAGTTTCTATGGGAGAACAATGTTGCCCATTCCCAGAGTTGTCTCGACTGCAGGAAATTATCTTCCCATCTTGATCGTGTAGGGTTCTGAGACTGCCTGTCAGGGCATAACGCGCATTTAAGGCCTGAAAATAGCCTTGTAATCGTTGTCCGACGGGGCTCCAGTACTGTTTCCATTCTCAACAAGCGATGTTATTCAAACCTCCGGAGAATCATTCCATGGCTGGAATTGACTTGTGAAATCCCCGACCTGGACATGGTTAATCCATTCACCAACGCGTGGTATCGGCCCAGGCAGGAGGATTAGGCAGAACCACCGCTAGCACTCACAGGCTAACCCGTTCAAGACAAGGAGCTTTTACTCTATGGTTGTCAAGCTGAATCCAAATCTACAAATTCATGGTCTCCCGTACATTCTCTTTCTTCAATTCAACACTATATCCTTTCATCCTTCATGGTATCCGCCACTGTGAAATTGGTGCTGCTTCATGATGCTCCCCCAACTCAAGATTCACGTCAACGGCTCAGCTTCTGTGTTTCGTACAGCAGAGCGCGGAGTGCTGCATATCGAAATCTCCTCTACAACCACCACTCAGAGTGAAGCATCTTCCAATGTCAGCAGCACCACCGAGACCGTGATCAATACCTTCCGCCATTTTGCACCCAAGACCGAGGACGGCCTGTATCCTCATGCCTCAGCGGGAATCACAGCCTTCTCCGCGTCCGCCCCGGAAACTTCGACCTTCATCCCAAGAGACAAGAATGGCAGGGAAATCAGTCAGTGCGACCCCTTTCCCGCTACGGCTGCCTGTCTGTCTTTCACTAGTCTTCCAGAACAAATAGTTTCGGGTTCCGTAGCAGGTCACTAACTCATACCAGAATCCGCGCCGAAGGAGTACACTGCCACGACGACGGCTGAGGTCATCTTCCGCGACATGGAGCTCCTCGCGCGCCTCGCCACCGAGCTATCGGCCATGGAGAACGTCAGTATCACGCAAACCGAGTGGCGCCTGACCGACGCCACCCACATCGCCATCTGCCGTGAGGCTCGGGTGAATGCCATGAAGGACGCTGTGCAAAAGGCCGAGGACTATGCCGGCGTCGTCGGACGCGAGGTGGTGGCCATCAAGGTTGAGGACGGCCCGGCCAATGTTGCTCATTCTGGGCGAACGAAGCAGACCGCGCGACGGTGGGGTCCCTCGCAGTTGGCTCAGGCTCCCGCACCTACCCAGGCTGCCCGTGCTGCGGCCCGGATGGACCAGGGTCTGACGATCCAGGGTCCTGCGCTGGAGCCGAGCACAATCACAGTTAGTGCGCGAGTGGATGTTCATTTCGTGTCGAAGGATGGGAAACCAATTGATAATAACTCAATCGGTGAAGACGACGAGGAAGACATGTCTGACTGATAATGACTGATTCGATTAAATATTGTTTGATAGAGTCGAGGGAACTGTGGACCGAGAAGGAGCCAAGAAGCAGGCGTGTATATGACCAGAAGAAGTTGGAAAAAACAGTTCCATTAGTCTCGAATGAGTGCTTTATCAATCGACTCAATCGGCTTCCACAAAAGAAACTCTTTGAGATCTCTATTGTCGATTATGTGTGGGTGCCTCGCAACAGATATTGGTATGATCCTACTGAAAGGCCGCGCGCTATCTAGCGTCGCGAAGGCATAGTAACCTCAGTCGACGCTGCGAGTTGTGAGGGACGAAATTAAGAGCTAGCTGTTTATGGCAGCGAGAAAGAGGATCATGCATCTCTCATGCATGTCGTAATCACGTGTGTAAGTGTAAGCAGAGAGATGAGGGGCAGCACAATGCTTGCGAGCCTTCCTAGCCATGACAACCCATCTCAGGCTCTTAAGAGTGAGCAAGTAACAATGGACAGGGTACTCTTTGGAAGACAACTTGAGGCTTGTAGGACGAAGATGGAAGATGTGAGCTGGCTTGAGATTCTCAATTACTCGGTACGTTTTCCATGCAGGCGTCTTTTGCTCATCGAGACTCGTATCTCAGGCCTAGGACTTTTTGCACTGACTAACTGATTTCTCTGTGCAGGATCCGAAAATCAGTACGGCAGAGAATCTCTCAGAACTAAGATCAAATGAAGCTCTCATGAGCTTTCTGAAGCGCGAGGTATGAGATCCGGCAGTAAGGCAAGGCTGTGGTTGAGATGGCCGGAATTGGGATCTGGAGCCAAGCTGAGCAGCCATGTCGTAGCCTCCATTTGCGTCTCGAGACTTGGAAGATGGCGTGTGTCTCAAAGATGGGATAAGACTAGTGTAAAGTTCCGTTGTACATTGTCTTTCACACGGGGTTGCAACTGATATATCACTCGTGTGCAGTCTCCAGACCAGAGCGAAGGATGCCGAAGCTTTCTCTCCCGGTGTTATATCGCTAGAGAAGTCCTCATACAGACAACTTATACGAGAGTTCCAACTCTCTTTTCGTTCCCTGGATTCTTGTAGTGCAGTTGGGCCATGTTTCTGGTGGATGAATGTCGGGAATAACCTTCGTACGTCCCACAGCCTTTTTTTTTTTTAGCTTATTCCTCGCAACGTGCAAGGGCATGTGGGAAACGATGGTGATTTCTGACCTAAACCGTGCTACTTCTAATCCATTTTAGAACTTATCTTTCGCAAATCCGACGTAGAATGGGTGGGCACCTCCAGGGGCTGGGAAATGTTACTGTCATACTCCTTCGACACTGGACTGACATCCGGTTACGTAAAGGCGACGGAGAAGATGAGTTTCAGGGACGTTCTGGACGACTTGGTATTTTGTGGCAGACCTGTCTCCCATCCCCTGCTCCTACCCGTCCTCACCTTGTGTAACGAACTATCCTCCAACAACGACAAAAAGCATAGAGAGCAAAGAATTGAGCTTCGGAGACTGGAACGCGCGCTGCTTTCTCGGTACGCAATGGCCCCAGCAGCCCACTACGGGCCTGTGACGGACCCGGACCTTGACAAGATCAGCAAGACAATTGCTGATAGCCAGTCTATTGTCCTCCAGAAGAGGCCGCAAGCATGGCAGAATGTCATTGACAGTGTTAAGTGTGCGGCTGCAGAGTTTTGGGATCATACTCCGGCTTAGAAGAAGAGTCCTGAACTGGACGACCTACATGAAACGCTAATAAATCGGCTTGACTTTTTGACTGTCAAGTTGCAGGGCATCGAGAGCTACGCCCACGTAACCCTGGAAAGGCTTGGTATTCTCCGAGAAGTGGTAGGCAACCCAGTGAAATATTTCTCTGGATGGTCACATCAAGAGTAAATCTCATGTAAGCGCTAATTCGTCGTCATAGGCACATAATATAATCACTCAGAGAGAATCGAGATTGAATCTTGAGATCGCTATTCAACAACAACGCTTGGCGAATGCCAGTGCTCACGAAAGTGCATCAATGAAGACCTTGACACTGTTTGGGTCTTTCTTCCTCCCCGGAACTTTCATATCCTCTGTTTTCAGTATGCCATTCTTTGACTTCGGCAATGGTACGTGGCAGTCTTGTTGCTATCACATCCTTGAGTGACTTTTCAATACGGATCAAAATGCTTCTTAGTACTAATCGTGATCTGCTAGATTTAAACGGACATGTGTCACGAAGCCTTTGGATATATTTCGTGTTGGCAATGCCTTTGACAGCGATAGTCCTGAGTGTCTGGTGGCTATTTGATAGGACTGCTCGGCGTAAACATGACCCAGACAAGGAGGATAACGAAGAAGAGACAAAGATAGCGGCAAAGATAGAGGCTCGCATAATGAGGAAAATTCGCACGAGGACGGGTATCAAAGTAGCTGATACGAACGACTTTCAACGGGCCGGAACTACATCGGGGCAAGTTTAGGGAAGGGAAGTAGAGATCCCTTGTGTAGAGAAACAGTAGTCTTTGAGCTGGTAATGCCAGGGATCTTCTTATTACCGCCTCCAAGATATGTGCAGTAAGCCAGCGTGCTATGAAGTTTTCATCCGTGTCTTCGTTATACACAGACTCGCCAGCTTTATCTTCAAAGGGTGGAAGAGGAAGTTTGGTTGAGGAGCGACAAGACCAGAGCAAGGCGCCTGTCAATACTGGACACATTGCTTTGCTTGCAGTCAGAACCGGCGCAGGGCTAGCATCGTGCTGTGCTTCGTATTGTGGAGCCCGCTCGCCGCGAAACCTCCACTCTCGCACTGTGCGTTGAAGCTTAGGGGACTATGTCTTTGAAGCCACAGAGCTCTCGATGTCCGCACTGTCGCGAGTCGCGACTCGGACTATTCACGTGCTTATTTCCGGCCGACGAAGACATTGTGCGAGTTGGGGTCGTAATCGGAAGGGCGCATTGAGACGAAAACGAAAGAGTGTAATGACATGAAGATACCGGAGCTGTTGATAAGCATCTATGATCGACATCATAGCGGGTCAGTACAACTCTTGTACTCGCCATCATTATTACCGTCCTTTTTCCGGGCGGGAAAAAGTAGACACTTGCATTGCACTAAATTAGTAATTGTGCAGTGCTATAAATCCGTCTAGTAAAAAATTCGGCAAGGTCGTCGCTATTCATCTGTCTGCTTGTCCCTTTGTTGTTCACCGCTCCGAGACCGCCGTGAAGAATTGCCGTCTCCATCTCCGAGGAACAAAACTACCGCTTGAGTCACCTTGCCACTTAGCGTCCAGTCAAACCTTACAATTTCCCCAGTCCAACACCACAAGTCTTCCTGAATCTGCGGATCGGAGGACATTATCTCAGGCCCCGGTAAGCAACAATGCAATCCCTCCGGCAATCTAGACACCTGTTGAGCGCAGTCAGGGCGCAGGTGGAGCGGGATCAAGACAGGGCACGATTGAGGACCCTCGACGCCGAAGACAGCGAGCGGCCAGCGGCAACCAGCGAGGGCCAAGCCGATCCGAAGAAAACCGCCAAGGATGCCGAGTCACAACGCCGCCAGTCCGCCGAGTCCATCCCGCGCCCCCCTTCGTCAAGCAGCAGCAACTCAGGCACTTCTGAGCAAGACTCCAATGCCGCACAGCGCGTGGCCACCGCTGCCACGCAGTACACTGCTCGTGCGGCCCTGGGCCACTCGCTGACGGGTGTGCATGCGAGAGACCGCCGCACTCATGAAGGCAAAGGCGAACAAGTCTTCGTGGTGGGCTGGGAGGGCCCCGATGACCCATTGAACCCTAGGAATTGGCCGGTAAGCAGCTTCTGGGTCCCATTTGAATCATTGAAGGACGTCAACGTACTATCTTCATAGTCTATCTCACTGCTTGCCTCAGAGCTTTTCTTCAGGTTGCAGGTTGTGATCCGAGCCGTGTGAACGCAATGGCCGGGTCCATCTCCGTGCAAACAAGATAACTCTTCCTTGACCTTTGATAGCTAACTCTAGACTCCTCAGTACACGCGCCGCGTGAGTTGCACACTACAGATCTCACTTATCGCCGCCGCCGTAGGCGCAGCATCCGGCATCGATGCCACGGTCCTCCCACAGGCAGCCGAGTCCCTCGGCGTAAGCGAAGTCTCCGAGTCGCTGGCCACAGGTCTATACCTCATTGGCATGGGCATGGGCAGCCTGGTCGCTGGCCCGTTCTCCGAGACGTTCGGCCGCAATGCTGTTTACATCGGGTCCATGGCCGTGTTCATGATCTGGATCATGGCGTCCGGCCTGGCGCCTAACTTCGGCGCGCAGATTGTCTTCCGCTTCTTTGCTGGGTGCTCGGCTTCGACTCCGCTTGTTTGTTCCGGCGGGAGCGTGTCGGATATGTTTGACAGCATTGAAAAGACGTGGGCCTTCCCATTGTATGCGATTGCTGCGTTTGGGGGGCCTATGCTCGGCGCCGTTATGGGTGCGTATATTGGGCCCTCGACGGTCGTAAGCTGGCGGTGGACCGAGTGGACGATGTTGATCCTTTCTGGGCTGGTGGTCTGCTGGGTGTTCCTGCTCATGCCTGAGACCTACTCGCCCCTGCTGCTGAGGTGGAAGGCGAAGCACCTGCGACGTGTGACGGGAGACAATCGTTTTCGATCGGAACATGAGATTGTCAAAGCGACGCTCTTCAGCCGGCTCAAGGTCAGCATGACGAGACCGTTCCTCATGTTTACCGAGCCAATTATCCTCGCTATGACCGTGTACCTGTCGGTTGTGTACATCGTGTTATTCACTTTCCTTATTGGATGGCCCTACATCTTCGAGTACACTTACGGCATCTCCCAAGGACTGAGTAACATCATCTTCATCTCGATGTTCGTCGGCCTCCAATTCAGCTTCCTGCTCATACCAATCGTCTACCGGATGACGTTGAAGCAGGTCAAGTTAGCCGAGTCCCGCGGCGAAGGACAGCAATTCAACCCAGAAATACGTTTGTGGTACGCCATGCTCGGCCCAGCCGTGAGCATCCCCGTCTCACTCTTCTGGATGGGCTGGACCGCCAGCCCAAACGTCAGCATCTGGTCGCCCATCCTCGCTGTTACGCTTTTCGGTTTTGGCGTTATGGGTATTTTTATCTGTGCGTACATGTATGTGATCGACTCATACGAGATGTTCTCAGCGTCGGCTTTGACCTTCACTGCGCTGGTGCGATACGTCGCTGCTGGTGGGATGACGGTCGTGGGAATCCCGTTCTACACCAACATGGGCGTGCACTATACTTTGACGATACTGGCGTGCATTTCTTGTGTGCTTGTACCCGTCCCATACGCGCTGTACAAGTGGGGGTATATGCTGCGAAAGAGGAGCAAGTATGCCGTGTCTCGTGAGATCTAGGGTGCTAGAGCACTTTTCCCTGGCATGCCAGGATGTTGCTCTAGCACACGGGACTGTAGGGATACACTTTGCCACGAAACTTTATCAGGGAATAATTGGGAACGGGAAGTGAGACAGGGGCTCGGTCAGTTGGCCGTGTCGCCACAGCTGGATGGTGCGCAAACCTATAGAGTGCAAACATGGAAATAGATTGGATACCCCTTGATAGATTTTTCTCGGCCTGTAAACAAGAAAGCAAGAGGCCAACGCACACGATATTTCACCAAATAGATGAGAATCTTGTACGTGTGTTTGTAATGCGTTCGATTAATGATGTTCGACAAGGTCTAGCCTCGGATTCTATGCAATGCCCATTCCAGATCCCAAAAAACCCAACCAGTCCTGTATGCTCCCAAAATTTCCCAATACTTTGTCTATAGCAAAGTCGATGCAATAACTGCGACGGCAGCAAGGAGCAGGCCGGTGTTCTCGATGCCGGAGAAGCGGCCGGCGGCGTGCGAGGCCTGAACAACGGTAGCACTGTTAGATCCCTGAGAGGCACTTTCGCTCGCGCTAGAAGCCAAAGAAGCAGGGGTCGCATCCGCAGAAGAAGCACCAGAAGCAACATTGGAGGAGGCATCAGAAGAAGCATCGGACGAGGAGGTATCGGAAGAAGCAGAACTCGCAGATGGGCTCGCAGAAGGACTCGCAGACGAAGGGCTCACAGATGAAGGAAGCGCAGAAGAGCCGCCGGAGCTGCCCTTCTCAGCAGTAGTATCGCCACCCTGAGATTTGCCGCCGGCTCCTTGGTCTCCAGAAGCACCCACCGTGCCGTTCTGAGACGCGGAGCTGCCGGAGGTTTGCCCAGACGTGGCAGCCGTACCACCCTGCTGAGAAGAGGCGCTTGAGCTGCTGGACGATGAGGCTGGGGCGGTGGAGTTCGCACTGGTGCTTGGGTTAGGGCTCGCACTAGAACTACTTACCGAGCCGGAACCACCGCTGGACGATGATCCGCTTGAGGACCCAGAGCTCGAGGAGCCCGAGCTGGGCGTGATGGCCGCCTCGGTGGGCGAGACGACCTTGGCCTGGCCGGCGAAGTTGCACGCGGTGCTGGCCTTCTTCTGGTTCGTGTAGTACGAGTTGAGCGCGTGCGTGAGCTGCTGTACCGGGTTGCACATGACAAAAGCGCCGTATTTGCCCGTGGTCGCGTTGGACGTGATGCCCGCGCACGCGGTGGCGTCCATTCCGCACACGGTTCCGAACAGCGTACCGATCTTCTCAGCGTCGCTTGTGACTGCATCCGACGGCACGCAGGACGACGACGCCACCATGTTCTCGCACAGCGTCGCGTTGGGCGTAGGCGGCAGTGCCTCGGCGGCCTCCCACAGGCCGGCCGTGACGGCTGGGCACTGGCGGGGGACATTGGACGCAGTGTACGAGTTCATGGAGATGCTCGGGTTGGCCGTGTCTGCCGCTGTTCCCGCGACGGCAGTTGCAAGAGCCTGGAAGTCCTTTCGGGGTGTGACGGTGGTGCCGGAAACGTCCACGAGACCTGAGCCAAGGTGATTAGCTCTCTCCTCCGTAAATTCTCACGAGCACCGTAGCGACCTACCGAAGTCGTTTTGCTCCTGAAAGAACTCGTACACAATTCCTCCGCTCCAAACCTTGTTCATCTGGTCACTGTACAGCACTCCGGTTTCCTGCCAGACCCTCGACGCTCCACCGCCGGGGTTGTTGCACCCATACTCGGAGAAGAAAGCCGGGACTGAGTAGTTCGCAAAGGCCTGCGTTCGCTCCTCATACCCGCTCGCTTGGAAGGTGCTCTGGCCACACCATTCGTAGATGTTGTAACCCCAGAAGTCAACAGCACTGGCTTGGTCCTGACCGCAGTTGAAGTAGTTGGCCAGGTTATCTCTGGTCTCCGCGTCGTCGTTGGTGGCATAACCAACACCGAGCCAGCGACCAAAGTTCTTGGACTGGATGTACGCCTTGGAATCACGGACTGCGGCCTTGATGAACGCAGAGGCATCGGTGTTGGTCTTGTTGTTGGTGACCTCATTGCCGGCAAAGAAGCCGATCGTGTTCGGGAATTGGCCGAGATTGTCAATGACGCCCTGGTACCGAGCAAAAAGATCCGTGTTCCAGCTAGGGTTGTCACGCTCGATGGACTCGCCGGGCACACTGAGGTCTGCAATCACGTAGATACCTGCGTCCGCGAGGGCATTCATACATACTTGGTGGTCAGCCGTTGGGTCGATGGCATAGACACGGATCGTGTTGGTGCCGAGCTGCTGGAGGAATGGGATGTCGCGCGTGCAGCTTGCTGTGTCCGCCAGCGAATCAATAAACGTGGCCTGGTTGCCCTCTGCTGTGCCGCCAGGGCCGATGCCTTGTTGATAGGCTACGCCCTTGATGAAGAATTGGGTGCCATTTGATGAATAGAAGAAGTATTGACCCTGATCCAGGTTGTTAATCACAAGCAAAATGATTTTCGATGAATACGCGGGCTAACCTTGGCGACGATAGGATCTATCGCAGCTGCCGCGTTTCCTAGTAAGGAGGCGAATATCGCCGTTTTGGTGAAGCTGGAAAACATCGTGCTGTGATCGAATTGTGAGGCGACTTGGCAAAGTCAAGCTTTGGCTTGTCCGCGGCTTAGCGAGCTTGTGTATTAAAATGAGTGTTGCCAGCAATAACACGAAAAGAGCGACAGTCCAGACTGATAGCAGGGTGAAAGGAATAGACTCGCTGATGACGCAGTATCTGCGAGCAAACAATGAAGCGAAGAAAGAAAATGGCGGCTCGGATAAGAGTAGGTAGGTAATCGAAAGAGTCAAATTATTTCATGAATCACCCTCATGAGGGAACCCACCCAGTATTGCCGGACCAGGGAGAATGGCGCCCCGGTAGTATGAGCAAGGTAGCCTTTTCACCAAGCACGAGACACTGCGCCCCGTCGGGTGCCGCAGGCTAGAGTTACCAGTCGATGTCTGACACACTAAGTTGTTGCGGTTGTGCTACTTCGGGAAGAACCAGTCGATTCTGAAACACGGAGCGCCGCCGACTGACAACCATGTCCGTGGGGCTTGCCAGCGCTCATTGGGCGGGCCCACGCATTTTAACTTCGTCTAAGAAGCCGTCAGCTAAATGTGGATGAGATGGAGTCTTCCGCTCGCTCTCGAAAACGGGTCAGATTAGACTACAATAGCCTGTGATTATCACTCTCCACTTCGAAAATCGCAGGTCGATCTAAGAGGATAAGGGGGTGGAGACAAAGAGGAAAACATTAGGGTTAGGAGATTCCAAGGGGCTTGCCATCCCTGCCCATGCCCATACTGTAACAAGGCGACGCCGTTGGGGTGGGACATGTTTCTGAGCGGGAAGCTTGCTTGAGCTTGATCGAAGATCACTTCCTCACTCGATTCATGGTGTTTTCATTGTGCCCCAACGGCTTGCAAGTTGCACCGCTGCTCACCGAATGGCTCAATTATCTCACGATGAGAAAGGTGGGCCGAAGCAATATCCGAGTCAAACATTCCCTCGGATTCACCATTTTCCAGCACGAATCCATTCGCGTTGGTCATCAGCACCATTCGTTCAGGCGAGCAGATTAGGTGGATACAATCTTGAGGGGCCGCAAATTACTTCCTTTCCCGGGCCACCACGACACCCACTATCGCGATCTTGGTTGTGACGAAAGACAGTGAGTGCCGTCTTGCAAGCGACTGGTACTGCGAAGTTATTGCACAACGATTCCGGCCCAAACGACGACCTTGCAGTGGCTGGCACTATAACCACTGCACATGTACTCTGGTGTACAAGTTTCTTGACTGATCACTTATGAACTTACACCAAGTGAGAGTCACATTGGTGCCCTTAGCTGTAAAGGGTAATATCGAAACCTTGCTGTGTGGCCATGAGCAGTCTTTGTCATCGATCCTCTCTCGTCGTGCTGTTGCGGTTGTCAGAGTCGATTGAGGGTCTGGACTCTACCCTGGACTCCGAAGCATAGACGCGTACATTTCGAAAGCCTCCCCAACAATGTGAACAAGCTCCCTGGAACTTCTCTGACACACATAACTCGCCATTCGCAAGACTCCAATAGCAGCATTCAGTGGGCCAGTTGTGTCGTGCAGTTCCCCTAGGTCAACACATCGCGCACCTTCCTGAACAAGTTCTCCCACGGATTGAATGGTTCGCCCATCATCCTCTGCGCAATCAATCTTAGCTTGAACTCTTTCTTGTTCCCCAAGGAAAGCTGCTTACCTGTCATGCTCTGTTCGTTGACAGCGGCGGCCATGAGCAGCAGCCACTTGAACAGAGATATCAACAACTTCACGGCGCAAAGGAAGTCCTGATAATCGATGCCAATGCTCCAAGAAGATTTGCTAGTCCCAAGACCTGTCGATACCTGTGTGTCTAAGATATCGATTGCGCAACGCAGTGCATGAGATATCCGAATGCTTTGGGAGGGCCACGGTAGCTCATGTAGCTCGGCTGCTAGTTGTGTAGAATCTTGTGAGGCCAAACAAAGCTGTCCAATATTCAGATGCAGTTGCGCGCAAGCTAAACCGTCGAGTGCGTACATGTTGGGATCTTTTAAGGAGTGCGTGATGGAATAGTTTCCCGTGAACGAGGATAGGCCAGACCTTGGTGCGAGATTTCTAGTCAACGGGAGAGAACGGGTCCTAGGAACAGGAATCAAAACGAGATAGCCGGCGGGAAATAGAAAGAAGGGAAGCTGACTGTATCTTCGTTTGGGCGTCTTGCGGCATCTCTGGGAGGGTTTGACGAAGTAGTTGTATCCACTGCAAAATGCAATGAAAGATGGTATGTTTCCATGAAAAGGCGATCGAAACGATGCATCCGTTTCGCCGGCAAGTACGGACTCCACGACGCTGGATGCCAATGACGGCTCACTATAGGTTCTGTTGCGAATTTGCAACCACTCTTCCCCGCTCGAAGCATGCCATTCTTGCGCCGAACACGGCGAGGAATTGGAAAAGTGGCTGAATAGCACAGGAGCTGGGAAATCGAGGGTCATGCTCACAAGGTCCAGTACACAGAATGCGGCGTGCTGCACTCGCCATCGGCTCTCGAGCCCTGCCCACTCCTGCCACCATGGAGAATCGCTTTCTGACCATCGGACTTTGAAAGGGATTCGCGCAACTCTTGAGCGAGAACACCTTGTAGAAACCACATCAATTCCATTGTGGCCTGATTTCGGCTTTGGAGTACGAAGATGGTAAGGAGAAGCTGAGGCAGAGCCTGTGTGGAGACTCGTCGAGCCACATGCCCTCCTCGACCGTAGCTTTCGCCGTCCGCGTGCAGAGTCAGACTTGGGCTGCAACAATTTGGCCACTGAAGTTTTGCCATGATCCATGGCGCGCGTTTGACATGACCACTACTGAGTCAAAGAAATAAAGTGCTGCTTTGGTGTCAAGGCACGTCTCCGCGCCAAGCGCAAGCAAGGCAAAAGTCAAGTCAGATGACAGATCCGACAACCGCACCGCATGAGTGTGAAACAGAGGATACCGCTGGTGGAAACCATCCAAAAATGCCTGAATATAGCGGGCGAGACTCTTTCTTGATGGGAGTGGTTCACGGTCCCAGCCACGGCGTATCAGCGATTCTTCCAAGTGCTGCCGGTAACCAGCAGTTTCTGGTAGCCTAGTATCAGTCCATCAATTATCCATGCTTATATCCAGGGCGGGATATCTCCTTCTAGATTCAACTTTGAAGAAATTCTGGTGCTTTTGGGCAGTGCTTTCGTTGTCCGAAGCAGGAAAGGCGCTTTGATCCACGAAAGGGGGGTGGGTTGGTGGGTTGGCCCGCTCCAGCAGATCTTGTAGCTCTTCAAGGGCCCGTTCGTGGTACGAAAGGTGCCTCGCCGTCAGGCCATTCCTATAAATCTGCGAAGAGATCCCTTAAAGTCGAGCTGATAACAACCGTGAAGTGATCACCTGGTTCTTCTTGGCAGCCAGCGAGTAAATTTGGCAAAGCCGCTCGATTGTTGTAGCGGGCATTGGTTGATGATGGGCTGCTTCATATTAAGAACAGCTACTAGCAACAAGAACAATCATGAGTCGCGCATAAGTGATTGTCTATATTCTATCTGAACAGGACTTTGTATAACTAAACCGACTGTAACGAAATACTTACAAGTGGCGTGAACTTTGCAGGCATCAATACACATTCAAGCCAACTTCGCCATTCGTTCACAATGGGCAATCACACCAACCCCCTCATGTCTTTCAAACATTCAATAGCAAAAGCCCTGACAATGTTGCTCATAACACAGTGCAGCCTTGCTTGGTCCGTCGACACACTTTGGCTTCGAGGCGCCACGGATCTGCTAAAGCGTCGAGGGCCTCCAGATCCACCAATCCCGGTGATTGATGGCGTGCAGTCCACCAAAAGATACATCAGGAACCCAGCGCAGAACCAAGGCGCCTTCTGGTCTGGCTTCCCGTCTCCCCTCACGCAGTCGGCCGCAGCCGCCGCCGGTTTCCAAAAGCTCGAGCAATCCGTGGCTCCCGAAATCCTCAGCCACCCGGACGCCAAGTTGGACAGTGCCAACTCCGGGCAGTTCTGGACGTGGATGTCCGCTGGGTTTTCCGAGACTCTTGTTGAGAACGGCCACAACGAAGTCACAGTTCTTCTACGGGCGCCCAACCGATTGCTTACCGGCCCAAGTGATCCATTCTAAGATGGGAGGATGCGCCCCAATGCTAGTAGGCCATACGTTATCTCGCATAAGGCAAGCAACTAAAGATCCCTTCTAGACTGGTCTCTGACCGAGTTCCCCATCATGCGGCAAATAACATCCGAGTGATGGCCATGCAACCCGGCGAGAATGGCCGTCCTGGCACCTCGCGTTACGAGATCTGGCCGAACGACCAAGGCTACGTTTGGCAGCGGAATTGGGGTGGTGGGGAGCAACAGCCCGAAAAACTGCAGTACGGCCCTGGCGAGGACTCCGTCCTCGTTACGTGTGAAACAGCGATCGATGAGAGCGCCTTTGAGGTCGGCTGTCCCAGTGTACCAGAATCCCTTGAACCGTAAGATAACCTACTATCACAGCCATTTTAGAGATAATCTACTAACTCTGGCTCTATAGTTCGCTCCTTGGCGGATAGTGTAACTACACTGTCGAAGCTTCTGTCAATCCTCAGGTCAACACTTTTAGTATTACCAACTCCTTGACGACACTTTCTGTCAGGTTGCTCGTCACCTGCTTCTCTACCACTTGCGGTTCCGGTACCAGGCCGCCGCGAAGCGTTCTGTCAGAGGCGACCCTGGCACACAGAGCCGCTATCTCAGAAGCCCACCGATTTGATGTCATGGCAGGTTATTGGGTAAGCCTGTCATACTTGCCGTGCCATGGCAGGTTTGCGAGATTTCGAAACAGGCTGTGAAGTGTTGTTTTCTACTGCTATACGGCCTTTGAACATCGAAGAGATTGAATTTCTCCGGAACATAGTTTTAGTTCATGATACGATATTCAGGAATGGGTCGACAGCCTGTGTCTTTGTATTGAAAAGCGTGTGTACTTCATTCTCTATTCCTAAAAATATAAAAAGCGTTGAATTCATACTTGCTGAACCTTGCTCTTTCACTCCAGAATACTGATGAGAACCTTGGATAACTTCCGCACGTCATTTGTACCGGCCAGAGTCGGCCACCGGGCTCACAACTTCAATGTGGCTGCGTTCTCTGCTTGCATGCTCACCTATGCCGCTCGCTTGATCACGGCTCTTTTTTGTAGGGGTCCCTGGCCAAGAGCAGCGTCGGCCAGTAGTAGGGTGGGAAATATTTTCACCTTTATTCACGACCGGTTATCAACCACCGCAGACTGCCGGGCCAATAAGCACAATTCGAATTGTCGTTCAGTGTTGTAGTAATGGCCAAATGCGGCTGCAATCTGTCCTGCCTTAAAGGGGGTTGGAGGTTAAATGATGGCTATCAGGGATACTCTTGCGTGACCAGCAAGGTTTAGGCTACTCAACACCCCCTTACGTGGATACTCTCTTATCCGATTTATTCAACAAGACGGCTTGTCGGGTGCTGCAACCCCGGAAATGTGACGGTGGAGATCATGCACCTTCATGATGCAGACGCACGCCTCGGAAGTCGGTTGAATACCAGTTATGGAAAAAGGGGTCCACCCCGTATGCAAGCTGTCTGGATGCCGGGCACGCTGCATACAAACCCCTCAGTGTTAAGGGTATGGGCGGAGTCGGTCTCAAGGAGCGGTAACATAAAAGCCAAGGCAGTTCGACTTACGGGAGACTCGGAAAATCATCTCATTGTGTCCAAAGCCTTCTCGTAAGCTGTATAACCAAGAGCTTGAACTATATCTAGGTATTTCAGCATGGCTCCATCACGCCCCAATATCATTTTTATCATGGCGGACGATCATGCGGCGAAGGCAATATCGGCCTACGGAGCAGGCATCAACCACACGCCCAACATCGACCGACTCGCAACCGAGGGCATGAAGTTCAACCATTGCTACGTCACCAACAGCATTTGCACCCCGTCTCGCGCCGCAATCCTTACAGGTACACACAACCACGTGAACGGTGTTATGACTCTGGACTCCAAAATCAACAAGCACTTCCCCAACGTGGCCAAGCACCTCCGTACGGGCGGGTACCAGACCGCAATGGTGGGAAAGTGGCACCTGGGCGAAGGCGCCGACCACGAACCAAGCGGGTTCGATTACTGGAGCGTCCTGCCCGGGCAGGGCGACTACTGGGACCCAGAGTTCATCGAGGCCGACGGCTCGCACGATCTAACCGGCTACGCCACAGACATCATCACCGAGAAGACACTCGGGTACATCAAGGCGCGAGACAAGTCGCGGCCGTTCTTTGTCATGTGTCACCACAAGGCACCACACCGCAGTTGGGAGTGCCACGACAAGCACAAGCACTTGTACAAAGACAAGATCAAGATTCCGGATACCTTCACGGATGACTACAAGAACCGCGCGCGGGCGGCCAAGGTTGCCAAGATGCGCGTTGCGGAGGACATGACTTACTTCGACCTCGGGCTCGCGCAGCCGGACGGCGGAATAAACAAGGGCGAAAGGGTCTTTTCTGCGCTAGGCTTTTCCCAGCGGAAGATCCCCGCCCCCACCGGCGACGCCTTGAAGAATTTCAAATTGATCGATATTGAAGACGGGACGGTCTTCCGATTCAAGGACGAGGCGGAGCTAGCTGAGTTCAAGTACCAGAGATACATGCAGCGCTACTTGCGCACAATCCAGTCTATTGATGACAGCGTGGGTGAGATCCTCAACTACCTCAAGGAAGAGGGAGACGGGCTCGACGAGAATACCATTGTCATCTACACGTCTGACCAAGGCTTCTTCCTCGGCGAGCATGGCTGGTTCGACAAGCGGTTCATGTATGAAGAATCGTTCCAGATGCCCTTTCTGGTGCGGTACCCTGCCGAGATAAGGGCCGGGACTGTATGCGACGATATCGTCAGCAATGTCGACTTTGCGCCGCTGTTTCTTGACTTCGCACAACTAAAAATGCCGAGCTACATGCAGGGTTTCTCGTTCCGCAGTCTCCTGCGTGGTGAAACGCCCGCCGATTGGCAGCAGGTCGCATACCATCGATATTGGATGAATAACGACAGCATCCATGCGGCGAGGGCGCATTATGGTGTCAGAGACCAAAGATATAAGTTGATCTACTGGTATAATCAGGACCTTGGGGTACCAGGCGCTCGGCCACCTAATGAGGGCGAGGAGGAGAGGGAGTGGGAGTTGTTTGACTGCCGTGACGACCCTTTGGAGTTGTTCAATGTATACAATGAGCCGCAGTATGAGGATGTGGTTAGACGGATGACTTTGATTCTTGAACGGAAGATGGCGGAGATCGGTGATGAGCCGGTTCACGAGAGCAGGACTGTTGAGGATTCATTCCTTGCCAACTCGACACTGCACATAGATGTTCAATGGCAATGAAAAATATCTAGATAGCGGTCCAAATCTTCCATCCAATTTTGTCAGAATTCACGCAACTTCGGCCAGCTGTATGTTGACATTGCCAAGGAGTCCAACCAATTGAGCATCACGTAAAACGATGTCGCTGATCTAGTAATTTACTCTCTCAACTTCAATGAATTTACTTGGAATCAATAGTTGTATGGACTGGACCTTGCATGAATGAGTGTAACAGCCTATATCAGTCATGAAGCCATCCCCGGTAATTTTTGCCACTTATAATGTGACACGACCCGGGCGTATCTACACATTGCACGGACATCTGGGAACGAACCCCTGTCAGTAATCGTTGACTCACGGAAATTTTGCTGATTCCAGCTAGATACTGAATATTTCGCCTTTGACACTGTTTACTGACACTGTTTACTGGCACTTGTGCAAACAAGACTAATAGTCAGCTCTTTCCAACCGAGCCTGCCGAGCCAACAAGCAACGAATCCAGCAAGCGGCCGACACCCGACGCCACAATTCCGAACATGGGTCCAAGTGGACGGCCCGCACATTCGTGATCGACCCGCCAGATGACGAACGCGGGCACGATGTGGGGGATCCCCTGCGTCTACATCCATACCGCACATGTCTGTATGCACGCTTATCAGGAATGGCTTCGGATGTCCGCTTCGACGCGCATGCAGTCCCTTGGCAACCAACCTTCTGCCCAGCGTCGGACCTCGCTGGATAGAAGGGAGGCAGGCCCATCAGCTGTCTAGCAGGTGCATGTTATTGTGCCCAGGCAGGCAGCCAGCCAGATAGATGAGCTGCTGTGGTGCTGCTGGAGAGGTGATGTGCTTTTAGCTAGCATGGCGCCAAGGTTTGTGAATCAATTTGGCAGGAGATAGGGGTGGAGCTGAGCTTCGGCTCGGCGGCGTTTCCCTTTGCGTCTTGGCCGAGATGGTGTGCGATTTGGGGGTTTTGACTGAATTGGCGGAAATCCACTGTGACGTGTCATGGGTTGTCATCTGAGCAGCTCTGTTGACTAATTAGTGCCGGCAAATGTGTGCGTGATCGATCACTCTGGCACGAGGCTGGGATGTTGAGCGAGGAGTAAAGTGGTGCAGTGAAAGCTTCACGTCTGAGCAGACGACATTTCAATTCGAAGGTAGAGTCGCGCGGAAACATGGTAGAATTTAGAAATCTAGAAGAAAATGCAGTGGTATCATTGAATCCAACCAAATGAAATCCCAAGAACCTTTGGCGCCTATGACCTGACATTCAGGAATGCAGTAGTCCCCATACCATTCCATGACATTCCTTCCTAGGCACCACATCTAACCCATCATTTCCCCCGCCACTGTAGGTGCGCCCTCCCATCTCTGAAGCCACGGGAAAGAAAAGCTCGGCGGCCCACCACCAGCATGGGGTTTCGAGTCCCACCGGTCGGCCGAGAAGCCATTGTCGAGCCAGCCCGACTGCCACGGCTCACTTCCTCCCCCATCTGAGGGCGACGATGTCCTCCTCGGAGACAATATAAACCCCGTTGACGGCGGCACCGTTGGCATTTCCAACGACGCTATACCCGGTAGTCGTGGACTGGTCTCCTTCGACGCGATCGCAGCGCCGGCGGCCACGCTGCCCCTCCGGATTTCTTCCGGCGACGAGGGCTCATCATCTTCAGCAAAGTCCGCCTGCCGCAGGAGGCTGTGTATAGCCAGCCTCTGACGCACCCTCGCTGCGGCACTCAGGCCCGCACTGGGGTCCTTCCCGCCACCAGCCGCGGGCCCAGGGCTTGCAAGCCTGCTCGGGACGGTGGCAGCGCCTCTGGTGGAGAAGACCGAGATGGCCCTCTTCATCTCCTCAAGGACTGGTCTCGCGAGCCTGCTCGACGGGAAGAAGCGCCGCAGTGCGGCGAGGCACAGCTCGGCTCGGCTCAGGGCCCACTCCTCGGAGGGCTTGTCGGGTGACCGGGAGAATTGTGCGATGAAGAGGAGTATCCGTGTCGCGTGATATCCGCAGATGGCGGTGTCGAATTCCAGCGGCTGGGCCTTTTGGCTGACTTGATTTAGTGTGGCGAGAATGTCGACGATGGCGGTCGCGTGCTGGAGGCAGAGCTGCTCGGCTTTCTCCAGGAGGATGGGCTCCACTGCGTCAAGCACCACAGCCGGAGCCGCCTCGCGGTAGTTCCTGACGAGAAGACGGTAGAGGTCGCATTGAGAGTGGTGGAAGGAAAGGTGGACTAGGATCTGGCGAGGCAGCCAGGGGCTGTCGAGGAGCCCAGATATCCTCTCGGCAGTTAGGGTCGGTCCACCAGGAAGTTCGGCCCCTATACGTGCGAGGTGCTGCTCGAAGTCGTGCATCACCGTCGATAATTGTGGGAACGTCGTATCACACAGGGAGAGGGACCGATTGAGCTTCATGAGGTCTCGCCGTAGCATCTCCAGGCGTACACATAGATGATAAGAGCCGAAGTCGCAAGTTTGGAGTGTCCGTTCCGTGCTGTCCGTCCGCGTGTCGCTGAATTCCTGTTCCCAGCAGGGCAGCTCGAGGTAGACGTTCTCCACGGGGCAAAGTTCGAATTCCGGTAGTCCTGTCGAGAAGTATCGCTCGACCAGTTTTAGGCTCCACATCACGCGCCTCCTCACCTCCTGCGACGTCCTGCTCCCTGTAGACCCCTCGCGTTCGTGGTTGAGCCGCATTGCAGCTGCAGCACGGGCTGCTAGGGCCGACAACATGAAGGCTCGCTGGAATGCACCAGTCTCTACCCTGTAGAGGATGATCAGGAGCAGTGACTGCAGACGCGGCACGGACGGAGACTCGAGATGTTTCCAAATCAGGTCTTCCGCGGCTTGTACCCACGACAGCTCAGCCTGCTCTCTGCGCTGTGGAGAGCCCCGATGGTAGCTGGCAACAGCTGCAATGGCATACGACAAGCTAGTCTCTAGCTGGCCATTGCTGCATTGTCGGATGGTTGTCTGTGGGTGAAGGAAGGCATATGAGGACAGGGGGTAGACGTGAGCAAAGTAGAATTCCACGAGCACTTGCATGTCAGGAGGGAGTAGCGATGGTACTTGGGGTGGCTGCGAGACCGAGACAGTTGCTACCTCTATACTCGTAGTCCCTGGCGTCGTCGGTGTTGGTGATGCACTCGATGCGTCCTCGGTGCTGGTCGTGCTTTCAGCCGCAGCTGGAAACACCGAATCCGTAGGCGTCCCAGCTGTGCTCCCTGGTCCGGTGGTGGTACGGCTACTTTTTCGTCGACCATCTGTGCCATAGACACAAGTAACTACTCTCTTCTTGCAGGCCAGACAAGGCGTGCCGCCTGAGCAGCGGACCTTGTGTTGGCGGCATGCAATGCAGGCTTTGCTCGTCCTCCGCCGCTCCACGGGCCTATCCGACGTAGGACTTGGATGGTCAGAGGGCTCGCCCTCTGTCGTCGACGTCGGCGTTGGTGGTGGCAGAGGTGTGACAAACGAGCAGGCAAATTTGAGCCTGTCGCAGTCACCGCAGCCTTTATCTCCACGCGTTCCGTCGCAGCGGACCTTGCGAAAGCGGCACTGCTTACATGTCTCTTTTGGCTGGCGACCTGTGGCGCTGAAAGTTGTGACGTACTGCTCCATGATCATTGTTGAAGTTAAGTTGTTGGCGTCGTCGTCGATGATTGATTGCGCGGCGACAGGTCCATTCCTTGTTGATGCTCCACTGCGCCGCCAGGAAGTGGTTTGTTTTGGGCGGGAAGGGCAGTCAGTGATGTGAGGCTGATACTCTCGTGGGCTGACTGGGTGTCTTTTCCTGGAAAGGTGCACACCGAGGAACAGATAGAGTTACAGGTCACCGTATTGTGCATATCCGAACGGTGGGTTCTCGAGAATCCTTTGCTGTGTGCTCTCATATTCCTGCGGTGGGACCCCGCATTCCGCCTATGATACCATCTCGAGCGATAATTGCGAATTTGACGAATCTGCATGCCGACACCAGGCCCGGGAACGACGCCATATATGAAGGTAAGGAGGCTTTCCAAAAACCCCTTCCGCCAATCCAGAAATCTCACCCACCCACTGGCCGTCAAGCGATAAGCTCTAAACGACTCGCACCAACTGGCAATCTCGGAGATAGAGTTCCGTGTTCCCACTGCCATGACCTCGGAAAGCTCAGAAGCGGACACGATCCGCTGGATTCTGGCCCCGGAAGTCCATAGCCACAGTGCTGCTAGAGGAAGATCATCCGGTTGCTAATCCATAATGGAGTCTAGAACTGTAGGGCTTGACAGATAGTCCCCGAAGCCAAAGACGCCAGTGTCATGACAGCCGCTGATGAGGAGATTGCCGAAGGGGGGTGCTGAATAAATTACGAGAATTTGCTTGCGCCACTAGTCCTCTCCCGCCCCACCACTCAGCGTGGATTGACACTATCGTTGTATCGAGGTCATGCCAAGCCCGGTACTGGTTACGGCGGCTGATGTTACCAAAAGTAGCAGATGAATACCCCCTTGGAGGCCGCCTCTACCTAGGTACACACTGATTTAATGCCCATACGCGGGCGCCACCCTATGAAAAGGTACACTCACCAATTAATGGATTTCTCGCCCCTAAGACACTTTTGATGTCTTGGTGTCTCGAGCGCGTGTAGCATATACGCCGACTGCCGTCTTGGGATGAAGCCGCCTCGCCGCGATCGTCTTTTGCTAAACGTCACCCCCAGGAAATCTCGAACTCAACACCGCCGTTACACGAGATAAAGTTTCTTACGCGAGGCGCAATCGTATCCCCGGCGAGTCATTCTAATCAGTTTGAGCGACCAGGCTGGCAATCTCTCGCAGGGTCTTGGTGCCATATCGGTATTCTCACGTATTTGGATTCGCCTGATTCAGATATCATGGGTGTATGTTGCCTTCCAGCTAGTGATAGAAAGAGCTGTTACTCCTCTTTTAAAAAAAGCAAATCGCTGCGTCGATGGGTCGCATGAACTTTTAAGCGAGTCAAGCTCGCCTCGATTGCGATGAATTCGGTCCGTGCAGAGGTCATCAAATGCTCATGGACAATCCCCAGACACAACGACTGGTCGACATTTTAGTCAATTGCCACGCATAAGGAAGACGATGGGCAGCAGCTACAAATAAGGTCTTGATTTAAATAACATCGAAACCGAATGATGTAGTTGTACGTTGATTTGTGCATTCCCAGAACTGAATAGTCGATGTGCAAATTAAACTTCGACAGCATAGCGCAGGACTCTAGGGCCTAATATTGGCGATATCGTTTATAATGACCTGGTGACATGGACATGGACATGAACATTTCACGGATGACCAACTGATTTACTGTAGTATACTTTTTAGTATATTCTATTGGGCAAGGGGCTATGCATCGCTAACGGCAGCGCTTGAGCAGTCAACATGATAAATAGAAGCAGAGCGCAAGTGATCACACTTTCTGTGTCTGCAATACCGCAGGGATAGTGGTAGATCTCGGAGAGCCCCTGTAAGACATTGAATATAATTTCTCCATCAGCAACGCCCTTTGACTCTGCTCGCCAGGGCCTAGGTATCGAAGATTCATGGCCGCTGCCCTCACCGGGTTCAACATCTTGGGCTCCTCGGGTTACGAAACGCAACAAGTCATTGTGTTCTATAAACCCGGGCAACTACAATTATAGCTTGGCGTTGTTATGTCTCGGATGATTCGCAAATTTACACATGATTTCTTGTGAATATATATATAGAAAAAAGTCGACTCTCAGGGTCATCACTTTGGAGCTCTGTTAAGGTATTCTGATTAGTGAGGGGTTGTTAATTAATCAACTGGTTTTCATATGGTCCGAAATCGCATAAACGATCAAAACAGGCCTTGACCATTAGTAAGTGCCTGCTCGAAGGACCTCGGAGCACGCACGGATTGAACAATGCGCAGATTTATGACAGCATAGTAATGGCAAGGTGTCTCGGTTCAGTCAATGATTTCTGAGCTACCCAAGTCCTCTCCACAGTGTACCTTTTCAAACGGTACTGTCGGACTCGGAAGGTCACACTCCTCCACATTTCTTTCATCTGTGGAAGAGTATCATTCGATTCTCCACACGGAGACGAGAGCAAGATTCATAGACCGACATGATCGAGTGTCGAATAGAGCAGCATTACAGCAATACCGGCTAAACTACTCGCCTGGAGCTAAAAGTTGCTAGATGAAACAGATGTATATTTTGATTGGCTCTCGGGAAGAAACATGGCTAACTCAGGAACCGTTCTCAAGAGCCGTGCCGTAGTCCCGCTGGAAGGATTAGGATCTAAGTCTCGTACAGGTCTAACTGAAATACCATAGTATCAGCCACAACTGGTCATCGGATGCCTTCTCGAGAACACTGCGCAGTGAGGAGGCATGTCACTAGCGCCTCACTGTGCGCATCATGTCATGTATGTATAGACAGCTAACGACTGCAAAAACTGGTAGCCACAATGCGACTCGTTTGATCTCCAACGTCACGATTCAAGGCAGCCGTCTCCATTGGTCAGGAAAGCCGTCGGCGGGAAATCCGGCACGGCGTTGAACCACCGCACCAGTTGGCATAGTGCATTGATCAGAACAGTTGGAGAAAAGTGCGGAGGGCCAAGATGTATTTTCCCATTCTGGCCAAGACACCTCACCTTCACGATAGCTCCTGGTGTGGTTTCGGAAATCCCGAGATCCATTGCTGAGAAGAATGGTGTTTTGAGCCTTGCCTAGTTCACTGAAACCCATTGTACCAGCAAGATGTTACACGTCTAAATTATTTGTATAAGTCGTCGTCGATGTCAAGTTGCTTAAGGATTTTTCATGCTTGACCTACGCTCTTTCAACATTTTGCTTTGACCACGTTCGAAGCTGCATGTGTGACCGGCTGGCCGACAACAACACCAAACATGCGGCTTCTCACCACTCTGCTCGGCGTACTGGGGTTTGCTACCTCATACTCTTCAGCCCTGGACAGCATAGCGAAGCGAGAGGTCAGCAACTCTAGCACCAGCACATACTGGTACGCCAACGTGCAGCACAACGGCATCAGCCCTACCATCACTGACGGCGAGAACTGGGTCGTCTTCCGTGATGTCAAGGAATTCGGCGCTAAGGGTGACGGCGTGACTGACGACTCGATTGCCATTCAAAACGCCATCAACCAGGGCAACGCCGCCGGCGACAGGGTCTCGGGCGTTTTTGGCATGACACAGCAGCCTGCCGTTGTCTTCTTTCCTCCGGGCACATATGTGGTGTCTAGGCCGGTACTCAACCTGGCTGATACTGTCCTAATGGGCGACCCTACCAGCCGTCCCACTATCAAAGCAGCAAGGACGTTTGATGATACCACTTTGATTGTTGGCCGAGATGCTCGAATAGGTGGTCTGGGCGCGTTCCAGTTCGAGATTAAGAATTTTGTCCTCGACAGCTCGGCCGTGCCGTCCGTGACAAAATTCAACTTGATCAGCTGGGACGTCAGCCAAGCATGCCAGCTGTCTAATATCCTGCTCAGCATGCCAATTGGCTCTTCTCACACTGGTATCATTGCCCCGACCGCGGCCTCGCCTCTGATATTAAACGATCTGCAGTTTGTTGGTGGAAATCTAGGGTTTAATGCCACCACGACACAGTACCATTTCAAGAATCTGGACTTTAGAAACATCAAAACTGGCCTCAAGCTCGCTCAAATCAACTCTGCGAATGGCCAAGGCCTCCGTTTTGAAAATGTCAGTGTCGGCGTGGATGCTACTGGCGGTGGCAGCGGCTTCTTCTCGCTTATTGACTCGAGCGCGACAAATACTCCTGTTCTGGTTGCCTTGGATGAGCAGCAGCTCACCCTGGGGTCACTGGTGTTAGAGAATGTCATTGTTGACTCTACTGTCGAATCAGTACCTACATCCCTCTCCCATCATAGTGCTGAAATTTGGAAAAATTTACTAACTTCCGTGCCAGACCGTGGCCATTGGCGGTACTCCTGCGCTGCAAGGCTCAGTTGAGCCTGGGTCAACGTGGATTCGAGGTCACGTTTACAACTCCGGTTCCTCCAGCACAACGGCTCCCGAGAACTTTGCCAAAGGCCAGATGGTAACGACTTCAAGGCCCTCTGCCCTGGTAAACTCTACTGGTTCCTACTTTACCGCCATGCCTCCCACATACGCCGAATATGATGTTTCCCAGGTCATCAACGTCAAGAGCGTACCGGGTCTCCCAGTCGTAGGCGACGCGAAAACTGATGACACAGCCAACCTCCAGTCCATCCTCAACACCGCGGCTGCCAACAACCAATTGGTCTTCTTCCCGCACGGCATTTACCTGATCACTGACACGCTCACTATTCCGTCTGGCTCGCGGCTGGTCGGTGAGGCCTGGTCAGAACTCAGTGCCTCCGGGCCCAAGTTCAAAGACGCAGCCAACCCCAGGCCTGTCGTCCAGGTCGGAGCGCCCGGTAGCACCGGCGTGGCTCAATTCACGGACTTCATGTTCACGAGCGCTGAGATCCTTCCAGGCGCTGTGCTCGTTGAGGTGAATATGGCCGGCACCAAACCGGGCGACGTCGGCTTCTTCAACTCGCATTTCCGTATCGCGGGCGCCGCAGGCTCCACCGTCCAGGACAACTGCGCCGACCCACTCACCTGCGCCGCCGTCCGCCTTCTTGTCCACGTGACGACGTCGTCCTCGTCCTATTGGGAGAACAATTGGCTCTGGGGCGCAGACCACAGCCTGGACAATTCCAACGCGACACAGTCGCCTGCGGCCGCCGGAGGTCTTCTGGTGGAGAGCCAGCGCGGCACCTGGTTCCTGGGCCTTGGGGTCGAACACCATGCGCTGTATGGAACGACGCTGTTTAACGCGCGCAATGTCTTCATCGGCCTACAGCAGGGCGAGTCGCCCTACTGGCAGGGCAACGGCACTGTGGCACCCGCACCGCAGCCGTGGTCCGACACGCTGACAGCCAGCGACCCCGATTTCGCGTGGTGTGCCGCCGACACGGATCAGTGTCGCATGTCGCTGTACCAGCGCGTTATCAACAGCAGCGACGTCAATATTTACGCGAGCGGGTTTTGGAATTTCGTTGAGGGCCCGCAGCGGACGTTTTGCACAGTCGACTGCCAAGACAATGCCGCGCAGTTTACGGGCAACTCGCGTTTCTATAGTTATGGTCTCAGTACCATCAACCAGGTCAACGCCATCATAGAGGGAGGTGTTGCGGGCTCGACTGTCCAGCAGGTCGCGTTGAAGAGTGCCAATGCTGCGAACGCTGGTGGTCCACAGAGTATCGGTTCTGTTGGTGCTGTTGTGGCGGCATTCCTGAGGCAAAGTGGTGATGGTAACTTGACCATGCAGGAGGGAATGGGAAACACAAGTGCAGCGACACAGAGTTCAGTACCTCTGGCAGTGTCTGTTTTTCTTTTTTTAATGGCACTGTTTCTGACGTCTTAGTTTGGTACGGGGAACATGGGAACTTTAGTATAGTGTGGACACCCCTTTTTGTACATGTTGGCAGTCCCAAGATGTATATATATGTGTTGAACGTAAACCTTGAAATCAACTTATAATTTGATTGAAGTACAACATCAGAGGTGTGAAGGTAACCGCGAGTATATTACTACGCCGCAGGCATGGAAGGGTCTATAGATTTCTTTGCACAAGACTGACAGTGAGGAGACAGATTATTAGCAAAACTTGTTGGATGGAATGCTTCGCGGCTTAAATGATCAATTTATATGTATTATACGCTCTATATACAAATCAGACCGAAGTCGTGGAGTTTGTCGTTGAGTTCCCAGCTAGCCCAGTCAAAATAACATCAGCTGCCTTCTCGCCAACCATATAAGTCGAAACAGCAGTGAATGTGCCGGGAATGCGCGGGTAGACAGAGGCATCCACAACACGAAGGCCGCGGACTCCGCGGACACGGAAGTTAGAGTCGAGGACAGCATACGGGTCGTCATCGGTGCCGATAGGGCACGTCGACGAGGCGTGGTGGCCCCAGGCGCCGTCTCGGACGTACTGCTTGATCTCATCCTCGGTAGCGGTGGTGTTGCCGGGTAGCGACTCAACGGTGGGCACGAGCTGGCGCGCGAAGGCGTCGCGGGCGAGCTCGATTGCCTCGTAGAGTGCCTGCAGGTCATCGTCGGCGCCGTCCTGGAAGTAGTTGAAGACAATTTCAGGAACGTCACTAATTGGTGTCAGCTTTTTTTTCAGGAGATCAAAGTCAACGTATCTAGACACCTCTTGAAGGTGAAGGACACACAAATAGAAGCCTAGTCTATACTTACAGTGGGTTGGCACTGCGGAGAGTGACGCTGCCAGCGCGGTTGCGCGGGTGAGCCTTGAGGATGGCCCAGCTGAACCAGTCATGCAGTTTAGTGGCGTTGTAGCTATAGTCAGGGAAGTAGCCCCGGAAGTTGACGGGACCGCCGAACGCGAAGACGTCGAAGCTGTTGTCGGCCGTCACGGTGCTCTTGTACAGCATTGTCGCAGCAAGGCCAGCGGACGCATAGGTGCCGTGGTCGCCAAGGACGGGGTTTTCCCAGCGGTCAAGGCACGCGTCTGCCTCGCCGTCAAATTGCCAGGTGCAACCCTCAAATGCGGTCCAATTGGTCGGCACTTTGGCATTAACGGAGATCTCGTAGTGGTCCTGCAGGTTGGTTCCTACACCGGGGAGGTCGACGACAACGGAGATGTTGAAGGACTCGAGCTCTGCCTTGGGGCCAATGCCAGAGAGCTTGAGCAATTGGGGGGAGTTGTAGACGCCACCAGAAATGATGACCTCACGGGAAGCATTCACAGAACCAGGAGTACCGGTGCTGCCAGTGCTCAAGGGGCTAGCACTATACAAGTGCGCACCGTCGAGGAACTCGACTCCGGTAGCAACAGGAGGCGATTGTGTCTGGTCGAAGATAATTTTGGTGACGTGGGAGTTCAGGCGCACATCAAGTGGATACTTCTTGGAACCGTCGGCGTTGACAGCATCGCGCACAGCGACAACGAATTCTCGAGATCCAGTGCGGGAGGAGTTGTGAGTGCTCAGGGGGATCTGGTAGTAAGACTCGGTCTGGTCCCGGGCGAGACCGTCGGCGTTGAGATCACCAGCCACGAGGGTAGCCAGATCGATAACACTACCAGTCACATTGCCCAAGGCGAATGCGCCACCAGTCAAGACCTCGAGAAGCTGTGGGTCGCCAAGGACGATGCTCAGGGGCGGTATCTCGGTCGACAGCCATCCATCATAGCCGTGTCCAACGACATCAGTGGTGAGATAGTTGTTGTCCTCGAGCTTGACGAAGTACTTGCGCATGTTGTCTGGAGACCATGACGAGTCACCGGTCAGGGTCGCAAGATACTCAAAGTCAGACTCGTGAGGGTACACGGCGATCAGGGCGTTGTGCGCGGTACAGCCACCAAGCGTGCCGGTCCTTGGGTAGAGTGTCCCCTTCATGACAGAACCTGCCGGGGGGTCGAGACCGGTATATATGCCGCCATCTGGGGTATCGTAGCTGGTCTTCCAGTCGCGAGCCTGTTGCGTGTCGTTGGCGTAGTGACGTACGAAGAAGTTCCAGGATACCTTGTCGTCTTCGGACACCTTGGCATTCTAGTGAATGTTAGCTGCTGGCTCCGGAGCCCCGAGTGACAACTTCTGCAAAGACGCTGAAGTAGAGAATCTACTACTCACAAAAGCCGGTACCGTATAGTTGACATTGGCACCCTGGTCATCTCCAGCTTCAATCAAGAGCGTTTTGTGGCCGGCCAGGGCTAGACGAGCCGCAACTGGACCGCCACCAGCACCCGAACCAACTACGACATACTCGTACCCGGAAAGGTCCTCAGCGCGGGCAGCAGAGAAAGAAGAAGCCAGAAGGCTTAGGAAAGTAATGGGACGCATAGCGAGTGAGTGTAAAGGGTCGGATGGCCGTTGTCGTCGAGGGGGTGCCGTCCAGTCCAGCATTCATCCTGGAAGATGGCAGACAGGCACTTTAATAGACATCCGTGACATCCTCGACATCATAGATGGCACTCTGTCTGGCATCTACACCCTAGTAGTCTATATGGGGCGTTGCATGACCCAGGAAATGATGATATCCCTCATTCCGGATTAGGATATCAAAGTAGAAAGCAGGGCTACTATTGTATGCAGGAGGGCCGCGTTGTTGGGTGGCTCTGCCGACAGCAGATCTCGCATTGGGAGACGGAGAATTGGACAGACCGAGGCAGATGCGCGATAGGAGGGTGGGATAGTGCTGATCATGGTTGATCACGAGCTCTGGATCATCCCCGACCGTCCCTAGAAGGATTGCACCCCGGCATAGTTTACGGACGCTACAGGCGCATTCAGGATAGCCAATACGCCGTTAAGCGGCTCAACGCTGTTAGCTGCATGCGCCAAGGGGAATATACCCCACTTGTCAATAACAACCCCCAGGGCAGAAAAGGGGTTACCTGAGAATAAAAATTGAAAACACGTGGGAAATCTATCTATTTAACACTAGCTGTGTTGCCTCTGTCCAATGAGGCGGGGGTGTCGGAGCATTAATGAATGTGCTCCAAAGGTGTGGCAACAAGCCCCAGGCACATTCTCTAGGTGTCAACCATTTGTGACAACCCCCACCTCTTGCGACCAGATATCACGATGGTGGCTATAGTTGCCAGGCCTAGAAGTAATGCGCATTAGGTATCCACTACGTACGTACGTCCCAGCACTGGCCATTACACATGAATTGATCCTCATATTTTAAGTTGAAACTCGGTTCATCGCAATAGGTCAGTACACGCTAACTTAGATGCCAAGGTATTGTTCCTCCTTTCTGATCATTGCTGGCGTATTCGTAAGTTGATGCGCCTCTGCCGCGATCAAATCTAGTTCTGCGTCGAAGGACGCTTAGCTGAAAGGATCATTAAAAATGCGATCAACGTAGCACTGCAGCAACCTTGTATGGTGCGTTGGTAATCGGAAGATTCCAAAAGCTTCTGTGCATCGGTCCGTGCTACTGTTGAAGGAGGTCGCGTTCTCTTACGGGCTACCAATTCAAAAGGTCTGATGACTGTATTGTGAATATTTTGAACAATAGGGGGTTACTCCAGTCTGAGTATATTATACAAATCCTGCCAGTATCAAAGACGCTGTCCCTACGCTATTTTGAGGTGCTCTCCGCGGTGGGCATGGGTGTCTATATGGCCTGTCTTCAGCCTCCCCTGCAGGCCCCCACCCCCCCAAGTGACAGTGACACCGCGGTTAGCACGGCCACATTCGCCTTTATCCGCGGCTTCTGCTCTATCTGTGGGCTGGCCTCCTGGCTGTCACATTCAGTATTCAAAGGTCTAAACTTTGTGTCTCAATCGAATGGTGGAACGTGGTGCTGTGGGTATTATCTAAAGAAGCTCTGGCTTTAGGGATGCCACTTCATGTAGTAAAAGGCATCATGTCTTCTATTCCTTTGGTAAGTACAGCTCCTTTCCATTGCATAATTCAATCTCGGTTGTCTTCCACGTTTCTCGGAGATCGTGAACGACCAAGATCATGATTGGCTGGTAAATTCAGAAGGCATGACCATAAATGTTTTTGACGCCTCCTTTGATAGAATTGACAACGTAACCTGAGCGCATGTTCCAGCTTATTCCACGTAATGCTTCTTCGTCCTCTCTTCGGCGGCCACAAGGCACTCCTTAGTGACAACAATATTCCTTGGAACTAGCTTTACCTTGAAGTCTTTCGGGATTGCCACCAGCGCTGTCTTGAATTGGTTGTATTCCACATAATCCGTGTTGGGGGGCTCACTCTCACTCGCCACGATCTTGTAAGAGGAAAGAAGTCTAACCAAGGCAGCGTACAAAAGACGCTGAGCAATGAATTGGCCAGAACAGCCACGGGAGCCAAGACCAAAACTCAGGTGACCAACTCCAGACATCTCCTTCTCCGTCGGAGGATCAAGCGACTCGAGCCACCTCTCGGGGTCAAACTCGCCGGCGTCTGTGCCGAAATGCCCGATATCTTGTTTCTCATCAGCGTCATAAAGAATCAGATATGAATACGTGAGAATGAATCAAACTCACCATGATTACCTGCTTGTGCATTTACCAAAATCATGGTCTTGGGCGGAATGATAGCACCGTTCCAGTTTACCTCAGCCACTGTCTTTCGTGGAAGGCTCATGGAGCTGACTGTGTAGTATCTCCCGGCTTCCCTGATGATGGCATTGATGTAAGGAATCTTTTCCTCGGTATAGCAGGCGGTCCACGCGTCACGAACATCAGGATAATGTCGCTTGATGTCCTCATAGGCGCGGTCCTGCCAAGCTTGACCTTCTTTAGTCGAGAGTGAGCCAATAGTAGAGGTGAGAGTGCCAGGGATAGTCTCGAAGCCTCCAGAGACCAATGACAAGCAAATGGACGAAACCTCCACGCCTGTAAGCTTGGTCTCCTCGTTCTTAAGGATAGCGGCAGAGATACACGGTTTTTCCGTGCCTCTTTCGATCATGCCACGGACCTTGTCCAGGAGGAGATTTAGGTAAGCGTCGCGACGTTCGCGAAGGTCCTTGGAGCGACGATTCTTCTCGTTGTTCGGCAAGTACCGCATGATTGGTACGTAGTCCTGAGTGTTCTCCGAAGCGCTTCGCAGAAGCGAGATGGCTGACCCGACATGCAGAATCTCCCGCAACAGATCATCGTACACTGCATCCATGCGAATTCCGTAGCAGAGTGTCAAAGTCGTGTTCAGAGCATATCTCTGGATGTATGGGCGGACACTGATCTCGACATCTCCACTGCGGCTGTCCTTGTGCAGATCTCGAAGAATACAGTAGCTCTCAAGATCAAACATGGGGTAATAGTTGCGCAGAGCGGGTTTGGCGAGGGCTGTTCCAGCAGCTTTGCGCTTCTTCCGGCAGGAGTCGTCCCAGGGGGAGGAGCCAATGGTGAAGCCTTGCGTGCTGCTGATGAGGCCGTGAAAAGTGTACAACTTTGGCCGATCAATGACTGCATTCTGATGGCCCATGAGCAGCTGTCTGATGTCTTCGAAGGAGTTGAAAACCACGGCCCTGGTGTTTCCTAGCTTCACTTGGAATACGGACGGGTTTCCCAGTTTCCACCAGTTCTCGCAAGTTGACGCGTGATCGTCTCCTAGTTTGAAGAGATGTCCAAAAACAGGTACCGCCCCGGGCAACTCAGGAATGCCCTTGATGTGAGGAATGTCGGTGGCAAAAGCAACCTGAACGAGTCAACAATTTCTGCGGCAAACTCCTTGGCATATGGCAGGCTCGCCATTGAGACTGTAGGATCTTACATTGTAGGCCAAGTATGCTATCAATACAATCAAGACAGCCATAGCGAGGGTTCCAAGAGACCGAGACCGCATCAAGTCTATTGACAAATTCGATATGCCGGTAGAACTAGTCAAATCGGAAACGGTCGACATCTTGATACTTAGTTAGTTCCCGTCAAGGAGTGTGATTGTGTTGCGAGTCAGAAATTGTTGCTTGTCTACCAGTTTCTAAACACTCGAAGTTATCGTCAATCAGGTTTGTCTTCTTTATGCCAAGTGCAATGATGTTCGTTGGCTTCCCGTAGTCTGACTGTAAGCAGATACCAGATCGAATAGCAACGCATCGAAGGTGACACATGTGCGGGGGTGCCGATATGCCGCCCCTACGACCTTATCTCAGACGAACAAACCGCAACGGTGGGCTGCCGTTCCGCCATTCTTATCTGCTTTCAGATTCAGCAAGCTAGAAATATGATAGCTCGCATAACTTGCTCCTGACCGGAGCCTCACTCGTTCTTCATTAGGACAACAGGGTGAGCCGCATGGATTGAGTAACTTGTCCATCAAGTAAAAGGCATACCTGCGATTAGGCCAGAAACACCGAAGAGGACGCTATGGAAGTAACTTGTCACGCGTGTGGTACTCTTTACCGCGAGAAACTCTGCTAATCCACCAGCCATGGAGGAGGCGGATCTGCAGCTAATCACCATTGGCAGCTGAGGACGGGGGAAACTATTTGGTGTATCACCCAGTGTCGGAGACCCTTTCTCTCATTAGAGCCGTTGTGAAAGCCACTTTGAGTCCTTACATACGAGCCCTACCTTAAGTCAGCCGTATATGGGGAAACATGGTGCCTTTGATAAAACAGTAAGAGTGACTCCACCTGCCGAATATACGAAATGCCGACCACGGGTTTTGCCAAAAAAAATAATACTGTCGTGCAAGGCGACTGCTGAGCGTGGACCCGCGAGCGAATCTTGAAGGAAACTCCTACGAGGTCAAAGAGACCCAAATGGCGAGCTCAGCAGGCTCTGAAGCGACACCTCTGAACAGCTGCGTCTTAAATACCCAGAACTTATGGGTACTCAATTCCATCGCGTGCAAGCCTGTCGGACACAACACACCCGTGCCTGCAACGCGAATACTCGCCGACCCCAACAGCATCCAGTCACAGCGTGCACTATTTGCCCGCCACCACTTGTGGATCACTATAATACAAGGAACACGAGCTCCTCGCTGGTGGTCACTACACCTTACAGAGCAATGGAGAGGTTGGCGGAGTTGAGAACGCTTCCGGTAGGAAAGATGACGTGCTGGAACTGAATGTCATGCTTTGGACCGTCTTTGGACTGACGCATAAACCTCGTATCGAGAGATGGCCCGTTATGTAAGTGATTGCCCCTTCCGCCTGGACGATGTCAACAAAGGGTATGCCTAGGGCTGGTGAAATTCTACAACCCCACATCACGCCCTGAAATTTCTTCAACAGAAACCCAGCATTAGATGTGCCCTCGGACAAGGCCATCGGCTCCAGGTTGATGCCAGATTGCCGTGGCGTAAAATTTAATGTCTGCAGCAATGTGTAGATTGTCGAGCCTCCGAGTTCACCACTTTCTTTGCGCGACCATCGATTTCCACATACGGCGAAGCATTTTCGCGCTGCAAATCTTACATCGCGTACCTTGATTCACTTAGAGACGTTCTCACCTTCATTATCCTTACCTGACGACGTTGAGTGGCCTCGTTTAATGAGATATTCCTTCATTGTGGTACAACCGCATTGCGTGAAGAGATTACAGTACACAAACCATTAGAGCCAGTATCCGCGTCTTTTAACCATTAACTCTACCTCTGTTCCGAGACCTGGGCCCTATTATGGTTCTCTGCCCTGAATGAGACCCATTACTCTGGCCCCTAGACCTAAGAGTTCAGACACAATGATTCACTCGTTGTACTTCGAAATTTAGTAAGAAAGATCCGATCGCATTGGACTCACACTCCACTGTTCGGAGAGAGATTTTACGAAGAAGTACCCGTAGAAATTAAGCCTGGGCACGATCACAATCAGTTCATCAGCAGCGATCTGCAGACACTACTGCCATGTCAGGAAAGAGCCCCGAACCGGGACGATTGAGGTTGCATGGTGATCCGTTCATCGAGCTTGGGACAGTGGACGGCTTGGGTGTCTCCAAGGCACCTCCGTGTTGGGCTTTTATCGATCGACGTGCAAAATATCGGCTCAAGAAATACCTCAACCCGCGGCCAGGGGAAACCAATGGTCTTGAGGCAAAAACAAGTCACGCAAGAGTAGAACATGGCGTGACATCACTTTCGTGTCACTGCGCTCGTGGCAAAGGCGAATCATCGATCGATGACACGGACTAGGTATTGCCGGGGTGAATTTGAGAGACATTGCGCTGGCAGGCTGGTGAGGAAGAGCAATTGTTGGCATGTGTTCAGGGGAAAGAGTCCATCGACGTTGCAATTGAGTCCACTGGCCCGCAAAGCAAATAGGGGGATGGCATTCTAGAATTCCATTGCCGTGGGTCTAGATCGCCAAGATGGCTAGATGGATTTTGATGGACCATTGGATAAGTGTGGAGCCGGGCATTCACGGACGTAAAAACATTATGATGTAGTTTGCTAGGAGTAGGATTTAGTTGAAGATTTGTTGTTGAGCGTCTTTTGATGCTGAAGACCGATGCATCATATGCTCACAGACCTCGAGCTGCCTAAGAGTCAAGAGCATGATCCTGAGGTCTTAGAGATCTATATTCATAATCCATTACCTCATCTCCAACACCAAACCAGGTATTTGAAGAAATGACGTTTGATTCAGACAAAACTGGGGAAATAAACCGATATCCACCATACAGCCGTCCTTGGGCTGGTGAAAAAATATGCCTATCGAGAAAATCAGCATGTTTGGGTACGGACAACATTGAAGACAATCGTACAGCCATTGCAGCCTCTACCGTGGCTAGTCATGTCGAGTAAGGCTACCCATGGATCTGCAGCGAAGGTTGGAAAGATTCTATTTCGGGTGCGTTTCATAGCAATGAATGTTACTGTTTGTCGCCCGGACTGTCTGTCCCCAGCAGTTAAGCAATATCCGCACCTATGAACTGACACGGTTCGGCATCCTCAACCGAGCATCGTGTTGTTGGGATGTGGTCATGCATGATGCACTCTCGTATTTGCGTCCATTCACATGCCATGGCGAGGGCGATCGAGGCGCAGAGCCGCCAGGCCGCCTAGGACGTCATGGCTCAGGCACGTTGAGCGTGACAGACGGACACACTTACTCTGCAACGGTAAAGCACGATACTTTCGCCTCCCATACGAAAGATCGTCTATTCGGCCTGCGATAGGTAAGGTCCAACCTCAAGGCTAACATCCTCGCTACTTTCGCCTCCGAAAAGAAAAATCGTCTATTCGGGCTATTGTAGGCAAAGCCCAACCTCAAGGCTAACATCCAACCGCAACTCACCCGATGTGTCGTTGCATCGAACCAAGTTGGTGGCCGGGCCGGTTCTGCTGTCCGGGCCCGAGAAGCCACCAGAAGCGTCTCTCTCGACCAGTGCCTTGGCGGGCTATTTTGGGCACTGCGATCGGCAAGCACTGCCATAGGTGCAAACCTGACTCGTCCGAGACGTGGCGAGGAAAACCGGGTCCGACTGGGGCCAGCTGCCCAGCTTCCGAGGTGTCCCCCCACTCCCAGCGGCAGTGTGGACTTGGGCCATGGGAAGGGAGAAGGCTGGGGCGGTGGGAATGCGGTGGGCATGGGCGTCCAGAATATGCATATTGGACAAGGTTGTTCTTGGGGCACATCACAATCTCACTGACTAGCAGTCTCGTCTGTTTTGCATGCTCCGCAGGGGAAACATGCCCGACTTCCAGGGAATATAGCCGGTTATGCTGCAGCCAACCGCTGTCACCCTCATCAAGCCGAAACACGCGTATATTGAGCACTGGAGCATCGTCATAGTGCCACGGCAGGGACGGCTCTGCTTTTCTTTCTAAAAGTGTCCGACGATCGCCTCGGAGACCAAGGGTGCAGTGCCGAGCCTAACAGTAGCCAGCTGCTAAGGTTTGCCCGTCTCCATCTGCGTGGCCAGTGTTGAGCTCCGCCCTGTCCGCACACTCAATTTTGGTTCGTCTGTTGGTCCCCTCTCGTGTTCGCCCTAGCCTTAACGTCGCGCTCCGTAGAAACTGTTTGTCAGTCAGTGCCCACTGATCGCCACTGTGATGTCAGGCGAAGTGCGAGCTCGCCGCTCAGGGGCTCCCTCACTTGCTGCGCGCATGCACCAACCACACGGTTGAAATCGAGAATAAACAGATTTGCATATAAGAGTTCGTCTGTTTCCATCTGTTGTTGTCGATCGAAACATTCACTCATCCACCACTACCAATCCAATCTCTCACTCAACACTCATACCAAACAACTCTAATAGCCTACGTGCTTGACTGTCGCTTGAGACTCAAAACATACCAACACACCAATCAACCAATCACAACACTTAAATAATTCAAAATGAAGTTCCAAGTCCTCTCCGCCGCCACCATGGTCGCCTCGGCCGCCGCATTCCCCGCCCTGCACGCCCGCCAGAACGGCACCGTGCCCGACGGCACCCCCTTCTCCCTGGTCTCGATCCGCTCCGGCTCAGACCTGCAGTACGCCTCCTTCTCCGCCGTCCAGGGCGGCCTGGCTCTCAACGTCGAGGAGCAGGGCGCGACCTGCGAGAAGGGCGAGCAGAACTACGCCACCTTCGTGCTGAACCAAGGCGAGCTGAGCCTGTACACCCCCGCCAACGTCACCCAGACGCTGTACACCGACCGCTCCGGCATGGGCCAGGGCGTCCTGCAGTACTCTACCCAGCCCGGCGGCTACCTGCCCGGGCGCAACAGCGAGACCAAGGGCTGGACTGTCGACCAGTACGGCGACCTGACCTTTGACGGCGCCAGCCTGATCGCCTGCCCCACCGACGTCGGCAGCGCCTACAGCGTCTGGGTCAGCGCTGGTGTCACCAACCCCGGTGGCAACACCGACTGTGTCGGCGTCGCCGTCCGCACCTCGGTCTCCACTGACCCCAACGCCTGCACCTACACCTACACTCCTGCCACCTCCTCTTAAGTGGAGAGTGGGTCCTTGGGAATAGAGTCGAGGCACCTGGCTTCCTTGGCTTGGGTGAACACACACAAACACACACTGCATAGCGATTGGTTTTTAATGTAACGCGGACTCATTACGCGATTATGCTCGGATCTGAACGATTTTGGGAACAAAATATTCATGTGCATACTTTTACGATGATTTTAGAATAGACTTACTGGAATATGCATCGATTCCAACTACCATTTTTTTCTATCTGCTCATGAATGACTTTGGTGACGACTACTGCTCTGAGCTTGGGAAGTAATTCTAACTCAAATCCGGATTCTGGCCAGGTTAGCCAGGTTTCCTCTTTCTCCTATCAGTCCAAAAAAGTGGCCCCCGTGAATCAAATAACACAAAATTTTCATGTCAGATATGATAAAAAGTTAAGGCCAAACAAATTCCCTGATAAGTGATAAGTACGCTGACACAGGCACACCAACCTCACAACAGCCCGCCAAACCCACCACCACAGCTCACATTCATCGCCCAGCTCCCGCTCTAATAATGCCAGCGGATTTCGACAAGCAAGAATACTGGCACGCCCGCTTCGCCACCGAGACAAACTTCGAGTGGCTGGCAACCTCGTCAGACTTCATGCAGATCCTGCAGGCGGACGCCGACTTCTCAAGCCTCGACCGGGGGTCCGCGCGCGTCCTGCAGCTGGGCTTCGGCACGAGCGACCTGCAGAACTGGCTGCGGGCGTGCGGGTTCGCGCACGTGCTCAACATCGACTACGAGCCGCTGGCGGTCGAGCGCGGGCGGCAGCTGGAGAAGCAGCGCTTCCGGGACGTGCGCATGGAGTACGCGGTCGGGGACGCGACGCGGCTGGACCGGGCGGATTCGAGCCTGGGGACGGAGCTGGAAGGGCGGTTCGACTTTGTCGTGGACAAGAGCACCGTCGACGCCGTGTCGTGTGCTGGCGATGAGGCCGTCCTGCGAATCTGCCGTGGCGTCAGGCGGTGTCTTGGGCCCGGGGGGTTCTGGATCTCGCTCAGCTATTCGCGGTGGCGGTTTGATGTTGATGGCTTGCCGTTCCACTGGGAGGAGATTGCGAGGATACCGACGCGGAAGCTGAAGGAGACGGACCCGGATATTTATCATTATTGTTATAAGATGACCCCCAAGGACGACGCGCGATCAGAGCTGTGAATGTGGTCCCTCCCCAGACGAGTTGACATGTTGACATGTCGCCGATGTCCGAAAGATCCACACTCCACTATCCGGCGTGGATGATTCTTCAATATCAAGCAGGAGTAGTACAGCTCCGGTTGGCCCCATAGCGCCCTGAGTTCTGCGCACTGCTCCTCGTTGTAGGCAGTGAAGCTGTCCTTGTGGCAGACAGATGCCATGGATACTGTGGCTATCAATCGACCGCCAACCCTCGCATTGTGGACTTTCCATTTCGAAGCGGTGGGCCCACGGTCCTTGCCTGGAAAATATCGGGACCGCGAAAAGTGGTTGTTGGCGGCGATGTCTTGCAGCGCCGTGAAGGAGGATTTTTGCTGCGACGACGTGACAGACACGGCCCAAAGTTTGCAAACAACAAACAAACAAATTGTGAGATTTATGTTGTATCGGATAAATAGAGGGTGTCTCTGTTGGGAGAGAGGTCGACTTAGAGAAGGGCACCTAAATAGTGGAGAATGTCTTCGATTCACTATTTACAAGAAGTCTTATTGAGGGGAATAATGAGCTCCACGCGCTTTTTGTACGCCCCCTCCCCGTTCCTTTTCGTGCCAGGGGTTCTGACAATATCATTGAAATCTTCCACTTTACTTTGCATTCTGGATATTGGAGGCATAGCAAGCAGGTCACTGAAAATTGAGCAGAACTACAGAAGCAGGCATAGTTTAGTCCTTGCTTCTCAGATCCATACGCCTTGATGTGGCTCTGGAGAACCTCACGCCTTCAGCCGCAGGTTTCTCTTCGGAAATCCCACGCGGAAATGAATCAATTTTTCACAATTTCACGCCCAACACACGCCGTGCCGGTTGAAACATGTCCAATACACTCAGACACGTGAATTAGGTATCTATTTTTGAATAGATAGATCTTAGTTCCGGGGTTGCACAATCGGTCCTCATTGATTTGCATGAGTTTCGCATTAGAAAGCAACGAGATGACGGTGCCGCTGTACCGAGGGAAATGGAAGCCAAGAAATCGCTCATGAAGACGGATGGGGCTGCGATGAGTTATGGCCTCGACTTTGCAAGGGAAAGGTGATGAAGAGGATGGGTTGCCTAATACTCTAAATTCCAATGTCAAATTAATGGCATGATTCCTGCTTTTCAAATATCTGGCTGGCAGTGGACCTCGCTAACAATATTTCGGTGGTTGATTGTTCACTCTTGGAGACATCACGGAGTCGCCATGGGGCGTTGGCAGAGTGTGGACAACCAACACCGCCCCGGCCGGCGTTGATGATGTTACACCGACTAGGCAGACAGCTCGGAAGACAGAGGAATGTACACTGATGCGGCCAAGTCATCCTCAGCTAAGTAGGTATCATGCTGACTAACGTATCAGACGAGGTTGATGAGAAAAGAGATGAATCCATCGGCACCGAGAGCAAGATGATGTCCCGTCGACAACAGCTCCGGTACACGCTGGAGACGCGGACGTTGGTGGTGGCGCAAAGCATGCACTGTCCGATGCGACAGAAACCCGTGACCTGTTCTCGGCAGTGCCGCTGCAATATGGTCATGGGACGAGGAATTTATAGTTTTAAGCTTATCAGAGAGGATGCACCGTGCATAAGATGAGTGTCATGTCATGGAGGTAGGGTACATTTTTGGATGCGAAGGATGAGTTGGTACTGTACCTAGGTACTGTAGCACCTGGGTCGAGGCCACAGACGGTGCCTCTGGAAAGTCGGTGAGAAAATGGAGCATCTGCTTTTTATGGAATGAATCAGTTGTTTCTCGGAGCATGATCTGCAAATTCATCTGATCAGATCTCGTTTGCATGCACTCGAGGGGTCAGACAGTACCGAGGGTACCGTACTTGAATGAGTGGTTTCTGACCCCCTTACACTCCCCCTCCCCCTCCACCTTGCCTAGGCAGTCCAGCTGAAGGGTCAGGGTTAATGTCATGTCAGCATGTGATGTCACTGTAACCCATTCCAGTGCCCATCTGTGAGCTCAAAAGTACGCTCATGCCAGGTCAAAGGTCAGATAGTCCCGTCCACAACAAAGGCCCATACGCCAAGACTATATCGACAGCCAGTAGCCAGTGCCATTATCGAGACACAGGTTACAGCACGATCTAGTTATAGGCCGGATCGACAATGCCCGCGTAACAGAAACACTGGCTGAGCGCAGTCCTCGCGGACGCTTCCGGCCCCCAACCGGGCCGCGACAGGAGGCGGAGCGGCCGTGTCTTCCGGCCACCATGCGCCGTCGCCGTCTCCAGCTGCAAATCAAACACTCGCCGCCCGTCAATTGCCGTCTCGGATTGGACAGCAGTGCCTACTGCCCCCGGACCGAGGCCAGGGCCCGCGCCCGACCGGCCCGCACTCGAACACGCTCTCAGCGCCAGCGACGAGTGCTCGCCCGATGCTGCTGCCAAACAAGCAACAGATGTCTGCTGGTGCTTACATAGCCTACGCGGCGCCCTTTGCTGGTGCCAGCCAGCAGAGTCGGTCCTGGTATGAGGCCGTCGTGGGGTAGCGCGTCGACCGGGGGCAGTGTTGCCTAGACTGTGGGTTTCTCAGCTGCCCTTCTCAGTCTGTCTGCCTCTGCTTTGCCCGACTGACTTGAAACCAGCCTTTCCTGGGGATCGCCATTTAAGACCATCCGTGTGCCGCTTCTTCCTTCCACCTGCATCTCGGGACCGACTCGTACACTCCCTAGACATAAGTCAGCTGGTCTCGCGTGTGTGCGTGTATGTGCTTGCTCCAAAGGTAACAAAAAGTCGTCGTTGCTGGTCATCGACTGTCCCCCCGAAGCTATCGTGCAGGACACACACATCGCTCCTGGGTCTACCTAATATCAACATCACATCCTTTCACTCCTTCAGGATGCGTTACAGTCACGTCATACAAGGTCCGCCGTCCCCTTCGGATGCCGGACTTATTAAGCTCAAGGCAGGGCCCTTGAAGCTGCACAAGGAGCGCCTGCCAACGTCACAACACCACCGCGTACGAAAGGCCTCCATCTCGACCGGCACCAACACTGGCTCTGGCTCTGGCTCTGGCACCGGCACCAGTACCAGCACGCCGCCTTCCTCGGTCGACCAACACATCGTCGCAGCCCCGCCAGTCAAGAAAGTCAGGAGCCTGAGGGCGCCCACGGAGGACGCCATCATCGAGGTCAAGTCGCCCGTCAAGCCCCAGCCCGACAAGCCGCTGCTGCCGGAGCTCAAGCCGTGGGAGTCGTACCTGCACTGGCTGTGCCTCACCGAGGAGCCCGGCACGCTGTGGAGCTCGTCGCTGTGTGCCACCTTCCACGAATGCCTCGTCACCAACCCGGGCGCCGGCCAGATCAAGGCCTCCGAGTACGCTGCCCGCATCGATGACATCTACTGGAGCTTCTACCTGCCACTCGACCCGCTCTTCCAGTTCATGGAGGACCGGATCCTTTCCGGCTACCTGCTGCATGTCTGGACCATGTTCATCGAGCTGGGCAAGAGGATTCCCCACGACGACCCAGCGCAGGAGAAGCTGGTGGAGCTCTTGAAGGAGCTGGTGCACCTTCCGCCCATGGAGGTGCGGACCTGGGAGGTGAGTGGCTCTCTTAACACTGTGATACAGTGAGGGTGCGAAGACACTGGTCTCGTGAGAGCTGACTTGATTCACAGGGAAACGATGCACCCTGGACTGACCTACCAACACTCGACGACGCCCTGATCGCAGCATGGGACGATCTGTGTAAGTGCTTTCCTAGGCCATGCCTGTCCCTTGTCCAACTGACTAACATGCCCCCTCAGACGACCCAGAGGTCCAGATGTCTGACCCTGAAGGCCACTGGGTGAACTACTTCGTCTTCCTGGGGCGCCTGGTATCCGCTGATGTCACTCCCGACTGGTGGGAGATCCCGTCCATCACGCTCAAGGAGGTCCTCGCCGAGGACGTCGCGCCCAACTACCTGACCGTCTACAAGACCATGGCCCTGGCCGAGTACATGAACCATGCCGGTGACGCCTTCTTCGAGTGGTGCATCGACTCGGGCATGTTGGACACCAACGCTTCCATGTCAATCATCTCCCCCCTGCTGGAGACTCCCGTTCAGCGGGACTGGTTCGACAGGAGGCGGATAGATGACGAGGTGTGTTCGCTGGACTAAGAGCAGGCATTGGCTATCAAAAGGTTTTCAGACTAAATTATAGAATAATGGGTTGCATCTGGATGGGGCATTAGATTAAGAAGGTTTGCATGGTGTTGGGTGATGCATTATTCGGGCACACAAAAAACAAGCAGCCCATCGTACATAGTCATACAAGAACAAACCTCAAAATCCCAAGCGAATCTCCTCCCCATTCTCAGTCGGCCGCCCGACCTTAACCAGTGCCTCCCTCCTGCTCAGATCCATGACAATCGTGAACAAGGTCTGAGACCCACCCTCAGCTACCTGCAGCCGGTTGATAGAAAACGGAAACCCGTCCTCGTCCTTCAACAACTCCACCACCTTCTCAAAATCCACTTTGCCCTCGATCGCGCCCCTATCAATCAGAGCTCCAATCCTCGCCAGCCTCTCCTTCGAATCCGGCAGCCACCCGGGCTCATCAACCCCAGGGTGCTCCAGCACAAGATGATTGGTATGGACGACCCTCCCCCTCGCATCAGGGCCAATCTCACCGATCCGGTCCCGCCCGCCCGCAAACTCCAGCCCCACTGCGCCAGCCTCATCAGCAAGCAGGATGTGCGCGCTCCCCGCCACGCCCAGCCGCCGCAGCGTCCCGACCGCCTCCCCGCGCGACCGCGACTCGAGGACCGCCCGCAGCGCAAAGTGCACGGGCAGCCTGGCGGCGTCCAGCCCCCGCGCCCGGATCGCGTTCAGGCAGCACCCCACCCCGGCCGCGTTGAGCCCGATCTTGCCGATGATGCCCGCCTCGGTCACCATGGCGATGTCCGGGATGCCTTCTTCTTCTTCTTCTGCGGCGGCGGCGGCGGCGGCGGCGGCGGTCCCGGGCTGCGAGATGTGCGCCACGATCAGGTTGGGCGCCTGTGCTGGCTGCCAGTCCCAGTTCTGCGCGAGGTAGGATGTGCCTGAGGCGGAGGTGAAGGCCAGGCTCGTGCACCCGTCGGAGGGGACGTCGTCTGCCACGGGCCCGCCGTTGACGCCGTTGGTCGTCCCGTTGGTCGTCCCGTTCGCAGCCCCGTTGGTGATGCTGGCGGCGGTGAACAGCCCAAAGGTGATCTCGGTGCGCACGTTGAGCGCCAGCACGTCGAGGAAGGACACGCCCGCGCCGTCGGCGATGCCGCGGATCTCGTCTAGGTAGCGCGGGCAGGTGGCTTGGAGCGGGGCGACGTATTTCTCTGCCTCTCGCGTCACGGCTGCCCAGTCAAGGGCGCATTTCTCCTGGAACAGGGCGCTGTAGAAGGCGATTGAGCCGTGCACCTGGGTTTTTGCGCCCGAGCCGTGGGCGTGGCCTATCTGGAGGGTGAATATAGTCAGCCTTTCGGTCTCGAGTCGCTGATGCTCAGTGGTGGGTGTTGTGGATGCTTGCCTCACGAGGAGTCCCCGAGCAGTGGATTTGCAGCATTGTGATTGTCTGCCGTGGTCTTTCATTACCAAAGACGGCCGATGAGTTTTACTATAAAGGCATGAGATCGAGGACTTTATCAGTTGTTGCCGAGACGCCTTCACTATGCGGGGCCCGCATGACGTGCTCCTCCGGAGACGGGCCGGTGGCAGCTCCGGGTCGGGCAATTGGGACGAGACAAACGGCAGTGTTGCACGGCCCTGAATGTGCCAAGGTCATATAAATGTTGCACAGGTGCAAGGTTGGCAAGATTGATTCCACACCATTCCACTCGAACTGAATAAACATCAATACGCTATTTGACTAAATCAGCAATCCTAAGTACAACTCCCCTCTCCCTCTCTGGTCAATTTCAGACAATTATCTGCGAGCTCTCTGCCATGCTCTTCAACTTATGGCGCAATATCTTCCCAGGTGGACTACGCGGGATGACCTGAAGGATTTGAATGCCTCCTGCCAGTTCCATATCATTTCTTGATCTTTGTCTGGCAAATTCAAGCAGTTCTTGTATCGTGACAGTCGGCTTCCCCTGACTTACATGGGGCGCGAGTACGACAAAACCAAGAGGGACCTCGCCAGCGCAGTCTGCAATGCCCTCTTCTGGTACTGCTGGTACACCGACAACAGCAGCATCAACAACAGACGGGTGGGATAGGAGGATACTCTCCACCTCGGACGGGTATGTCTCTCCCCCTTTATATGTAATCAGATCCTGTGAAAAGATTAGTAAGGTCGAACTTGTAATGCAAAAGACAGGAAACCAAGACGGGTGACTGTCGGCGAAAATGGAAGAATGTGAATATCCGTATGACATACCTGCTTCCTATCCACATAGACCACAAGACCATCTTCAACTTTCAAAACATCACCAGTCCGAAACCACCCATCCGCAGTAAAGGCAGCCGCATTAGCCTCAGGGTTGTTGTGATAGCCCATCATCACAACAGGTCCCTTGAGAAGCGCCTCGCCAGGCATGCCAATAGGCACGTCATGATCCTCATCATCGACAAGCCTCATCTGCATGTTCGGCAGCAGCTCACCAACACTCGCCAAAGTATCCCAGCCAGCACGATCCGGCGGCATATGCGTCGCGGCGCCAGTCGTCTCCGTCGCGCCCCAAGTCTGGCTGATCAGCAACGGCCGGCCACCCTCCGGGTCGCCCAACAACTTCCGCACCTCAGGGGCACCGCCGAGGCGGAGACGCACGCCACCGCTGTAAGCCACGCGCAGGGAGCGGAACGTCCTCTCACTTACAAGACCTGGCTTGTACATTATGCACTTCGCGATGGCCTCGTAGATAGGCGGGGCGGTGAAGAAACTGGTGATACCGAGTGTCTCGTTGTACCGCAGGAACGCGGCCATGTCGAAGCCCCCGCCGGGCATCCAGTACACAACGCCGCCGTCCAGGAGCGGATTGACAAAATACCCTTGCACTCCCGAGATGTGCGAGGGCGGCAGGTGCGCGAGCGTCCTGTACCCATCGCCCAGGGGCGGCGTCGTCGCAGCCAGGCGAGGACAGCTGGCCCAGGCGCGCCGGTTGATGGAGGCTGGGAGGAATGCCTCGGCCACCATGTTGGCGTGCGAGAGGAGTACGCCCTTTGGTTTGTTGGCCGTGGTGCCGGACGAGTAGATGAGGCAGATTGGCGTGCTTGCTAGCTCGGCTGGGTCCGTCATGACCCCCCAGTCCAGCACGTCGCCATGAGGTGCGAATCCGCACCGGACGCTGCCATCCACGCTCTGCAGTGACAGCTTGGGATGGGACTCGAGCACGAGGACACGCGAGAGCGGGACACCCGCTTGCTCGGCCGCGGAGATCGCTTTGTCCTTCGTGTCCCTGCTACAGACGAGCAACCGCGCCGGGCCGGCTTCCCTGATCAGACCCGCCAGCCCCTCGGGACTCGCCGATGGGCTCGCGGCCGCATAGATCCCTCCTGCGGCGACGACGCCGAAGAACAGGCAGGGGAGGCGGGACTGGCCGCTGGACACTGAGAGCACGACGTCCTTTTTTGGGCCTGCCTTGCCGATATCGTAATGCGTGCGGAGGAAGTGCGCCAGCTGCTTGGTCAGGTGCCGTGCTTGGGATTTTGTCAGGGCGCTCTTGGTAGGGTCTTCGGCTTCTGCGTGGATGACAGTGTCATCTTTTGCTGTGCAGTGTTGTGAGTCTGTCCGACGTAGATAAATGTGTTAGTCAATTATTGGTATTGCTGGTGCAGTATCTTAGGTTAATGGTCGGACTCACCGAAGAGGAATGTGAGTAGGTCCAAACTCGGGACCGGGACTGTGTTTCCTTCACCATAGATCATATTGATAGTCTTCAAGAGCATTCAAGCGTTCTAAGTATTCAATCTTTGTGGTCTGAATAATCGTAATCTGAAAAACTGGATTTTTGGACACTCTAACGCTCAATGAGTTATTCAGATCAGATAATGAGGCAATTAATACTTTGTTAGCGGTCGAGAAAGCGTTATATTCTCAACCGGTCCCAAGTAGAAGCAATCGCCAAGCTCGGACTATAGATGTCGGAAATAACCGTCCACTGATCAGTGAGGAGACCTTCAGCTGGCGTCGTCGATCATCATACGGCGAAACACTTTCCTATTCTGTCTTCTGGACATCCAATCCAGCATGATCATTCATATATAGCCGCAGAAACGGCTTGATATGCAGGCACTTCAGAAACGCACCCTCGATCAAGACTTTAGAGGATTACAAATTATTGTCTATATTTACAACTACTATTACGAGCAATCAACTAACTACCAGGAATCTGCCACTGTGGCTACACATATTAAGCCGCAGCCGCCAAAGCATCCGCAATGATGACATCCGCGGCCTTCTCACTAGCCATGTAGATAGCCAGGACAATGTAGAAACCAGGGATCTTAGGGAAGATGGAAGCGTCCACAACCCGCAGGCCATCGATGCCACGAACCTTGAAGTTCGAGTCCAGGACGGCATTCGCGTCGTCGTCAGCGCCGATGGGGCAAGTGCAGCTAGCGTGGTGACCCCAGGCCTCGTCCTTGGCGAAGGTCTTGAGATCTTCCTCGGACGAGATGTTCTGGGGTGGCCAGACGCGCTCGAAGGAGCCATCCAGAGGGACAAGGTTCTCAAAGGCCTCGATACCGTACTGCATGCCCTCGTAGACGGCCTGCAAGTCCTCCTCGCCGCCGACACCCTCGAACAGGCTGTGGAAGGTGATGTTGGGGGTGTCGCGGGGGTTGGAGCTTGTCAGGTTGACGACGCCGGCGTTATTGCGGCTATGGCCCTTCAGTGTCAACCAGGTCCAGATGCTCAGGTCAGACACGGCGTGCTCCGCGTATCCGGGGAAGTAGCCAGAGAAGTAGGCGGGCACACCGCCCAGGAACAGGTCAGGGTCGCCGTTCTCCGCCACGCTCGAGTGCTTGAAGTAACCGAACGCGATGCCGTTGGTCGTGTAGCCACCCTTCAGGCCGCTAATTCCGCTCTCCCACTGGCTGTAGCACGGGTCCTCGCCGCCCTCGGTGCCGTTGATGTCCAGGAAAGTACACTTCTTGAGCAAGGAGAACTCGCTGGGAGCCTTGCCGACGATGCCGATCTCGTACCGGTCCTGCATGTTGCCGCCGACGCCGGGGAGGTCCTTCACAACAGGGATGTCAAAGGACTCGAGCTCGGACGCGGGGCCAACACCGCTCAGCTTGAGGAGTTGAGGGGTGTTGAAGGCTCCGGCGGCGACAATGACTTCCTTGCTGGCGAAGACTTGTCCGGGAACGCCTCCGTCTTCGGTCCGGCTGGCACGTTGGTCCGCACGGTAGATGCTCTTTCCGTAAAGGTAGTCCACACCGCTCGCTCTGGGCTTGTCGCCAGTCTGATCAAAGTTGATCTTGGTGACGAGCGTGTTGAGGGCCAGGTCGAGCTTGTACTTCTTGGAGCCATCGTCGTTGGTAGCGGTGGCAATGTCGTAGACAAAATCACGCGGGGAGGAACGCGAGTATTCAGGGTCCTTCATGGAGAGGGGGATCTGGTAGATGTCATCGAACTTGTCCCGAGTGGCCAAGTCGGTGTTGACATCCAGAGCCAGGATCTCCAACAGACCAGTGACGGTGCTAATGACCTTGCCGATAATAGATTTACCCATGGTGGTGGCTGCCGCGAGAACGAGAGAAAGCACCTTAAGGTCTTCCACAATCAGAATTGCAGGTGTCGTCTGCGTCTGGAGCCATCCATCGTACCCGTGGGACTCAGCGTCCAGAGCACCGGGGAGGTAGTGGCACTTTTCCAGCTTCTTGTAGTACTCGCGCATGTTGTCAGCACTCCAAGTATCGTCACCAGTGATCTGGGAGATGTATTCCCAGTCGTTGTTCTGCGGCAGGATGGTGACCAGGGCATTGTGCTGCGAGCAACCGCCGAGAGCTCCAACACGTGGGTACAGGATACCCAGCTGCTCGGAGCCCTCAGGTGGGTCAAGGCCGACATAGATATCCCCATCAGATGTTCGGTAGGACATCTTGCTATCCTTCTTCGCCTGGACTGGGTCCGCGTAATGGTTGACAAAGTAGTCCCAAGCAATTGGCTTATACTCGGAGGACAGGACATGCAAGGCCGGCACCTCGACCTGAGGGTCTCGACCATGGTCTTCGCCAGCGTCAATGAGCAGAACGCTGTAGTTGGCCAAGGCTAGCCGAGCAGCGAGGGGTGCACCACCAGGCCCGGAGCCGACAACGACATAGTCGTAGGTGGAGTTGGCCACGGGACCTTCAGCGGTGATAGTCGGGCCGAGAGGCTGGTCAAAACTACACGATGTTTGTTAGTAGCCGTTTAAGAGACTTAGCACCAACAACAGAAATGTGTTCTTAGTACACTGGCAAAGATGCCTTGTAACACACCAAACAAATTTCACTGGAACTTACGCTGCAGACGCAATCCCCAGTAGGGCTGCGATGGGCGCGAGGGACTTCATGATGCCAAGAAAAGCGGGCTTCAAGTGCAACGGAAAGAATCCTTGAAAATCCAGCGACAGAGAATGACCGAGATACTGTAAAACACAACACAATCAAAATGAATGACTAGCCTAAACGGCGATTGGATAATTCGAAAAATGAGTGACAAACGCCGCAAACCTGCTCGTAGATACGACACATGCGTGAGGCCAAGCTGGGGGAACGAGCCCAAAATCTGAGAAGGCTTAAGAGCCAGGATTTTATTTGACCCATCGCGCCTACCGATGGCGATGCCGACATGACTAGTCCCATGCGTCCACTCGATCATCGGGGATGCCATCGCTGACCTCGAATGTCGTCGCCAAGCGATAGACCTCGCGTAGGCAGCCTGGCGGGTCAGGCGAAGTCCACATCGCCCAATTTGATCTCTCCTGACGATCGTACTGAATGTTGGGGTTACACTTATATCTAACTCGTCAAGGATGTAGAGGCTTAAATTATGGGGACGTGTTCCTCTGCAGCTGTGCATTAGGCCAAGAACGTGTAAAAGAAACTGACCTGTCATATGTCGGCGATTGTATGACAGTAAACCTTTCCATTCGGAACCCACTCAATGACCCGACGGGTATTGTCAACACCTTCTGTTACTAAGGAAAATTATTGTGGCATATTATCTGTTAGTCAGTGTGATAAATGTTAGTTGAATTCATGCTGTCAACAGCAAAACTTGGCTTGCTTGGGCACCTGATCTGATGTGTGTTGGTATTGGAGGTGACGAAATACGGCATGTCGTATTCCAGCGATCGATTTAACCTTTCAAGGCACAAGACAGCTGTCAACCAGTGGAGGCTACGCTTGGCAGGGATATTTAACCCCAGATTTGTTCCACATGCGCTAGTCAGTCGATGAGCTGATTCCCTCGTTGCCAGTGGGGCTGGTGTTGGCGAGGCACTGATGTTACCGGGCCGTTGGGAGAGCGTCCCGGCAGAACACACATCCTACCGAACCCCTGCCCCTTGCGCAACGGTTTTTTAAACCCCATTCTTGGCGTTCATGGCAAGAGGGGCGTAATCGTGGTACCCACGTGCGCTATATTGCGCTTCCTCGGGGAAATAGATCTGTCTCCCCTCGCGTGCGTTATCTTAAGGCCAGCGTGCTCAACCACTTTGTGCTGTGGGGGATGAACTTGCATAATTTCATAATTATCCACCATAATGCTCCCCAGCAATACGCGAACTGTCGTGACTCGCCCTGTCGAGACCGCTTTTGGGCGCTGGACTGCGTGTTGAGCTTTCCCTGCTTGCGAATGCTGCCAGGGCTGGGCTCTTAACGAGATACGGAGCTGCCATGACCTACTCCAGTATACTTCAAAATGGCCTGAGACTTTCTCTTTGGCAAGGGCCTTCCAGGTCTGGACCCATCGGGGAAGAGAATCGAAGCAGATCTTCTAGATAAATGAGTCAGTGGGACAGGTCCAACAAGGCATCGGCAGTGGTGTTGCCACTCGGCAGAGGAGCATGCTGCGGGACAATCGTTGACGGGGCCAGGAATAAAAACAGTCGGGCACGCCCTGACTTCTGCGCTCTTCCATTTCGAGAATGCAGCTCGTGAGCAACCCTGGCGGAAGGACTTGTCAGAGATCCCGCAAGCTGCAGACTGCCCAGTGCCCACGTGGAAGACCGCGAACAGCACACCGGATTCGGACAAACATCATGAGGCTCCCATGGCTCCTGACAGCGTTTACCGCCACCCTGATGGCGCATGGCGCCAAAGCAGCAAGCGACGCGGCTGCGGAGGCTGCCGCGCTGGCCATGGCCCAAAAATTATACCCGACATGCGCTGTAAGTTGGATGGATGCTCCCTTTTCGACCCCATGCAAATCCTCTACTAGCGTCGTGATGCTCTTTGCTGATCATCCGCTACGGCCCGTCTTAGCTCGTGTGCCTTGCGAAACTGGTCCCAACCTCCGGCTGTAGTCTCACAGACACTGAGTGTCTTTGCACAGACGTGGAGCTCAACTCTCAACTGTCAGTCTGTGTTCTGCAAGGATGCAACTATGAAGATGCACTCTGTAAGTTATATAGCGTCTGACAGAATCCGATTTTCCCACGTCAAAAGCCTCCAGCGAAGCTACCCCAGACAACCAATATGGAGAACCTGGCAAAATTGCATTCACATCCAGCTGACATTCTCTTTTGTTGCAGTGACGAAGAATGGCTCATCAACAATGTGCGGTGTCCCCGTGCGGGATGAGACAGCGACACCTACAATAGTCGCGGCCGTTGGCTTTGGTCTTGCCACTTTCGTGTACATTCTGCGAATTTGCTCTGCGCTGCCTGCGAATGGGCGTGAGCTCGGCTGGGACGACTGGACTATCACAGCGACCTTGTTGCTCACCATTCCGCCGACGATTTTCGCATTTCTTTGTAAGTGAATCCCTACGCACATCTGTGTTCCTCGTAGAAGGCATCCATGCTTTTTTCCCGTGACACTAATGAATTTCGTAACAGTGTCCGCGAATGGCCTGGGAAAAGACATGTGGACTCTGCCTATGTACAAGATCGAAAACGTTCTGTTTGTGAGTGCGCCGCTGCACCTGATTTGCCTCGACTTCACTGCTGACTGAGTATCAGTACTACTTCATCGGAGAGCTGTTCTACTTTGCAGCACAATCCATGAACAAAATCTCCATACTGATCTTCCTGCTGCGAGTCTTCCAGCACAATGACCTGAACAGGTTCATTTGGGCCACTATGGGCCTCTGTGCAGCCTACGCTGTGTCATTCTTCTTCGCGACATTCTTCCAGTGTTGGCCCATCAACCATGCGTGGATGCAGTTGGAGGAGTGGCATGTGGGCTACTGCAACAATATCCACCTTCAGGGGTGGCTCAGCGCTGCCTTCAACATCCTTATCGATATCATCATCCTGATTCTGCCGCTGTATGAGCTTTACAAGCTGCACGTGAGCCTGCACAAGAAGCTCATGCTCATGATCATGTTCTCATTGGGTATTTTGTGAGTCTTCAGGCCCCTAAAATCCCCCTTTGTTGCCCCCGCGGAAAGTAGGCTAACACTACGAATTTCAAGTGTCACTGTGGCCAGTATCATTCGCCTGCGCACCCTTGTGCTATTCGCCAACTCGACCAACATTACGTATGACTACATGGACGCCGCCTACTGGAGCACAATCGAGCTCTACGCAGGTATTATCACGGCCTCGCTGCCCGCCGTCTACAAGCTGTTCTCCAGCCTCGGCCTCAGCCCAACGTGGTCGAGTGTCAAGAACAAGATGTCTGGCGGCTCGTCCGGTAAGACTCCTGCAAGCTCAGGCGTCGCGTCTTCCGGGATCTCGAAGTCGGATAATAGGCCCAAGCCGCGGCAGATATCCTTGAAACGCGGGGATGAGCCTGAGTTCATCCGCCTGAACGATGTGGAGTCTGGAAAGTCTGGAAAATCCTCCTGGGATTAGGGCTGATCAGGCTGTTTTACCATTCTTGTCCCCCCCATTTTACCTGTAGTTACGTTGAATGCCCTTCTCTGTCATATGTGACAAAATCCTACGAAAAGCCACTTTAAACCTTAATGTCTACTGTGTAGATAACTTTATCAACGATTTAGCCATTTTTGATGATTCTGAGTCCACACAATGCCATCCGTGAAAAGAACCCTAATTCGCTTGGGTGATGGCGTGGCGGTCTCCGCCTACCTGGTCCGTGTAAGACAGCCTTGACTTTGAAATAATCCCTGTTCGGAAGCCTCGCTTGCTCACTTGCGATGAGCAGATGCTTCATTTAGGCCGAGCGGGGGAGAAAAGCGAGAGGTCCAGAGAAGACAGCTTGGCGTGCTAAACTGCCGTGGCGACAACTTCGTCCTCAGAGCGGCCCTCACAAGACTCCTCGCATCTGCCGATACCCATGGCTGTTGATCTTCTATTCAGACTTTCGGGGAGCAATCATGGCAGAGCCTGTTCAACGGGATGGATGGCTCATTTCAATGAAAACAGAAGAGCAGCGCCGAGGCTCGTCTACAGCAGTGCCCCATCGTGAGAGCTTAGTCCGGAAGATCACCCCTTTGCGCGAGTCAATCCCTATCTGCTTTGGTCGATCACTACACTGCTGGTGAGTAGCGAGAAATCAAAAGAGGTCGATCGCAACTGCGGCCCACACCAATGACAGTCCGACAGGTGGGGCTGGCGACCTGAATTAGTATTGCGATTCCCTCGCCAAACCCACACGCTTTCCAGCCGCGGGCAAAGCGAGACGGCACTTACCAGCCAACAACCTCGGAATATACGGACAAGCCTATTCCTCGGCCTGAACATGCAGCCCCCATCCCTTTTTCTTCTCCTGCGTAATCCTTTCACGTTTATTGGGTCATTGACGGATGGAATCTGGAGGCATTGAAAGGGAAGCGTCGTGTAGCTTAGATTTCACGTTCATTCGAGCTCTTCTTCAAACGCCGCTGTAATGAATTGAGTTGATTTTCATCCACTCTCACGCTCTTTTACTGTTTCAGTCGCTTGATGCTATACACACTCTTTATTGCCTAACTCTTGTCACTCTTTTATATCTTTTGCCTGATTGTTCAGATTTACCACACAACTGTCGCCATGTTCATCCGTTCGCGCGCTGTTCAGGCATGCGTTGTTGCTGCATCTGTCCTGTCCCCAGCTGTAGACGCGTTTCCCACAGCCGAGAACTTTGCCAAGCTCATCCGCTACAACCCGGGGCTTGATGATGCCTCAGCCCACTTTGCGAAGGTACAAGAGGAACTGGTTAAGCTGAGAGAGAAACGGCTCCTCTTTGATCCGTTGACAGATCCAATTGATAGTACGTACATGCCAGTGATTCGTCACTTTTGGAAAGAGTGCCCCCGAATTGCCTTGGTGGTTAAGTGAGCTGACTTATATGCCTCCACAGTCACCGGAGACCATGCCTTCGTGGCTCCAGACTTTGACAGCGGTGATCAGCGGGGACCTTGCCCTGGGCTGAACGCTCTGGCTAACCATGGCTACATACCTCATGATGGTGTTGTTGGAGTATGTCATGCATATTTGTTCTTTTTATGCTGCAACACGGACCAGGATTCATATACTGACTGTATACAACTATAGTTTGTGGATCTTATCGACGCCTTGAACACCGGTAAGCTGAGCACCATTGAATTGAAGCCCAAGTGAGCCCGGTCTTGCCCATGAGCATGGGCATGATAATAGAGGGACACATTTAGCTTGTAAAAATCCTGAGCTCATCATATGCTAACAAACTGTCTTCAGTCTTTGGCATGGGCATCGAATTGGCCACCGTCCTGGCCATCATGGGCACCGTTGGTGTCGGCAATCCAATCTCGCTCGACCCAGGCTTCTCCATCGGTGGTGCGCCCCCAGACGACAGTCTCTTCTCGTCCAACATCCTCGGCAACTTGCTCGGCCTGATGGGCAAGCCTCGCGGCCTCGTCGGTAGCCACAACTGGATCGAGGGTGACTCGTCCAACACTCGCGACGACCTGTACGTCACTGGTGATGCGTCCACCATGAACATGACGCTCTTCATGATGGCTTACAACGGCGCCGAGGGCGACGTCATCACGATGGAGGACATTGGCAACCGTGCAGCGGAGCGATTCCAGGAGAGCATCGAGATCAACCCGTACTTTTACTACGGACCGTACACTGGCCTTATTGCACGAAATGCCGGGTACGCCTTTTCTGGCCGGATCTTGAGTAACCACTCGACCGAGTTTCCGGGCGGACAACTGAGTAAGTGCACCCGAGACGTCACTGGTCATCTTCTCCCACGGCCAAGCGAGACATACGAAACGGATACTGACCGTACCTTCACAGCCAAGGATGTCTTCAAGTCCTTCTTCGCCGTGACCGAAGACGACAACGGAGAGCTAGTCTACAACAAGGGCTGGGAGCGAATCCCAGAGAACTGGTACCGTACACCGGTCGACTACGGCTTGGTGGCACTGAACCTCGACCTCGTGTCCTGGGTGCTGCAGCACCCGGAGCTCGGCAGCGTGGGCGGAAACATGGGCAAGGTCAACTCGTTCGCCGGTATCGACCTGCACGATGTCACGGGCGGCGTGCTCAACGCCACCAGTCTGCTCGAGGGCAACAACCTGTTCTGCTTCGCGCTCGAGATCGTCAAGACGTTTGCGCCCAACGCGCTCGCGCCCATCTTCAAGACGCTCGAGGCGCCGCTCAAGCTCCTCAACGACGCCGTTGTCGGACCTCTGCTTGATATTGGGTGCCCGGCTTTCCAGGACCTGACTATGGGCGGGGACGATCTGTTTTCTGGCCTGTCTGGGAAGTTCCCAGGTGCGAACAAGAGTGGCTCTGCGTTGTAGACAGTTTGTGCTTCATAATACAAGGATTATGTTCCGATCGCGATACACGGCATCGTTATCCTTTAACAATTGATGGTCACCTCCTCTTCCGCACAATAGCATGTTGTCCTGAATCTTTGCCGTTCACGCCATAGACTGAGCTTGAAAGAAGTTGTATATAATTCGCATCAATTTATACATCTATTTGATGAGAGCATCGGCGAATCGATATCTCACATCGGAGAGGCTGGTCTTAACAGTCTGATAGCCTCCGGTCTCTAGGGATTGGTCGAAATGAATTGATCGCCCAGCGGAACGTACCAGCCAGCAAGCGAAAGCATTCCCTGCAGGTTCTGTAGCATTGTACACAAAATCAGCTCGTATAACGACGCGGTCACATGCACGGAAAACGCAATGCTATCTTTCCACTTCTTGGGATCGAGCCATATGGCGCGATGCTACAGACTAAAAGCCAATTTGTCCGCGCTGTTGCCGGTGATAACCCCTCCTTATTGCCGCCAAAATGATCTTGCGAACTGCAAAATCTCCACCTCCACCTCCCACCCGCCAGCCAGCAAGCGAAACTCCCGCTCAGAAGCCCGCCCACTGCTGACTTCGCCAAAATGGGTTCAAAGCAGGCACCAAGGATCTTGCTGCTTAAAAATTACCCATCTACGTCGCCCGTAGACCATGCAATGACCGAGTCTTTCCGGAGCAATATCAAAGCATTCCTGCCCGAAGCCCAGCTCGATGTTTGTGGTATTGCGAACGGCGAGACCATCCCGGATCCATCATCCTACGAGCTAGTGATTCTGAGCGGCGGCTATGTGAATCTCCTGGAGGACGAGCAGCCGAAGTGGGTGCTGGACGTGCTCGAGATGATACGCCAGATCGCCGGGGGCAACTTACAGACGAAGTTGCTCGGGATCTGCTGGGGCCACCAGGCGATCCATCGTGCCCTCGGGGGGAGGCTAGCCTGGGTTGGGGAGAAGCATCGTGTAAGCTACCTCGCACTACACGGGGGAATTTTGAAAGTTGGTATCTGATCAATTCCATGTAGAATGGCGTTCAAGACATCCAACTGTCTCCCGCGGGCCAGAAATTCTTCCATCGCAATAGTCTGGTAGGTTGTCACACCTGGGCAAGGCTGCAACTGTATCTTATTGCTCGACCCCACATTGTAATTTGATGGTTTCATTCACACTGACATCTCATCAGCTGCTACACAAATACCACATCAGATACGTGCCAGAGTTGGCTCCTGATTTCACGACGTTGTCCGAGGACAGCGAGATCACACTGGCGTCATTAGGGAAGATTCTCACATTCCAAGGCCAGCCAGAGCTGACTTGCGAGATCTCGAAGACATTGATAGAGAAGGCCGGTGGCACGTACGAGCGACGAGATAGGTCTAAATTGAGTCGCGATGGTGTTGTGCTCGACGACATTTCCACGCCGCATGACGGAAGCGAGGTGTGGGGTGAGATCTTGCGGTGGGCTGTCTAAATCATCGAGGATGAGTGACGCTTGTCACACAACAATACCCGTCGCGCCATCCACCACAAGACAGAATGATTTAGCAAGACAATTTCTTCTCACCGTCTTTTGATAAGAGAGAGGCACAAAATAAAAAAGCCCCAACCGCCAACCACGTGAATGAGACCTAGATGTTAGTAGAGCGTGCCACTGCGGAAGAACAAGCTTCCAGGTATAGGCACTGAATTGTCCGCACGGACGGGCCTATAACTGGAACAGAGTGGCTGTAGCAGCGCGTGGGAACTGAACCCCGACCGTCACAAATATAATCAGCAGATCATACTGTTGGGCCCAGTGCGCTGCTTCTAGTTCTTTGAAAGGAATGAATTGATGTAGGGACATCGTATGGGTAGGTGGCTTGTGGCCAAGGCATCGGTCAGGTGAAGTGCGATTTCAGCCGGCGTTGACTTCCCCATCAAGTGCCGTCCACCTTGGTCCAAGGCAGCCCACCTCGTGACTCAGCTCGGGTCCCGTTTGCCTCGTGCAGCTCCTTCGCCTACTAGGCCCCGCGCAGCTCTTTCTCGGACAGCGGCGACCCAAGGTCCTTAGACAGCCAGGGCAGATGGGCGTAAGAGTAGGCCTTGGCGATGGGCTTGTAGGGAGCGAGGAACGTGAGCTGCTGGTAGAACCTCGCGAAACAAGCATCCGGGACCGCTGGGCTCTACAGCTCCCACAGCTTCTGGATGCTCAGGCGGAGGTAGTGATCACCAAAGCCGTATCGATCGATGCGCTTGCGCGTCTCAAGGAGGTCGTTCAGCGCGTTGCCCATCCAGTTTCGGACCCCTCTCGCCGCTTGTGCTTCGCCTCGCACAACGTGCTGAGATCGTCTGCGCGGTCCTTGTCTTCCTCTTTGACCTTTTCTCTGTTGCCCCGTTTCCCCTTCAAGTTCGCGTTGACCGCGGCCCTATCTGGGTTAGTCTCGATGTTCTTGTTCCTGTCGAGCCGGACGCGGATGAGTTCCGGCATCAGCGAGTCCATGTGGCGAAGTACAGGCTACGTGCTGCGTACCCCAACGCTTCGAGGTTTCGATCGACAACCCTCGTATGATTGCTCCTCAAAATCCAGCAAAAGATTGAGGTCGTGTGTGGGAGAGGAAGCGACAATGCCTTTTGCGAGCGGCAGGAAGAGCGCAATTGCTTGGGCCGTGTCATCGGAGGTCTGGGCTGAGGGCGCTAGTTGGATGTCTTGGTAGACAGAACAAGGGCATGGTGAGGCGCGCGTACCACTCCCCCCCTTCCCTGAAATTCTTTGTCATGGCGTTCTAAGTTTTGTCGATGGAATCGGAGTCCCTTCGTCCTGAGCTGGAACGGGCTTGGTGGCCTGTGGCCTGGCTCGCGACTTGCGCTTTGGTCGGGCTTGGTCGGCGCCGGGGTCTCTTGGACATCATCGACGCTCCACTCCTGCTCTGACCGTAACTCAGACGCTTAAGAGACACATATGGGGTCTAAACCGCCAGTATCGGAGTCTGAGGTCCTCGGGACCTTTGCTGTTGGGTGATGGGTCGCGTTGAGATCCTCTCTCTCGGGCGGCGAGCGGTCGGTTCCGTGTTGGGTCAAGGGCCATATCTGAGACATGGAAGGTCTTTCAGAGGAGTTTTACCTGCGCTGGCAGTCTCGAAAGCGCAAAGTGCAAATGTAAGAGCCAAAAGCCATTCTATCGACTTGGTGGTTGTGAGCTTTGGGGCGCGTCGTTATCCGGCTCCGAAATTCTCGACCCCTGGAAGACCTAGGCCCACCAAGGGCCTTCTACCCTAAACCTGCTTCCCATTAGCTGTGGCTATCAGAACCCTGAGGGGTCTATCCATATCAGAACAGTAGACTGTAGGACTAAATACTTAAATGGCAGAAATTGAGAAGAAAGTCCTCGGAAATTTAGTCCTCACAAGGTTTCACGGGAGCTAAGGAATTTTCCCAGCTGATTGAGAGAATGTGCTTCTTAATCGGCCATCGGAACACAAAGCGACGAGCGATGCTTCATTCTACCACAGCTGCCACAGCTAATGCAGAAAAGTCCGGATCTCTATTATCCTCACGTGTCCGTTGGTTCTGACAGCAGTCAAAGTCGAGCGTTGTCATCATAGTACATGGGAAATTGATCATGAGGATCTCGGAAGTGATAGAAGGCTCGTGGTGCAAAATTTCACAACAATGGCTTCTGGCTACATCCTATATTGTAATGCCTCTAAAGCGGTCCGTGCTACTGCTTTCATTATTGACCATGTCTCAACGCCATACTAACAGCCTCGTAGGTCCTAAGCGGTACCTATCTAGGTAACGTTGGCCCTGCTTTACTGGCCAGGTTCTCAGGTATCCACCCACCCTTTGGCTGAAAAAAAAACCCGCCGCATCTCCAAGGCATCCATCATCTACCCAGCTTTCCTGAACACCTTTTCCAGCACCCAACACTCACTGCCTGCACAAATATCGCGACTACTGAAAGTTTGTCAACTACCGAATCTCGAGCTGCTTATCGTTTCAGAGCTCATCCGAGCAGCGAAAGTTTCCTAGGAAAACATGGAACCTCCAGAATCACCGAAACTGCATGCTGGGCCGCAGGATAACAGCCAGGCAAGAGCAGCCAGCCATTCATCTCAAAACTCGACGCCTTCGCTAATGCAGCAGAAGTTTATGGCTGCGGATGTAGCCGAAGAAGAATCAAAAGCAGATTGGAACCGGCGCGCGGCTGCTATCCAAGAGGGCATAAAGGAGGAACGCGAGCGCAAGGAGTTATACTTCTTCTATGGCTCTCTTATGGATCCAACGCAGCTGCAACGTGTTCTCAACCTCAAGAACCGACCGAGGAGTCTGGTACCGGCCGAGATCGTTGGGTATCATATTCAGATGTGGGGACCGTACCCAGCGCTGATCGATGGACCCCCCGGAAATGTGGTTAAGGGCATAGCATATGAGATTGAGGGTGAAGAAGCTAAAAACAAGTTGGCTGATTATGAGACGGGCAATTATAAAGAGCACAGATGCACTATACGTCTCAAGGGAGGGGCTCAGGTATCTGGCATAACTTTCGAGTGGTCTGGAGATATGGATGATTTGAAAGACGCCAGCTTTGATCTGAAAGACTGGCAAATGACGCATTTGTTGGATGAATAAGTCATAAGTTCTTATTGCAGCATTTATAACTATTTTATCAGATGTTCAACCGTCCAGCGGTTGGGTTAGATAGGGACCCTATATAGGTGGCGATAAATCACCTGCCTCTTTTGTTTGATAGCCTCATCTCCGACCGCCATTGCCCCTGCCATTTGCAGCATTTGCAGCAGCCTTCCTTGCTGCAGCCTCAGCCGCCAACTTTTCACTCAACTTCCTCAACATGAGATTCTTCTTCTGATCTTCCTTAACCTTGGTCTCTAGTTCAGCAGTGCTGGGTATCTCCGGCGTGACCAGGGCAGCGGCACCAGTTTTGTTGCTGAAGACCGCATTGAGATAACGCACGTCACTCACGCCATCCACCAGGCCGTTGGACGTAAACTCTTTGAGGCCTTCAACTGTCCCTGGATACTTTGTACAGTCGACATCGGCTCTTCGTGCGGCTAGCACGAAAGCGATAGCCAATTCCACCCAAGCCAGGCAGCCCCTTTGGCTGGTCATGGCCGCCGGCTGCCGCCACTCTATAGTACCGGTCTTCAGATGATCCTGATCCAGGTTCATGAAGTTCCAAGCGAAATACCTGTTGCCCTCGTTCATGAGCATGACCAAATCCTCGATGCTCTTGCAAGCTTGGATGAGCTTAATACAGTCAGCCACAGTCTTACCCATGAACTTTTTGACATTGTTACTGTGGGTTTTAGCCCAATAACTCCCATTCCGGTGAGGTGGGAGCAAGGCAGCCATTGCGCGTTCGAAGCGAATGATTGCTTTGCATATGCCCTTGAGCTCTGGCAGGCTCCAATATTGGCCGTAAGGAGAGATGTGGACGTGGAAGCCACAGCTTTGATTTCCCCGGAAAGTGCAGAGGGTGGACAGCCCGTTGAATAGACCACTGATCTCATCACGCCACTCATTTGAGGCGCGAAAAGTCATGATAGGCGAAACAAGTTCAATCGGATCTGGTGGCAAATCAGTTCGCGACTCCCAGGCGGTGTGGTTCAGGGAAAGTCGAATCAGTCATCTAAGGATGCGAGGATTCCACGCGAACATCTCTTATCGTTTTGGTAACATAATTAGAGGATTTGGGCATGGAGTATGAAACAGAACACTTACATGAACCCGGCTTACGTCCCCTGATGGTTGAATCTCCGGTCAAGATCCAACTCCTATACATAGGACCCTGGTAGGGGAGGTCTTCGAAGTTCGGGTGAAGAAGTGAGCGACTGCGCCTTTCCTCTGGCAGTCTTCCGTACGAGTCGCAGACAAACTTGGAAACCTCTAAAGTCTTCGACCACGGTTCGTTTGCAGGTGGGGCCGGAGCATGGATTAGAGACATAAGTGTCTCTATTTCGCAGCCGACCCTCAGCTCATTGCCTTCTACCTGCAACTTCGATGAACTGGCCATGTCGATATAATCTACTGTGGACTTCTGGGTGTAGTTTGCGAGTATCTGGGTTTTGAGAACAGATGTGTTACAGATAATGAATCGTGAGACAAGAGATAATGTCAATGTTGAAAAGAAAAGAAAGAAAAAGGACAATACTGAAAAAGGTTCTTTACTGTTTGATATTCGAGGAGCTTGAATGCTTGAGTGGTTTGAGCTTAAGTAATTAATGTTGATGAAGTCTAAGTACCAGGAAATATCTCTCAGATCTGAATTGGGCATGCCTTCTTATATCACGACCGTACTCACCAGAGTCTGACTTCAGAAGGCTCCTTCGTCCAGATGAAATCCCACTGCGGCGCGGAAGTGAGGCGATTCTACGCCATAAGGCTGCATGTGTCGAGGCCAAGTTCAGGAGTCGACCCGATGGCGTGAACCATGGCCAACCGCCGCAGCACTGCCAGGCGCGCGGCTGGCCATGTCTTCTTCGAAAAGATTTTCTAACTTGAGGATTTCAAAACATATTTATTGATGCTGGATGCTAAAATTATACATTGCTTTGCCACTGGTAGACGTACTCAGCAAGGCAACTGACCACCGGCCCAGCACTGCATTGCAGACTCGGTTGCGTGATACGTCTTCATTCAGCGGATGCACATGGTCTTGAGATGTGGATCGCAGTGTATATACCTATGGTGGCGCGATGATAGGTGACTGCCAATATGCATGTTGGTGATTCAAAGTCTTATAAATAGGTACATTCAACAAGGATACGGCGGAATACAGCTGAATGAGTGCCAAGAAGGTTTTGAGGTCTGGACCACTGCCCAATTCCAATTGGGTAGACACGCGCCAGGTTTCTAGACTTGGAGCAGAGTAATCTGTACCTCTAGGCTTTGATTTAGATTGAAAACAACATAGAGCTATGTAAGATTTGTCACAGAGACAATCGACCTAGCAACTGGGAACATGTCGGCACCCATTCAGCTATGTTTCGCGGCGGCTGGAGATGCTGGGCCTGGTAGTGGATACACACAAAAATAGTTAGCAGTAACCCGAACACTTGGCCCCAGTACCGGCCACCAACACACCAGACCAACTAGTAAGACCCCTCAGTGGCCCGCTGACTAACCCTCACGCTAGTGGCTCGGCAGAGCCAGGAAATGGAGTACCGCCTGGTTGTATCGACCTGCCTGTCGGTCTAATTCCATAAATTCCACAACTCCCATCAGCAGCAGCAAACGCACAGAACTTGCTTCAGTGGCCCAACTTCCAAATCGAGAGCAACCAAAAATCAGCCAGGACCATTCGGGACGCTTATAACAATTCTCTGACACGGATCAAAGGCAGCTTTTCCTGACTGTCTCTCTATTCTCAACACAATGGAACCCGACAAGCACTTGCCCCGGGCTGATCGTGGCACAGACGTTCCGAATCAAGGTGATGAGAATCCAGCCATCCCGACAGAAGCACCTCCAAAAGAATCCGAACCCCCCAAAGAAGAGTTGCGCGGCTTTGCTGCGTCGTACGCGGCCTTTCTCAAGGACCAACGTGAGAACCCGGACCGCGACATCCTGGCCGAGGACGTACGTCAGAGTGAAGAGCGCCAGGCCGTCAAGATCAAACAACGCGAGAGAAATGAGACCTATTTCTTCTACGGAACCCTGATGGATCCAGGCATCGCCCAAAAGATCCTCAGCTTGGAAGCACCACCTGTTATGAGACCAGCAGTCCTCAGAAATCGCGGGCACCTCAAGATGTGGGGTCCCTTCCCTGTGTTCGTTGCCGACGAGGACCCAAGGGTTGACGTGAAAGGGATGGCATGCGAGATTGAGGGAGCTGCGAGGAAGGACCGGCTTATGGCGTACGAGGGCGAAAAGTATGTTGAGAGACTGTGTCTGATCCATTTCCTCAGCGAGGATGGTAGCACGGTCACTGATGAGAGCGTTTTCGGCGTGGTGTTCGCATGGATTGGTGATGACGACGAATTGGATGATGGTACATTCGATCTGGAGGCGTACAAAGCGGCCAAGGCAGAACTGGAGGCTGCTGAGAAGTAGTCACAATTCCTTCATACCCTACACTGTCTAGCAGCCTGGCTGCTGTAAGTGAACCCGTTTCACAGTGCTTGGATGATGGATGGGACACGAGAAAAAAGGTGCAAAGGTACTCCAAGCCCGTTAATGCGGCCATTTCCGGGTGCCTTTTTCTTCAGTGGCCTAGCTATCAGACAACACACCTAAAACCCTCTCACAACTCCCAATATTGTAACCAAAAGCCAATTTTTGTGTCATGGTAAAGGCCGGCGAAAGTGTTCGCAAGCTTGCAACCAGACGGTGGAAGTGTACGTTTGAGATAAATTAATTCGCTTCATACTCTAGGCTCAAGCCAAATCTTTCCCAGACCATGAGCTAGTCTCTGAGATACTTGTGTGGCTACACAGTTGCTCTTGTCGCTCGTGGCAATGCGACCGGTAAAGCAGCGTAGTCGAGCCAACAAGAGGCTTGTGTCATCGAGCCAATAAACCTGTAGCAAGGACAGCAGACATGGCTCATGACGGAAGGGGAAATGCTCCGACCAGGTCATCTTTCAGAAAAGGAAACTCCGAATCATTTCGCGAGACGAGGAGATTTGATCTTCCAAGCCACTTGAGGCAAAATCAATACCATGGTTAAAACCACTGCGCGCATCAAATCTCCAGTGGCTGGCCAATGCCGTCAGTCGAGCCCGAATTCCTCAGCTCGGAACACGACTGACGCCGTCCAATGCCGACTATGTATCACATGCTCCAAGAGGGTTACTACATTACGCTCCGCAGCTTCATCAGACATTAGGAAACAATTGATGTTTGGTGCGAGTGACTGCTCATTGGCAAGCACTAACCTGAAGGTTTCCGATATTACTCGATTAGGCAACGGAAGTGAGAAAATGACGGCGGGACGGCTGCCATCTCGGCCTCGGGCTCGCGCCTGTCTCCTCGAATTTAGGGGGCCGGAAGACGATAGCGGCATTGAGGTGTCAAGTCTGGGGCGTAAATCCGGGGTACTGGCTCGGCAACATTCCCCGCATTCGGGGGCGTATGCGCCAGCGCATGTGTAACTGCGGGACGGCGCCGTTAGACTTCTGACAGCGGCCTATATATATCACTGGCAACGACATGTGCATTTGCCATTTTTGCCTTCTCACTGATACACCAAAGCACCATCATCCTCTTGTGTCACTGACGCGCGATATCTCGAGAGACTATACAAGAAACGACCCCAAGCCGCACACCCAAAAATGGCCACGAACGGCACGAACGGAGCACATGCCAACGGCACACTGTTCACCCCCTCAAAATACCCCCCTTTCCCCAAGGATGTCCCCAGTGTGAAGCTAGAAACATTCTCCCTCGCCCAGCTAGAGAAAGGCGACAAGGTGCTCGAAGACAAAATATTCGAGACATGCAAGGAGCGCGGCTTTTTCTACCTCGACCTGAACGGAAGTCAGGTCGACTCCATGGGGCAGGACTGTGACGACATTGCCAGGCTGGCAGAGAAAGTGTTCAAGCTACCGCAGGAGGTCAAGGACCAGTATGCAGTTACGGATAATATTTTTGGGTAGGTTTCATGTCCCACATCATCTTCACCACTGCCGCCAACACGAGAGCTAACGGTCGTCCAGATTCAAGAGGGTTGGAGCAACCAAGACCGACGCAAAAGGAACACCCGACACCGCCGGCTTCTTGAACATCGCAAAGGACCGCATCCTTGAGAACACAGACCGGTGGGAGTACCCACAATTAGTTCTGGACCACAAGCCCCTCCTGGCGCGGTACATGCGCAACGCCCACGGCACAGGCCTGAAGGTCCTCTCCATCCTCGCCGCCCGGCTCGGCCTGCCCGCCGACGGGTTCGACAAGTACCACCGGCTGACGGAGGAGTCGGGCGACCACGTGCGCATGACGCACGGCCCGCCGCGCAAGTCGGCCGAGCTGCCCGAGATCCAGACGCCCGGCCACACCGACTTCGGCACCATCACCATACTCTTCAATTGGCTCGGCGGCCTGCAGGTGTGGTCCGACCCGTCGCGCGGCTACTTCGGCAACGTCGTCGACCCGGAGAGCACGGCTGGCCCGGGCGGCAGTGAGCAGGGCGAGGCGCCCCGGTGGCTGTGGGTCCAGCCGCCGCCGCCGAACCACGCCATCGTCAACCTGGGCGACGCGGCTGTCAAGTGGACGGGCGGGGTGCTGTGCTCTGGTAGGCATCGGGTCGTGCCTGCTCCGGGTGAGCAAGGGAAGTTCGACCGGTACAGCATTGTCTACTTTGTTCGGCCAGAGGATAGTGCGGTTTTGAAGAGGCTGCAGGCGCCCGGTATCCCGAAGCTGGAGCCGGGGGAGAAGGAGGAGGAGATCACGGCCAAGGAATGGATCCTCCAGCAAGCCAGGGGACTGGGGCAGCAGCTTGCTACAAATTGAGATGAATTCATGGTTTGATGACGATATCTGGGAATCAGAATGTATGAAGCCTACAAGCGTGTATTTTGTGTCGGAATGCGTGGAACTATTCATGTAAACAGTATCACTCGTTCGATGCAGGAACAATGACAATAGTTTGCACCCATCAGCATTTGCGTCTTGTGTTCTCAGTCGTGTAGTACTATTATTTCATGTTCTCAGAAAATTGAGGCCCTCTAGACCCCCGGAGCTCGGTCCTGCAATGCAAAGTGTCCTGGAAAGCAAGCACACACTCTTCTTATCGTGCGATTCGGCAGATTTGACATATAGCCAGGGAGGACATAATGCGCAGAATATAGAAGGCAGCTAAATCTATGTGAGGGAAAAGGAAAAAGGCGGTTTCAAATGGCCTGATGACTCAGATCATTTAAGTTGGTTGAACAAGTCCGCCATTATAATTATTTTGAGTTCAGCCTGGAGATAGTTAATTTGTCCCAACGAGAATAAATAAGACATGTCACTTCTATTTTTCTGTCATCTTGGCTGGCCTTTAAGGTACCAAGATCTGAAGACTATGTTGTCACAACCACGCTCTCTTATATAATGCCCGAAAGACGACCCAGTGAACTCTGGACGCCTATATCGGATCAAGGTTGCCGTTCCTGGCAAGCTCCCACGATACCTGTGGACCCTGTTAGGAGGTGTTTTAGGTAATACTTAGAGAAAATAGCGCCCTGCGCTTGTAGCTCTTGCGCTTATACCTAATAACTGCTGAATTTTAAACTTTTTACTATTAAGCAATTTATCCTTATATAATAAATTATTAATAATTAGTAAGGCGCAATATATAACTTATAATATGGTCTACTTCTTTTTCTGCGGCTCTACAACGAGGGATGGATGCGCTGAAGCACTCTGCCCACCCTCACGCTTCTCATTCTTCTGGGGACAGTCAGGGACCAGGCTCGCTCTGGCTGTAATAAATCGGCCTGTCAGGAGTATAGCCTGCAGGAACTCACGATGGGCCGAGAATGCTACCGCTCCGTTCAAGTCATTAAACCGCTTCTTTTGTTGGATAATGATATGCCACAGGTGTAACATCAATTAAAGCGGTTGATCAACCCTGTCAAACCATGATCTTTTGCGCCGCAGGAGGCTGCGAACGGCTTTGGAAACATCCTTAGTTGCCATAAGGAAGACTGGATCTTTGATCCCAGTTATATCCTCTGAGGTGAGTATGTTTCGCTCTGCCATACATGGACCAATTTCAAGATCGCTTCGGTAACGCCAAAACCGGATGCACCGGATCAGCTCGACTGCTTGGTCCTGGGAAGCTACAGCTAACATGTTTGAGGCTTGAGATTGTTTTTGAGGTCAGTTTTCAGAGATAGTGTAATATGGTTTCGGAGACTGGGAAGTATTGGGAAAGACTTGATACTTATAGTCGCTGGAAGCATAAGCGGCCCGCAAGACCAGCCCAGACTTCCTTATTCCAGTTTTTAAATTCCTAGATTCAAACCACACTGCTTGAAACCCCAATCCAAGGCCATCCCAATTTTGCAAACAAGAGCTTTCAAATAAAAATACAGAGAATTCGCTATGAGTCTTCTCATTAGCTGTGGTCTAGCATCAGTCACATCGCGGGCCCTGCCCGTTACAGTATGAGATAGGTAAGATAAGAGCGGATAGGATTAGATGGGATAGGATCAGATAACCGAGTTAGAGAGTTAGGGTGCAGGAGTCGTAAGAGATGCGGGCACGTGGCGGGGTAGCGATATCAGCTAACTTAGTGGAGCACAGGTGACGGCGCTTGCACGCCGTGAATACCAATGACGAACAATGTGTTAAAACGACTGGACCTTCTCGAGACAAGACTGCACTATGCCTACTTCGGGCGGCAAATCATGGACGGCAAACATTGCCAACGATGAGACGAGCATTGCGGCGGCCTCACTTTTGCGTCTGCTTGGCGGCGTTGCAGTTGCTACCAATGCAGATAATGAAAATGTTCAACCGCTAGCCCAGTGGCTACGACACTATTCAACATCGGCCCATGATTTCGCTCTCCCCATTGGCAAATGGTGGACGGCATTTACATTCAGCTCCGAGAACAACAAACCAGGTATCCACCAGCTTGCCCAAGTTACTCTAGCAGTTGCGTTGCTTCAAGAAAAGGCACGGCGCGGACTGGAGGTAGATGCAGCGAGCCTCGATATCATCTGGGGCCTGATCCACGAAGCGATAGTCGGTGCGCAAGAAACCAAGCTTCAGTTCCTCGTTTCCCGGAATGCCCAGGGGTTTCTGGCTGTCCCGCTCTGCAGTCTGATCCAAGAGGGACGCATCGAGGAACTATGGCGGCTGCACACCTGGCTGCCTGATGGGCAACGGGGCGACCCTGAAGTTCGTATTCACGCCCACCAGCCATTCGGACAGAGTTGGTCATTACTTGGATCTGGCACGAACTGTGAATTCAAAGTGGACAGCCCTGATGATGCCTCATTGACCACCCATGCAGCTTATGAATGTTGCTATACCTATACCGGCGAACATGACTCGCGAACCGGGCCAGGATTTCTTCAAATGAGGTCAACCATCAGAAGCACTGGAAGACTCGTGAGAGTAACTCCGGTCAGCCGTGAACTGCACACGCGTGACATGAGTTACAGCGTTCCGGCGGGTGCGTACCACCAATCAACTGTATCCGGCAGCAGGATGCATGCCACGCTCTTCGTTTTCGATGCGCACCGCGGCTACGACGATAACGCTGCCGTCCTTGGTCCGAAGGATGGTAATGGCCTGGCAGAATCAGGAGACGCGGACGGTATCACGCCCCAAGCTCTGGCGCGAACTGTGGACGCAGTTCGAGATTGGGAGAAAGAGCAAGAAGTCATGCTTGGAGGGAATGATGAGCATCCTACTGTGATTGGGTATTATAGGTTCTTCTGTGGTTCAGGACTCCTGCAGGCTGGGCGACGAGAAGACGCGTTGCAGTACTTCAATCCCCCCAAGGGAGGCACACCTGCGCACGCGTTCGCTCGGGAGCCCTCTCAGCAGCACCGTGCATACATCAAGACGCTCATTGAAGCAGGAGCTGACTTGGGCCTAGTGGATGAAGCTGGCTTCACGGCATTGGACTATGCCGTGCAAAACGGAGATGCTGAGACGGAGGCACTCCTCTGTGGCCAGCCGTCGGCAAAAGCGCGAGCGTAGAAGCAGGGAAGGTGTAAGGGTTGTTGAATACAAGCAGAGTGAATAGGTATACACAGCGGCCGAGCAGCGAAGTAGTAGCGTAGAAGCAGAATATTCGCAGAGGTAGATACAACTGAACTTGCCCTCCTCTCTCCTTTTTCCTCGGCCATCAAGTTTCCCCCCGCCTTTTATAGGCGAAGCCCTTACTGCCTCGCTGTTTTCGTTGCGCATTCGCTGCTCCTTTGAAGCGCGCGACGAGAGCCCTCGGCGAGGTTCCGTCGGCAAAGTTCCGTCGCGGAGCCGCAATACTGGGACTTCCGCCAAAGTGACACAAGACACCCTGACAGAAGGTAGCGTAGTATATTATACTCACGAATGGTATGAAAGAGTAGCTCTCGTCTTCGATGATGGGCTGTCCTTTCTTAAGCCTGGATTCTTAAAGCCGAACGGGCTTGCAAGATTATCTGGCGCCAGACACTATTGCCTGAAAGAGGGATCAGCAAAGTCAGACTACCTTCCAGAACTGAACGGTGAAGCTAATTGCTGCTACAAGTAGTTAGCGATTTGAAACTTGTTAAAGAAGCTACTTACACTTATACACAAACCATCAACGTTCTTACGGTTGACCAAGCTCGACGGTACATATCCACAGCCTTCCAGATCCGACACCAATGCCGATTGACTTGCCTGACACGGCCGAAGCCGACGGCCGGTACTCTGAGGGCATCCAAACTAGCTTCTCTAAGTTGTACGTTATCCATGTTCCATCTGAACTTAAAGCCACTCCCCGATATCGAGTGCCGTGAGGATCCGTTGTGCTCGGTGTCGTGTCTGATGTTGGCAACATATCAATACCAACAGTGGGCAGATACGAGCCGGTGGTATCGAATGATATGTTAAAGATTATCTCCCCAAACTCAAGGGTCTGCAAGCACATACCGCTACTCACCTCCCAGACCTTAACCGTCCTGTCGTACGATGCCGATGCTAGTCGTGCCGAGTCGTGCGAAAAGGCTACCGAGGTAACCCGATCGCTATGGCCCTTGAGCGTCTGCAAATACTTACAACGAGCCACATCCCAGATCTTAATCGTCTTATCATAAGATGCTGTTGCCAGCTGTGTCGAGTCGTGAGAGAAAACGACTGAACTAATCGAAAGGCTATGACCTTCAACTGCCTGTGAATATCCACCGCTGTCGATATCCCAGATTTTAACAGTTCGATCGCATGACGCTGATGCAAGTTGTGTTGAGTTGAAGGAAAAGGCAACTGAGGTACCCGCACGGCTATGACCTTTAAGCGTTTGAAGACATATGCCAGTGGCTGTATCCCAGACCTTGATTGTCCTATCATATGACGTCGATGCCAGCCGTTGCGAGTTGTGGGAGAAGCCGACTGAGTTAACTGAACCGCTATGGCCGTCAAGCGTCTGTATACACACACCGCCACTTATATCCCAGATTTTGATAGTCTTATCGCGTGATGCCGATGCCAACCGTGCCGAATCGTGAGAGAAAGCGACTGAATAAACTGAATCGTCATGGCCTTTAAGTATCTGCAAGCATATCCTATTGCTCGTGTCCCAAATCGTGATCGTCTTACCCGAAGACGCCAACGCTAGCTGTCTCGAATCGTGGGACAGAGCAATCGAATTGATTGTAAGATCAGGGTTCATAAGCGTTTGTACACATATTCCATTCCCCACATCCCAGGTTTTGACGTTCCCGTCATATGACGCCGATATAAGCTGCTCTGAATCGTGCGTAAAAGCCACCGAGCTGACTGGAACGCTATGGCCCTCGAGTGTGCGCAGGCACGCTCCATTGCTTACATTCCAAATCTTGACTGTGATGTCGTGTGACGCTGACGCTAATCGCTCCGAATCATGGGAGAAAGCAACTGAGCTTACTGGAAGGCTATGGCCCTCAAGCGTACGCAGGCACGCGCCATTGCCCGCATCCCAAATCTTAACTGTGTTGTCGTTTGATGCTGACGCCAATCGCGCTGAATCGTGGGAGAAGACGACCGAGTTGACTGTGTGCTTATGGCCCTCGAATGTCTGCAGGCAAGCGCCCCATTTATCTCTCATGGCCGGCTGCATCGTGATCCACTTCGGCTCTTCGTCCTTGAAAAGACTCCTTATCACGCTATGAGCTGGACTGAACACGAGTGCAGACGCATAAGCCTGAAGAGGACTGTTTTCTATTGCCCACTTGTGATACATAATAAATCGACGCGCATCTCGAACCAGTTGGATTAATGCGGATGCATTCGCTCTTCCCTAAGTTTATGTTAGTGCACGGCATAATTAGATATAACCGGCACATCTTGGCAAGGTGCTCACCTGTGTTAAATTCTCAAGTTTCGCCATTGAAACGACTCCCTGTGACATTGCTTTGCAAAGACTGAGAGCTTCCAGCCAGTAGAGATATTTCTTTCTCAAAAACGTATCGACGTCGCCTCCGTCATTGAGGCTAAGTGGATGATTTGCGGAAGAGTTGGGATTCCAGTCACAAAGGTGATCAACCCAGTAGATGCACGAGTAGCGTGACGTTCCGAGCGGGTCCGAGTCTGGCTGCACGACATGCTCAATGGGATAACCTAGCGCACGCAGGTTGTACATGTCCCGTCGTAAGGTTCTGTACATAACTTGAAGCGACCTTGAAAAGAGTAGATAATGGGTCTCTTCGATCCCAGATGGAAAGACTTCGTCGACTGCCTTTGTGAGTAAAAAGTCCCTCGCAGATTGATGCACAAAATAGACAGTGTCGTCTTGGACGGTAAGGAACGAGCCGCAGAGGCCGGCGATCTCTTGCAGCGACTCTGGATCATCCGCCATGTCTTCGAGCATCTCCACGAGAGACGTTAGCTCTTTCAGTGTGATGGGACGGTACACAATCGCAATCGAGGCCAGTATCCGCTTGTACAGAGCAGCGTTGCCAGAGCTGGATATTTGCAGCAGCATCCGCTCGTAAAGACAGTCGAGCCCTGGTGGAAACACGTCTAGGCTCACAACCGTATTCCACCGTGGGATCGATTCCAGGTTTTGGCAAACCAATGCTACCCAGAGGAAGGTGTCATTCGCATGTGAGCAGAGGTGGTTGAACACGGCATCTCGCGTCTTTTGATTGTATTTCTTCCTTGTTGCCAGCTGCAGCACCTTGTGCCGGATGAATGTGCTGACGGCTGCAGAAATAGACCCTGCATTAAGCTCAAGGGATAGCCTCTGTCCCGCTCTCTCGAGACACTCCTCGATGCCAGGCCAGTTGCGGCTGGAGACGATCCACTTGACACGAGAAGACACTGACAACCGCTCGACAATAAAGTCCAAAAGTTTTGGTAGGTCTACTATGCATTCGTCAAGCGCATCAATGACCAAATACGTGATGTTCAAGTTCGTGTCTTGTAGGATGTTTGTAAAGATCTCAGACAGCGCAACCCAGGCATTTGCGTCCTCGAAAAGGGCTTTGCCTGCGTGATCGTACTTCTTCCGAATGTGCGAGACGAGCGATGGTTGCTGGTCGATCAGCAAGTATACGAGACCTCGCAGCACAGCTGTGGCGTTGTTGATCCGCGAGTCTGTGGCCTGACAGAAGAAGTAGGATAGACAGGCCGCTTTGGCCACTGTCTTGTTCAGCTCGTTGACAATGCCGCACAGTAGCATCGTTTTACCCTTGCCGGGGTCGCCTTTAATCCAGAGCAGGCGGCTGTGCCGGTCGTCACGCCATTGTTGGAAGTCGGAGCTTTCCAAAATCCAGGCGTACGCGTCTCTCAGCAGTCCACCCTTGGTCTCCTCGATGCGCTTCTTGTCATCCCGGGGATCGGTGAGGCGCAGGTGTTGGAGGCATTCTTGGTCTTTTTCCTCCGCTTGAACAGAGGTTTGGGTGAGACTTTGGGTAGGTCGGGTATTGTTTGAAAGCTGGTCAATCTTTTTCCGAAGACGTTTGAATGCGTGCTCTTCCCCTTCGCCGTAGATGAGCGACATGTGGATGTCGAACATACCCAGCAATGAGTACGCCCTGTCTTCTTTGCGCGTGGTCTGGCGGCTTTTCGCCCATGATAATCGTTCCTCCACGCTAAACTCATACAGCGGAGCTCTTTGCAGGGCTTGGGTTGAAATACCCGTAACTTCATGAATCTTTTGCTCTAGAGTCGTTTTGTCACCCAGGAGTTTGCCTTCTCGGGAGAAGAACTCGACCGAGCGCGGAGCGAGAAGTTCTTGAAGGGTCCACCCCCGTTTGAACCATCTGCTCCTCTGAAATGCTAGTGCCCAGCTGGAGTTGTCGGCAGCATCCATAGTAGGCGTTGAGACATCAGCAAGATAGACGTAGCATTTAGCCGCCTTCTGATACCAGTAAAACATAGAGTTGATGGCTTCTTGGAGCTCGACGCTGTTTGACTTGTCGATGCAGCACGTATCAACCCAACAGAAGTACAGGCCGTCATTCCAGGCTTGGTCTACGCAGAAGCGGATTTTATCGTGCCCAATTTTGTTCTTCCCCGTACCATCCTTGAGGTCCTGAAAGAGGACCTCATCACTTCCCCATGTGTGCGAAAGTATTGCATACCGGGGAATATCGTCGTTGAGCAAGTCCCTCGTCAGGTAGATCTCGCCGGCGGCGTTGCGTTTCAAAAGACGCATGGTCTAGTGTAAGTATTGGGATATCGGTATTCATACAATCGAGGGTGAAATACGGGAACCGGCAGAAAAGGTCGCACCGTAAGAGGAGCGGGGCAAGGCGCGGGAAGCTAAAACGCTCCGCACCTGTCTGCCCGACCCTGGCGATGTAACCATCCATTGATAAGATGAACGCGTACCACTTTGCATTGACTTTCACGACGCGAATAATATGTCAAGCCGCCCAAGTACATGGACCACACAGCATGTCAATTAATTTCTCTAGTTTCACAATCTTGCACGAAACACTACACATGTCGTCAAGATGGTAGGCGCAGGCACATTGCTATGTGTGCTGGGCATCCTGAGCCACTGCCTCGCTTTGAGACGACTTCCTCATCTCCCCGAACAGAGAAGTACAGGAACTGTGACTGACGGGACTTTGGAGGTCGTTCAAGCAGCCACGCCGCCTCGAAGCAGCTTCGATGGATACAACTGCAAGCAGACAATAATCGAACATGACTTTGCGAACAGCTACGGCAAACCCTACGTGGGATTCTACTACCCGCCTCCCGAAAACTGCACGTTTACCACGACCATCTTCAACCTTTCTGTGGTATCAAAAGGCAGGCAGTATGATCGTCTGGCCCAGCTCTTCTTCGGCGATGTGGAGATATGGCGCACATCCACTGCCATGCCCACTGAGACGGGTATCCATTGGAGTTTTCAGAAGGACATGACCGCGTTCGACACGCTTTTGAGGAAGGTGCAGAAGGTTGTTTTCGATCTTGGCAATGTGGTTGATGGCGATCTCTACACCGGAATCTACAACCTCACTTTGGAAGCTATGTACTTCAACGACGAGTACAGCGAAGGCCTCAACCCTGCTGATCTCATCGTACCGATATCGAATCTCTCATCAGCTGAGAACTCATCGTCCGTCTTCTCACTGCCAGATGACAGTGGCGCAGTGACGGTCACTCTTCCCCGCAACATCAAGACAGCAGTCGTGTCCCTCATGGCTAGCGGAAATTCAGCAGAGGAATTCTGGTACACAAACGTGCCAAGCGAGTACGTCGAAACATTTCCGAGCAACGAAGGCTGGCTCTATGGCTACAGTCCGTTTCGCGAGGTACAGCTGTTGATCGATGACCGCCTCGCCGGCGTGTCTTGGCCATTTCCGATTCTCTTCACGGGTGGCGTTGATCCAGGTCTGTGGCGACCAGTAGTCGGCATAGACACGTATGAGCTCCCATCCTTCGAGATTGATACGACGCCTTTCCTGTCCCTGCTCTGCGATGGGGCAGAGCACACGTTCAAGATTCAGGTAGTGGGCTTCGACAGCAACTCTCCCGGTCAAATCGCCACAGTCGGGCAGAACTGGTGGGTGACCGGGACGGTTTTCGTGTGGCTAGACGACAGCGTGAACCAGACCGTCGCAGGCACCATCACCAGCGAAGTCTCATCGCCCGTCTTTGACTACCTCCCGCAACTGAGCACGTCAGTCTCAGCGAATGGTACGGCGACAAATGAGTCCTTGTGGGTGTCCCTCAGCGCCCATCGAACGATATCCATCTCCTCAACCATCACTTCCGCCAACGAGACCAGAGCCGTCAGCTGGACGCAGGAACTGCACTACTCGAACGTGCAGAACATGACCAATCCGGCCTACAACCAGTCTCTCACCATGACTAGCTCGGGCACGTTCGAGGGATCCTTCTCAGGTGGGGTGGAATCTAGCTATTCCTACCCGCTCAACCTGTACAGCGCGTACGTGATATCTGAGGATGCCAACGTGCTGTCCTCGGTGTTCTGCATGATTGATCGCAGCCTGCTGGCCAACGCCACCTCCGCGCTACCAGCTCTGACGGGCACGCTGCTCGGGCCGGAGAGCCTGGCTACGAGGCAGAACGTGACGTCTTTCTACGCCTGGAATGAGACGATCGTGGAGGGTGTTGAGGCTTTGGATACTTGTGATGGGGAGACGTGGTACTCGTTTTCGGGCTGCCCGGGGAGTGAAGCTGGCGTGCCCGAGTACTCGAGGTATCTGAGGGAGGTGGACGACACCCTGGTGGCTGATGTAGTCAAGCCAAACACGATCAGCGTACCAGCCACGGAGCCACTCCTATTGGTGGAAGGGGAGCCGCACGTTTACAACAATTAATGTCCAGGAAATAAATCTAATACCGAGATCTGCAATTTGAATCCTCTTGCCGTGACCCTCCGTCACGATTCTCACGATTACATCGATCAATGTCCAAGATCAAGACTGCAAATTGTGAGGCGGCGTCAAAATATTCATCAATGCGCTCTCCAAATCGGAGCTTACGGCTCCGTGATTTGGATAATGTAGCCGGAATGCAACGCCAAGAAGAATGACCTTCACGAACACGAGAGCTGTGGGGGAGGGAGATGCACGACGGCGATGGTGGTGAGCGAGTCAAAGAGGTTGTATAAATAACGCTGGGTAAGTTTGTTGAGACACAAACACAAACCATAATGGTGTTATTGACGAAACGTAATACAGGTGTAAAAAGCCATTCGATATCATGCGGCCTTTTCTTCTTCTTTGGTCCCTCATATCGGGATCCATGGTCTTGGGTCAGACTTCGTGCCCTTCCTTGCCATCTTCCATCAACTACGCCGCCAACCCCAAGTTGCCTAATCCGTATCTTTCGATCAACGGCACGAAAGTCACGTCCAAGTCACAATGGGAATGCCGCAAGGAGGAGATCAAACAGTTGTACTACCGCTACTCCTTGGGGACCATGCCAGCAAAGCCAAACGTCACGGCTTCCTTGTCTGGCAGCACTCTCCAGATTACGGCCAAGGATGGGAGCAAGTCGACGTCTTTCTCTGTCACGATCAAGCTCCCTAGCTCGGGTACAGCGCCATACCCTGCGATCATCGCGTACGGGGCCCCAAGCATTCCCGTTCCAAGCTCTGTGGCCGTGATCACGTATCAGAATTTTGACATCGGCGCCGACAACGGCCGTGGCCAGGGGAAATTCTACGATCTGTACGGTTCATCTGCCAGCGCTGGAGCCATGATCGCCTGGGCTTGGGGCGTCTCCCGCATCATCGATGCGCTAGAGCTCACGCCAGCCGCGAAAATTGATCCTGCGAGAGTAGGCGTGACAGGATGTTCTCGTAATGGCAAGGGGGCAATGGTGGCCGGGGCTTTCGAGGACCGCGTCGCGCTCACAATTCCTCAGGAAGGAGGCCAAGGCAGCGCGGGTTGCTGGCGCATCGCGGACGAGATCAAGAAGAATGGCACGACGGTCGAGACAGCCCACCAGATTGATAATGGCGACACGTGGTACTCAACCGACTTTTCCAAGTATGTGGACGTTGTACCAACGCTGCCGTGGGATAATCATATGATGCATGCACTCTATGCATCTCCAGCAAGGGGACTCCTCATCATCGAAAACACGGCCATCGACTACCTGGGGCCGACGAGCAACTATCACTGTGCAAATGCTGGCCGTATGGTATTTGATTCTTTGGCGATCAAGGACTATATGGGCTTGAGCCAAGTCAGCCACTCGGACCACTGCGGATTTCCGTCGGCTTCGCAGGCTGATCTTACGGCGTTCATCAATAGGTTCCTATTAAAGCAGAGCGCGAACACGGATATTTGGAAGACAGACGGGAAGTTTGTCAAAGATGAGAGCCGATGGGTTGATTGGACGTTGCCAGCTTTATCTTGATTTAGGAATTGACCTTCGCTACCGATCTTCGCTACCGATTTTGAGATGTCCGATCCGTTGGGCTAGATCGACAGATCCAGTGCATACGTAGACCAATCCAGGACTATGGAAACTATTCCGCGGCGGTGAGCACAGGTGTTTCGTGTCCATGTCATGCTCGCGACTGTTTCATTGCCTCAGAACCAGATTGTATGTGATTGCCCAGCTGCAACATACCTACGCAGGTCACTCGATGATGATTTAGTAGCAATGAGTGCGGTTCCGCAGGGCCGAGTACATAAACCCCATCTCCAATCCTCCTGACTCAAGATCGAGATGGCTCGACCCCGTCCGAAAGTTACCCGAAAGCTTCTCGGGGAGGGAGCGGGGATCATTCATGCGAGAGACGGTTCGTCAGGAGCGAACATTTCATTAGTAAACTTGCTTTCGTCCAACACGCCGCTGCAGAGAAACAGTTCGGCGTCTGGACCGACCTTGCCACCCACGGCCCACTATCTGCGTGTCCACACACCCGCCTCCTGCACTTGCAACTGGACCCTCACTTTTCTCAAACTGCAGGCCCCATTATCATGCTTCGCTTATCGAGCGGCCCGACGCGCCATCGGATCGGCATGCTGTTGTCTCGGCCATGAACGAGGACGACCAAGGCCCGCTTATGTGCGGCAGCGTCGCGGCCGCCCTGTTCAGCGCCACGATGCTCACCGCAGCTCGTCTCTACTGCAGCGTCGGCCTGTTGAACCGGTACCGGCGGGAGGATGCCGTCATCTTGCTTTCACTAGTAAGTGGTCAAGAGTTTACAGCCGTACCCTGTCTAGTAATTATTGACCAGAGTAAGCTGATGTATGTCCCAGATTTTCTTATGGGCTGGGTGTATCTTGACGATTCTCGCCGTGGTTAGCGGCATGGGGAAACATGTGGACACTCTCACGATCCAACAAAGGGTCGATGCCAGATTCTATTATCTCGTCTCCGTGTGGCCCGCCCTGCTGGCCATCACCGTGCCAAAAATTGCCGTCGCGGGCTTGATCATCAGGATATTTACCCCTGACGTCTGGACAAAGACGATAATGTCGGTCGTGGTTTGCATTGGTGTCGCAAACTATATTGTAATATCTGCACTGTCGACGTTCCAATGCCGGCCACTCGCGGCCTCGTGGGACCCGAGAGTTCAGGGAGCCACCTGTGTCAGCCCCAAGATATATCTGGACCTGTGCTATTTCACATCAAGTAAGTCTCGGCCGCAATAATGGATCGCTATTTCCTCGCATGTCAGGACCTGACATCCTTGATAACAAGCCTACTCTGCCTCTGTCGACTGTTATCTGGCAATCTACCCAGCTCTGGTATTTCGAAAAATGGGCTTTAGTGTCATCAAGAAGATAGGTCTAAGTGTTGTCCTCGGCCTCGGCATCGGCGCAACCGCAGTCGCCTGTCTCAAAATTTCGTATCTGCACGTCCTCTCAAGCGAGGACTTCACATGTGAGTGCCCTAGCCTGACATGACCACGACTCAGTCTACGAAGCCGAAAGGCTGACTTCGCATCCAAAGGGACGACGCCACGGCTCACCATCTGGACAATGTAAGACCCAACACCGAGGACTCAAATCACATCAGACGAATTCAGCTAACGAACAAGCGCAGCACAGAAGCAACAGTCACAATTGTAGCGGCGTGCATTCCCGTTCTGCACCCGCTCTACGACCGCGCCCGCTCCGGGCTGAGGAAGCTCATCCACAGGCGATCCGAGCAAGGTACTACCGGCCACGAGGCCACCCCGTCCGGGACGCCCGAGTCACCCGGGTTTTGGAGCCTCAAGCTAAGGGCCATCGGCCTCGCAGAGTCCTGGTGGTCGAGCACTGGCGGCCGCACGTCACGGCGCTCTGCTGGTGCCCGTCAGGCGAACACACAGGGGACGTCTGCTGTCGCGATGTCCAACGTCGACAATGTCACTGTGCTTCAAGCTGGTGACGAGGAGCCTGGCGATCAGGAACGACCGAGGGACCTGACTGTGAATGTTGACAGAATGTCTGAGTCCCCGGCTGTAGAGCAGGCCGGGGACGTGCTTGGTGGAAATGGCCCTGAGCATAAGAGTGGCGAGTATACCACCGTTATTGGGCAAAAATGATAAGGCTGGAACAGAAGCCAAGCTGGTACCGAAACGTTCGAGGGATTCATCCGGGGACTGTTTACATATAACAATGATAATTAAGATCTAATACTCCAAAGTACAACAAGTCTGGTTCGCTTTCTTTCTGCTAAATCCCAAAGGAATTGAGACTAATGCAAACATGATACCTGTCTCTGCTAATTAATCATATCATCGTTGCACTCGTCCCATCGTCTCTGACCGCCGAGCCCGCCGATCTTCGTGCCCAATTACCGTATTCACTATAAATAAGGTTCTCCCCTGGCCGTGGCTTGCGTGCCACCGGACGCCTCTCCACCAGTGTGATTGGACACAGTCTAGTACTCAGTTTAGGGACCTTCTTCTAAGTGTTCTTCTGGCCGCTTGCCTTTCTTTAAATCTTCTCACACGGCTGGGCCCGAGAGCATGAAATGGATGAACAAACATCCGACGATCACGCGGCTGAGACGCGTGTGGCCGCTTCCGAAAAGAAATGAGGACGAACGTAAGCCTGATCCAGCGTCATTATTGGCCAGGAGCCGAGAGTGTTTTGGGTATTCCTTGGCAACGAGAAACAGCACACTGCATGGCTAGCGGAGGAATGTTTTCATCCCTGTGTCGTGGCACGCGTGGTAACGGGCAGGATCACCCTCGAGTGCGAGCGTCCATTCTGGAAGGCTCGAGTCATTTTAAAGTTGAGGGCTGCAGCAACGTCAGTGGTCCGCCGGAATCAACCCTAGATTATTGTTTGAGCTGGATTCCGCACATACACACCACGATTGTTCAGATCGCAGCTCATTCGCCCAGATCGAAGCGACCACACAGAACGTTAGAAAAGACGACAGGCGCCTCTTCGCGAGACGCCGATCTCTTGCAGATTTGGGGCGAGTGTCGTGATATCATCGCCCGTTTCGTTGCAGGCCCTGGCCGAAAGCAGGCAGTGGCGGGCTGGCGGGCAGGGCGTGAAGCTGAGGTGGCATCGTCGTCGTTACAGTGGGCAGCGCTGGTTGTGGGACGTTTCGTTGGTGGCTGCGAACGCCACCCGCCGGAACGGGCGTTCCCATGCCAAGGTTACAACAGTTGTGGAGGGGTAAGGGGCCTGGGAAACCTTAAGCTCAACGGAAATGTGAACAGCAAAATCGCCGATGGGGCACGCACTGGTAATGAGGAACAGGTGCTGGTATCTATCCGGTTTGCCCGGCGTGAGGCCGACGGATATAGCCCGGCTCATGTAGCCATCCGACTCGAAAAAGAGGGCGACAGAAACCTTGCGAGTGGATCTGTGTGCTTGAGGTGACCGGCTCTGAGACCGACTTGCGAGCCGTGCTCCTTTAGACTCTTGGAGGTTGGAAAAGGTCGGTATTCGTCGAGCCCTGTGTCGTGCTCATCAATGCTCCCACACCACACGCTGCGTCCTAAGTCCTTACATATCAAATGAACGAATCGAACGTCTTCCTGCCGACTTACAAGTGTCTTTAGCAGCCATGCACCGCAACACTGTGCATTAAGCTACAGCGGGCGCCAGCGTGGGCAGAGACGCCGACCATCGAGTTCGTCGTCATCATGCTCACGCCAACCGAGACGGTGGTAAGTACGATCTAACGCGTCATTCGCAAGTTTGATAGTTGACATCTCGGCAGGCGTTGGAATGGGCGTTTTTCGTCCTCGCCTTTGCCTTCCTCGTCGCACGACTCTGGGTTCGCTACTCTCTCCGACAGTACCAGGCATGGATCTCCGACGTGCTATTGATGGTCGCACTGGTTTGCACAGCCGGGAACATCATGTGCGACACCCTTATATACAAAGTCAATGGGTTAATGGAATACAAGAACGTGACCCAGTATTTGGGGAAGGTGAGTGACGATCCAACATCGAGGGAGGCGTGGCCAGGATGGATCGCTATCTGCTCATGGGCTCGCTGGACGTGGACTGACCAACTTTGGCAGATCCGGTTCACCACAAAGTTCTTCTTCGATGCAGGGCTCTACTTTCCAAAGTTCAGCCTGGTGATGAGCTATTCCGCGATGGTCCCTGTGACCGAGCCGAGGATGCGTATTTTCCTGACGTGTATCGCAACGTATCTCGTTCTTGCATGTCTGACTGCCATCTTCGCTGATACGTTCTGGTGCGGAAGTTATGTGTCTATTAATTGGTAAGAAGGGAATGTTGCCATCCAGATTCTGAAGGCGCTTCGTTGACAATGGTCAGGTTAAACCCGCATGAGTGCTCGTCCTTTTCCAATCCTCACCTGCAGAAGCTTACTTGGACGATGAACATCCTCGGCGAGCTTCTGTGTAAGTACACTCTCAAACCTGCCGGCGGAAATGGTGGTTATTCTGTGACGTGTGATCGGAGAAGTGATGACTGACCAAATATCTCAGTGTTCATCTTTCCCTTTCCCATATTGAACAGCCTCAAGTTCACGCAGCTAAGGGAGAAAATCGGACTCGGCTTGATTTTTGCCATGGGCCTCTTTACTATACTTGTCAGCACTGGCCGGTTTATGTTCATGATCTTCTTGACCAACGACATATCATTATGTGAGCCCGGATCGACACCCTCGACTTGCGAAAGGACGAAGCGGCCGGCTAACCTTTCTGTAGCTGTTTGGACGACAGTCGAGATGAGCATATCGGTCATGGTGGTCAGCCTCATGGCGATGCGTCCATTGCTTCGACGATTTGGACACGTGGTGACCAAGACCATCTCCAAAATAAAGGGGGTACCGACGGAACAACGATACAAAGAGCCGAGGCTGCCATCCCACGAGCAGGACATGAGCGAAGAGAAGGCACCGCTGCCTTATAATACCGACCGATGGTGGAAGTGGCCCGTGGACTTGGACGTGAACAGCATGTCGGTGACGACGAAGTCTGGCAGCGCGGGAACACAGAGGACGGGAGTTTCGACGCGGATCTCGGCGAGGGCGTCGCAGTTGTCGCAAAATACGACCAGGAAGGATTCTGGAGTTCTGGGAACGCGTTTAATGGAAGAGCCGCAGGGTCTGCTGGAGATGGATGCGCAGGAGGTTCAGACGTTGGGTAATGTGGTGGTCGACAGCGATACCGAGGGCTTGCCATACGGAGCTTGTTGATGCTTGGCGATTGATCTCAGGGGAGATTGTGATGTCCAACGTGGCGATGGTGAAACTGTTTCGTGAGCATGGCATTGCATCGCATTTCTGGGAGAACCAACCATGGCATGATCCACACCAGAAGGTTGCGTCTGCTACGAAATCACGAGTTGGCCACATTAAGAAAGCTTTGAGCTGACGAACAAACGACCGAGCAGAGGCGACCGAGCAGAGGCGACCGAGCAGAGGAATGGAAGAGCTTTGGGCATTATGCTCGCCGAGATCTCGACACTGCCAGCTTACCGGGTGTGACGAGGATATCGAGGGTGTAGTTTTGGAGTCGTGGTCTTTGCTTCATTGACTTGGAAACAAACACAAGTTGCCCAGGGACTCAACCAAACAGACAGCCACACTGACTCACTGAGAGCTGCAAACACTTGGTCGACTTTCTTCCAGTGTCCAAGGCACTTCAAGGCACCAAGGCATCGAGTCACTCAGAAAGCAGGACCCACTTGGCTGTTAACTAGCAGCTACTTCGCTGGTGCTTGCCTCGACCCGTGACTTCCACTTTGGCTCGCGATAAGGCTTCACTTAGCACGTCACCCGCACTTTCCTGAAGTCAACTTCTGGACTGTGCAGTCTAGCCTGCCTGTCCTTCGAGGGCTTCCACGTCCTCTTCTTCTTCCTCTTTCTCTCTCTCTACCGACTCAGTCTCTGGCACGTCTGCATCTCGCAGCAGCAGCAGGACCGCCCTACTTCTCACATTCTTGAGCCACGCCGAGCCACAGGTAATGAAACAATCATTTGCTCTCCACCCACATTTGGCCGTTCTTTTTTCATCTGCTTGCCTCATCGATCAACGCGGTTTTGCCCTCGTTATCGGGCAACAATTCTTCTGACAACAGCACCGCAGACGCGACCCACGCGACCATGGCTGCCAACGTTTCCCAAGGTCGCTACCCCAAGCGCAACCGAGCTGCTGTAAATTACGAGATCGACCAAAGCGTCGACGGAGATCTGGACCTTGACGATGGAAACATCTCTGAGGAGCTTGGTGAGGGTTCCCCTGTTTCCGCCAGCTCCAATGCCCCCGTGGCCCTCGCGAATGCGCACCAGCCCGACGCCGCCACCCCCGTCGAGGATGACAGCGAGTTGGAGGACGCGACCTTTGGCTCTCGAAAGACCAAGAAGGTTTGGCCCCCGCTCTCTCTTTTCCACCCCCTACATTACACTGACTGTGGCCAGCGGAAGATCATGAAGAAATCCAAGGCCAGGGCTCAACCCAAGGCCAAGCGCCCTCCCAAATTCGAGCCATTCCGACTCATGTGAGTTTTTTCCTTCTCTTCCTGCGCCCAAACCCTGCCATACGTCCTTTGACACGCTCTGAAACCCAAAATTTGCCTCCCGGTTCTTGCAAATGCCAGATGCCGCTGTCTACTAAACTTGCCCTCTCAGAGACCTTCCCCCCGAGCTTCGCCTGAAGGTCTACGAAGAAGCCCTTGTCGACCCCTGGGGCGTTCACATCCGAACCTACTCGGATAGGTACGAGAGCGTCCCCGTCCATGCCGGCCCCAAAGATGTCAAGGGACGCTATACATACGACACCGAGCCCAAATGCTATGTACGAGGCCAATGGACTAAGATTCCTGCGAGCGAAGTTCCCAAGAACAAATTCCAGCTTTCGCCCAACCTTCTTGCAGTATCTAAGACCATCCACGATGAGGCCGTCTCTGTGCTGTGGACGCAGCCGTTCATGTTCAACGATGTCTACTCCCTCAACTATTTCCTCCTCATGCTACGCCCAGAAACTATCGGCCGGCTGAGGGACCTCACCATTATGAGACACGGCTGGATTGAGCATCGCTGCCTTCCCACTTTCACGCTTCTGCGGGCCGCCCCCTTTCTGTACAATCTTCGGTTCGACTGCAGGATCCGCGCAGATAGACGAAGGCCTTCAGGGAGACCCACTCATGCCGCACTTGGCGAGCAGCTTGCCACGCGACTCTACAAGGAGTGCTACCCTTTCCTCAAAGCACTGGTCAAGGAGCAGGGCACTGAATCCATTCTCAAGGTCATCAAGTTCGATGAAGACGAGTTCAGGGAGGAATACTACGACAAAACCACACACCGTTGGGTGACTGACCGCTGGTCGCCGGCTCGCGAGGCCAAGGTCCTGCAGGCCATGCTTGCTGAGCTGAATGCCATCATGAACCGCAGGATCGTCCCCAGATTTCCGCGATCCCGCTAGCAATAGCACATGTCGGCTGGCGTGTTTCTGAGGCTCTGAATAGCAGATCTCACAACGCCCCCGCTAGATTGATTTCGAGGAGCGGCCGCTGTATCCTGAGCTACTTAAACTGGAATGGGAAGGGCTTGGCTGGTTCTTGCGTTGCTCTCTTCATCACTCATACGTCTGCCTTTCTGGAACAAAATCATGATGTACTACAAAAAGCCTGCTTTTCAGACGTCCACCAGGATGTTCTTCCCAACCGACAGGCATCACAAATGGGATCATGGAGAGGTCTGTCTTTGGGTGGTGCAGGGATTCGGCCAGCTCAATATCTCACCCTCATAGGGTGTGAACAGTACTCTCACAGACAGCTTGTATGTGAATGATGTCCACAGGTCATTGGGGCTTGTGTTGACGTCTACATGTCAGACTCTTCCCGCACAGCCTTGTTACTGTCAGTCATCTGGACCTAGCTGGCATCAGCATAATCGGCGAACCAACACGACAAGTACCTTCGGCTGAGGGACGCAAGGTTGAGGGACGAACGTGCTTCCAGGGGCGCATTGGAATCGAATCGGCACCCAAAATGCAAGCACAGAGGCACACGGGGAATGAGTAGTCGCACGGCTTGCGGTCACGGGCCTCACGAAGTTCCGACACCTTTTCTTTTCTAGCCCAATTTCGTTTTTGAGGATCAGGAAGTAATAGCAGTGTCAAGTTGCCTTGAGTGCTCAATGGTCTTGAAAAATTTTATTTGCATTGTGCTCTCATTTCCTCGCCTCGTGACTGTCTACCCTGATGAGTGCACGCAGCGATCCAGTTGCCCAGCGAAACACTTCACATTGATAGACATGTATCTCGCTTCAAATGCATCGGACTGACAGGGCTGGCCGAGACACTCGACCGCCTCTTTTCACTGGACTTTTTAGACTGCTCCTTCAGGCCAGCGGTGGTGGTCGACAGCTCGGGCTGGGTTTCGGGTGGCTTGCCGAGGTCGGTCGCCAGATGGCTCTGTGCGAGGACTTCCTGTCAGCATACGAAATTACGGGGATATCACGACTGAAGTGTTGGGTACTGGGAAAGAAATTCTGACTTTCAGCTCGGTGTTTGCTGGACTCGTGCCCAGGTGTATGGCGAAGCGACCGATGGGCTCGTCGGGCTGGTTAGGGTCTAAGAGTAGTACGCTTCAAGCGTTTCGAGCCTGTAGAAGGGGCGGCACGAATCAAGGTAAGCTGAATGAGTGTTTACGGCGCGATTCAGGGTTGAAAGTAATGCAAACCGGATCGTGGCGCATGTCAGGCAGCTCTCCCGTGCCTGCTCCCGCACGGCGGCTTCGACTGCGTGTTTTACTGGCGGCGGGATTTCGCTGGGGCAGATGGCCCAGAACATCTAGTTCATGAGCATCAATCAGCAAGAAGACAGCCAAATGGATGGGCGCACATCTGGCTTGTTTGGCGAGCTGCCGTGGACTGTGGGATACAGCTCTTCGTAGCTCTTGGCCGCGGCGTCGTCTATTGCTTTCTCTGACCCAGCTCATTGCGATGATTGAACCCATCGAGAGCTCTTCTGCTGGATGATGAGGATGTTTCTTTTGATGTCTGTCGCCTCCCAACATTTTGGAGGACTGAACCCAAGGCTGGCGAGGACAAAGCTTTGTGGTCTGTTTCTAGCCGGAAATCTCAGTTCCCATGAGCACTCACCGGCTTTGAATGCCAGATGCGGCCTATATGGCTTTCGAAGCTACTTTTTCGGGAAGTTTAATTTACAACAAAGACGAGCGCGGTTCAAGACTGTTCAGGTGCGTAGGCCGCTGCAAAACACATTTGGTGTGCGTTAAATATGAGTCTAGTGGAAACGCGTCGAAGCGCTACAGCTAAGGCCTAGACCTAATTATCTTTTTTGCAGTCGAACAATTTATTGTCCAAAAATGTTCCCCTCAGGAAACACGTCCGCCTCGAGCGGGTTGGGCTCGCATGGCCAGCGCGTCCTTTTCTCTTTATCCATTCTTGTTCCACGACTCAACCGATCACGTATTATTGCAATAGAACCTGACAGATTGCAGCCCAGCCGAAACGATCACTCCAAATCTCTTTGTCCTAGTACGAGATGGATACAACCTTAGGACAAGGTACAGCGCGTTTGATCAAGAATTGCCTCGAGCCAGCTAAAGACTCGGATACTACTCCGCGTTCGGCGTCTCGATACTCCGAAGAGTCCGATAAGCACCAAGTTCAAGATAATTGTGCAGACTGCGGAGGGAACGAAGACGACAGAGGGCATGAAGTGTCATCCCATGCTGTGCGAGAAGGACGGCGATACCATGCATGTGTTGTAGACGATCCTCAATCAATAGAGGACTTTGAGCAACACAGACCAGGCGGACATCATCCTGTTGTCCTTGGGAATTTCCTTGGACAAAAAAAACCGCTTCCAAGTGTGGCACAAGCTGGGCCAAGGATCATCTGGTCTTGTGTGGCTTTGCCGCGATTTAGCCTTTGGAAAGTTCTGCGCGGTCAAGGTATTGCGAGATGGCATTTCCAAGCAGTCACACAAACTGCCAGAGATCGGAATCGAAGAGATGCTGGGCGGAGTGTCTACTGAAGAAGCATGGGATAACCATATCGTCATGCCTTTGAAAACGTTCATCCAGCATGGCCCTAACGGAGAGCATCTCTGCATCATCATGCCATTGCTGGGCCCTCCCGTCACCGGGTCACGCACCTTCAATTGGAACAACGTTCCGTTGCTCAAAGACATTTGTTTTCAGCTTGTCAAGGGGATGAGTCGTGGACTCTGTCACGGAGATTTCCACCCGTCCAACATCCTCTTCACAACAAAACTGAGAGATCTTACGGAATTTGAGATCGCACGATATTTACCGGAGCCTCAAACCCACGAGGTAGTGACGGTGGAAGACTGTCCTGGTGAGCCGAGATGTGGCCCTCATGCGCCGTAGCATGCTATTGAGCCACTCTTGCTGACCTTGGAGGACAAAATACATTACCAAGGAGATCGCGATCATCATCTTCGGAGTTGCTTGCGAGGCTGAGAACTCCATAAAGCCGTCGGTCATCCCGGACAAATACGCGTCACCGGAACGCCAGAGCGAGCTCGGCTCTTTACCCAGCATCGGGAGTGATATGTGGGCCCTCGGATGCACCATCGCGGAAGTACTGTGTGGAACCACCCCCTTTGAAGTCTCCGACAAGTTCAGTTTTGAGGAGCTCGAGGGCACTCTGGGTCCCATGCCCGAACCACTCAGGTCGCGATTCGTGATTATTGTAGAGCCCAATACAGACCTTACCGCCTTCACCAACCTTCAGATCCTCACCTCCATTTGCTCTGGGAGGTCAGAAAGCTCGAAGAGCGGCGACAGGAAGAATTTGAGGCGCATGGCACAGTGGACATTCTGTACAAAATCGTCGGTTGTGAAGCTTGTGGCTCATATCCCGATCAATGGGTGGAACCAGGCAAGAGGACAAGTAAGTCTCTTGCTGAAACAGCGGGCAGCCATAGAAAGCAATCAGTGCCATCGCGTGAGCTTATTAATCTGGGCACGGTGAAAAGGAGGCTTGATCTTGACGCACTTCCTGGAGCGGTCAATCTTTTGAGACAGGTGTTCCGATGGTCCGGAGGATCAAGTGGCGGCCAGAAAACTCCTCGACCATGAGTGGTTCAGGGGCCGCAGCCAAAACAAAACTTCGGAGCCTGGAAGGCCAATTGGTCCCACATTCGAAGATATCATGGTGGAGGATGTTCTTTTGCCGTTGGAGCTCAGTGTGAACGCGGACGACCTGCCTCCACAGCCACAATGAGCTGACTGGGCTGCGCTGGTGGGCCCACAGACCTGGTGTCTGAATGAGGTTGACTGGCTACACGCTGGACCGTACGTGCCGAGGTCTGTTTGGGGCTTCCTCCAACGGGCCTTGTGCTTGAAGCCTCGGAAGTAAGTCGATGCTAGATATGTGTGGTACATGGAGACAGAAAGGTCTGTATATATTTCGAACCAAGCTCGCGGACACTGCCAAGCCTTGTGATCCTTGTACTGTCCCAATTGCACTATTGGAACAACACGAAAAGATGATTGCGAAGCCCCGTATGGCTTCTAACCCTTATACGGTCATCTTGCCGGAGGTTGTCCCACAGAAGATCATCCCACAAGCTTTTATCCCACAAGAGATCATCCCATAGAAGATCTTCCCGGGAGGTCCCACCCGGAGTTGATGAAGGAGAAAGTCCCACAGGATATTATCCCACATAAGGTGGTCTCACAGGAAGTTATCCTACAGGGCATTATGCTATAGAACGTTATCCCAAAAGAGTTTGTCACTGTATAGGAGGCTATCGTGTAGAGCATCCCCAACGGCTGATTAGTCTACTAATGGGTGATCTTCCGAGCGTTCTTGAGTAGTACTACCTGTTCCGCCAAGTGCTAGGCCTGCGTTTGTACATGATTGTTTTTAATCTTGGCCAGATTCCACATTTCGTTCTCACAATTGCTCGGAAGACTTTAACTAAGAGTCGAGCTTGGCATACAGACGATTATTGGTAGTCTGAGACATGACCTAATAGCCAGACCCACAACAATGTTGAGATGTGTTACGGGTCAACTTCGGGAAAAACTTGAGGCCGGAAGGAGGTAGCATCGTAGGTCCAGAGGAACTTACCGAGGAGCCAACATGCATTGCCAGCATGTTGGCTGGTTTCCTCTTCCCCATCCCCCGCATTCTACAGCAGCCGCTCGTGTCTTTTACCCCGTGGAGAAGCCCTGTAGGTGGATCTTTACCCCGGACGGGAACTAGACAGCAGATGCCCCACCACTCCACACCATGTTGATCATGTTGCAGCAGGGGGTCAATCTGGTTGAATGGGTACGGCGCATATGAGAGCTAAGAGGAGATAAAACTCCCCGCTTTGGTCTGACGAAGAAACAAGACTCATCAAGAATTGAGATCGTCCTTTCCGTGCAAAGAATACTCAAAGAAGAAAACACTACACCGTCGAGATAGACTTCATTCATTAGGTTGGCATCATGGAAGCTGACTTAGCCGAACTTAAGAAGCAGGTTGCTGCTCTGCAGAAAGAAGTGTCACGGGTGGCAGGTAATTCTATCATGATCAGAAGTCGCTCACCTTGTACTGACAGTTCCAAGACGAAGCAGAAGTGCGCAAGACCCACTTCAAGTATGGCTACTACCTCGACAAGTGCCTCTACAACGAAGTCGTCGATATGTTCGCCGACCACCCGGACACGTACGTCGAGTTCCTCGGCTCCCGCTACCGGGGCAAAGCCGGTGTCAAGCGGCTCTACCAGGGCCGGTTCCAAAACACCTTCGTCAAGGGCCGCAACGGTCCCGTGCACGGCTTCCTCCTCGACCATATCATGATGCAAGACGTCGTGGATGTGGACTCCACAGGCACGCATGCCTGGTGCCGTATGCGAGCCCTCATGCAGGCCGGCACGCACGACTCGGTAAACGAGACGCATCCGCGCGGGCATGTCCAGTGGTGGGAGGGCGGGCTCTACGAAAATGAGTACCTCAAAGAGAACGGCGTGTGGAAGCTATTCCGATGTATGTATCCCCCCATCCCCCGGCCTCCGCTACGATTACCCATATGTCGTCGGTTGAATGTTCCATAATGCATCGCTAACACATAAAAGATCGGTATTTCCCGTTCTGGCACGCGGAATTCGAATCAGGGTGGTCGCATACGAAGAAGAACTACATCCCGTGGCCGACCAAGACCTACCCGGAGGACCCCTTGGGCCCGGATGAGATCCTCGAGCAGAAGATGCTCTGGCCAGACACGAGGGTCATCCCGTTCCACTACCCGCATCCTGTTACGGGCAAGAAGATTAATGAGGATGACCTGAGGGCGCCGAATTGGGGTCAGGATGTGAACACTTCGGACAAGTGTTTGACGCTGAAGTTGCCTGACGGGCAGACGCGCGAAGGGGCAGAGGAGGGAGTGGCTGAGTCGAAGCCCGGCACCAAGATCTTGCCTGAGCTGATCCAGAACAAGCAAATCAACGGGGCTTGATTTTTCAGACTTTAATCTCTATGCCAACTTCTTTTTCTGGTTACAAATATGATTGAATTGCAGCATCTATTGTTACGGGGGTAGTTACTTATCTCCCCTGAGCACATCAGTATCACCAGACCGTCTCTATACACATACACATAGCGTCCTCAGGCAATGTCAATGGTGGGACACGCGGATTTACGGGTTTACCTTGTGAAATGGAATCCAGTTAGATGCTCCGCATTAAGAATCAATGTGGGGAAACTGGGCGCGTTCATGCACTCTACGCCTAGTTGACACTCTCTTAGGCTTGGAGCTCAGGGATGAGAGCTCCATGTCCCCTCCAACTGCCGCAGACATGAATGCTTGGACCCCGCACCCAAGGATGATCAATAATACCTGACAGATGGGAAAGATTATCCGGCCTGCAGTAACGAAGCATTTGTAGCCGCCGCACAAGTCGTTCTCGGGAACGATGCCGCTGTCACGGGGAGTTGACTCCGGCGTCTCAGCTCTGCGGGCTTTCTCGAAGGCCCGGCGAGAATGTGACCTCAGTTTCGACCGCGCGTAGGTCTGCACGTGTGTGAAAGCTAGCCGCCACTGAATGTTTATAAACATAGGAAGTGTCCCACTAACCTTGAGGCAGTGACAAGTTTTCACAATAAGCTCAATATACTGCATCATGGCCCACATCTTCGCTATCGCACCCACCGTCAAGGGTTATGCCGACGGCCGTTTGGCAAGACCCGGGGAGGCAACCACCTTTCCAGAGACCGGAACCTTCAGTGGCATAAACAAGCCATCTCGCTTTGAAGGCGACGTCTTTGACCTCGAAGTCACGGGGAGCATCCCCAAAGAGATTAATGCGACATTCTACCGCATCCAGCCGGACCAGCGGTTCCCACCACTGTTTGAGGACGATGTCCACTTCAACGGCGACGGCGCAGTGACAGCCATCCGCATTGCGAACGGCCACGCGGATTTCAAGCAGCGGTATGTGCAGACAGACCGGTACAAGGCTGAGACCGCAGCGCGGCGGAGCCTGTTCGGCAGGTACCGGAATCCGTTCACAGACAATGAGAGTGTCAAGGGCGTCATCCGCACGGCGAGCAATACGAACATCACCTTCTGGCGAGGGATGCTTCTTGCCACCAAGGAGGATGGCCCGCCGTTCGCGATGGACCCTGTGACGCTCGAGACGCTGGGGAGGTACGACTTTGAGGGCCAGATCAAGTCGCCAACGTTCACTGCGCATCCCAAATTCGACCCTGAGACGGGCGAGATGTTGTGCTTTGCCTATGAGGCTGGTGGGAATGGTAACGACGGCAGTCTTGATATCATTATGTGGACGATAGATGCCGATGGAAAAAAGACTGAAGAAGCATTTTACAAGGCGCCGTTTGCCGGCATGATTCATGACATCGGAGTGAGCAAGAATTATGTTGTCATGCCGTTGACGCCTCTAAAGGTCAACCTCGACAGGATGAAGAGGGGTGGTGAGAAATTTGCATGGGATCCGAATGAAGACCAGTGGTACGGTCTCGTGCCTAGGAGAAACGGCAAAAGTGAGGATATCATCTGGTTTAGAGCCGACAACGGTGAGTCACCCACCCTATGTATTGGTGGTGCCCTAAACTAACTTTCACCAGCTTTCCAGGGCCACATTGCAGGCTGCTACGAAAACGAGGACGGCCACGTCGTAGTGGATTTGACAGTTGCGGACGGAAATGTCTTCTTCTGGTGGCCACCAGATGAGGAGCTCACTCCGTCACAGCCAGCCAAGGTATCCAAGCGAGACCAGCTCAACAGCCAAACCACGCGCTGGATCCTCGATCCTAAGGCCAAGACCAAGACACGCATCACACCGGCCTTCGTGTGGAACATCAACGGGGAGTTCAGCCGCATTGATGACCGCTGGGTTACAAAGAAATACACTCACTTTTGGCAAGCAAAAGTCGACCCGACGAAGCCCTACGACTTCGCCAAATGCGGGCCGCCGGCAGGCGGGCTGTTCAACTCCCTCGGCCACTACACCTGGGACCCTGACAACGCGCTTGCCAAGGGAAAGGAGGACGTCTACTTCTTCGGCCCGACGTCAACAGTCCAGGAGCCGAGTTTCATCCCCAAGGAAAATGGAGCGGAAGGCGAAGGGTACTTGATCGCGCTCGTGAACCGGCTCGATGAGCTGAGGAACGACGTAGCCATCTTTGACGCGCAGAATCTGGCCCAGGGTCCTCTAGCTGTGCTGCACCTGCCATTGAAATTGAAGCTCGGTCTACATGGCAACTTTGTCGATCACAGAGACATTGATGCGTGGCAGAAGAGGCGCGCCCAAGGTGGGGACATTGGTCCGATCAAGATCGCTGTCGAGCCGCTGCCGTGGCAGAAGGAGTTCTCGAATGGTGCAACGAACGGGCAGAATGGTGCCAATGGTTCACATTAAATAAGATTCTGCCGCTGATCTTCAATTTTGTCTTCTGGCTCTGATGTACATGAATTCGACGAGAGATATTTACCAATCACAGATTTTCAAGCCAATGACTCTCGAGACCTGGAACTTTGGCACTCAGCTCCCTGATTATCTCCTTCCATGCCAAAGCCTGAACCTTTCTTGCGTTTTCACTCGTGACATTGACGCTTGCCTTCCTAAGGTGAAATGTTTCAGGCCTATCATTGAAATGAATTGATTAGGATTGACGTACCTCAGGTATTGCTCATGAGTCAACCACGCGATGGAGAACCGCCCCTACGCGTCTGGTCAGACTGCTCACACTCTTTCACAAGCTACACCAATCGGACTTTGTCCACTCACATGCTCTTCCTTAGGTCGTAAGGCCACCATTATATAGTGCCTGGCGCCGTAGTCAGGGGGCTTCCCACCCAGACTCATATACAGCGAGACGAGAAGCTTCATGACCCACGTTTGATCCCCCACGGCGCGCCCAATATCGGTTTTAACCATGCCTGGACACACGCTGTTGACGATTACCTGTGGTCTGTTTCCATTAGTACAGTCACAAATCTACCAGCACGATGATTCTTATGCCTTGGTCTCCACTTACTCGCCATCTGGGCCCAATGCCTGCTTGCAGATTTCTTCGATTGCGTACATGATTAGTAGCTTACTGTCACCATAATTGGGCTGCTGCAGCTTCCACGGTGCTGGCCAGTACTTGTGGTCACTTAAATGCCGCAGTATACCTCCTTGTTCTGCCCATTCCTGCCAGTGGCTTATGTCCGGGTAAAGGTGGCTTCGCGATGTTACAAAGACGACGCGTGCTGGGGAGTTTCGGTTGCCTCGTTCGGATTTCATCAAGTCCAAGAGCAACATTCCAAGAAGGATTGTGCTGAGTGTGTTGACTTGAATCGTCACTTCCCTGCATCGCATTAGGCGGCGTGGTCGGTTCAACGTCGATTCATAGAAAGAAAAAAGTTCTCAAGACACTCACCAGCCTTCAGGACTAGCAACAAAGCGAGGACTGAGCACACCTGCATTCAACACGGCCACATCAATGCCTCCTTGTCCTTGACGAACCTTCCTGAGTTCCGCAGTAAAGGCTATACAGGAGGAGTACCGTGCCATATCGAGCTCCATCACAGATACACGAGACTCTGGCGCAGCACGCTGAATCTTCTTCTTGGCAGCATCGCCACGGGACTTCGTCCGGCAGGTGATGATCACATCAGCCCCAAGGCCAGCAAAATGTAAAGAGGCCGCTAGACCTAGGCCTGCTGTCCCTCCTGTGACCAGGACTGTCTGTCCTTTGAATGTGTCTGGCAGGGGTAGGGGCTCCGGCACGAACCGGCCTTTGATACGCCGGAGAGGAAAGTCCAGTAGGGTCATTGTATTCGCCGAGGATATGCTGAAGAGTGCGGTTATCAAGTTAAGATGGTCCAGCGAGCACAATGCTACTGCCTTCGATGTTCAAGTAGTTGTTTTTGAATAGGTTCGTCGACGCTGGAAAAAAGGGCTTCATGGCCAGGCATCTCAGGTGTCCAAGACGCTCCGATGATTTATGCCCCTTTTGGTTTTGTTTTTTTTGCGGCATGGCACCAATAATCTTACGATTATTGATCTAGAAGCGCATGCCCAATGTTTGAATTACGGCACAGCAGGATTTTTGGAAATCCTTCTTCAACTGTAATCAATCTTGGCGACTCTCAACCAATTAATTCATTTGTGGTAGTGCCAAGGACTGTCTCGGAGACATGGGCGAATGGGTAGCCGACGGTGTCGGTGCCTCCTTCGACCCGTACCGGAGACTTGTATACTATACCAGGACACTGCAGATTCACCAGTCGAGTCTTGGCGGCTTAATATCAATTTTCATTGTTCCAAGAATTGAGGGAGAAATCAAACTTAGCATTGATCTAGGTGGGTGGTAGTCTTGTGGCTAGCGTCGATACTCTCGCGTTCACTTGGTCATCTGCTCCATGAGAAGCATTAGATACTTTGATAGGTAATAGTTTGCCCCGTCTGTGGGTTTCACACTTTATGCAAGCCGACAGAAAATAACGCAGTCTTACTAAACTGTAATTCTTCTCTCTGCCTCATGATCGCAAATCATCTTCCAGGACTAACCCGTCCAAGGGCGATCCACATGCGCAAGCCCAATCCAAAGGAACAGAATACTCCAACTTCCAGCGAGCGAGTTCATCCAGGGCTGTACTTCGGAGTTGCTTTGGCCCCAAAGAAGGGCAAAGACTGTTGACAGTAGGCAGCGGGAGCGCGCATATTCCAAACAAAATTTCATGCCACATAGCCCAATCTCATGTGTATCAATTCTCCATCTATGCGTTATCCTTCGGTCGTTTGTAGACCATGAAAGCGGTCAGCTCATGGAAGACAAAGAACCTGCATTGTTTTAGACACCTCTGTTAAATGGGTCCTGCGTGTGAAGCGGCTGTCGAGTGGCTTTGCACTGGCGAGCCCCGAAACACGGATAAGAGCATTCACATTGAGGAAGATAAGAGGAAGAGTAGGCTAGTTGAATTTCATGGCTCTTTGTCGATGACTTATGGTTTCTCTTGCTCGAGTTCCACAGCTGAGCCGCCTGGGCACGATACTCCACCCAACTACCCATCAATAACCCTCCTCCATTTCAACCAGGCTCTTAGAGAGCTCCCGTCCGTCCCCTCTGGCGATAGTGATCGCCTTGCTCATCCAACTGGACCACTCGGCACACTCATCCTCGTAGATCTTGCGCAGCTTCTTCGCAGCGTTGTGAATTCGGTGGCCCCTGGGGTAGTAGTTCAGGGAATTGTCGATCATCAGATCGAAGTCGCTCACCAGGCCGTACGCATGGCCGCCGTACACGCCCTGGTCCCAGTTTCTTCTGATCTTGCCGAAATCCATCGGCGTCTTGACGATCTTGTCGTAGGCGGGGTTGTTGGTGGCGACAGCGGTCATGGGCTCGAGGAAGAATTTGTTGATGGAGCGATTCTTCTTGCCCATCACGTTGGCGTTGAGCACTTGCCAGTAGAAGTGCAACTCTATTCCGTAATATTTCCGTCTCAGTCGCAGCATCTGGCTTGTCTGGACTGGTTTCTTCTTCAGCCATGGCTGATATTTGAATTTTTTTGCCGAGCGAGCCCGAATTTCGGCGTTGATTTTGTCAGTAGTTGATGTGGCTGGACGTGAAGGCTGCGCAGTTCGCGGCCCCAGAGGCGAAGCCTTGGATGGAAGTGCCATGGTTGCTGTTGATGTCGGTCTGCGCGGCAAGCAGTATGGCGAGGACAGGGTTATCGTCTTGGTAATCGAAAGCTGCTCTTCCTGGGAGCTCAAGAGATATCAAGCTGAGGAGAGTAAGAAATTGAGGAGGAAAGGGGCTGGGGAGAAATCTCTTAAATACCTAAAGAGTTGTGGATGAGCTCTGCGATACCAGGAGCTTTTCCTATTGTTGCCACCCATTGTGTTATTCTACCATTCCGTTCGATCTTTCCATGTATAATGAATTACGGGGTGAACTCGTATTGTCTGCTCCGTCCAATGAGTGCAGTTTAAAGATGAGATGAGAGTTTTGACCAGAATGCCGCGACTAGAGTTGTGTGGAAGTCGACGATTTGGTGGAGCGTTGAATAACATTGATAGTCATTGTTTCAATAGGACCTAAGTCTTGTATGGCGCAAGCATGGCTGAAAGAATTGTTCTAAGCGGTAATGCGTTTGCCTCTCGCTAACCATTGCCATTAGGTAATTGTGCCTATCAAAACTGCAGGTCCTCCTCAGAAAATGCGGTTGAATCCCGGGCTACACTATGTCGTAAAGCGCATGTTCTATTTCCGCACTCCCGGTTTTGAAACATAGCTCAATCCTCGTCATTGTCAAGCGCTTCAAGCTTTGCTCTCGCGTGCTGTCTAGCCAAGCTGTAGGCGTCGTCCAGGGCAGAAAATTGATCAAAGACGAGGTAGGATGAGATTCCGGGAACCTCCTCACTCTGAATTCTACCCTGAAGCTTGGATCAGTCCAAGTTTACTGAACGTTGCGAACGAGGGACACCTCTTACCACTCACAAATCTACCGGACTCTGCCGGCAGTTTAGCACGACTCTTCGCTAATGTCACCGTGTTCTGCGTCCATCTGGGCCTGACGACGGCGATCGCGTCGTGATCGTCGCTGATCCTGTGCAATAACTTGTAAGCCCCATACTCATCGCTGTCGTTGAGGAATGATGATGTTACTAACTGCAGCTTGTCGAGCTTGGCTCCCCTCGGGCGCTTGCCGCTTCGTGGGTCCCAGCACAGTAACAACTGTCTCAATGACTCTTCTCTTGAGGCCCACGGTGTTGGGGCCAAGTTTGAGTGCAGTAACTAGAGCATGGGTCACCACGTCGTTGACGCTTGCAAACCTCTCCATAGCCGACTCGATAGCTGCTTTGAGGCTGTCGTCCCCGTCGATCAAGTCGATAAAAATATCGTCGAGGTTGTCACTGCGGGTGCGACCATTGAAACCCATGGCTGTGTTGAGTGTGCTCTGTACGATCTCGCTGGCAGTCATGTGATCGGATCGGATGGCATTCTCTACGACATGCTTGACAACATCCTCAGTGTTCGATTTCGTACGCATGGCGGCATCGATGGTGGGCTCGAGCGAGAGAAGCGCATCAAGACGGTCTTGCAGGACTAGAATCTCACGTTGTTGATTGTCAAGTGAGATGATTTTCTCGCCGAGCTTTTTCTTCTGCTGTTCGAGCTCCGTTGTCACCTGCCTGATCGACGCGATTGTCTGCTCACGCTCTTGAAGCTCGTGCTCCTTGGCGTCGAACTCTTCTCTTAGCCTCGCGATGTGCGACATTGTCGAAGACGCGGTGGTGATGTTGTTTCAGGACAAGAGGATCTCTGCTCTGGTATGCAGAAATGTGGTCGGATTCTTGCTGCCCGTGTTGAGCGTTTACGCGGGACGAAGATGAAGGGCAGCTTGAGGTGGGTGGTGTGCAGTTGGGTTGCGCAAGTAGAGGGGGATCCAAAGTTTGGATTAGGGTGCTTGTCTGAAGAAGTTTTCCAAGGCACCAAAACAACAAAGACCGTTCAAAATTGTTTCGTAGAAGTGCCACTGACTTGGGGGGAGTGGCAGCCGATGGGACGTTCCTGTGGCTGGCGACCAGGAAACATGAGCAGACTAGATGAAAAGTTGAGCAACTTTCTGGGCATACCAATATCCGTTGGGTTGTATGGACACGGCAAGGTCCTCAGTCATGCCTTGTTTGGTGGGACTTGTCAATGCGAATTAAAGTGTCACATTTGGGCGGAATGCTGAATTGCTGTCTCCCAGCCGGTTTACATTGTGCATTTGCTACTGCCTGATAAAACAGGCCCAGAATTAAGTGGTAAATGTGTTGACTACGTTGGCAAATCGACCTTCTGTAGGCTTACACTGACTTTACAAGCATACAGCGGAAATGATCCATGCAGAAACAAGCTCTAACTGTACCTGCGCCAATACTGCAGCCAATATGTCCTGGCAAGCCAGAGTACAACAATCCAAGTGAAACATCATTATCTATGCCATCACCACCGCTGGACCCAGCCAAGAGGATTTCTCATGGCCATATCAAGCCGCCTGTCAACTTTCCCAAACTCCGTACTGCAAAGTTCATATCCGTCTTGACCAAGAACTTAGGCTCGAGGATATTGAACTGTGTCACCTGCCTTGAACAACAAGGGCCCCATATCTCTGCTGCTCAGAATCACTGAGGTCGGTCCTGCCGGTTCTGCGGAGGATAGTTCAACTTGACCACCTTGCTGGCCCGAGCTCCGGTCGCTTGATCTTGGCCGCCCTCAGGGGCACTCCGCTTGGCTGGTGGACCCTGGGGACCTGCGTCCGGGTCAATACCCAGGGCACGCAGCAGGGCTGCTTGGTGTTTATTATAAGCTGCGATCAGCTCCGGGTCAATACCTTGGGCAGGTAGAGTGACTGCTTGTTTTCTGGTAAATTCGGCAACTGTTGTCCAGAGTTGCCGAAGAGAGGTGGTCTCCCCAGGCAGTCGAATTGGCGCATTGACTGCAGGATTGATAGTGCTGCTAGCAGCGCCAGTATGAATGCTTGGCTGGGATGGCTTTGGCTGCATGGGATTGGGTTGCTGAGGAGTAGAAGTGACAGTGGACGCGGGAGGCCCTCCAATTGCTGCGTAACGTTTTATTAGTTTCCAGAGTAACATGGGCCGGACTAGTAGTCGCATGAAGTCAAACGTGAAATGAACTCAGCCAGTTAAGGCATGTTATGAGACACATTAGAGGCAGGGCAATAGGACCAAGTAAGCTTCAAGAAGTATAGGACGAAAGGCATAAGGCAAGAGGTACTGGGAAAGTTGTGAAGATGAAGCGGGAAAGACGTTTGACATACCAGCACGGCTTGCCGAGCGCATCTCACGATTCTCGACCTCCTTGGCAAAGCCATCCATGATACCCTTGATGCCATTGCTACTCATGCCCATTCCGACAGCACAACCCAGGGTAGTGAGCACGCCAGTTCGGAGTCGAGTGGGCTCGGCCCTCATGGCAGTTATAAAAGCCTCCTTGACGATGACGGTGGGCTCGATGCCGAGTTTGATGGCAGTAATGACGGTAGGCGTAATGATGTCGCTGGCAAACATGTACTTGGAACCTCTGGCAGTCTGAAGAGCAGTGCGAACGATATCGCTGGTCTCCAGGTCGGAAGTTCGGACGGTCTCGAGTGCGACCTTGATGACGGCTTCGGCGCCGAGCTGGCTGACATCGACAGCGGTCTTGATCATCATCTTGACCAATCCCTCGGGGCCCAGGTCGCTCTTGATGCTGGTGAGGGCGAGCTTGATAGCCTCCTCGACGGTAATGTTTCCGCTCGCAAACGGGCCGTTGGCGTTGTTGCTGCCCTCTAGGGCGATGTCGAGAACGTCGGTTGGCGCGATAGTGGTGGTAGGCTCGGGAGAAAGAGCGTCCTCGATGGCGCCTCGAATGTCGTCGCGAGCGCACTCGAGAATCTCGAGTGACTGCTTGAGCTGCTCTAGCTCAGCCTCACGCGACGCGGTCTCGGCCTCGCGCGTTCGGAGGGCGGCCTCGCGGCGGTGGATCGTCTTCTCGAGCTTTCCGATGGGAGTGGACATTTTAATGGCTCTCGAAGGCCTTGAAAGGCAGAAGGCAAACTATGTGCGAATGATACTTGCAAATGAGAGCCCTTTGTTGATGATTGTGTCCCTCGGTGTGCAGGTGCTGCCGTCAAAGCTGTTGCGCTGCCAGGTGGGGGGTAACTGGGGAACAGCTCTTGGAGTTCTGAAAGCTCTGGAGCAGGCTCAGTGGAATCTACATACAGGCTTGGGCTAAGACTGGAATCGTTCCGTATCAGCATTTAAGATTTGCAAGATTTACATTTGTCCTGTTGGGAGACTGACTGGGCACGAGATTGGGCTACTTACTGTGGGTGAATATGCTTTTGGTTACCATCACGAGACTGCAGGCTAAGTGCATATGTGAATTGCGACAGTGGCAGGCATGAGATTCGTTCTATTATAACAAATGATACGAAATTAAACATCTGGTCGACCTAGATAAGCGGTGATGATTTGGATCTTCGACCGGAATCTTTCATTCTTTGAGACTTTCCGATCAATGATCACCACTGCTGCCCATGGGAGAGGGCATCCCATTAAAAACTATCCTATAGCAAGTTGTCCGAAAGCAGGTTATCCCACAGGAGGAGACGGATTGCTCTGCAATACGTTACCCCGGAAGAGGTCATCCTACAACCCGTGATACTATAAGAAGTGAGACGTTATCCTATCGTAGGTTATCCTAGACTAGGTTTGAAGTTATCCCGTAGAAAATTATCCTCTGAATGATTTTCCTGGTGGAAGGGATTCCATGAGAGGACTTCCTATAAGATATTATCTCATGATCGCAATGTTCGTTCCATAAGAGACTATCTTAAGCGCGACTTCTCTTCAGGCTGCTGCTCCATCCGTATGATCTATCATGTCGATTCAAGCCGCCAGCTTCGACAGTAAGTGGCAACCAGGGCTTCGGGAATCCTAGCCCACATATATTTAGCCTGACTGCTCTTGCCAATTGATGTGTGCCCAAGATGGAGGCATCTTCGGGGCTTCCTACACATTCTCCGAGTTGTTGAAAATTGCAGGACATGGGAGCGGGGGGGGGGGGTCCGAAGATCTTGCCATGTTTCAATGGCTTGGTTGGAGGTCGTCCTACTCGGGAGCTACCATGCTCTGCAAGATTCCTAGTGCTGTGGGAAGCATCTTGCCAAGGTTCAGAGCTTTGACTGCTTTGTTTCAACGCTGCGTGATTGAGTAAATAGAGATTCGATATCTGTGACTGGCGATGGCGTGGGTGACCATGCTGGGCAGCTCAATAGTGTACCGGGCAACACCACTGGCTGGTTGAAGTGATGTTGAAGAATCGTTCGAAGGGGGAGCGCTTCTCGACTTGGCTTTCTTTGGTCTCCGGATTCAATAAGATTGGACGCAAGTATCTTGCACGGCCTTATGCATACTACCTTGCGTAAGGCATTAGCAACACGGAATGATCGGCTCGAATCACAGGCAGAACAAGCCGGTGAGTTGTGGCCGAGCAATTCGAGCTCCGTGGCTCTGTGCTAAGGACTCATAACATCGGCAAAATATGAGGAGCTTCCAGTGGCCAACATTCCATTGAACCGAGTTTTTATGAGTGGTTTTGCCTGGTACAAGGCTGAAGTTAAAGCTCCAGGCAGGAGCTGTCGTCCTTGGTCTATTTCGCAGCCCAGGCAACACAACCGTCAAGCAATGGGCACCTCACTGGCATCAAAAGACAGTCGTTGAAGGTTATCTAGGCTTTCTTTGTTCTCACTCATAAAGTCCTGCCACCTGAGCAGCTGCCCTGCAGCCATCGAAGCTCAAGCCCACACTTGTGCCCCAGGCAGCTTCGAAAGCGAATCAACTGCAAACCTACCACCTCCTTCCTCGTCGAACGCGTCCAAGCTCCTGTGCAACTCGTCCTTTTCAGGCAGCCACACCTGCCTTTTTGTCCGTCTTCAGTCTCTGCCAAGACTCCTAAACTCTGACTGTCATCTGCATCATCCCGACCATCCTTACACCAACTTCGACCTTCGTTGCCTCAGCGTGGCCATCTTATCTCCTCCCTGCGCAATTTAAGCAAAACTCAGGGTGCCCTGCGTGCGTTCTGCCCCACGTCGACTCAGCCCGCCCTGAGATGATCGCAGAGCATGATCTTTCTCTCCCAACTCTTCGTGACCTGCTTAGAGCCAGTCGAGGCGGTCGGCGCGAGCCTTTCTGGCTGCGGTCAGTGTCTGCCCCCTCGAACACAGGCACTTTTTAAACTAATCATTATCTTCTCCAGTTCTTGGAACTTTTGTAACGATCAGCAAAGCCGCTAACTACCAACTGACTTAACTTAAGATGTCACCAGCGACAGTCGAAAAGGTCCCGGCCGACAGATCCTCGGAGCCATTGTGGCATCTAGTCCAGTCCAAGATGATCCAAACTTTCAATGAAGCAAATGAGAAGAAAAGGCTCAATCTGGAGTGCTGGCCTGTCAAATGTCGGGCGAAAGAACGTCGCCATTGTGACTGGATCGTAGTTGTGATCACGGATGCGCACGAGCTTCATCCAGAAGCAGCAAATTGTTGCCACATTCGGATTGGCGACTACGAGTGGTGGGAGGCGACACGTCTCGAAAACCCTTCACCCACCATCCTACTGAGGGGCCATGAATACGGCAGTTTCGTCACATACCAAGTCAAGGTGCCTCGGCACTCGGATGACCAAAGACAGCCGCATTTCAGTGCGCTCGAGCTGAGTGTCGATGCGAGCGGAGCACAAAGACCCATTTGCGAGGAGGATGACAAGCTTTGGTCAAACCTCCGCTTGTCAATGAAGTCAACGCCTAAGCTCACCGACCAGTTGCTCAGAAGGCACATGCCCGACCCATCATGGAAGATTGACGATGCAAAGCAGTATTGTGATATCTACCGGTATGGGACGGAGAAAGAGTTCGAGTTTCAGGCCAATGCAATCTCCCAATTCAACCGGCGAAGTGTTTACAAATGCTGGCTGGTCATGTGCGGCCCAAACAAGCAAGGACGTCGGAGAGCTGGACCTGTCAAAGTCGAGCGTCAACAGTGCATTGTCATCGTCGCTTTGCGCGAACTTCACGAGTCTTTTCCCAAGGTTGGGGACCCATGTGACCTTGCGTTCGCTGTCAAGATTCCAGTGCACGACCCGGAGAACATCGACTTTGCTCAACACAATCGCAACCCCAAGACCTCCGCGCACGACATCAGAAGCACTACAGCCACAGACAATCAAAGCCTCAAACGTTTGGGCATTAAGTATTTCAGGGGGGTCCGCGTCGACAATCCAAACGACAAGATCTACCTAGACGGATCCAAGTGGAGCAATTGCGCCACTTTCAAAGTCGTGGTGAACTGGCGTACACAATCGACAGAGCAGTCCTCACCTTTCGCGAAGTTCCAAAGCAAGTTGGACATAAGTACCTTGGAAGCAAGTCATGTCGGTGGTCCCAGACCTCGTATCACCCTCAATGACGAGGAATCTTTCGAAGCTCATGTGTGGTTAGACGTCTCAGACACCACCATGTCCGTGGAGCTGAATGCTTTAAAGACAGCGATGTCCGCATCCGCTGGCAGTCGTGTTGAAAGAGCGTTTTCCTACATCAGGGGTTTTGAGAAGGAGGTCGAAAGCTTAGACCTTTTTCGAGCCTTCCCGCAAATGCATGATCCTGACGGTCACCAAAGTCAGCTTCCACAAAGTCTGAAATTACTATACCGGCATCTCGACGACGACCAAAAAGCGGCCTACAGAACTCTCCTCTCAGGTCTTCCGTGTCGAATTGGCATCTTCCCCGGCGGCCCCGGCGTGGGCAAGACGCATTTGATGCTAACAATTGCTGCCCTGGCACTCTCGCGGCACTCGCCTCTTGCTGAACCGCATGCTGCTGTCACCGAGCACACACCGTCTTCCGCCGGCCCCATCCTACTCATCGTGGAAGCCAATCGACCTGCTGACGCTCTCGCAACACGAGTGGTGGAACACTTCAAAACACTCGGCCGCAGGGACTTGCTCATCTTGCGAGCCTACAATTTTAACTACGAGGGTGCTTGGCACACGCGGAATTATCTCCAGGTTGAGGAAGACGGCAAAGTCTCTTCTGATTCCAAGTTTGAAGCCTGCTTTCCAACACATCGCGCAGATCACATACCACAGGTTTGCAAGGGGGGTAGTGGCGACTGTCGCGCCCAGACACTGCGGGATGCTGCTCAACAATACCTGACCAAACATGCTGAGGATTTCCCGAAGCTGTCTGGACTGCTCAACTTGGACTCGGAAGCTGTTGACTCAGAAGATCAAAGAGAATATGAGCTTCGCCAGGAAGAATGGTATAACCTGTTCCGAGCAGTACTGGCTCGGACTGACTTCGTGGTTACAACAACTGTTGGAGCCAGCAAAATTGCGACCCATGCATCGGAGCATTTCCGCCCGCAGCTAGTCATTTTTGACGACGCAGCTCGCGCAAGAGAATTGTCCACCCTTGTTGCTATCGCCAATTTTCCGTCTGCACAAGCTTGGCTTTTCACTGGAACTTGTGAGACGACTAAACCATACGTTGGATCGTATGGGAAAAGGGATCTGTGGAATCCGTGCGTCCATCAACTCAGGACCTCCATGATCGAGAGACGCCTGAATGTGACATCGGATACACATTCACTGTCATTGAACCACCAGACTCGTGGTGATATTCACTTCCTATCTTCTGATATCTTCTGGGATGGTCAAATTCAATCGGCTTTTGAAAAACATGAGAGGTTCCCACCGTCCACTTTGCATCTGCTCGAGTACTGCAAGAATTTGGCCATGAATCAAGAGCTCTCGATTCCTCGCTTGCTAGTCCATGTCAAAGGCTCCACAATGAATTCATCGACAGGAAAGAGCAAGTCCAATGACGGTCATCTGAATTGGGTCATCCAACGGGCTGTCCGGGATCTGGTGCAAGATCGGCAATTCCGTTCAACAGACAATCAACCGGGCAGTATCATAATCACCACACCATACAAAGCACAATTCTCTAATTACCGGAAGGCAATTAATGATTTGATGCGAGAGTTGGACAGAGAACACCGCACAGCTGGCGGCTCCGGCAAAGGGTACCATCGCGAGGTCCTAGTAGAGGCGCGTACCGCCGACACGGTTCAAGGCCACTCTGCCGACCTAGTCATCTTTGACCTTGTGCATTCAGAGGCCACGCCCCATATTGATGACGCGAATCGAATGTGTGTCGCGCTCACCCGCGCGAAGCAAGCTGAGCTTCTCATCATGCAGAGGGCTATGGTTGGGACCGAAGGGCTTGATCACGGGCGCCGTCGTTTCGACGGAACATATGTCGACTTGGTCTACGATCATTGCAAGGCCCATGGGCAGATCATCACTGTGGAGGGGGTAGAAACAGACAAATTGGCGCAGAGCTACATTCTGCAGCGAGACGGTGCCAGCTCTGGGCGCGATCGGTCCGCGGTGCCCCGGCAGCTTCCGTCTGTCCCTCGATCACTGGCTCTGCCACAGAGCGACGGACGAGTTGAAGTCTCTTCGACTTCTGTCGGATCCAATTCACAATCTGGAAAGGAAGCAAGAGATGGATATGATGATGGAAATCCCATATCTGGCGAGAACTTTTCCTTTGAGATGGTCAAGAAGGCATTGCAGCTTGGTCTCAGCTAGTCTTCAGGCATATGTGAAGGCGAGTGCAAACAGGGCTCGGGGCGGGACTTGAGAATGGACATGGACGCAATCATCCGGTGTATGTGGAAGGCACAAGATGGCATTTGATTGCACAAGATTTCCAGGGCCACATGATGAAGGCGGGCGATGTGGTTGATGGCATGGATGGATTGGACGGAACGTGCTGCATTTATGTTTGGACCTTGGTGGACCTTGGTGGACCTTCTTTTCCCTCTGTGTGGCAGAGCTTGACGATGGAATGACTGGCTGACCAGAGCTTACTCGATCGTAGAGCTGAATGAACATCCAAATTCTTGTATTAGATGTACATGCTTTGACTTCCTCTATGTGACACGTCTTTTCACTGTCTGCTTCTCGTGGGATGGCAGCAGAGCTCATGGTGAATACCTCCTCGAGTTCTTCATCTGACCTTTCCCATCTCTGCGTACACATTTTGGAGCTGACCCTTTCACCTCATCCCAACGACACTCTGCCACAATATTACCTTCTGATCGCCGCCGGAAGCTGGGCGATTCGTCTGGGAATACGTCTCAGTCTTCAATTATCCCGTGGAACGTACGACAGACAGCTTCGCCATTTTCTCCTTGTGCTCTTCTGATTTCCTTCACTGAGACCTGACAGATCTTCTTGCCATCTATGCTTGGCCAAACATCTTTCAAACCCTTTTAAGTAAGCCTTGCTCCTCCTGGGCCAATTTCGTTTTCTTTCGCTTGCCCTGGCCAGCTGACGGTTTCCCATCCCGACCTCTTCTGTCTCTGGCTGACTTTCAGCACCCTCCTCTTCCAGGCTTTGGCTCACGACAGCCTACATCAACTGACGCAGAATTCTGTCAACCTCGATTTGCTGTCGGCAAAAACAGAACCAATTTCGCGGACTTCAGCCTCAAAATCGTCCTACAAGATCCCTCGTCCTGCTACCTGCCTCCAGTTTGAAGTTCAAAATTCCAATTCATTTGCAACTTGGAAGCTTTTCCCAGCGAAGGTCCTGTCAGGCTTCTTAAAACTTCGTTCCTCGTAATGCACCATTTTTTGTCCTATCCTTCCTTCTTCCAGTGACGCCAATCTTCGATTTACTCTACTCCAAACCTTCTACACTGACTCCTGGTCTCAGCTCATTATCGCCTTTTCTTTCCGCGTCAGCCTTGGACTTTGAAATGGTATGTCTGCAACAGTTGTAAATGCCTCACTTCTAACAGTTTTTCAGGCGTCGTCCGATATGGAGTCCTGGTCAGATGGCGACAGGTATTCTGACATTTCCATTAGCGACTTACCGGAAGTCCGCCCGCATCCTCCCCGGTACCTCTTTAACAACGCGGCTGAATTTGCGGAGAGACATGGCAATGGAACCCAGACGGAGTTCGTTTGGGAGAAGGCGGGGATCAAAAGCTTCAACAAGAAGTTGCAAGTATTTTACGCTTGGCCAATCGTCATTCTTCACGACGATGGTCTCAACAGAGACATACTCTTCCTGGTTCAGACTGGACCAGATGATTCGATGCTACCCAAGGAGGGGGAGAATTGCACAATGAAGTTTCCACGGCCCAAGTACAGCTACAATGAAGATGACGGACCAAAAAAGTTCTCTCGGAATACTCGCTTTCTTTGCAGACCAGCCAGTCGCGTGGATAATCCATGTTCATTTTGGGGAGTCAAGGACGACTACTGGGAAAGGTGCATGGCGTTTGAGGTCACCGTTGCAACGAAGACATCACTCCCGTGCGAGACGATCATAAGCCCCAAAATTGCCGATCAAGACTTTTCTAGGATTCCTCGGCCGAAGAGCCTTGAAGTTCCCATCACCTTCGAGCTTCGGGTGTCCAACTCTACGAAAGATGCGGAGCTCAATGCCCTTAACAAGTTTGTTGAGACCTTGGGCCCTAACACAGCGAACTTTTCACCAGCAATGAATTATCGCAGAGCTGCTTTCAGGTTCCTTCTGGACTTCAGGCCAACGAGTCACTCATCTCTGTTTCGGACATTTCCTCACCTGGCAGATCCCTTTCGAAGACCAGATGCTGTCCCCAAGGAGCTGATGAGAATGCTCGAAGCAATGAACACCCAGCAGAAAGCAGCATACAAAAACGGGCTTTCCGAGATTCCGAACCGCATTTGCTTTGTGGCTGGTGGACCTGGGGCAGGGTAGGTGAAATGTGAAGTTTTGTGTTCCTTTACTAACTCACCAGCAGTAAAACTCACTGGAATCTATGCCTTGTAGCTGCTTTACAAAGCAAGCACGAATTGGTAATTCAAGGAAGCCCGACGCCATCGCGGAACCAAGTCCTCTACCTCATCGACATTAATCGCAGCGCAACTGACGTCGCTAACAAGCTATTTGAGATGTTCAAAAAGTTGGGACTCAAGCGTAATGTCATCCGCATGTATTGTTGGAGCGACGAAATGAACTCAACTACTCAGAATCTGCTGGAAACTCAGAAACAGGAACTTTACTACCGCATCTCACGCAAAGAGCAGGGAGAGACCTCTGAGGACAAGGATGGTCCACTGGCCAAGTACGACAAAGAGGCAGACAATAGCAGCGAAATGCAACTTCGAAAACTCAGTCTCCCAATTATGAGGACAGGGCCTCGCTCAAAATCTCACTACAAGGATGAAAAGGCGAACCGCACGGCTCCAACGCTTGAAGAAGCGGTCATGGCGTTCTATGAGGAACACAAGGACACCTCGTACATCGACCTCCAGAACCTCTCGTGTGTCAGAAACGGCGACCTAGAGGCTTTGAGGAATCATCTTGTCGGGCAGGTTTATCATGATTTCCTCAAAGTCGTAGATGTTGTTGTCACGACGCCCGTCACGGCGGCAAAGTTCTCGCGCTCACTCCAAAAGTTCGATCCTAAGTTGGTGATCTTTGATGAAGCACCACATGCTCGGGAGCTCTCAATTATGATACCAATCGCAAACTTCAACCCTGTAGCATGGATATTCACCGGAGATCATCGCCAGGTACGTTCTAATGTATGGCTTGAAATTGCTTTTGGATACAAGAGCGGAGGCATTGCCTTATCATTCTTTACTGTGAATCTACAGAAGAAACGCGAAGGTGTTGTATTTTCTAATACTAATTATATCATAGACGAAGCCATATGGATCAAGGCCCAACATCAATAAACATGTCCTGCAGCTCAGGACCTCAACAATGGAGCGGGCGTTCAACAGCAATCCGAATATGACTTCGCTCCTTATAAATCATCGTGCAAGAGGAAATCTCCATGAGCCGGCTTCGACCATGTTCTACGGCTCCAAAATGATACCAGCAATCAGACCAGGGGCCCCTGGAGCCATCCCACCGAGTACTGAGTACCTCCGCCAGAAGTACATTATGGCCATGAAGAACAATAAGGGCCCCCAAGTCTCCCGCTTGGTTACTGTTCTAGAATACGCCGAGTTTGACCGCGAACAGAGCAGAGTTCAAGGCAGTCTGTTTAACCGGGCCCACCAGGACTGGGTGGAAAGATTAGTCATTAAGCTGATCAAGGATCCGATGTTCGTACAGACGAACCACCGAGATCGGGGAACGATCCTCATCATGTCCCCCTACAAGCGGGCAGTCCTCGAATACAGGAAGATGATCAACGACCAGAGGAGAACCCCCTCAGGTCTCTACGGTTGCGTCGTAGAAGCCCGGACGGTGGACACATCACAGGGCCACGAGGCGGACGTGGTAATTCTTGACTTCGTCAGCGACTGGTAAGAAGGAAGTCCACTTCTCATTGCCTTTAGACGGAATAAACTGCTAACCACGCCTTGAAATTAGGGTCACTAATCATCTGCAGGACCCAAATCGTCTATGCGTTGCGTTGACACGGGCGAGACAGGCCGAGTTCATTCTCTTACATACGGACTTGGAGGACAAGCTGGAGGGTCTCGGCCAGTTCGCGAATGGGCCCTTGGCTGAAATGTTGGAGCATTGCAAAGATGCTGGAGAGTTCGTCCGTATTGTCAAGAGAACCCCAAATGCGGTTGGGATTTCTAAGAGTCTCGGGATGCTTCCCTACAGGCCTAAGAATTAGGGCCCGGGAGGGGAACCATAATGACATGAACTAGATTGACGACGACAAGACGAATCTGGTCATGGGGGGGGGGGGGTACTTTTGGGCTCAGAGAGAATAATGTAGATTAAATCTGGGCTTTCTGATATTTTGTTGGTGCTCGGCGCTGCTGTGGTGATTTTACTGCTCTCATGTCCATCACGAGGATGTTTATAGCGGCGCACTTACAAGCTTATGCGGTTATCAAGTACAGTGGCGATTGGCTTGGTGCTCATTAATGCGTGAAAGCATGCTTGGCTCACCCGAATTTGGGACACCTGGTCTTCTGCATCCTTAGCTGTGTATTTCACGTATGGACATCGGTCATGGGAAAGTTCGGGAAAGACATGGAATTAGACGGAATGCTAGGCGTACAGTGTAAATAGGTTCAAGGATGCACGAGCACACAATATTGCCTCCCTTTCTAACTGTGATGCAACACATAAACCTTAGTAAATTGAAGAAGGACAGCCTGTAATGATTCGGTTTGAGACTACTAGGTGTAATTCACAGTGAACTCCACAATTTTGGAAGGCGCTATGTCGGGAGAGTGATGGTGCATCCCAGTCACAAACCTCGCTTTCATCCGAGGAACTCTAAGATACTACTCGAAGACAAACACACTGCTAGTTCCGTATCCCGTGGAAGTGACGGTCTCCAGGTGCCCATGCGAGTTGATGCACAACGTGAAAACGGTGCCCCTCGGCTCGGCTCATGCCCTAGTGTGGCCGCCGTCCTCAAACTTGAGTCTTTGTATTGCACAGATTATGGGTATATAAAAACACACAAACACATCCCATCATCTCCTACTACGACTGTTTGTACTATACACCTCACCTCTGGCAGCCCATTTCTCGTGGAGTCCGCTCATCCAAGACACCATAACCTCTCCGACAGCGCCTCAGGGCAGCTGAAATATAACACGAAGTCGGCCGGTCACGGGTTGGCCTACAACCACGGATTTCAAATTTAATCATGATGATCACGGCTCTCCGTTGTAATCTCGACGTTAGTAGAGGGCCAGAATCGGCTCAGGTCGCCCATCGGTAGACTGATTGGTACTCTCCTGATGCGTGTTAATCACCTGCTACGGAACCTAAAGGGGTGCATTTTTGAACATTCCAAAACACAACGGACGGGGAAATGTAGGAAAAGAAACCAACGGACATCTCAGCGCTCATAATAATGAATGTAGAGTACCAGCCAAGGAGGGCAACGACAAAGATCAATGCGCCACCAGCCTATATTCGACAGATTAGCTTCCAAGCTTGGCTTGTGGCTTGTGTCGCGTGTCTTATGCTCGGGTACTCACCTTCTGCAGCTTCAATGCATCATCAAAATTCCCTTGGCTCACTTTCCAGTATGCTCCGGACAGCACGAAAGATGCGGTCGTCACCAGGCCAAATATCGTAGCGAAGACGACGTTGATTTTCAACGTGAAGAAGAAGAATGTGAGGAGAGCAAAGCCCCACACAAGCAGGTACAAAGCAATGGCCGCGTTGAAGGCAGGAGCCGAGGCCCCTGTCGGGTCAGCATCCGTGGCGTATGGGGCACCGAGCTGGAGGGTCGGCAGTTGGAGCACGCCGAAGGAGAGCCAGAAGACGTCGAAGAGCGCCATGACCATCATTGGGAAGAAGTTTCCCATAATCCATTCGAATATCATGGCGAATGTCAGGAGGACGGGCCCGGTGAAGAAGAATATTCCGCTGTTGGCTGTGTGTAAGTGAGCGCTCATTGCAAGTTGAGCACCAGAGGACTCACGCGACAGGTGTCAGCCCAGACGAGCCTCCCCATCCCATCAGTACCATACCAAAAGTAGCGGCGGATATAGCGAAGCTATTTAGTTTTACGCATCAGCGAAAATGTAACCAAAAAACGCTTTGCTCTTTCCGCCAAGTGTTGACTCACCCTACGAAGCCGAGAGCTGTGGGATTCGCAAATCGCCTGTTGTAGTCGCCGACATGGGGAGTTTTCGGCGAGAAGTACAGCTTCTCGAAAAGCTCGGGGGATATGGTAACTCCAGTGGTTGTCCGGTGTATGTGCCCCTTCTCTTCATCATCCACCAGGCCATTTCTGACATGCTGGGTCGCCATGTTGGTCTTCTTAGTTCGAGTGTAGCTCTTGATCCCCTTCTGTCGTGATGGGAGAATTTGGCCCGTGTCCTCATAATAAGGCCAACATCAGTCGGTGAAATATCTGTGGCCGCAAGGGGTATAAATACAAACCTTGGGAAAGGCAGCGGGGTAAAACCCCAGTTGTACGCACTCCTGCCCGGAGGCTAAATTTCAATCGATCCGTAGTATCACACCACAACGCACGGAAGCTCGGGGGCCCAACGATCTAAGTTTCTGCCGAGCTGCTCACCTCCGCTAGATAGAACCCAATCTCACGCGCGGCACGCCATTCGCCAGGCCGAACTGCCAGGACGACAAGCTCCCGTGTATCGAACCAAGGGACGTTTTAGCCACCAACAAACTCCTGCTGAGGGAGAACTTACCAAGCACTTTGGGCTGCGGCTCGTGACTCGATAATTGAACGCTTACAGACTGGCAGCTCACAGCACGTGGTGAGCGCCATACCCTGGGTACGGTTTGCGCGCTCAGGTCCAGCCGCTATTATTCTTGATGGGGCATGAATCGTGGTTCGTTGTGCGGGGAAGAGGCTTGTAGGTGTGCAGCTCACGGTTATAATACCAAAGCCATTAATGAGGCCCTTTCACCCGGTGCAAGGCCTTGAGGGGAAATGCTGACCCAGATCAGGTTGGTTCAACGCGATCCGCGCAACCAGTCAAATCAGCCAAGCGCGCGTGATATCGGGGTCTCTGGTGTGAAAAGGATGTTACCCAGTACCAGTAATGTAGCTGGGCCTAATGGTGTTTCAACGCTCGCGGAGTATGCCTCGTTTAGTTGTGACCAAAGATGAGTTACCTCTTACTGCCTTCAAGAGGGTTCCGGCCGCAAGCGATCGACGCAAGCGCCCAACCTCGAGTCACAGCCAACCGTGTATTAACGAATCCTGATTGACTCAGCTGTGATGGCCGAGCTGTTGCCACTAGGGAAATGCTGTGACCGTAACTAAAATCAGACTCAGATTGTTGTAGTGAGTGGGCACTTAAGACAAGATGGTGAGAGTGCTTCTTCCGTATCTTTGTAGGCACCTGAGCTGGATCGTGGCCTGGATGCTTTAGCTAGGGCTGAACCACTGTCGAGATCTATCATGAGGGCCGCATCGGCACGCGGCAAGATTCAATGACATTCAATATTGGTGGAGGTGGATGCTTTTTGACCGACTTCTCATGTTTTCACGGTGGTGCAGCAATGTACTACAAGCTGTTCTTTTGGGACAAGGCTGCAAGGCAGCTCTTGAACGAGGCTCAGGGATCCACTTAGACATCATATCGTACTTGTAGATCAAAGGTCTCTTGAAAAGGTATCCTTGTTGATGCGAATGTGATAGAAGCTATTGCCTGCCACAGAATGAAATGGATGCCATCACGATCGACCCAAACGAAGACGTCATTGTTAAACATGCCATTTCAGGCATCAGAGAGTACTTGATAAACAAAGCCCCTGTCTATCGAGAGCTCCAAGAGCTTCGTGTAAAGGTTTGTGAGCTTCATGATAGGCTTCCTTGCTCGTGTACCGTTAATACTCGACGTCTTCTGGCATATCTCCAGGGATGGGAGAATCCCGAGTGAACGCTTTTTCGACAACCAGAAACGCCAAGCCGACGAGAGCAACGAAACCACTGTTCAGCGTCTTCGTGCGCTGATGTAGGATCTTTTGAGGGAGATTCAGTGCTTCACGAGAGCATTTACGATCCGTAACTCTGAAATCAACCCCAAGCGCATTCTCGATATTGTGCATGGCGTCCGGCGTCTACCTTGCTAAGGCTCTAAAGCGTAATTTTACCGTACATGTAGTAGCCTTCACTTTGCGTCCATCGCATGGAGGGCTCATCCCTATCCTGAGCGACAGAGAGAACCTCAAGGTCAACTTGATCGACATCACCATGCTCGCCGCGGACATAGGCATCAAGCCAGACGAGATCCCCTCAGGCCTGGCGGTACCATTATCATCTTGCTGCACAAGCTCGAGTGCCTCAACAATATTCGCCTCCTTCGCGAATTTTCGAAGTTTTCGACTGTCACTCTTTTCAAGCCCAAGAGCGGGCCACGCTTAGCGTTCATCATTTGATATGATCGCGGATGAAATCAGGTCAACCGACCAGGAGGCGGCTCAAGCGGTCCAAGCTTTGAAGCAGGAGTGGAAGATCGCCGCGCTGGGCACAGATGAGGAGTGGCGGAGTGACTACACTCGTATGACTCATTTCGAGGACAAAGGTATCGAGGTCGTCCTGGTGGAGTTCGGCCCCACTCTGATAAAGCTGAGTCAGAAGGTTTGAAAGAATCAGGCTCATATTCGAAGGGAGCATCTTTCATACAGATGAGATCTTCTGTCAGTCTTAGCCCGGGATCACAAAACGAGTCCCATTCTAACGCACGGTCTGGGAGATGGGGGCAAACGGCATGGAGAAACTACTGTGTCCTACTGGAGTTCTACGACTCGACGAAGTTAAGGAGGCCATGTATGTCACTTCGACCTGCGAATACACTGCCTATGACATAAATCTGTACGTCCTTCTTGAATAACTAATAGGCTATCTAAGGGGCCATACTGGCATCATGTTCCAGACATTTCGGCTTTCTGGCTCTAACTAGTACTGAAATTGCTCGCACAATGATCTTCCTTCGTACTGTTCCTCGCCTTCGATCCCGCCAACGATGGGTCCAACGAGCCTCTGGTATATACCAATGGACATTGTGACGGCCTCGACGGTGAAGTTAGCAACAAAGGCCTTGCCATCGCCCAGCTCGTAGCGGATGTTATAACCAGATGGGGCTGACAGGTTAGTCGTAGGGGGGTACGCGCTATTGTCGCCCCAGGGCCGGACGACGATGGATTGTTCCTCGCAGCTCTTCGACACAACATCACCATCTTTGGTGATCCAAGACGAGAAGTGCTCCTTGCCGTCCTTGGCAAGGGCGTCGAGCCAGACTAAAGAGTATGGACCGACGCGGGCATGGCCCCAGTACCAAGTATTCAGTGTCTCTTCCAGAGGCTTCACTCCCCAGTTCTTGTCATGGTAGCCGTAGCCTTGAAACTGAAGGGGCTCTCCGTCGATAGTAAACTCTGCGATCGCGTCCGCATCTGGAACGGCGTTGGACCAGTATATGTCCGGGATTATCTCTTGCGTAACTCCGGGTATGTTGAGGTCGCAAGGATAACGGGAAGGTGAAATCTTGAAATGGTCAGCATGTTGCCTGAGAAATGCGTTGTGCTTTTCCATTATGCACTCTTACCGACTGTAGCTTCAATGATCCGGAGATTCCGGATTCCGGATCGTCGATGGAAATAGTGTATGAGGGGTTGGTAATGTCCAGGCTGCTCCCGGTGAAAGAGTAGGAGCCGCCAGATCCTATCCATTCGGAGGCGATGCCCCTGTCACTGGATTCAAAATTCGCATTCCCGCTCGCAGCAATGGCCTTGGAGAATGCGGTTCCATTTTCGTATGTACCAGTTACCTGTACAAGTAATGGGCCATCCAGATACGGGACAGCCAGAGTGGTCTGACCAAAGTTATAAAAGACGAGGGTGACCGACTCGTTCTTGCCAGTCGAAACGGCATCGAAGTACCACCTGCATGCATTCAGACTTCCAATTTACTTAAGCACTCTTCAGGGTGCCTTACCAGTCAAAGGTGGTATCGTTAACACCAGGAGTCAACTTTGGCAGGTCAAGTCCGCCCTTGACTGAAATCACTTCAGCCGTGGATGTGCTATTGATGACTTGGAAAGGAAGGACTGATTTTGTAACACCACTGCGTGCGTACGGATTTGCTCGAGCCAGGCTGGTAGTGAGTAGAGCGGAACCAAGGAGAGAGACAGGATACATCATGTTGCTGAGGTATTGTTTGAGTACAACGGAAATAATGATAAGCTTCAATAATCACTGCAATGCGATAGAGTTGGTAGTGATGCTGTCAAGTTTAACTCGGATTGCTTTGAAAGCCCAGTAGCTGAATTTATATAGTCTCCTCCATGATACCAAACAATGACGATTTTACTCGTGTCTTGTTCTTCAATTCTCATAATCACCGTTCGTTCCGGATCCAATTATCATGAGATCTGGATTTGGGCGTCCCGTCACTGGCAGACATCGTCATCGGCGACGCATTACGGACTGTTTCTGTCCTCCGAATAATGATTGGGACTGGCTAGCCATGGGGATATAGAAGTGCCCTCCGCCGCCGAAGGTGTCCACTGTGGTCCGGCAATATGACGATCCAGAGATTAAGCTTTTTTGACTCAGCACACATGATCAGGCAAGCTGCTGGCATCCACACCACACCGGCCATAGTTTTTTTCCGCCCTGGGCCCGCCTTATTTGGGCGCAGGCCTGCCCGGTGGTCTAATTGACAACTCCGTCTCCAGTGGACAATCGGCGGGCCTTGTGCAGCGCCTTGCCGCTTACAACAAACTCTGCCGCGAAGCCGCGGAAGAAAAGAAAACCGGCTCAGGTTTCGACGACTAGCATGAAAGCATTCATACTTCAAAGGCACGTCAAACAGTCGAGTTCGAATCACAGCTACAGAGCTCAATTGTTCAAAGTCATTGAATACATGTACCGGTGCTAGAGCACCATTTGGCTAGCTTTTAGTCTTTTCACTATGTATAGCTTCGTTTATATATATACAAGGAGTTTGCAATCAAAAACTACCAGGAAATATTTTCTTTTCAAGACAGGCCCTAAATAGCCACGAGATTTAAGCGTGGTCGATGGGAGAAGGCCCAGCGTCAATGGGATAAGTGAAGATGTTGTTCGGGCCATCAGCCATTAACCCGTCGGCACCAGGGCGCATTTGGGACGCTGGGAGCCATAATTTCTTGTCGGAGGTCACCCACATTAAATCAGTCCAGATCAAAGCGTCATCCTGAACGAGAATCGTCGTGCGGCCCTCCGGCGTAACTTTCCAGATGGCAAGCAAGTTCGTATCCGAGACGTAGATGTTCCCGTCTCCGTCGATTGTGCTACCGCCGGTGCTGGGCGTCAGAGCAAAAGGCGTGGCGTAGTCCCCGAGAGAAGCAGCCAAGGTTGCATTGGTCAATGATGCATCGACGTAGGCTGTCTCGATACGGTAGAGACCACCGTTGCACGGTTGATAGTACAGCCAGACTCCGTCAGGAGAAACCTCAATCTGATCCAAGCCAACGGACAAGGTGCTGCCAGATCCACCATAGCCTGGTACAAGAGTGCCGTTGTACATCATAGGGAACCAAGCCATGGCAGAATCATCGCCGTCCAACACCTTAACGCCGTCGCCGCTCGTCAGGTTCAGCACGAGCATGGCTCCTGCGGTGTCGCTCAGGTACGCGACATCTCCGCTGGGCCCGAATCGAACATCGTCGATGCCGCCGTTTGAACCCCGGATGTCCTCGAGGTAGTAAATCTTGTCGACCTCGTCGGTTGTAAGGTTCACGCCGACCAGCTTGGTTGACTTGTTGACACCCGAGGAGCCACCATCGACCAGCCAGTAACGCCCGTCAGGCCCGATGCGCGCACCGTCAATGCTCACGAAGTGAGTGGCAGGATCGGATTCCGGGTCGCTGGAGTTGTAGCTGTTCCATTCAGCATCGGGGTAAAGGACAGTCGTGTTGTCTGCAAGCAGCTCCACAGTGATCGGCGGAAGTGTGGTCGAATATCGCTGAGATAGAAATTTGCGACCATCGGCCGAGATGAAAATCCCCTGCGTGGCGAGTTCCACAGAGTAGGCGAGCTCGAGACCCTCTGCCAGAGCTGCAGTCAAGGGCGCCCAGGCCGCGCCGAGGAAAATAGTGGAAAGAGATGTCTTCATCTTGCAGTTGTGAATGTGCCCCGGGTACTACTCACTGCTCTCTTGCTTTCCGAATACTTCATCTTTCAATTATATACTTTTCCATGGCCACACTTAGAAGAATATTCCGTATTAATAATGCTAGAAGCTCGTTGCGATCTTGGCGCAGCTAGACCCATACTAACAACTGACTTAAAAAAAAAAAGGTGACGCAAGCTTTCGACTATGATATTTTTCGCCCCTTTATTTTGATTAACTTAAGTGACAAAAAAGGCAGCCGACAACCCATTTGTCCTTGCAGCCGTGGTATTTGGGGTGGAGAGGTGACTGTCAAAAGCCGGCGCAGGACGATCAAGTACTCGGCGCCGAATCCGAGCGGGATCCTAACTCCGAGCAACTTATGAATCACGGCATGTTCCCTGAGGACTTTTAAAAAAGGAGGCCTGCGTGAACTGGGATGAGAATCTAGCTCCGAGACTTCGTGAAGAGCTGGATCATTCCTTTTCCACTCTGTCTAAGAATGGTGCTACCACCTTTTCCACAACCTGGATGCTATTTTTCTCCATGAAGCTGAAATGCCCGTTCCCTCTCACGCCCCTCTCCTCCAATCTCACAAACTCCACATCTACGCCGGCCTGCTCCAAGTAACTCGCGATGCACCCAGAATACACAGCCTGAAAGCTAGCCTCCCCAACTATCTGCAGCACAGGTACCTTGGCCATGTTAGGCAGCCTCCTCGCCGGTTCAGCCTGCAGGATACATGAGGCCAGGTTAGGACCTGCAGGCGGGACAAGCTGCCGAGCTATAGCATTCGGATCGTTGTCTGGCAACGGCGGGTCATACAAAAGCGGTAGCGCTGTGAGCCCGTATGGAAAGGGCGGCCAGGGTGATGCATAACCCGGTGCATACGGCGGGCCTGTCCAGGTCTCGAACGGGCCCGCGCCGGGCTCGATGGCTACGATCCCGGCAACTAGGTCCGGCCTCTCGTTGGCAAGCTGCCACCCGAACGGCCCGGCCTGGGAGTGCGTGACCAGTATGTGAGGCGTAGCGATGCGGTCTGCCAGTGCGACGTACGAGTTGTTGACCAGCTGAGCGGCGATGGTGCCGTTGGCCTGGAATTGGACCTGTGTCGAGTAGAAGGCGTCGAAGACAGGGTCGCCTGGTAGACCGGTGCCCGGCCATTGAGTGTGGAGGGCGGCTTGGGGATAAGGAAGAGGGACAACTTTGCCAGGGGCAGTGAAGAGGGAGGAAATCGCCGCGGTGGGGAAGACGGCGAGTTCACCGCTGCCAGGCATGTATGGAGAGCGTCCACGTTCGGGCTGGTCAGTCAAATAGACCACATAGCCCTGGCGGAGGAAGTAGGAAGCCCATCCTTCACGGCCATCCGGGGTGTTCAACCAATTCTGGCCGTTTGTCAGCAGCTGCAGCTTAGGTGAGAGGGCGAGATGGAGCGCTTGGAAGTTGAACTTGCCGTAGCCGTTTGCGCGGAACCATGGATGAACACCAAAGGGTGCTTATGGCGTATAGTCGGCGGGGTTAGATGTTCAACGTACATCTGACCGATCATGTACTCTGCACCCTCAGTTCCAGGCTTCATGAGCTCATTAGTACTTGGACTGTCTTGCACATCGACAATGGGACCTACAGAGGTCGAGTTCACATATTGTCCACCGACATAGAAGAAAGTTCGCTCCGCCGACGCCTCGGTATGGTTGCCGGTTGGGGTATCCTGGTCAAATGGAATAACAGCTGCAAATACTGTAGACAAAAGAACTAGATACAAGCGGAAGATTGATGATGAGGCCATGATGATATTTGACACGCTTCCTGTTGTATCAAAACAAAACTCCCACTCGCACTTTTTCAACACACGTCCAGATCAGAGTCAGTATAAGGCTCGATTGGAAGCGCAGGTAGCCAGCAAGTTGAAGCAAGCACCAGTTTCCAAGTTCCTGAGGGGAAATTTGATATTTATATACATATCGGTGACGTAAGAGCCGACGAGAGCTTGCCTTTGAATTCTACTACTGTAAGCATTCTTGGCACAGATCCAAGGCGGGTTCGAGATGCAGTAAGCACTTGTTTACAAATACAACAAAGAGAAGGATCGTAATGCTTGGCAAGTGTACTGCTAGAATATTCGCAAAGGCAGCCATATAGCGTTGCTTTACCAAGCACGAGCTGCAGTCTACTAAGAGGGAGAATTGACCAGGAGATTAGATGCTAACTGTCCTACTGATGCGGTGTCTGACACATGGTGCACTACAACGAGCACAAAACGGTGTGCTCGGGGAAAAGAAAACTTGATCGGAAATTCAATCGAACTCATTTTGATGAGGCTCTCTAGCAGTCCTGACCCACAGGAAATCAGGAGTCGGCTGTGTATCAATCTGGGTGCGAGTGAAGGTAGCTGGGGTGAACGCCAGCAGAGCACTGCCAGTGTGGTCATGGCACTTATCGATAGGCCTATCTCCTCAAACTATTAGTAGTCTGTGTTCTTCTAGGACATTGATGGCCTGGTCGAGCTACGCCGTATCACAGGTGGCAGCGATCAAGGGCTCATTCAGCAATCGACTTGCAATGCGGTACTTCTGTGTTGCGATCGTGGAACAATTGCAGCAATCAGGCATTACCATGCCTCCCCGCCTTTCTTTTCCACAGCCAAATCGAGACTTCATGCCGTAAAGACGTAGGGCCATCTCATAGGGTACGGAACCCGGATTCAAACGGAAATTTGCTTTTTCACCCTTCTGTGTTTCGTATTTCCGCAGCCCCAAAATGGTCCACTCCTCTCAGCTCCTTGTTTTCACATCGTGGATCAACCTCTTTCTATGAATAATCTCTTCTGACTCTGCAACACGGGAAGAACATGGCTTTTCGCCCACGTCCGGCCCACGTCAAGGGTTGGACAGTCCAACTTATGCAGAAAAACCCCGACGGCTTGCCGTACTCCAAGATCAAGGCCATATGTCACAAATATCGCTAAAGACTTCCGACCGCACGCGTGCCACCCTCCGATAGGCTTCGCCACATGCCGCCAGGTGCCGTCTTCCTGCGTCGCCCCTCGCCAAGCTATGTTATCAGCCCGCAGCTTGCAGCTCGGCTTTCCGAGTCCCAGGTTTCAGCATTGCGTTCAAATTTCAGGGTATACGAGCGCGTGGCCGTAGAGAAGAATGAGAATGAAGATGTCCCAGTATCTTGGCGAGTCGAAGAGAAGGATCGCACTCCAGAAGTCTTCATTGATGAGGATCTGAGCCACGGTCCGGCTCTTTACTATGGACATGGGCAGATTAATTCGTTGGCATGCTCGACATGCATAGGGCTCGAATGACGTTCAAGGATCAATTTGAATCTTCTGCTACTCTAGGGAGGCATTTGACTAAGCGGAATATGTATCTAGTGATAGGCCCAGACCTCAGACGGAAAGGCTTTTACCAACCGCCTGGTTTCTGGGTTCGCTGCGGCACTACCAAAGAGGCGCGGAAGATCGCCCACATCAACACCGACGTTGACCATTCCGAAGGTATCGCAACGGCTTCAGTCACTCTGAACTAAACCGTTCCCATCCAGGGCTTAGACCCAGATAGGACGTGCCCATACACTCGACTTGCAGCGGCCGGGATCGAAGTTGAGCCGGTAACAAGCGTTTGGGACCTTGATGGCGAGCCAGCTTCGGGTCAGGTTGGACACGAGGGACTTGTGTCACCAGAGTCGTTTGATATCCACATGGTTATATCTCGGTTAACAGAAACCTTGTTGATGGGATCGTTTCTTAAACGACGCGTCGATTATATAAAGGCTTTCGGCGAACACGACCAGGATCTTGAGTTCGATGAGATGGCAGAAGATTGCTGGATCGAGGAATAAGTTTCCGCCCATTCTAGTTTCACAGTCACATCTCCACTTGTACCAATCAAAATGATTCGTGTCGATGTAAGATCAAGGAAGATAGCAAGCCCGCGGCTTCAATATTCATGATTTTGGTACACAGAGATTGAGCTGCCAAGGCATCTAAATCAAATGACTATTCTGAACCTCTATCAAGCCGCCGTTCCGTTTCAGGGAGAACCAACTCCTTGAATCCGACATATTCCTCGTTTCCGTGGAACGCACCGCCAGAACCCGCCGCATCACCGTCTCACTAGTCCTCCTCATTACATTCCCACCGACACGTCCTCATCTCCGCCACCATCACCACCACCACTGCCGTCATCATCCCCATCACCCTTCTTCTTCCGCTGTAGGGTCCTAAAGCAATGTCAGAGAAGCTTTACCTTCAGGAGACAGTCCTTGGAATGCCCGCTTCGCACTTACCCTTCGATGACCTCTCCTCCGTAGCGCAAAAAGAACCCCTCCTTGGTAAGCACCTCCCTCTTGCTGTCTGACTTCGGGGTTTTGTCTTCCCCATATTTCCCCTCCGCGCGTCCATTGTACAGCTTCCAGGCGCATTCGTTGCACGATTGCATGACCCTGGTCTCCCCGTTCTCAAAGGGGCTGCGTGTCAGCCCAGCGATGGGCATCCGCTTGTGGCAGCGGCTGCATGTGCCATATTCAGCCGCGGTCCCTTCAGGGAGCTGTTCATCGGGTTGCTGAGGGGGAGTTTGAGAGGATGCCATCGTCGCGGGTACGATTGAGGGCAATCTGAATACGCAACAGCAGGAGGCACGCAGAAGTCAATCCTGGCCAGTAGTCTTTGGCTTCAAGTACTGTGTCACTGGCCCTTGGGCATTGTCCAATTTCAATGGAATACCCTTGCGTGAGGACTTGATAACTGAATTGATTCAGATGCAAATTACCGGACAGGATTCTGTAATTACATAGCTTGGGGGCGGCTTGAAGGGAAAAATTCTTGGGAAATCACATAGAATAAGTTGTGAGAGGCCTGCTGATTTATACAGGCGCCGGTGGAGTTCTTATGATTTAGGAGATATAAGGCAAACACGTATGACTGATAGAAACAATAAACAATTTAGGCTCAAGAAGCTGACTGATCTTTCCTCAAGTGCTTGGTCTGGAGTAATCATTCTGATCGGTGAGTTGTCACCACAGGCCACTTATCATCATTGGTGAGTCACAAGGGCTGACAGAGACAAGAAAACCTTTGGCAAACTCTAGCTTTCAGATATGAAAACCTTTAAAGTCATATACAGTTTACTGAAGGGCGCGAAGAGTCCGGAAGGTAGGATCTATGCGCCAGGAGCCTTGATCATGGTAGTGCCTTCGCATCACCGAGGCTGAGAGGCTATGGGGCCGCTAAGCTACGTTGGACTAGAGAACTAGGCACTGAGAGCCGTGGTGGTAGACTTACCTTCTCACAGAAGCTCTAAAAATGTCCTAACTGGACAGGTGTCGGCAGTTTTGTTGAAGAATATTCAAGTCAAGTTGGTTGAGCAAACAATAGTTACTTGGCAGTGACGCATCAAGACCAGACACTCATACTACTTCGAACTCTCACCAATGGACCCACATCAGTCATGAGGGTGAGTCTTTTCGGTTTGATAACTGGGATGCAGTGGTAAAGCCAGTTTCGTTTGGTAGTTCCGCCACATGTCTTACCCATCTTGATCGACAATCAACTTCAGCTGATGTATTTGAAACGAGTGCCAATTCCACCAAGAATCGGCAGGTATGCGCATGCATCCGCATGAGACAACGCAGATGTGCGAGCAACATTTTGACTCTTCCTCGTACTGGAGTTTGTCATATCTTTGGCAGTCAATCTTGATCCCGCTGCGATGAACTAAGGTGTCTTTTTGTGATGAATAGCGGGTGCCCAGCAACCAGGAAATGCCATAGGAGGCTCCCGTCAAACAGAACGCCTATGCATCAAGAATTGAAGTTCACGCCCCATGGACAAATCTCCGTCCGATTAGGGATTACACGCGAGACGCCATTGGATTTGGCCAAGGACACCAGTCATTCGTTAGATAGTTACCGACAGATAATTACCGCCTTCGCGCGTTAAAGATGTTAGCGTTTGGATTTTTTTGATCCGTGGAACGATGGAACGGAAGACGTTGTTGGATATAATTGGAACATGCTTATTATGGATTAGTAGTTTGCTGTGGAGCTCGATAGCTTGACAGATGATGTCTAACGGGAGTGAACAGCTATGGGTGGGTTCCTCTTGGCGTTGGCCTCTCGCTCCATTAGCCGAGGTGTCATGCAGCTCCCGAGATTCCACGACCCTTCTGGAAGCTTTTGGGGGCCCCTGGTCGGCCGCACGAGGGTCCGTGGGGATGCTAAGGCCAGCGTATACCATGCAGTTACCCAGGTATGACGCTGCTCACGTCAGTGCTGTAATCCTTCTGCTGTTGTTCACTCTGAGAAGAGGATGAGAGGGAGCCGATTACGATATGCGTGAGAGTCTTCAGAGAGCTTAGTGGTGTAAGATGCTGGTCTGCAAAAGAAGAGAACAAACAGGTCAGGCCAGGTCAGGTCAGGTCAGGTCAATACGAAGAATTAAATTGTAGAGGTTGCGACGTGGAATAGGGGTGTAAAATTGCCTTGCCGCCAAGAAGATGCCCGTTCGGCACCTGGTCCCCGGGTTGCTAAGGCCGCCCCTTTGAATCAGTTCTGGATCCGGGGGGACCGTGGCCACTCTGCCTGCCCAGCATGCCAGCATGTCCAGCTTGACCAGCTTTGTGTGGGTGTGGGAGAGGGCTGGCTGGCCGGCTGATGCGTAACAGAGTAAGCTTGAAAACAGGGGAAAGATCCAGAAGCGTCGGAAATATGACGTGACGTGACTCGGATGCAACAAGCTCTGGGCAAAGCTGGTTGGGCCCACGAAGCAGCGAAGCTGGCTGGCTGGCTGGCTGGCTGGCTGGATGAGAACCTTGAGAGAGAGAGACAGAGGGAGAGAGAGGGCAGAAGCTGTTGTTTGAAGACCCTTGAGGTCTGAGGCTCGAGCCCCCTTGTCCACCCGTCCACACCTCTCCCACTCTCCCACCCCCCCTTCTGCAGAGTCTGGCCAGTCTGCCAGGTCTGCCCCCTTTTCCAAGAGCTCAGCTCCCACCCAGCTAGAGCGGATGGCTTCCGGGCAGCCTCGCAGCCGGACTTCGGCCACCCTGCAGGGTCCTCTGGCCCTACCCCCTTGGCTCGCCTGTCAGGGCCACTATGCTCCGTTAAAAGCAGCCCCCACGGTCGATCATTAATTAATCATGACCTAGGTCGACGCCACGCGAAAACGTTTTAAGACGAGCTCGAGCTTGCTCAACACATACAAATCTAGCTATCTACGTACGTGTCCCGGCCCTGACGTGCTGGTGTTTTCTCTCCATTCATCCATCCATCCATCATCATCGTCAGCAAAACAATCCACGCCGCCGCCACCATTGAGTGACGAGCATCCCGACTCAAATCTCTATCAATCTCACCCATTTTTGGATTGTCGGGTGACCACAGCAAACACGAGAAAATGTCGATGAACCGCCTAGCACGAGCTGGCCTCAGGGCCCATAATAAAAACTTGATCTCACCCTACAGCAACAGCAGAGCTGTCAACTTGGGCTCCAGCGGTGTACACTGTGCGGCGCCGGCCATCGCAAGTATATACAGGCCCAATGCCCTCCAGAAAACCCAGAGCCCGCGGTCTTCAGGCCTACTATCCTCTCAAAAGTCATTCTTCACCACATCATCACAATCCTCCTCAGCCACTGCCGCTGCCACTGCCGACATGGGTTCCAAAGCTGCTCCCGCGCCCCTGAGGCTCAGCAACAAGAGCCTTGCCCAGATCCAGGGCTTTGGGAGCGAGGGCCACCAGGCGTCGGTCATCCCGACATACAGCCGCGAGGGCCTCAAGGAGGGTATCGTGCACATCGGCGTCGGTGGCTTCCACCGGGCGCATCTGGCCGTGTACGTGGACAACCTGCTGGGCAAGAACGTCAACGACGCGCGAGAGTGGGCCATCTGCGGCGTGGGTCTGAAGCCCTTTGACGCAGGCATGCGCGACGCCCTGGTGCCTCAGGACGGGCTGTACACCACCATTGAGCGGTCGGCCGAAGGCAGCCAGGCGCGCGTCATTGGCAGCATCAACTCATTCCTGTATGCGCCCGACAACGTGGACGCCGTCATCGCCAAGATGGCAAACCCGGAGACCCGCATCGTGTCCATGACCATCACCGAGAGCGGCTACTACTACAACGAGAACACGCACGAGCTGCAGGTCGAGGACCCGGACATTGTCGAAGACCTGAAAAGCGACCTCGGTGCGCCTCGCACCACCTATGGCTTCCTGTTCGCCGCGCTGGCCCGCCGTCACGCCGCCGGCCTCAAGCCCTTCACCGTGTTGTCGTGCGACAACATGCAGAAGAACGGCACCATCACGCGCAGCATGCTGCTGTCGTTCGCGCGGCTGCGCGACCCCAAGATCGCCGACTGGATCGCCGAGCACGGCGCGTTCCCCAACAGCATGGTGGACCGCATCACGCCGCGCACGTCGGACACCGACAAGACGGACCTGGCGGCCAACTTCGGCATCGAGGACGCCTGGCCGGTTGTGACGGAGCCGTTCATGCAGTGGGTGGTGGAGGACACGTTCGCCAACGGGCGGCCGGCGTTCGAGCAGGTAGGCGTGCAGGTGGTCAAGAACGTGCACGAGGTTGAGAAGTTTGAGTGCCACAAGCTGCGGCTGCTCAACGCCAGCCACACGGCCATGGCCTACATTGCCTACCTGTCCGGGTTCGAGTACGTGCACAACGTGATCGAGCACCCGCTGTTCAACAAGTTCCTCTACAAGATGATGCACGAGGAGGTGCGGCCCTTGCTGCCCGAGATCGAGGGCGTCAGCATCGACGCCTACATCGACATGCTGATGCACCGCTTCTCGAACCCGACCATCATGGACCAGATCACGCGGCTGACGCTCAACGGCTCCGGCAAGCTGCCGCAGTTCATCATGCCGTCCATCGCCGAGCAGATCTGGGACTCGCGCGAGCACAACTTCCGCCGCCTGACCCTCGCCGTCGCCAGCTGGTTCCGCTACCTCGACGGCGTCGACGAGCAGGGCCGCCCGATCCACGTCGACGACCCCATGGCCGAGCGCCTGCAGGCCCTCGCCCGCGAGGGCGGCACCTCGCCCGCGCCCCTGCTCGGAGTCAAGAACCTGTTCGGTGACGACTTGCGCGGCGACAAGCTCTTCGTCGAGGAGCTGGGCCGGGCCCTCGAGAGTCTCCACAAGGAGGGCGCCATGGCCACGCTGGCCAAGTACGTCGACTAAGCATTGGTTGGTGGTGATCAATAATGATGATCAGGCCCAGAACCAGTCAAAGATGAGCGGTCAAGCTGGAACCCCCTTGGTTCAAACGCCCAGCTCGCCCGCCCGCAGCGCCCGGGCATGAGCTCACTTTTGCCACCCTGACCAACTGGCAGCTGGGCATATGTCTCGAAGGCGGAAGTAGGGGGTCAATCCCCGCTGGGCTCGCCGGGGTCCGGGGGGAACTGAGTGGTCAGACACGGGGGTGGACACGGTCGCCCAAACTGTACCCACCCGACCCCTGAGGGACGCTTTCCTCACCCTCGCAGGCCGCGAGGACAAGGCGGGGAGAGGAGGAGTCACCTCATGTCGGGTTCTCCGTACGCAGGAGGGCTTTTACTACATGTATTCAAGTGGTTGGGGACTATTAGAATCTTGTAATCGATACAAAAAAAGAGGCGGACCTTGGTAGAGGAGGCAGAATAGATGAGAATGCATGGTGTTCGGGGTGTTACGTCATAGTTACAGATAAGGGTTATCGGAGACGATAGAGCGATAGAGGAATGTCTGCTTTGCTGGGGACTTTGTTGGGACTGTTTTGCTGCTTTTACACCCTTCAATCGTCAAATAGACAATAGAGAGCTTTGAAAGAATTACGGATTCAAAAACTCGCAGGATCACCCAGGCACTCGGGATGTAGTTGTCACTGCTCAATTGGCAGACGCAGGTCTCAACCCGCCCGCAGCTCATGTGCTGTCCTGCCAATGCAGCAACAGCGGAATCGTCCCAACAACCTGGGAGCCATGCAGCCACAACCAATCGTGAGCGCCGCCAGTCACAGCTTGATCGCCCTCCCCGCATGACGGATGAAGCCCTGCTATGCGAGACGGCTTGCTCCCTCCCGCCCGCACATGCAGGTGCTCACCGTGTTTCTGCATGTGCATGACCGCCCACACGGGGCTGACACCCCGGCCTTCACCGCAGCATCGTATTCTGTGGTGTGATCCCCGGGAGCTCGACAGCGCCGCGTCATTCCTGTGGCTCTTGGGATATATTGGCAGATCTGAGTCTCCTGTTGTTTTCGAAAACGAGGCTCGTAGCAGGAGACTCATGCCCCTGCATCGTCTGACGCTGGACTCTGGCAGCCTTTTCTGGACATCGAGCCTCAAAGTCCATAGTCATGCGCTGCCGTCGGGCTGCTCGTGAACAGCATCGCCCCTTGGGCTTGAATTCCTTGCTCAACAGTTAACATGCACTGTGTACAATCAGGGCGAGAATTCTATCATCAGCCAGGCCATTTAATTTTAGAAGAGTGGCTATGGCAAGATCATTCTCAGCTCAGATTTATCTCACCCGTCACATGCAAACTCAGTGTCGCCTGTTCCAGACCTGTACTACGCTTTGCCAATTCAGCATGGCCAGCGCTACAGATAACACTCATAGTCGATATAGAAACCACCATCGGTGAAGAATAAATCGCGAGGTCGTCTTGTGTAATAAATAGTGAAGTATTCCTAGACAGGCTCATGTCTAGGAACAGATAGATGGATTGCCTAGACTGTGTTGATCGGCTATGGAGGTTTTCAGTTGTTTTATTCGGCGTGAATCTTCGCTACTGCTGTGTAGCCCTCAGACTATGCTGTAGCAAATTGGAGATGAGTACGCTGTTAACGTTAGGCCTCCCGCTTATCGCACACGGCGTGAATTCTCAACGTTCAGGACAACTTGGGAGAGTCTGAACCTCTGCCTAATCTGTGTGATGCTGCATCTCAAGACATCCTTGTTGGCATTAGGAGCTTCAAGGCACTATGCACTTGACGAGGGTATCTGCATGCTGGTGGTGCTCAAAGTGGCAGCTCGACTTGAAATCATCTATGTCCGTCGAGGTGCGCTAATCACGTTTAAATACCCACCTAAGGTCTGGGACTACACAAAAAGATTTCGGTAATGACTTCCACTTGTAAGCTGAGATTTAGCCTGTGGAACCGATGTGGCCTGCAGCTTCCCCCGAGGGCATGCCTGATTTCACACGACCATGGCTATGACGGCCGTTCTGCGTAGTTCCTTCTGCTTTCCTGGCCTTCAAGACTTATCGGAAAGATGGACAGAAATTGCGAGAAAGCTAGCAATCAGCTAATTCAAAGGCACGAAATGGCAAACTAAGTAAATTGATTGATTCCAATTGCTTCGCCGCACATATGACCTGGTGTGAAGCTTCAATTCACTCTTCGCACTTCAACACACCAACACATCACCAGATCTCATCCTTACAGATATCACTGGGCACGTCGTCGACCCTCATATCCACCTCCAAGACGGAGTCAACCACGGAGGTTATCCCCAAGAAAAATCTTCCAAAATGCGCTTCTTCGCCCCTCTTCTCACGGCCCTGCCATCCCTCCAGACGTAAGAGCCACAACCTTTGCAATTTCGCACAAACTGCTAACAGATTCATCCCACAGTGTCTCTACCATCCCACAACCGACGTCGTCCTGCGCCACCCCAACAGCCACGGTCACCGCGATCCGACAGCACCTGCACTGCGGCCGCTATGTCTGCCCCCCTCCCAGCTCGGTCTGCGTCGCCGGCGAGCCCACAGGCCCAACACCCAGGCCGCCGTACGTGTTCATGACGGCCACCCCGGCGCCGCATGCCTGCACCGTCACCGCCAACGCTATCGACAACCCGGGCTGTAACCTGTGCCCGACTTGCCATGTCCCTGCCGGTGGTGCATCCGTGGCTCGTGCTACGTCTACGTTTTCTGGTTAGACATATGCGTTCGGTGCTATGAGACGCCTTCTTTGGTGTCTACGCCGATTTTGTCTCAAAAGTCTATTCTCCAGTTGTGGCTTTCCACCAGTCGCTGATCTTCGAGCCCGCCATGAGATCAGGCTATGGGATACTGCTTGAACCACTTCTAGCTAAACACATAGGGGAATGTTGGGCTGAGGAAACACCAAGGTTGCGTGAGGAGTTCATATGCGGTCAGATCGTTGAACTGATAGATTTTTTCAGCGGAGGAGAGGGTCACCTGTGACAGATCGAGCTCTAAATTCAGAATCTGTTTCATTCAGGGGCTTATTCGGCTTCTATGATCAGTTTCAACATGATATGCCTGTGCTGTCAAGGTCTTAAGGTGAACTTCAACTTTCTCAGTGTCTTTTCAATCACTAAGCAAGACTTGGCTGTGAGTTGAAGAAAATATTTCGTGAGGTAGTGAAACCTTTCGATTTCGTCATATAAGTAAGGAGAGAACGGATACGAAGTTGGCCTTGATGGATTAGAACAGAATGAACTCCTGATGCTGAACCCAGAGAGATAACGGAGAGGAAGCAGTGTTTCATCCCATACCTCAGAGCAGCCGAACGATTGATGACATTACTCGTTGATTGCTTCTCTCCGCTCCGTGACATCCAGGTGCACCAGCAGCCTCGTCCACATTTCGAAGTTGGCAAGTCAGACTCGTTGAAAGCCTTCAGTGACAAGACATCTAGGCCTGGAAAGGGAATTCCGCCACTGAAATCTCTGACCCTGCACAACTTAGCAACGGCAGGCACCAATCGAGCGCCCCTTCCCGAAATCCATTCAGGCGGTAGGAGGTTGACCCTGACAGCAGCAGCACACACCCAACAAAACAAAGCGACGCGGTGGAATCATTAAGAAACGTCACTTTGAAAAATTTCCGAAGGAGCAGAGAAGCACTCACAACCGATAAAATCCGTGGCCCAGCATTCTGCGCCGCGAAGCATCATGGACAACGAAGTCATTCTGGATTGTATCGTCGTTGCTGTCGACACTGATCGGCCTTTTTCAATGGCTCCCCAAAATGAACCATCCACGTCAGGAGAAACGGATGCCGCAGAATACAACAGCGACAGTGATATTGACGATGTTACGTCGGAACAGGAGCAGGGCCATGCCGCCATCAATTCGCCATCCAGCGCAGCTGCCTTCAGGCGAGCGAAATCCCACATATCTGTATGTCTTACATGTCTCTTCTCATCCTATTGACCCCCTTTTGTTCATAGTTTGACTTTCTTGGCTGTCTTGCTGCCTTGCCGCCGAGTGGAATACTTCGGGTGGCTGCATCGCCTAGCAAGGACAAGGTTTCCTGTGTCGCACTTCGTGCTGAATGGTTGCTCCTGCCTCGAATCTGCATGGTCCGATGCAGCCTTCCATCAACATTTCCTTTGATGATGGCGGTGGTCCTTCTCAGCTCGCAGCTCCTTCCCAGCCAGCCACATCCTTCTCGCCCATTGCGCCACCTTTCCCATGGCAGCCATACCCTGCAGCCGTTTGCTCAGCCGCAAACATCTGGCTTGAAAACCTTGATGATGTTTTCTTGGGTCTTCGAATACATCAAAAGGAGGCCAACAGCTGATGAGCTTGACCAGGACAAACAGACACTCGCTCGAAGTACTCTCAGGATGGGCGCCATCTCACCAAGCAGACCTCCCGGCGCGAGGCAGTCCTCGGGCTCCAACTCTAACAACGGCCAACCTCGCAAGCAAGCCCTTCACGATTCCTTTTTAACTGGTCTTTCTCGAAATCAGCAGTCGGTCCGGCACAGTGCAAATCGCCAGACAGAATCTGCGTTCAAGAGAAAAGAAGAAGATCCTCGCCCTGCCACCGACAAGTTTGCTCAGTCTCGATTTGCACCCATAAATGTCATCACCATCGATAGCGACGACGACGACGAAATCGGTTCCGACGACGAGCCTCTAGCCGTGGTCCGCAAACGGAAGCATAGCAGTGCCATCGGACATCCTTCGGGACTCCCACCGATACCACCCAAGACGAGAAAGGCAAAATCGACCCCGACACACATAGAGCCGATCAGGACGATAAAGCTCAACAGCAGCTATGCAGAGTCGGTGCCACCTACTGCAAACAAGCGGCCGCGTCCTAGCTATGTCTCCGAAACAGATTCAGAAGTATACACGGATGTTTCTCAGAGGGACGATGACCAGAGGAACCGAGATTCGAAGCGTCTTGGCCACAGCTTTCCCCCTGTTTCCAATTATGCCATCAAAGAATCAGACAGCAGTGACAAAAGTCAGCTGCGTTGGCCGGACCTTCTGAAGCAGTACCAGCCCCGACTGGAAAAGGTGGAAATGACTGATCTCGACTCTGACCCACACAATGCGTGCGCAGTCACTGGCGAGCCAGGGGCATACCTAGTCGACTTTCACAGTGCTCATGAGACTTTCCCACATCTCAAAGACGACACTCACGATTTGGAGGCTAAGCTGAGTCAACAGGAAATCAAATTATTATCTCTTTCTCATCAGCTAGATGAGTCTCGAGCAATTGCGAAGATGGCGATACGGGGAAAGCTGGAAAATGATAGGGAATTGACGTCCCTGAAAGATGATCTGAAGGTTTCCAAGGCAACAATAGAAAGCCTACAACAGAAGCTCGAACATGATAGCAGGGATGAAAGAATCGCTCAACTCGAGGCATCCGAGGCTGAAAGGAAGAAGCAGACTGGACAGCTTCGAACTCAGATCCATGGCCTCGAGCAACAGGTCGACGGACTCGAGACATCCGAGGCAAATATGAAGAAGCAGACTGGGCAACTTCGGACTCGGATTCAGGATCTCGAGCACCAATGCGAGAGGTTTATCAGGAAGTCCCTCGCTGACGATGCCATGATCAGACAAGTGAACGAGCTTCAAAAACGGCTAAGTTCCAAGATGGACGAGACCAAAGAACAGGAGCAGAGAATTATTGGCCTCAGTCAAGAGCTGCACTGGCACGAGGAATTGCGCGAGAAGGAAAACAAAGAGTGGCACGAGCGATACATCCAGGAGCAGCAATGGCGGACAGACTTGCTGGCGACCATTAGAAAAGTTGAGCGACAATAAAGGCGCGTGGGATTTTCCAAAGCAATGATACACCAATGGGAAGGTACCAAAAAGATATCAGGCCTCTGAGGGCTTCGATTCTGGCTCGTCATCAACCGGCTATGTTCGTAGCATTACAAGCGCGAAATTATTATGCTTTCTGTATGTTCGTTTGATGCACCGCATGATATCACAACCTCAGAGAGCTTAGGAAATAACCAATACAAATTCATCCACGAGATAGATTCAGTAGGATGTCAGTCTGTAGTGTGCATATGCCTCGTTGAAGGATAGTCTCTTGTGAAATAATTTTCATCATCTTGCACAAGATCTGCAACGAAGGGGAACATTGGTCTATCTCTTCTGGTAAGCTTCATCATGGTGCAAATGTTTGGCCAGCAGGCTACATACTGCTTTCGCCAGACGAAAACTGTCGTAAGGCGAGAACAACGAACCCCAGGAGGCTCCTGGTATTATCAATTTATATCCTCTTGTAGGTTAATATGTACAAAGCGCTTAGCACGGTCCAGATTCGGTCATCCTCCGACTGACAGGATTCGCAAGTCCAGCAAACAATCTCAGCTACGTGATCAGTAGATAGTGCAGTTATCCAGGTTCTGCTGGAACGCCTCAGACGACTGCACATACAGCGGCAGGTAGGTCCGCGTGGAGAAGGTCTCGTCAATATAATACGAGACATCGTCCGCCGAATACGCCGAGCCGAGGTACGCCAGGATGTCGGGCTGGATGTAGTCGATGAAGATCAGGTCCACCACGTCGGGCAGGCTGCCGTTGCTCGGAAACCCGCCCAGCGCCTGGAAGAAGTGCGGGTAGTCGTAGTCCGCGATGGCGGAGTGCGCCGTGTCGTCGCCGTCGGTGCCGAAGGCGTCGGTCGTCACGTAGCCTTGTGTGGTGGAGACGGTGCTCTGGCGCCGGGTGTGGCCGCCGTGCTGGTGCGCGTAGTCGCGGATTTCGAGGCTGGCTAGTTCGGAGACGAAGGGGTCTACGCAGGTGTCGTGGGACACGAGGGGGGTGCTGCCTGTGGAGGAGCGCTTCCAGACGTCGCCGTTGGCGTTGATGCTATGGTGATGATTAGCATCGCATTTGCAAGGTCTTGCAGACTCAAAATCGAAGGGAAGGTACTTACTAGTCCAGAGCTCCGCTGGCCACGGAGTAAGGCACATCAGGGATATAGACGAAGATGTCGTCGAAAGGAGACACGATGAAGGCGTCATCATAGAGGAAGGGCCCCTTGTGCAGGTCGAAGCGGACCGAGCCAGTGTTGATGACGCTCACACGCGCCTTGTCCGTCCGGTTCTCGTTCACGACCACCGCGCTCATAGCATCTGTCAGCAGGCTGTAGATGCTGCCCGAGCTGTTGAACTCGGCGCACGACTGGCACCACAGCTGGGGTGAGCAGCCGAGCTGCGTGCTGAGGTTGAGCTGCTGGCGGTACTCGGTGATGAGGTCCGTCGTGTTCATGCCGAGCGGCGTGTCGAAGGCGGCGTCGTTGGTGGTGTAGTTGATCTGCGAGCCGGAGGCGTGGTACTCGAACGTGAGGCGGTTCCAGTCCAGGTACCGGCGCGAGTAGGTCCAGGGTGCGGTGGACGTGTTCGTCGCCTTCGTAGTCGGGTTTGGCACGCCTGCTGGCGCGGAGGTGCCAGTGAAGCCGCTGTTGTTGGCACTGAACCCGCTCATCGAGAGCCACCCGAGGGTCTCGCAGTACCTCCCGGACTCGAGGGCCGTGGAAGACTCATCGTAGACCTGGAAGTCTCGGATGTGGCTGTGGCCGCCGAAGATCTGGATCGGGGTGGATGGGTAGACCTTGCGGAGAGCATCGTGGACGTAACCGAATGTGCCTGTTGAGGTTTGCTTGGCGGCTGTGTTGTGCCCGATGAGTAGGAACAGGTCGACTGGTCCGGGAGGGGTCGCAACAAGGTCTGTGAACCACGTCTCGTTCACCATGGTAGAGGCCGGGATGACCTTGGTCACGTTGGCATTGCCCTTGAAATCGAACAGGATGCCGAAGGCCAGGATTCTGAGGCCATTCTCGGTGGTGAAGTACCGGTACTGGTTGCCTAGATACTGGTATTCATCGGTGGTGGTGTTCAGAATCTGCACGTTGGAGGTGAGATACTTGTCGCCCCAGGCTTTCGAGAAGTCGTTGTAATCTTGGTACGCAATGTCCGCGTAGTACAACTCATGGTTGCCGATCGTCAAGAGATCGTAGTCAAGCTTCTCAAAGACGATGTTGGACAGTTCACCGTCCACAGCAGTCGCATCACTCAAGCCAGCACCGTCGTGTAGATCGCCTAATTCAACATTAGCAACGACTTCTCTCGCAATCCGCTCTGTCAGACCTACCAGTGTCCACAACAAGAAGGTCGACGCCAAGCTCCTTGGCCTTGGCTCGCATATGGGCAGTAAAGGAGACAACGTCGCCCCAGTCGGCGCCGTAGTTGGTCTCCGTCAGGTGACCCTCCAACCAACCGTGCGTGTCCGTCTGTGTGTCCCATGTTAGCATCCTATCCTTGGCTGCTCGCCCATCAAGGTCCTCAGCAGACCAGGCAAATAAAAACTCACAGTATGCAAGAAATTGAGTTGGCCCCATTCGAGCGATCCGCGGGTCGGACCGTAGGTCGCATTGTGGGCATCAGGCTGCATGCGCTTCGCATGACGGACATGCTCAACCCTGTTGATGGGACCAAAACAGCTGCCGCACGCTTGGCAGCCGGTCGCGAAGCCCGCGATCGCTGCGAGGATGGTGTTTTGTCTCATCTTGGCCCAGGGTTGCCACACGCTCTCTTGTGTCTATTGTCCACAGATAAGAGGCTGGGTACCACTGCGTGCGAAGCCGACAAAGCCAAAAGATCAAGAAACCGAGGAATCGACTGGACGAATGTTTTCAGAGCCAATGCGGAGAAATTTGACCTCCAGCTGAGTCGAGCACAACAGGCACATCGGCGCGCGCCGTCTTATCTACTGTGGGGTCCTAGACTACTCGGTAGGCAGACCGTTACATCGACTTAGACCAAGCGGGAGCTTACCTGCATGTAGATGGTCATAGATGCAGGCCAGTGGACGCGGAGCTGTTGATCCCCGCCAGACAAATTTAACTCACTTGCGCCTGAGGAACCGCGTTCACTGAGCTCGGAAATATGTTACCGAAGCGTCGTCATTCCCTTGCGTGGCTGTCGATAGGCTGCCCGTTCAGAAGGGAATGCTGAATGGGCTGGTCAAACTCTACGCGGACATTCGAGACCCCTGGACCAGTGCTATCATTATTTGTAACTTTGCCAGCATATTCATTACGGCATGATGAATTTCCTGACATGGATGGCGGGCCTACTAGCATCACATTGCCCCTGACTTGGATCCAGGTCGACCTGCCTGAAAAAGAAGATTCAGCACCCACGTGGGCATTCTCATTGGCGAGGGCTTATCTCCGGTCGATGGGGCCGGCTGGGTGGCGCGAAAGCACGTGTGCCACTGAACAGCCAAGATAGGTAGGGTATATTGGACTCAACACACTCTTTTCAACATCGATCTCGAGACAATTGTGGAATACCCTACGGATATTTAACGGCTTGTTAAAGCTTGTGACGAATTATAAAATCACTTTATGGAATTGGACAGGTTTTACGTGGATGGCGCCAGACTGATCAATGACAATGCTGATGATTGCTTTGAATCGATGTATACTGAACCTGCAGGAAAATAGTGAGATGGGCTTTTGCTAGTCTAAGCCCCCTACTGATAGGTCCGACAGCGGCTGCAAATGGTAGTTATAAATCATCAATATCATTAGAGATCTGTGATCAAGCTGGAGATGGCGGACTAGATGAACGGTCCGTCATAGTCCATGGAATCACGCGCGGTTTTGGTATTTTGATGTCGCCCAGCTTCCCAGCCAAACATGCTGCCAGGACAGCTTGGGCGTCTTTCTGGTCCCATTCAATCACCTTCTCACCATCCCAGGCTTCCATCTTCCACGCGACGAATGGCTCCATTTGTGCCCTCTCTTTCTCAGAGAGAAGATGCAGTCTTCCCTTGTATCCGTGATTCTTCAACAGGAGGCCTGTCTTCTTATTTTTCCCGAAAAACTTCTTGTCTATATACTTCCAGTAGATGGGATCAAAAGCATAGCCCCTTCTAGCACAATAATCCACGAAGAACCTGCCGTTATCCCAGTTTCGCTTCATCCGTTTGGACATTGGTATTAGTGGGTGCCCACCCTTGCCTGCTTCGGCAACGGTCAAGAGCTTCTGGTGGTTGTCTAGACTGCCGCGTCCGTCTTTCGCCTTCTCTCTGGCTTCTTTCAGCACCTCTTCCTCCAATTCCATGGCCTTCAAGAACAAGGGCAGGCGCCTCTCGTACTCCTTGACCCAAGAACTCAAGCCCGAACCCGAGAACTCGGGCCTGTCTATGACAAGCCACCAGGGCGGATTGTAGTGGAAGGATGTGGGGGCGAAATATGACATTTCCCAGTCAATAACGCCGACGACGTCATCGTTTTCGTCAAGCAGCACGCTGGTGGGCCGCATGTCGTCGCACCAGAGCTTGAAAAGCTCTTTCTGCTGTCCCGCCACCGCATTGTCATCGTGCTCGTCGTCTTGGGTCAGCTGTCCGTCCCTCGCGAGCCTCCGGAACAGCTGACGCGCGACGTAGGATTCTCGGCCGTCTGAACGACCTAGCACGGTATTGTTACGCTGGAATGTCAAATGGGCTAGGTGCATGTCTGCCATGGCCTCGTAGTACTCGTGCGATGTGTTGTACGTCTTGTTGGTGGGGGGAAGAACACTGGGCGGGAGTCCGCCCATTGTGATCAGATCATTCGTGCTTTGAGAGATAAGACGGCGATGCACTCTTGAGACGCGGGACTGTGGCTGATGCGTAGAATGGAGTGAGAAGGGCACCTTGGACGATGATGAAGACGAAGGCGTTGATTGCTTGTTCGTTAGGTCTTTAGACAAAGACGGGTAACCTATGGCTGAGCCCTCGATGGTGGAGAGCTGCAGCATGATATTTGCCATCTGGCGGTAGGCCTTGAGCAGCGTCTTGTCGGGCATGCCCTTTTTCGGGTCGTTGCTTCCCACACTCTCCATCCGGTCTTTGATAACGTGTTCTAGATACTTGGTGTGTTTGATATACTCCATGACGATGAACGGCCCGTAGCCCGTTGGGTTGTCGGCCGAGGTACCCCATGCGTAGATCTCGGGCACCGGAATGGTGGTATTTTCGCGGACAAGCCTCATGGCAGCGACCTCGGCTCGGATCTTCTCATCAGGGAAGGCGACAGCGTGGGGAATGGGAATGTGAATCATGGTGGAGAGGCCATCATCGAATTCCAGCCGCCAGTTGATATTATAGCTGCCGCGGACAGGGATGTATAGCATCTTGGGTTGAGCAGATCCAGGACGGTATTTTCGTACAAACTCGATCAATTTGGCCTGGTTGTCCCTGTTGATTGCAAATTTGACCCACTCATCGGCCAGCTCCTCATTGCGATTGTTGAACAGGCTATCGATGAAAAGTCCCTGATCTCTGTCTCTCCTTCTGCTCTTCATGTTTTCCATTATCACCATAGCCACCAAGAAGTGGAAATATTGTTTGAAAATATTGTTAAAGGTGGGAATGAGGATCAAAATGAGGGCCCAAGATGAAGGTTGAAGAAGGCAGCGGCGTCAATCTCGTTGGCACTTGAGCACTTAAGGGCCTTGAGGAAATGCTATTCGTATGGGGTGGAGTATGGCTTTCATTACGATGTGAGAACAGATTGAGAGCTCTGTTGTCACGTCCTGTCGCGCATTATATGGACAACTCGGCCACTGATCAGGAGGCTGAGGTACAAAGAAGCTAGCTACCGCGCCTCTTGCCTGCAGGTGGTTTGTGTTTCATGATCTAGTTATGTAAGCACGCTGTCGTAGACAAGGATCTGAGCGCCGAGCCGAGTCTAAAGCACCCGTTGGTCGACATTTGCCAATAGAGGGGGCCGCTGAATGCAGGTCTTGTTTCCAGGTGACCACCAACTACTGCACCTGAAGCTACTGTAGTAATATCACTATTCTCTATAGTGTCGGTCATCATTATTAACAACCAACCACAACAAAAATCACCAACTGCCACCACTGTGCCACTTGCAGGCCGTTTGGCGGACGAGAGGAGACCATGGTGACCCGTGTGCTCAAACATCTTAGACCTGGTCGTGATCCCGACACTGCCTCATTGTGTCACATGCGGTGTCGTTGACCTCAATAACAGACCGAGGCGCAGTATTCACAAATTGTAGGGTAACAGTGTCTTATATTGTACCAACAGAACAAACACAGGACCAATAATATGGGGACATGATGTGAGGGATTACTGGTACTGTCGAACTTGCAAGATACCTCTAAACTGCTGCGGAAAGGGGGCTCTATGAGCCCAAAATTCCAGGTTCTTCACGAGGTATTCGGTTCGAGTTTGACTCTTACTGTTGACCATCCCTCACAGTATAAATCCTAGATTGCCGTTTCTCTTCCCTCGCTTCTCTCACTCTCACTCTCCGAGTAGTGCGTACGCAAACACGCACACTTACACACACACAACTCCAGAGCAGACTGTGCCGCCCCTTGGTGGGCAAGGAACAGGTGGCCGGGTTGAGGGAACTGACCACCAACAGTCTCGATGCTGTTCCATATAACTACACTCGTAACCATTCACTGTTCGATCTCCTGGGTAAGGTGGCACAATTTTCCTGCGGAGCAGGCCGTTGTTGAAACATTGGCTTGGCCGAAGCCAGCCAACAGCTCATCATGCGAACACAAAGAAGTTGATCCAGCGAAGTGTCCCCTGAAGCCTCGACGGCATGGAGAAAGACCAAGTCACTCCCTGGCTATCAGCTGCAATGGAACGGATTATAAAAGCGACCATCCTCTTCAAACATTTCTATCCGTAGATATCTTGACATATTCCTCTCGCGCATCAATCTACGAGCTTCTTCTGGAAAGAAGCATTTCATTTTCCACGTTTCAAACACTCTGTAACTAGACTACGATTATCATCACTAGTGAGCATGCTTAAAGACCCGCACACTCTTTTACTCATGGAACTGTTCCTAATTGACCATGCTAGAATCCACTAAAGGAATCACTTTGAGCACATGATGTCTGACAGAAGGAGCCATGGAAGCGGTCATCGTCGAAGTGGCCATGCTGCAAGCCGTGCTACCGGGAGTGGGAGCAATAACAATCGGCCTCCCACAAGCTCCACAACCGCCAGTGTTCGTGAGCGACGATCTATATACGACAAATACGAGCAGGGTCCTTCCCCATCCGGTTCCCAGCAGGACACGGCCTCCAGAAGGGCGCACTCGGGAGGAGGATCTGGTGCTGGCGGGCACTCACAGCAAGACGACGCGCTGTATTTTCTTCCGGGGAGCGTCGTCAACTCGTCGAAGTCATCATCCCGTCACCAAACCAGCTTGGAGCAGCACCAAGGACAGGCGGGCCCTAGCTCGATGCAGCACCAGCAGTCGGTGCTTCCCAGCCAGCGCAGCTGGGAGGGGAATTATCAGAGAACAATTGGCGTCTCTGGGGCATACGCTATGCAAGAGGGAGGAGATCAGCCCCCCATAGTATATGATGAGACTTCGAAATCTGCTCAAAGGAAGAATTCGAAGAACCCTTTCAAAAAGGTTTATATCAAGTCGAAGGAAAAGATTGAGCAGAAGTTGCGTCGTAAGAAGTAAAGGAAGATATGGTTGTGTCAGACTGAATAAAGCTGAGATATCGGATAACTCACACTGGAGACAAACATATCTTTAGGGACACTCATAATCCCTCACACCAGTATAGGGAGATTCAGGGGGCACCGAGAGGGCGAATAGAATAACAAAATGGAAGCTATTTTCAATCTCGCCTTCCAAGGGAGGAGCGGAACTATTCTATGGCATTGAGCGAGTCTAGACGGAGATCGTGACAAACATCGCATTTTATTTGGCCAAATTTTCGTCTCACCGACGGTCGATAAGGGGTGTTCCAGCCGGAACCACTGCCCTTCTTGTTGTTCAATCGAAGTTCTGTTTGTCAATGCTAATAATGGCTTAGACAGATAGCATTAGACTGTTTTGGCCCGTGGATACCCTATTTTGAGGCTTCCACCGCATTCAGTTCGTAGGACGATAGCAAAATCTAAAGTCGGAGACGTTGATCGCAGGCTGTACTAAATTCTTTGTGCGGGTCTTAGATAATAAGAGGTGTCACTTATTTTGACGCAATAAGGATTGTGGGATGAGTAGAGAGGTTCTTTGAGGATCGATCGACACGGAAAGAATCCAGCGCCCGGATATAAATACGCCCCAGGTCACCAGACACACTCTGTAGCCGAAAAGACCTTTTTTAGTTCAATACACACAAATTCAGTTTTCAAGGTCTCTGTGCCATTATTCCAGGAAAAGGACAGGCAGGTTCTGAATTCAATTAGGCCATGTTCAAAGCGTAAGTGCTAGCCCGGTCCATGCCCACTTGTGACATTCCAGGCACGTTCTCAAGAGACAGCACCGAGGTAGACGCCCACAACATTTAAAAATCCCTTCGATTCCTGCCTGAATCTGGCAGACCAATCTTCCTAGAGCCAGAGCCTCAAAAATAGGACGACAGAATGCCGATCTTGGTGCCGAAATTCCGCAAGAGTGAAGGCTTCCGTCTCTAGGTTACACAGCATACAGCCTGCTGCTGGCTATCAACGAGGCCTGACGAATCGAGCCAGGCACACACTGCGGGGTGCCATCCTCCTCGGCTGCCTGTAAGACATGTCGTGACGTGTGTAAGCGAACCGTACATCATCCTGACACACGTATGCGTCCTTTTGGATCTCTCTGACCACCGGACCAAATTGAGCCCACCAGGGCGTGGTAACACCGCAGACCACACAAGGTGATCAACGGATTTCAGGCCCCCAATGCGGGCTCGCCGCCCCCACCAACATGAACCCCTCGTGGAAGGTGATCGCCGGGGATTTCAATCTTTGGAGATCTCAAATTGTTGCTGACTAGCCGCCAATTGGGCCAGCGATGCTTCAGTTACATTTGAACAACCTCTTTAAATTGCTCTACCCTGGGGGTTGTGCCTGTTGTTGGGTCCTCGGGGACCACATATCAAGCAAGATTAAGCAGGCATAGACGGGCTCGGTTACCCTGCCATTCTTAACTGTTGTCTGCGCGACCGTTCACGTTAGAAAGTAATTTTCTTTGTTGTTTCTGCTACTCGATATGCCCCTGCGCTCTCATATAAAATAGCTAATATGTACGCGCCAGCCTTCTAATGACCATTGGCAATTTTCCTTCGACACAAATAACTCTGCGGATTGCCTCACAAGCACCAGGCTTGGCACTAACTACAATATGTCGTCCGGCTCACACGTGCGAGGGGACCCGTGGCTGATCCAGGTCCTCACACCTGTCGCAGTACTAGTTACTGCAGTCGTCGGTGTCCGCTTCTCCCTGCGGATTTCCAGGCGGACAGGCTTCTGGCTCGACGATTGGTTCATCCTTGCCTCACTGGTTTTCGTTTGGGGCATGTATGCTATATCCGTCCTTGGTGTGGAAATAGGAGGAAACGGGACGCCTTTTAGGGTCAATATGGCTACTGACCCATCAATGGCCTGGATGGGGCACCTTCTCAAGGTAAATATGGGTATCAATTATCGCCTAAACACATACAGCGACCAAAAGAGAAAGGAAAAACCACACAGAAGAAATGAGCTAACCAGCGCCTACGGATACAGCTCCTCTTTGCCAGCCAGATGGTCTACGCGAGCGCCATTATGACAGCCAAACTTAGCATCCTCGCGCTGTACTGGCGGCTATTTCCAACTGCCTTCATGAAGCGCGGCTGTGTTATCCTCGCCGTGTTGACTGTCATGTGGTGGGGGGCATACGTGCTGGTCGACATCTTCCAGTGCAAGCCTGTCGGCATGGCCTTTGACTCCTCTCTCCATAGCGGCGACTATTGCATCTCCCAGACCGGCTACTGCCTCGGCATGATCATTCCCAACATCCTGATGGATGTCATGATCCTCTGCCTACCGACCTTCGAGGTCTCCAAGCTGCAACTGCCTCGCGGCCAGAGATGCGCCCTAGCCAGCGTGTTCCTCCTCGGCGCTGGCGTCACCTCCGCCGGCGGCGTGAGGATGTACTACCACCTACAGCTGGTGGAGTCGGGGTACAGGGACTTTGACTTTACCAGTGAGTTTCACGTACTTCTGACTGCTTCCCGCCTCACCGGAAGACATGCCACTATCACACAGTGAAATCGGCTGTTAACGATACCCCCGAGAGGGGGAAGATGGTAGTGGACCTATACAATCCGCAGCTGTGGATGACTCTCGAGCCCGATATGGCCGTCATCTGCGCGTGCCTGCCCGTCATGCGGCCGCTGGTGACGATGCTCCTGGCATCGCCGCTCTACCGTTATATCACCTCGTACCTCAGTTTCGGCTCCAGTACCAGCAGGAGTGGCAAGCACCCCTCGTCGAACACGATAAGCGGGTCGTCGGTGGCACGGAGCAGCGCGGCGCAGCGCGGCGCCACGAACGATAACAGCCGGCTCAGCAACGACCACCATTCAGGGTACGAGCTGTCGCCGTTTGACTCGTTAGAGTATCTCAGGGACGAGGACGTGGAGGCCGGGCGGCTCGTGAGGAACGACCGAGACTGGCCTTCTCAAGGGGACAATAGTATCGGGTGCCAGACCCAGGTCAGTAGAAGCGACAGTATAGGTCCCGATGAGATCCCGCTCGGTGCTATCTCAGTCAAGACTGTCGTGGATTTTCGTGAGACGACGGATGGTCCTACCATGAGAAACTGAACATTAATTTCAAAAAGACGAAATGTAATATTATATTTCACTGCTTGTTTGCAGCCGAAATCACCTGCATTTATGGCTCTCCACCATCCGCAGAGTTTGTGAGTTTATGGAGCGCAGACATGAATGGGAATGCTCGGTTATGCGAGAAGTCCTCAATCTTCTCAAGACACTGAGCCAGTACATGAAAAGCCGGAAGGTACCGAGAGGGCGAAAGGAATCGTGGAACGATAGCTATATTCAATCTCGCAACCTCTTTTGTATTGTAGAATAGATGGCAATACGACCAGAAGTCAGTTGCGAAATTCGATATCTCACAAGGCATGTACACACTGGTACGTGCTAGCGGGTTTATAGGTTACAAGGGCTGATACTTCAAGAATTACGTCCTGGAATTCGGCCTATTCAGGCTGGCTTAAGCCACATCTGGACCGGAAAGAATAAGTAGGCATATACACCATCGAGGCCAGTAGCCTCGATGGACCGTGGCAATTGACAACGTGCGAGTGAAGTGGCTCTCAAATGACTTTAGAACGATTCTTCGAGAAACGCCATCTGCAGTTTGCTATGCTCTCTAAGCAGCAAGCAAGAACAACATAGTGTTCCTGGCGATTCCAGTCGCTTTGCTCCCAACAGCCTCACTGCGAAACCTTCTTCAACCGCACCCATAATTCCGGCTTGGTCATCGAGTGGAATATCTTGAAAGGCTTCAGATTGCCATCAAGCCCCCACACATCGTTCTTGGCCTCATACTCCCCTCTGTCAAGTGCGATATCGAAGTTCCATAGCAAATGCGCCGAGATGAGCCGCATCTCCATGTAAGCCAAGTTTCTCCCGATACAAACTCTGGGTCCAGTCCCAAAGGGCAATGAAGCATTTAGTCGATCGTTCGAGAACTCGCTCTCCTCTCCAAGCCAGCGCTCTGGTCTGAACTCGTAGGGGTTGTAGAAGTTTAAGGGTGAGTGTGTTGACACCCAGGGTGGGACAGCGACTGTCGTCCCTGCAGGAACATAGTAGCCGTCAATCGTCGCGCCGCCTCGGGGGACCATTCGTTGCTGGCTTGCTGGCGACGGCGGGAATAGACGAAGCGCCTCGTGAATGGTAGCCTCAAGGTATCGGAGGTCCCGTACCTTTTCCCATCTAACATCTTCGTCTATCTCCAGGGCATCTCTAATTTCTTTAACGAGGCGGCTGTACACCTTTGGGTGTGTACAGACGAAGTACGTCCAGCCGGTGAGGGCAGTAGCTGTCGTATCTGTTCCGGCACTGATGAAGAGTGCCATGTTTAGGATAATCTCTGTCTGGGATAAAGACTTCTTCGACTCATTGTTGATGAGGATGTGGTACATGAAGTCTGTGTGATCTCTGTCAGGGTCTGCGAGGCGACGAATTGTCTTCTCGCGCGAGTTCCTCAGGTGTATTTTGGCCCAATCAGCCGCCTTCGCAGGAACGAGAAGCCGAATCATCAGAGATTCAAGCCATGTGCCAACGCCAGAAAGTCGGCGTATGCCTTGTGTCCAAGTCTACTAATTGTCAGATACCTGGATATAGGCCTCCAGAGGCGAATCTTAGAAGTAAGATAAAATGGCAACGGGTCAATGACTGTAGGGACATGGGGAGCTAGTACTTACGGCTGCCACGAAGACATTGATTACGGATGTAGACCACTCTGTGGCCGATGCCTGTTCTAGACATCCAAACGGCTCCGCAAAGCACAGATCCCCCATAACATCGAATGCAAGGTAAGTATCTACGCGTCTCGTTAGCTAAGAACTGATGCATACTCGGCGCGTGATCAACACTCACACCAACTCGATAGATCCACAGGTTGTTGCTCATCTGCTTTTTGATCAAGTACAGCGATAAATCTTTGAACCTGAATTTTCATCAAATTTTCAAATTGTCGCAAGGCGGTGTTTGGGAACAAGTATCCCAATGCTCTTCGCTGGCGAGTATGTTCTGCATTCAAAGCCAGACTCACGCCGGTCTGTCCATCTACGCCTCCAACAGCTCCGAGGAAAATCGGACTTTTCTCCATGTTTAGACCACCTTTCTGTAGACAGATTTAGACTCGGTACTCTTGAGCTCCGTGGTAGACCTACTCGAAGACCATAAATTTCTTCGCGAGCTTCTGGACGGACGAAGCTTAGCTCGTTGGGAGATACGCGTACGACTGGGCCATACTTGTCATGTAATGACCGGTAGTACAAATGCTGGTTGCCTGTGACCAAGGCGAAGGCGGCGGGCAGCTCCGATACACTGTTCGCCCATGGGCCAGGTACGGCGCGGAGTGGGTGCCATAGGCGTCGATGGAGGATCTGGGCGACACATCTCGCGAAGAGCTGATGGTGGTGAGCAGGGGTTCTTCAACATGAGTTGGCTTATTGACTTACGAGAACTGCAAGCGTCGCGACTATTGAAGTCACGGAGAAGAGATTATTCATCATGGCCTGCAAAGAGCCAACCACATGCATCGAATGTATGACTTCTTGGGAAGAGGGGACGATCTGACACTCCCAGTGTATTCCTCTCTGTGTGGGTTCTTATGTGCTAAGCTTTCCTGGATTTAGCTTGAGGTCAATTTGGGAGGAAAGCTTGTAGCGTGCAATACGTAATATTTGTGAGCTAAAACTGGATTCTACTTGAGAAATTTCTATAACATTTACATGAGTAGGTTTCATCATGAGAAATAACGCAACCGCTCTTTTCCTGGTCTTTTATCGTATGTTTAATCAGCGTTTTGTGGCTTGTATTGCTACGCTACGGTCACCTAGAGCGTAATATACCCGTATTAATGGTACTAAATATGCTCAAAACATGCTCAAAGTACCACAAGTCACTGGGCAGTCTAGCACGGTGTTGCAGACGCCCCATGAGTCGTGCGGGGTACAAGTGTTCCATGTATCTTGGCCTTGACCTTGACAAGAACCCACTCGCTGGATCGCCATGCTCGCACATATGTAAGACGGTACCGGCAGGCCTGTAGTTGGGTGAGCATTTCTGAGAGGTCAGCATAAAAAACCTCCCGAACAAAACCCTCCGGAACAGCCATGGCCGACACCGAGGAACTAGCGAAGGGTTACACTTCCGTCAACAACACCCAATTTGACGCTGGGCTATTCCTCCTCAGGAGACTCGGAGTCACTCCCGGCCTGCGAGTACTCGACGTCGGCTGCGGTCCTGGCAATCTCACAGCTCACATCGCGGACGTCGTTGGCGAGAAAGGAAGTGTGATTGGCATCGACCCGAGCAAAGAGCGTATCACCCTGGCACAAGAGATCAAGACGCCCAATCTCTCATTTTACGTGGGCAGAGCCGAGGACCTGTCCCAGTTCGATTCCGGCAGCTTTGATATTGTATACGTCAACTCCACCTTCCATTGGGTTGAGGATCAGCCAGCTGCGGTCAAAGAGTTCGGACGCGTTCTGAAGCCAGGAGGCCGCCTCGGAATCTCAGGGGGGTCTGGGGATTTTGAAGCCGCACATGAGAAGATTAAGGCCGACGTATTGTCAAGAGAGCCCTACCGAAATTATCCAGAACAAAGCGGTCCGAAGTTCATAAAGCGTCGGGATCTTGAGAGTCTCCTCGATGTTTCTGGGTTTTCCAAGAGAGACTTTGTCATCAATACAATCATCAAATCGGCGAAAAACGGGGAGGAAATGATTGAGTGGTTGGACACAAGTTCGTCTGGCAAGACGTATGGTGGCATCCCGCTTGACATGAGACCAAAAGCACGGGAGGAGATGAAGCTAGAATGGGACAAGATCACCACGGAAGATGGCATTCACATGGACATGGAGTTGTTGGTGACTGTGGCTACCAAGGAGTGAGTGCTTGGCATATTCCCATAGATAGCATAGATTTGCAGCAATCTTCCAGCTCAGTGCTGGCCTGTTCACATTGTCGTGTTCCCAGAGGCTCAGTGACAATCCATCGTCTCGTTTCGGAATGCATTTAAAGCAAAACGGAATTTGTTAAAAGAACAAATTATATTGTATCATTAATACCACCCAAAGATTCATCTCGATGTCAATTACAATAGGACCTCGACTAGTTGAATTCCAGAGAAGGGAGACTCAATCTGGAAGAATTATCAAGACCCCTGCCCGTTCTCCGTCCGCCCGCGAAGCCAAGTTTTTGCGTGTAATCAAACAACAATTCAACGTCCCCAACGAGGCAATTTTGAGCACTTATTGAGCAGAAAACGGTTACGCGATTGTTTCCTGGTGGACCTCATGGTGATGGTCCCCCACGCGTTCTTGACAGGTATTTTACCACGAGTAAGTCAACATCGCGATAATATTGGTGTGTGACCATAAAAATTAATCTGCTCACACCCTCCCCCATGCACAATGCATGGGTACATGCACTCGCTTCCCCACAATAGCAGTGTTAATGTGCTCAAGCTGCCTGCAACAATGAAACATTGCCCGAGAGCAAACATACCCACACTGGCTAGTGCAAGACGCTAGTCCAAGGTCGTTTTCTTGGACACACAGACCTCGACCCTTTCGTACCCTGGTTTTACCTTTCCTTGGTCATGGGAAGGTCCCTCTCCTTTAGGTTATTCTCGGTCAAGCTCAGCTCGACTTTCACTGGCAAAAGTCGTGGCTTGTATTTTCACCATGCCGCACGAGGCGAGATTATCTCAGCCTTCTTCTCAGGTTCCAAGCAACTTCTCGTACCAGTCACGTCTAGAGATTGGACCGCGGCAGTTGGAAGCAGGAGAAAACTCAGAGCCTGACGAAAAGGAGAGAGATTCTGGCGCCAACACTCCTTCAGAATTGCTGCCAGCTAAAAATGAGACCGCAGAGGGAACTGCGCAGCCTGAGCTTGGCTCCGAGCTCATAGTATGGTGGAATGAGCCAGAAGATCAGGACCCCGAAAATCCTATGAACTGGTCGTCAAGAAGAAAATGGTTCAACATTATTACTATCTCTGTAATCAGCTTTCTCGTGTGAGTGGATGAATTGACCTTGGCGGTGCTTGAATTTCACGCAAGGACACATCTAACATCACTAGACCTCTTATATCGTCAATGCTCTCACCAGCGGTGCAGCTGGTCATGCAAGAGTTCAACACCACCTCGACCACATTCGCGACCTTCGTGGTCTCGATCTTCGTGTTGGGCTTTGCCTGCGGCCCGTTACTGCTTGCCCCATTGAGTGAGCTTTACGGCCGCGTGCTCATCTACAATATCACGAATGTGCTATTCCTGGCTTTTACTATTGGCTGTGCACTCTCACAGAACGAATCGATGCTCCTGGCTTTCCGATTCTTGTCTGGATTTGCCGGTGTGGCTACGATTACTATAGGCTCAGGAACTATCGCGGATATTATGCCACGCGAGAAGAGAGGCAAGGCCGTCTCGATCTGGTCCGTCGGCACCATCCTTGGGCCGATGGTTGGGCCCATCATTGGTGGTTCTGTGACAGAGAAATATGGCTGGAGATGGATGTTCTGGGTCATCTCAATGGTTGTAAGTGATTCAAAAATGGGCCCACTATATTTCAGAGTGCTGTTGATTAATCATTGACTAGGTCGGTGTTGTCACCATCTTCACGTTTGTTGTTTTGAGAGAAACATACCCAGTCGTGTTATTGGAAAGGAAAGCAGCCAGGCTCAGAAAGCAAACAGGAAATTCCAATTACCGATCAAAGCTCGCTCCTGATATCACTCCCAGAGAGCTTTTCAAACGGAGCATTATGCGACCTACGAAGATGCTTTTCTGCTGTCCAATAGTCACCGTCATGTGCACATACGTTGCCGTCCTCTACGGCATACTGTACCTACTCTTTGCCACATACTCATTTGTTTTCAAGGAAGTATACGGGTACTCGACGTTCGCGGCCGGCCTCGTATTCCTTGCTGGTGGGATCGGCACTTTGACTGGACTGTTGTACATTGCAAAATCCAGCGACAGAAACCTGAAGAAGCGCGCGGCCGCCGGGAAGATGGTCACTCCCGAGGACCGACTACCCCTCATCATCACAGTTCCCGGGGCCCTGACGTTTCCCATGGGGTTGTTTCTGTATGGTTGGACTGTTGAATACAAAGTCCACTGGATCGTCCCTCAGATTGGAACGGCAATCACCGGATTCGGGTCCATACTCATCTTTGTGGGCATTCAGACATACCTCATCGATGCGTTCGAGGGATACGCTGCCAGCGTCGTCGGTGCCAATGCTGTGTTAAGAGGCACTGCTGGAGCGCTCCTCCCGCTGAGTGGTTTGCAGTTATATGATGCCCTTGGATGGGGCTGGGGGAACAGCTTGTTGGGCTTTCTCACTCTGGCATTTGCTCCTGTACCTTTGGTCATCGGCTTTTATGGGGCCAAGATCCGGAACTCAAGGCGAAACCAAATCCAGCTATAAGCAAGTAGCTATCCTCCATAAATATCAGGATCCTAAATCTATCGTAAACACTTCATAACATAATCACTATTCAGCACTCAATTCTCGTGGTCACACTCGTGAGGAAAGGACGCTAAATGCTATTCAGATGCTTAATGCTGCTATTTTCTAATCACAAAATTCCTATAATCGAGTCTCATTCTGTGCGATCAGCCATGGGCTAAATCTTGCGATGAGCTCACCCCGCGGGACATCCTCTAAGTGAAGCTTCCGCAAGTTCCGGCCCAACCTCATGTATTTGATCCCTGTGGCCATTTCGACAAGGATGATGACAGCCGTAATGGGTGACGCATCTATTCCGAGCTTCTCAGCGAGAGCGTGCCATGCGACCAGCAAGTCGGGCACATCCTCTGAAATGTTTCGATTCTCAATATCGGCCGGGGCCTTGAGCTTGTTGTGCGGTGGTGAGTTCTGCGCCAGGTCCACCAGGTCGGTGAAACCCTGATCATAACACTCATTAGAGACCTCGATCGTGCTTTTCAGACGAAGGCCAAATTTTGCGCCAACTTCCATCCGTACTCGATCTACAGCGAGCATAGCGTTGGCGACGGAGCGTGTGAGGCCATCTCGATATATCATGAACTCGCCCGCAGTGCTCTCGATGCGGCCGACATTCATCAGCATCATCAATGGGTGAAAGACCCCGTTGATGTTGGACAGGCTGACCTCGATGACACTGCTACACCACTTGAGCTCCATCGGGAAGATGCCTTGTATGCCGGCGTAGAATGCCGGGCTCACGTCGTTGCGCAGCGCCGCGATGGAGACGATGCTTTTCCTGCCCATCACGCGCAGTTCTCCGTCCTCCATTCTGCAGGAGTATGGTGATATATTTGTCTCGAGGATATTTTCCACCTCGATCTCTGCCCCCGCGACGAGCGAGAACAGGTTGCCCGGGACCGCGATGATGGTGTGTGTGCGCAGGTCGAACTGCTTCAGCTCCTGCAGGAGTGTCTCCTGTCCGGTCGACGGGACCGTCAGGATCAGAATCCTCGAGAAGTCGACGACCTCACTTATGTCGGTGGTGAGCTGTACTATTGTCGAGCCTTCCATCGCGCCGCTCGCCCTCAGGCAGCCTTTTTCTTTTACACTGTCTGCATGCCGCGTGTGATCTGGATGCGAGTACAATAATACGCTTTTCCCGTGACTCTGGAGATCTGCGGCGAGGGCGAACCCAGCTGGCCCTGCGCCGAGGATCGACACAGGAAGCTGCATGTTCATTGTGCTGTAGTTGTTTTGATGTAACGTCTGCGTGGTGCCTATGCGTGGTGTGTGTGCGTGGTGTGTGTGCGACTTTGGGATGTGTGACAGTCAAACTGAATCAGACGATGGCCTATCGTTGTTTCGGAGCACGAATATATGTCGATTTTGAGTGAGCGAGTTACCTGGGTTTGATATTCAACAATACCGGGGCAGGATGAACCCCAGGATCGTCCTCAGAAACAGGGAGGTCCGCGACACGCCTATTGCAACACCCCCCGGGTTTTAGTCCTACACCTGAGCAAGTTTCCGTATTTTTTACCACCCCCTCAACCGACCGCCCCCGCTCCTTTGCCCAGATGAATAATACCAATTCCCTCGGCCTCCTGTACTGTACAGGTCGATCTAGACCGAGCGCCCCACCGGTGACCCTCCTGCATGCTAGCTGAGCTCAGACTCCAGTCCGACTACTACTTGGGGAAGAGGAACTAAGTCCTTGTGCAAACGTGCTCTGAATCTTCGACCTGAGCTTCAGGCCAAGGAAAATCCTGCCGGATGCGGTATTCCAGGTCTGATTTGGGAAGAGGGGGGGTTGCATTCCACATCGTGAAACCAAACAACTGGGACCACTCCATGAGCACCAGACATGTAGATGACATAGCCGGAAGCCTCCACGGCGCTTGACAAGGTCCGTCAGAACTTGTGGGCATCTCTTACTTTCCGAGTCTTTCGAAATCACACGCAGTCTTCGATCACCGCAATCTTTCTTTAGCGGCTCAGAAGGTCAGGGCATACACATGAGACGTCTCACAGAACTTGAGTTTCAACAAGTTTAGGAGACAGAAAGAACAATCATTTACTCCTAAATCTAGAACTGGTTTCAATTTACAAAGTTACCATGCGTAGGCCTCCTCTACTATGTCCACGCTTGAGCCGTTCTTCACACACTGGACCACCTCTTTCGCAGCTGCATCGGCCATAGCACCAGGGCCACAGACCAAGACAGTCGTGTGATGCCCAGGTTCCACAGAAGATCTTATCACGGCCTCAATGTCCATCCGGCCGTGCGTCGGCGATGCTCCCGCGGTCTTCAAGCTTCCGGCATCGTGCAGGGGAACCTCCTTCTGCTGCACAGCGCTGGTCTCACCTGTGTACCAAAATGAGACCTCAATTCCCTCAATGCCCATCAGAAAGTTTTGCTTGACGTGTTCGATGAGAGCCATTTCTCTAACAGACCAGGCAAGAATAAATCGCTTTGCTTGCCTCATGACCCCGCGGCCTTTTCCTGGTGTTTCTCCGCCTCGGGAAAGTGTGCTCGCGTATTCCTGGATAAATCCAAGAGCATTTGTGATACCTATGCCACCAACAAGACACAGGACCGTGTCAGTAGCAAGCAGTGGTTGAAGGGTGGACTTGTGACCCGCATATGGGCCCTCGGTGTAGACGCTCATTTCCATGATGCCCGGCGAGCAAGACGTAAGGCGCCGTTGGAGCTCGGCAGTAGCCCCAGAATGCACGCGAACAAGGAATCGTACAGCCACGCACTCCTGAACTTCGGGCTCTTGAGGCACCGTGGTGACATTGGAGGTCTCCTTCACATCGCCTTCTTTGCTGTTTGGTCGTGTTGACACGACGGGCAGCGGCTGGCCTTTCCTCCTCCAGGCCGCGACGCTGAAGGGATGGTTCTCCCAGACTTTTTCGAGTCCAGGAAAGTAGAGGAAACAGTGTTGTCCTGGGCCGAAGTTCCAGCCCACCCTCGGGAAGACGGTGATTTGTATAATGTTGCTGTTCGGGATTGCCTCCACGACCGCCTTCGAATCGCCTAGACGGTTAAGGTAAACGATTCGAGCTACTCTTGCAACTCGGTCGAAGCCCCAGAAGGCGAACGCAAGATACAGCCAGACCTGGTAGCCATAATCATATCCGAAGTGAGGGATAATATGATACCAGCATCCAGCCAAGGTGATGACGATGAGAACGATGTGTATTATCAGGAAGGTTTCGTAGAGCATGATTCTTAGCGGTAGGACTGCGAAGCCTGTTGCGAGGCACATTGCTATCGTTGCGATGATTCCCCAGTACTGTGGACGAGCATGTTAGTTCGTGAATTAAGATTTTGTTCAAGGGCAATAAACAGGAAAACTAACATAGAATGGTTCTGCTGCTTTCGCAGCATACGCAGATGCCCCGTCATATCCTGGCTGCCAGTACGCCATTGTGTACACAATAGAGTGCACGATAGCTTGCAGGGTGGCAACCCTCGCAGCCCACCGATGCAGAGTCAGGAAAGTCGACTGGCTCCATCCGGTCAATGGAATCAGGGGATTGTTTCGGCCTGCAAATAAGATGGCGATACTGATGTTGACAAAGCTGAGAGTGCCCGTTCGATTCCCAACATATTCGCAAAACTCGAAGCCCGCAGACATGAAGTAGATATTCGGTTGGAAGCTCCGGAAGTTAACTGCAGAGAAGATAACATTCAAGATGACGTAGATGGCGATGAAGATGCTGAGTGTTCTGCTTGGGAGGTAGCCTGCCCGCCCAGGGAGAGGCTCAAGTCGCCGGGACCCAAAAAGGGCAGGGAGAAAGATGTTGGTTCGAAGTTTTGCTACGAGGCCGGATGTTTGCAGTCGTTTCTGAAGTCCAGGAGAGACGGTTGTGATTTGCGTCAAAGCGCCACAGATGAGGCAGATGCCGATGACGACAAAGTAAAGGATTACCCTGAGAGTGGCTTGTGAGCACCTTTCTGAAACCTATACCGAAGACAACGTCTATAAAGAGGGCACTCACGAATATCTGGTGTGGAAGTATTCAGATCTGGCGAACTCGCCGAGAGTTCCGTGCGTAGAATAGTAGAGCTCACGATTCACCAAGCTGGTGACATTGAGCCACATGGCATCTGCCGCGAGTTCCTCTGTAGGAGCCGAGGCAGGAAGGCTGTCCTGGAATGTCGGCTCTGACGCCCCAGCGACGGCTTGGTTACTGAAGCATTTGGCCTGTTTCGCTGCAGGATACCCGTCGGCGTTGCAATTCTGCTGGATGCAGTATGCCATCGTCTGGAGCCACGGGGTGTTGGAGGCGTAGCATTCGTCGCTGGTCATACCCATGGGCATGTCCATATCCATGCTCATGCTCATATCCATACCGGACATGTCATCGCTGGACATGAACGTCGTGCAATTCAGCCAGAGGGTGGACAGTGAATCGTGACATGCTTGACAGCAGAGATCCTCGTACAAGGAGATACCAAAGCCCACGATGCCTTCTTTTGCTGCCCCGGCATTGTGGATGAGGCAGAAGAGCGACCACACAACGAAAATGGCTGATGAGGGACCCATCTTGAGACCGAGTCGCGGATCGACTCGCGACTGGGGGCTGAGGAGCTTCTGAGGTCAGAAAGAAGAGCGTGTGAAGTGCTTCCGGAGCAGAACACAGGACGCTTCGTGCTACGGTAGCATCAGAGTCGGATTCTGCGAGGCAGAGCGGGCGACATGAGAGTGGGATATACAGAAGAGAGGCCGGGCACGATCAGGGTTGAGCGATCATTCACAGTTAAGTTGGCTGGTGCCAAGGTGGCCCGGGTGAGTGGGTAAGTGCTACCTACTGTACTCTCCGGGGCCGACTCCCGGGATGGTTTATTAAACGAGCAAGTAATAAGCATCGAGGTATATCGGGCGTCCCACATTGGGACACGGCCCGCTCAGGCTAGGAACCCCACAGGCGGCGATAAAACTCGCTCCGTTGGTGAGGCTGGCCCCCATTTCCGGGAGAATTCGAGTGGCTTCTTAAACGTGCTCATGATCTGATGCGGAAGCACCTAGGCACGGCCTTGGGTGCCCGAGGTTGTACAATCCTAATCATCTACGGTATCAGGGTAAGAAACGCCACGTCCAGACCGCGCCATGTCAAAGGGAACACACGGACTTTCCCAGTAGCTCGCTCAGGCTCTCACAGTACCTGTCTGAGCAACGAAAGGTAACATTCCTCGAAACTCTACGCGGAGTCAGCATGGGTCGTGACCTGGCCCATATCCCTGCTGGTACGAGTTCCATTGTGAAACATTGTTTCGAGGCCCAGCCATGATAACTACGTTGGTTTCAACGACTCAATAATACGCCACAAATTATTTCGAGCTTTCAAGCGGTGTCGAGGCGAAGAATCACGACAAGAGGTTGAGCAAGTTTTGCTCACCGGCACGATGGACGGATGTGTGCTAACAAATGCAACGGCGAGGACCTGCTTATCCCACCGTGTCGTCGGCCAATCACGACGAAGTTAATGTGCTCAGAGTGGATGCAACCGACAGGAGGGAGGCGCGCATTATATCGCTCCTGGTTGGCTCACTTTAGCCTCCTGCAGGGTCCCGGGACGGTGCGTCCTACAAACTGGGCCGGCCGACTGGCCGTGCGTATTCCTGGCTGCTCCTCCACGGATCCTACCACGCCTGCCCACAAACATTGCTCTCGATGCCATGGGAAAGACGGCTCTTTAAGTATCTGTTTCACAAGGTGTGAATAAACAGTGGAATGCGTTAAATCAAGTTCAGTTTTCAAGATAGTTCTGAAGAGGTGACATTGAGCTTAACCTTTTCTATTTTTGCACAAAGCTTAGCCAGGCTTCCGAACATGCTCCGTAACTTCTGCTGTCTTCGCGTTTGTACACGTCACTGGTCGACTCCACTCTCTCTTGTGATGAAGAAGTTGCTTGAATAATGTCAAATCTATCTTCGAGAGGTCATTATCAATCCAAACGATTACATCATGAGGAAACGAGACTTCTAGCTCAATTATAGCCGGCTAATTTCTGAAGCTGCCATCCGCTCATTGGCAACTTGCTATAGTGAAATGGTATTCAATGATTTGAAGCAAAGAATACATATATCTCTCATACCTCCCTCCCCAAAAAGTGTCACCAAAGCATCAAAAACTTGGCCCCATGACTAGAGACTATGTCAAAGTCAGATCCTCATGGGACATTCTGTCCCATTGCCCCCGAGTACTACCATCTCAACATTGAGTCTTGCATCGGCATTTTCGCTGTCTGGCTTTCTTAAAAACAAATAAAAAAATTGGAACGCTCCGAAAACTTTTGAAGTGGTCATTACGGGGTCATTCTCAAACAGCGTGTGCGCGGTAGGATGCGAAAACCAGCCGAACTGTAGGGAAAGCGACGTGATGGATAATTGAATAATTTGACCGATGCATTGGGAAGATGACACGGCTATTCTGGTCAGTTAAAACGCCTGTGTTCAGGGCGGACACAGCTTGGAACCTGGTGATGCTGAACGTGATGGTCTGGAGCACTCTCTTCATCGGGGTCACCAAGCACGAAGAATAGGTGTTACGTTCTCTCTTTACTTCAGTCTATATTTACGCTGAGAAGCCTTGAGTCCACGGAGTTACCCTGAGCGAATTTCAGGATCGTCTTTGTTGCTGGTGAACATGCTTTACAGCCGGCCGTTTCAAGCCATCAAGCCCCATTTCCGAAAAATTGAAGAAAACGATATCATCACAACGGTGGAAAAGTGAACCTAGCTCCAAAATGATCAATTGTGTCCTCAAAATGCGATCAAAGATACGGATTCAAACACGAAATATGTCTCAGGAAAGGGCAACTGCTTGTTAGGTAGTCCCACAAGAGCCTTGCATGGAACATAGATGGGCCAAAGGACAAAGGAATATCAATCCTCGATGCACTTCAACAATGCTCATAGACTTACATTGATACATACTTTCGAAACCACCTGCATAGCATAGCAAGGTTTTGTAACTGGTTTTCCGTAGACACGGGTGGTGGTTTTCGTGGACTGAAGTATGGCTCACTGAAAAGATATCTGAGCTTGGTGAGGAAAGTCTACGTGAAGCACTGTCCGTTGCGGCAACATGTACTGAGTTCTGGATAAGACATGACAAGAAAAGGATAGGACGGGGAGATGGTTGGGTGGGCTGCGGCTGCAGCCTCCTACAATGCTGATCATTTTCATCTGAAAGCTCAGTCCTCGCGTCCAGACTGTAGTTTTCTCTGGTTGTCAGCTAGCAGACTTTTTGAAATTTCCCCCTCCTGAAGCTGTTCCCAGCAACGGCGTCTGTTTGTTCGTTTTTTTACCAACCCCAACCTGACAGCCTTGCACTTTCAGGTAACAACGACAACAACGACTCGCAACCGCAATACCACAGCATCAGCAAACATTTGTCACCTTTCAGCTGGCCATAAGACTGAATTTCATCCACTTCTCATATCTCCATTCACCATGTCTTCCATGAGAAACAAGACCAACACCAGTCCCTTCGGCCTCACTCCGCGAGAGGTTGAGATGGCGGTTTTGGCTTGGAAGTGCGTCGATGACAACGGCAAGGCAAGTAATCCATCCCACAACACACCTTTCATCAAATAAAAACGCATATATTTCACACCTCATCGGACAAATGACAAATATCTAAGACTCTCATAAACAGGTCAACCCCCAGAAACTGGCCGAGCTCACCAACCACGAGAACGTCGGCTCTGTAGCTCGGCGCTGGCGCGGCATCAAGGCCAAGATCGCAGCCGCGACCGGCGGTGTCTTTGGCACTCCCGACGGGACCAGCGACGGCGGCATTTTCGGCACCCCCAAAGGCGCCAACAGCGGCAGTGAGGCTGCCGTCGGTGTCGACTCCCCCTCGGTCTCTGCGGGAAAGAAGCGGGCTGTGGCAGTGGCCGGTCGCAAGCGGAACAGGAAGGAGGTTGACAGTGATGAGGAGATGGACGACGCTGATAAGGGCATGAGACCTAAGAAGGCTGCTATGCGTGCGCAGAGCCGCATCGCTGCCTTGGATCAGGACCCTGCTCAGGAGTCCGGTGGCTCTGGTGCTGATGAGGCCGAGGTTTGAGAGTTTTGAAGGACCATTTTCATCATCATGCATTCTAGCATCCTACAGTCGGATTTTCAGCACAGGACGTTGAATCACAGCGTCATCTACAGGGGCAGGAGGGCAAGCTCGGATTTTCAGTAATCACCGTTTGGTGGCCGGACTCTGAGCAGGGGAGTTTACTACGGCATTGGGCAACAAAAGTGTCTCTGTGGCGCACGAACAGGCAGGACGAAGGAGCTTATTAGGTGCGATTGCAGCAGCCAGTGAGCATCTCACAAAGTTGTCTTGGTTTTCGGAGGGAAACAGACAGCCGTCGTAAGCACAGCCTCGCAATACAAACACAACATTTTGGGGAACTATTCAGGCAACAGGTAAAATTTTGTGACCTAAACCTAAGCTTATTGCCTTAATTGGTGAAACTCAAAAGCCTAAGAGCATCAAGTCTTCAGCCTTGCCGTCTCATCAAGCGGTCTTGATTCCATTTTCTTTTTATGCCACGAAAGCCCAGCCAAGTCTTCGAACTATGCTATTTTGGACTTACACTCTTGATGCTACTCTAGATGTAGCGGGCTCACTAGGTTTGACTATCTACCGTAAGAACCTGAGTCAATTCAGATGGTCAATGACAACACTAGACCTGTCCCATAACCAGGTGTACGGCTCCAAGGCGGACAGAGGTACTCCAAGTCCTGGCTTCCGGTTGCAGGATGACTAACCTGTAGTATTTTTTTTACACACCAGTAAATATATTTATTTATCTACTATAATTAACTTTCTGTGTTATACATTGGCGTTCGCACGACGCTTATGTTTAGGGAAGATCCTGGAACCTCCAGTCCCTATTAGATGCCCTTAGAGGTTGTCCTTGCCATACCACAAGCCCTTGTTACAAACAAGTCATTGTAACAATCGATAATTTAACGTCTAGATCCACCTGACCCGAATTGAAACACCACAATGCTTGAGGATCCTCATACTCCCCGTCTGTACAGTACGGTACCCCCGCGAGTGTGGAAACGTGGCCTTTGACGTGAATCCATGCTTTCCCGAGACTCCCAAAGGCGAGTCAAATCGCTGTGATATACACCAACCCAGGAGCATAGAGTTGGACACCCAGCTCCTACGATAGTGTACCGGGTAGTTGAAAGCGGCCCAGCTCCATGAACCTGTCCTGCCCTACTAGCCCACCGGTAATTATCAATCATACCGGGAAACATATCCATGGCCAAAGATACAAGCCGCGTGGCTCCTCATGCCGCAGCTCGAATCTCTCCAGCCGTCATCCTATTCCTCGATTCTGGGGAACAGTTTATCGTACTCTACCGGCTTATACCGGTGGGCACTTGGGCTCCCCTCACCCCACCTCGCCTCCATCCACTTGCGCCTCGGTTCAAATTTGTCATAACGCTTGTCGATCCAGTTGGTGTTGTTGGCCAGGCAGAGGTCCTCGAGTGGCCACGAGCCGCGGCACCTGGTCATCGGGTTCGGCGGCAGCTCCCCGAGGGGAGGAAGCCGACCTTTGATGTTGCTTTTGGCGTTGGGCATGTCCAGTACGACGGAATTGCCAAAGTCGACCCACACCGCACGCCACTCCTGGACGCCTTGGTCTCGTTGTTCTTGCTGTTTTTGTCTATTTCGGGCCCCTTCTTCGCCTTTTCCCGAGTGGGAGGAGGAGGAGGAGGTGGTGGTGGTTGAAGAGGAGGAGAAGGAGGCCGAGGAGGCCGAGGAGGAGGAATGATGATGTTCTTTTTTCGCGCAAACAACAACGTTCCGCGAGTGCCGGTCGCCGTGGGATACATGGATATGCCATAGGGCACTTTCGGCCTCAGCGACCTGTGCCACCAAGTCCATGCGGACCTTTGCCGGGATCTTCTTGTAGTTGCCCGACTTGAGCAGGTGTAGTATGCTGTCTCCCGGGATGTACTCCATCAGCAGCAGGCGCACGTAGCGGGTTACCTTGATGGTGCGGCGCACGAGCTCGCCCGACGACTCTCGATATCGTTTTTCTCCACTGCTTCCAGACTGGCGGCCGCCGGTGGTGGTGTTGGCGGTGCTGATAAGAGTGGCAGCACTGTTGCTCACCAGCTCCAGCTCGTAGGGCATATCGAGGGACCAGCAGCCCTCGAAGCGCGGCGTGTACCTGCCGTCGAGCCCTTCCTCCTTGATCTTGGTGTAGGCGGCAGCCTCACGGGACCATTCGGACTCGGTGAGACCCACGGGCGACTGGCCCTCGTCCAGCTCCACGTCGTCGGAACTGTAAAGCGGGTCGAAGATCTTAGCGACAAGCGGACCCTGTATGCCGTCCACGCGGCACTGCACGACCTGGGAGTAGGCGCCGTCGCGCACCCTGATCTGGCGGACGATATCGAGGTGCCGCGTTGTCCTGTCCTTATGGTGGGGCATCGTCTTCCTTGGGCGGTGCCTGAAATATCTCTCAGTGATGGTCCCGGGTGCGATTTTGCATGGGTTGGTGTCCCCGGATGGGAACAAGACCCATGGCGTCAAGTTGTCGCTTGGTTCCAAAATCTCATTCGGACGCAGGATTTCGGTTGGGAGCACCGGGTCGCTGAGGCTGGATACCTCGGGATTCTCGTAAGATGTGCCGCCATCGAAGGGTGTGAGCGGCTCGTGTCGTTTGATTTTGAAGCAGACGCCGGCGACATAGGGCAGCGCGGGTCTCTTATCGTCATCAAAGACGTATTTCTTCTTCTCATTGCAGGCGGGCATTCTGGTGATGCTGCATTCTAAGAGAGGGATAGATAACAGGTGACAGATGGGTGAAAAGAGGGAGGATACAGAGGGTACATGCAGGCCCTGATACAAGAATATCTCCACCGCCAAGAACCACGTATGCTCAACTTGTCCACCCAATTCACGCACTTGATTTACACACCCAATTGCATACTCAATTTGTACACTTAATTTACATACCCAATTCATATACTTACTTCACATGCTTACACCTTACTTATGAATTAAGGGTCAAAATATATGCTTAGGCAAATAAGTCATGTATTTATAAGTTAAGCATGTTGATGAGTACCTAAATAATCAGGACATAGTCTAAGGCATAGACCATTCCCATCTTGCCATGTCACATCCAGTCCAGCAAGGTCCTCTACGGTGAGGAAATTGAGCATAATCCAATCTAGGGTGGCACTATCAGTGACGGAGAAAATGCACATGTGGACAATTTGGATTTGTTCCAATAAATATTCGTGTTGCCCTAGCAGAAAATGAGAACTAGGGGAAAAGAACAGCTATATATATTTCAATGGATGAATTTATAGCCACGCAAAAAAGAACTGATTTTCTTTACATTCTACACAACAGATGATCAAGTGTCGACAATCTCAACCCACCTCTCAGCAATACTTCACACACAAGACTTTGTGCTCCCACTTTAATTCTCTCTTCGCGCTCAAGAAAGGGAACGGATAATCATTGAAGACCAGAGTCAACACGTTTCACAAAATCACAAACATCCCCACCACCACACACTCAACAAACACACATCACCACATATTTATACAACAAGATGCCGGGCCTATCAGAAAGACTACCAGGCAGCAGGCCCACAAGTCCTGTTGCCCCTCGTTCTCGTCCTCCTCCTCCTGCCAGGCCTAGCCCAGCACTGCCCAGCTGGGTTCGAGTCCTCCTGGACGACTCTAACACAAAGGCAAAAGAATTACAACGCTTCTTGTACCGGGGCATCAAGCCCCGGATAAGGAGAAACAAGGAGAACGACCTCTACGGCTACCTCGAGACCTTTGAGATCCACTGCACTTTCGACAACCGCACGACCACAGTGCACAGCCCCATGGTGCTGGAGCAGAGCGCCTGGCTCAGGGACAGAGTGGCAGAGCGAGGCGACCCCGAGTTGCCGGTGTGCCCGCCTGAGCACATCAGGTGGTGGCACGTCGGCTGGGTACTCGAGTATATGTATTTTGGCAAGGTCCCCGGGTTTGTCATGCTGGTGGATGAACAGCTGCCCGCGAGGTATCCGGACAGACTGCCGCGGTCGATCACCGTGGGCCTGGTCGAGCTGTGGGAGGCGGCTGAGTTCTTTGGCCTTGAGGGGCTGAAGGAGCGGGCCGAGGAGGCGTTTAAGGTGTACATGAGCAAGGGCATCCATCACGCCATCTTGGTTCAACGCGGAGTACTGGGAGCTAGACCGCGTGTGGATGCAACTGGTGCTGCGGCGGAGCGGCCTGCTGCGGAGGGATTGGCCCGACCGGAGATCCGGGTTGCGCATGAGTTTGCTCAGGCTGCGTGGAAGATCTTTCGTGGAACGGCAACAGAAACCCATTACATCAGATACCTTGTTTCGGACAACGGGTGGCTCATTTATGCACCCCAGATTGCAGAAGATGCGGAAGCCCTTGACGCCTGGGAGAGCTCCATGTTCGACAAGGACGGCTTTGCCGACGACGACGAGTTACCACCGGATCGTTCCCTTTCGCCTCAGTGCCTCAACACCTTCAGCGTCCTGATGACCAACCTGTGCATGTGGTTTGCAAATTCGGGCCTGTTCGAACTGGAGTGGTTTCAGGCGTTTCTGCCTGAGGTTGGACCACGGCCCTTGCTATATGCGTTGAATAGGATTATGAGGGAGACAGTTGCCAGCTGGCCGCGTGATGAGTACCCACACGCGCCATTCTCCTTTGAACGGGAGGATCCGTGGAGGTTAATCGCGTCGAACACCAGGGCAGTGCCGCCTCGTCCGAGGACGAGAAACATGCAACAAGACAGACTGGTTATCGACCTGTCATTCAGTTAGTTTTGTGACTGGGATGCAGCTTTATATCTAATGGCGAGGTGCGGACTCCAGGTCCGTCTTGAGCGGAAATGTAACAAGGGATATGTATCACTTTGGCGGTGGTATTGGAGGAACAGACTTTGAGGCTGGCTTGGAAAGGCTTCAAAATGCACATGCATGGTAGTGGGGGAAGAGGAGCGCGGGAGCTTGATAGTTAGCAATTCAAGAAGTAAATAAATACATTGACACGCCTAAATCAGCAAAATAAGTTTTCGGGAGAACATTGCTATTCCACTTGCAAATAGAATCCAGTAAGTCTCTGAAATATAGTATGCCATTCATCAATACACATTCTTTCTGGATTCATCACATCGCCCCTTTCATGGTCTCGTTGGAGTGGTGTGGTCGCCATGAGACCAGCCCGCCGTGTGCGGTGGCCCTCGTAACGGGGCAAACCGACCTGACCCAACACGATGAGACTTCTCAGCATGTAGAGTCGAACTGAGTCAACTGCACGAGTATTTAGGTTCAAGGCTGTCTCATTGATCAGTATACCGACAGCATGGTAAGTTGACACGGACGCAGCCTTAAAGAGCTTGAGTCGCGGCTGGTGTGCTTTCCACCCAGCTGAGTCGCAGTCTGGGGAGATAGAGATAGACTTCATGATTGTGGAGAGCGGTTGACGTGGAAGAAGGAGATAGATGTCATGTCCAATGCTGCAGATTTGATTGATGATTTGTTTTCAGCAATTGTGAGCGTATTACCCGGAGCACGTCCCCCGTTGCCGATGGGGGTGTCGAGGTCGACCAGAACGGCATCAAGTTAGATTGAAAAAATTCGACTATGGCCGAACTACACCATTTCAAGGTTGCCTCGGGCCCAATGTGGAAGCGAGAAACACGTGGGGAGGTTGGACGGCATTGACAGTGGCGCCGACACACTGACAGGTGAGTGGGATGGCAGGCTGTCATGTCAAGGCTGGATGGAAGGATGGGTAACGAGCAAGGTACAGGTAACAGAATGCGGGTGTGGGATGGCTGGGTGGCAGATTGATGGATGGATGCAGGTAGCATTCGACGGATTTAGAGTTGCAGTGTCGGGTGTGGGCAATCAACTGCACCCAGATTGGGTTGGAGCTTTCTCCAGCTTGATTACCCCCAAGCATCCCAAGAAGGAAAAAGGTGGAAAGGAAGGGCATAGAAGCCACTGAAGCTTGTGCTAGCTAGCTCCTAGCAGGTTACGTCAGTGCCTGCTGTTGGCCCGAGCGGTGACGGAGCTGCTGATTGTTCCCTCACCCTTTCCTTCCAAGGTTGGCTTAGCTGAGTAATTGGAAAAAGGGGGGGAGGGGAGGAAGGAGAAGGAGAAGCTCCTGCCCGTTGATTGTGAATGTCTATGTGTTGGTGATAACTTCATCGCCTCTGTCTCGCCTTTGGCTTCTCCCGCACACGAATCACCAATCGACCTTGCTGTCTGTCCACCTTTGTATATCCAGTATCTATTCTATCATCTTCCATCGCGCCAAACAACAGCTGAGAACCACTGATCCGGCTGTTCCTGACCAACCTGGTACGTCATTGGCCCACCTTGTGCGACGAGTTCCTGTGCTGCACTGCTTGCGATTGTGCGACTGCGACTTTTGCTGCTTCTTCTGCTGCTTCTGCTGCTGCTTCTCCTGCATCTGTTTCCGTGTCTGCTAGTCTTCCTGCCAGCCCTGCATCGTGTCTGTCAGTCGGTCTGTTTGTATACTGTGCATATCCTGTATCCTGCGTCCTGCGTCCTGCATCCTGCCCTGCCCTGCCCCTCGCCTCGCTTCGCCAATAGAACCGGCTCCTTGGAAATCAACCCCGCCATTACTCGCTGCTGTGCTCACCTGTATGTCATCGCGACTGGCATCCACCCAGCTCCATCCCAGCCCATCCAGCCAGCCTCAGCTCCAGGATAGGATAGGAACCATCTACTGTCACTGCCAGACGGCTGGACTGTGACGTGCCTGCTATCGGACCTCACAACAACCGCCTTTTTGCCGGCTCTGCCCTGACCCAATTCTTTCCTGTCTGCTTGTCCGCTACATTGCTCGCTGCTGGCATTTTCTGCATACCATCAGACCTTTACCCACATATATACACGCATCGTCTACCTAGTACTGCACTGCGTTGCATAGCGTTTCTCGTCTTGGATCTGCATCCGTCTCCTACTGGCTCTACCAACTTCTTCTCTCGTCCGGCTCCGGACCTACCTACATTCAGAACATATCGCCAGACGCCCCCCGTTCTCCACCGCCTCTTCGTCGTCTCTTCCCCGGACGAACAAGTCAAGCAAGGGTCCTGCAACGCCCAGACCGACCGCTGCTCAGGGGCATACTGCATAGCTGGTGACCAACACGTTGTCAGCGTGCCACCCAATCACCCAGCCCAGCCGAGTTGCCGTTTAGCGAGCGTCCAGAAACCCATGCACGCGCACGCCACAGCACTGTGAATGTGACAGGGGCCAAGGGGATACAAGCAGGATCGACGAATCTGACAAGGAGCAAAACGTCCTCAGCCAGTCCAGCCCCACGGTGCACATCATACTACGGTGCAACACCCCACCACGGCCTGGAACAGTCTCTACAGTATCTGCACATAGAAGACTACGACAGAACTCCCTCCTCCTTCCAACGCCTTCGATCCCTCGACTATAGTCTGCTGGCACCCTCCGCACTCTCCCTGCTCTCCCTGCTCTCCTGGTCCTGGTTATCGTACTCCTTCTCCCGATCTTGCCGCTATTCGGACATCTGATAAGCTTCACGGCCGACTCAGATTGACTTTGGGCCGACTCGATTCCTACCTGCTTCACTACTCGTGGTGGCCCACAGCTTGCTTCTAGATTGCTTCGCTTGCATTGCTTTGTTGTCCCTTGCTGTCACATGACTTGGTGGAATTATTGCCGTTAACTCGCTTGCTACTTGTTGTCGAAATTGGTCGAAATTAACACGAGGTCACAATGGCAGACCAAAAAGGTCCGGGGAAAGGAGACGGCGCGGCCGATACGGGGCGCACCGTCAAATTCTCCACTCTACCTACGAGGCCCGTTACCGACTCAAGAACCCCATCCTCCCAGCGACCAGACTTCGACCGAGCTGTCACCCATTCTGATCTCCTTGCTCACCACCAAGAAGACAACGTCAACATTCCAGTCACCCCAGGAATCGGCGTCGAAACCTACGACTCCGGCACCAGCGCCGACTCCGCAGAATCCGCTGGCAGCAACTACTTTACCTCCAAACCTACTAGACTACTCGAAGAGGCTGTCGCCTCCCCTAACGCCATCGACGACACCATGGCCGCTCCGTCGGCAGACCCCATGTCTGGCCACGACATCCTCCGCCGGATGAGCAAGGCCAGTCGCGGCAGACGCCAGACCCTGAGCGAGATCAAGTCGGCTTACCCTGCCCTGTCGCTGAGCGGTAACGTCATATCTGCGACTTTTAACATGCCACACTCCTTGAGGTACCGCAAAGGGAACGACTGGGTGAGTACACCACGGGCACCAACTGGGGGGGCACGGCCTTGCCAGTCAGGCCACATCTGAAAGGTGTAAAACTCGTGCTAACTTGTTGCGCTGCAGGAACTGAAAACCCGCCGCGGCCAATCTGCCCTTTTCGATGCGTTTGCGCATCTGTCTTCAAACGATTCCTCCTGGAACCATACCTGTGTCGCGTGGACAGGCGAGATCGAGGCTCCATCCGACATCCCTTCCCCTCCCGATACCCCTCCTATGACAACTACCAACCTACCGAGTCTGAACAAGCTCTCCGCCCCAATCCCCGTCGACGTCAATGCTGAGAAGCCAGCACCCGCACCACCTTCGAAAGATGGGCTGTGGATCCCCAAGGAAGACATGGAGCGGCTCGAGTACCAGCTGTCCCATGACAAAAAGATCAAGACGGTGCCTCTATGGCTCGCGGACGACACAGATGGGCAGGAAGACGGAATTTTGCTTAAGGATCAGTCAAGGTGGAGGCGCTACGCAGAGCATGATCTCTACACGCTCTTCCACTACAAAACACAGATGCCGTCAGACGGCCGAAAGGAGCGCATCTACTGGGCGGACTATTACCGCATGAACCAGAAGTTTGCCAACAAGATCCTCGAGCTCTACAAGCCGGGCGACGTCGTGGTGATCCATGACTATTACCTCATGCTCCTGCCCAGCATGCTGAGGCAGCGCGTACCACACATGTACATCAGCTTCTTTCTGCACTGCCCTTTTCCGTCCAGCGAATTCCTGCGCTGCCTGCCAAGACGTAAGGACATCTTGGAGGGTATGCTTGGCTCAAACCTAGTTGGATTCCAGAGCTACAGCTACAGCCGGCACTTTAGCTCCTGCTGCACTCGGATATTGTCATACCCCTCGGACACCGGTGGCGTGGAGACGTACGGCTCCAGAGTCGAAGTTGGAGTCTTCCCAATCGGTATCGATGCAACCAAGGTCGAATCCCTAGCGTTTGCCCCCGAAGTTAATGACAAGGTCAAGGCACTCAAGAAGATGTATGCGGGGAAGAAGATTATCGTCGGCCGAGACCGGTTGGACAGCGTCAGAGGTGTGGCACAGAAACTAATGGCTTTTGAGCGGTTCCTCGAGCTGTACCCCGATTGGCACGAGAAGGTGGTGCTTATTCAGGTCACCAGCCCGACGTCGATTGAGGAGACTTCAGAAGGGGACGAGAACAAGATTGCCAGCCGAGTGAACGAGTTGGTCAGCAGCATCTCCGGCACGTATGGTCACCTTGGGTACGAGCCTGTGCAGCACTTCCCTCAGTACCTCAGCCAAGACGAGTATTTTGCGCTTCTGCGCGCTGCAGACATCGGATTGATAACCTCGGTTCGAGATGGCATGAACACGACCTCTCTGGAGTACATTGTCGCTCAGCGCGATAACAATGGACCCTTGATCCTGTCCGAATTCAGCGGTACTGCCGGCAGTCTCAAGGATGCAATTCATATCAACCCTTGGGATCTTTCCGGCGTTGCAGACGAGATCAACAACGCACTCATCATGAGCGACGACAAGCGACAAGCCATGCAAAAGTCCCTTTATCGTCATGTCACCACCAAGAACGTTCAAAGCTGGATTGGCGCGTTCCTGGACAGGCTGGTCGATGTTCTTGGTAGCTCCAAGAACACCGTCTCTACCCCGCTTCTCGACCGAGCCCTGATGCTCCAGTCGTACAGGGATGCAAAGAAGCGGCTTTTCATGTTCGACTACGACGGCACGCTCACACCCATCGTGAAAGAGCCATCTGCCGCCATCCCCAGTCGCCGTGTCATCAATACCCTGACGACCCTAGCCTCGGATCACCGCAACGCTGTATGGATTATCTCGGGCAGAGATCAGGCCTTCCTGACCCAGCATTTGGGACATATCGACGAGCTCGGCTTCAGTGCCGAGCATGGAAGCTTCATGCGACACCCCGGCTCGAAGGAATGGGAGAACCTGGCTGAGACGTTCGACATGGGCTGGCAGTCCGAGGTGATGGATGTGTTCCAGACCTACACTGACAAGTGCCCTGGTGAGTTCATGTTCTTTTTCACTCTTCCGAAGCTTCGAACCGAAACTGACGAGTTTTGACAGGCTCCTTCATTGAACGCAAGCGCTGCGCACTCACCTGGCACTACCGGCTCGCGGATCCCGAACAAGGTCCACACCTAGCGCACGAGTGCCAAAAGGAACTCGAGGCGACTGTCGCACGCAGGTGGGACGTAGATGTGATGCCAGGCAAGGCCAATATCGAGGTTCGGCCAACCTTCATCAACAAGGGCGAGATCTCCAAGCGTCTTGTGCTTCAGTATAACGCCGACATGAGCCATGTCGCCGGCAGTGCCGTCTCTGCCGACGAGCCCGGCAGTAGTAAGGTCGAATTTGTCCTATGCTTAGGTGATGACTTTACCGACGAGGACATGTTCCGCGCTCTCAACGGCCTGAGCGCACCACCTACAGACAAGGGCGAGGAGGCCAAGGTCAAGGCAGAGAACGTGTACACTGTCACCGTTGGCGCGAGCACAAAGGTCACCTTGGCCCGATGGCACCTGCTGGAGCCGGAGGACGTCGTCGACTGTGTTGCACTGCTCGCAGGCGTTGGTGGCGGTGGTGCAGGCGCAGAGGGCGGCGGCACACTGAGCATGGGAGAGGTCAACCTGGCGGCCCTGAGTACCGTCGAGGGACATGTCCCTAATATCGACTAGGCGATACCCCTCGTGTCATCCAAAAGAAGATATATAGGGTGCATTGGTTTTGAGGAGTTCAATGGGTGGGAAAGATCGGCATGGTGTGTGGATCAGGGCATCAAGCGTGGAAGGACGAGGCAGTCCGTTGATCAACAGCAGCACGGGCAGGCTTTTGTGGTTTCTGTCTTCCTAATTCCCTCCGTCTTCTTCAGTTTATTGTTCAGGATAGGATTAGAGTTCATGCATCCGACCCCGCTGATGGGGCAAGCCACGCGATAGAGATAGAAAGACAGCCTGGGTAGAAGGGAAACAATCAGAGTTGTAATCATCATGTATTTGATCCGTTTTCACTTCCATGCCTTTTTTCTTACGTCACATCCCCGTCTTGTATGGTAAGTCGGTAAGTAAAGACCTTCTCAGAGCCTATGAGCAGCGCCCTCTTTCTCGCTACCCTTGAGGAGGCTATCGATGTACTCGGTGATGGCTAGCACCTTCTCCTCCTGAAACCGCCGCCCAATCACCTGAACATTGACGGGCAAGCCGTGGTAGAGGGCTGGATCGTCTGTGGACAAGACAGAACATGTCAGAGCCAATTCATCTGCATACAAACCTGAGACACAAATGAACTTGGGGTGGGCAGACTTACAGTCTTGGTGAACCTTCTTGTTGGCAGTGACGTACTCGTCCTTTATTCCCTCGGCAGGGATCTCGAGCGGCCGGACCACGTCAATGTCCTTGTCTGTCGTGATGACGGGCAGGACTGCGGCAGACTGGTCATTCAGGACTGCAGGTAGGGGATAACCTATGAAAGGTGAGTGAGCACTGGGTACTACCAAACGGTCCGTCTCGAGTCGATTAAACTCACCAATATACCGTATCTTCCCAATCCGCGCAGCACTATACGGCGCAACAGGCGTGATAATCACGTCCACGGGCCTCCCCGTCGCGTTCTCAGGGTGCCTCGCCGTCTCGCCCCAGTGCCGCAGGTACGCCTCGCGGTACTTCCTGACCCGCACGTTCAGCTCCTGCACCTGGCCCGTCGTCAGCGGCTTCGACTCCTCCTTGTCCGGGTCGAACGCAGGCGGCATGAGGCGGTCGACGGGCTCGCCCGACGCGCGGAACTGCGCGTGCGCGAACGACAGGTCCGCGTACGACGCGGCGCTCCACAGCTCGAGCGCCTCCTCGGCGCCGGGGCTGTGCTCGAACGGGATGACGGTGTGGCCGGCCTTGCGCAGCGCGGCCGCGACCGTCTCGACGGCGCGGCGCACCGGCGGCTGCGGCGTGACGAGCCCGTCCGACGCCGCGATCCCGATGACAAGCCCGCCTCCAGATGCTGTCCTGGCCTTCGTCTCCTGGTACGCCGCCTCCCGCCACGGCATCTCCACGGCCAGCGGGTCGCGCTCCCACGGCGCGTCAGCGAGGATCGCCTCGACCGCAACCCTCAGCGCGCGCACATCCCCGACCGCCATGGGCCCCACCGCGAACCGCACATCCGTCAGCGCCTCAAGCCCACCAACGACGCTCGCGATGCCGGCGTACGGCAACCGGCCGACACTAGGCCGCAACCCGTACGCGCCGACGCCGGCGGCGGGCCAGCGGATAGAGCCGCCGATGTCCGTGCCGAGCCCGAGGGCGGAGCCGCGCAGCGCGAGGAGGGCGGCCTCGCCGCCCGAGGAGCCGCCGGCCGACAGGGCCGTGCGGTGCAGCGGGTTCGCGACGTACCCACCCACGGCGCTGAACGTCTCGCCGGCGAAGCTGGCCTGGGGCACGGCGGTCTTGGCGTGGACGAGGGCGCCCTGGCGGCGGAGGGCGGACGCGATGGCGGCGCCGTGCTTGGCGGGCTGGTGGGGGGAGGCGACCCAGCTGACGAAGCCGAGGGTTGTCTCCGTCCCTGCGACGTCGATCGAGTCCTTGAGGCTGATGGGGAGGCCGTGGAGGGGCCCGAGGGGCTTCCCGTGTGCCGCGAGGTGGGCGTCTAGCCGGTGGGCGTCGGCGAGGGCGGAGTCGAAGAGGATCTCGGTCAGGCAGGACGTCAGCTGGTGGGCTATTGCTGCGCGGTGGCTGAAGGCCTCGGCTACGCTGACGGCTGTCCACTGGCCTGTGGTTGTCTTCTCGAGGATCCCTGGCGCGGGCGTCTCGGTGATTTGGATCTCGGTTGGATTGAGGAATTGGTGGATGAAGGGGCCGGTGAGGTTGGCGGGTGCGTTCTCAAGGGTCGAGGGTGGGAGGTGCCATCGCTTGGGGATGGCGTTGAGGATGGCTTCTCTTTTTTGCTGGGCGCGGGTCTGCCAGTCTGTTGTGGATGCCATATTGGAATTGTATTCTTTCTAAATGCTCTGGTTGAAAATTTTGGGCGCCTGAAGCGTGTCGCTAGCTGGAGCTTGTGGCGAGTCCTGACGGCCATCTTGGAGTTCCATGATGTTTCCTTTATACGCTCCCAAGCCATCACATCATCCGTGATCCGTTCTAAATAAACACTTGACAGTAGGGCGTCGGAACGCCATCGAATAAGGCTGGTATGTCATCATGCCCCTCATGCAAGTAATACAAGCCAAAGGCCATTGACGGGGACCAAGTTCCTCCCGGGCTGCTCTCCGTGGGTTATGTGACGTCGGAATGCTGACTTCACAGGGGACAAGAATGATTGCTTACACATGTCCGCATGTTCCTCCGCACAGCACAGTGGGGTTTTTCCGGTTCCCCCATCTGCTTATGCGGATGCTTCCACTTATCCCCGCCCCGATATCAGAGGCGCTAGATTGGGGTGCTTGCATGTGATTGTGCACCAACAGACCGTTCTAATAAAAACAAGAAGTGATCATGAGAGTGAAGTAATTTCTGGATTAGTTTGTTTGTAGATACAACAAGTTGTTACAGTGTTGTCACATAGTTTCTAATAAGAACTTGTTACAGCAAGAGAAGAACTAAACAAAAACTATGAGCTACAGTCGAAGTGGTAGCTTCTATATAGCGGGCCGCAAGTGGGTATCGCAACAGACGGAGTGGATGGCGTAAACTGCAACTAGCCGTTCTCTTTGATAGAGCTGAACTGACAATTGGGAGCCTCTCTCTTCTATAGAGAGCAAAAGACATGGCCCGTACATGTGAGGCTCGCTCTGGTGGCAGCCAGCAATCTTCAGCACTCCACTGTATTCAGTTTTGGCGTATGTACATGCATACCCCTCCAGGCTCGCCGAAAATGCCTCTCGTGTGATATACCCTTGTCTGAGTAGACTACTCAAAAGATTATGAGAACACAATAATGCTGCTACTACTCCTAGCGCCGGGTATGTAGACGTGCAACCCGAGGAAGAAAGGATAACGAACCCACGCATCCCCCTCAACCCCACCCCCACCCCCACCCCGTGTCGCCGAAACATGTCAACTTAAAACTACCTCTTTCCTGCGCCCACTTGCTCATCTCCGACTTCGAGGGCGGCTTTCACCGAGTGGTGCGGCAAACGAAATATGCGGAGAAAGATCTACTTTGAGTTGCAACATAGACTTTACAAGCGAGACGCGCCGGTTAAATTGGTTGGAGAGATGCACCAATATTCACGGAGATAATAGGTTGAAGTTCTGAAGTACATGCTCCGAGGAGGTCGAGGCTGACCAGCATTTGTGTGATATCTTGCTCGGCGTGATAGTGATAGACACGCTTCCCCGCCCAGCGATGATCGAATTCGTTCAGCTTCAGCTTAGGATGCGAAGAATTGGAGAACTCGCCAAGGGAACACACACGGGTATTCACATATGCAAGGCGACGAATTCCGGGTAAATAGGAATCGTGCAAGGTGTATTCAGTATAGTAGAAGTTCGAAAGCTTGGGATAGTTATAGACAGATGAGAAATTATATAAATGATCATTGATCAGAATATGCGAACACCTGTTCATGCTCCAACGGTCAAACTGAACAGATTCTCAATTAACATCTTCTCTCCGCATTTTTGACAACATGTGTCCAAGCACCATTGTCTCTGTCGTTTTGACTATCTGTGTCACCTACACCAGTGGGCTGATCACTCGACAATCTCCATCCGGCAGGGCTACTGTGGATCTCACAGCCTCTGTCGGCCAAGCGAGTTTCCTTGGGTCTGGTTTCATCTATGGATGGTTAGTGTCTTGAAACCAGTTTCTCCCTGAATGTGAAGCAAGAATTCTTCGTAGGAATTATATGGTACCACGAAATCATTGCAGATAAATTTAATTTCTATCTTCAGTTTCAAAACTTTCTCAAATAATTTACTGACAAAGTTCCAGGCCCGACAACGGCACAAGCGCCGATAACTCAATTCCCGATAACTTTGTAACAGACATCAAGTTTCATGCTTCGCGCGCCGGAGGTGCCCAGATCTCAGCATTGGGTTGGGCTGGCGGCGGATATAATGAATATATTGGCCGCTTCGACTCTACCCTTTCCAACTACCGAACTACCCGAAAGTACGGAGGGGACTTCATTCTTCTCCCTCACGATCTATGGGGCTCAGATGGGGGCCAGAGCGCAGGCTCCGTGTTCCCTGGAGATAATGGCAATTGGACAGAAATGGAAGTTTTCTTTGGGCAACTCGTCAGCGACCTGAAGGAGAACGACATGCTTGAAGGGCTTGTCTTTGATATCTGGAACGAGCCAGAGCTCACAATTTTCTGGAATCGTACGTGGGATCAATATCTTGATTACTATGTGAGGGCTCACAGGATCATCAGGTGAGGATATTACTCTTTGCTAAATTGGTGACAGCTCCTCCTGACATCTTCAAAGAGCAGAACTTCCGGGTACCCTTATCTCAGGGCCCTCCTCAGCGAATGCCCCTGGTCTCGACCTCGACACGTGGAGTACTTGGCTGAATACCATACAAACCAACGATGTTGTCCCAGATATTTATTCCTGGCATCAAATCGGGGAATGGCAGCGTGAGCCGGATAGAGTCATCCCTGATTTCAACACCCTCCTCAATCGCTACAACCTTCCACAGAGGCCTATCGACAACAATGAATATGCTTGGCCAAGTGAACAAAACCCCGGCACCTCAGTCTTTTATCTCGCGCAGCTGGAACGACACAATGTGCGTGGGCTCCGGGCCAACTGGGGTAGCGGTTCGGACCTTCATAACTTCATGGCCGACCTGGTTTTCAAGAACACTGATGGTACTTACAGCTCCAATGGGGACTGGCAGGTCTACCGGTACTATGGTCAGATGGACGGCGATCGTGTGGCTACGGTGGCTTCAGCTGACCTCAAGTTCGACGTCTTTGCCACCATCAGCGGGAATGGAGTCAAGATCCTTGCTGGTACAAGAACAGTCCAAAGCACCTATGAAATCGGCATCTCAGGAATGAGCCGGCTCGGCCTTCCCGCCGATGGTGTCATCCAAGTCCGCAGCTATCGCTTCGACTGGACAGGAACAAAAGCTGAGGTTGGCCCACCGGTTGATCTGGGCCTCGCTGAATTCCAGTACTCTTCTGACACTGTGAGTTTTTTTTTTTATTTATTTTTTTTATTATTTATTTATTTAAAGATAACCTAACAGCTGCAAGGATTCTTGATGAGTTTCAACGCAGGAGACTAATTCTACCTTTTCTAGCTGTTAATTACGGTTGTACCCCCGACGAATGCTACAGCCTTCGCCTTCGAGTTCTCCGGTCCAAATTGATGAGCTATCTACGCTGCTTGAGGGTTATGTTGGTATTTTTACAGTGCTTCCTATTTCTTTCATCTGATTTGGACAATCCGTTGTTCGATCAACTCCATTTAAGTACTACTTCAGATATAACACCATCTTACTTTAAGATGTTATCCGACTTTATAGGTATCTTCGCATTAGGCATGGCAAGCACCACACTGATCCACCGGGTTTGTGCCCGACTCCTCGTAACCTTACGAGAACTTACTCTAGTTCAAATGCGGTAGGCTCTCGAGGTCAGCAAGAATAAGTACTGTAAAAGCTAGACGTAAACATAGTCATTCGTGAATGGCCCCGCCATTGTTTCTGAGAATGTTAGAGGCATACATCATGACCCGAGTGATTGGGGAACGCAGGGCGTCAACGCCATATTTAACTAAGACGACTTCCACTGCCCTCCTTTGCTCCAAAAAGACGATGGCTCGAACAATCGGCCCTTGTTGCAACTAATTCGACACGCTCTCGCTCTGGACGATGAGCCTTTCGTTGGATATTTCCTTGAGGGACAATAGAACACTAAAATCCTCTTGTGACTCCGCGTCTGCTACAATACTTATCTCCCGTGGAAGAGCATGTCGCAACTGTCAAGGTGAGCACAGCTTCCTCTTTCAATTTACTACAACTCCACAGTCTTGCGGATATCCAACACTACTTACTATCTCTTGCATTCAGACCTAAGAGCTGCTAATAAAAAAAGAAGAAAACACAGGGGGCCGTAGACACGAACAATTTAACAATGTACTGATATTATTATTATTGTCTTCATTGCCGGTAAAGCCTGACGGTTGTGGTTGGACCAATGTGAGCCTCTATACTGTAGCTCACTAGCAACTACTAGGTGACACACCTAGCCCACTCAGTGATCCTATTTACATAGGCCTATCCCTCGCAATGCTTGTGCGTGGTAGATCCTTCCCTGCCGAGGCTGTCTGGACCGTGAACTCAGACTTTCCTTCAGGCCCAGCCTCTTCGATGCTGGCCTCTTCCACCGCCTGCTTGGCACCTGCTTCTACGGGCACGTGGTCTCGCATAACAATGTAAGTAGGATAGACGGCGAGAACTGAAAAATAATTAGCGATGCTGATCATCTTATCAAGGCCAGATATAGGCTTACCAAGCAAGATGGTGTTCACGATTAACGGCACACGACCACCGTGCCAATTCTGGGTGTTCAGACCAAACGCAACCGCCTGCGAGAAACTCTCCTGGCCCCTGAGGATGCCCGAGAAACGGCTCAGTTCCGAGATATTGTCCGTCTTAGTGGCGAGCAGGTAGTAAAGCCAGTTCTGCAAGGCCTGGCGCGCAAAGTCCCACAGCAGGAGGACGAAGAAGCCCTCGGTGAAGCCCTTGTCGGCCCAGTCGAGCGCCGGCGGGTTGGCCGTGTACTTCTCCTGTATGACCCAGCCGTACACCCACGCGACGATGTGCAGCACAATGGTGTAGTAGAACCCGATCGTGATGCGCTTCTTGACCGAGAATCCTTTGTAGTCGAGCAGAGTACTGATGAGCTGAGATGACAACAGGGTGCCGAAGTTGCTGACGAAGCCGATGAGCGCTCGTGCCCGCACGCCGAAGTAGTATGTCTGGAAGTTTCCCGAGTACTGGTTGAAGTATGCGGCCCAGAAAACAGGCAGCAGCAGGAGGATATCCTTGCGCTTGCTGACCTGCCACAGCGCCCGCAGCTCAGCCTTGAACGACTTCTCCCCGCGGATAATAACCTTGCTACCGTCGGCTCGCTGTACCTTTTCCGGCGGTGAGAGGAAGTACGCCAGCGGCACGGACAGGCACTGCAGCGCGATGAAGATGATGTACACCTGGTGCCCGACCTTGCCCTTCTTCTTGGCCGCCGCGTTGTTGTTCAGCGCCAGCACGATCGCGCCGCCGAGGAGGGGTCCGCCCGTGCGGAACCACAGCCAGATGTTCATGTACCTGCCTCGCTTTCCTGGCTCGGGGTAACCCAGTGCGATCGCGCCCTCACTTGCCCAGAATAGACCGGCTGAGATGCCGCAGGCCACGGCACCTACGAGGACGAACCATTCATTCCCATATCTGTTGTTTGCGTACAGACCAGCCGAGTAAACAGGATACCCGACGGCACCTAGGAGTAGGGTCCACGAGAGACCGATGCGGTTAGCGATGGGGCCACCAATAAGGCAGAGTATCCCCATTAAGCCGAAGACCAGAGCATTAGCTGCGTTGACCAGATATGGAGATTGGGCTCCTCCAGCACCCTGTAGAATTCTCCTATTAGCTAATCTCACAAGCAATAGAGTCGTGTTTTGAGCGCATTGGAGGGCTGTAATAATTTAAAAAGTACATACGAGAGCACTCATAGCATTCCATAGGCCTGGGGCCATGAAACCCACGCCTCCAATTATGAACGCATTGAAGAGAGTTGTGTGGTACCAGGTCCGACCTGTCACCCTTACAGAGGCAGAGGCACGCTCGACGTCCGCCATCTTGAGAGGCAGGGGTGGGTGCGATTGTCTAAGCGCAGAAAACACAAAGCGATGGGAGTCAACATGCGATATACATTCACCATCCGAGGATTAAGCATTAAGTATACACGTGGCCAGCATGTACTAGCAAGCGTGGAAATGCAACCAGGAAAATTTCTGTGCACGACGTTGCATTATCTCCGAGTTCAGGAACTGCTCATTTTCATAGACGATGGCGAAATCGCCCAAGTGGGTACCTCCCGCAGTCTCTTCCTCTTGGCGGGGAGATATAGCCCGCGTGTCCTCCGTCGAGACGAGCGAATGGCTGGACGAGAACGTTGATTGGAATGCCAGATCAGGCAAGTCGGCGAGCTATTCAATATGCTGGGTGTTTTATAGGAATCTTTTGACACATCTGGTGGGGTCCACCCCAACCCATTAAACCACTTTCAGTGCTGTCACTGGGACGTCGACGCACGTTTTCGGTGGCAAGGGACCGGCCAGACCTCGGCTGCTACGTTGACCTGCGATATCGAGTTCTAGATTCTGTTGATCTCATCTCAATTATTTATGAAGGTGGTCTGACTGAAGGGCCTGATGTAGACTGGGCCATGCATTTGTCGCTGAAACAAGACAGAGCAAGTATGACTTGAGCCGGTCAGGGCTCTCTGGTCTCGCATATCTATCCGAGTTGTAGCCACTCGGTCTTGTGGATCCTGCATCGTTCCAAGGGGAAAGTATCTTAATTCCGACATGGCTACAACCACAAAGGGGTCCTCCAATCGTTGTGTGATAGTCTTGGTATTGCTGCATGCACTACCATCTGAGTCTGCTCCACTACCTTGAGTATTCTAGTTATGTCCACAAATTTCGGCGTCTCTTGCGGCTGCACAACTAAGCCGGCTTATGTAGAAAATCCCCCCGCCCGCCAAAAGAAAAGCGATCACACCAAACAAAATGTAAGGTTGTCGGCTCACCCGCTTCAGGATCATCTCAGAATGGAAAGAAATATCGGAGAGCCCAGAAGAGGATGTTGACGTCAAAATCAGTCGGAATTCCTGTAGTCGATCAAAGAGTGTTCTCGGATCCACCGCAGTGTCAATGGTTCCATCAAGCCCCGTGGACACGTTTGCATAAACCTGGCAAAGAAGGCACTGCTGGACAGAGCTGAACGGACGTCGCGGGACTCGCACACGTGTCTGTGCAGTGTTTTCTGAATGTAGGAGCTTTCGGGCGTCACATTACTGGCAAGCACTAGGGCTTCGCAGATCTCCTCGATCTCGTTCTCGATCATCTCGCGAGTTGGTTCTTTCGCTTGAGCTTTGTCTTTGGCTTTCGGATCGTAGCTGAACAGTGCCTCTGACATCATTAATCTCCTACCCATGGCTCTCTCTGCTGCAGACCGAATATCAGATATACCGAAAAAGTCTCCAGCTTTCCAGACTTCGATGATTTTGACCGGGCCAGATGCCACAAATTTGAATTCTGTTACCGCAAATTTCGCGTCAGCATACTTGGAGAACAGCATTAATCGTTGCGAATTGGATTCACACCTGGGGCCTGCCAGGTTGATTTGCATATGTGGCAGTCTGAATACTCACCTCCCGTGTAAATACTGTCAAGAACGATTTGAAGTACCTCCGGGGTTGTGTCCTCGACAATGACGACACCGGTGGAGGCTTCCTGCGATAGCGCCAAGGGAATGTTAGACAAGGTGTGACAAAAAAAAACAGTGCTAGAATTGATTCAACTTCACCTTGAAACCTCCATCAAAGGCAGCGCGGAACCAGGTGTTTCGATTGCATAAGATTGCTCTGTGGGTGGCCCACTTGACATCTTTGCAAACGACCGCGCAGTCCGACATGTAGCCAGAATCGAGGAGCCTGGGTAGTGTCGTCAGCGGATGGCAAGTGAACATTGAATGAATTCAAATGACACGCATCAAGTTACCTCTGGTCTAATTCATTGAGTCTTCGCCAGTCCTTTATACTCATAATGGCTACTCCTGACGGCAGAGGCTCGCCTGGGAGCGGCAACATCTGATGCGCCTTGCCATGACTTCTCGTAATGTCCCTCCCCATGACGACTCCAATCGAGGCGAAGGCAAGCAAGAGATTTCAGGGTTGTTTAATTCGCAAAGTTGACTCTCAATGCTAGACTTGGTCTTGTCGTGTCGGCGTGTTTTATTTTTCTGGAGTGGCGTGTCATGAAGTTGCTGAGCAACGGTCACGAAGTGGCCAGCCCGCTTATTGAACGGTTGATTTGATGCCTTGAAGGTTTTCAGCCTGAGCTAGCTCAAAATCCATCCACGGCTGCCTTGTAGCTATGAAGACATGCCTGAGATTTCGGGTTCTTAATACATCATTCGCCAGGGCACGAGACTAGAATGCAGTCATTGTGTCTCAGTATCATACTGACTCAAAGACTGTGTTTGCCATGACAGACTGTAAAGCTTGCAACTGGGATGCCTTGAAATCCCTCAGAGTCTCTTTCACAATTGCTGCAAATGATCAAGCCAACAAGGATATTTACCGAACCCGTCCTTTGGTGTTAGCTTCTAACATTAAAAGCAATTATTTCGTTTCTATTGATGCCATACGACTATCCAAAGTGGAGTGGGTCCTTGGGCTGGTTCGGAGCAGGTTACGAGATTTTCCGATGTAGACGTTACGAAATTAATTCTGTGGAGCTTGAGAAATAACGTGCCAAATAGACGCGAGACTTCCTTTAGGCTGGCGAAGTTACTAAATACATGTTGAGACTTCCGTGCTGGCTTTTGGTAGCTCTTCTTTCTTTCCTTCGACGTGAGCTTGCAAACAATATGATCACTCTGGACATGGTGTTGTCAGAAGGTCAGTCGGCGGCCATGCCTCCATGTCAATACTGTTTGAATAGCAAAGTTGGAGACTCGGGTGCGACAATGACTGACTAATGATCGGATCTTGTCTATGTTCCCATTTCCTGAACATTCAGCCGTTGAAGGCTAAATCCGACGAAGGCCGCAGTGATAGGGGAGTAACTTCTACACTGTCATGCAACGGTATTGCTTCTTCGACCGGATCTTGCTAATATGTTGACTGGGAGCATCTGAGAACAGGCACGGCCATGGAAGGCCGTGACACGTTCGGCAGTTCGGAAGCGTTAGCGTACAGCATGTACCGAGACACGGAGGGAGCGTCTCACAAACGCCATAGGGCTTGGGCCAACACTAGTAGACCGGGACAAACGTGCTAGAAGAATCGAGATTTAACGTTGACACCGTCCTGATTTCGGTTAGATCGAGTCTTGGGTGCGAGGGAGGGGGGGTAAGGCTCGTTCAATAGAGCAGAGTCGGGTCTGATGGAGGGGGTCGATTCGCAGAGAGCTTCCCTTTTAGGCTTTACCTTCGGGTCCTGGAGGGGCGGAACTGAGGTTCGTCCGGGTTAAGAAGAGTGTGAGCATCATCAGCACGTGGGATCGGCTCAGGGTACAGCCCTGTTACGGTGGGGAAGAAGAAACGGCTCGGCTTTGTGAATGCTGCGGAAGAGGTTCCGCGCCCGCCGCCGCCGTGGAGCTTGTCCCGAGGGTGTGGGCCGAAGGGGATGATCATCAGGAGATGTAACTACCGATGATGGCCCATATCACCACAGATGCTGTTATTGACGAGAAGATTTTACGATACAAGAGTTCTGACGCCAAGAAGTCCACAAATTTTTGAAGAAGAAAGTACCTAGTAGCATTGTACAGGTCGGAAGAGCTAGGAGGCTCACTCGAGGCACCCAGCGACTGACTGCTCTTGCTGTTTGTTGGGTGGCATCGGAGTAATCCTGCTGGGCACTTCCTTAGCACGAACCTAGGTTGACTCAGTTCCAGATAACTTTCATACGCTTATCCAGAAACCAGTGAACGTGAACATAGCTCTGCCTCAAAAGTCAACCTCTAGAAGGAAAGTGTTTGCAGCATTACCAAAGAGCTGCTACCGCCTCTGACACCTAACCCTTGAACCTCGCCCGTTACCTCACCTCCCCCCTCCCCCTCCCCCTCCCCAAAATCGAATGACTCCAGCTTCGCCCAAAAGGCTGGGTGCATGGGAAGGCAATTGGCTGGGAGTGCTCGAGATGTTCGACCAATTGCGTATAACACCTACCGCTCACGGTCAATCCACTTCAATTGAAGCCGAACTCGGCCTTCAGGTCACGATGCCGTCTCCTGAGGTGACGACGGCTCGGTCTTGCCTCGCGCCTTTGAGAACTTCTTTCCCAGGGTAGCTGGATCCACCAGCCGTAAGCAGATTTTTGCCGCTGCTACCCGCCAGAGCCACCACGATAACAAGACTTCGGCCTCCCTGTCCAGTGCCACTCTCGCTCCAAATCCAACCAACGGTTTCGCGCAGCGTCCAGTGATATATCTTTACACACGAAATACACACGACAAGGTCCATTCTTCTCACTATGGGATCGGCTAGCAATTACTCCGTCTTCGATGCCGCCGAGTACGTCGAGCCCGACGGCATCTTCGACGTCCTGCGCCGGTATGCAGCAGACCCCTCCTTAGAAAAGGTCAACGTCTCGGCTGGCGCATACCGCGATGGGGAGGGCAAACCCTGGTTCCTACCCTCGGTGCAGATGGCCAAGAAGAAGATTGCCGGTTCAGACCACGAGTACTCGCCAATGATGGGCTTTAGACCGTTCAGGGACGCCTGCTACGAGCTGCTGCTGCATGACACAAGCGCACTGGCAGAGGGAAGGGTGAGTCACACTCGAACCAAGTCAATTGAAGCACACGAGCATATCACTGAGTTTCCAAACAGGTAGCAGGCGTTCAATCACTCTCTGGAACGGGCGCCCTTCTCCTGGCCGGTATGACACTGCACAAGGCAAACGCAGGCATCAAGACCGTCTACCTGACCACACCCACATGGCCGAATCACGAGCTCCTCTTCGAGACCATGGGCTTCACCGTCAAGTGGCTGCCCTATTACAACACCAAGACCCGCGCCCTCGACGAGGACGCCTTCGTCGAAGCCCTGAACGCCGCCGAGCCCAACTCGGCCGTCATCTTCCACGCCTGCGCCCACAACCCCACCGGCTGCGACCCGTCGCGCGACGGGTGGCGGCAGATCGCCACGGCCGTGCGCGCGCGCAACCTCTTCCCCGTCTTCGACTCGGCCTACCTGGGCTTCAACTCGGGCAGCGTGGACGAGGACGCCTGGGCGATCCGGTACTTTGTCGACGAGCTGCGCATGGAGGCCGCCGTGTGCACCTCCTTCTCGAAGAACATGGGCCTGTACGGCGAGCGCGTCGGTACCGTCACCTTCGTCACGGCGTCGCGCGACGCAGCCGCCACCGTCCAGAGCATCCTCGAGAACGCCCAGCGCGCCACCATCAGCACCCCGCCTCTGTACGGCGCCCGCATCGCACAGGCCGTGCTCACCACCCCCGAGATCAGGGCTCAGTGGGCCGAGGATCTCGTCACTATGAGCGGCAGGATCCTGGCCATGCGGAGGAAGCTGTTCGAGGAGCTGGTCAAGCTCGGGGCACCCGGCGACTGGAGCCATATTGTCAAGCAGTCGGGCATGTTTGGATTCTTGGGGCTGAACCCGGCGCAGGTTGCCCACCTTGAGAGTGAGTATCATTCCATTCCGCTACTGCCTTCCCATGTCCCTTACTCCTCACTCTCTTCTTCATTACTTGGCTAACGCGTTCACACAGCGGAACACCACGTCTACATGGCGAGCAGCTCACGCATATCGATTGCCGGACTGAACGATGGGAACGTTGAGTACTTCGCCAAGGCGCTGGATGCCACTGTGCGGACCATTGCATAGCCAATTGATGATTTGTAGGCGGTCTGAAAAATTGCATGGTCACCGGCGTTTAAAAAGGAACTGCTTCATGATAGCTGTACATATTGTTATTTTGTAGATGATTCAAAGAGCAATCAGCACTCATTTCGTTGTAATTGTGCTGGTCCTCCTATGACGGGAGTGTTGCTAGACCTAGTTATGCGCTAGGCACTTCTTCCCCTTGACCTCATTTGGGCGCCAGTATGGCTGCTTGGGTCAACAAGTGGCTCAGGCGGAGAAAGCCTGTCAATTTGAGCAAGTGATCGTCTCAGAGATGTCAAGTCCTTCTCTGAATTGCTTGGAATTATCACGCCAATATTTGAAAAGGCTTAGTCTGGTGAGATCTTCTTGTCACGAGGCTACCATGAGAATTGACTGAAATCACCACGATGAGAACTGATTGAAATCAATGCCTTAATTATACTTGCTGACACGGTGACTGAGTCCCAACTTTGAAAACCTGACCCAAGCTTTCTCACCCGATTACCGAGTCCCCATTGCACTCCCATCCCATTCACTGTCCGAATTGTGCTGGCCATTCAGTCACAATCTTTTGTACCAAAGCCTGGCGCCTGCTGCAGACATTTACGCCATTCTTCCACATTTTCACCTGTTTACAGGCCAAAAGCTAGCCTTGGGAGGATCAACGCGTGCAGGGCATCCAGTATCCTCAAAATCAGTCACCTTCTTGCTCAGGCTTTTGTCGTCTTTTCACAAGGGAGCATCGTCGTCACCTCAAGCTCACTTTCGTCAAAGTACATCATTTGTTTCCCTCGCTCTTGACAAGTCACTCAACATTGTCAGGCACGTCCATCGTTCTGTCCTGCTTTGAAACCTCCTCGGGTCCAAAGAACAGAGTAGCGTTGCTTGGAAACTTCCCCAAAAACAACACACGAGAGGAACAGGATTATCATTCTTCATGGAGTCAAGGTTTGTCATCCTGATTCAAAGAACCCTTTCACGCCAGAAATACTCATTCTGGACCCTCAGCAGCCCTAATACCAGCGGCCGCATCAGCGATGGGGACCAGCAGAAGCCAAAGGCGATCTCCGCAGTTGCTCAACAGGCCTATGATCGCTATGGCTTCCTCGACCCAATCAAGCTCGACCTGATGACCCGGGGCATCTTCATCACCCGCGAGGAGGCTGCCACTCTGCCGAACCGTATTACCACCGAGATCTGTCCCGAGGCTCGAATAGCAGACATCCCTCGCCACCGACCCTCCAAATCCCGTGCTGCCCACCGGACCCCGGTGACCCCGGTGACTCGAGCAACCCCACTAACTCAAGCATCCTCTGCGACTCGAGCGTCTTCCGTTGCTTCGTCCGCCCGCGCCGATATTAGTGCTGTTCCGAGCGACCATGAGAAGTGGACTGAGAGCGATACGAAGCTCATCATCAAGCTCCGAGCGGAGAGAGTTGGATTCAGGCAAATTGCGGTAAGCACGACCTCAATCTCGGTCCCGATGCTCCCACTCCCCTGAATCTCGATTTCCAGATCCCGTGGACAAGCCGAGAACAGAGAACACACTGATATGGTGATAATGTTCTAAGATACTTACAATGTACGATTAGGACCGCTTCCCTAGTAAGAACCAAAAGGCTGTGCAGGAGAAGTTCTACAAGTCCACCAAGGACCATAGAGAACCCCATTGGAAGCGACTGTACAATGACTTGCGGACCCGTCATGATAAGAAGGCCTACGAGGACAACACTGTCGTGGAGGCTGTCAAGAGCCTCGTCGAGGACAATATCATGCAATCCCCCGAGAACGAGAATACGATCATCGTCCATGATGTTGTCGAGACCAAAGGAAACACCATCGAGAATGAGGAGAACATGTGCTAGGAGTCTTGTGTCAACAGCGGTCAGGTGACTGAAAACGAGGCGTCAGACGGCGGAACGCCCTTTAAAAACAATGGCAACGTTGATCACTCGAGCCCCGTCGACCACGTTCTCACCAGACTCACAGGAACCTCCTGGGTGAATCCTGGGTGCCAATCCGCAGGTGGATAGACAGGGGCTCGTGAGTGTTCTGCTAAAATGCTCGCTGCGGTCCGCACTTCTTAGATGGACTAAGTAGATGGGCTAAGCTGCATTGTGGGATTTGGTTCGAGCATTTCACTGCTATCAGCCGTTCAGGATATCTTTGGCCCACAACTTATGGACGTTTCACCCCGATAGGCTGGGCTTCTGTATTTTCGTTTCCCCTTGTACCGAAACAACTACTTCATATTTCAGGAGTGCACGAAGCGAAGGCAAAATACAGTTAGTTGATAATGTCAATCAGTAGGAAGAGACTTGTTTCCCTACGAGAGAGATTACTGCACAAGATTGGAAGAAAAAGAATGCCTCGTCATTGCCATGAAAAGTTCATCAGCGGCTCTCAGGGATTCAGCGGTGGTATTTAAGGAGAAAATTCAGACACGCCGTCATGTATTTTGTCTCAAGAAGCGTTTATGACCACTGATAAGAAGTGTCAGAAACTCGTCAAGCCTGACTTAATAAACTCACATCCACACTCTAGAGATTTCTCGACAAGAATGGCACTCGGTGACCCCTGAGACTTGATTATGCTCCTGGAGACAGTGATCTTCCAGCCAATTCAAGCAATCCTAAACTACTATCCAGCTCCCAACTGCATCATGAACATGTCAGTTGTCAACTTGAGCAGGAAATATAAATTTGTCAGAAAAGCTTGAACCCTCCAGGCACGGCTTTTTGGAAGAACCCCTCGGGATCATATGTCTTGCTGACTCTCTGTAAGAACGCTTTGTTCTCCTCGCCATACGAGCCGATTGGGTCCTGAAAATCCCATGCGTAATTCATATACTTGAACGGGACAGCAGTGCCCCGTGATGCCGCATCCTGGTCGATAGTCTCAATCACTTTCCGGAACGTGCCAACGATCTTCTCATCATCTGCCTTATTTTTCCACCAGGTCAGAGCCAGAATCGACACCAATGGGCCCTCTATGGCATCCAGACCAAGCACATTTCCGCCCTGTGAGGCGCTCTTTTCCAGCAGAGAGGTTGAGTATGGCTGCAGCGTAAGAGAACAGGTAATGCCCTCACACTGCTTCAGTGGCTCGAGCGCAGCAAGGTACGCTTCAGAAGCCGCTTTCAGCGTGGCCACGTCGGCCTTGACGGTGGTATTCATATACGCGCACCGCACGTCATCAGCAGACTGCTGAGCCTGCTCGCCGGCCGCCTCCCGGAGCGTCAGCGCGCGCATCGTGTTGAGCTGCTCCACCTGCGGGCTAACAGTGACGAACGGATCCAGCACGTCAGGCCGCTCGGCCATGCCGGTGTGGTAGACCTGGTTCAAGCACAGATAACCCCCGAGCTGCATGTACGACGCGCTGTACCCGATGCTGAGCATCAGGTGCGTCTCGGGGCTGGCGTCCGGCCGCGTGAGCTCGCGCACCAGCGCCTCCACCTGGCCCGGGAAGCTGGGCGGGAAGTACAGCACCGCGCCGCCCCAGAAGGGGCCCTGCTTGAAGGTGCGCAGGTCGAAGCGCGTCACCACGCCCAGGTTGTTGCCGCCGCCGCGCAGTGCCCGCCAGAGGTCTGCGTTCTCGGCGGCGTTGGCGTTGACGATCTCGCCTGATGCCAGGACCACCTCGAAGTTGGTCACGTTGTCGCAGATGAAGCCCTCTCGGGATGAGAAGAGGGAGAGTCCGCCTGATAGTGCCAGCCCGCCGACGCCGCCCAGTGCGGAGCGGCTGCCTGTCACGCCTAGACCCTGTTCTTGGACTCTGTCGTAAATATTGCCCCAGCGCTCACCGGCTGCGACGGAGACAAAGCCTTCCTGGATCTCTACGCCTGTCAATAGGCGCAGGTCGAGCGTGATTCCTCCTTGGATGTTGGCGCAGCCTGGCAGAGGCTGCTGACCAGCACCACGGACTGTAGCACTTCAAGTTAGCTTCCTGCGGTTGAGAGTCTTGTTGTCTCTTGATGGTGAATGACTTACTTGCGAATAGAGCCGATCCATCAACCGCAGATTGCTTGATGGTATTGATGAATTTGGCGACATCATCAGCGCTCTTGGGAAGGACAATCCCCGCAGGCGCTATCTCACTCTCAAGGGACGAGAGGTATGATGAATTGAGCTTCTCAAACTCGCCAGTCCCAGCTATAGCCAGCTGCTCACTAGGAAACACCTTCTTAAGAGTTTCAATTGCTGACGAGGCCATGATCGATCCTGAAGGAGGAGCCGAAAGTTTGGGAGATGGCATGAAAAGATCAAAGACAAGTTTGATGGATTCAGTGAGTTACTGATCCAAGCTATCAAGTATTGGAGATTTAATGGCTTGGGTCGCTTGGCAGGTGCTGGATAAGACCTCGCAAACCAACAACCACTCAGCACAGGCAGGATCATGCATTAGATCTGCTACTCGTTGGTGCTGTGCCGCACTTTTGCAGTGGGTAGACGTTGGCCGACTACACAGAATGAGTATCTTGCTAATCCCCTTCTCTTGATGTCCACCAACAACCTGCTGCTGCGCCACCCAACTGATGTCGGCATCTTCGGTGCCTGCTCCATGTACCCGAACCAACGAGTTGTGGGAGAACGCTGTCATGACGCGTGTGTCTCCCACCAAGGAGGCCTTTGAGCTTACTCTCGATCATGTCCAAGTTGCTGCCCAAAGCCCGTTCAAAATTGGCACTCAATTCTCCTGGAGGAATTTAACCCTGTAGATACGTCCTGCTGGACGCTCAATGTTTACCCAATGTCTAGAGGATCTGAAACACACCAAAATCTCTGTATCATCGGAAAAGGATCTCCTCCTCGTGCAGTGCCCCTTCTTTCACCAAGTCCATGGCCTCCCCGTCCATATATCCGTGTACATAAGCTGTCCCTACAAGGCTGTATGTTTTGACGCCATCGTGACTTCCTAGTTTGCGCAATACCAAGGGCACTTTGGCTCCCTCGACGGAGACGATCGTATCACCAGCCATTGTACCTTGAACCATTGTGTACAGGCCGTTATCCGTCACCGAGAACTTCCAAGTCTGGTAATTTCGACACCACATCGTCGATGCCGTTTTTGGCATACTTTCCCAGAGGCCAATCAAAGTCTCATTAGACACCTCATCGTCTCCACTCGTTATTAAGTGCTTGCGAGATTCTTTCGTGTCCGTAGGCCTTTCATGAGCTTCCTCCAATTCTGAACCTCCGAGTTTGTTCTTTGAAAACCCCAGAATGTTTCTAAAAGCGACATCGGTCTGCAGCAATTCTTGTTTTTCGAGTCGTTTGATGGGATAGGCACCGCAATCCATGACCAGTGTGCGCCAATATGCTCGGACTGCACTTTCGCCAGTGTTTCTATATTGAATTTCATCGTTCAATATGCCGACTCCGAGTCCAGAGGTCTCCAGCCACTCAAAGGGTGCTCCAAATACGGGCCATATGAGGTCCTTGACATCGAAACACTCATCTCCCAGCCACTTGCGAAATTGTTCGACCGAGTCTAAGGTTTCCCGATTTCCTTGTGTGGTTTCGTCACCGGGAAAGCAACCGAGAACCACTGCTTTGACGGGCAAGAATTGGTTGTTGATAGGATGGCATGGAGTGCCCAGACATGTCCGACCAGCTGCATAAATATTGCGCTGCGCGAAAAGAGTTGCCTTGTGTGCGTCAGAATAGATCCGGGCAGAGAAGTCAGGCACCCAGCTGGGTAGCTCGTGCGGATTCTCAGAGCGAGAGCGAGACATCCAGGCCGTCTGACAAAGAATGTCGAGGTTTTGCGAGGCGTTGATGAGTGAGACCGCTGTGTCCACGAAGACTTGCTTAGCTGATTTATTGTAATCAACAACAATGTCGTGCTGGTCTGTAACTAAGCCCAAGATGCCATACACGCAGTCTCTCGGGTCAGAAGCCCCATTTTGCTGGAACCGAGCGAGGACGTCCAGAAGATTTGACTTGTAGTTTCCGTCGCACAGAGATCGCCGTTGATCGTGCACCCTCACGGCTCCCGAAAAGAAGAGATCAAGAGCTCTGCCGCCCCCTCGATGGCCGAAAGCCGCATGGAAGGCGTCGGCGTAGGGTCTGTCCCCGAGGAATGCGTCCACCACAGCCCAATCTAATTCATGAGGACCCGCCACCAACCTCACCTGCGGCGCATATGCAAGTTCCTGCATGGTCCAGATGCGGTGCCAGATGTCCGTGTAGCCGAAAGCCGCGATGAGTTCTTCTTGTTCCTCAACACTCAGAAGGAAAGCCCCATGTGGAGGGGCTCGAATGTGTGCAAGCGTTGGCCCATCACGCATCTTGGCTAAGGTCTCTGCATCCTTGAAACTGATTCTCTTCATTAGCTCAAAGGCTCTTTGAAGTTCAGCAATCCGTGCCGAAAAGAATCTTGATACGTGTTCATCCGGCATCCAGGCAAGATCGACCGTGCAACGAGCGTAGATGTCTTTCATGAGGAGGACCTGCTGGCTGCGCTCCACGAGGTCATGTTGGTTGATGCATAGCGCGTCGACCCAGAGTGTGCGCTCGACAGATGGGCGCCTCAGATAACGCATAGCCATCTCAAGATTCGGTGTAATGAAGTACGGCTCATTGTTCAGAGTGATCTCCGCAGTAAGTTTCGGGTCTCCCCATACATATGACAAGGCTTCGTACCCATGAGCATCGCCGTACAGACTTCGATGAACCAGTCGACACTCTAGCGGGGCGTCGAAGCTCGATGAAGGCAGCAGCTTCAGCACCCGAATCTCGGGCAAGTGTGGATCGAGAGCTGTATAGATTGCGCTCAAGCTACTGGGCGGAGGGGCCCTAGGCACGCTGCTTACTGTTGCCATTTTGTGTCGTTACTTGCTACGTAGGATGTAGTCAATGTCTCTCACTCCATTAGTAGAAGAAAAGACTTAAATGCAGGATGCAGACAAAAAGCGGGACCGATTTCCCCTCCATGGGATCCCACGGGAAGATTTGCTGAGAGCCGCTGAGTCCCTTGCAAATCCATCGTCGACGGTCCGCCCCACTGCCAAGCTGGAGCGTAAGCAACGCTGCACCACAATGCTGCCAAACCCAGACATTACGTACTACAGTAAATAGCAGTAAGAGCTGTCTCCTTTTGAAAGAAAGGCAATGGCGCTTGAAGAGAATGCCTCGTACGGACACCGCGTCGCATCACTCTGTCCTTCGTTTATTGTTCATAGCCTATGGCGCAGGCAAATTTCAAAAGCTGTAAGTGCAACTCGAAGGCAAGTGACACAGTTTTGGCGGTCTTCAAATTAGGCAGCGAATTTCCAAATGCCTACATCGTGGAGTGCAATAGAAATCCACAAGCGGTGTTTCCATGTCCTAAGTTATAAGACTCACATTATAGGTATTAGGTCTTTTAATCTGACAAGCATCCCAAAAAGACTTGCAACCCCAAACACGCCTACCTTGCTTACTATATAGCACTTATCTATATTAAAAAAGAGGGATTGCTCAACTCTTTCTTATAAAAAGAAAGGACTTTAAACTATTTTACTACTTTTACTTAACACTCATTGAATTATTTTCTAACTTTTTAGGCTATGTTAATACTAAAAAGTGCTGGCCAAGGTGGTGGGCCGGGAACGTCAAGCCTGCAGACGTGGTGGAGAAATATCTCGTGCTTACCCCTCTAGAACCCCTTTCTTCCTACAACACCACGTGTTGTCCCACTTGACTGATCTGGTCTCTGGAAACTAGTCTCCTCCCATTATCTTGGAAACATTCAGCGTGCGTGCCTAAAGAAACTCCGGCTCACGGGCATTTGCACACGACACGACACGCCTCTCCCGAACTAGGCTTTGCAGAACCCAAACTCGGGCTCTGTAAACCTCACCTATCGAGATCTTCAAACGGTTCAGGAGAATTTGCCAGCCTGATCGAACTGAGTTGAACCGGGTCGATATATACGGGTCCTTGCGCCGGATATTAGCAATATCACTGCGTTCGTCGCCACGTCTTCCGCCTATCACTAGCAATATGAGAGACAACGCGCACATCCCGGGGATGGGATGGTGGCCACCAAAACTCCGCCTCAAACAGTCTGACCTATGCTCTGAGTGCGCCGCCATCGACTTCATGGCAGCTTTCAACCCGCCTCAGGATTACAAGTCCAAAGAACAGCCATGGATTCTACTTGTTGAGCGCGAACGACTGGACATCGACTCGAACTGTCCCCTTTGTCGATACTTCTCTCACATCTGCTGCTCGATCGATGAGAATGGCATCTACTTCATCGCGTTCCATGAACAGCCTTCACCTCTCGATAAAGATTGCAACACACAACATGGAAAGGAATACCGGTCCCTTGACAAGATTCTCATTTCTGTGCTGCGCACGCGCCATATTAACTACGTCTTGCGATGTTTCGAGGCTCACCCTTTTGGTGGTAGTTTCGACGGTATACTGCGCCAGAAGTCCGGTTTCATAGTATGCCATCTCAACAAGCCGACCCGGGAACCGCGTACACCACAAATAGTCCCCAAAGCTCTGGACGTCTCCTTGCCGAAGGCCTGGCTTGAGCTATGCACCCGCCGGCATGGAACATGCAGGTGTGCTATCAATACTCGATTGCAGATGCCCAGGACTAGGTTGATCGATTGCAAGGCCCGCAAACTCATCAATGTGGGAGTGTGGCCCTTTCATATGCCCCGCTTCGCGGCGCTAAGCTATAGGTGGGGAGTGACACCGGAGCCCCAGATAGAGCAGGACCGAGAGGATCGTAGTAAACGAAAAGGCTCCTTGTCGAACTTGCCGTTGACCATTGAAGACGCCATATCGGTAACCAAAGGCCTTGGCCTGCGCTATTTGTGGGTTGATCAATATTGCATTGATCAGAACAACAGCAAAGAGAAACAGGCACAAATACAAAAAATGGACCGCATATACCAATGTGCTGAAGTTGCTATCATGGCGACCGCGGGGGAAGATTGTCACTACGGCTTGCCTGGCGTGTCGAAACGTGCACGCCGAGTTCTAGATCCTTTCATTCTAGATGATACCCTCACCTTCGGTATTTGTCCTGCGGCAGGGGCACACTGGCAAAATGGCGCGTGGCACGAACGAGGCTGGACTTTCCAGGAGACACACCTCCCAAGGAGGCGCTTGGTCTTCTCCGACACGCTTGTGCATTTCGAATGTGCGCACCACAGACCATGGCAAAGAGAAAATAGTGGCGGATTTGAGACCGTACAGCACAACGCTAAAGAGGCACGCAAGCTAAAAGGAAGTTACGTTGCGATGGTATTAGATCCTCGCCGGGCCCTGGACACGTGGGACTGGTGTGAGATTACGCCCCTTATATCTACGGTTTCGCTCCAAAGGGTAGCCGCATATGCGCACCGTGGGAACTTTGAGGCTTGCATAGTGGAATACTATTCGTTCGTCCACTACTACACGATGCGGAAACTCTCCTACGCCTCCGACAGCCTCAACGCTTTTCTTGGTTTGGCAAACGCCATGCAGGAATTCCGTCACCCTATTTACAACGTGGCTGGGGTTCCTTTCATGGTGGGCAACAAGCGAATCGACAGAGACTATTGGGCCGAGTCCTCATTCTCTTCCGGACTTGCGTGGTTTTCAATTCAGGGGACGGACAGGTCTGACCAACAAGATGCTGTCAACGGTGAATTTCCGTCCTGGAGTTGGGGCAACGTCAAGTTATGGCCTGTTATGCTTGATTACCTTGAGATGCCCAGGCCCAAGATTCCTACGCCGCCTCGAAAAGAGTCGAAGAACCGTGCAATCAAGCACAAGGCCCGACTACGAGACATACAAGTCGAGTTCACCTCTGACGGAAACAAACAGGTGACTGGACTTGTCGACTACGCAGACAAGTCCAGGAAAGCGATAAAGATGAGCCTGCCACAACCGACAGCTTTGCTTTTCAAGGCGCGCTTTGTGCCGTCTCACGCCATCGGTATTCTCTCTGAAGATGAGAACATTGATGAAGACGATATATACTCAGGAGAATTCTGCCATGACGAGCATGGAAGGAGAGAACATTTCAAGATAGGGCTCGTCGAGGATACCTCCGATGAAACCAATAGGTATCCCCAGGCTGACTTACAGGATCCATGGTGGGATTCTAGGAGGTATCGCCTGATTGTTCACGACAGGGAGTTTCACCACGATATGCTTGCGTCAGGATGGAGTCTCTTGCTGCTTCGCTGCTTCGATACGCCGCATAGTGTACGACTGCTTGTTGTCAAGAGAGTGGAAGAGAACACTGCAAGCCGAGTTGGTACTATTTGTGTGAGGCCCGGACATCGCTCATATGGTTTTGACGCCATTGTGGCGGGTAAGTTTCTCCGGTGTTTTACAGATGAGAGGGAAGTAAGGCTGGTGTAAAAAGTATATCGACCATGCACTCGAGCTAGCCCGAAAACCACAAGCCTTACCTCTAGTATACTGTACACTCGCTTGTGCAGAATGGGCTATGCGCCCGGCATTTCCAAGAACTAAACCCACCCTTCTTCATTTCAAGCGGACTTCTCCCCTGAATAGTGTAAAGACAGGGTATTCGAGAACAAATCGCTAAGAGAGACAGAATCAGCGTCCTGATCATTTATTCAAGGCTTCCAGCTGGTCTAAACACTGCATGGCTCCCACCCTCTGGCCAAAATACCGCGCCATTACCTCTCCCTCTGATGACATTTGGCATTGAGGAATGGGAGATTGAATCTGCTCCCAACAAGAATACTTTTGTACAAGCAACGAGATGCGGGATTGTAGAGAACAGACAGCACAAAGTTGTTTGGCCGCGACCAAAAGACGCCCCACAAACCACCTGGGAAATTCGTGAGGGAAGTCGATAGTAGATAGAATATATGGGAAGTTTGATATATGGTCTTCTTAAATGAAATACTACCTGTCGCCAAAGTACTTCCTCATTCAATGTTCGATGGACTCATATAGACTATTATATATCACCGGGGCGTGGTTTGTATGGGAAGTTCATTTATAGGCGTCTGAACTCTCCCCATGCAGATTTCATTATGGATAACGTTGTTCGAGGCTTCCGTGTTAGTAACCGTGAAATAGCAGTTTTCTTTGAAAATCTACAAAATGAGTACCAAGTCTTGGAGGTCGCTGGTCAGGCAGCTAGCAAATTCAAATTCCATCTCGATGAACGTGTGTATGCATGCGTGTATCCACCGGCATGAGGACATAAGCCCAACCCTATAAGCCAGGACACAGACTTTGGGCTTGCCTGCAGCCGGCATTGTGCAGGCGATGAACACTCTGGTGGAAGTCGTTCGGCCGGACGTACATCCGTGCTACAAAATCATACTTTGATCATGTGTTGTCGCGGGGCGACGGTTCCCGCCCGAGCGACCACCCAATCCGTCAATATCAACATCACTGCGACCACGAAGCTTTTTCTTGTAACACCCATCCTTTTTCCTGCATACTCTGTGCGGTTCGGCCCTACATCCAACCCCCAACCGGACCTGTCATGGATATCTTCCGGAGGGGTGTATTTGTTTCTACATGTACGCGATGAAGACCATGTTACAGTGTAGGTGACGATCGCGGCGCTGGAGGTGATGACTTGATGGATGTTGGTCTGGACTTTTGGCGACTGGACGACGATGTCGCGCTGTACTTTCATTGATGCCGTGCTGCGCCGTGCTGAGGCGTGCGGGGGTCCATTGATAGGTACCGTCACCGTTCCGCCCGCATGCATGAACCCGACATCGCGGCCGTGCCGAGAGATGCGATTGCATCAAGGAGCTTTGATTGATCTACGGGGTTGGCAGGGGTAATCCCGACGGAGGTTAAAATCGTCTGATGTTCGGCTGATGCCTTCGAGATTGCTTGCTCTTTGCTTTTTCCCGAAGTTCCCGCTGGCGAATGCTGGTTGTTCTGATGTTATTATCTCCGGGCCTACTATATGTCGTCCAGCGGTGCATATTGCAACAGAATAGCGTGACCTGTCAACGGTCTTGTCGACGTGGGGTACCTTGACGCGCCGCGTAATGGCTCTAGCAATCGCTAATGCTCGGTCTCAGATCCAGTATTGCAGGTTTGCTGTGCAATTGACTCTGATGATAGAATTGTGTAGGCTCTCAGAGGACCCTCATGAGTATAGATACTCGAGAAGCGATCTCTTCAGTCTTCCCGATCACGGACCATGATCGATGAAATGCCAGCAGTAGGATCTTTTCCCCAGGTTGCATCCTACGAGATATCTTATGTAGCCACACATGTGACAGCTGCAGCACATACGTCGCATCCGCCAATAGCATCATGAGGACGTCGTATCCGTGGGGTTGAGGAGCGACACCCTCACCGCGGGTGACAGCGACAGCTTCCGGACCTGCAGCTGGCCAGGGAGGGCCTGCATCGAATGCAGATGCACGTGCATGAGAATGTTCCCCCCCGGTACTCAATTGATATCAATCCGGTCCCGGATTGCCTGCCACAGAATCACAGTGAGCAGAGGAGGAAATTGGTCGCACAGACAACCGGAAAAACCATCAAGCCCCCAAGAGCCGAGGCTTTTGGGCCACTAGGACCATAGTGGCCGCAACGTGGCAGAGGAACGGCACCAGTGACGAGGCAAGTGCTGAAGGATATTGCAATTCCCCGGGGTGGTGCAAATGCGGCCTAATCTAAATAGCCTCAAGCCATGCGCAATCTGTGCAGGAGCCCCAGGGAACTCCTAGGGGCCTCCCACCTGTCAGTGGCCCGGACAACCTGGGCATGCTGTCGTGCCGGCCACATGCTGGGATGGCGATGCGGGGGCCCACCGGAAGACCAGTCCTAGCCATGCACCGAGCGTGCCCTTGGCGCGTGTGTGGGTGGGGGGTGGCGTGTTTAAAGTGGGCTTTTGTATCTGAGGTTGGCGAGCACGACTACTGCGGCTGTCACATCTTGGAATAGGCGAGCTGCTGGCGATGATCCTGCCCCGTTGTTGCGTGCTATCCTCGGCTGGGACGGGGTGCGAGCAGCTGGATCTGTGCCAGCGGATGTGGGTTGACAACGGCGAGTCTCTTCAGCTCCGAGAGACAAGCGAGAAGCTGTGCGTAGGAATGGAGTGCTTTGACTCTTGGGCGAGATGACAAGGGAGATCCCGTCCGAGCAAAAATGTCGACCGTTAGGGGGAGAAAAATACAGGCCAGAAGGGAGGTAGCATCGGATGGACGACTGATCGGGCAAAGAACCCCCCCTGAAAGAGGCCTGATCCTAGTCATGGTCCCTGAGCGCTGCGAAGGCGGGCCAAGAAGCAAGCTTGCTCCAACGAATGTACATTATTACAAAAGCAACGGCCCCGTGCTGAGGGGACAGGCGTAATCTCGCGTGCTCTGGATGCTTGTGATCTCGGGTCTTGATCTTGGTGTTACTTGACTGTTAGACTGTTGATCGACCTGTCACAAAGGCCATCGAGTGACCTGTCAACTTGCGCCAGATAACCATCGATCTTAGATCTTGATCGCTGCCGTCGTCATCCCGGGTGCCCTATTCCCAATCCTCACAGACCAACCAACCATCCAAGATGCCTTTCACCGACATCAACGGCAAGAGGATCTTCTACTCGTGGAAGCCAGCGAGCCGGGCCGGCCTGACCCTCTACTTCATCCACGGTCTGGGAGGCGCGCACTCGTTCTGGTCTCCCATTATTCCAGGCCTCGTCGAGGCTGGATTCTCGTGTCTCGCCATTGACGTACCCGGTTTGTCTTGTCCTGCCCCGCGATTCAGAGCCTATCAACCCTCCTGGAAACCGCCCGCCCACTAACAGGACACGCCTGGATGTGTAGGTTTCGGACAGTCGCCGTACCATGGCAAGCCCCACGACCTGCACGAGATCACAGAAGACTGCATCGCCCTCCTCGAGAGCCTGGGCAAGTCGCTCGACCGGACGATAATCATAGGCGCGTCAATGGCAGGTATTGTCTGCTGCGAGATCGCGGTGAGACACACGGTTGCCGGTGTCGTAAGCGTCGGCCCGATCTGCCCAGGGCCTGACACGAAAGAGGCGTTTGAGCACCGAGTGGAGGTTATCAAGAAGGGTATGGCAGAGAAAATACCCCCCAGGGCAGCGAGACGATTCGTCTCGTGAATGGGCTCAATTGCTGACTCGATTGTTTGCTGCCCACAGATGGTCTCGAAGGAATCGTCAACTCGGTCGACATCCCCACGCGGGCAACGGGCTCCAAGGCCACCAAGACAGCCGAGGCGTTCGTGCGGTCGCTGATTCAATCGTCCAACGCCGAAGCATACATGACCTTGGCCCAGGCCATTGCCGATGCTCCAAAGCCGGAGTACAACAAGATCAAGGTGCCACTGTTGTGCGTGGCCGGGCAGGAGGATCAGGTCGCACAGCTCGAGGACTTGGCTCTGATAGGGGACGAGTATGTCACCACCACCCACACTTTTTCCCCACCATGCGCTTAATTTTTCCCCACATGCCGGTACTTGAACATGCGATACATGCATGCCATGCAATAACAAGCAACGTGCTAATTTTGTCCTTGCAGATGGGGCGCGCCCTCAAAGACGGAGCTCGAGGTGCTGTTCGGTGTCGGCCACTGGCACAGCATCGAGGATGCGGATGGGACGGAGGGGTGCCTGAAGAGATTCGCGAAAAAGGTAGAACTCAAGTCGCGTGCCTTTTAATATGATAATGCTGCTCTTTGTTTTTGCTGCATGCATTTTTCTTCTCCCATTTTCATAGAATACGCGACAGCGAACCACCGCATTAAGGGGTCTCTAATATTAACCTGACAATAGGTCACGGCTCTCGTCGCCAACGGCGGAGAGTAAACGCACGTTATGCACGTCCAGTTTGACGACTACGGGAGGCGACTCGGTTACGGTCGATAACCGCGAAGGACGTCACGGACGACGACCTCCTCACCGAACATGCCTGCTACGGCCTACGCGCATATTGAATCCTCCCCGCGTTCATGTCACGGAGAGGACTCATCCACCACCCCCCTCCAGCCACAATTTTTGTTTCCGGGCAGAGGTCGATGGGATGCGAGCGTCTTGGTTGGCAGAGCCAGGCGTGCAGGAAGGATGTGTTGTATGATGCTTGCGAGTCTGTAGTGACCTCAGAAGAATAATACCATAATACAAAATTTCCCGAGAGCCAAAGACACCACTGAACGATGAGAACCCAAGCTGAGGTTGTCCATGGAGCGACCACAGACAGCCTCGGAGTCGAGCACTCAACAGCCCAGAATGTAAGACCGAAATTCAAGAAGAACGAGGTGAACAGAGAGAGGAATCAGGAACGACATGTAAAAGCAGAGAAGGAAGAGCTCTTCGTTTTATAAAATGCGCCACGCAGGGGCCCCGGCCGTGTCCGCGTGATCAAGGTTCAAGAAATCGTACGATGGTCTGACGATTAAAAGTGGACCGGCACACACTCCCCCAGCACTTGAGCGCAACCACCTTATTCGCAATCCCGCGCAGAGCAAGGATGGCTATTTGTTAATTATCCCATCCTGCAGCTGTGCCGCATTTCTGAATTTTCGATCAAGCGTTCTGTCAACCTTTTCCTGGCGCCAACTAGTGCGGCTTTGCTTTGACTGGCGGCTGTCTCGGGGGGATAGACATATTTGGGGAGGGGGGGCAATATTCGGGGCTCAACGGTCATTGCATTGGATGTCTACACACACAGGCGTTTCCAAGGCGCGGACACAATCCTTTCTCAACTGCCGATAATTGTAGTCCATGGTTCAGGATCCCATCATTGAGCATGAAGGCAACTGACATAACACTCCATGATGCAGCTGGCCGTCTGGTGTGGTATTGGATTAAGATACATGCAAGTGACGCCGAATCATGGCGTGAAGTCCCCCGGGCAATACCATGCAGCATAAATTGACCTAAGACACCCATGCACACAGAATGATTCGTGATGGAACAGATCATGAGGGTTGTCAGTTACCCGCCATCACTCGACGACATTTTGGTCGTCCACTCAATTCCTTGTTGATTTTGAAGTCATCGTTCCTGGACTGCTTCACCCCGGGCAGCCGTTGTGACGATTCGGGCTTCACTGCACTGGACATTGATCATTCCAGATTTGTACACGACTAAGAATGCATGAATGACAACTATATAGCATCTAATTATCCTATAGGATGTTGCCCTATAGCTGCAACGTTCGCACTCGTGCATCCCACGTGGTTGACAGGGACAATAATACCCACTCATCCGGCTAACTCCATGACAGTTCCTATGCTGTATCATCAATGGAACAGCTGACCCTCAAAACATTACGGAAGCAGTAACGGGCCACAAGAAATTGAAATTGAGGAACATGAAGCTCGACATCCCCAAAGGCTGAAAGATCTGACGAAGAGAAGTTCCTAGATCCAATTACGGACTAAGTATCTTTGGCTTACAGAATTACAACTTGTTTGCTGCATTGCATGCACACGAGCTACAGAACAGTGAGCCTAGCTTCCAGCATTTCATGTCGACAATGATGACCCAGCAACGTGGTTCAAATCGTAACAAACATGCTCTATGTGTCTTGACCTTATCCCATATCGTCTGTGCTCCGTACAACCGGGCCTCGAGTCGGCCATTCTATCATATGTCGCCGCTCAAGACTTTTTGAAATCATGACAGAACAAACTGACAGGTCAGACAGCCACCTGACACAAGTCCCAGGTATACCGGGCGGATCCAGACAACGTCGTCTGAAGACACGGCAGAATGGCAATGAATTGCAAATGAGGTCCAGACTTTGAAGACCACAAGCCATTAGACTTCTGGATCACTGACATCAAATGAAATTTGAACGATGAAACAAGAAGTTTGGAATTCGCTTCTCCAAAACCAAACCAGCCGGAGATAAAATGCCAAACCTCGACCATCCTGAGCTCAGTCTCGAAACTGCCCTGCCCGCTGCCCATGCTGTTCCCAACACCGGTGATATAACCATACACTTATCCATATATTTACAATTGGACCCTGAAGTAAATCGAATTCAATCTTAGACACCAGCCTAGATCTTGTCCTCGGCGAGGCAGTCATCACTGAGACTCGCATCACACTGTGGGCACCATCCGTAGCAGTTCTCCTGTGTCTGTTATTTAGCGACCGCTGGGGAGAGCATCATGCTGGGACAATGAATGATTGTCAACCTACATTCGCGGTACCATCTGCTTTGCAGCCCTCTACACACGACTTCTCGAAGCCGGGAACGTACGCGCCTTGAGTCTCAGGCAGCGCCGCAGAGGCGACCAGAGCGACGAAGGACGCAGCTGCGAGGAAGTTGCGCAAATACATTTTGATGATGTTTGGGATGGGAGGATGAGGAGCGGGAGTGTTGATGAGTGCGAGAGAATGGTGATGAATGAAGTATAGTTTTCACAATTTGGAGTTTGACCAGCAAAATGCTTTGATACGTACACGATCAGCCATTGACCATTAGAGATCAAGGCATCACGCATTTAAATACAATGGGTATAGAGACACGTGAGGTCCTCACAGTGGAGTAAATCCCCATCTGACTCGCACGGCGCGCGCAGATCTCCCTAGAAATTAAGGCTCAGCCCTCTGAAACGAAACGCTTCAATAAACGTGGAACATCACCACGTGAGTAAGGCTGAGCAATAATCTCGCGCTACCCTCAGCCTAGATTTGAAAGGGGTAAGGTGCCGACTTCCACGCGCCGAGCAAACTTCGGCTAGCCAACTGCCCAAACACCCGCTCGGAATTGGGTTCTGGCTACCAGTTTACAATGCGTATATAGACGCGCGCGCCTCGCATTTGGACCTACGATAATCCGTTACGGAGAAAACTCACCGCCGAGGTATGAGGTGAGTTGATGCACTTGCTATTCGAGCTGCCAAGCATTTCTTGCTCGCTTGATTTGCCACTGCGCAACTCGTCAGACTATGGGAACATCTTAGATTTTGGACCAACGCAGGATTGATACAGTTGATCTCTTTCATCGAGCGTCATTGTACGAGAGATTACACCCTAATTTTCGACCTTTTGATAGCACGTCGTTTCTCATCCTGTGCTCCAAAGGTCCCACGCTTTTTATTTCGAAAGAAATGTTAGGTAAGTCAAGCTTGAGAGCAATACATCGTTTTCGAGACGTAAAATATTCATAAGTGGGATATCGGAACGATAATCGCTAGTCAAGGAGCTTCAGCTCTCGGTTCTCTCCCTGAAAGTTGTGAATCTACTGATGATGTGCCGTATAGGAACAGAGGTGCAAGTCACACTGTTGCTTGAAATATGACCATAGAACGCAACAAGGTCGTCAAAAGCTCAAGTTCTCCAATATCAGTTCGTTCTCTGAAGAATAGAATCGATGGGTGCATCCGCACAGCCCTCTTCTGTACGTCTGTCTAGGGACTCGAGAGGGCATGCCCTTCGGACCTATTCCTTCTTTGCCTTCTAGCTGCGCTAAACATAACAGGGTTCGAATTATTATTCCGCGAAGGTAGAGACGGAATATACTGGGGCAGGTGTTTGCCTTGGTTTATCGGGATGTTCCCATTGACGTCTACTAGTCAAGCTCTGCCTGCTGCTCATACACCATTACGCCTTTCGTACAGAAGCCGGGAACACGTGCTCTTCATCAAAGTCCGGTAGAAAAGTCATGCACAGCCTAGAAAGATTCGCACATAGACCTTCAGTAATGAATCTTCAAGTGTCTTTACACGGAGCCGACATACGTGCCGCCCTAGTCGCTGCCAAATACTGCGACAAGAAAATCTTGGTCAGCAGCTCGGCACCTACTGAAAATTATATATACCGTACCCTTTAACCATGGTGTACTGATACATAGTTTTTTCAGTCTAATCACAGAATAGTCTTGGCCACATGATTCACCATCACGAATAGCTAAAGGTCCACCGCTACTGTTCAATTATCACCTCATACCAAACTTTCCCTTCGCAAGCTCTTAAGTGCTATTACATTTAGTCCCTTCGAATTTAGTCAGTAAATTGGAAGAGCCTCTAGGTCGTCAAATGGCTGTCAAACAGCCACACCTGATAAGTGCAGACATTCCCACTCTTGCCATACTCACGCATATGTATGAAGTGCGGCTTCCTTACTTCAGATCAGTACTTGTCAATTTTATCGCCAATAGGTGTTACCAGACGGAGAAATCCCGCAGGACCTGCCGAAGTCTCGACGACGGCCTATGGTCGATAGGACGCTGCCTTGTATAAGTTTATTCAATTATATACTGTTCAAGTCATCAGAGGAGGTTCGGGGGCGTCTTATTCATGAGCGGCATTCAAACCACCGTCACCCATTTTCAATCATGTGCGAGATTTTCTACCTGACCCCTGTTCTGATTTGATATTGTATAGTTGACCGCGAAGATGTCTCAAGGAAAATGGAGTCTAGGAGACATGTTCATCCATTCTGTCTCTTGAAACCTCGCTCAAGTCTGGCGAATGTACGTTTCGACCCTTTCGACGAGACTTGCTAATTCTAGTACAGGTTCTCACTTAGGAAACAAGATCTAATGCCTCGTGGGCGTCTTTTTCAACACACATACACTAGGCGCAAAAAGACACGCAACATTTCAAAAACCTTTGCGCTGAGTTTAACAATTTCTTTTGGATCTGATTCTAAACTGAGCTTAACACTCTATGAGTTCCCCCAAAGTGCTTGGTATCATGGACGAAATGAGATGCGGCAACTTGTATACCAGCGAAGTCAAAGAATGAACAGATATCATGATGAAATGAAATTGGCGACTTATGGCCTTGGAATGGAGTTATCAGGAATCTGATGTCTCGCAATCTCCTAAGCTTGTCCATTGCACTTTTCATGATACCGAGAGTGTCTGGTGCAGTCGAATTTGAGGCATTCTAGTCAGTCTGCACAACTAATAACTCCTTCGTCGATTGTGTACATGTCAAGACCCAATGTCTGCACTGCAAATTTCCTAGAGCGATAAACTTGAAAAGTACATAAATATAGAAAGGGCCTTCGTTCATCAAAAGAACGAGTAATGTGAATTTGTTGCTACTAATCTCCGATTTACGATTTACGAGACGAGGCCTCCAGCGCACAGAGATGCTGTGGTTCACTTTCGCTGGCTATGCACGCGACAAGTGCGCGCCAAGAATAATGCTCCTCGCCATGCAGACACAACTATCGTATGTCAATACGACAATTGGGCCCAAGATGCAAGATTTGTGGGCCGTCGCAATGGTACCAGACACATTTTCCAGCCTTACGTCCCGGTTCTCGAATGCACTACGTCAACTGCCATCCGGTACCAGTTATTCATAGATCGGCCGTGCAGAGCGCAAGGCGTTCACGCACAAGAAATGGGCCAAGGCAGTCTTTCCAGATCATCTACAGTATCCTGGAAGCCACAGTCCACTTGGTGGTTTCGAGCCCTGGCCCGTAATCCACTGTGGCGCTCCACCGGATACGCTAAGATGAGGCGTCATTGTGCCGTTGCAAGGGTTGACAACTTCGAGACCAAACATGATTGAAGAGAAGGAGGCGAGTTTGAAGGATAGAATTTGAAGCAAGCGCTGAAGCAAGAACTCCGTCCGCGTGTGGTTGAGGGTATCGTCATGAAGCCGGATCAGCCCTCAGATGGCCCTTTGACTCGTACGAGTGCCTATCAGTGTGATTGGGATTACTTACCCCTCAACAGATCTTCGCTACTGCAGATCATGACGAACGTGATGGCTCGCTGTATATGGATTGTCCATGTACGGAGTTGTCTGGGTAGTCCGAGTTTTAGATAAATCACAATGTTACTTCTCGGAGCTTGACGCGCTTCTCTGGGTCTTCTCCAAGAGCGGAACGGTTTTTGAAGTACCCAATGTGTGCACTACTGTGCATGAGAGGCATTACAGGCTCCGAGATATGTTGCAGGGTTGGATTTACATAAGCTGTTTTGCTTGTTTATCCGCGGGCAGTTTGACGAGGGTTGTAGGTGGAGTATCCCGAACCAAAATTGATAGTGACCATGTGGCACACCGTATCTGGAGTCGACCTGACAGGCTGACAGGGCAGCCCTGGAGAAGAAGCGAGAGTAGCCTGCGGATCCCTGAACTCAGCCTGCCAGGCGCACGCAGATCACTCCACTGCACCGGCGACAGTTGGCATTCTCCTACTCAAAATACCTCCGTGCCACTTGCCATCTGGAAGCCGCTCTTTCGCATGGCGTACAAGACCGCTCTGCGGCATACTCGCTTGTTTTCGCTACCCTTATAGCGTCGCGGTCCGTCGCGCCACTCGCGGTCTTCCGTCGCTCCTTTGCCAAGAAGCCGTGGAGCCCGTTCGGCGACGCTGGACCAACCGATGGCCGCTGCTCTGCAGGGAAGCTAGACAGAGTGCCGACTTGCTGGATCTCCCTGTCCCTGGACATGGGCCCGGTGTCCACCAATGCAAGATTTGAGTGACGCCGGGTCCAGAAAGGGGAGGGCGTCTAAAAACCCGGCGGCAGCCAGCTTCTGGGCCCAGTTGTTAGGTTTTCTCTCCATGTTTTGCTGCTTCTCGGGGTTTTTCAGTGTGAATGTTGAGTGAGTATTTTCGCTCTTTTCCAGGACGTATCGGTCGTCGAGAACTATCTTTCATTCTGTATCCAAATCTTTAGCCTTTCCTTAATCTCACATTCGTTTCTTTGCCATCGAAATGGCTCCATCTTCACTCAAAAAGCTCGGGGCAGCTATAGCCTTCGCTTCCGTTGGACGGGTTGCCGCCCACTCCTCTCCTGACCTCCTGGGAAATGTTGTGGATGCGATATTTGGCGAGGAGCCAACACCAACACACTCTCACACCACGAGCTACGTTACCGGAACATCAACGACCGTCAACGATGCCGGCGAGACCACCGTTGTCGTCGTTGTCGGCACGACGATCTGCCCCGTTACCGCCGCCGAAGCCTCCGAGAGCTCTGTCCTGGCTACCGCGAGTAGCCCCGTCCCGGTGCTGACCACGGCGACGTCTGAGACGGCTGCTGTGGCAGTGACACCATCATCTGCACCTTCAGGCTCTGGCGTAGGCAGCACCTCGCTCCTACAGCCTGCTGTGAACTCGACTTCTGTCGCGATGACTACCAGCACAATCTTCACGACCCACTCTTCGACGATCACCGCTTGCCCTACCGCTGCATCCGATTGCAGCGTTGGAGATGTTACCACTGTTGTTGTTGCGCTTTCAACAACTATCTGCCCTGTGACCGCTACTGAGAGCGCAAGCAACTCTACCGTTCGGCCAACCGCGTCTGGAAATGTCCCTGGCTTCGGCACGTCAAGGACTGGCGCCCTCGGAGCCACAACCTTGACCAGATCTCCATCCCAGTCGACCTCTGTGTCCTCGAAGACCAAGGGCTCTGCATCGTCTTCAGTCCGCGTCCAGTCCACCATCACCAGCTCTAGTGTCGTCCTAACGACTGTCTCTGCCTCCAGCTCGTCTGAGTCGGAGTCATCCGGAACAGTGCTCGAGATGGCCACGGGCTCACCGTCCGATTATTCCGCCATCTACACGGACGCTACCGAGGTCGTGTCGGTCCCTTCTGTTACAGCGACTCCCACGGACTACAGCGGCGCGCTCATGAGCCTCGCTAGCTCGGTGGAGGCCTCCTCGGCGGAGCAGACCGGCAGCAACGGGTGCACGGGCATGGATTGCATTGTGGTGCAGTCGAACTCGGGGGTCAAGAGCAAAATGAACGCCAGCGGGTTTGCGCTGGTCGCGCTTGCTGGTGCTGTGTTCTTGCTTTAGAGGGCTTCCATGGTCAATAAGGTGACCATGCTGAGGCTCTTTGTGAATCGGAGAGGCGGTAAATAGGACAGGTTGCATATATCTCTAGCGACAAATTTCTTTGTACATATACCATAATATCACTGCGCAGTAGCACGCAATAAAATGTCGAAATCCATATCAGCAATCTTGCACACGTATTTCTGTATACATACTTGCAAGCACGGGCTAGGATTTCACCCCAGCACTGGTGGATTTGACAAAGTACCAATTCGACAGGCGCTCCTTAAGAGCGCTTGCAACATTGCTTTGGTGTTGTCCCATGAAACAAGAACCTGCCAGCGTTTTATTTGGGGCTGTTTCACCACGTTGCTCTGAATATCAATGTTTACTAAAATTTCTTACCGAGTCATGGTAGTTGAAGTCGAACCAGACGCACCCTTTTTAATGGAAAGCAAATATACAAGGCAAAAATCCAGGTATGAAACGCCAAATTCAACGTAGATGATAGTTGGCTCAAGCAGGAGATGTGAGGATCGGAACACCCTTTGTCACTCTTCGTCTTTCGATTAACCGCAACCGATCACTGTGCAAACAGACAAAGACTGCATTCATACAAAATTGAATAGAGCCCACTACAATGCATATTATGCAGATGTGAGACAGAGCCCTCGTGAAATGGCTCCTTTGAGGGGACAGCGACCGAACTCTCGCCAATTCCCCTTTCCTGACCCGGAGGCTCAAGGCGCACACAACTCTTCTCGAGCAGCCCATTATGGCAGAAGTAGCTCCAGTGCCAAGCACTGACGAATTGTCGCAGACACTCTCAGCCGCCAGAAATGAAGTAGCAAATTTCACATCATCTATAGGACAGCCATGCGGTTGTGGCGCAGAAGCTGCAGGAAATCATGACCCAGATGCGGTGATTCAATCCCCTTCAGGTGGACGACAAGGAACGGCATATTGCGGTTGCAGCAGAAGAGACTCTCGTGGTAGATCTGTGGGCGACGATCTGAGCAACAGGGCCTTGTGGAGGATGTACAACAGACTCTTGAGGCAAGCCCGCAATCTTGATGCATCTTTAACGCCTTGTGGCTGTGCCGAGAGGCCACCCATGCCTGTGCAAAAGACGGTACAGCGTAACATTCCCTTGGGTTTGATGGACCTTCCGGGGGAGGTTCGCAACATGATTTGGACGTATACGCTGGGTTCAAGCCCTCCTCGGATTATCGAAATAGTGTCTAGGGTTGTAAATCCAGGTGAAGGGAATGCTAACGCGGCAGCCAGCATGCGCCTCATAATAGGCCGACAACAGGGCTGGGGTACGCAGTTCTCCTATGAGCTTCTTGAGGCGGGACAACTTGGAAACGAGTTCGGCTTCTTCGGCGTCAACCATCAAGTCAACGAGGAGGGCGAAGGGATATTTTATCGGCCTGACATGGTATTCTCCTTCGGCCCTCCCCTAGATCCCGAGGAAATATTGAACGTATACCATGGCGTACTTGCTGCGTGGGCCTTCTTCCAAGACCGTCGCCGTCGCCCTGCCGCCCTACAACACATCCGGCGAATGCACCTCGACTTGACCCGGGGCAATTTTACTGGATCTGAACAAACCCTGGTCGCAACGAGTCCTCTAGCCGGGACAGACGGGTCGGAATTTGTGGATCCGCTTCTGGAGCTCATAGGAACTAGTCTTCCAAACCTTCAATACCTGTCCCTGGCCTTCAACGGCTGGCCACCCGAGACGCGTCAGGAGCCGGTGAGTGTCTCAAGGTCCTTTGTGGATTTGCTAGTGTTGACATGTATTATCAGTCAGGGTGGGGCGAAGGCTTTCCTGCGATTCTCGGCGCACCGCCGCAGAACCTGGACCACTGGCTTGATCGTCTGCTCGCGATACCTCCTTTGACTCGGCTGAGGCTGCGTTTGGTCGTAAACATACCCAACGCCAATACTTATGTTCGCTTAGCCACTCATTCCGCTGTATTACGTGCTATACATTTCTTGAGGACGGTACGAGATAACTTGTTGATTAATGGGACCGCACTTGGTGCAACGGGCATCACATTCCGTGTTGAGTATACTACGCGCGGTAATACGGTATTCGAGAGTGACGACACTTGGGATGCCACAACGAGGTCCCATACGAGCCATCTGGATGATGATGATGATTATATTGATGACCCGTTCTGAGTCATACAATACTCTGTGTGACTATATGCAGTCGCAAGATATATCGTCAGGCACAGGGTCTCTCCCAGTGCTCGAAAGGACGATTGGCCAGAGGACCACACTTGTATAGACTGAGAAGCTTCACATTAATGGACATTTCTAGAATGAAAGGGACGAAGGAATACCTTAGTGTAGAAACACCGACTATTTGGGCTTAGTGCTCCGGACGGATATAGATCAAGTAGGCAATCCCGGTGCGTGTGGAGATATTTCTGCCTACTGACAGCACGATTGGCATCAGATCATTATCGACTTCGAAAACTTTATGGCGTGGGAAGAAGTCTCAAGAGTCAAATCACTACCATAGCGCGCGCCATTCTTCCACGTGGGCAAGCATCAAAGCGATCGAGTCGATCTACTTCACGAGCCGGCAGAAGGCCCTCGAGGCATTCCCCGCACACTACCATGGCCGACTCGGCACCATTCACCCTGTCGCGCGCTACCGAGGCCGACATGGAACAGATAACCAGACTCTGCTGGCTGTCGTTCCCCCAGTTCGTGCGGGATGTCTTGATGGGCTGCCCCACCGAGGACGACCTCCCGCGATCGGTGAAGCGCTTCCAAGAGGAGATGCGCGAAGACCACTACTCAGTGTGGATCAAGGTTGTCGACAATAGCACGGGAAAGATCGCCGCCGCCAGTAACTGGAAGATCTTCCCCGGCGCGACGGCGCCCGCTGAGACCGATGAGCAGCCAATCCCTTGGCTGGACGACGAGACGCGCGAGAAGGCGCGGAATGTGCTGAATGAGATGAATGAGGCGAGAAGGAAGGCTAATCCGGGGGGGTTTGTTCGTGAGTGTTTTCTGAGCGGGCAGGATGGCTGATATGAGTACTGATGATTGCATACAGACTTGCACATCCTTTTCACAGACTCGGAATATCGTCGTCGGGGGGCTGGTGATATGATGTTGCAATGGGGTACAGATGTCGCAGACGTCCTCGCTGTTCCCGGTTGGGTAGAAGCTTCACCCGAAGGCAACCACCTGTATAGACGCCACGGGTTCAATGATGTCGCCAACGTACCGAGCGGTGGGACATTCATGAGAAGGGAGCCCAAGCCTATTGCAAGGGCAGGCGGCCGTGTGAAGGCTTAGATAGTGTCATAAGCACTTGGCCCCCGATACTACGTAAATTTCACTACAGAACCCAAGAAGTGTTTCTGAATCAAACCCTACGTAAATTATTGGGACCCACTATCATGAAGGCGGCAAGATACGTTGTGCTGCTGTTGATTACAACCCATCTCTCAATCTTGACCTGCTGGGCTTTTTGCAGCTTGCGCTTACCTTTATAAACACATTTCTGACTCAAGTGAAGGCGGGCTTCCAAAATTTCCAGTCAGCCGTTCGAGCAACGATGGTTTTGTGCCCCTTGTCAGTATATCTTCAAGTCTTACTTACCTCCCTAGTGTCTTGAGATGCCCGCAAGTGATCCACGAACACCAACAACGGCGCCCCATGTATGACGCATTCTCCCAGATAGTACCTGCCTTTGGCCACTCTCCGACTAATTGCTCCACAAACGCTCCCCTTCGCACCATCCATGGTGTCAGACTGATTGACGATGAGCGTGATGCCGGCAGGCTCTAGCTAAGGCCCCGGCTTCATGCTCGAGATCAGCCTGAACTTGCCGCCGAGAAGCACAGCAAGCAGCACGACGACTAGGGTCACTAGAGCAGCCCACTCACATGCCAATCTTTAAGACTAACAGAGCATTAATACACCAAAAACACTCACGGAGGGTTTGGACGACAAAAGATGGCCTCAATACGAGGTTGCGGAGAAGTATAATCATCAGAGATCAGAGCTGAAGCTAGATTGCGCAACTTCAGAACGTTCAACTGACAGATGACAGGCCGTATATACACTTGTGACAGTGAGATAAGGAGATCGATCCTCTAATCACTTGTTCATTGCCTCAATGAGCAAGATAGCAGGTTCTGCGTCGCCATTGGTTGAGTCCGGACTAACATTTGAAGGCTGTGGAGTTCTGAAGATCCCTAGGATCGATCAGGAGCAAGAGCTCATTCGCCGACGTATAGGATCGTTGATCCATATGTAGCGTTTTGGGGCCTCTTCTGTACACAGACTGAATGAGGAATGTTCAGCTGAGAGCTGATCATCGCTTGTGCGCCGGCGGAACCAGGCCGGAGAGCTGTGACCGGTGAGATGGGGCTGTCTTCCTTCCAAGCCACCAACCCTTGGCACAGGCGTACCAAATCCCTGTTTAGTTGAGTAACTTATGCAGATGATCATTCATTTTTGAAAAAGGCACCGAAAGGCTTCAACATTACCCTATAGATCCACATCATACGAAACGAGTAGTAGCACGCTGAGCTCTCAATGGACATCGTGAGCTCTCCGTGACCAGCCACTTCCCTGGACTAATACAATTATTCTGATCAATCTTACGCTAATGCACGGTATCATTTGTACATAAAAGGGCTTTGCAAGGAGCAGAAAAACCTGAGACACCTTCCTCTGGCCAAAGTTCGGTAGTATGTGCATGACGAAAGGCTGCATGTGACCTTGACGTGTACCTGGCCCTGCCCATCGTTCTGGTTGTGCGGCTCAGTGTTGTGAGAACAGAACAAACGGAAATTTCCGAAACATCCCTACCCAAGCTCCCTTGAGCTAGATGTGTCCTAAATAATTGCCACTCTCTAGCCGTGAGTATATCAAGCATTCTTGTCTATCAATGGCCGAGCCCCCCACAGCGGAAGAATGGGAGGATCAGCGAAATACGATCATTGGTCTTTACATTGGCGGGTCGATGTCTGTGCCGAGACTTCGGCGTTACATGCGATCTCAGTACAATTTCGACGCCTCGTAAGTATTTTCGTGGTCTACCCGCTTTGAAAGTAGGTGCTGAACTGTAGTATACACAGCCCGAAGATGTACAGAAGTCGCTTTCGAAAATGGGGTGTGAGAAAATACACGTACCACAATTGCTCGACAGCCGTCACGGATGAGACGTCGGAACTTGCCATCAAGCCAGCGGCCAGTCGGCAACCAGTAGCCATCCCAGCATTCTCCTCCCGCGTTCAAGGACAGACCAACGAGTCACCTAGTCCGTTTTGGCACTATTTAGGTCCATCTCTAAGAGGAGTGCAGATTCGCCACCGTGTCCATGGCATGCCGCAGCCGCCAGACATTTTCTATGTCCCAGAAAAGTGCCTGAAGCTATTACAGTCGTATGTGAAAGGTTCTTCCGAGGGTATGCATTGGCCACGCGACGATCACGGCAGCTTTCTGAACGAGGATGTTGTCCCCAGCTGGTGCAGTCCCCTGATGTCGGCGGCTTGGGTCCTGAAGGAGGGAAAATTGGAATCAGCGACGATGCTCTTGGGCAAGTTCATTGACCAGTCCCCTCGGCAGCTGGCGCGTCAGGATCCATTGATCTTCGCATTCGTCTACACATCTGTCTTATTTTTTGCTCCGAATCATCCCCGCATCGCTGACTTCTTACTCCGAAATCTACGTATCGCAGCTCAGAGGCTTCCAGACGCGGAGGGTCACCCACTCCGCACCCTGATCCTGCTACTATGCCAGCTGGGACCTGCTGGTATCGTCCAGAATGCGAGTAGGATATTGCTCGCTTATGTCGAGTTCATCCAAGCGGAACTTGGCGCTGCTTGTCCTCTTGTACAGGATATGATGTCCGACGCTATAATGCGACTAATAGCGGGCCGTTTGATCAGTGCTGAAACGGCGACGGAGCACATTCGCCGGATGATGACAGCAGCCGAAGCGCAGGGTTGGCATCGATGCAGGTACTATCTGCAACTCAAAATGCACCAGTCCATGGCGTACCTCAATATGGGCCAGCCCTGGTACGCTGAAGCGCGGCGTACGGCCGAAGAAGTTACCGAGGACCAGTATGCTGATTTCCGAGACAATGGGCTCAACATGGACTACCACATGCTAATGTGCAAGATCAATGAAGCCGAAGGGCGCTGGGAGGACGCCAAGCTTTCGGCTCTTCGGGCGGTGACAACAAGCATGAGTCACTTTGGGAAAGACTCGGATTGGGCGGCCAATACCCTAATTGTTTATCGAAGAATTCTCAGACGAATGGGGGAAGACGAGCTTGCTGAAAAGGTCGCTGAAGACCGTGATTTCGTCATTGGGAGACTCTGTGAGAGGTGAAATACTGTTTCAAGATCTCTATATAATGTCGAGTTTTTATTTTCAGTTCCATCGATCTTCAGAAGAAACCAGTCTAAATAACCTTGCAGCAGTTCAGAAAGGCGATGGCGCCTACCTACGTGAACGGTATGATCATCCTATAGCAGAATGGTGACAAACGTTTTGTCGTCTTCGATCTGATTATGACGCCTTCAGCGGCAGTATGTAGTCCACAGGGGGGCAAAGGAAGGAATTGTTAAGTCAAGCTGATATGGGAATCTGTGGACACTCTGAAACTAGTACGGACGATATCGTTGAATCGATGCCTTAATTACGTTGAAGAACATGAGCAAGCAGAATTTTCCGATTTTCAGTTCTTGGCTTGTGGTACTGATAAATGACAATTGAAGTAAGATTTTCAAATTCATCGCAGGCAAGACTTGTCTAACAGGTGGTGATCAAGGCAATGGTTTTGTGTCTGCCGGGCATTTCGGAAAATCTATGTGGTGGTTCGAGCGGATTCATGGACATGTTCAGCACAATGTAACTCAATTCCGAAAGAAAGGAAGCACCCAAGGATTGAACCAATCTCTAACCAAACAATCTGTCATCATTCCGAGCTGGCCGGTTGCCGGGGTAAATTAGGTCTATTTCCATATGACATATTTGCTTGTAGGAAGGGTTGGAGATTTTCTCGCAGTTTGGGTCAGCAGTATGCTCAACGCTCATGGTAGTAGGGTCGCAAATGATAACAATAAAACGTGTAAAGGATTGCTTACTGGAAAGAAAATTACACATGTGCAGGCCCCCTCGTTGGACTACGCCGTAGGAAGGATCGACGAGGTGTCGCAAGGGCTTTCATCAGACAAAGCCACCGCCTGTGTCACCCGAGGTATCAAAATTCAGCCATGCCTCAGTATTGCACTGCTCGAATTTTCTAGATGAACCATATCGTCCCAGAGCCACCGAATGTGGTCACAAGGCTGTCTTTTCTGGGCTTGTCCAGGTCGAAAATACATAATGGAGTGAGAATATCGAGCAGCGCCTGGAAACAGCCCTTAAAGACCGTTCTAGAGCCTCAGCATCAATCTCAGGACATACTGATGACTTTACAGCAAATTGAAGGAAAGCAATATCGCCTTCCTTTAATCGGACGTATTTGTCAAAAATTGCTTGGCAGCCCCCACGAACAACTTCTCCAAGCTGAAACGGACAAAAACGCATCACACGGATTCAGGCAAACAAGGTGGCGCGCTACCATGGACCGGTGAACAGGCCAAGGGAAATAGTCAGCAAGTGAATGCGAAATTTGTCCCCGATTTTCTGATTCTGGGACATTTTCGATTCCGAGATGCAGACCTCCTGCCTTTCGTCGACACTTGCATACGGGAAAGCGATTCATCCTCCGGAAAGAAGCTCAGGGCACAGGCAAGGAAGCGGAGTAGAAGGCCGCTCTGTGTTCAGACCTTGCAGCCCTGCAACGACCCTCCAGCAAGATATTACGAGTCCTCATTATCGTCCGTTGGGCTGTCTTACTTGACATTGCCCCAATGACGTTTATCACGGATCAAATTCTACTGACCTAAAGTCTTGGCCCAGATGACTACCGGCTTGCAGCTCGGAAGACCTCTGTAAGCTTATTGGTTATGAGCTGCATGCCCACAGAAGACGGTGAACTATTGGGACAGGCGAATCCCGACGGATGAGCAAGGAACGCCACAACAAGTAAAGCGCAACGGGAAGCAGCGGAACTCGGTTTGACATGACCGGACATGACTGTGCATCGGCTTCCGGACCGTCTGACTTCGGTAGAACGTGGGGGCCGGGGTTCACCCGATCAGCCCTACGGAGATGAACCTGGTTTGCTACAGCACCTTCCCCTTGGCACTTATGTTGTGTCCCGTCAACTCGGGTCAGGCACACATAGCCGCGCAGAAACACCTCGGCGACGGACGACGGATATATGCTTTAGCGAGGCGTGGGGTTTACCGATAGGGAATAGAAAACAGAGAGCGCTTCCGTAGCTCGCCGGGAGGCTCCTTAGCCGGGAATATATTGAGAAGATGCATTGAATTCCTATGCGAGCTGCTTTGAACGTGTTAATCCCTCGTGTTCCGACAGCTTCAATAGCTTAGAACCTTGATGCTAGGGCATGCTGAAGCTCATCGTCGTTACAGTCACACAAGGTGGGCATCAGCCGATGCTCACTGATCAGTACTAGATCAGATCCAACCATGCTAGCATCTCAAGCACGAGGAGGCCGTCATATGAGCCACTCTCACCGTACTTAAGTGCTTGGATCATCATCGTAATCATATCGTACGTAACTCCTCTTTCCTCTGACCACCATGAGAGCTTCGAAGGCGAATGGCTCAACGACAATCATTCGTAATGCTTGGTGTCTTAGTGATTACACAGCGCGCAACTATAGACATCAGTATAAGCAGTTTGTAATTCTGAAATGTGTGTTGTGGATATCGTCAGCAACTCATGAATTGCTAAGAGCTGAGCTATGGCGCCCGGGTGTATTCCTGTTGGTTGAAGCCCAACTGATCCTTCATGTAAATGTAATGCATGTACGCCCTTCCAAGAGCCGGTATTGCGCCACGCGCCGGCCAAGGCAGCTAGGGAATCACTGATGGCTCGTCTCAACAGAACAGGAGCCTTGTCATGAAGTCCAGTTGGAAGACGGCCGCTCAAGACGTGAGGTTTATTTTCTTGTAGGATGCGGTGTAGATGGTCGCATGACAGTGTCCGGGCGCTGGGACCTTCCGGCAGACAAGTATAAAGAGGTCTACTACTCCATTCCATTTTTCATCTCATGTCTGTCCTTCTGCATCATCTTCAAGGCTGTCGTACATAAAGACACCAGCTTCGAGAACTCAAACTATCTCTTTGAAACCACCAAAGTCAAAATGCAGTTCACCTCGAGCCTCGTCTCTCTCCTCCTCGCTGCCGTTACCACCGGCGTTCAGGCTATCCCTGGCTCGCCCGTTGAGCAGCGTCAGGAAGCTCCCAGGATCTACGCCAAATTCTGGAACGATACAGCTTGTGGCGCAGACGGCGGTGCCTGGGTCGAGGATACTGTGTGGCTTCAGGAACCCTTGGATGGAAGCTGCATCGATGTTGAAGTCTGGACCACTTTCGCCAGTACTGAGATAGTGTTCAACTCTGCAACCCACGACCGTACGTTAAAACCTTAACTCATCAATGTTCAAACCTCAAGACGTTCCCGTACTGAATTTCTTCTCACAGTCCGTGCATACTCTCTCGACAAGTGCGATGAGAGCGGTAACCACTATGACGTTCCTGCCGGTAAGACTGGCTGCTGGGCTCAGTTCGTTGATTCCGTCAAGTATCTGTGAGACATATAGATTGCTTCGCTGGAATTAGAGGATAGAGTACTGGGAGTGGGATACGAATAAAACCAAACGATGGTGGTACGAAGATATTCGGGCTTAGACATGGAGCCTCAGGGACCAAATTTCCACGTTATTATAGTCATATTCTAAACATTCCTTATTATCTTAGTTAGAAGAAATATATCACACCCCGGGGATTTCGAAATCAACGAACCTGTCTATATGTGCGAGTTGAACCCAGCGAACAATTGTTATCAAATCTTGAAAATTTCAAACGATGGAAAACTGGAATAAAATTATCAATAATTCTTTTTCTTAAGAAAAGCCAATTTGTGATCAAGTTGAATTTGAAAAGTGAATAATTCTTTTTGATCAATTTTGAAACGATTCTATCTTCACTTTTATTAAAATCAATTATGATGAACTTTTAAAAGCCCTATATTAAGCTTCAACCCTTTGAAAAGGTTAATTATGCTGTGATGTCTTGCCTGTGGCTCTTCTAAGCTACTCAAATCAAGAAGGAATCAGGGTGATCATTGAAGAACTGCATGGCCTCGAGACGCCAGTCATCCTTAACTACCTCCGGTCCGCTCTCCTTAAAGTTGAACGTCTCCAGACCACCCTCGGAATACCTCGGCCAGTTGACAAGGTCCAGACCATGGTTGTTAGGGTCGAGAGTGCGAATAAATGAAATAGCGGTCGCTTGATAGGCCTGGGTGTTCTTGCTCAGGGCGTATGGCAAGCCCGCGAACATGTAGAACCAGACATCAAAGGCATGGAACGAGCCGAGCACGGGCAGGTGCGTCAAGACGCCCAAGTCAGGCAGCAGACCGGCCGATGGAATGCTGACATCGGTAACATAGTTCCAGACAGCCTGCTCTGAGGTGTCGTAATGCGCCAGAAGACTGCGGCGCTGCGCCTGGAAGCTGAAGTCGCCGACCACTGCGGCCAGACGCTTGAAGTTGGGGGTGACGGCATTGAGGGCGCCGGTGTCGAAAGGGGATCCCTGACTGGCATCCGACGGGTAGAGTTCCAAAAGTCTAGCCATCTCAGCATCAGTAGCCTTGGGCCACCAGATGTCCTTGAAGTATTTAGCGAAGTCCTCATCTGTGAGGGTCTCGAGTTGAGCGAGCAGGGAGAATAAGGTACCCTCATCGCGCATGTCGCCAGTGACCAGAGGCACCGAGGCCATCTTACCGGCTGCAGCCAGACGGTGAGGAGAATCCTTGAAGTGCTTGCCATCGGGGCGGATAGTCCATGTCGAGGCTAGGGAGCGAGGTCCAAGAACTAAGAGCAGTATATAGTCAGCAATGTTTTTGAAAGTCAGAGAGGAAGAGAGTGACTGACGCATTCCCTCGTCGTTGACCGACGCAATGATGTCGTCGAAATCGGCATCCTTCAAGCAAGCGATCTTGTCCGTGACATTGGTGCACCCTGTCCTCTCAACCATGTGGTCAAAGAAAGGCTGAGCGCGCTCGGCAGTTTCAACCATGACGGGTCCGCCAGATAGAGCCATCGCACCGCGGAACAGATCAGACGCGCCCTCTCCCTCATCCCACAGCAAATGCGCCACAACAGACCAGCTCCCAGCCGACTCGCCCATGATAATGACATGGTCCGGGTCCCCACCGAAATCAGCAATATGCTTCTGGACCCACTGCATGGCAACTCTCTGATCCTCAAGGCCAAGGTTCAGAAGTCCGGCCTCCTCCATCTCCTTCGACGCAGAGAAGCCGAATGCATTGAGGCGGTAGTTGGCCGACACACCGATGATCGGTTGCCCAAGGTCGACCGAGGTCCGCACCAGACCGCCGACGTTGTAGTTTGGCACGGTGCCGCGGGTTGCGTCTGTCTCGCTGGTGGCTGTAAAGGGACTTCCAACCTCGTATCCACCACCGTGAATCCAGATAACCACGGGCAGTTTGTCTCCCTTGGTACTGTTGACGGGCGCTTGCACATTAATGAGGAGACAATCCTCACTTCGGGTCTGTCCGATAGTGTTGAAGACCGTGTCGGCCAGAGAGCCGACGACGGGGCCAATTGCCGTGCCCATCTCGCCCAAAATCAGGCTGCTAGACGAGTTCATGGACAAAATTGACCCCGCCGTCTTTTGCGGGCAGATTGGGCCGTAGCTACTACCATCGAACTCGCCCAGCTGCTCAGTGTAGAGCTGCGAGTGTTCAAAGCGGCCGGCCGAGGCGAAGGGGATGCCTTGTAGATGTTAACCATCCATCTGGATAATTAGAGTCGTGCGCTCATGGCTTGTTACAACGCACCTAGAAACTCCTTAATGTTCCCATTAATCCGTCCAGTGATGTTGGCATAGTCGATCTCTACCTTCGGGCTCAACCCATCACGAGGAGCAATAGGCTTCGCAACAGCCGAGGCAAAGTTTGACGCCGCGAGGAAGGTCGTAATGCCTGTCCACTTCGACGCCATATCAGATCAAAAGAGTGAGAGATATTTTTAGGCAGCGCACTTGGGAGTTGATGACTCAACTCGCCAGTTGGATACAATGCAGAGACGGAAGCAGACAAGCGAGGCTCTGACCTGTCAAGAATAATGTCGCTACATATACGATGGATAGGACTCTCTATGCCCAAGGGGAGCATTCGATAGACCTAATGAGTGTCATCTGGTGACCCATTCACCCATTATGCCGGACTTTCCGGACCCTCTCAGGTCAATCATGATCGTCACTCAACGTGCCGCAAAAGTTCTCAAAGGACGGAATGTCCTCCGTGTGAACACTTTCTAGTTTCCACTTGGATACAGCGTTGAGATTCGGACTGCCTTCTTAATTAGGTTTGAGACTGCCTGTGTATGGCATTTCAGGTTAATTCATAGAAGGCGGCTGATATTGAGTGAGATTCTGTGCACTGCCCCCTTATTTGAGATTTCACCATCGCTGGTTTGAAATCAAGTGGAAGTTGCCGGCAGCGATCGACCGCCAAATTACGTTGTCCGAGGGTCACGAACGTGGCAGTCATTTCGACACTAGATTGTATTTCGACGAGAGTGGACACCCAAGACCAGGATTTCGACTTCGAGAGCGGACGGGGTCCGCTGGCTTCAACCTCACTCGGGGAAAAGGAGGCGTCCATGACTCGGACTACGTAAAAGCTCCGAGTTGGGGACCGACACTTTAGAGAGTTATGTATGCTGAAACGCTGCCATAGGCAGTACATATGTAATGAAAAGTAAATTCTTACAGAGCTGAGACGCTCACAAATTAGCATCTGACTGACTTTCATCGTAGAAATCAGCGAATTCAGATATAGAATTCGTGAAGATAGCATGTGAGTGCAAAGTAAAAGTACAACAATTATATGGCAGTATAAAGCCCCTATACGTGCTGCCTCACGTTTCGCTCTTCCTGCCAAGTAACATCCCTCTGGACAACGATAGTATCCATGGGTACTTCATCGCCAAGCTCTTTTCGTGTAGCACTGAACTTGGTTGCTCCGGACACCGAGTATGTCATACCGCTGCCGTGGTGCAGGTATTCTTCCGAATCGTTGCCTGAGTGGAGCATCTCGTGGTTTACGGAGCGCTTGAAGTTGTGGTTGGCTCCAGCCCGCGATCCGCCGCCCGTGCCCGCGAAAGCTCCGGGATTTGATGCAATTTGGTTGGACTTCATGTCACGGGTTGACCAAGGAGTGCCGTAGCGCATCTTGCGGTACACGGGCACGAGAGTAACTGCACAGGCGCCGATGATGGCGACGTAGATCTCCACGACGGTGGCAGTCCACATGAGGGCGTATTGCTCTGTTCAAAATGGTCAGCTAATAGGCTCATCAAAATTATGGGAAATGGTTGTGCTCACGGGTCATGTCTGTAACACCAGTGGAGTAGAGAGAAGCCAGAGAGCCGAAACGCACAAGACTGGCAATTACAACGCTGTTTGTGATCTATCGTTAGCACATGATGCCTGATTTTACCATGATTTCCGAGTGTCTACTCACATGCTGCCTAACGCGAAAACACAGCAGATGCCCACTCTCTTGCTCGAGCTGACCTGCAGCTTCATGGTCTCGCGAATTGGCAGCACCAGCGTCAAGACATCGATCACGCTGTTTGCGATGGAGTTGCCCACGAAGTAGAGAATCAGATCAATGCAGGTACCAGCTCCGGGGTTGGTCGTCTGTTCCCATGTGTACGAAAGAGGACGGCACTGTAGGCAATTGGTGATGAAAATGGCGAGAAGCCAGGCAATGCATGCCCCTGACAAAACATAGATGCCCTTCTTCATGAACGCCGTAGGGAAAACGCGCCAGTAGAAGGTCAGCAGAGATAGTTTGATCAGCGGCGAAGAGAAACCGTAGCAGAACTCAGCCGCGACGACACACTGCAACGTGGTCAGCTTTCAGCTCGTTCATCTTTTTTCCGGAAGCACAACTCGCCGACCTTCAGGAAAGTGACCAACTGCATTGGATCCTCGGCCATGACCACCACGATACTCCGACCTAGACCGCCATTGACTGTGGCCTCGACAGTAATGGCGCAGAAGGCGTGATTCACGATCAAACTGGCCAGCGCCAGCCAGTCATCAGCGCCCCATCCTACTCCCGTGAGTTTCCGCGCCCAAAATCGTCCGGCACAGGTAATGGTCGCTATGATCGCGAGGATTATATTAATAGCGATGATGGCAGTGTCTGTATGATCGCCAGATTCCGTTGTCGTTGTTGTCGTCGTCGTCGAAGCCATTCTGTCGGGATTTCCAGGCTGACCTGAGCCATGGCCAGTCAACAAAAAGACGAAGTAATCAGTTCAGGTGTTGACCCGCGCCAGAAACGTACAGCAAAAATAAAGAGGATGCCTTCTGCCCGTTTGGTGGGGAAAACCGAGTTAATACCCACCATCTCCTTGTCTTGCTGACAGAGAAATTAAAGAAGATTCATCAGAACACGGCAGATCCCGCGGTGTTCGTGGTCTGAGCGGTTCCTGGTCCGGCCGGCCGGGTGAAGCTCTTGAGTCGTAAGGTGGGATTCGGAGGCGACTATGCAAGGAAGACGTTCCGAGAGATTCATCGCATGAAACTGATCTACCCACCATCTGGGTCGACTACTCATCGGCTTGGCATGCGTGTACATCGTACATGCTAGTCATGTGATATCCACTCTACATACTCCTAGACTTCATCCCGAACCCAAGAGCACACAAATACCAAAGTCTATCATTTCAAGCGTCCCAAAAAGCCAGGTTTTTTGTACAAGTGCTGTTTGGCCGAGATTGTGCTTTGACAAGAACGGCATCGGGGCGGGCTTGACAGAGGATGGCGCATATTTGTTGATCCCAAAGACTCGAAACTAGATGCCGAAATGCAGCCGCGAAGTCAGGAGAATGTAAGCCCGTCGCTGCCAGGGGAAATGAGACGCAGGCATTCGCGATGTTGAAAAGTCCCCGCCGAGGTGCCTCCTGAGATCGCAATAGGAAAGGCGAATACTGTTTGTAGCATGATCTGTTGCTGTAGGTGATAAGCAGCTACCCTTCCCACTTGATCCATTTGATGAGCTTTCTCAGGAACTTTCCCCTTTTGTGGCCCTTGTGATGGGCAATATCGCGTCGAAATTCCTTCATCCACTGGACACTACCGTTACGTCACCCAAGACATACCTACACACCATTGTTTCGCGGTAGCCGCATCGCGATCTTTCAAGATGGCCCTCACCAAAAGCAAGGGCTTCCCGATTCTCTCGTACCAGCCTCTACGCTTGTTCTATCAGCTCTCCGGCGCTCTGTTCATCCTCTTCCGTCTTCCCGTCTGGTGCGCCCAGGCTCTGATTCCGGCATGCCGCCCTCACCCAAAATGGGGCTTCAAGCAGACGCTCATGGCACGCCTAACACGGAACATTGTTGATCTGTATTCGAACGTGGGAATCACCGAGACGCACACCCTCACCCCGGGCAAGGAAGGCGACCGCTTCCAGATCGCGGAGCCGTTCTCGTCGGAGCACTACCGCGGCATTTTAGTCTCAAACCCCAATGTAAAGCCTACAACGGTTGGTGGAACATGGTTCTCCGAGAAGCCTGATGTCGAGAAAGGCTTTGACGGCGTCGTGGTCCTGCAGATCCATGGCGGCGCTTTCGTGCTGGGCGACGGCCGCACAGGCTACTGCGGCTTCATGGCCAAGACACTGATCGACAAGGCCGGGGTTGGTGCCGTCTTTGCGCCGCAGTACCGTCTGTCTGGCTACGGCAGCGCCGGTGCTGCCGCTAATCCTTTCCCCGCCGCCCTACAAGACGTTGTCACCAGTTATTTGTATCTGACCCAGACTCTCGGAATCCCCTCCCGACGTATTGTGCTCTGCGGCGACAGTGCCGGCGGCAACTTGGTGATTGCGCTGCTGCGCTACCTCGACACCTTCGGGCTGGACCTCGGGATCACTGCCCCGAGTTGCGCCGTGCTGATCGCTCCGTGGGTCAACCCCCTCGCCAGCTTGGGGCCGGACTCTGTGTACAAGCAGCACGAGCATTGGAGCACCGACTACCTGCCCGTGTCCTTCCTTCGCTGGGGTGCAAAAGTGTACTCGTCTAGTGTAGCTGACGAGAACTTGTTGTATGTGACCCCTCTTAACAACCCTTGGAAAATTGAGGTTCCTGTTTTCGTTACCATGGGCGAGGCAGAGATTCTGGAGACGGACGGCACTGCATGGTGCCACCAGATGCAGGAGGCTGGAGGCAATGTTGAGGTGTATTACGAGGAGCATGCCGTTCACGATACATTGTTGATGGGCTCCATCATCGGCTGGGAGGAGAGTGCGCAGGTTGTGGCGACGACAATTGGTGAATTCTTAACAAAGGTACAGAAGGAGACGGATATAAAGGCGGGTGACTCGGAGTAAGTAAGGGAGAAACTTAATCTATCGCCCTTATAAAAGTTTTGTATTAGTGTATAGACACCGTACTGCCTCCTATTCATCGGAATCGGCTCAGTTCGCCTCTGTGATCTCTCCCAGGGTAGCCACCCCGTCCAGCATCGACGCGGGCAGAGTCTGCTCGATCAGGGAGATCCGTTCACTACCCGGAGCGGCATCCATCACCTGACGGCCTTAGCACTCGAAGCCGTAGTCGCCGATAATGGCGGAGATGCGTTTGAAATGCGTGTACAGAGCGTTAGCATCGCCGGTGCCGAAAGGCGAGCCGCTAGTCTGGTCGTTTGGGGCCACCAGGTGGTGAGAAGGCAGTCTTTAGCTTCTTCATGATGATGATTTCCTCAATCTTTCTTCTTGTCCTTCACAGACCCCCATTCCATCGTAATACTTCCAACCATCGTTGCACACGCAAGGCCCACAGCTAGGTACCAAGTCTGCATCAAACTCTGATCAAGGATTCCTAAAGCCTTTTGAAGCTCATGTTGTCCCACAAGCGTCCTCAAATCCGTCAGACCCATCTGGTTCACTGTGTTGGGGCTTAGCCCAGGCACCAGCACCGTCAAGTTCTCGCTCAGCCGATTCAGGAAAATGGTCTGCGCGATTGCGACAAAGACCGCAGGCCCGAAGTTCTGAGCAAAGTAGATGATCGCGATACCCGTAGATGCATCTTTCACGGGGAGCACCGTCTGGACGGCGCTCTGCGGAGCATTGAAGCCAATACCGCCGGCGAAACCCATGGCCAGAGTGTAGCCGACGATCTTGTCCACGGATGTGCTTGTCGTGAATGTGGTCATCAAGCCCGCGAAGACGGGCATCAACGCACTGGCGCATAACATGAAGGGAGCGTAGTAGCCCAAAGCACTAACACCTGCGCCGTGCGCCAACATCGCAATCAGGAAACCGGCAAGGAAAGGAAGCATCATCAAACCGGACTTGGTGGGAGTGTATGCGCGGACGGACTGGAAGTACGTTGGCAAGTAGTACTCGAATACATTCATCGCGGCATTGGTGCATGCTGCGAAGACAAAGCCAGCCAAAACTGACCGGTTACCCAATATGCGTGGAGGGAGGGTGGCCTTCTGTCCCCGGCGCATCTGATCGTAAGCAAACAGGGCAAGTAGAACCGCGAAAGTGACCAGCAGTCCAATCACAGTGCCACTGCTCCAGGGATACTTCGTTCCGGCCCACGACAGCGCGAGAAAGAGCGAGGTCAGGGACGGAACGAAGAGCATGTTGCCAACCAAATCAAGCTCGACAATCTTCTGCCTGAGAGTCAGGGGCGAGCGACCCTTCAGGTCGATCTTGAGGGCAAAGAAGATGATAATAAGGCTCAATGCTCCAACCGGGAGATTAATCCAGAAACACCATCGCCACGACACGCTGCCGACAATGAGCCCCCCGATCGAGGGCCCAGAGATGTTTGCCACCAGCTCGAAACCGTTTAGAATGCCCACGATAAGAGGCCTCTTCCTCAACGGCACAATATGCACAAGCATGTAAAAGCACCCCTGGGTGACCCCGGCGGTCCCAAGCCCGCACACAGCGCGGCTGACGACAAAGACCATCGACGACGGCGCGGTGGCGCCGAGGACGGACCCCAACATGAACACGACGATGCTCGCCATGAAGGTTGGCCGCAGTGGGAACAGCTTGTAGATCTTGCCGAACATGAAGGCGAAGCTGCAGGCGCAGAGCCGGAAGGCGCTCGAGTACCACCCGACGTCGGCGACGGTGTGGAATTCGTCCGTGATGGAGGGCACGGCGGTGGCGACGATGGACATGTCCAGGCCGATGAAGGTGAGGACCATGGCGTAGCAGGCCATGATCAGCCAGAAGCGGATACCGGTCGGGTAAGTCGTCTCGTCTTCAGCGGCGACGACGCCGGATGAGGGCCCGTCATTTGGGATGTCCTCAATACCCAACTGTCCCACGGGCCGTCCCGGCCTGGAAAAGGGCGAGTCATTCTCTTGGCGACTGTCGTTCACTAATACTGGAGGCAGAGAGACTTGGATTACTTCAGTGGCCATGATGACCTCACTGATTCGGTTGCATTGCGGAAAGGTTCAAGTTTCCTAGGAGGCTGATGCAGTCAATTTATAGCTTATTTTTGGTATCGCGCATGGGAGGCGAGCTTCCGATGTTGGCGACAGCCTGACGCAGGCGCTTGCAGAGGATTGGCAACGTGCAGCTGGCACAATTGAGGGAAACCATCATGTATTCCGACAGGAGCTGCAGACGAAAGTAAGCACAAATGCTGATTCGGCCGTTCCTTGGAGACACCGGAGAGACATTGTTGACGGCACGAGTATCACGCCGTAAGACGGAGGAACGATGGTGCTCCGAAGAGGCATCCGGCAACGCGGCAAAGATGGTGAAATGTTGTGAAGCTCCCGAGGTCGCATCTGGAACATCCAAATACAGCTTGACCTGCATATACTAGCAGGTGGATCTGTGAAATATCCTTCTTTGTGACGAAGTCACTCCGACAGTACAATAAAAATGGTTTCGCCTGGGTGGTCTGCATAGGTCCTCGACATGGGTCCTCGGTATTCCATTGCCGAATGTTTGTATCTACCTGAATGAAGTTTTGGCGTCCCTGCGAGCTACGTCTGAAGTCAACATATGTGAGCAACTATGGGGAGTACTGACCACTAGACAATCAGACGATTACATTTCTCATCGTCACTTTCATTGGCTTGCTCTCGATAGGTCACAAACTTGCATACCGATGAATTTTATGGTTATTTACTCTAGGAGAAACACCACGAAATGAAATGAAGGGATGAACCGCATTGACTCCCGGCCGAGTTGATGTCACCCCCGTCATGGTGCCAAGAAAAGCCAAAAGCTGGTCAAGCCCCCTAACCAAGCATGGATAGTGACGTGACCTAATTTAAACTTCAGCCATTCCCCGTCCTCGGGGCCCCATCACCTATCGAGGACCCAGCTCTAATATAGCACGCTAACAAGAAATCAAGGTAACGCCAAATGCCACCTGATATAGACAACAAATTAGCAGCTCCTAGAAAGGGGTGTCCTGGAGGAGAATAATAGAGCCTCAGAGCTCCCTCACGTGCATTCGCATCATGACTTCACCCTTTCACATCTCGAGGGGCCTCGACATTTGCATCTCAAGCGGTTCATCCGGCATCACAGTCACGCCTAGCAAGATGCGCCCCTCGACTTGCAGCTCCACGCTACCGCTCATAAGCCTCTTATGGCTCGCCCTCACAATCCACCTCGCACAGTCATGGGGCTGGGGGCCGTACGACAATGAATGGAGGAAACATATCAAGCCTGTTCACCACCCGGAGCTCGTGTACCGTGTCGTCGTCCCGCGGAACGGAAGCACACCAACCTTCAGTGGCAACGGCACCCTGACCAGGACAAATGCGACGGGCTCTATTCCTCTGACCACTGCCAGGCCAACGCCTGTCGCCAACTCGAGTATCGATACCTCGTGCGGCGGGACCTCTCCCTTGTACAACCTCCAGGTATCCCGGGCCGACGGGAGCATCTTCAACGGGTGGTGGCTCAAGCTCTCAGGCAACCAGGCTCTATTCACATCACAAAAGGAGAAGGCGACCGGGTTTGGCATCAACCAGGGAACAAAACATCTTTGCATACCGAAAGCCGGAGATTTCCCATTAATCGCGATTGTCGAGACGAGGCTTGACATCGGCCCGCTTTATTTCCTTGACGCCAACTTCTCGACGGGCTACAAGCCGGATTATGAGCCCCTTGAATGCAACAGCTTGGGCGGCGATGGGTCACAGCTATCATGTGCTCAAGGGAGGAGGACGACTTGGTCGGGTTGTGGATTGCAGCTGGAGTTAGGTTCTGGGCCGATCTCGAACGGGACAGGTGGTGCAAGTGGCCAGAATTGTTCTTCCATCGCTATTAATGCGTTTCAGGCATAGCTCGCTTTCGTGGGCAGAAACGACAAATAATGATTAATGATACCAAACTCTGATAATACTGGAGAATTTTTGTTCTCAATCTCTTTGTTTATGCTTAACCCCGCGCGTCACATGGCTATTGAACGCTGCCTGAAAGGTACGTTGCCTGGACTTGTTGATTCTAGTGGGGTCCAAATGTCACTGGCGTACAAAAACATCGCAGTTGACGCCTCACAGCCAGCCTTCCGGTCCTTTCCACTTCTCAGTAACAGTAACATCACAGTGACTGAAGACTTCATCATGGTCCGCACCCGAAAGAAAGAGTACGACAAGGCACTGCGCCACCAGCAGCAGTCAGCAGCAGGGCAGACCACCAATGTGGCTCCAGTTGCATCGGAAGGCAATGAAAATGACGCGTCTGAAACGCTACTCTTTGGCAAGAAGATGCACAGTCGGACATTCACCAGATTTAGAGAGCTGCCCATCGAGCTGCGTTTGATGATCTGGAAATTTGCCATGGTTCCTCGACTCGTCATGGTCAACTTCAAGGATGCAGAGACGCGCAGCCAGGCAAGAAGACGCAAAACCCAACGGAGCAGCGAGATTCATGCCATTCCTGCTTTGCTCGCAGTCAACAATGAGGCACGAAATATCGCCATTCGTACCTACACCTGGAGATTTACCATTTATATCAACTTACGCCACCACGGCCTTTTCGGGAGGGGTGAGTGGGAGCACGCCCGTGCGCGCGTCGTCATGTCACCCGAGGACACCCTGGGATTCTTTCGCTGCAAAGTCTACCACCGCCGGACAGTATCTGTCTCGGGGTGTAATATCGAAGAACCAGACTCCAGCAGTCCATGGGCCAGACACCCTACTATCACAGTATCACCAGTGTCGCTTCAGAAGGTGGCCATATTGGGCTGGGCCATCAAGTCGAATCCCAGGATCGTCAAAGCTCTCAATTCGAGCATCTGGGATCTGGATTCGATACTTCATTCCGACTCTACCGGTGCTAGGACTTTGCGTCCGCCGCATGGTCCTTGGCAATGCTATGACGAATTGGCGGAGTTCCACGAGAAGCGCAACATCGTGATTCGAACCGCCACAGAGGACAAGAGCTTCCGAGAATGGGCAGAAAATTATGTTGCAACACGTCGTCCGTATCACACGAACCCCTATCAGAAGGTCAAGAATCAGGACCTCGACATCTTGGCCTGCGAGTTCAAGAATGGGAAGCCAGGTGCGGTGAAGTGGTCGACTTTCCGGGACATGCTGTCTTCGGTGCACACATGATCTCGTGGCTTTGGTTTGGTCGTTGCTAGTTCAGGGTTGACATGCGCTTCGTTCACAGCCTTGGAGAGAGTCAGAGCGCGCGAGAGCCCATCACTATCACATATCACATAGAGAGGCTTCGAGCGACCTACGATAAACCCAATCAGCAATACATTATGTCAACAGCGGCCGTGGCCCAGTCCCATCCGAACAAATGGCAGCATTGACGGCACCAATAAAAAAGCACTCTGAAGATCACATGAAACCACTGCGGGCCACAGCTTTGGTCCAACAACGCCATTTGGCCGAGTAGCCTACTCAACGTTCTCTTCCATGTTTCCTCAACCTCAGAATTCCTCACATGACCTCAAATTTCTCTCAGGTCTGGGAAAGGAGGTGTAGCTACTTCCGACGGTTCGTGGTCATGCGTCTTACCACGTAGTTTGGCGGAAGACTAAGACGAGCACTGAGCCGCCGCTCGGTCTGGACACCTGAACCACAAGCATTCGATCCGATGCAAGAAGCTTTTGGAGTCTTTATGAAAGTATCTGGCCTTGTGGATCTTTCGTGTAAGCAACAGTGGGAACAGCAGGACAAACATGGCAACAAAGCTTTCGAGAGCTATTTTAGCAGCTTGGATGAATGTTTGCAGCCTGCGCTCTGAGGGCAAGTTTGGGAGGAACGTCTGGCTCACCTGACACAAACAAAGCACACCACAAGCACGAGTGACGCCGTTTTGTGACTCAAGCTTATTTTTAATATGTCATTACACGCCGCTGTTTCCCCAACCGACCAGTTTTCTCTCTTGATCTGCTTATGACCAGTGGCACATATTAGTGCTCTGTCAGATCCCTGGCCCCACTCACTCATACACCCTGAGACTTGCCCGAGGAGGAGGCTTTTCGGTATCGATGGATGGATGGTGATACGTACACTATAAGAAGTAATTGACTTTCCACTCAACCATGCCTGGGTCTTCAAATTTCACTACGTAAGATATACATTAAGGTTTTTTTCCCTCGTAGATTTCGGGATTTTCTCCATTTCACAGCCCAAGGAGAATCTAATTCGAGTTGGTAAAGTCCGGTGTAGTGTAAGCCGCATGTGCACCAAGTGAATTATGCTCAACTTCACTGCTAGGTTCGCACTTGTGAAAATTTTTGGCGATAATTACATTTTGATGATCATTAGAAAGTTTGGATTCTAATTGAATCTTTTCGTACAACGGAATCCGAGGAAGGAACGGCAAAGGCTCTTTCCCACATGAAACTAACTTGAGTTCTTCTGAACTGTCTTCGTTCTTGGCCCTTAGCTGCCTTCTCTCTGAAGTGCTACATCTGAAAAATCTGCAATCTTCACCAGTCAACTCGAACATATCATCTTCGCCTTCGGAGATCGACTTCAAGTAACATGTTTCCAACCTCAATAGCTCGTTACAGCACTCTCAGCATGATAGACGGGAGTGACGAGAATGCCTGGGCACTGCATCTTATTCACCAAGGTAAGTCTTGCCAAGAGCTGATGATAACATCTTTCAAACGCTCAAGGACTCCCACTAGTAGATATGGTTTTATCTTGAGCTGCAGTCTTCTTCAATACACGCTAACAGAAACGGTCCAGGTGACCTCTCCAATCCTGGAGATGGACCCATTTCGAAGGAATCAATTAAGCAAGCCACTCCACTAGTAGAGAAGAGTGTGCATCCAACCGGAGCAAGCCGGCCGCAGCTAGCAAAGACATTCAACGACCTACCTGCTGAAATTCGAAGCATGATCTGGGAAGCAGCCCTTGTCCCGCGCGTGATCGTGCTTAAGCTGCGAAAGGAGACCAGCGAGAGCGATATGCAGCCGCATGTTGATTACAGCATCATCCCAGGCATTCTCTACGCCAACTGGGAGAGCCGAAGCATCGCACTGAAGCACTACGATCAAAATTTGGCCCTTACATTCACTAAGTGGGCTCCAGTTGAGGATGATTCGGCAGTCCGTACCACAAGCCGGATACCAATAATCATGGCAGCCTGCGACGAGATCGCGTTCTCCAGCTCCCAGATAGGCGCCGTTTTCGCACCACACGAGGTCGTCTCCATCTCGATCGACACAGCACCCGGGGCGCCTGAGCCGTGTATCAGACGCTTCTCTCTCCTTAGCGACAAGCTCACCAGTCACGGCATCGACACAGAACATCTGGCACGGCTCTTGGACCCCGAGTCATTCGAGTATGACTGCAGTGAGTCTGCCGACATCTTCGTGACCCAGACAATCGACTGGGTGCCTTTCAACCAGTGGCACGAGATTGGACTTTCAGACGAGTACCCGGAGGGCATGGACACTCTTTGTGTACATTTCGAACTTGCCCATTCAAGCCTTGATAGCTGGCTTAGCTCGCGGTTCAATTCGTGGTGCCGCGGTGCGACGTACTTCATGGACCGGGACGGCGTAGATGCTTCGGTGCTTGAGCTGCCTGATCCGATTCCACCTTACTCCGGGCGGCTTTGAGCAACACGTGGTCGGTAGAGACAGTAGTCCTACATGCTTGGCTAGTTAGGTTAAGCTATTCCAGGGAATTCATCCAGATCAAGCATGCCATAATCGAGGATGGGCCAGAACGGTTAATGGTCAGCCATTAGCCAAACTCTGACGAGATATTTACATATCCAGGAAAAGAGAGGGGTGAGCTGATTGGTGCTAAATTGCTAGTTCTACGGTAGAGAAATACGTCAGGGTTTCCATGCGGCCCAGATTGTAATTCTCGCCACAGAGCGCATCTAACTAGTCACGATGAATCTTGACCTGGGTAAGAGTCGAACATAATGAACTATGCTTCATGCGGTGTATGCTGTTGTTTGCATTTTGATAGTAACACAAGACATCCTGGCAGAGACTGATGACTCTCGGCTTTTACAGCACCTTCCGTGCTTATTGATATGGTTTCGGGCAAACAATCGTACGCTTGGCCCTGATGATTTGTTCCCATCATCCCCATAGCTGCTGAGAGCTCAAAATCCCATTAAAGATTGGATGAGGTTGTACAAGTCGTCCTAGACGCTGCGGTCCGCTGTGGAATTCCTGGCTCGATGATTCAAAGTGACCCAAAAATGACAAAATGCGTCTTTGTGTATAATCCGGTTCACCGGTAAGGAAAAGCTCGATGCCCCTCCCACACCTGTTCTTCTATAAACTCTGAAGATTATCGAAGCGTTGGAATGCTTGTCACACACATTATTGGAACAATGCCGCCATAGCTTCCAAAATCGCAATATATTACTGTGGACCCCCTGCTTGGGGGCTTGGTCATTTCTCCTTGTAGAAGGTTATTCAATCCGACGTAAGAGGTTATCCTACAAGAGGTTGGAGGTTATCCCACAGGAGGTTATCTTATTAGAGGTTATCCTACAGGTTGTTTTAATAAAGGTAATTCCTTACGAAGGATTATCTTATACGAAAATGTCTCATAGTCGGTCACTGTAAAAAGTAGGAAGCAACAGGGAGAAATTCGTCTGCTATGGACTGCGGGGGATACCCGCCTATTTATAATATCTATCCTTTTTCATCACATAGACACTAAGAATTCAGATGATTAGACTAGCATTTGCAGTTTATAGTCCGTCGAAAATTAACATTTACCCTCGAGAGGTTTATCTTTTTTTTTCTTGTAACTCCTACTTGTCTCGGAGGGGGGGTGGGCAAACAGTCCCCCTTGCAGAAGGGTGTGAAATTCTCCATCTCGGATGCATGTGATGTAACCCACATCTGCAAACCAGCCACCCAACATCCCCTTGCTCAGCCACAGGCCGAATTGCAGTCACAAGACCCCTGAGACGAAACTTTTCAGGCAGCCAGCCAGTTGGTAGGTGCGGCGTAAGACCTTGTTACCACAGTAGACGACCATTATTCCAAGAGCGTTGTTTTCCATCTGTCGTCGTCCTGACTATCACTGCTCTGTGCTATTCGTCTTCCCGCTGCAGAATCCAGATTTCACGACCCCACTCAGCGATCGGTCGGTATCGCGGCTTTTACCTTCGGAGGTGTCCACTTGTCTTTCTAGCGCCCTGAACGTCACCATCTCGAACTCGAACAGTCATGGACAATTCCTCCTCATCTTTCGAAAATGTGTTTACGCATGAGCCCCTTCCAGATGCTGCCAATTACATTAGGCTACTCGAAGTGCTGGACGATAACTACTCCGAAACCATTAAGGTCAGGTGCAAACTCACCATATGGCCAATTGACAGCGTACCATCGTACCGCGCCATCTCCTATACGTGGGGAGATCCCGAGTCCAATACCTTTATTCTCATGAATGAAAAGACCTTACAAGTGCGGACGAATTGCGAGTTTGCCTTAAAACAAGCCTACTGGTATAAGAAGAAACGTTCTAAATGGCCTCGGAAGAGTTGGTATTACTGGGTCGATGCCATTTGTATCGACCAGACGAACCTGGGGGAAAAAGGCAGTCAGTACAAGTCTTCGCACACTACAGTCTATGTTTTTTACGCCTTGGAATCCTCCAAAATATGTCAGTTTACCCACTGTATGCAGAACACTAACACGCAGCAGAGCAAGTCTCCATGATGGGCAGCATCTACAAGAAGGCTTCCCATGTCTTGGCCTGTATTGGTGACCATGCAGACGACAGCCTCTTCTTCTTTCAAAAGTTGTATGGACTTAAGCGTCATGTGGTACGGGTAAAGGACATTGCCGGATGGCGTGACCACCTGTGCAGTCACCCTGGCAGTATTTCTACCAGGTTCCGTCTAGTGCACCGATTCTCGACGACCAATCGTTTTGTCCTTGCCCTGGCTCGTCTGGCCATGCGGCCATACTTCAGTCGCCTGTGGATCCTTCAGGAGCTGCAAAATGCCCAAAACATGACCATACTGTGCGGCCAATTTGTTTTGCGGAAAGAGGACGCAAGATCCTTGTTTCGTGAAATGTACGAATGTTGCTCAACAGACCACGACTTGAGTCTCTCGAAAGATGACTACTTTTCACGGACGCCATGGGGCTGCTACACAAAGTATTTAGACGTCAAATTTCTGCGGAGAATGGTAAATCACGGTCTTCCTCATCCCTTGAGGCACGGCGAGTGGCTTCATGACGTACCACGACGCTGTATCACCATATTCGACATGATGAGAACAACTGCATTGCATTCAGATCACGATTTGTTTGTATTGCTTGAAACCATTGTGTGCCGGTTACAATGCGCTGTGCCAAGGGATAAAGTGTATGGGATCATTTCCTTAATTGAATGGGGCGACGTCGCGCCTCCAACACCAGACTACGCGCAAAGCGACCTTAACGTCGCTGTCGACTTTCTCGAGGCGGTCATGAAGCTTTGGAAGACTCGGGCAGACTACGCACACTCACAAATATGGCGCTACCTTGTCATAACCACAAGAATGCTGAATCTTGACACCGAATCTCAAAGCTTAAGTGACGCACTCAAAGCGCGTCGCAGTCCCCCTAAAGATTGCGCTTTAAGCGCAGCAAAACCGCGCTTTGAAGATTCGATAATACGCCTCCCGGCGCCCGGTTGGCGTCTCCTATCTGAGGATATCGACAACAGTAGCTCCAAACTACGAAACCTCCGGCTTCCGCCCCCTGATTACCGTGATGATTGTCTGTTATTGCTACCTCGATGGGCTAGAGCAGGTGATTGGGTGATCGAGGTTGGGTCTGAATCTTACAAGGACTTGTGGTACAAGACACATGATCTTCGGCATATTCGTCCCCCTACTTACACAGCGGTACTCATCATGAGAGAGGGGACTGATGGCCATTGCAATACTTTTATCGGTTATGGCTTCTACGCAACTATGGATCCCTCCAGCTATCCTTGTTTCAAGCGAGCATTCGAGACACATGTCGACATTTACTTGGATATAGAAGATGGGATGATATTTCTGTTGAGAATGAAACAGCTGCACGAGCTGGAAATGGACAGCGACTCAACGGACTGGGTGGTAGACTTTCTGGACACTGGTGTTTGCAAGCCGCAAACGCCTGGTTCGTCTTACGCCATACTATCACCAGAGGCCAAGCTCCCCGTTGAGACAGTAATAGTCGACCCCTGGTCCGAGCTCAAAATGCCGGAACAAGGAAATTACACACTTTATTCTCTGAAAAGCTTCTTCTTCGTTCTCTGGGATACGAAGTACCGCCGCGGCTGGTTGGTCAATGGCCACGTCGCTGCTTTGCATCTTCTGCGGGCATATCTCAAGAACATATCTCAGGCAAAGGATTTCGACTTCTCCAGATTAGATCACAGTCTCTATAGCCCGTCAGCGGCACACGAGTTGCTCAGCGACCGCGACTACATGAAAACCCCTCTACCCAGAGTAGTCAAGGCTGTCAAAGAGAAGTCCGAGCATGGTGAACCATCTAATGACCAAGCTGGGGTCGACAAAAAGCTTCTTGGTGAAGTGTTAAATGGCTTCTATGGAATTCTCCTGAAGATGGCCGAATCTACGGAAGCCATGGACGCAAATGGCAGGCTCTCTGATTGCTTTCATAAATTTAAGAGGACACGAAAGGATGTATCTGTGAATGGCTGGGACTTCCAGCGGATATACTGCGGCAACAAAGCAGAAGTATGTGTCAACAAGTTCGACAAAGAGCCAGTCTGGCTAAGCTTCGTGAGAGGCTCGCTTGGTAGCTCTCGATCGGGCGCAGCTTTCCTGTTCGGAAGCAATTTCGGTGAGATCATGAAGTCAGATGATAGCCACTGCTGCCCTTATTTCGAAAGCCTTCCTGCAGGCCAAGACTATCTGGCGGTCAGTATGCACACCATATATTGGCTTGTGGAAAAAGGGAGCTCCCATGATAAGCCCGAGGAGAGTGCAGCCAGACTGCAGCATATCGGTGAAATTGCCTGGAAGCGTCATCTGAGCCCCTTCCATCATGCGCATGGCCAAGGTGACCATCTTGATAAACTTGATTCGCGCTGCTTTCCTGTTCAGGGCTTTGTGACAGCTTCTTATGGGAAAGACAAAGATCTTTTGAAAAGGAGCAAGGGCCGGCCATACTCGTTTAAAGAGGTTCGAGAGATGGCAAAAGCACATCCAAAAGGGTTGGTCGTTTTTGGAAGACAGCCTAATAGAAGGAAGCTGAGACAGCTTGCCCAGGCGAACTTATAAGGAAATGTATGTTGTTAGACAAATGTAGGGGAAAAGATATAAATTGGCCACAGAAGAAAGAAGGGAAGGAGACAGGCCGTCTGCTACTCCCCTAGATTACAAATACTTCTTAGAAGGTTGAGCGAGGCCCATTCCCTGTCAGATTGAATCAACAGTCGGTGACTGGCGGTGGCACGAAAGCCTTTTTTGGGGGACCACAAGGCTGAGCGTATTTCCAATCACTACGCAGTCTTCCGATGCTCCTGGACCCCATGGTCCTACCCCGAATTCAACTGGTCCGGCAGCAACAACTTCGGCCACAACCTTTGCAGAGATGATACTGGAGCCAAAAGAAGTTGGGTGGAGGGCCAGAGTCCGGCTGAGGTGGCCACGGGGCTGGGTTGGAAGATTGAATCAAATCATCAGAATACATACTGCAACAGTATCGGGCGACAGAACACTGGAACTCAATCCCGCAAGCAAGAAGAATAGCACGCTAAGAAGCTTGAAAAAGGTACGAAGTTTTATGTACTCACTGATAAAGTTGCAGGACTGCTTAAGCCCGAGACAGTTTGTGATATGACTTGGACTAGCTGAGGGCACTTAAGACTCTATTACTACAGCTCTTGCCTAAGGCAGACCGTATGCATTTGTTGCCAATTGCTGCGGAGACTCAACCTTCCTGTCGCAACTATCATTACATTGTTTGAATTTATTCCGACTTTCTCCGTGAACGCCTACCTTTCTTCCAATCACACTGATGAGCTATTCCAAACATAATGTTCACATTGGAGACTTGTTTTACTAAAAAAGGATGTTACGCAATCAAAAACCGATGAATTGATGCTTGCAGGGGGCTCGCGGCCGGTCCTTTGCGAGTTTCTCCATGCCAGTGTAGAGCAGCGGATACCTAATCACGATCGCTAGGATGTAATGAGACTATTCAATACCCTTCAGGGAGCACCAAACAAGTGTTTCCAAAACACTCGAAGCTAAGTGTCGCGAGGATGGTCATTCTGAGAATGTAAATGTTCTGAGGCTCCGTATGGATTAGCCCCACGAGTGGTATGAAAAGCCAAGCCATCAATCACATACCTGACACTGTCAAATCGATTCCAGAACTGGTAGAGACTGGCAGTGGTGGCGAAATCGCAGCAGGACATTCCTAATGCTTGATTAATCGTACTTAACGGCCTGACATCCACCTGAAAACACGAGGACAAATCCTTCAAGCTTCAAGTTCAGTTGGGCTCCACAATAATTGCTCCTCTAACTCCCTCTGGACTTTGTCCTTCTAAAACTCTCACCTTTTCGCCAAGCACTCTACTCCTAAGTATCCGACGTTGGCACTGTTCGTCAGCGGTCAACGATACAGCCCAAAGCTTGGAGAGTCAGGCCTTGTATAAGGCTACATACAAGACCCCCTTGGCAACTGGTTTTCTCCCGACATCCTACTGCGACCATTTCCAAGAATGCAACCACAACCTGTCCAACCAACGCCGTCCTTTAGTCCGTAAACCTCGGCATTGAGAGCAATTCCGTGTTCGCCGCTGTACCGCGGGAGAACTACACGGGTGACAGCCCGGACGACTGGATGATTACCTGCCGCGAGCCCGATTCAGTGTAGCTGGCCAGTGACGGCTAAACGGGCACTTGCTGACAGTGGTCCGACTTGCCGCCCACCCACACCAACTGGACATCCGTTTCATCTCAGCTCTTGATTGATCTTAACCGTTGTATCACGTCTACCGCCAGGGCCAAGAGTTCCTCCAGCACACCGTCTGCTGTGTTGGTATCTAGATCTGCAAAGAATGGGATCGTGTGTGATGGGACTGTCGGGTTAGCAGTGGTGCTGATGCTTGCAATGTGGCAACTGTCAATGTGAGGGTGTACCGCGAGTTTTGAGTCAGGCGCACTGGAGTGCTTCGAAAAGCCGCATGTCATCAATCAGCACCCAATGCACCAGATATTCATATAGAAAGGCTTCAATGGCCAACATTGGTTTCTATTTCATTCGTATGGTTCATTTTAAAATGTCACATACACTATTAGATAACACCGCCATATACTCAAAAATAATAACACATCATTGCAGAGCCCCCTGTGGCTTACATTCCCATACAGGTTTATCCTACAAGAAAGCATCCTATAGCTAATTACTTCATAACAAATTATCCTATAGGAGGTTATCTTATAGGAGGTTATCCTGTAAGAGGTTATCCTAGAGAAGGTTATCCTATGGGAGATTATCTTATAGAAGGGTATTCTATACTTTTCCCGTTTTCTTTGAATTATTCCAGAGATACTGTGGCCGCGAAGCGGACACCCGATCTGAAGCTCGTTTTGATCGAAGTGCTGTCTTAAAAGTCTCTGTCAATCCATCCAATTCTTTCGTTTGCAGACGGTCCAGATCTAGATTGAGTCAAATAGCGCCAATACAATTTGGAAAGTCCATTCATTTAGGAGGCATGGGATCAGTGAGCCTCGCCCGGCTGTTCTTCTGCGTGACCCTCGCGCCCGAGCTTGTTGATGTTGGTACGGTCTTGCTGGCCGTTCGGCCTGTAACCCGCAGTCGGCTTGTTTCGAATGAGGGAGAATAGGGCAGCCATGACCGCGCAGGATCCTGGGAAAATTAACAAACCTCATGTCCTAAAGCCTCGATCCGGATCTTGAGAGGATCAAGGCCGGATGGCCCCACTAGGGGGAGGCCGACCCACGATGGCGACCACATTCAGCCCTTGCACTATGTGAGTGCGGCGCAGTGCCCTTCAATGGGTTTGACTGTTTCAATCATCGCTGTATCAATCGGCGAGACCTTCACCAACTTGTTTCAAATTTATCGTGGTTGGTCTCTGTGGGTGCAGTTCTTGGGCTATGTTGCAACCAGGGCGCATGTGGAGACACGGAGCAGGCGTTCGAGCAGTCACCACGCCCAGTTCGCCACGCCTTTACTTGCCACTGTTCTGTCCTCCACCTGGTCCCTTTGATTTTGGATTTCAATTCACTCTGATCTGTATCCTGGTAACGTCTACACCGCTGACGATAGATTTATTGATACTGCGATGATATCGCGAATCTTCACATGATCACTCTGGGGCAAACATTTGTTATCTTTCTCTAATTTTCTTCTGGAATCGGATTGTTGTTTTCTGATCTCGAAATTCTAATTCAATTGCACTCGTCACCATGACAATTCCTTCGGCTAAGCCGACGAGGACCGCAACACATGGGAGGGTAGGGGCCTCTAACGGCAGGAACGGCTTTCAGCCAAGCGCGAACTTGGTCCTCATTAAGAATTACTTCCGGCTCGAATCGACCAAAGCTGCATGTGCATTGCTGAATAAAGAAGAAATCAAAGGATACCGAGCCGAATTCGCGTTCGAAGCAAGTCTAAACAAATATCTGAACCTACAGAAGAAGAAGATATTCTCGAATACTATTTGCTTCACGTCTGCCGCTTCGGATATAGATGCATTGGCGCTTCCCGCAAGCACATACACAAGAGATATCTGGGGTAACAATGGAACCAGGATTCTCCAGATGATAGATAGAGCTGTCAGCAACGCTCAGGGTGGGGCATCGACCAGTAAGTTGCGTGATTTTCTTGGATTCTCCTTCTGCTCCTATAGTGAATATCTCAAATTCTCTTATATATGTACTAATAATCTGTTATAAAAGCTCTTTTAAATAAAAGCACGGTGTCAATCACTACTCACGGCAGCAATTTAAAATTGAAGATCATGGGACAGTTAAACACTTTTCCTGAGATAATCGAGCAAGTCTGTTGGTTGGTTAGTATTGCAGGCGAGAAATCAATTGCCAGCCTTCAGAAGTACAACACGGACACAAAGAACGGAACGACCACACGCGAATTTGCCGAGACAATCTACACCGGAAAGCCTGTTATAAAATCCGAGGGTGGCTATCGTTTCAAAATTTCATTTGAACCGCCACGCATTGAGAAGCTGAAGAATCAGGACTTTGTCGTGAAGCCAGGCCAATGTTGGAAGACTATGACCGGGCTGTCTATAGTCGCCAGTGGATATTCAATCCCATCAAGACCCAAAGAGGGCTCAGGACTCGAGGCTCCTCTATTCGTCTTGCGACAGCTAATCAAACGAGGCTGTTCAAGGCAACCCTTCTTGTTTCCTGACGAGCCCATGGTCATGTTTCCCCCAACAGCAGTTCACAAAGTTGGCAAGAACGACAAAGCCAACCAGGTTGAAAAAATCGTCGTGGGTTACAAGGTGAGACTAATCATGGCTTCTGGCTCCGAACAGCAGGGCAATATCGTCTACTGGCATTTTGATCCAGCGAAAATTTGCAAATCAAACAATCCATTTCAGCAAATGCAGAACCAAAGCCATCTTGCGTCGTCGGCAATCAATTCGAAGTCACGACATTTTGTCGGATGGAGCGAAAATGCGGGGCTCTTGGCAGGTAAGTCAGTGGGCTAATAATAGACCACACGTATAGCATCTTAAGGTTGATGTTGGTTGGGACGGCCGCCTCCAAGTGGCCCGCCCGATCCCAACCTAGGCGATGGCCACATGCAGCGGCTGCCTACCTGCAGCTGCCTGCGACATGCTGCCCCCAAAGTTGCAGGCGGCTCCCTCACCTCACCTCATACCCTTCTCAATCCTCCCGGATCCTCCCCCTCCAAACTCCCATCTCCCGCTATTCAGATTGCCGGTTTTGATGCCTCCGGTGTTCTCTCCCATTGCTGGGCCAGAGATTCAAGGCTGATTCCACTTCTCTTGACAGCGGCGCCCAAGACCATTAGCTCCGGGGTTCCCTCTGCGTTACAACCTCGTCAACATTACGAATTGGTCATACCCGCAGTAACAGCAACCCTACGGCTTCTATCAGCTGTAACTGCAGGCGTCACGCTGACAACAGAAAAAGTGATCAGCTCGGCCGACACAGAAAAAATGTACAAACATCCCAAAGAAATCCTCCACTCCGTCAGCGAACAATATTTTGTCCTTTGGGATATCGATGGCAGGCGAGGCTGGTTGGTCAGTGGCGACATTGTGGCGCTATACATGCTTCGTGTGCACCTCCAATCCATGCCTGAGGTCGACTTAGATTTCTCAAGCTTAAATCACGTTGGTGGCGGCTCTTCGTCTGCGTACGATGTGCTGCAAGATGAGACAAACTTGGAGAAGGTCGTATGGCCACCAAGCAAGATATTGAAAGAAAAGCTCAACACTCCCGAACACGGCGAGCCGGCCAAAGACAAGGAAAAGGTCAAGAAACTGGTGCTTGGCGAGGTGCTGGACGGCATCTATGATATCTTGCTTGAGCTGAGCGCCCTCACACGGTCTTTAAATCCAAAAAGCGGCATCTCAGGTCAGATCCAGGACTGGTATGAGAAAAGATGGGGTACTACTATGAGGGGCTGGGATTTCAACCTCGTCGCCAGGGGTAAATCAGCAAAAGTGTTCGTTGACAAGGTGGACAAGGATCCAGGCTGGATGCGTATGACGAGGGCACTGGATGCGACATTTCTGTTCACAAGTGGGCTGGGCGAGATTATGGAGCCGCATGTCGGTTCCTGTTGTCCTTATTTCCAGACTCTCCCCACAGGTCAAAATTTCCTTGCCACAAGCATGAAGCTCCTTGAGGGTCTCGTCAGGGATTTTGGTCGGCAGGACCCGGTGAATGAGAGCGTGGCTAGATTGCACTGGGGTGAAGGTTGGCAACGTCGTCTACCCCCGTTCAAACGCCCAAATTGTCAAGGCGATCATTTGGACAAATTGAATACGAGTTGTTTTCCAGTGCAAGGCCTAAGTAGAGCGCCGCTTGGTGAGCCTAACCAGACGAAGAAGCGTCTGAAGAAAGATAAAATAATGGTTGATGGCAAAAAGATGTGGAAGAAGGAGGACATATTTAAATGGGCAAAGGATTTTCGAAATGGTGTCGTCGTATTTGGACGTCAGCCAAACATGATGGAGCTCAGGCAGCTTGCTCAGCCGATTCAACAAGGGAACAGCCCGCCCGGACTACGACGAAAGGTGGATGCAGTTCCCACCATTGCACAGTCTATCCCAGGTTCGACTGGCTCGAGAGCGGCAGAAGCCTCACACGCAATCAAAACAGATCCGACAACACAGAAACAGTCTGTAAGAGGCAATGGCGGCCTAGGAGAAAGGTCCAGCTCGTCCACTACAGTTGCGTCACGGTCCGCAAAAGTCGCGCAGCAACCATCGACCACGTTACCTTCGCGAGCACCAAGCATAAGCAGCGTGAGAAGCGCTGATTCAAGCACTCGCCCCAAAACATCAGTCGCTGGTGCTGACTCTGATCAAGCTCAAAAGTCGGCCGCTCATACTTCGACGGCTTCGGCGCGCAGGGCGAATAGCAATGTCAGCTTGAGGAGCACCAATTCGATCCCAAGGCCAAAGGACGCAAGCACCGGATCTAGCCGACCCGAAGCATCAAATACACAGTCCATCGCGCCAACAGCGGAGAGGAAGCCAAGCACTTCCAGTGTCAGAACGCAGACGCAGGGCTCGGTCTCTTCCAAGGCCACAGGAGGTTCACGGTCTCAGACACAAGCAAGGCAGCCGGCCGCTGCGGGTTTGAACAGGACCACTACCAATTCCTCTGACAAGACGACCAGCTCGCATTCGACGAGCAGAACACAGCGTTCAGCGACCGAGACCGCAGCAGCCAATAAGCGACAGCAGCAGCAGCAGCAGCAACAACAGCAGTCTCAAGTCGGCACCGCCACGGCTGCGGGTCTTGCTCCCGATCGGCCGGTCAGCTCAAACCATGCTACAGTATCGACTGGGACAACAGAGAACCCTCGGCCTACCTCGTCTGATATGCCTTCCTCGTGAGGATGGAACGCAGGAGTTTCGTGATGGTAATATATGGAATGGATCTGGTTATATAGAATAACCTAATGTCCTGTAAAACAATTTCCTGTAGAATTACCCCCTGTAGGATGAATCTTGACGCAACCTCTATTGAGATGGTTTCTGTTAGGACAACCTTCTTTAAAACAACCTCTTAAAGATGGTCTTCCAAAAGATAATCTCTGTAGGCCAATCTCTAGTAGGATCATCTTCTATGGGATAATCTCCTATGGGATAATCTTCCATGTGATAATCTCCAATAGGATAATCGCCTGTGGGTTTCTCTTTTGTAGGTTAATATCGTACAGAAATATCTGCTGAAGGATAGCATTCTACGCCATAGGACTCCCTCTTGAAGGACTATCTCCCGTGGCATGACTTATTCAGATACAGCAACGGAGCCTCCGATAAGCTATGGGACTGGATACTTATTATAATTACTTCTCATTGCTTATAAGGCCTAACACTTCGCTGTGCTTGAGTCGAATTTGACTAGCGGGTTTGACAGCCCTGCCCTTGCGTTGAAAAGGTAGCTATGGCGGCTTGACACAGCTCCCGTATAGTCTCTTGGAATTTGAACATTCTGGAATTTTTTTTATAACGGGTGATTGCCCGTCGAAGAACTAACCGTCTCCAAGTACACCGGATAGGCCGTTGTTGATGGGCAGAGACGCGTTCTATATACCCCAGGAAGAGCTTACTTACGGGACATGCCACAATGAAAAGCTCATATCACTTCATCCTTATTTCTGGGATAAGTCGAGATGACAGCCATTTGAATCTTAAATTTTCCAAATCAAAAACGCAGTAGCATCTCCAAAGGATCTAAAAACGAACAACCATGTAGAAGCGCCGTCATTATCAAATCCCTATTTCGCAACAGCCTGAATAATCGAGTCCTCATGGCGAGGAAGATAATTATGAATCTTAACAATGCGCAACCCAGCATCATCCAGCAGAGCATGCCACTCATCCACAGTGCGCTCCTGGGCCCCAACCGCCGTCATCATCAGGAGATCCATGCACGTAGCATGCCAGTGTGCGCCGGAGTTAGGGACCACAATCTCATCAATCAACACCTGCGATTCTGTTCCAAGCGCCTCTCGCACCCGCGAGAGGATAGCCACGGCCTTGTCGTGTGGCCAGTCGTGGAGCACGTTGCGCAGGTAGTAGAAGCGGACGCCCCTGACAGGCTGCGGCTTGAAAAAGTCGTGCTCCATGGCGCGGACGCCGTCCAGCGGCGGCGCGATGGCCAGCGTCTGCGGCATATCCTGCAGGACGAGCCGGCCGCGCAGGGCTGGGAAGGCGGCCGCGAGCGCTGCGCACTGGTGGCCGAAGCCGCCGCCGATGTCGACGAGCGCGGGGACATCGGGAGAGGCGGCGCCCAGCTCGGCCTCGAAGGGGAACACGGAGTACCACGGCACCCGTGCCTGCGGCGCGACGGACATGGCCTGCTGTAGTGCCTCCCAATGCCTTGGCTGCGCACGGAGCCACTCGAAGCCGCTCACGTCGGTTGAGAAGGCCTTCTTGAAGGCTGTTTCTGCTACTTGTTCTACGTCGCGGAAGTTTGCCTCGGCGAGGGCGTCGGGGAAGGCTTGTGTTATGTTACCAACGGTGTGAAAATTATGATAAACAAAACCACGGTATTTGGGCTGAGCCAATGTTTTGGTGGCGTTGCTTGCAGCATAGGTGTCCAGGCTCGTTTCTCGGATCTGGCCAACTGATGCAAGATATCGTAGAATGCGACCTGCGAGGCTTAAGTGCTCCATTCTTACGGGGATTGAATTTGACAGGACTCACGCAGCAAAGGGGGCTCGGCACTAGATTCGCTGGACAGTTCGTCCACTGTCAGAGGCCGCTCGCTTTCCGCCAGGGTCTGGAACACATTTAGATCTTGGCCAAGCTGCGCCCCTATTCGCTGGAGCTGTAGATTCACATAGCGGAGATTGAAGTCTTCCGGTGCCTCGAGCTGCAGCTGGAGACTTTGCAAGCCGTCGAGCACCTGGCTGTGAGCCTCTGCGCTCTGACTGGCCACCTTTGAGAGTTTTTCGAGGAGAACATCGATTGCTTGCGTGGATGCCATATTGTTACCAGAAGTTGGGTATATGACTTGGACGTGAAAGCTTAAACAAATCTACGTTGCGTCTTCGTGTAGTGCCGACGCAAGTCACTCGAGAAGAAGGCTATGTTGCTTTCTTATATACCAATGCACTTGCTTCAATTTCACACAATATCACCGAGTGTATTCACAACAGCTCAATGCTACCAGCAGATCACCCATTCGTCACCAAAACCCTATTGAAGGTCATGGATGCCCGGCGTTAAGTGGGTGAATCCAGACGATGTTGGCGCCGGAAGGAATAGAGAATAAGGTTCGGGGAAGTTCCCGGTCTGCTGCGCCCGGGGTACGGACCCCTGGACTGCCGACAACATGTCGGACCCACATAAACACGAGGCCGAGCCGGAGTCAACTAACGTCCGTTGTGTCCGAGAAAGAACAATAGACATTTGCAATACCAGAGCTTGCAGCAAAGTGGAACTGAGATAGGCCTCGCAAGGTGGTATTGCTTAGCAGGCCTAGTCAGGTCCGGAGACATGGGAAACCCAAACCTGAACAAGAGCCGCGCGGGATTTGAGAATGCCTCGCTCTTGCTATTCCTCCGAAAGGATGTTTCCCTTTTTTTGTGGCCGAGATAGCTCAGTGCCGTTTCGAAATGGGCCCAGTCAACATGAGCCATGCGTCGAGTCGGCAATGCACATGGCATCACATCGATGAAACATTGGGGGGTTGAGGTAGCCTTGCCCTGCCTTACGGCGCAACTCTCAATGCAGACGGCCTTGGTGGCATGCAAGTTTCTTTCCAAGGTCGAGATTGAAGTAGAGCCCACCAAAATTCCAAATGTGCGGGACGACTGACCAGTCCTTCCTGTAGGATAACCCTTTGTAGGGTGGTTAGTGTGGGAGATCTCTTTACCTCTTCTAGCATAACCTGCTGTAGGATAACCTTTTCTAGAATAGCATTCATCTACATAGGCGTTGTCCCTTCGTATCCTTTTTCTGAGTACTCTCGAGTATCGGGCTGACCTTTGGGATCCATGCAAGTTGTAGAGACATGTCCAAAAGTTCTACGGGAGAGCCTCCGGTGAGCATTGTTCACCTCGTTCCAGAATTTGCACAGACAATAGCTTCCATTCCATGTCGCCATGAACAGCGACAGCACTACGGAGATAGCAAACGCAACTGGCTTGTAGGTGAGACACTTGCCTAGCCAAGCATAATGAAAAACAATCCGGATTCTACACAGACCTCGGAGTGGCAACCAAACAAGGCACTGGCCTTTTGTCGTAAGAGATAGGCAGCCTACTTGGCGTTAGGGAATATGTGTCTAAATGGGCACCTGCCTAGAGAAACAAGCCACAAGAAGAGGTTCTCAACGCAGGCCGGGCAAAGCCAGCTTTGATGTGAGCTGAGCTGCGGCCTTCGCTGCCTGGGAGGTGATATGGTGCTCTTTGAGAACGTTCAGGGAAACATGAGGCGCCAGATGCCTGATAGAAAGGACCTTAGGATATATACAGCCCGAAAGGCCTCACTCTACGAGTCCAGGAGTCCCATTTTCTTCATCCGCACAACACCTCCGAGCATCTGTCCCGAACTCCCTCTACCATCTGATTTGGTATTTCCGAAGACCCCAAAACCACGACCAGGAAACAGCTTCACTACTGCGGCTTGCTAGTCATCTTCGTCGCAACAGCGAATATCACACGCACTTTCGACCCGCCATGGCTCGTACGATGCAGACAACACGTCGTGCGAGTGAAGAGGAAGACTTCTCAGAAGAGAGCGAGTATGACCAGCCACATGGAGCGCCCCGCAAAGCGTCGCGTTTCCCCTCCAGAATCTCCCAGCGCCACCGCCAGCTTGATGAAGCTGAAGAAGCACGAATGTTGCGTGCAATTTACGGCACTACAGACGAAGCCGCTCCCACTTGCGAGCCCACCAGCGATAATGCGAAGGCCGCGACCGGCTCCGAGGCCGTGAGCGGCTCCAAGACCATGATCAGCTCCGAGGCCATGACCAGCACGGGCGAGCTGCGCCTCTATCTCATGAATAACTGCAGCCCGCATTGCACCAAGGTTTGCCCCTGCTGCAAGCCACGATGGTCCGACCTGCCCACACCCGAGGCTGAGGAAGCGCGCATCGCGGCAATGGAGAGCACCCACGGCATCATCAATCGCATCAGCCCGAAGGACGGCAACAAGACTGTCCAGATCGAAGTCCAGAACAAGCACATGAAGGACATTTTGACCAGCGTATTTGATGGGTTCCCAGGATTCCATCCCTCCCTTCTGGGCCCCAACAGCGCTTGGATCTTCGAGGAGCCCTTCAGCATGTTTGTCGGCCGTTGGAGCCAGCTCCTGGAGTTCTGGGCGTGCGCCACGTCTGCAGAGAAGAAGGCTTGGGGCACGCTTGTTGCGACCTTGTCGCCCGTGGTCCAGCCAGCTCTCGATGCTATCAGGAGGATCAAAGACACGCGCCTGGTGGCCTGGGACGACCTTTCGTTGATCTTCCCACCCGGCAAGCTGATGATCATTGAGCAGCCTGGCGCGGTCCAGTCCGTCGTGCGCGTCAAGGAGGGAAAAGAGACCTACGATCCCAGAGGTCAAAAGCTCTACCGACTTAGATACGAGTTCATCGACTGGGACGGCGAGACGTACGGGTTGCGCACCGGCTCGCTGGACATTCCATTTTACAGCGATTACAAGAATGTCAGCATGCCAAACCTGAGAACCATGCCTCTTGAATTCTGTCTTTTTGAGGAAGATCTCGTTGCCAAGCTGATCTTGCGCGGTCGGAAGTGGAGTTCCTTGATGGGTGTTGAGTACAAGCACTTTGCAGGCAAGAACGTGCCACTGGCGACACGAACGCCTATACAGGTGAGTGACTGCGGTCGATAGGATGGCCACATTTCTTTTTCCACAAAAGCTTACTGACAGGGACTGGCGGACCAGGCGAGTGGAAGAATCATGATCGATGCCACCGCTTTCTATGACACTAATCACGGTGCTTCGTGGTGGCCGAAACCGATCTTGACATCGTTAGCCGCGGAATGTGGTGCCGTTGGAGCACGAGAGAGCGCCAAGTCCGTCCATCTGCCTGATGATCAATGCCTGTTGGCATCTGGAGTTGTTTGTGGGTTTGATTTGAAGACCAAACAATGGTGTAAGTGGACAGGGTCTATGAGAGTCACAGTCGCTGAGCTTGCTGACCATCCTTTACAGGCCTCTTCCCTGTCGATGGCATCAGCGAGGTCACCTTCAACAACCTCGCATACGACAAACTGGTACTGCCGCCTAGCGAGAAGAAGATGGCCTGGGCATTCGTCGAGAGCAAGAACATGCTGAGTGTGTCCGACTCCGACTCCGACGACAGCACGTCATTCGACGACTTCGTCACAAGCAAGGGAAAGGGTCTCGTCATGCTCCTCTGTGGTCCTCCAGGTGTTGGGAAGACCTACACGGCGGAGGCGATCGCCGAAATGGCCGAGGTGCCTCTCTACATGATGAGCGCAGGCGAGCTGGGCTCAGTCCCGTGTCAGGTGGAGGGAGCACTTGACACGGCTCTAAATCTCTGTCGACGTTGGAAGGCCATGCTGCTTCTGGATGAGGCCGATGTGTTCCTCGGCAAGAGGTTCAGCGGCGGGAATGAGAGCATTGAACGCAACGAACTGGTTTCCAGTAAGGACCCCTTTAAATCTTGTCGACTGTGGCCCTTTGGCATTCCCCTGTGGCGAGGCAGACAGAGCGGCACCACGTTCCTTGGAGCCAGAGCTGCATCTTGTCAGCCGCGGGCCAAGCATGCGTTGTGGTGCCAGACAACAGACCTCTCCGCAGAATTCAGCAAATACGCTAACACTCATACTGCAGTCTTTCTCCGCCGCCTCGAGTATTATCAAGGCACCATGTTCCTCACCACCAACAGAATTCAGAACATCGACGATGCCTTTCAGTCCCGCATTGACATCATCCTGCCCTATGGCGACCTTACCGCCGAGGCGCGCCTCCAGGTCTGGGTCAACTTCATCAAGAAGTCAGGAGGGCCAGAGAAATTCGACCTGACCGAACTGGAAATCGAGAAGCTCGCACAGAATTATCACCTGAACGGTCGCGAGATCAAGAACCTGGTCAAGAGTTCATTGCTCGTTGCTGGCAAGTTTGGCGACACGAGTACTTCCACCGCTTCATTGTCCGATTCAGATGAGATGGACTTCGAGACCGGTCAGGCAAAGGTATCGATGGAGGTCCTGGAGACGCTGGCCGAACTGCGCACCCGAGCCCACGAGCTCATGGGGAAGACCAAAACTGGTGAGACCTAGGTCTAGAATGTTGCCAACGTGCTGGACTCGCAAATGAGCTTCGGGATTCGGAATGTCATATTCCTCAGTAGGACAGCAGCAAGATATCTGGGTAGATAGCTTTCTTCTAAGTGAGGAAGAAACACTCAACAATGCCATGGAATTTTGTGCGCAATTGAAATGTTCTGTGTGTATCCTTCGACTGATCAGAAGCCTCACATCTCTTGCTCTGTTAGATTTGTCTTTGCCTAAGTGGTGTCCGGGGTCCATTCATGAAAAGTTTATAGATCTCTCTCCACGGTTTTCAGCCCGTCCGAGGCAGGACCCGAGTGAGAAGAGGCGTCATGAGCACTTAGGATGCTTTCTCGTAGGACTCCCAAATCCTGAATCGCAACATTGACTGCCAAGCCGAATGCGAGCGGAACACATCGCCCTGAGCGAAGGTTTCGAGCTAGGCCCCCGCGAGCGGTCGTGCTGGTCACAATTTGCTCTGTCGCTGTCGATTCGGGCTGGGCGCGCGCACAGGCGGGCTGCAGCAAGGTGAGGAAGGAAACAATCTTAGCTTCACCTGGACGTTTGCTAAAGAGGAGCTGGGACGAAATTAAGCTTCGAAGGTGCCGCAAACGAGCCGAGGGGCAGTTGAAGAGACGAGGGCTTGCCAGGCCGGCTCTGAGAGCGTGTGATAAGACGACCTCGGGATTTGAGCCTCCAATTTGGATGGGCGATGTGTCAGACGGCGGTCCGTGATACGGATACGGGGAGGCGGGAACGCACTCTGCAGCGCGTGCCAGCTGATGGTGAAACTGCGGCTGTGGCTTCTTGATGTGCTGCGGTGGACTCGAGCGATCGACGAGAGTCGGCAGTCGTGCATCTCGCGGACGGAATCCCCCCCACCGGCGCGCATCACCCCGAGCTGTGCTGGTTGAGCTTTCACCCCGCGCTACGACCTAGCTGTTGCATCCGGTCCTCAGCAAGGTAGCATTCTCGGATTGAACCTAGTTGACCAATAGCTCTTGTTCCAACCTGCTCACGGAGCTGCTACCGTGCTCGGCGTGATTGAGGCCAGGACAGCTTGCCAGCTTGCAGCCTGCCCAAAGCTGTGCTCCCGTGGCAGCTTTACAGGATCTGTCCAAGCTTCCTCTGTGCCACAATGTGCGTCTCTGGGCGTTCTGAAGGATGCTTGACAGCCGATTGGGCAGCCAATAAAAGCTTGCACATGATAGACTATTCGTAAGTTTGGGGAACCGGACAGACGACTCTGAATATGCTTTTGGGCAGGGCACACATGATGGAGTTGTCCAGCCCAAGACCCAAGACAGGAGACAGGAGGGGGTTTGGCCACCTCGGTGTGGCTGTACCAGCTGGTGGGATCACACAGCATTTCCCGGTGTCAATGAGCCGTCAATAGACATGGGATTTTGAACGTGACAAGGGGCAGGATTCCCCCACAGTGCTCGGGCAGACTGCCAGACAGACAGGTACAGCACAAGGGATGGAAGAGGGGGTGCTATAATAAGGGTGTCACTGCAGGCCCCCGTGGGCACCCACACGGAACCTGCCGCGTGCCGTTGGCTGGTGATTGATTATTGGTGGTGGATCATAGTTGCTTTTTCTTCTTTTGCAGCTTGTGAGAGTGTTCATGCTGCAGTTGGCGAGGCTGATGGGGATGGTGAATGTCGTGTCTCAGACTCTCAGCATGCAGGTTGAAGGTAGGTAAAGCACGACGGAGGCGAGCCCCCCTGTTCCCCCCTCCCACCCTGGTTGCCGAAGCGAGAAGGTTCCGTATACCTTCGACGCCTAGTCCTGTTCCGTAAGAGTCACACTCCGTTTCTTGGCCGTCCAAAGGTACTCGCGACTTTTATGTACCCAGGTACCTGGTAGAGCTGCAGGCGCGCCCACTCACAAGGCGGCAATCCTCTCCACCAGCAGTCACCAGCAGTCGGTTACCCATGCACCCATGTCCAGCCCATGCCAGCAGCCCATGCCCGCCCATGGCCCAGAGTCCAGGACCCAGGACCCAGGACCCAGGACAATCTTCTCCATGCCGCGGAGACTGGAGCGTGCGTCCACTCGGCCCAGAGTCAAAGTGCCAAAGTCCCAGAGTCCCACTTTCGAACCGCACCGCATGTCTTCGATCCCATTCGACCCTTCACATCGTACCGCCCATCTGACCGACTGCATGCTTCACTTTGCGTACCACAATATCACCACCTCCTCCTCGAACTCGAAACCTGCCACACCCTGACCACCAGAGCAACACGCAGCCGCTCCTGTGTGCACACTTATCATAGTGTCGGCCCCTCCCAGCTCCACGTCCACCGGCAAAACCGAACACAGTCGCTTTCGTCATCACCTCCATTGACATCCGCCCACTCCCAAAAAGCCCGAGCTCCTTCGGCCCAACCTCCAGTCCAGTCATATCGCAGCCGCCTCGCGCAGCCTCTACCCCGTCGACGACTGCGCTCTCCGTTCCCATCGCCGAACCTGACTGCGCCTGTGTACGCCCTTGGCAGCTCCGAGATTGGTCATCAAAAGGCTCATGCCCGTCCTTTGGCTCTGTCAACCGAAGCCCATGCTTCCACCACCTCGACAAATCGAATCTTGCCTGGGAGAGTAGACCCACTCCTCTTCTCGATCCCGACTCGAACCCTCGATCCCGACTTGATTCCAGACCCACCAAACCAAGCCCAACCCTACGATCTTGCCCTCCCGCGGCAACGACCACAGCAGGAATTCACCCAAATGCCGTCCCCAACATGAACGGATTCTACCAGAACCAGCACCAGCTGGCCCAGGCCGCTGCTGCACAGCGGCGCCGCCAGCACCCCGGCCGGCCGGCCAACATGATGATGCCGCCCAACGTCAACACAGGAGGAGGGCATGGCAGCCAGCGTTCGCCTACCATGCAGCAGCCCATGATGGCCACCATGTCACCCGATACGCCCATGATGGGAGGCGACTCTCTGGACGAGATCATATCTCAAAATACTGCAACTCGGAGGAGACGGAGTGTGCCGCACCCCTTCTCGCCAAATCAGCCCCCAACCCACGACGAACCAGATAGGAGAATGTCCATGAACATGGAATTTGGGAGCAGCAATGACCATTTCAGAGGTTTTCAGTTCGACAGTCCACTGACCACCACAGCACCGCCCGCCTCCATGGCAGATGGTCTTCCGGCCTACGGCAATATGCCCAACATGACCTCGCCCATCACCATACCGCCCAATACGGGCAACTTTGAGTTCTCGACAATGTCTCCGGATGTCATGAACAACATGATGGGCTTCTCCAATCTCAGCATGGGACAGATGCAATCTGACCCGAGCGGCATGGGCCTCTACAGTAACCCAAACATGAGCCCCCAATTCGGAACCGCCGGCATGGATCAGGTATCTCCTGACTTTGCGATGGATATGAACCCAGAGAACCCGTTGAACGTCGCCACGGCCAATGCATCGGCGTCTGTCTTGGCAGACGATGGTGAAGACGAGTTGATGGTTGGAAATCAGTTTGGGAGCAACAGCTCAGGTACCCCTCAGGCGGCCCAGGGGAGCGGAGCTATGACAGCCTTCAATATGCCCCCGGCAATGGCGCGAGACGTATCAAACGCGACTTCCTTCAACCAGTCCCCCGTCTCGCCCGGTCTCAGCACCGCCAGGGGTAGTGTCGTCCCGGAGACGCCCATACCAGCTCAGGTGGACTCAGGATCAGCGACGCCAGGAAATGCCGACGTCAAATCAGAATCGAAGAACATATACTCCAAGAGTGGTTTCGATCTGGTTCGGGCCTTGTACTACATCGCCACGAGACCCAACCCAGAGATCCAACTCGGAGCCGTGGATTTGTCTTGCGCATTTGTCGTCTGCGACGTTACCATGAACGATTGTCCCATCATCTACATCTCAGATAACTTTCAAAATTTGACAGGCTATAGCCGGCATGATATCATGGGCCAGAACTGCCGCTTCCTCCAGGCTCCCGATGGCAAAGTTGAGGCCGGAACCAAGAGAGAATTTGTCGCAAATGACGCCGTTCTCAACCTCAAGCAAAAGATCCAGGAGGGCAAGGAGGTCCAGCAGAGCTTAATCAACTACCGGAAAGGTGGTAAACCCTTTCTCAATCTGCTCACAATGATTCCTATACCTTGGGATACGAAAGAAATTCGATATTTCATCGGGTTCCAGATTGACTTGGTTGAGTGCCCCGATGCCATTGCTGGTCAGGAACTGGGCAAGGTCGCGGTCAACTACAAACACAGCGACATTGGACAATATATATGGACTCCGCCAGAGGGTGACCGAGTCGAACCAGACGCTGGTCAAACACTCTCTGCAGATGATGTGTCGACTCTCCTGCAGCAACTGAAACCGGGAGGAACAAACCTGGGTGACTGGCACAAACAATCTTGGGACAAAATGCTCCTGGAAAACGCAGATGATGTCGTGCACGTTCTCTCTCTCAAGGGACTGTTCATGTACCTGTCACCATCGTGTAAGAGAGTGTTGGAGTACGATACCAAGGAACTCATCGGCAACCAGCTATCTTCGATCTGTCATCCATCGGACATCGTGCCTGTTACTCGGGAGCTCAAAGACACAGCCGTCGGCAATCACGTCAACATCGTCTTTCGAATACGGAGGAAGGAGAGTGGCTACACATGGTTTGAGAGCCACGGCTCGCTGTTTGTCGAGCAAGGAAAGGGCAAAAAATGCATCATCCTTGTGGGACGCAAACGACCGGTGTTCGCTTTAAGCAGGAGCAACATCGAGAACAACGGCGGGATCGGCGACGGTGAGCTTTGGTCAAAATTGTCAACCTCTGGGATGTACTTGTTTGTCTCTTCCAATTGCCGATCGCTGCTGGACTTACAGCCACACGACCTTGTTGGAACCAGCATACAAGATCAGATGCGAAAGGAGACAAGGCCTGAATTTGGCCGGTCAATAGAAAAGGCCAGGAAAGGGAAAATCGTCAAATGCAAACACGAGATCCAGAACAAGAGGGGTCAAATACTACAGGCCCAGACGATCCTTTATCCTGGAGATGCGGCCGAAGGGCAAAAGCCGACTTTCCTCCTGGCGCAGACCAAGCTCCTCAAAGCATCCAGCAGGGCCCTGGCTCCAGCATCATCCGTTGGGAAGGCCCCGTCACTCATAAGCGCCGGGCCTCCAGAGGACCCCCTTCAGCCATCACATGGTTCCCTGGCCTCGCCTAATCGAGGACGGGCCTCGTCTGGACCAGAACAGGGTATCATGTCTCAAGGCCAAGGAGGCACCTTGGCTCTTGGTAATCAGGATGCCGCTCTCGCTAGCGATGACAACATCTTTGACGAGCTCAAAACGACCCGTTGTTCGTCATGGCAGTATGAGTTGCGCCAGATGGAGAAGGTGAACAGGCTGCTGGCGGAGGAGTTAGGCCAGCTATTGAGCAACAAGAAGAAACGGAAGAGGAGAAAGGGTGTGGGCAATGTGGTCCGTGACTGCGCAAACTGCCACACTCGGAACACTCCAGAATGGCGCAGAGGGCCAAGCGGACAGCGGGACTTGTGCAACAGCTGTGGTCTGCGATACGCCAAGCAGGTAAGACTTCATATTCTTTCGGCCTCCATTGTGACGTTGGTCAATCGCATTTGCTAACTCATCCACCACAGACCGGCAGAGTCTCACCTCGCAACTCGTCCCGTGGCGGCAACGGCGATTCACACTCTAAGAAGTCCAGCTCGCCAAAACAATCTTCGCCGCTACATCGTGAGCTCGGCGTCGTAGATGTCCCAGCCGCATCTCTATCTCAAAATCCAGGCGCTACTGACAGCATCGGCACCGGCAGCAAGACGACACGTTCGCCCAGCTCGGCGAGCGCGCAGAACAACACTGCCAGCATTCCCACCTCCGCAAGTAACACCAGTTCAGCCGGAGGCGCGACGCCGATGAAGATAATGATGCCACCGCCAAGTCAGCCTATGCTCGAGGGCGGCTCTGGCGCGCACGGACATAGCATGAGTATGACGAGTATTGCTGAGGAAAGGGACTGAAAGAGTGGCTCGACAGAACAAAGATTCTGGCCGGCAGCCCCATCTCCACCGAATTGCGATGTCTACCGTTGCGCCCAGCCATAAGTTGACGCCATGAACCTTCTGCATCCGATCCTTATGCTCGGCCGGGCGGCGTCCCCCATAATTGGCCGGACGACCCACTAAAAGATCTTTGCTTGCTTTTGCTTTTTGAGATACCATGATGTTGCTGCGCTTTTGGGATGGGATTGGCAATCTATTTGGATATGACAGCGTACTTACTGGAGGGGCATTTGAGCGCCGCTCCCTTGGGAACGAGACATGGTGCGTAGGGAAATAGGCGGATTGGGACATGCTTGATTATCTTTCGCAGCGCACACACTGCGTGGGACCCAGCGTAACGGCAAAGGGCGGGTACTTGTTGATATTTTTGTTAGATCTAGACCACTGGCTTCTCTCTCTGCTGGATTTTGCCATTCACTTGGAACATCGAAGCGGATCAGTCGAGCGGGCGAAGCGGGCGTGGAGGTCGTTGTTGGGGCGGCCCGAGACTTGCTTCTCTCACATCTTTCATGTTGGAAGCTATTTTTGTGTGCGAGGGCCTCTTGAAGCTCAAATAAAACCTCAAAAACCTCTCGGTGGTTTTGCTTGAGCTACCTCACTCATTGGAGTTGCTTGGGGGCCCAAGAATAACGAAAACGAAAGGTGTACGCGCTGGATTTGGGGGGGACCGCTGGGAAAGAAAGGCGGGTTTTGGTTTTTCTCTCGCGTCCCCCCTTTTTTCCTGTGCTCTTTATTTTTCTAGTGTTTATACTTGGAAGCCTCCTTCTACATACCCTCTGAGTGGATGCCCTTATGGCGGATATACGACGCTAATGTGCATGAATGATATGGATATTTCAGGAACTGCTCTCTTCTGTATGTTTTGTTTTCGTGTGAAGGGCTAATTCGTTTGCACGGCTTGTTGGGGCCCTCATGGAGGTGTTCTCACTGGACATCGTCCCAGTGGGGGTTTGTGCTGGACTTTTTTTACGCATGCGTATCGAATCTCAGAGAGTTGCAGATCTGGATTCGCTTGTGCCACGACATTCTCCCCCAGGCATAGCAGCGATTCACCTTTGCAGCGACTTTTCACGTGAACACATCAGCGGAAGGTATGCTTAACCCTTTGCCTCACAAAACAGCAGTTCCAGATCAACGAACACCTCCCCTTCTCTCTCACCCAACATTCTCCCGCAACTTACATCATCTGACTTCACCAGACGGTCGGCTGTTTGCTGCGTCTTCAAGCCTGGAAACTGAGTGGAGTTTTCGAACTTGTAGGTCAACCTTTTGTGCATCTCGAAATCGTCTTTCTAAAATTTACAAGCCTTCCTCCCCCACCACAGCGAAAACAACAACTACGACGCCAACAGCAAGAGCCACCTGCGCTATGGCTGAGTTCATTCGAGGATCGCGATTCATTCAAGCTTCTGCTGATTCAACGAAATCAGCTGGTGTCACAAAAATGGCAACAACCTCTTTCGATCTCGTCTCCAATGAGACTCAGCAGAAGATGGAATTGTTCTTGGACGTAGCATGGAGTCGTTTGAGGGCTTCGGGCTTCACTCATAAGGCTTGCAAACAACGCTTCATTGAAAGCAGGGATAATTTCAGGGAGCGAACTGTCCGCATGGCGGTGCAGGCTTGGAAGACGGATCTCGCGGCTTGTACTGCTGAGTTTTTCGTTCAGCGATTTGTCGAGACGATGTTCTACGGCGCCTGTAACTGTAGGTCATGTCCCCAATCGTTATGCCCTTATGTCTGACAAACGAAGACATCTCTAATGTTTTAATCTGCAAATACAGACAAACTGGCCCGTTTTGGGTCATTCACTACCGCGACAGACAAAGTGCCACTCGCGCCGGAGTTTCTGGAGGCGATTGGCATGACCGAGGCCGAGGTTCTGCAACTGTCGATGCTCAAGAGCCCCGTGGAGGAAGGCAAATCAAATATGCATGTGGTGTCAGACCATATCAAGGCATCAACTTCGCGACCGGTAGTACCAAATCCTATGGCTGCGATACATGTATCGAGAGCGCTGGAGCAGTGGATGAAGGGCGTGCAATTATCCGACAACGATACATCGACGCTTGGAACGAGGAAGAACGATGAGCCCGAGGCAACTGCACGGAAACATGGACGCCGAGATGATGGGCAGAAGATGCCATTAAGCTCTTCCATCACGAATTCTAAGCCTGTGCAATGGACAGGTGTTCCCTTGACTGCCGCGGAACAGCACCTTATGAACACCGATCTCATGAACGTCATCTGGAACACCAAGATCAGTGAACGTCTCAAGCCTGATCATGGGCCAGGAATCTTCGAGGTGAGAATCCTCAAGGACGCGGCCTGGTCGCTGCTCGGCAAGGACATCAACAGAGTCTTCGCACTGATCGCCCTGCGGGGGCCCATTCGACTTCACACATTCCAGTCGGGCAGGTTCTTGCACATCGGTTTGTGGATCAAGCGAGGTCAGACTGAGGGAGAGATGGGCAAGGTGATCCACTACAGCATGGTGGAGATGTTCCGCCTTCTGAGGCAGTGGTCTCTTCAAGCACAGGACAGTGAGAAGGCGCAGTGCCTCGCGGACTTTCTTGAGGTTTGGTATCGCTAGACCCTCTAGTTTGACACACCGTCCATTCATACCAGCCAGGAAGGCCCTAGGACACCTCTACAAATAGAAATCAACAATCTGTACAATCGCTTTCCTTTCGTTTGCTTGGTATGCGTGTCTTGCACATTTTGCGGACGTAGCCTGGCGCTTTACGGGGCTATGCGTTTTAATTGACAAACGGCAATGGTGACTCACATTTCTATTCGTTTGTAAAAGATAGTTTATAGAAGTGTGCTGCAGTCGATATAGAAGCGCTGGGCTCACCACTTATCAGGCTCCTTGACCCCGCCCTGCCCATCGCGGGGCCCTCACCACAACACTGACCTGCCATCCCACCCACCATCACGCCCCTTCTTGTTTCATCTGATACCAAGACAAGATCTCGATCTACAGAATGTGAGTCAGCGACAGGGGTCTGCGCCGTGGTCGTCGCCGCCGTGCAAGGGCAGCCGGGAGCGTCACCGGGCAGCCCCACTACCGCGGCTGTCAACACTTTTGCAAACGGCCATTATTCAATTCACTTTTTCTGTCCAAATTCACTTTCTGAATTCACTTTCAAACTGCCTGCCGATTCCTAGAATCATGTGATCGTGGCCTGTGCTTCTGTCGACAGGAATATATAAACCTCGACCTCCCCCAGCTTCAAACTTCCTCCCTTCGACAACCTTCGACAACCAACCCAACTTTCAGTCCCTAAACTGTTGTCGCAGTCTCTTCTTTCATCTGACAACCTCACACAGAAACTTGACCATTCTGTTGTCGTCGTTCTGATCAACTGCGTACTCTCCCCCTCAGTCACCTATCTTCATCACTTTGCACATCTCCATTGCGAGCGAGACCATCCTCATCATCGCACTCAATCCAGACATCTCTGTCTTGAGTTGCGCGGTCATTCAGCCACTGCCTGAGAGCCATCTAGCTGATCAGGAGGCCCATCTGTAGCTTCCACCTCGTGGTGCTCAGGTTCGTCTCCTGTGGCCAGATCTCAAGATTGAGGAGTGGCTAATCTCAGCAGATCTCATAATCAACTACTACTCACAGCCAAAACAAACCCTGAGAATCAATCACCTACTACGAGGCCAAACCCAACCACAATGTCTCCTCGAGTCTGTTCGATCAAGAAGTTCACCACAAAGCTCGACGCCAAGATTGAGAAGCTCAAGCTCAAGATGCGAAGCACCCAGGCAGCCAAGGACAACGAGGAGAAGCTAGTCATTACCAAGCTTATCATCACTCCAAACCTCAAGACCGTCGGTGAGAGCAGCGACGGCGACAATCAGTCGATCAGCCCCGCCTCAACCGTTGAACAGCAGAAGAAAGCAAAGCGGGAGGCCAGGAAAGCGAAGTGGGCCGCGAGACGCACCCAATTCAAGCAAAAGGCAAACAAGACAGCTAAAGCCATCGCGAAACCTCTTCTCATCATTCTCGGGGCTATTTTCGGTCCGGTTCTGCTAGCCATCGACCTTGTCATCTGGTTGATTGCCTTGGTGGTCAAGCTGGTGCTGAGCATCTTGGTGCTGCTCTTTGCACCATTCTACTACTGCTTCACGTGGTAAAAGTGAGTTCTCAGACTGCGGCAGGGTTGGTTTTGAGAGAGCTTTGCTAATCATAGAAGCCACAGATACACAGTTGTGGTCACAAATCTACGGATTGGTCCTCAGGTCCAACCGAAGACTGGGGATGGCCTGCTCAGCCCATTAGAGTTCATCTTAGTCGGCGCCGAGAAACACTACTTTGAGGCAAAAGACCAGATTGGCTCATTCACAAGACATTTTGGGGAGGTGCGAGGGAACAGAGGCACACATATCATTTTGGAAATGCGGAGTTCATGAATTCCGGACTTTTAGGAAAGCGAGGCGTTTGACGGAGCGTTGATTTTAAGACTTTTGTAACGCAATACAACAAGAGTCTCACATATTATTTGATCCTGTAAATCAATGTGACTGTTAACCCACTGTAGTGCTCATTAAGGCAAATGCTTTTGTAAAATATCAACTGCACCAGGCTTATGATCCCCCCGTCGTCAGGAAATCTTCTAGTTTGCAAAGATGGTAGCAGGCTGAAAACGGTGCTTTAGATAGCTTCGAGATTGGTCTGCTTTATCCGTGCCTTTTTAATTGTCTCATTTTCTTCCTCCAAGCATGACCTGCCATGGGGCGTTTGTGCTGCTGAGATCCATGTTTAGCTTGCGTTGCTGATTTACGTCTCGTCAGACCATTTGTCCGCGGCCAACCCCTCGTTTACACCCGGTCCATCGTCCGGATCACGAATGACTTTTGAACAAGCAGCATGCAGCTAGTAATCAGATCTACAGAGCTGGCGACGGTGGCCCGGCGCTCCTCCCCGCCCCGCCCCCGGGGGGGGGGTGGCTCCCCGGGACCGTTGTTGCTGGCCGGCGAAGCTAAGCGGGGGTTTGATGAGTTCAATTCACTTTTCTTTCCAAATTCACTTTTGCTGTCAAATTCACTTTTCAGTTACTAGTGGCCTGTGCTTTCGGCGGCAGTAATTATATAAACCTCCAACTGACAACGGTAGCTTCGACTTCCTTCCCTTCAACAAACACTTCGACCTTCCCAATTTCTTTGTCAAGCGTCGCTTTCTCGTCAAAATCTTCTTGGTCAGACTGTGTGAACAATCGTTCTCTTCTCTCCATATCACAGTTGACTTCTTGTCCCTTAATACGTCACCTATCTTTTGACAACACCTTCACATACCGTCACTTGCGGTCTCATCACCACCACCCCTGACAGCCAGTCCTCCACCTCCAGTTTAGGCTGATTCGGCGAACCACGCGTTGGCCCATCAATCATAGCAATCAGGGTAACAAAGCGTCGCCTGCTGGTACCGTACCCTCATTGCCAACCCTCGAGCTGCGTCGACAAGTAGACCATAAGGTAAGGAACCTGACAGAAGCTTTTGTTTCCTGTACTAGGCTTACAAACTTCATCAGCTCATCGCGAGTTCACTTCTGGGACACCAAAAGCCCATCAAACAAACACATACATCGCACACCATGCAGCAGTCGGGATCGATCATCTCGAGCTCGTCATCCAAGATGTCGCACAGCACCAACCCCCTGAAGAAGGCCGGTAAGAAGCTCGACAGGAAGCTCTACAAGTTGAAATCGAAAATCAGCAAGTCGAAGGCGGTCAATCAAGAGTGTGAAAAGCCAGCACTCACCGCGGGGCCCGAGGCAATCAATGAGGGGATGGGCAGCAGCGGAAACTCCATTGACCTCAAACCAAACCAACAAGACATCAAGACAGCGAAGCGAGACGCACGAAGAGCAAAGTGGGCGGCAAGGCGCAAAGCCTGGAAACAGTTTGCAAAGAAGGCAGGAAAGGGAATGGTGGTTTCAGGCGCCATCATTCTCGGTCTGGTCTTCGCTCCTGTGGTGTTGGTCTTTGACCTCACCATCCAGTTGGTGGCCATGGTGATCGGGCTGGTGATAGAGATACTGGCCATCATTTGTGCGCCATTCTGCATTTGCTTCTCATGAAGGTATTGTCCTGCAAAAGAGAGATCGTTAAATGAGGCGCCTTGGCTAATACTTACATGTACAGTGGCGGCCGAAGCGCGCAGAAGCTCTACTTCTACAACTTGACGTTGCGAAGTTTGGGGTGGTGAGAGGGGTTGGACAGACTGAGTGGGTGGGTTCGCCTGAAATCACAGTACATGGACGGGGTTTTGGTATATCCTTTTTGCATTTGCATGGTGTTGGAGACCTGGGCAGTCATCGAGATTTAATGCAAGACCTGAGCATTCTGGCGAGCTGAAATCATTAAAAAAAGCCATAGGGTACCGCAACAAAGTGTTTGACCCGCCTGCATCGTGACGACATATTTTGGAGGTGATCAGATTGTGAAGGAATCTATGCCTCGGTAATTTATCTTACAGTAGTAGTTGTCGACGGTGAGTGATCCGAGAAAGGGAGAGGAAACCAGCCTCAGTCTGGAATTTGCAGGCCTGAACCATTTGCAAGCGTGCCTTTCTGAGCTCTGCGCTATACAATGGACCACTACTCCTGCTGCTTGAGACAACATGAAGCTTAGCTCGTACCAAGTGAACAGTTCCCTGGGTCAATGCTCGAAGACAACTGGCGAAGAGGCGAGGGACAATAAAATGAATGTGTAGATTAGTGGCCATCTAATCTCGCGATACAACAGCTTCGGTAAAACCAATAAATGACAGATATAACAATGAGCGTAGAGAAAATGGATGTCATCCATGCAGCTAATTCCGCGATAGACATTTTGAGGCCTTCATTTTGGATGACTTGAAGAATAGTCCGAATTTCACGATCCCTAGAGCATGCCATGAGAGCCCACGACTTAAGAGAGACAAAAGGCTCCGATAGCAACCTCGAATTGGGCATCCACCTGATCGCCGAGCACACCAATCAGATTCTCGTACGAGATGTCAACTCCGGGGTTGTCAGCACGTCGTTCCTCACGGAGTCTGGGATGCGATTGGCTTATTTAAGTTCTGAACTTACAAACAGCCTCAACGGTCTCCAAGAGGAGTTCCACCTCGACCAGCAAAGATTCAAGGGAGGCACAAACAACACCGCCAAATCCGCTGGCAGAAATTTGGGCAGACTGTGAGAAACGGGTCACAGCGTGTCAGCTTCAACGTTTCATCCGCAATAAGAAATAAAAAGGTTGCTAAAAATCCCTAAATTTCTCCTACCTTGCCCTGAATGCTGCCAACGGCGCGCGACAGAGAGGTAGTAAAAAGAGCGACGTCGGGATAGACAGCCGCCGAGTCTGCGACGCTGAGGAGTCCGGAGACGAGGACGGTCTGCGAGACCGAATTGACGGTGATGCCAAGCTGGCTGAAGGAGGTAAGGAAGGCCAGCGAGTTCTCCGTGGTCGTGCCGTCAAAGGCGGCGACGGCGTTGTTGAAGTTGGTGATCTCGCTGCCGGCCGTCGCAATAGCGGCCTCGATACTAGCCACGTCGGCGACGCGCATCTCGATGCTCGAGACCTGTTCCTGACCCTGCCGCTTCTCGGTTGAGACGATGTTGCTGGCGAGGGCGCTGCCAAGGAGGCCGAAGATGGCGAGGGCGGAGAAATGCATTTTGCGTGGAAAAGAGTCGAAAGGCGGCTGGCTTGATGTCTTTGTTGGTAGAGCTCAATATGTGCGATGGGAACGACTGAATTGATTCGATGATGAAGTGGAATCGGGGATTATCCAGCTTCATAAGAAGACGATCTTCAGTCTATTTTATAGACATGTCCATCTACATCATCGCACCGACCTCGAAACGAACGTTGGCGCATCGCACACATCACTCGCTCGGTTGATGGCCTGAAGCCATCATATGTCCAAGAACCAAGAACGGAGAGAAACTATCGAAAGTGTAAATTGCCCAGGATCGAATTTCTTGAAATAACGACCAATTCAATCACTTGGACTGCAGATGCAATACGATACGACTTCTTGTCCGGCACTTGGAAAGGCGACGGGTTCCCACCATGAAACTCAAGACGAACAAGGTGCTGCGTTCTTGAGTCGATAGCTCTCAGCCACTGCAACGTTAGGTGTCTTCATGCGGTTGGCATAAGCACGTGCAGGTGGGAGCAGACTTGGGATGGAGTGGAACTGCGACTTGCAGACTGCTTGGCCTTTCTTGAGATCAGCCGTCTCGATCGCTCGATTACCTACACAGCCTCTAAAATGTAGCTGACCTAACAAGCTTTGTGGTCAAGAGATTGGTGTATTTCATAACTAAATGAAGCAAACGGACGATGAAGTCATGTTCTAATCCCAACAAATCTGTAAATAGAATTTCGTAAGGTCCAGATGATCTTTTATGGAAATGAAACATCTGGAATCTGCTTAATAGACTCGTTGTCTAACTCTAGGCGAATTACTAGGACATTTACAGTTGAGCTTGCAGATGTCTCCCTTTTTATGGCGTTTGTGCCAAGTCGCAATGCGGACCGAAATCTGAGACAAATGTGTTGTTGACTCTTAAAAGCAATCTCGAGTGGCTCAGTGATACATCCATTACAAAGATCGCCGTCTGAAGTCATATTTTCTACGATAATTGACTCCCAGAGAGACTTGGCCAAGGTCACACGGTCCGTCAGCTTTGTCTGCGACACTCTATCCTCAAATAAGTGTTAGCAATCTCGTATATTTCTCATATTCCATACTCTCAGCTGACATCAACGAAGGGAGTCGTTTGCTCTCGCTCTCAAAGATTGATCCACCCAGCCTACAGTCAGACTAATTTTGCACATAAGAGGTGGGGACTTCCCAGTGATTCACTCCTTGTTTCCACCCCAACCCAGGTCTACCCAGCTGGGCAACAACTTTCCTACCACAAGTTGCACGACAACACTCATCAAACTCCCAAGCCAAGACCTTTCTCAGGCATCACAAAGACAAGATGCAGCTCTCTACTGGTGTCTACTTCATCTCCACCATCGCCACCAATCCCTGGGGTGAGCGCTGGGTCCAGCGCAACGAGGTCGAGGACAAGACCCTGCTCCCCAAGCCCGTCGCCATTCAGGTCGAGGAGGCTGGCGCCGCCGAGGTAAGTACCAAGCCCACGGCCACCGTGAGAACATCTCGCTAACGGGGTCATCCTTGCAGTGGTTCGTCGAGCAGATCGACGACAACAACTTCAAGCTCTCGGCCGGCTCCATCTGCGCTGACCCTGCTGGAACCATCAACAATGATGGCAAGCTCTACGCAGATCTTACCGGCGCTGCTGCCCAGAACTGGACTGTGACCGAGTGCCAGACCTGCGAGGAGGGTGTCTTCATGTGAGTCACTTGCCTATGTTGTTAACTGTGAACTACATCGCTGACTTTGTGCAAAGCATCACCGATTCGAATGACCATGGAGTGACCTGGCAGACGCCCGCGATTGTCGGCGGTGATTCTCAGGTGCGTTTGGCTTAACAAATTTCTCTCTTCACCATTTTTGGAAATCTTGCTGACCAGTGGCATCTGGCTAACAGATTCTGCTCGATACCCTGATCATCCCGCTCATCTATCCTCCCAAGTACCCGCCGGCCGCGCAGTTCAAGTTTGCTGCTGTCGGCGATGTCGACTAAGAAGGGAATGGCACCGCAAATCTGTGGAAGGGGAAGTTTTTGGACGCAGAGCCACATTCAGACTCGAGAGAAGGAGGCATTCACAGCACAAGGAGGTTTGCTAGTGGTCACTTGTTGGTTGGTTCGGGCCACACCGTAGCACAGCAATGAACCTTCCCTTCATTGAGACCCAGAAGTTACACTGTCTTGTCCAGGTCATCGCGCACAAAAGATAGAGCCCGTTGAATTAATCGCTGGTTATTCAAAAGCGAGATCCAGCTTGTCGAAGCTTCTCCTGTGTAAGGCAACTTCTGTGAAACAGAGAAATAATCCTGTGTCCTCCAAAAAAGGGAAGTAAAGCAAACTCGGCTCGAGTGCGATAGAAGAATTTGATGACCCCAAAATCAAACCAATCCCGCTCCACCCAAACTCTTAGCAGCCCTTCCAGATTCCACGCTACTGAGCCCAATGGTAAAGTGCGATCCCCAAGCCAGAGGCGTTGTCAAGCAGGGGCCTCTTTCCACGGCCATTGAGAGACATGTTATCAATCTCTGACGAAGATCCCTCAAGGAATCTCATGTGTGTGGGTGACATAGCTTATTCGTCTTGCGACATACCCTTAGGCATTGCCGGTGGCAGAGGCATGCTGGGAGGCAGAGGCATTCCGGGTGGCACAGGCGTTCCGGGCTGCACAGACGTTTCCGGAGGAGGGGGCATTCCGGGTTGTAGAGGCATCCCACCAGGTAAAGGCATCCCGCCAAATGGTGGCATACCGGGTGGTAGGGACATTCCGGGACGTAGAGGCGGTCCCGGAAGCATCTGTGCGTCCGTTGGCAGCGTCGTGAACAGCTGCTGGCGGCGTCTGGGCTGGTAATCGCCGCTCAAGGGCGAACGATGGCTCGCCGGAGAGTCATGGCTGGGCTGAGAACGACCGCTCGGTCGAGGTTGGTGGCTCTGTTTCAAGTGTTGGTATGTCTCTTGTATCTCAGAAATCCCTCCCATGTTCTTTTGTTGGCTGAAGCTCGAAGTTGACGAAGAGCCGTGGTGCTTGGGTCGCTTGCTGTGACGATTTCTGCCTTGTTCGTGATGATGACTGATTGGAGTGTACCCATACTGCTCTTTCATATATCTGAGAGCCTCATGTTTTCGGCATGGTGACCATGCGACCTTCCAACCACGTTGATTGTCGTTACTCTCACATGTTTCTTTTTGTTTGACGCATTTGGAGTGCTTGGGCTGGCTCTCGCAATGAAAAGATTTCGTCTCGGGTCTGTGATGCTTCATTGTTTTGTTACGTGGCTAGGCAAAACGCATTAGTTTTCATTCCCTCGATTGACGGACATTGACAGTATACTTGGTAGGGTTCTGCGAAATAGAAGATCACTCTTGTCTTTCCCTATAACTGCGAGTATCATCGACGATAAAACTTTTTGCGTTGTCAGGAGGTATGAAGCACATTTCACAATATCCCTTGTCCAGAGGCAAGATATTTATATTCCTCAATAACACTCGTCACTTCGCTTTGTAATACAATGTGATATAGTCAGTCACAGACACTCAGTGATACTGTTGATCCACGGGGCGACCTAAATTCAATAAAACATGTGACTTGATTAGCTGTGACAGTGACAATAGATCTGGCTAACGTCCATGACTCCTTAACTCGCAGTAAGGACAAGCCAACTCATCTTCTCGAGCGTGTCGTAATCGCCTGTGCTTCCCGCCTTTACCCAATAGCTGTATTTTTCTGCTCCAGCTCCAAGTGTGGTAGGTAAAGTCGAACTGTTTATATAAATCCAGCATAGCAATTCGGGGCGATTCATGTTGTGCAAGTTTGTTTGGTCGTCAAATACCATGTTATGGAATAGGCTAACCTGATGTCGCCAGCATCCAGAAGGAGATCTTCTTTCTTTTTTCTCCCCCACCCCCAGCACGTTACATCTTATTTGGCGTACTTCATTAATTTAAGGTACTTGATAGAGCAATAATGAATCGTCTTCTCGATTGAGGCTCAACACTAACATCATCTTTTTGAATCACTCGTCCGAGCAGGCGAGGAAGGCTTTCAACCCGCAGTATTGCATGATCGCTTTTCATTTGAAACCGAGCCTCGAATCTACTCAAATGCTATGAACATGAGACATAGCTCTATGCAGAAAGGCACACCATGCTGGCTCCCGAAGAGACATGAAGACAACCCTAGCTCAAGCAACTCGAAGGCCTTGGCACTTGTAATACTAGTAGCCGCGCCAGCTCTCTTCCACATGGACATAACTCCCCGGCCTTCAACGTTCATACTGAGAGCGTTGTACCTCAGTCCATCGCGATCTGTCTATCTGGTAGTCCGGGGCTGTAATCACACCTGGGGTATGACCTGACTGGTAGAGATTATCAGGATGTACGTCCACCCACCGATCTCGTGCCACTTTCGGTTCAGCCGTGGTGCTCTGAGCCCTCAAGTCGGCTTCAAGAGCTTCAAGCTCTTCCCGAAGGCGCATGTCCTCATTTCCTCCGTACTCCTCAGCAAAAGGCATGGGTTCATCGCCGTCAAATTCGTCAGCATAGGGCATCTCTTCGCCGCCTTCATACCCTCCCGAGTAATACTGGCCCTGACCGTAGCTCATGCCTCCATTTCCAGGCATATCCCCATATGGCACATTGCCTGAGGGGGGCATGCCCGGGTCCACTAGCCGGCTCGACCTCGTCGGACCAAACGGCCCAGAGTGTACGCTGCCGCCGGACTCCACCAGGTCACCATCCTCCGGTCCTACAGGTGGCGCTGCCGCGGCATGTCCCTCGGCTCCGGCCGTCTCACCCGGCTCATCCTGCGGTTGTTGGGCCGGCGCTCGCTGTCTGGATGGCCCGGCCTCGTCACCGTGTCGATGTCTGCCTCGGCCATGACGCGATTGGCCTGAATCAACTGTAACGTTCTCATTGATCCAGGTATCAGCCTCTCCCTTCCGGCACGGCTGCCACTTGACTACGCAACGGTAGCCGTGGTGGTGTAATCCACTTTGAGAGTCCCACTTATGCTGACAGTTTCGGTGTTTGCTCTTGCATGGAAGAACTTTCTGTTCATCTTTGGTCTTGTGGTGACCATGGTGGTGTTTCTGGTTTCCCATGTTTACTGTAAGAACTTGTACAACACACGTTAGCTTCAGCTTTCACCCTCTGATAATTCTTGAAGCACCTCCAAGCTTTTGCAGCAGTAAACCTTTGTGTGCCTTGTCTGAAGGTGGTGGTTGTGTGCGCTTTTGTGTGTCTGTTGTCAGGAAGCGAAAGTCTTGGTGCTCTGTTCCCTGGGACTTGTCGCCAACCTCGCAAGACCGCCAGTGTCCACTGGCGAGTTATTTATACTCTTCGAATGAATCCATCACTGTGCTTCGTGATGAGCTCAGGAATGGGATTCCGAAGACAAGATGTGATGTTGTTGACTCACGAGACCTTATCTCTAAAAAAACATGCGTGGAATCTAATGGTGACATCGATAGAGAGCCCATACTCATGTCCTTGATACTTAGTAGCTGGGCACATAGTCTTTGACTCAGACTTAAGCGTTTGTCATGATGCACATTGTTCCTGGTCTTCTCAGCACGCGTGTTCCTTTCTGCGTTGGTGATCGCATCAAATCGAGGTTATAAAGCTAAGCCTTCCTCTGGACAGACTACTCATACAAACCAGCGGCATCAATGGACACCGTAGACATCGTGAGAAGTCATATCTTCATGCCCTTGGCTATATCGATTCTTTGCAAGTGTCACTGATGACAAAGCGGTGCGACAAGTGGCACAAAGTTGATGCTGTTGGGCTTTCATATTGAAAACAATACCGCCCGCCATAACATATTCAAAACTAGAAACTAGTGTTCAGATTTAGATATACTCTGAGAAATGCTTGGATTGACTTGTGTTTTACCTGTTAGTTGCAAATACTCTTATGAGATGTTGCACATGAGCAAGTGAAGTAATTACACCATGACATAAATGCCGGCCCCCATCAGGGGCGGCAGAACTCCACACCCACGCAGTGGAGATTTCGATGCTCCTCAGACCGCTCGAAAGAAATCCGCCTATCTTTTGATAAATAAAGCCATCATTTCACGAGCATAGTATGAGCTTGGTCATGAAATAATAAAAAATGCCTATCTCGTAAAGTGAACAATAGTGCCGAAGGAAACAAGAGCGTTGCTTGATTATCTCGACAGCTTCATCTGGCCAAGCAGCAGACGTCATGCAGGATTTCATCCGTAGACGAAATCTGCTGGGGGCCGCATAAGTAATACAGGCCTGGTCTGGAGTGGTCCAAGGCCCAAAGGCACTACCTTCTGCTCTGGCGCTTAGTTCTGCCACCTATGATAAGGAGACGGTGCCTCGGAAGGCTGCCTTGCGTCTTCAGCGATGTTGTGTGATGCGCCGAAGCCTTCTAGCCCACCATCAACCCATCGTGACGCCTTGTACAAGCCCTGCCTCAAATAGACTGCCGCCGGCCCCCAATGCTGCAGGCGTGGCTTGGAGGGGGACGGGACGAAGTGTCATTGAAGCTGCTCAGTGGATCATGTCCTACGCGATAGGCCTCAGGCGCTCATCATCCAAGATGAGCTGTCCAGCAGACCCTGGATGGGGGTCATGACCGTCTTGTGCGAACCAGGAACACCACTGAGATGCTTCTCCAGCCCTTGTCTATCGACGTGCCGACAAGTGACACCTGGGTACTTCTGTACGTCACATGCCATGTACCCAGATGTATCCAGACACAGCACCCTCTATAAGGGGTGCTTCTAACATTGAAAATTGGCAGTACCACCGCCGGCGCGTCGTACGTGAAAATATCCTGCTGCCTGTCCTGCCGCGCAGCATTGATGCAACAATTCTCAACTTATGCCCTATTTGGCGAGCTGCAAGCGACATGAAACTTAACACGGCATGCCCCCACGAAGCGCCATGTTGAGTTGTATTCTGATGGGGCAGAAGAGGCATATTGGCAATGGTAATGCCTTGGGTATCCATGAACATCCAGGGGCTTCAGCAAGGCTTGTCTTCCGCCCGTCCTTCACGCGCGGTTTTCCGGATAGCAACAATTGAGGATAGGGACATTGAAAAACTGCCGAGGATCTTAAGGAGGTTTCAAAACTAATCTAGCTCGTCTTGCAGCGTATCGCGCGGTGAATGGTCCCGTTTAGTTAAGGACCATCGCATCACATCATGATCCTCAGCCTCCACCATGTCAAGGCAGCGATATCAGTTGGAGGATATCGTTCGTCATGTTCATCCCTTTCATGAGGTCGGCCCGTTACACGGCCAGGTGATTTCGGAGTGGCCGGCGACTGGAGACCTTCTGGCATGTGCGTGGGTAAAAAGGGGAGATGAACAAGTGTGAAGCCATCTCCACGATGAATATGATATGGCCCTCGTCAATTCCTCCCGAAGCCCTTTTAAGATGACGAACAAAAGTCCGCCAAGACCTATGGAGACTTGACTTCCCGAACCAGCTAAATCCACACGCTACAGGGCGGGAAGGATTTCTCGAGGCAATCTGCTTCCTCCGCCGATGTCATCCAGATCCAAGCCTACTGTAGCGGGAGATTTGAGGACGGCACCGCCCAAGCCTAGTAATCCTCACTGTCATGCACAACGGCCCGAACTCATCGGTCTTGGCTACCCAAGGTGGCATGGAACCGGTGTTACTTGAGCGTTCTGTTTGTTTGGTTTGCCATATGTTGACATTTTACCCCGGATTGTGGAAATCGCGAAAGGGATAAATACCGATATGACAAGGCCTTGGCCCTAGCTGGAAGCTGAATAAAAAATGCTGCTAAATTAAGAATCTCTCTTGGTGGACAGTCTAAGTTGGTCATGAATGTCTGTGTCCTTGTCATCACGTTGTCCATGTGATAGCTTCAACTGTGGTGAAACTTTGACTCCGCGACTTTGACCGCCGGGAACAAGCTTGTAGGAGTGACCCAGTATATCCAGAATTTCAGAACCCACCCGAGTAATCCTTCCACTCTGCTCCGAGTTCCGTGAGACAATGAGTATCTCCACAGAGCAGCAAAACCACAGCGACCCATCCCTCTTCTTCGCCCCCCTCGGGAATTAATACCCCCAATATCTGCCCTACGCAATTGCCCGAACAATTCCCTCAGCCCACACCAGAACAGATCCATTTCTCAAAGCGGGCAACCCAAGTGAAAAAAAAGCGCGGCGGCGGTCACTTCCATGCAAGCATGTGGGTTGCGGGTTGGAGCGCCCCGTCCGACCGCTCACCACTCACGGCCCCGAGAATTCTGTTGCCTGGAGCCGGGGGGCAAAGGGGGTTGCAAGCCACTTGGCTCTTCTGTGCCGGCGGCGGGTCCCAAGGGAACCTTTGGGTTGTTGAGAATTTCACGATACAGGGGACTGAACCACCATTGCTGCGACGCTGCGAGAAGTCAATGCTTGAAATTTTGTTCTGAATGGAAGGGGAATCGATGTCAACCAAGGCATGAGTTGTCGTCGTCGTTGGCGATGATATGGGGAGACCCCCCTTCCCCCGGTCATCTTTAAGAGCGTCTGCAGTGTGGAATCCAACCATCCGAATCCGGAAATACGGCCATTTCATAATGGTTAGAGCCTGGATGATCATCTCTAAGTTCATCCGTCATGGCTCGGTCCGTTTTACGTACAGCTGGTGTATCAGGCCTTGGCTGACCACCGGGTGAAGGGCAGCCAGGATAGTCTGCATAGATCAACAACACCAAAGGACCTCCCCAGTGTTGCGGTGCATTCCCGAGTACTCGACATGATCTTCCCACGGTAAGCCGTTTCAAGAAATACAGATGCCTAGAAAGATGACAAGCACCTATCACAACTCTCCGGCAGTACTTCACCACACCAGGCGGCCCAGAGGGTACCTCTCCCTTGTAAACATAATTGGTCATGAAACAACTGCTCTCGCGCCCTAACCCCAGAGACGCATAGCAAACGCCTTCAAGCCCTTAATTCAAAACCTCCAATCGACCAGCTCACCGTCCGTGAGCAGCCTCTGCTTTCGAACAAAGCTCCGGCAAGCTCCAGCCAAGGTAAGATTTATCTGGACATCAAACAGACACGCCATCAAGAAGCTTTCCGCAATAGCTCCAAAAATAGCAGTGAGCCCCACCCCACCTCCCGCGGCGAGCCTCCGTGCAACCCCTACCCGGCAGTGCCAATGCTACGCTGATGCCGCGCAAAACTTAACATACATAGTCCAGAGACTATCAACAACTAATCCCGAGTTACCCATGGGGCCGAGTCTCAAACACATTCGAAAAGAGGACAAAAAAGATAAACAAATTCTCTTCCATAGCGCTCGTCCTAAAATCTGACTGGCGTAGACGAGGTATTGCAGCAGCACCCAAGCTCCTTCAGCTAACTCTTCCGGGAAGCTTGGGGGGGCGCGCGGGTGAGGCGGTTCAACGTCGATATCAGTCTGTCTGCTTTTGGACGAAACATCGCCGCCTTCATGCCAACGGGCGCGGCTGGGGACGTACAATTACCTTCGCAACGTAAAACAAAAACGGGCGAGGACCAAGCAGATCAGATGAATAGCCTGCAGAGTGATCTTCTCACATTGGCGGTGAACATTTGAAAAGCAAAAAGGATGATTCCGTTGCCAGCGTGGAACACAAATTGCCAGGTCATGACGAGTCAACGAGCCCACGACCTCGCCTCCACGGCGGTCAAAGACAAACCTGTGATATCACCCACCCGGGCTTCAGGCACTGCTCAGCTCACGCCACTATCAAACAATGAGGTGTTATGACGCCGTGCCACCCCACGCCCAACCACCAAGCCCTCAACGGGCTCACAAAAGGACAGTTGAAGCCACCACGCAAGATAGACCCCAACATTCCTATGTATGTAACTAGAGAAGGGAGCTCTCGATCCGCATGCACACATGACCAAGGCTGGCCGGGCCCGCAGGCCAGGAGCGGAAATCAAAAAGGCCCATCCACAGGCATGTTACGACAGACATACCGTACATACAACCAGCCCTCAGCCCTCAAGGTGACACAAAGAAGGTTGAGTCGAACCCAATGCAGATCACCGCTACGTTTCACAAAAACAAAAATCTCCAAGCGAAGGAGGGGGGGGTGGTGAGGCAAACTTTCGAACGGTACGGCGTGTGGCTGTGCGGGTGCCGCCGGTTATTCGCCCCCCTCCCCCCTTCCCTTTCCCCCGGTGTAAGTTTCGCACCACCACGGCAGCAGCAGCAGCAGCGTCAGGAGTAGACTTGTGGTCTCACACGCGCCACTGTATTGGAAATGTGTGTGCCCAAGCGCTGGTATTCAGGGGTTCAAGCGAGCCGCTTACCGACAACTGGTATGCAGACCATGCAGAATAATTCTGCTGCCTGTGGCGATCTCATGTAGCTGTGTGGAGCCTCCTGCACTTCCAAGACAGAAAGTCTGTAACAACGAGGAATACACACTGGGCAGACGGTATGGACATGCTGCTCGGCGGTGAATTGTATTATGTCCCGCTTGTACAGGAAATGCGTCGTTGCATTACAATAGGAAATACTGATGATAGTGGACTACCGTCTGCTTTTCTTGCAGCTATGCTGTAGCCATCATTTTTATGGATATATCCCCCAATAGACACCAAAAAAAGTCAAGCAAAATCGTAGCTTTGCCTCCCGGTACAGTTCAAGCCACCCAGATCAATTCCTTTTTTGAATGTACTTGTACAATTATAGCCGGCATGTGTCGCGCGCTGCGAGCACAGCTGAGTCCCCAATTGCAAGACAATTCCCTTCTCGTGATATCGTAGCACACCCCCGAAACGCCGAAGTTCCTTTGAGGACACCCATTGAATATTATGCGTATCTTTCACCAGTGAACCATAGCTCGTCCGACCTCGTGGAAAGTGTTCTGCTCAGCCCAGGCTGTATCTCTGGCCCATTGTAACTGGAGACGGGCGAGACCACCAGGTTGTTGAGAGTGGCAGTGCCGGGCTCTCCGCTGAGGATAGAAACTCCTCCACCAATACTCTCTGAAGGCCTGTGTGCCGCGGCCCAGCCCAGCGCCAACCGCTCCCGGACATGGTCGCGTGTTGTCGGAGGAGGATACATCGCAGTTGGCATCGATTGCCGCTCGCCACTGTTCCACCACTGGTTTTCGAAGCCATTGTCCACCGTCATCATTGCTGAACCCAGCGCCTCGAGCTCACGAACACGCTCCGGGTCTTCCCTTCGATACCGGGGCGACTCCACAGGCGACTCTATCTTGACCACCGTAGGACTGGTAGGCTCTTGCTCTGCAGGCTGTGGTGCCACCTGACTGTATTGAGGATCTGGTGAAGCGTGGGAGGACGGCGGTTGAAGGAGGGGATCCGGCTCCATGAAAGGCTCCCAGCCCATGGGAAATGTCCAAGACTCCCAGGGCATCCCTTCTTCTCCTAGCCGAAAGCGTGATGGCACCTCGGGCAAGTCCTTCCACACGTCCGAACTTGGTCGGTCCGCAGTGGCACAGGCCGTGGAGGAGCCCACTGGGATATCAGCTGTCATCTGTGGGTGGACAACGTCCCAATTGTTGTCGCTTAGGGGTGGTGGTGCCGAACGCCCTCGTTCTTGCCGCTCGCAAGACGCTCTCCTCTCTTCACGAGAAGTCCGTTGCTCCTGCTGATGGTCTTCCGGGGCCGGAGCAAAATCGACCTGTCTCGAACGGCTCCGCTGGTGTTCTTGATATGGCTGAACTTGCCGACGTGTTTGCTCAGGACGTTGTGGTCTTTGCCGCGGTTGCAATTGCTCTTGTGGCCCTTGGTCAAAGAACTGAGGGACTTGAGCCTGCTGGAATTGTTGTATGGACGAGGCGGCGAGATAGTTAGTTGTCGGCGCCGGGACGTGTCGTGGGAAATAGGGAGCTCTCTCTCGGAGCGCGCGTGATCTGTATTGGAACCCACGAGATCGGGGAGCATGCTGGGGAGACCATGACACGCCGAACTCGACTTTGACAAAGACTTGAGGCCTTTGTAGGCTGTGGGCACTCGGCCTCGTCAGGGGATTGTCCATGATGGAATCTGTCCTCCAGTACGTGACCATCGGGGAGTGTGAGAAGACTTATAAGAATGCTAACCGTTGGGGGGATGGTGTTGGCACCCGATCGGATCTGGCAGGAGCACTAAGCCAGCACTAGGAAAAGGCGAGACGCAATACCAAGCAGAGTGACTGAGATCCGAGGTCGAGGGCGAAGCTTGCGAGTAGATGCAGATCTTGAGTAGGCCGGAGTTCCACAGGATGGTTACACGAGTGGACCAGTGTTAAACGGAGTGGGTGGCAGTCGTATCTTGATGTTACCTTGGGAGATATCGAAGCACGTACGCAAAGCTTCCGGGGGGCTTCAGGGGTCAAGAGCAACTTGGGGAGTAGAAGTAGGCAGACGTGTAGCATGTACCCACGTACAAATTACGGGAATACTGGCCAGTACCGGGCCCGAACAGATCTGAAGTACCCCTGAGGGATGACAGGTCAGGAGGAAGAGAGGCAGTGGCTTGTAAGTGGCAGGCTCGCGAGAGGATGGTCGCTGCCGGGGGCCGCCGGTGTGGATATTTCTCTCCAGCAGGTCGGAACGGGGTGGGCGGAGCGGTGACGGCCAGACGGACAGCGCAGAATGGTAACCAGAATGGGCAAAATCCTTATGGGCTTGACAGGGAAGACCCAATTCGAAAAGGGTAGAGGCTGCTCCTTCGCTCACCAGGGGTCTGCAATGAGCGGGGCTGATGCTAGTCGGTTCCTTCCAGATGATGGTACGTAGGCGACTCGGCTTGTGGCCAGGCGTGGAGACTTCCGAAGTCACTGCTTGAACCCGAGGAAGAATTGGGTGTTGCCTGGATGAGATGGAGGTTGTGATGCAAGATGACGATTTTTAACCGCGCCGTCCTGAAATTGTCTGTTGTTGGAAACTACTCCATACCCTTGTGCAACGCCAACACCTTACTGAATTTTTATCACTTGTTACTCGATGCCATGTCTCAGAAGAACATTGAACCATGAAAAGACGACTTACTGCCTTAGAATCTCAGTCTACTTCTCCTTGCGAGTAGAGACGAGTCCGCTTTCCGGGCTGTTACTTCGGGAAATGCGAGCCAGAGGATTGAGATCGCCGGTTTGGTCGTGGGGCTGTGTTCCTTTGTAGAGCCAACTCATCAAGTGAGCGCCACATGCAAAGTCAGCACGGGCAGTAGGCTGCTGCTTATTGATCCTGCACGCGTCCAACGCGTCAAAGGGTAAGAAGCCGATTGCGAAGGAGTGAAGGGGTTGATGAAGGGCGGGGCCGGGGGATGACAGATGGTTGCGCAGTCTTCTGTGGGCGGGACTGACGAGGGAGGGGAGGGGAGTGAAGGGCCGGTTGGACTAATAAGGCTAATTTGCAAGACGGATGTCACGTCTTATGATCTGATATCGTGCCGGGAAGGGTGTTGGTGGGACAAGAGTCTGTTGAATCTAGCCCCTTGCTTGGCTTGGTGACGGCGCGCGAGCTGCGAGCTGCAGCTGGTGTCGTCGGGGCCGGAGTGGCCGTTTCACATACAGTCGTACGGACCGGAAGCGAGCATGGAGGGCTCGATATGTCTTGAAATGCAATTGAGACAGTCGCCCAATCGAGCCCGGTGCCGTGGTGAGTGTGAAAGATATCTGCTTATGCCAGGTGCTCAGATGTGCAGAAGTAGGTGCTGCATACGGGCGACAGCCAAGCTTGTTGATGCGAGACGGGTCCAAGTAGATTGTGTGTTGCCTTGCATAAACTGCAACGGCCCGCTGGTCGATTCTCCTGGCCAATTCTCGTGCCGCTGTGGCATGCCACCTCTCATTACAATAGATGTGAAGGTGATGTGAAGGCAAGTGAGCTGTCCTGTCGCAGTGGACGAGCAGGGTGGGACAAGACACCGGTTGCCCAGAGATTCTAGGACTCTGGTACAACACTGGTATTAACGGAGATACCGTGATGGACTCGTCGACATCAAGATGGCAAGATGTGGACTCGTGCTCCAACTTGAAATTGAGATTGGAGTCATGGATGAGGAGATTGATTTCGATGCCTCGACCCTGCTTGGGTTGAGATGCAAGAAGGGCCGACCAAGCCACCAAGCCACCTGCATGACGGAGAGTGGGCGGGAAGGCACATGACAGACGGAGAGGGGTCGCAGTTGCTGTACAGTACTGTGCTGTCTGCTGTCTGCTGTCTGCGGTTGACAGGCGCAGACCCTCACAGCCCTTCGTCGAGTTATCGAGCTGTGTGACAAGCACAACCCAGCCTTCCTGCCTGCCCAGCCATGCTAGAGCCATGCCAGAGCCATGCTAGAGCCGTCAATGCAGTGCAGCAGTTGCAGTGACAGCAGTGACAGGCCAAGGAAGGGGCGACCGCCACAGAAGGTAGCGGCAAGAGCACGGGCCATCATCTCCGGATCACGGCACCTCAATGAGGCTAGCACCAAATCCCAGCCATGTACAACGGTACAAAGACAGACGGACTACTCGCTACTGCAGCACACAGCAGATTACCAGATTACACAAGATGGCGTCTATTTTTGGATCTCAACATCGCCTGTCTGCACACCGTCACACCTCAGAGAGAACAACTGCGCCGCCTCCCCAGGACTCCGAAGCTGATCCCATCACTCCCATAACCCTCCAGAATAAACATTCTTCTCACTCCCGCCAGGTCAGACCCTCGCCGCCCTCTGTAATCAACTTGCTGATGCGTGACGGCTGTCGTGCCATCGCACAAGGCAGCAGGATAACGATGCATCACGGGAGAAGACTGAGCCCAGCGACAGCAAATCCTCACAAATCGCGCTCCACGCCTCAAACCGTGCCGGGCTGCGCTGCCAGTCACCGCCCAGGCCCAGACGCTCCGCCGCCTTCCACGCCAGATCCCAAGGCCTGTGTGCAATATTCTTAGAATTCTTCTCTTCTTTCTCTTGCTGTGTCCACTCTCTTGCAGTGAGTGTTGTAACCCTCCGTTGCGATTTCTCACGTCTGATGCCGGCCGCCGCTCCGAGCTGGTCAACTGCTGTTGGTAGTGGGCTGTGAGACCCCATCACGATGCATGCACTGCCAAAAGCTGCAACAGACAATCGATCTATTATTTCCGACCAACATGGGTATCGTGCAAACAATAAAAATACAAAAATGAATATGACAATACCAGCGCCAATCACCTCAACACCTGGCTGAGCCTACCACCTGAGAAAAAAATCCCAAGCTGAGCTCACTGACAATGACATTGACAGTGACAGCAGCCACTTTCCATTCCAATCACGACACGTCAAAGCTGAGTTCGCGTCCAATAGTCCAAGGACTGCTGACTCGGACTTCGACCGGTCCGCCCCGGCCCAAACGGCAGTCAGGCAGTTTCGTGGCTGGCTGACTTGGCCTCGCCCTTCGCTCCAACCACCTCGCCCTGTCCCTGACCGGCCTCCCAGAACCGGTCCTTCTTGTCGCGGCCGGTCACCATCCCGTACCAGTCGAAAGGGTCAAGCAGGGTTGCGAGAAACCCCCTCTTGTCCTTGTAGCCCGGGCCCTCGATCTCGGTCACCCCGTCCGTGCCAAGGAACACCTTGGTGTTGGTGGGCAGGTACTTGCTGGCGTGGCGGAAGTTCCACAGGTACGCGTTGACGAGCATGAGCGACGCCTCGAAGACGTAGAAGAACCACTCGTACCGCCACTCGGGCGGCAGCTCGTTCGGGCTCATGCCCCGCCGGATCTGCACGCCCGCGAGCTGGAAGTACTCGACGGTGCGGTAGATGGTGCGCGCCTCGATCAGCGCCGTGCTGACATACAGCGTCAGCATCGAGCTGTTCACGTTGCGGTTGTGGATCCCGGCCTTGAGGCACCGCCGGTGGAATGTCACCGCCAGCGCCACGAAACAGTTGACGATCACCAGCTGCAATATCAGTGACGTCTTCAGCAGCGCCTTGCCCGTGTCCTGCATCGACTGCGGGAGGGACACGTTCGCCGTGTACGACGCGCCAATGCCGCTGAGGCTCTCGACGACTGCCGCTAGGAAGGCGAAGGTCGTCCACACGCGGCCGGGGTGAATTGGCGAATGATACGGGACGTAGAACAGCACGCGGCCAAGGATGTGGTAGTTGGCTGCCTCGTACAGTGGACTGCCTGCTGTTAGATCCTACCCTCTTCTCTGCCTGTGCGGCAAGGGTCAACTTACGGCGCTGCGTATACCAGGCATACGCTTGCTATATATACGGGGAGACTGTCGTAATGGAACGCTCCTATCTCCCTGGTAATGAAGCCTGCCGTGAATATGGCCGCGACTGTGGCGTAGTGCCAGGTAACATGCCAGCATTTGTAGCGACTGGTGGACGAGGACATGTCAGTATGCAGGGCTGGTCCGAGAAGTTGAATTGCCCTGGGGTACAGTACTCACTAGCCTTGCCATAGCTGCCAGAGCCCGGAAATGCAGAACGCAACCGCGAAGAAGACCGGAGCCCCCTTGTTTGGGGCATAGAGCCAGTAGCTCCCCTCCACTGTTCACCGTCTTAGTATGGGCATACGAAGGCCGAAGCAAAATCACGGGGGAGAATATATACCAAATTCGCCGTTTTCGCTCATTTCGATGTGTGTCTCTCGATACTGTGCTGTTGTATCCTCGATGCGCAGTCTAAGTAAAACAAATTATTGGTGATATTGTTGACCAAGGTCCGCTGTAAGGCGCTCTCAAAGATGTCTATGCAAGCAAGACAGCAACCATCATCCACCACCCATCTCGAAGAAGACCAGTGCCATCTTTATATCTCTTCTCCCAAAGCCTCGTCAAAATACCTCGCCCAGCCAGAAAAGATGACGTTCCCACGCGCATCAGACAAAGGGTCCTGCTGCTCACCCGCAACACAACCAATAAGCAGCCACAACGAGACTGGCGCAAGGACACCGGCCAATCGCATACCACGCTCAAATACGGCAGCCCAGGCTATGCCCGAATCGAACGCAAAGGATGAGCACCCAGCCCCAGACGCAAGCAACGTCGATCCGGCCTTGTCCACTCACGTATTCCTCGTTTACTGGGCCCGTGCCGCCACAGAGAACAAACCCGGAGCCCGGCCCAGCCTTGCAGGGCAACTCGATCGGGACGCCCGATGTCCATCGCCTGCAGGTGGCCCCGTGTGCGCCTCGCTGGGAGCCCCGCCCGTCGGCGCCTGGGCGGGCGGGCTTGCTTGCTTGCCTTCTTGCTCGGCGGGCGGGTTTGCTTGCTGACTGGGGTCATGTAAGAGGGACCATATCTGAGTCATCCTGATGAGGGACAGTCAACTGCGCTCCATCCCCACTCTCCACTGACCGTGAGATTCCGCGCAGATCTCGCGGGTCCTGGGCTGGGCAGCTGGATGAGCCATGATGAGTTGTGCCTGTCCCCCTAGGTCAACGGTGACGATCCCGCTTGGCGAAGATGGTGCGCTAGCTGGGTGGACGCTGTGCGGGACCGGGTTTTGCTTCCCCGTAGCTTCTTGATCTACTGCAGGCGTGCCTGCGCTTGTTCCTGCGCTCGTGCTCGCGCGGGAGCGATTAGCTGGCTGCGTGGTGTTCTGCTGTGTCTGGGACTGCTGTGTCTGGGATGTCAGGTCCAGGGGACCCTCGGGGCACCCAGAGGTACGAGATGTCGGCTGCGCGATGGAAGATGCTTGCGTTGGAGTTGGAGACGGCCTTGTGCGATTCCATAGCTTTCCTGATCACCAGCTAGTCGCTGTCTTGGTCCCTGCGGCCGTGCGAGGATATGGAGGGAGGGAGAGACATCGCAGCTGCACCATGTTGAAATCATCCGTGCCCGCTGCCATGCCCTGATGTTACTCCCATATAATAAAAAGAGCCGCGGTCTGCCTCCTAAAACCGCCACAGTGCACAGCTCCAGATGCGCGGTTACACATCAAGTCTACGCATCTCACCATTGACCTTGCGTTACAAACAACACTGTCCTTGATCCGCCGCCCACGAGCTGAACAGAGGAAGAACCAAGCACCCCAAAGCCAAGACATGCGCACCGCATACACAAAAGCATGCGCATTCACTCACAGGGCAATAGAAAAACCCGGTCTAGTCAAAGGTCCGAGAAGAAAGGAAGAAGGGAAAAAAGTAGAAATAGTGGTTTTGGTATCTTCAGAAATCTACTACTGTCTTTCGCATTCCTCCCCAGTTCCTTCAATCCATCCAAGGGCGTTTGAGGCCTGCTGGATGGATCAGTCAATCATCCATCTTCCCCTTTTTGTGATTGTTCTCTTTTTGATCTGCTGGGACTCTTTCCTCCTTCGAGTGTTGTGTGTGTAAGACATATCCATACCCTGCCGACGAGGCCGCCCGATCTCGACGCTCCTTTCTCGCTCTACAAACCGTTGTGGCGGAGTGACCCGCTATCCCTGACCATCTAGACTACCATCAGTCACGCCGTGGGCGTCCTTCCCGTTTCCAATATCCATGAACCGAGTCGCCATGGGTTGCACCATTTTAGACTCTTATAGGCCCAACACCGTGAAAGCAACGGCCGGGCCGTTTGTCCTCGGCCGTCGCCCCGGGTCCGCCGTCGGCGCCGCATTGGGTGGCTGGACCGTCAACCCCTAGTTGAAGAAGGCCATGATAACCTGCTGGGCGTCCGGCGTGAACTGCTGGAGCAGCGGCGTCGGGTCCGTGTTCGTCGCCTGGAGCAGCACCTTTGTGGCGGCACACACGCGGCTTGCAGTCTGGGAGGTCAGGGTCTGTGATTCAAGGCCCTGCGCGATATAGAGGAAGACCTTGTCGGGTTGTTGGCCGACGGCAGGGTGTTGCCTAATAGGGAGGACGTTAGTTTCCATGTTGATTCTGGGACAACATAATTCAAAGAAAGCCCTGAGCTGATTTTGTCTCGGCCGTGCATGGTATTCGAGTGGAAGATGGCAGTATGCGCCTCAATCGATCGAGCCTGGTGAAGAGTTCGGAGGTATATGTACTTACTTGTCAATCAACTCAGCCAGGTACGCATATGCGTATGGAGCAGCCTCCTCGTCATTCGTGACGGGCAGGGTATTGATCCACTGCGCAATAACTTCGTCCGTGTTAGGCACGTGGCTTGCGTTAAAGTGCAGGATCTTGGCAATGGCCGCACACGCGTTCTCGGTAGCGTAGACGTTGTCTTCGCTGCGGGCGTCAGGCACCTGTGTCGCCTGGAACAGGGATGGGACGGAACCGCCCAGGAACTGTGCCCAAGCCTGCCCACCCTTCTGCGCCGCGACTCCAATGCCGTACGCGGCAGCTTGGCGGATGGCTGGGGAGGCGTCGCGACATCCCTCGATCAGAGGTGTCATGATGTAGTTGGCGTAGTGGATGGACTCAGGGCCACAGTACTCGAGCACATCGTCCATGATGCACAAGCCCCACTGGCGTTGCGTGGGATCCCGTCCGTTGTTGAGGAAAGCCTCGTACGTCGACATGAGACGCTCCCAGGGTCGGAGAAAGGCCGCTCCATGATACTTAAAAATGGAGTGGAAAGCCTTGTTCATATCTGACAACAGGGTCTGGTCGTCCTCAATCGCCATCATCGTTTCCTCAGCCTCGTCTTCGACATCTTCGGGGTTTGCACCATCGTTCTCGTCGAGACGCTCCTGAACACGGTCCTTGTAGTCATCAAGAGCGGTCTTGACCGATTCAATGAACTTCTCCATGTGCTGGGGAGTCAGACAATCTCTTCCAAGGCACTCAACAGACTCGTAGAAGCACTGGTACATCTCCGCCAGAGTGTCGATGGCAGGCTCAGCGGTCAGTACTTCCAGGAGCTTATCGACAGTAGCAGCCCAGAGCCCGCGAAGCTCGTTTGACGGGTTTCCGTAAGCCTTCTTGTAAGAGTTGAGGAGCTGAGGAACCAGCTTAGCGGACATGTACCTCACAGGATCATGGAAAAAGAAGGCAAGACCGGGAAGAGCAATCTTCTCCATGACCTCCGCCACATATGCTGCAAAGTTGCCCTCAAGAACTTGGGCATAGACGACGAGGAGCTCGATGGCCATGTGCTTGTCGTCCATAGTGCTGGTCTTGATACCAATCATCTTGCCCTTGAGGGGCACAAGCTCCCAGCCATCTTCCTGCTGGAGCGCTTCGACCTGCTCATCGTCATCTAAAAGCTGGATATCGGCATTCGCCTTGGCGAGCTCCAGCAGCGGCGGCATGACATTAGGCAAGAATGGTAGGAACTCGGTACCCATAACACGGCACATACGACCCCAGCAGTGCATCAGGTACTGTGCTTGCGGGTCGTCGGCGTCTGTAACGCTTGTTTGAATGTGGGCCAGGATCTGGACCAGCTTCATCGCATCCCCGGCAAGTCGGTCTTTTCCAACAGCCAGACCGATGAGTGTCGCACATTCCATGGCCTTGGCCTTAAGCAAACGGGTGTCCTTGTCCATCGGCGATTGCAGGACATTGAAAAGCAGCGGCATCAAGGAATCGTAGTACTTGCTGAACGCTGCCTCAGCGGCATCGGCAATCGTCGCGATGGTGGAGAGGGCCTGCTCTTGTACGTATCTCTTGTCGTTCTGGAGGAGCCGGAAGAGCGACGACAGCAAATCGTCCAGGTATGGCTCGAGAACAGACTTCTCTGCTTCCTCGCAGAAGTTGACCAGGGCAGCCGCGGCGTGAGACTTGACACGGGGTTCGGGTGAGTCGAGAACAGGCACAATGGCCTTGAGAATCGCATCGTAGTACTCCTTCTGCATTGTGGGCGCAAAGTCGGTGCTCATCTGGCCAAGCGCGTTGCATCCAGCCCATCGGACGCGCGGGTGAGGGTCTTTGAGAGCTGGCACGACGAGGTCGAGGACCTGGCTGAGCTCTCCAAGCATCTGCTCCCGGCAGCCTTCCGAGATGGCCGAGATGGCCATCAGGGCAGCGTGCTTATCCTTCCACGACATAGACTGCATCATGCGAGGAAGCCAGTTGAAAGTTGGCGCGAGGATTGTGAGGCCACCGAGCTTATTGGCCAGTCGGTCCATGCATTGCTCGCCCGCGACGTGATTTTGGTCGCTCTCTTCTTGGTCGAGCTGTGCAATGTTAGCAATATCCTAGAGTTTTCCTTTTCTGTCTTTCTGTCCGGGGTAGGACGTACGTCGTCGCAATCGAGCCAGTCCTGCACATCTTCATCCTCCCCCAGATCGGTCATCAGGCTCAAGCATTGGGTGATCATGTCATTTGTGAAGGAGCTATCCTTCTTGCACATGGATGGTGCGTAATCGGCAAATGTAGCCATGAGTTCCAATGCGTTCTGGCGACAAATGTCGCTGAGCTCCTTGTCCTGGATCACGGATATGCTGAACTGCACCAGGTTGTGGAACAGATGCTTGAACATCTTGGGGGCCGATTCGGCAAGGTCGATCAGGGCGACCAGAGCCTTGCTGAGGTCCTCGGAGTCCTGAGAGTCCTTGATGGGCGGGAGGATGTTGAGCACTTCGGGGATAAGTGGGTAATATTGTTGTTGGCTCTTCTTGTTCAGGCTCCTGAAGAAAGAAGCGAAAGCCTCCATGGCCGCAAGGCGTACCTGTGACTAAAATCAGCACTGCCTCTTGTTATTCGGACGCGACATAAGCATACTCCGACAGAGTCGTCCTTGAAGCCCTTGGTGAATGCCTGGCCAACGGCGTCATGGTGTTGCTTCTCGATGATGCCAGGGGTGGTGTTGAAGACGCGGAAGGCTGCTTCACGCTTGCCCGGCTCCTCGGCCATGCTCAGCTGGAAGAGCACGGTAAGCAACTCAGGCCATGGCTCGTCTGTCCCTTATTTAGCAATCTCTCGGCCGTCACGCCCGGGCTGGGGGAGATAGAAACGTACTCGCGTCTGAATATTGTCTTCCTACTTCGGCGACGCTGTCGCTAATTTTGTTCCTAACTTGCTTGTCCGTCTCGTTGACGAGTGTCTCGAGTAGTTTTTGCCTAACGACGAGAGCCTGCTCTTTGGCGAGGGAGATGAAAACGTCAACGACCTGTCCCTGCTCGTTCTTTCGTGACTTCGAAGCTATCCTGCGGAAGATGACAGCGGCAAAGGATCGGACCTGAACGTCCTGCGACCCGGCAATGTGCTCAGCCAAGCCCATCAGCAGGACCTCAGGACGCGTGCTTGTCCAGTTGTTTGCCAGCGCCTCCTCGGCCTGAGAGCGGATGGAGTTGTCTGGAGACTGGAGGCCCTGGATGAGCTGGCCCAGCTCGGCCGTGATCTCGGGAGGCAGGATAGACATGTTGGAGATTATATCGATCGATCGAGCGAGGGGGGAAAAAGAGGTCGCGCGGGGCCGGTGGCAGGGCAAGGCGCCGCAGCGCGCACGTCGGGAAAGGTTGTGAGTCGAGAAGGCGCGTGGGACGGCAAGATATCTCGGCGCAGGCGTCGGGACTCAGAACGCGGTTGGTGTGGGTGTGTGGTAAGAGGCGGGAAATGAGAGGCGAAGAAAGGCTGTGGTTTGTTGCTGTGTTGACGATGCCCCGCGGTGGGACGAGACGAGATGGGGAATGTCCACAACAAATGGTATGGCCCGTGCAGAGGCGGGCGGCAGGTGAATATTTAGAGGGCAAAGGGGAGGGCACGCATTCGCGTTCGCATTTGCATTCAGCAGTGCAAGGTATGGGAATGGTATCGTGGATCGTGGATCGTGGGGAAGATTGGGAAATTTGTGTCTAGGAAACAAACAGATAGCGTTGCAGCCAGCCAGCCAGCCAGCCAGCCAGGTGAAAGTTTGACGTGGCTGTGGAAGGGTTCCGCTCCAGTACAGATACCAGAGCTGAGGGGAACAAATTTGGCGGAACACGACGTGCCCAGGTGGATAGAGGGGTAAAGAGTGTGGGTGCAGTGTGGTGCACATAAGATTAGCACCCAGTAGAATTACAATTGAGTTCAGGGATTTCTTCCTTTCTCTCTTTTTTTATTTATTTCAAAAACAGTCGCAAGGAGCAATTGTAAGCGCTTGCATGGTGACGATGGTCTCAGGATCATTAGCATGAGCATGAGCATGAATGCAAACAGACACAATGAGTCGCTCTGTGCATCTCTTAGAGGTCTATGACTGGATGTTGGGCGATGCTGCAAATGTCTGTTTGTAGATGAAGCCCTGCATTACCATCCAGAGTGGAATGGAGTGGGCGTTTCCTCGGCTCAACACATGCGACCCTCTCGCCTCTGTGCCTCTCTCTATTGACTGTTTCCGTCTGAGAGCGCAATCCTGCAGGGCGGGCCGCATGCGAATAACCCTCAAGAGGGCTCCTTGTGCAGCACCATCCTCCCTTGAGATACGCCTTTGAAAGGGGCTTTCGTGCTTGACTGTCTTCAACCGATACCTACATGGTCTACAGTATGTTACGGCAGACTAGGAAAAAATAAAGAAAAATTTCAGGCACGGCCGTTGGTAGATGGGATTCTTCTGGAACCGCATGAAGGGAGCAGTTTTAGGTAGGGATGAGCCATGCAAGTTTTTTGGTCTGAGAGCCATGAGCAGCCATAGCTAGCATCGCATCCCGCCGCCTCTCACTCCACGTCCGTGGTATCGTGTCCGAGCACGAGAGCCTGTCACTGATCTGACTTGGCGACGACATGCGACGATCGCCCTGGCCTGCACATCCCTCAGGATAGTCAACCACTCAGTCTGATCCATACATACCGCCGAATGCTATATTGAACTGCGACAAGATAGAGGCCCAGTATCTCCACGTCAAGCCTCGCCCGTGTTCATTCTTTTTTTTTTTTGGTACGACAGTTGCTGTTGTTGAAGTGTTGAAGATTGAAATGATTCTGATGGTTTGTTTTTTTGTCTGTCGTCACGGCGGCCCGCTTGAGTCAGGATGACGATGCATCTCGCGGGTCGATCGACCCTATTGGGGGCGCCCCAGACTCCCAACCATCACGAGCTTGGGAGCTCTAGCTGCTGCTGCTGGCTGGCAGGTCTGTCTATCTACAACCAGTGTGGTGGTCCCGTCGTTCCAAGCTTGGAGCTCCGGCCGTCCTGGACCTCATCATAATATTGGGGCTCGGCTCTCGAACCTGATCTATTCTGCAGCGACTCCATTGCCTTCGTCACCAGCCTATCTCTATCACTTGTGATGCCCACTGCATGAGTCTGCAAGAGAGAGACACAGATTCAGATCAGACATAGACACAGACACAGAGAGGGCAAAAGAAAAGAAGAGACATTTGCAAATCAAGCTTGCCCTACTGGCGGATGATAAGAGAAAACAGCAAGCCACGGCCCCTCTTCTGGAAGCTCGGTGAGAGACATCTGGACTCTGGGCCCTCCCCGTCATTTTTGTTTATCCCCGCCATAAACGGCTAAACCTGGCTCGCCTACGCACTCCACCACCGATCCTGGACCACGAACCGCACCCAACGACCCACATCTACCTCCACGAACTGGCCTGTGTGCAGTACATCCCGCTGTCGACCTTGGCCTCACCTCACCCTCGCTGCCTTCGACGAAACCACCCTCTAACGGTCCAGCTCGCCGCATCTCCGCCACTGCTCGCCGTGCAACCTGTGCACCACGCGATTCTGCGCGCCAATCTCCTGATCTCGCCTGCATCCAGGATATAACGCTACAGCTCCGCCCCCGCGAGCTGCAGTCGTCATACCTAACTGCCTGCTACCCCCCTCTGGCTGGTGACCTCTCCTCAAGATGGATCAACAGCAGCAGCAGCAGCAGCAACAACAGCAGCAGCAGCAGCAACAGCAGCAGCAGCAGGCCGGCAGACAGCCGTCCCCAGCTTCCTCGGGCACCGGCCTCGACAAGATCGCCCACCCCAACCTCTACTCAACCTCTCCCAGCCAGCACCCTGGCCTCCCACAGCGATCCCCCTCCAGCTCCTCACTGCACAAGTCCGTCCACTCCCACGCCCACCGCTCTAGCTTCGCCGAGAACCTGCGAAATCACCATGCACCTCCCTCGCCTCGAACATCGCGCCACCCCTCCTTCACCCAGGCTGCCGTGCAGGACCTCATCAACCACCCGCCCTCGTCCCGCCAGCCCAACCCCAAGTTCTCAGGCCGCGACTGGCGGGAGGTTCAGGTCGGCGAGCTGGTGGCTCTCAACACCGACGAGGTGCGATGGGTGGATCTGGATAGCAGCGTCGAGGAGGCCACAATGGCCCTGGTCAAGGGCAACGCCGCGGGCAACTGTGTCCTGGTCAAGGATGGCCCGCAGAAGAAGGCCGTCTCTACGTTTGACTATAGGGACCTGAACGCGTACCTGCTTGCCGTAGTCGGGTTGGCCAAGCCAGAGGACGAGCACGTTGCACTCTACGACTCAATCGCTACGCGCGCCAGGGAGAGGGAGGCTATCCCGCTGAGGGACGTACAGGCTATCTGTCGGCCAGAGCAGCTGATGTCACTGCCACCCGAGACCTTCCTGCCCGGTGCTATCGAGGTGTTTGGGAGCGGCATACATCGCCTCCTGATTACGAGCCAGGAGGGCGAGGTCAGTGGTGTTCTGTCGCAGCTCAAGGTGCTGGAGTTCTTCTGGAACGAGGGCATCAACTTCCCGGTCATTGACAGGCTGTATCCGGTGCTTCTGAGAGACCTGCAGATCGGTTCGCAGCAGATCATCGCCATCAAGTAGGTAGCTCATCCCGCCGACTGATGTCTTTGAAAGCTAACAAGTTTCTACAGCGCTGATGCTCCCCTCGCCGAGGCCCTGACGCTAATGTCCAACGAGGGCCTTACCTCGGTCGCCGTCGTCGACAACGCCTCCAACGTCGTGGGCAACATCTCGAGCGCCGACGTGCGCCTGCTCACTTCCGCGGCCTCCCTCCCGCTACTCCAGTCCACCTGTATGCACTTCATTACCGTCATCCTCTCCGAACGCGGCATGGAGAAGGGCCGCGACTCGGTCCCCGTCTTCTACGTCAACCCCTACCAGACTCTGGCCGCTACCGTCGCCAAGCTCGTCGCCACCCGCTCGCACCGGATGTGGGTCGTCGAGAGCGCCAGCCCCAGCCCAAGCGCCCCCGCGACGCCGCTGCTCGGCCCCGTCGGCACGAGCACCAACACCTGGAGCGGCGGCGGCAACGCGACCGCGCTGCAGAGCACGAGCGGCGGGCCAACGACGACGACGACGACCACGGGCGCACCCGCCACAGCAGGCAGCGGCAGCAACACCAACAGCACGGCCGCCTCGCCCTCCGTCTCCGCGACGGTGATCAACACGGCCGCCGCCCAGGCCCAGAACCAGGCGTCCGCGCCGCCCTCGCCGCTGCCCATGTCATCGTCCGTCTTCTCGCCGACTGGCTCCGTGCCCGCCGCGGCACTGCCCGGCGCGCACCTGTCGGGCCGCCTGACGGGCGTCATCTCGCTGACCGACATCCTGAACCTGTTCGCGCGGTCGTCCGGGCTAAACCCGGCCGACCCAGGCGAGCAGCGTGCCATGCGGCGGCGGAGCTCCAGCGCGTCGGTGCGGCCTAGCCTAGATGGGGAGAGGAGCCCGGGGAGCTTGGATTTCAGGAGGTGAGGGGGCAGTGGGGAGAAAAAAGTGGCGGGATAGATTGACAACGGAGCTCGAGCAGGTCAGGGCAGACGAGGCCGGCCGGACGAAGCCGGTGTGGTGGGTAGGCAGAATGGGATGGGATGGTGTGGGACGGACGGACGAATGCATATCGAAACGGCGTTTCGGAGTCACTGCGATGGGTTAACTAGCTTCTCTTCTTCTTTCTCCTCTCCCCTTCTCGGCCAGGTGGGAATTTCTTTCTCTGCGTACGGTGCGACGAGCCTTGGCTCTTTTTTTCATTCTTCATTCTCTTGGACCACTTAGCCCTGACCTGACATGGCATTGCGAGGAGCAGAGGATTGACGCGTCTCGTACCTCTGGGGACTTTTACTTGGAACCAGTTTGGGCCACACATATATACATAGCTAGACACGAGCTGCAACAGGAAAGTGGGTTGCTTGGTTGTCCACATCAATGAAGCCATTTCCAAGTCATTACGCATAAGGTAGAATGAGATCAAGTGCTCATTATTCTTTCGATTGCCCTGTGCCAGTAGGCTACATCAGTGTAGTAGAGACTACCTAAATACTTTACATCAAGGCGAGAGCTTTGAATTTGCTCAATCATGCCTTGCAGTCCGCGGACCGTGAATATCTCTCCGACTTCAACCACCTCTCAATAATCAAATGACCATCCATGTAGTCATCTGTGCCGCGCTGCACTCGTTCTAGACAGACTCAACACAAAAACGCCAGCCATGCTCATGGTATCTTTTCTACACTCAATTCAAACACCGAGAGACCCCTTCCCCCTCCCAAGCGTGCGCCGCCTTGTTGTATGAGGACCTAGTGAGAAAATGCCTTGCTTTGGACTCATGATCCTCCTTGCGGACTCGTAACATCGAGCGGTTTTCTTGGTCTTATCATGTTCCTTCTGATTGCTTCGCCTGGCGGCGCCATCGAACCCGCCGGTATTGCGTCTCCCCTAATCGACGCCCCAGCTGCGGCTCGGGTCCTCGTCTTCGTCGTCCGCAGTCGCCCAGGGATCTTGATACTCGATAGCCTTCCCCGGCGCCCTCGACGGCCTCGACAGGTCCGCAGCAGCAAAGCTGGCTCTCATCTTGCGGCCGCGGGAAATCCTGTTAGCAGCCTGCCTACGCGCGTCATCGCCGAAGTTGAAATCTGCCTCATCCCAGCCTTCCAGTGCTGGGCTCTCGTCGATGTCGCTGTGCTCATCGCTCCAGTCCCACCGCACATCGACCACCTCGCCCCCTTCGCCTACTCCGAAGACAAAGCCTCGGAATTCTCCGGCTGCGATGCGCGCGGCTACCTTGAGCATCAGGTTGATGAGGTGAGCGGGCGGGCCAAATATCATCTCGCACGTCCTGTTCAGGATTGCGCTCGGGATGCGGCGGATGGTCTTGACAGCTGTAGAGGCGCGGTTTGAAAGCTCAGCGGTAGATGGAAGTCGCCGTAGACCTTGTCGAGGGGTGAAAAGATTGGCGGGTGGAGGCAAAGGGGAAAGCGCCCGTGGACTAGTGTGAGAGATGGAGACCGAGGTTGTCGCTGCGCGGTGGCGCATGGCTGTATTTGATCCTGGAGAGGATGTCCGCGATGCCGCGGACGACCAAGACGTTGAGAGAGAGTCCGTATCTGCGGCGGTGGTGTGTTCAGAGCTGTCCTCTACGGCCCCGGTCGCGATCGGTATAGCCGGAGTCGTTGTTGCAGACTCGCCTGATAACTTCACGTCATCTCTGTTCTCTGTTGGTACATCGGTTCCATTGTGATCGTTGTAGAATGGAGTGATGGGCGTGCCTGCGCCGCTGCCCGCAACCGCACCCGTCGAGCTCTTCTCCCAAACTGATATGGTAGGTGTGGCGGCAGACTCTGATCCATCACCCGTTCTCGCTAATGGAATGTTCTCATGTGGATAGGGGTATGCTCGCCTAGGAGACATGGGTGGCGAAGGAGGAGCAAGTGGCGAATGCCACGACTGAGTGCTGTGAAACGAATCCGACGACTCAGCTGGGGAGCTAGGAGCAGGCACTTCCTCGGGAGTCTCCTCCGGAAGATTGAGGGCTGGTGTTGACGTTCGAAGTCTCAGTGCAGGGGCCGTAGCGGCTCGTCTGGAGGCAAAGGCAGCTACCCTGGTCCGTCTCAACCGCATTTGTCCGGCTCCTTCTATTGAGCCCGCTTCTTCAGTATCAGAAGGGCTACTCGAGTCACTTCGTTTCGCATTATTTGCGGACGGCGATAAATCCTGGTTCGCGCTACATTCAGGCAGTTTAGATTTCTCAACGGTGTCCGCCATCTTTCCACTCTGATTACGCGAGACCGTCGACGCTGTGGGACCCGCTGATTGTGCCTTTGGCAGCGCCGGTCGTTGCAACTTCCGAGCTGTGGCGGACGGTTTCTTCGTTATCCAAATGGGTTCGCGCTTCTTCGCCACAGCCAAAGTCCTCTGGGTTTCTGGGGCTTTGGGGCTTGCTTCGAGGTCTTCTGCCCTCTTCACTTCCGTTTTAACGGTTGCAGCTCCTGGAGCAGGCTCCACCGTCTTTTTGGCAAGTTCCGGCGGGATTGCGGTAAGAGGCGGCGTCAGTGGCTCGGCTTCTTCCAATACTGATCTGAACTTAATGCCAAACTCTGGAATCGACTCCTCAGGATTGGCCTCCTCGGGGATCGTCTCCTGCCGGGGAGTCTCCATTGTCTCCAAAATTCTGCGTGATGGTGGCCTGGTAGGGGTACCGATATTTGCTGATCCATCTACCGTTCTTCCTTCGGGCTTCGCTTCAGGAGTCTCGGGCGTAGCCCTTGTCTTTGACAAATCCACACCGAAATCAGAATGCCTCCGTGCATTTGGATTATAGAATCTTGTCCGAGTCGCAAATTCGGGAGGCGGCGTGACTGGTTGTGGGGGCCAGTTCATTGATACACTCCGGACCGGGGGAGTCCATGGTTTCTTTTTAATGGGAGTGGTCGGTCTCTCAGGCAGCTGGACAGTGAAGTCCCGCTCGAAAGGGCAGGGTGTCTTCTCGAACTGCAGTATCTTATCTAGGATCTCGCGCAACACCAATGCCCTCCGCGTGTCCTCGTCATCGCTCACGGGCACCTCGATCCTCCAGTAATTTGGTCGCCGGATCTGCAGAGCGAACTTGCTCGAGCGTTCGTCCAGGGTCCAGCATTGGCTTTTGGGCAGTATGGGCTGTAGGGCTGAGCCGCATCGGAGGAAAGCGACGGACCCGGGAGCTCGGTAAATCTGGAAAGCACCTATTGCAAGAGTTTAGCGAGGGGGCCTTGGATATGGTGGCATGGTGCTCGCACGTACCAACAGCTATGGTCCTCTCGAACTGGGAAGAAGAAGGCAGTGAACCTGGCTTGTCCTCGGAGCCAGGGCCGGGCCGGTCGAAGGCGGACTTGCCTGCGGAGAAGGCCACGATCTTTACGGAGGGGTGATTAAAGAGGGTCTCGACGGAGCCATTGCTGGAGACAGAGTTCGATGGTGGTCTTGAGGGTGCTGGCTGGAAAGAGGTTGGAACGGTGGAATGTCGTCGCGGGGCCGGAAAGGGCATGCTGTCACCGGGTGGCCGCAGTTGATCCATGATGGGCAGTGTGATGGCGTGGAAGGTGGTAGAGGATAGCAAAGTCTTGTCAGACAATCATGTCTACAGCAGGCGAGGGGCAGCGATAGTCGACATTGCAAGATGGACGACCTGGAGGGGCTTGGACGCGTAGAATTACGAGACCCAGATATTGGTCGCAGATTGGAGGAGAATCAGTTCATCAAGAAGCACTTGAGACACGAGTCGAACGATATTGAACTGACGCAGGCGTGCAACAGCTATGACCAAGCCCGAGCTGTCAGAGTTGAGGCTCTGTTCAGCTCAATGGACGGGACGTGTCCAATGGCGCATGGGCAAGGCGAGGGATGAAGATTGGACGAAGGTTGAGCGGGAGAATTGCGACTTTTCGACGGTCGAGTCGTCAAGGTGCCCAGGTCTAGGTGGTGGGAAGAAAGCTACACCCCTGGTCGCCCTCACTGAGCACCTGCAGTGCTGCAGTAGTCTTGCAGGGGTGGAAATTGGAAGCGAGCAATAGTCAGCCCCACGCAATCGCAATCCAGCTGCATTCCAGGTCCCGAGGGGGTCCCATCCTGCAGTCGATCCAGTCAGTCCAGCCAGTTCTGTCAATCCGACGGTGGCATTGGCCACTGCATCTGGTTAACGGCGGCGTAACGCCCAGGGTCTCATGATGTGAATGTTGGCTGAGTCCCCATTCTCCGACAGTGACATGTTGATGTTGATGCTCATTTAGTAAACATCATCCGATGGACTGATTGATCGTCACCACGGGCCATAGCTTCGACGGCCAGACAGCTTGTCTCCCTGCCAGATCGGGCCTTAACTGAGAGCTACCTGGGAATAACGAACCGTTTTGAGAACTTGACGGTTGCCGACAGCCCAACGAGGTCCAGGGGCCGTGGACCGCCTGGGGAAACCTGGCATGTGCCTGGGAAGACAGAACGAGCTGTACAGTAGCCCCAGGTGGCCCATGCTTGTTGTTGTCTGGGCTGGCCAAACCCTGCCGTTTCTTGCCGGGCCTGCCGTTCCAACAGCATTCTCCCGTTTGCCGTTCTGGACTGGGGCTGACATCATCTCTCGGGTCCAAGGCCGGGCACCCACCACAGCCACATCCACCATTTGCCTCGTCAGCCATCCACATCGTGACTGTTGAGGCCTCAACAGCTGTGATTTCTGACCACCCGCACCTTGGACCGATCTTGAACCTAGTAAATAGCAGTTCGTAGTGACGACCACGGCTTCCATTCAGACTAAATTCGCAATCATATTCCCCAGACCTGCAAAGCAAGCTCATCAATATGGCGGCCCGAGAGAGGAGACCGCCAAGCCAGCAACACCAACAGCCTTCTTCGCCTGTGGACTTTGACAAGGAGAAGCTCAAGAAGGCATTCGACATTTCCCACTTCGACATCAATGCCGTCTTGCGAGGAGTCCAGCTTACTCTAGTTGGAGGTAAATTCCCTCCATCGCCCTCCTGCTGGCTAGCAATATTTCTTGGCGCTGACTGCGAGAGCAGCCCATCGAGCACTTCAGAATCCTGCTTTGTTCAGCTCTGAACACTATCGCCAGGCCGCAATCGCAGTGGCAGCTGGTATAGCTATCCGTCTTGCCATCTATATCCCGGTAGGTGCCCTTTGTCCGCATGAACTCCCTGACACGTGCTGATGTGCCGTTCCCAGATTCTCGGCGTCCGGGTATTCCTATGGTTTCTGTCTCTCATCTTCCGCCTTGACTCTGTCACCTGGGACGATAAGATCCTCGAGGGCCTCAACTTCGTCGCGGACTATGTTTTGCAGGTGCCGCTCTTCCTTATGACTCTGATGCGTTATGTCACACCGACACTAGACAACCTGTAAGTCCGGCCCTTAGAGCCCAACCTGGTGGCTTGATATCTGACGAGAGACAGCTTCATGGAGTCGCTGAGGTGGGTAGATGTGACCTACGTCCAGAAGCATAAGCACGATGACCCCAAGGACCTCCGGGACATGTACTACCCCAACCTGAGGCAGTACTCCACCCGTGACGGCAGCACTCACACGACCAGCACCGCCGAGGCCATCTCTATGTTCCTGTACAGGTTCGCGCGCAAGGCCGGTATCTCTCTCGCCGTCTATGCGCTGTCCTATCTGCCCGTGGTCGGTCGGTTCGTCCTACCCGCTGCCAGTTTCTACACCTTTAACCAGGCAGTTGGCCTTGGCCCGGCCTCCGCTATCTTCGGCACAGGTATCTTCCTACCGCGGAGATACCTCGTCATCTTCCTCCAGACCTACTTTTCGTCCCGCAGCCTCATGCGCGAGCTTCTCGAGCCTTACTTCGCCCGCATCCGCTTTAATAAGCAGGAGAAGCGCAACTGGTTCCGCAGTCGAGAAGGGCTGCTGTTCGGTTTCGGCATCGGGTTTTATGTCTTGCTTCGGGTGCCGCTCCTAGGTGTGTTGATTTATGGTGTTGCAGAGGCTTCGACTGCATATTTGATCACCAAAGTTACGGATCCACCACCGCCTGCCAACAACAGCGGTGGTTTCGCAACGAGCCAACAGGAGTGGAAGAACAAGCAGAAATTCCTCAGTCTGCCCCTGTCAAGTCTGGATAAAATCCATGACAAGCCGCCTGCGTACTCCGAAGTGGATCCCCATCCCGAGGCCCGACCGGGAGAGCTCTAACCGTCACATTAAAATGACGAGCATCGTCAAAGGCAGTTCATGATGCGGGACGAGTATGATGCGTAGTGGGCTAAGTGACAAATCTGCCTGCTGAGCACTTTACGTATTTGGCATTTAAATTTGCCAGACGGGCTTGACCTTCCAGAATACCTACCGACGAGCTTCGGCGGTCTTATCTGCGGAGAGGTGGAGACGCGGGGGCCGATCCGGGCAGATGGGTACGGCCAAGCTCGGGATTGGGCAAGTCGCTGCAGATAAGGGCAGGGGCACGTTTCGAGCCGTCAACGACCAAATCCCTTGATAACGACTATCCTAATCTGTGTAGTCAGATTTCATTACGTCGTCCAAGCGAGTTTTCATCTCAGGAACACAGCATCTCCGTACGCTTGTGCGGGGTAGCTCTTCATATGTGATAGATATAACTGCGGTGCTGCCCGTCATGGCGGCAAAGAGGCTCCTTAGGCATTGCTTCACGATAGCATCCACGGATTTACTTAAATAGTTAATTGTGTTCGGAAGTTTATAGCTTGATCAATATGCCTGGTGAAATTCGGAATATCTGCAAAGTCAGCCTTGACAAGCCTGCCAGTGAGCAGCCGCAGCTCCATGTAAGTCAGGTTTACGACGGCCTACATCTGTCCCGAAACTAACAGGTGAGAGTAGAATAGATGGCATCCAGACAGTAAGACAATCATCAAAAATTCTGGATACTGCCATGAATGAAAACTGAAGAGATCCCTAGTCCCCTTCGCAGGCAAGATTAAGGATGGCGAGACTGTTAAGATCGAATGTGTCGACTGGTATGTGTTCACGCCTTCTCCGTGTGAAACAAAACACTACATCTAACACATCCGTGATATGAAGGACCGGCGGCCAGATTGGAAACAATGATTCCGCAGATGACATGAGAAACGTGGATCTCACAAAAATCCACTATCTTTCTGGGCCTTTTGAGATCGAGGGCGCAAAGCCCGGCGATGTCCTCCTCGTCGAGATAATGGACGTCCAGCCATTCCAGGACCAGCCATGGGGCTTCACAGGCGTGTTCGACAAGAGCAACGGCGGTGGCTTCCTGGACGAGATCTACCCTTCAGCGTGAGCCCCACCCTCCCCCATCTCGCCTCCAAACATACACCCTAGCTCACACCCAGCGCGCAGGGCGAAAGCGATCTGGGACTTCGAGGGCATCTACGCCACGTCGCGGCACATCCCGCACGTCAAGTTCGCGGGGCTCATCCACCCGGGGATCCTGGGCTGCGCGCCGTCGGCCGAGGTCCTCGACACGTGGAACACGCGCGAGGGGCAGCTCATCGCCTCCTCCAAGCTCGAGGACCGCAACGTCGCGCTGCCGCCCCTGCCCCAGAGCTGCCACCCGGGCGCCGCCACGGACGCGAGCCTTGCCGAGAAGATCGGCCGCGAGGGCGCGCGCACCGTGCCTGGCCGGCCGGAGCATGGTGGAAATTGTGATATTAAGAACCTTTCGCGTACGTGCAAGCTTGAAACTACCCTAGCGTCTTCCTTATTATACGTCTTATAGCTAGAGAGGCTCCTAGGAGTTATATGCCTAGACTCGGTGACGCAAAACTAACACATACACAGGTGGCAGCAAGGTCTACCTCCCCGTGCACGTCGACGGCGCCAAGTTCAGCGTCGGCGACCTGCACTTCAGCCAGGGCGACGGCGAGATCAGCTTCTGCGGGGCTATCGAGATGGCGGGCATCATCACCATCAACTTCAAGGTGCTCAAGAACGGCCTGGCGGACCTGGGCATGAAGAGCCCCATCTACATCCCCGGCCCCGTGGAGCCGCAGTTCGGCCCCGGCAGGTACATCTACTTTGAGGGCTTCAGCGTCGACGAGCACGGGAAGCAGCATTATATGGACGTTACTGTTGCTTATCGCCAGACTACTTTGCGTAAGTCTATTCCTTTTTCTTTTGTCTTTGTAGGGGCTGTTTATCTAGGTCCTCCCTCGAATCGGGCTGGCCGGCTGACTACTGTGTAGGCGTCATCGAATATCTCCGCCGCTTCGGCTATAGCGATTATCAGATCTACCTCCTGTTGTCTTGCGCACCGGTTCAGGGCCACGTCGCGGGAATCGTGGACATCCCGAACGCATGCACAACTATTGGTTTGCCAATCGATATTTTCGACTTCGATATTTCGCCGACTGGGCCGGCCAAGAAGTTGGACATGGGTACATGTGCGTTTGAGACGGGCGTTACGGAGGGCAAGGTCACAGCTGGTGGCAAGAACAGCGAGCATAGTTATGGCGGTGGCCTCACTTATAAGTCGTGAGGGCTTCTCGGATACGCCATAATCGTGTCGAATCAGCTCAATTCATATGACCGCCTGTGCAGATGTCTGCGCTGAGCCACCATGATATAATCTTCCAGAAACATTCTATCACGCTGCAGTGTAGCCTCCACGCCATGCCGTCGAAAGCTCAAATCTTATCTGAAATCCAAGCCACTGCCAAATGATGCACTGCGACTGTTCTGATTTCCAGTCCCAGGTCTAAGTAATCTCCATCTCGCTCAGAGCCGAATGGCCTGTGTCCTTCATGTGCTTGCTCGCCTCTGCAGCGCCCGCGCCGATCCAGTTGCAGCCAGGTACGTCGCACTTGAGCACGAAGTCGGTCGTGTCGGTGAAGTAGTGCTTGTCCTTGAGCTGCTTGGCCAGCTTCTGCGCCATCTCGACCACGGCCTCGTTGCTGACATCCCACTTGGTCTCGTCGAAGTCCACGGGCAGGCTGAGGTCCATGGTGAAGGCTATCCGGTCATAGTGGATGCCTGAGTATAGCAGCAGGCACCGGGTTGCCTTGCCCTCGCCGTAGCGGTCTACGCGTTGTGACTATGGCATATTAGAACTAGACTTGGCTGATAGTCTCCGCAAGAATTGTACATACCTTGACGTCTACCGAGCAGATCTCTATATCGTAGATGTCTGAGAGAATAGATAGCTCGATCGCCCCGCCCCACCGATCCGGCGAGAGCATGATCTGCGCGTACCGCTGAGGTTCCATCTCCAGCACTACCTTGTCGAACTTGTCGGGGTGGGCTAAGATGTACTCGCCCACCTCCCTCCGCAGCGTCGGGGCCGGGTTTGCCCTCTGCAAAACTCCTCCGAACGCCGTGAACATGCACGAGTTGTCATCGGGCATGACTCGCAACGCCAGAAAGCCGTCCTTCTCGGGCCATTCTATGACCGTGTGGTCAGCCTCCACCGCCTTAGGTTTGAAAGCTGGTTTCGTCGCCACGGGCACCTCTGGTGCAGCTGGCTGTGTGTTGTCTTCCTTGGGCACGAAAGTGATAGCCTCGCCCTTCAGATTCAGAGGCTCGATAGTTGCGTTCACGTTGCTGAGGTCGATATTCTTGAGAGGATAGCCGTACTTCAGAGCTGATGGTTCTGAGCCTTGTTTCTCTCTCAGGTGGTCCAACAACTTCTGGATAGTCCAGTCCGGCGTTGCGGTGACCGTCTCGACCCAGCCTGGACCGCGGACTCTGAAACGTATCTCGGCCATGATCTATGTGGCTGGAATATTAAGCCTTGTGTGTGAGCCTGTAATATTGAGCCTCGTACGTAAGCCTCGAGTGAGACTCTCTAGCGAGTGAGTGCTAGGACTCTGTAGATGTAGTATAGGTGTCTGTATCGAGTATCCCCTTACTGGCCGGCAAGTCTGAGTCTTGGGGTTGTCGTCGTCCAGGGATTCTATCCCAGAGCTCCTATCACTGGGGTGACCTCTCGCCTGATATGCGCATAACAGCAGCCTCTCGCATAGATATGCGACTATCCCCGGCTCACGAGGGCGTATGTTCAAGGCCCACCACCAGTAGTGAAAGCCGGTCCAAGCTCGTGAACAGCTAGTACACCATAAGAGAGAGAAATTCGGGTTGCAGGTTTCTTCCTATTTGTCTTTCTGAAGCGCCGTTGGACCAACCACCTCTCAAGCAAACAGGTACTGTTTGCTTTCAAGCCAACCTCGGGGTAAGTCGAGTCTCCTTTCTTGGTGGCGATGCCCTGCTGCAAGGTCGAAGCCCTCTTCGCGGTCGTTTTTTGTAGCTTGTCAACAAGGTCTGCCTGTATCTCTTGGTGTTGCTGGCTTGGCGAGAGCGGAATGATGAGAGTGAGGATGATGGTAAAGGGAAGACTGAATCGCGAATTCACACCATTGCCATCTCTTTGATATGGGCATTGCCATTCACTGACAAAGCAAGCCATCAGCAGTCCCCTGCCCTGACCAATTGGCGGCTGTCCCGCCAACGACGCTCGGGCCACAGCCTATCTGCACTCCCCCCGTGCGCCTGGCCCACCACGCCCACCAGCAAGCATGGCCCCAAGCCGCCAGTGGGCCCATGCTGCCCCCGGGCGCCCATCCCGGCCCCTAGCGCGGCCATTGGAGAGGAGGCGCGTGGTGGTCGTCGACGAGCTGCAGCAGCAGCAGCAGCAGCAGCAGCTAAACCACGGCCTCGGCCACGGAGACGAGGACAGCTTTCTCCCCCTCTTCTCGGACGAACCGTTGCGTGCCGCCCCAGACTTGGACCAATTCCTCCCGCCTGCCTCTCGCGTGGAGCTCAACCACCAAGCTGCACAGCTGCGCCAGGCACGCATTCGCGAGCCTTCTGGACCTCTAGTAAGTCGCCCCGTCGCATTTCTATTCCCTGCTGCGGCTTGCGCTGCCCGTCTAATCCGCGTCATCTTGTTCGCGTGTCGCGCGTGCGATGCCAGACCTGCACCGCATCGCGCCATTGCGCCGTCTTGGATGCAGCTTGTCATTGACGCGACGCGACAGCGGGAGACGATCGTCACTCGGATGACTTAGTGTTTGGGAGACTTTGGCACACTGACAGGCACGCAGCCAAAAGTCGACCCCAACAGCAGCGCCTTTTGGTCAGGGTCAGAGGAAGTAGCCAACGAAGAAGCCGGTGGAGAAGTCCCCGAAGGAGGCCGTGAAGGAGCCAACGAAGCAGACAGTGGAGAGGACAGCGACAGTGACGACGTTCTCGACGAGCACGTCGAATCGCCTTCCTGGGAATATCTGCTTGACCCCCCTGTCGCTCCTGCCGAATTAGACAACCTTTCGGAGCTCTTTCGGGCTGCGTCGCTACACGAGGACGTCCGTCGCTTCCCTGTGTTGTCGCCTGAGGCCCAAGAAACCCAAGAGACCCAGGAATCCGAAGAGACTGAAGAGACTAACGAGTCCGACGAGTCTGACGAGTCCGACGACTGGGAATACTCTTTTCTGGAGGTTCCGGACTTCTTAGACCACCATAATAGCGACGACGACGAAGAAAGCGACGGTCCAGGGCAAGGTAGCACTGGGAACGGTCAAGAAACGAACAGGGGCGCCGAGGGAGAGGGCGGTGCAGAGCAAAACGACCAGCAGAGGGACAACGAACAGCAAGATCCTGAACAGGACACGAGTAACCACTCGGAGGGCGAGGGTGGGTCCACACAGAGAGACACGGCCCAGCAGGGTTCAGATCCAGACTCGTCGACTGATTTCGACGGTGACGAGGGATCCATGGCGCCTAAATCCGCGGATGAGATCATGGTGCAAGATTCTATTGAGGCGAAGGGCGACCAAGACGTCGAGATGGGAGATGCCCCTGCTGACGCCAACGGTGGGGAGACCGCGACTGCCAGCCTCACAGTGAACACGGGTGCAGATACCAACGGCGACGCGGATGCCGAGGGCGAAGCCGATGTCGATGGTGATGGCGACGCCGATGCAGATGGCGACGCAGATGCAGATGCAGATGCAGATGCGGATGCAGACGCCGACGCGGATGGCGAGGTTGACAGCGCCGGACCTGCCGATACCTCAAAAGGCCGCCGCGGAAGAGGACGTTGGCGAAATGTGGATGATCCAAACAAGGAGCTGCGCCAACTTATTGATGATCTGCAGAAGTATCTCAGCAGTTACACAGAAGAGTGAGTGGCCAAATCGGTTGACTGTTCAGGCAGGCAGACACTGACATTTTTTCTGGCACAGTGACGAGGAGATTTGTGAGCCATTCCAGCGCATTCCGCGAAAGAACATCTTCCCAGACTACCACGAGATCATCTCAAATCCGATCGCATTCAGCACGGTTCGAGTAAGTATTCCCAGCAATGTCATCTTCACAGCGAGTAGTCTAACGAGGAGACGCAGGGAAAACTTCTCAAGAAAGAGTACACAGAGTTCTCCCAGTTTGTCTTCGATGTGGCTCAAATCTTCCGTAATGCGCAGATCTACAACCGTCCGAGCTCTGATATTTTCAAGTACTCTGTGCGCTTGATGGAGGTCTTCAAGGAGAAGCTCCAGGAGCTGATCAGCAACGAGTCCATCTCTGCGGAAGAAGCTGTGCTGCCAGATTTTGGCGAGCTACCTCCCGTGGATCCTTCACCAGAACCTGACGAGGACGAGCTAGAAGAGGAGGATGATGAAGAGGAGGAGGATGAAGATGAAGACGACGACGATTCTGATGACGAAGGCGGCCGCCGTAGAGGCCGTCGACGTGGTCGAGTTTCCAAGAAGGACGCCGATGATGACGACGACTACCACAAGAAGCGTGGCCGTCCACCCAAGGTGTTCACTCCAACGGAGGCGCGGATCAATGCAGTTCTAAAAGGCCTGCGGAAGCCAAAGGATGAGGACGGCAACCTCCGCGTCCTCGACTTCGAGAGGCTGCCTGACAAGCAGCTGAACAAGGAGTACTACCAAGTGATCACAAATCCTGTCGCTCTTGATCAGATCAAGAGGAACGCAAAGCGCAAGAAGTATCGCAACGTGGACGAATGCTTTGCGGATATCGATCTCATGTTTCGCAACGCGATGCATTACAATGCACCGGACAGCCAAATCTACGAGGATGCGACTGAGCTGCTGAAGGAGGCCGAACGGCTGGTTGAGCAGGAGAAAACCAAGCCAGATGATGCCTTCCGTGACGAGGAGGGCAAGCTCCCTCTCTCAGAGGCCCAGCATAACGGCGAGACGTGGAAAGTTGGTAAGTACAAAGAGGAAATGTGCCAAACCCTGACGAAGAGCGATGCTGACATTATACCTCCCACTTCAGGCGACTGGGTTCACATCCGTAATATGAATGACCTAGAGAAGCCTATCGTGGCCCAGATCTATCGGCTCTGGCAGGATGAAGCAGGAAAGAAGTGGGTCAACGCCTGCTGGTACTACCGTCCTGAGCAGACCATCCACCGCGTGACGAAGCGTTTCTACAGGAACGAGGTCATGAAGACGGGCCAGTACCGCGATCATCTGATTGATGACATCGTGGACCGATGCTTCGTGATGTTCCACACGCGCTACCACAAGGGTCGACCGCGCGGCCTGCCACCAGGCAAGGAGGTGTACGTCTGCGAGGCGCGATATAACGAAGAGAAGTTCACCTTCAACCGGATCAAGACGTGGACGAGTTGCTTGCCTGACGAGGTTCGGGAAAAGGACTATGAGATGGATCTGTTTGATGTCCCTCGCAAAATCAAGAAGGAGCCAACTCCAATTGCGCATCTCATCAACGAGAATGCCAAAGAGACAGACATGATGCCGAAGCCAAACTGGGGACACAAGGATGCGCCGCCCATAATAGGAGGTGTACACATCCGACCCAGGGAGCCGAATGTAAGTCAAAATCCATATTCCATATTCTTTCCCCATTTGCGCTATTTCCCTGCGATTCACTTTTCCTTGCCTGCGACAAAGACGTCATCTGCGCCGAGTCGTGTTATGCCTCGCAGCCTTGTCTTGTTGTGTCTCGAACAAGTTCTGTCAAGGTTCTTGTCTTTCCAGCCACACTTTCCTTATCGTGTCAGATTCGCTTAATCTGGCTGCTCTTCCCACACCCCCTCCCTTGTACAAACTTTTGCTCGAGTCATCCCTGCCCTTGAAAGGCTCAACGCAGCTTGAGTACACGTCTCGCGCGCTGGCACATTCCGCGAACAGAACAGAGCATCTTTCGTGGACAAGCGAGGACTAACCGCATGATCCCTGCAAAACAGGACTCTCCTTCGCCAGAGCCGACCCCAGAGCCCCCATCGGTCCCACCGCCCTCGATGGCTGCTGCTGACCCGATTCGTCGACAATCTGTCCCGATGGCCCCTACGTCGACCGCCTTTCATCCCGGCGTACCGGTCCCGATCCCTTCCCCTTCTCCTGCACATGCACATGCGCATGCAAATCACTACCAGCAGCCGCACTTCATCCCACCACGCCCGGTCGCGACTACGCCTAGCGCCATACCGGTCCAGTCTACTCATCACCAGTATCAGCACCACACGGCCCCTTCACCCGTGCACCATCACGCCCAGGCTCACAGTCCCCATTTTGCTCCACAGCACCAAGGCTACAGCCACCACCCACAGCAACAGCCGCCGCCGCCGCATCAGCAGCAGCCGCACTACGTGCCCAGCCCTGCATCGGTGGGTCATCATCACCACATACCCAACGCCGGCAGCTTCTCAAGCCAGCCCCACGTCCCTTACGCTGCCCCCGTTCAGCACCACCACTCGCGCATGCCCATGGCGCCCACAGCGAGCAACACGGCAATCCCGCATGCTAATGCCAATGCGACCATGCACACTGGAGCCCCGCGCTACGACTCATGGGTACTGTACGACGACGTCGACGCCTCGATCCCTCGCGAGGTTCGCGACCAGTACCACACGGACGACAAGGGCCATCTGCTGTTCTTCACCGCGCCGCCTCAGAACCGGCCCAGCCACGGCGCCGCGGAGGAGAACGCGACCCTCGGCCACAGCGTGCGCTACCTGAGCGACATCCACGAGCACCGCGCAGAGCGGGAGCGCAAGCGCAAGGAGCGCGACGAGGCGCTGCGACAGCAGGCGGCCGACCAAGCCGCACGCGACAAGGAGGTCAGGGAGCAGACGGAGCGCCAGATGAGCGCCACGGCGGGCCAGCGGTTCGGCGACTGGATCCTCGGCATGCAGCGTGAGAACGAGGAGATGGAGAAGGAGCTGGCGCCAATCCGCGCTCAGAAGGCTGCCTGGCTGGCCGAGAAGGATGCGCTGAATGGCCAGCAGCAGCAGGAGTGAGAGCCCGGTGTGGTCTGAGGTTGTTTGCCATTGACGACATCGTTTACGGCCCATTACCGCCGTCTTGCATTAATCGGCTTGCTTGACAACCCATCACTTGTCTTTCACCTCGACACTTATCATCCTGCTTTTCATCTGGAAAAAGACAGCTTCGACTGAAACAGAACACGGTCTGCTTACGATTTGACTTTTCCATGGACGGCAGATTATACCCAGGCGTTGCATTCGACTGTCTGAGGTTTCACGTTTATTCAAGACCCTCTTGAGAGTGGGGCATCGCTTGTACTGTACGGATTATTGTAAGGAGTTCCAGGGGTACATTAAAAAGAAAACTCCAGTAGGCGAACGATGCCTGATTGAAGAGCTGCATGAGGCTTGGCTTTACATTTTGAGGAAAGGAAGCTCCGGCTGACGACGCCACGCCGTTTTGAGTGGGGCGATGAGGTTTGGACCTGATGATCTTGGTGGTGTGTGCGAGTAGATAGCCCAGCAGATACTTAAATATTTGTTATACTGCACCTCCATTCAGTCCCTTACTTTTGTAGGTCTCACACTTTGGCTTCCGTCTGAGAGCTGCATGCTTTCTGTGGGTTGGCACAACAAGGACTAGCAGAGACATCGTGCTCCTAATCTAAGGTCTAGTGTGATATCGCTGCTATAGACCTCGTCTGGAGACAACCTGGTGCAGGTGAGAGAAGCTGCTGCTTCTGGACAAACAATCTGGGCAAAGTCATGCATCCCTCGGGTGCTCTTGGATTGCATTTGCATTGTGGGACAGGGCAGGACAGACATTTGGAAATGGGAGTCATGAAAGATCACGTGGATTACAGCATGTGGCAATCATCGTTCTGTTTGCCAGATGATGGGAAGATTCTCCTGGCAGCGGCGGACCACGGTTTATAAACTTTTTATGCAAGCTTGCACAGAATCAGAAATGGGACGGCTGGTGGGAAATATTCTCAAAAATTGTCTTACTTTTCTGCCTATAAAGCCCATTGAGTGCAGATGCCATAGCAAACGTTTCTAGCGCAGCAAAGGTAAGCTTCAAGGCACACCCAAAGAAAGTGGCCAATCAAGTTGCAGCCGTTTTGCCCAAGGTGCCCCACCTGCGCCCGCAGCCGAAAACCGCCACCCGCCAGTCTGGCGAAAGTTGTAGTCTATTGGATCATTGACCTCGTCGCCGGCCTCGAGTCACCACTCTCTCTCCCACTTCGACACTCCCTCCAGCTCGACTTCTTTCCAACAAGCTGCCCCTTTCCTTTCAAGAACGTATCTTTCCCATCGAACTTTACATCTTGGACAATTCTCATAGTCATCTTTGAGCAGCACTCGTGCTCTTTTCCCACCCTTCAGCCCCAGTCTCAGCCACCTTTCATTACTGTCTGTACCCTCTCAGTTGCATCGCATAGCACGCCGCAATCGCCACTCAATCTCACCTTCTTGCGACCTTGCGATACTTCATCTACCTCAACTTTACGCCGCCGCACATACACATACACAAGTCTTGAATGGCGCAACGCCTGTTCCACGGCTTTGAAACCCTCTACCCTCACATCTTTCTTTAGCCATCCTCGTGTCGAATTCTACTGAAACATCGACTCGACAATGGCTCTCTCTGTTCTGGCATCTGCCAAGTCGGCCTCAGGCGTTGACCGTCGAGCTCGTAGCCGAAGCCCCCGCCCCAAGTCGCCCAAGCTGGGCAACTTTGCACGCCTTTTCCAGACCATTCCCAAGTTCGACAGCGATGAGTCCGACAGCGACAAGATCAACTCGCCTGTCCACCTGTCCCTCTTCCCGGTCAGCGGTTATCCCGCCGTCTCCGGCCCCACATCACTCCCCCTTCTGGGTAAGGGTCTCATCAGCATCACCAACGACTTGGCTCGCCTTGAGATTCTAGGACTCAAAGACACAATTGAAAGCGCCACTACCGACGACGACAGCCCTGCCAGAGACAGCTCCCTGTCTGCTGACATCGTCGGTGCCAGCCGCGACACCACTCCAACCTCTGCGAGCCCAGTCACCCCGATTGAGGCCATACTGAGCCCAAAGCCAAACATCAAGTCCCTGCTAATCGGTTCCACTCCCGAGTACTTCTCAGCGGACGACTCCGCGGATCCTTTCTGCGAGCAGACTCACGCAGTCCACGCGCAGGAGAAGCACGCTGAGTTCCAAAAATTCGTCTTCCCAGCTGTCACCCCACTCAAGGTTCTCAACCCCAATGACAACCACCTTGGCAAGCTTCAGCGCAATGAGCGCATTGCCATCGCGCAGCTCGCCGCCAAGCCACTCACCTCCCCCATTGCTGAGCCGCTTGTCGTTCCCTGGGACATCAACGGCGACTTCCTCCCTGGTCACTACCAGCCCACTGTCGACTCTCCATGGGCCCCCCAGAAGCCCGGTTACATCCATTTGAAAACTGTTTCCAGGAACTCCATCGACCCCCTGTACCGCGTCAACAAGGCCACGCAGCTGAACATCTTGAAGGCCAAGCTTGACGAGCGCTTTGCCGAGGACAGCGTTATGCGATCTCACCCTCAAATCCCACAGTCCCGAGAGCCCATTCATGTCTTTGTCGATCTGTCCAACATCGTCATAGGCTACTACGACTGCATGAAGGCGAAGCGAGGCGTCTCGAACAACTACAGAGTTCAAGCTCCTCCCTTCTTTTTTGAGGCCTTTGCTCTACTGCTTGAGCGATACCGTCCCTGCGCCAAGCGTGCGGTCGTGGGCTCACTCAAGCCGGCCAGCCAGCACCCAGACTACATGAAGGAAGCCGAGCTTTGTGGCTACGACATGAACATTTTGCAGCGGGTCACCGGCCCCAAACCAAAAACATCGAACCCCCACATCACCAAGATGCCTATGCCTGCGTCTGGAGCACTCGATGAGGACTCTGACGACTACGGCCCTTGGTGCCCTCCCATGCAGGTTGCCATGAAGCACCGCGAGCAGGGAGTGGACGAGATTCTTCACCTGAAGATGGTCCAGAGCATCCTCGACGCCCCAAAGCCTGGAACAATGGTTTTGGCGACGGGCGATGCTGCCGAGGCCGAGTTCTCGGACGGATTCCTCAGCAATGTTGAGCGAGCCTTGGAGCGCGGCTGGAATGTCGAGCTCGTCGGCTGGAGACGCAACATTTCTGGCGCTTGGCGCAACAAGGCCTTCCAGGCCAAATGGGCCGTCGGCCAGTTCCGTCTCATCGAACTCGATGGACTCGCCGAGGAGCTGCTCGGTTTCTGGCTGCGCTCTGGCCAGCGAGGATCCCTCTAAACCAAATCAACCAATGTACAACGCTGCCGCCGCTGGGCTAATTGGCCTCCGCTGCAGCAGCTTTGACTGAGCAATCGCTCGGTGTTTGACACATTCCCACCCTTTTGGCCGTATCAAACGCACATAAATCATTTGACTTGCATGTCAAATTTGTATCGGATACGACGACAACATTTCCAACAGTCAACATTGCCATGCAGGCCTGTCCCTGACATCCTGACGGCCCACGCATTTCAAAGCTGTCTGGATGCACAATTGCAATCTATGCACCTCTCACGATTTTGCTTCTTTTGCCAGCATTTTTGTAATCTCTTTTTTCGACTTTTCAATTTTCTTTTAATCGACTCACCGCATTCAGTCATTACTACTCGGCATAACGGACAACGGAAGATTCTTTCCAGCATCGGCGTTGGCAGGAATAAGAACAAGAAAACAACAAACAAATATGAACAATCTCAGGCATTCATTTTCGCACCTCTTTTCGACGAGACTTGATTTCGCATCTCATCAGCGCATCCAGCCACGGAGTCGAAGGGTGTACTAGGATGCCTTGTTTTACTACGACGGCGTAACGGACGGAGGCGTGCATCAGAGGGAGGGAAAAGAAACATCGGTTCGGCTTTCACAACCCAAGTGTTTTCGGATTCTTCGGCATTGTTCATCTCTGTCTTTGCCTTCGACAAAGATCGCTCATGGATACGGTTGGATCGACAGGACTGACTAGGAACGGGCGGACATGGACACGACTTTCTCCTCACGATGCATAGCGATACCCACATATCTGGCTCTGCCGTCACTTTTTGACGCGAGCAACCAAACCTTGATGCATAAGGCAGGCGTTCCAGAAAGGAAGGGAAAGGGGGTATGGATGAAAACCCCCATATTTGATTGATGATGATGAGCACATTGGTTCCATCTTGGTGGCTCAGCTTGGATGTCATGATGGTGTCTTCCCGACTTTTGGATTCCTGGCAGGATTCAGTCGCCCAAGACCTACCTACGACTCTGGCGGCCACGGCTGTGTTTACCTGTTTCGAACACAGTATTGAAGGAACCACACATACTCTGAAAATCGACAGCGCGTATACCACGCGAGGAGGATGGAACGAAGTGGAGGTATTTTCGACAGACAGACTTTGACAGCCGATCTTGCACTGCGGCTTCATAAGAGAGGCAACCTGCGACGGAAACGACGAGGAGGATGGAATGGACGAAAGGATGGTTTGGGAACGACCTCTTCGGAATTCTGGGAGGAATCTCTGAGAAGGGATTTGTGCGTCGACCACCACCTACAGCACCACCACTCTCATGATCGAGTCCTGGTTGTGGCATCTTCTAGCTGCTGCTGCTGCTGTCGACCTGCTCTGGCTGGGGGATGGCATTAAGCTGTCGTCTTCTACCAGGCTTGAAATACATCATGGTTCCATCTCTCATATTTGGTTGTTTTGTTCCTCTTCGTCCCATCTCATTACTGTGATTGTTTCTGATGGGGGGACGCATCAGGCGAGGGTTCGTGAAATGTATTTAGGTAGGACCAAGTGCACCAAGCCAGCCACCTCCTGGTAAACCCCAAGTCTGGTCTTCCTGTGCTCATACTGCTAGGAATAACGACCCCCTCGCTTTTGGTGGTACGGGCTTTCATTCACGCAGGATGTTTTAGCAGAAGCTTCTTTGCTTTGGGGATGTTCTCGCGGCCTCGTAGCGGGCTCAAGCATGTCCCAGAGGCCTTGCCCGTTTGGACGGTTCCACGTAGTCTGCATTATGCAGGCTTTGAACCCTACGCTTGTAAGTACCCCCGAGCCTGGTGAGTACCTCTGCTTTCGCTCTGGACAGGGAGCCTGCTACGCCAGAGCATTTGTGCGAGGGCAGGCCCACGTTCCCAGTCACACCTAACTATCGACCTTTGGCCCATTCTCCTCCACCTCATCACAGCCTTCTTGTCTTTCTTGGAAGTACCTACACCATGTCTGAGTACAACAACCTCTTCGACTTCAGCGCTTATGATTCGGGCCTGCTCGCCTTTGGCCCTGATCAACTTGGCCCCTCCCCTAGTCTGGACCACTCACAGGCTCGGACTGCACCGTTTGAACTCTCCATTGGCTTAACGGAGGGTGACATAGCAGCACAGCTGCAGACCTGTGTGGATTTTGCACCCTTTGGAGTTGCAGAATCCTTCGGGTAAGGTTTTTTTTTTTTACACCTCTGCTAAGCCCCATTAGTCTGCACGGCCCACCATCTCTGCCTGCTCGCCCGATCAATACTACGGCTTCAACTCAGCATGTCCGAAACGACTTAGTGCCCAAGCACACCTGCGCATACTGCCGTGCCCCCTTCCAAACAGACTCCGCCCTCCACCAGCACGCCAAGCAGGCTGAGCACCAGGCGTACAAGTGCAAGTGCGGCACGGGTTTCAACAAGCACTCGGCCCTTGATCGCCATATTAAGACCAAAGACGCGCCAAAGAATTTCGCCTGCACTCTGTGCTACGAAAAGTTCAATCGGAAGGACAAGCTCCATGACCACTGCCGACATTACCACAAGGTCACGGACGAAGGACTGAGGGCACTGTTCAATATACAGGAGGCGAGGCCTCGCGCTGCTGCCAATCGTCGCCGTCGGGGTCCTGTCCCGTTGGCCGCAGCCTCGTCGGGATCGGCTCCGCCTCCAACTCCAGCGCCGATTTCTGTTTCTGCTGGCCTCTCTGCTTGGGGACCAGATGTGAATGCTGGGCAGCGATTCGCCAATCTCCCGGCTAGGCATTTCATCTCGGCCGAGCCTTTCCTTCCAGCTGGTCCTCCTGTCCCGGCTGCAAACCCCTTCACTTCCGCTCCTGTTACTGACGAGGACTTTGCTGACCTGGCCAACGAGATCTTTGGGGATGGGACCTGGGCCACGAACTTTGACGATTTGACTTTCTGAGTGTTTCTTTTCTCGACGATCTTTTGTCTAACGCATTTTCGACTTCTTGATTTCATTTCCTTGCTTAACCCACGCCCTCCCACCCTACATTTTATGACACGAGTTTTTCTTTGTGACAAGTAGCTGTGGCCTCCGGCTCTCTCGCCGCGATCAAGTGAGCACATGATTTTTACTTCATTGCGGTTAATCTAGTTGCGGACGGTTGGCCGCAGACGACATGGGATGTCATGTATGTTAGCTTGCAGTTTACCATGAACTTCTTCCTAAGTCCTGTTCTTCAACGTGAGTCATGATCGTTCAGAGCGTTGCTTGAAAAGGTCGTACATAGAATAGCCGCACAAGCACGCCTTCAGCAGCTGTTCCACTGTCATCAAACCTCCCATTTCCGCGTACTTCTCCTTCGGCCGGCCTAGACATAACCTGTCAAAGATGCGTGAGGCAGACAACTTCATTCTCGCCGGTGTGCCACAATTTTCCTCCGCATTCCTCCTAGTTCAAATTCCATCGAATCCAAGCAGAAGCTACAGCAATTCAGATATTTATACCCTATCGTACAGAGACAAGGATCAAGACTTAAGAAGTTATTTCACCTGAGGCTACAACGAGCCATAGTAAAGGTGTGACCCTTCTGGCTGAGTTAGCTTCGACCAATCAAAGCAGATCGAGCAGGTCAGCATCATCCCGGGTTAAGGAGAAGACAAACCCAGATAGAGGGGTGGAATTCGCTGGCGGCCTGGTGAGTTCATCCATGGATTGTCGGTCCTGAGCAGATGAAGATGTATAGGAAGCATGTCGCAGCCTAGGCAGCCTAGGCAGCCTGGACGGCATTCAATAGGTGTTTCCTTCTCTCTACCAGATGCCGCAGCGCCTCTCCAGTCTGCCACCGAACTCCTTAATGCTTCCAAACAGCATTCCACACCACCCTTTGTTGAACTACAGAGGAAAAGGATGCACCCACTCCTCTGCAGCATGGGCTGGCCCTCATATAGTGTCTTCCTAATTTCTACAGAATACACCATCACTAATTTCACCATTGAACTGACCGCGATTCTGTTTGGTTGAAGATATTTACACTCAACATCTACCGTCTCGTGATGTTAGGATTCTCAGCCGGTGACACTGATCCAGCTGCAATGTCACCCTAACCTGCTGCCGAGAGGTCAGCACTACTATCAACAACAACCCCGCGTATACGATAATGGAAGTATTGGAGACAGGACTGATGGGTATGCAGATCAATCCAGACTCTGGGCTTATATATCTATACAAGAACAAGCCCCTGTGCGCTAAGGTCGATCCTGGTGAGACATGATAAACACGTTGCAGCGGAACCGAAGATACGGCCAACCAGTGGTTTGTCCGGACGAACTATGAAGATATCTGGGGGAGCGCCGACCATGATAGGCTTGAGACACAACGCTAGGTTGACCCCTGATAGATTCCGGTCATTATAGCCCTGCCAGGGCCGTTGTAACGCTGATTCATGAATATGCGTCTCCATCCTTGGGCTCGGTGCCGTAAGCTGTCCGACTTCCATCAGCTCATATACAGCAGCGTTCCACAAAAGACTTTATTTCATCTCACTCCTCTCTGCCGTCTGGGCGTGGAACATTGAATTTATTCCCTTCACACCTTACAGCAGTCGTCATGGAAGTCTCTGAGAAGTCCGACTTCGTCGGTAGCCCGGCTGCGCCAGGCAGTCTGGTAATCGACTCGACCAGCGACTTCTCCGCCGACCAGAGGGACATGCAGCGCATGGGCAAGAAGCAGGAGTTCAAGCGCAACTTCAACTGGTTCAGCAGCATTGCCTTCACCTCATGCACGATGGGCACGTGGGAGTTCGTGTTTATCAACAACTTCCAGAGCCTTGTCGACGGTGGCAGGGCGGGCATGTTTTGGAGCTACTGCTGGGTGATCTTTGGCCAGTTCTTTGTTGTCCTGTCTCTGGCGGAGATGTCGTCAATGGCCCCGACCGCCGGCGGACAGTCAGTCCTCCTGTTCCTGACTGGAGCCGAAGCAAACAACATGGAGAAGGTTCAATATATGCTGATTCGAATGCAGGTATCATTGGGTCTCTGAGTTCTCGCCCCAGTCCATACAGAAGATTTCAAGCTATGCGTCAGGGTGGCTCAGTGCACTGTGCTGGCAGTCATTCGTGGCTTCTGACTGCATTTTCACCGCCCAGCTGCTGATGGCGGCGGTGTCGATCGGAAACCCAGGCTTCTCCCCTGAGCTGTGGCAGACGAGCCTTCTCGCGATGCTTATAGGGGTCATGGTCACCTCGCTCAACATCTGGTGCTCAAAGAGACTGCCTGTCATTGAGAACTTCTTCGTCTTCCTCCACATTGCCTGCTTCGTCATCGTGATGGTCATTCTGGGTGTAACCAGCCAAAAGACTCCCGCCAAGCAGGTCTTTTTGGAGGTGACGGACAATGGCGGCAATTATCCGACTCTTGGTCTGGCTGTCATGGTCGGGCAGGTCTCTGCAATGTGGAATGTCTGCGGTACGTGGATTACCCAGCCAGTCAAGAGACCAAAGCCGCAGTCACCTTGCAGTGCGCTGATGATATTACAGCATCTGACGCCGTAGCCCACATATCGGAGGAAGTAAAAGACGCCAGCATCATCGCCCCACGCGCCATGTTCTGGTCCTTTGCCCTGAACGCCCCGATCGCCTTCGCCATTATGCTGATGTTTCTCTTCACGGTCCCCGACGTCACGGCCGCGACGACGGAATACACGTTTCCCTTCCTGTCGATCCTGGCCAGCAGCAGCCTGCCGCCCGCGGGAGCCCAGGCGATCACGTCCCTGATGGTGGTCCTCGTCTTCATGATCTCCGTGTCGACGTTCGCGTCGACGTCGCGGCAGTGCTTCGCGTTCGCGCGCGACCAGGGGTTCCCAGCGTCCGACTGGCTGCGCCGCGTCGACCCGGCGCTCAACGTTCCGCGTAACTCGTGCATCTTCACCTTCGGCTTCACGATCGTCATGTGCCTCGTCTACCTTGGTAGCAGCGTCGCCTTCAACGCCATCCTGTCCATCGGCATTGTGGCTCTCATGGGCACCTACGGCCTGTCTACGGGGTGCGTCCTGTACCGCCGGCTGCGGTGGCCCGAGACGTTGCCGCCGGTGCGCTGGAGTCTGGGCCGCTGGGGTATCTTGGTCAATGGGATTGGTGTGAGCTACGCTTCATTTGCCTTTTTTTGGTCGTTCTGGCCGATTTACTACTCTCCCACGCCAGAGACGATAAATTGGGCTGTGGCCATGTTCGGTGGTGTCATGCTATTGGCTGTAGTTGCATACTTCGTACGGGGTCGGAAGTTGTATGAAGGCCCAGTCGCCACTTGTGATAATCGGCGGATCGGCTGAGATGTAGAAGACTACTAGTACATTTCATTATTCTTGCTTGCCTGGTTCGAGCGACTGACCAGCAGCTCGAGTTCATACTGCTTACTTCGAGACCCTCACTGCATAAGTGTCTCAACAATAACTGCGTCTACGTGCTTCTCTACAGAAAAGATTTAAACGATTTTTCTTAAAAGGAAGAAAATAGAAAAGAAAGTCTAAAAAGAAAAAGGCGATGTCTTGCTAGTACTGAGACAAAGGGCCAGGCACGTGCAGAATCTTGATAAAGAAAATTCAATAGTTCAAAATACCTCCTGATCTAGTTTGTAGCGAATCAATTGATCTGAACGGGGTTTACAGCACCTTGCATATTTGCACCCTATCGTGCATGAGCATGTACCAAGACTCCCAGGTACATTTCCCTGAGACTACACTGAGAGCCTCATCTGCCAAAACATATCCAGACAAGGTCCCCAGCTCTGTCTGGCGCGCTCGAACAGGCCAAGTGCAACTCACCTCAATTCACCACGGAACCACCAGAGCTAAGCAAACGGTACACATCATGTCTCAGTACAACACCGGACCTCAATCTACCGCTAACGATGCAGGCTGGGCCTCCTTCGACCCCAAGCTAGCACCCTTTCTCCCTACGATGGACCAGTCAGGAGGCTGGACCTCGCCTGCTCACGCCGGAACAGGGCAATCGACTGGAAGCACGGCGCCTTTGCCTCCCATTCCTGAACCAGCGTCCTTGCATGCCAAGGCTGGATTCACTGGGTAAGCATCTTTTTTTTTTTTTTAACATCAGCAGAGCGCCATGTGGAAAGCAATCCTCCTCGCATACATGTGCCGCATGCCCCGCTTCGTTTCCGAAGAATTACCAGCTGGAGCAGCATGCCGCCGAGAATAGCCACAAGGCGTACCTCTGTACCTGCGGGAAGGCTTTCACCCGCGCCTCTGCTTTAAGACGCCACATCGAAGAGTCTACTACACAGGCTCGCAAGCACAACTGCCCTCTCTGCGACCATGAGTTCAAGAGATCGGGTCACGTCGAACAACATCTCCGTCTCGTTCATAAAAAACCAAACGATGTGATCAAGGACCTTCTCACCGCTCAGGCATCTAAGCCACTCGAGGAAGTCAATCTTGCAACCACTTCCTCCGCCGCTGTTCCTGCGACGGGATCCATGAATGCTCATGCTGGCTATCCCGTCCTCCTCTCAGGCGGACCTTGGACCGAGCCAACTGGCTTCCATTCTACGGTCCTAGTCGATGGTCCTGTGTCACAGCCTGGGTACTTCTCAGACTTGCTCTCGGGTTTCCCGGTTCCTGGCACTGGATTTGCGGCAAAAACCCCTGCATTGATGTCCCATGACTTCGTGGCGCAGGCAACTGGGTGCCATGTCTATCCGGCCGGTGCCGTGCCCGCGAGCCAGACCGGTTTCACCGGCGACTTTGCTCCGGATCTTGCCAGCAATTCGGCCGCACAACCGGAAGACGATCTCGGTCTTTTCGACCCGAACCTGGCTTCAGTCATGGCTTCAGTCACTGTGGACACAGCTGACGGCTTTGGAATGCCAGCCCTGGAGAGTGATTCCATAGAGGGAATCTACGATGTCGACCTTGACATTTTCGGTCTCTAGGATATTATTTACATTGACAATTAGTTCTGTTGGGGTTGAATTCTGTCATTTGATTTTCTGCTTTATTTTCCCTTTTAACGACGTGACGACCTAACGGAGGAACCATGCTGGCTATGATGGACACGATACAATGTAGCAGTTGGAAATGGTAGCAGGTCTAGCTCTCGAAATTATCAATTATTTCATGTATCGTTACTTTTCATTGTGTTAGTGTCTATTAGTCGTTGAACTGAACAAACTCCTCCTGCCTCACAGGCCCTGGGCATTCCCAGCCTACAGGGAGCCGATTTGATGTTTGGCTGACACCCAGAACTCGGCACTGGGATACCACTGGTTTTCCGTCTTCCAACAGTGCAGCACGTTCGCCAAGGAAACAAACCACCTTCTTCATTCTCAACACCCTGCCCACGGTGTCTTATTGGTTTTCGATCAGGTTGGATCCATCACCGTCCCTTACGGCGGCCATTCGTCTCATTTCAGGTCGTTTTGTTGGACTTCGCCATCGTAGCCTGCATCGCACCCTGGTCTGAGGGGCGCGCCAAATGCCTGCAATTGGGCCACCTGCCAGAGCTTTGCTTACTTGGGGAGTCGCGCAGCAGATGGCCAGGCTCTTTCTGCACGATTTGCACCCTGCCAGGTGTCGAGGCCTCCTGGACAGCGGCCTCATTTTGGGCTTCCAGATGCAACGATTCCATCCGCTCGAATCTCCGTTCGGTTAGAGCAACGCAGGCGCGCGCCTGCGCACCCTCTTGTTCGAGGCATCTCATCGTGACAACAAATACGTTCCCTGGGGCGCGCCCCTTTGATGTTGTCACACCCTTTATTTTGCTCCCGGCCATGACGTTGTCTAACGGAAACGTGGTCGAGCTCGCTCACCGTGGACCACACATAGCAACGAGTGGCTTCCAGACTGCACTGCTACTGGTCTTCGGTCTTTTTACACTATCTTGCAGGACTACAAGACCCGAGTCTCACCCACTCCAGTCTTTGCTGCGCACCCTGGCACCCTTATATCATTTCGCACCCCTCCAACCTCCAGCTGACGCCCGTCTACTCCTTGAACATGGCGGGGTTGGGCACCCACGCTTGCCAGTATTTGAAGCCAGATGACGCCCCGTTACATGAGAGATGTTTTGGCCACATCATCGAACTCGTTTGTCTATCAAAGTTTTCACCCAAAGAAATACAGCAATAATGGATCCACACGATCAGGCACGTCTTCTCAGGCTTCACCACAGCGGGCATGGCCAAACCTTCAGAAGCAGCGACATCTCGATCTACAATGCTGACGCCAACATCACTCCATCCGCAGCTCAGCTCGCAGCCCCTCCAGCCAACTGGTTGAATCAGAGGGATGCCACAAGCAACAGCGTGGCAAAGTCGCCAACGACTTACCCCCGTCCACCGGTCACGAATGTCGACTCTCTCACCACACATCGGGGTACAAAGTCCCCAGCCTCGCAGGACTCGTGAGCTCAAATTTTCTTTCCCTACTACACCCCCTCTCCAGCACATCGATGGTTATTGCCACACTAGTTTGTTTTTGCATCACTGTAATCACTGTCAGCTTGTCAACGAATGGCATGGGGGAGGGAGGGAAACGAAAAAGACAAGCCACACTTCCTGCAGCTTCTTGCCCAGCCCTCTCGGCTGCGCTTGGAGAGACAATACGTTCTGTAGGCTTCTGTGAATGGTTCTAGACGCCAACCGCTTGTGTTGACATAGGAGCCATCCGGATACTACTTGTTCAATCCAGTCCTACATCCATAGGGGTGGGGATTTGGCCACCCTACTTGCCGCTCTTCTGTGAACAAAGCAGCCCCCTGAGCTTTGGGAAATACTGGAGTGTGCCATCCACTGGCTATTCACGAGGATCGTGCCTTACCCGAGGACAGCTCAATCTTGGAGATCATTCTCCTCCAAGCCCTGGGTTTCCCATTCCAAGCTTAGTGTCCTCCCAAGACTTTCTTGTCCAGGCTTGAACTCGTACAGACTTTGCCGGATCATGGCTGGTCTTGGTCTCCTCAGGACAGCCGTCTTCGGGGTCATCCCTTGGAATCTGTCTCGTTCGATCTTCTCCCACAGGACTTATTTCTTTCTCTGTTGAAACCTTGGACACCGTGGATGGGACCATTTCAGACCTTGTGGAGTTAGAGCTCTTCCTATTGCTCCGGTTTCTGCCATGAGCCTTGGCATGCGAGACGACCCGATGGAAACTTTGAAGCGAACCACGGACTGCAAACCAGGAATGAGGATAGAAGATCCATCTTCTGCGACCCGTCGGCTCTGAAACTTCAGAGAACATTCAGAGCCTACAAATCAACCCAAAGCGACCCACAATGGAGCCATATCAACCAGACAGTAAGAAGCCAGCCTACAAAGCTTCGAGCCTCATATCGACTATGGCAAAGTGCATCCCAGTTGCCCTGCCTGTCTTGGAATGGGGGAATTGCCACCAATTCCCTCTTTCTTCTCAGTTCTGTGCTCGCTATGCTTGTCCAAGTCTCTGCCAAAAAAGAAATGAGCAAGCAAGTGCTGAAGGACTATATGCGACCTCTGCTCTTTCTCGCATGAGAACATGCCACACCATACGGAATTACCAGACTCTTTGCGTACCACGGATCCCAGGCAAACAGACGTTCGCTATTTTTCTTCTTTTTCTTTTTTTCCCACATGGACTCGTCCCAGGAAGGACTCTACACAGGTTGCCACCAGGCGAATAGGGAACTCGAAACCATGCTTTCCATTCTTTTGCTGGCTTGTTGAAACACACTCCCACACATTTGGATTGGTTATCGACCGAACCCCACGAAACTTCACTAACCAAGAAATCACCAAGGAATTCTCCTCCCGACCACCTTCAAATCTTAGACCCAGCCCTGTCTTCTAGTTTCTGCGAACACTCCAGAAAGGAGGGACCCGCGGCAAATACCTGTGACGCCTGCAAAGCCTCGTTCCAGACCAACTCAGACCTTGAAAGCCACGCAAAGTCATTAAGCCACTCGGCCTTCCGCTGCAAATGTGGGACCCCTTTCAGCAGGTATTCCTCTTTGGCACGCCACATCAACTCCAAAACGGGGATCGGATACCACTGCGGACTATGCGAGGACAAAACCTTTGGCCGCATCGACAAGCTTTATGATCACCTCCGGGATGGCCACAAAGTCAGCAAAAAGGTCTTGGACCGGTGCAAAAACAAAGAATTGGGCCGTGATAAGAAGCCCGTCTACAGGCCGATCAAGTCGAGCCTGGCGCCGGTTGTCACTCCGCAAGCCACTCCCGCCAGCGGATTTTGGCCTGCTTGGTCCCCTACCGAGCAGATGAATGGAGCTACAGGACGACATGCCGCTGATATGCCTCCCTCGAGCCCTTCTGGCTTCAATCCCGTCAACTTCACGGTAAGGCCCCGTCAACAAAAGCATGGAATCAAGACAGGCCTGACGTGATGTGATTTAGAATTTCTCAGACTCTTTCACCTTCTAATGAGTTTTTAAGCATTTTCTTGCTTTTTCGTCAAACGCTAAGCCAATCTCACGAAGCGGCATCCACCGCCGTTGATTTCATCGTTCTGCGGCAGACAAGGACGTTGTTTGAGGTCTTTTACTATCTCTGGCGGCGGTAATTTCTCTTTGGGAATGTTTTCTTTTCCTGAAATCGTAGCACGGAACCCATCAGTGTCACCCTCCTTTCTACTTCTCCCAACCCGTCTCGTCTGGCTACGTCGCGGAATGGCGAATCGTCACGGACTTGGCGATCCTATCTTTGGCACGTGGTCATGGTTGACACATGGGGCAGACAGCAGCAAAATAATGACAGTCTCGGTATACTTTAATGATTGAATTTTCAAGTCTATTTGGAAGACGATTTTCTCAGCAACATTGACGTCAATAATTCCCCAGATGTTTCGCTGTCTGGAAGGCACCACGGGATGGAACAAGGAAAGCTCGTAGATCCACACTGCTCCTTTATATGATAACTTGAAACTCAAACTTGTGAGAAGAGTTGTGAGGGACCAGCCCGTTTGTTGATGTGACGGGGAGGAGAACTCTCCAACCCGTTTGCTAAGAAATTAGCTCTCTAAAAACACAGGCCCCAACTCAAATCGCTGTTTCCCAGCACCACACTTGCCCACTAGGTGGCTGACAGGATCCACCATCACAAAAACTGAGAGGTCATCCCAACAGCGGCCTTGGGGCGATCCATCACGCCGCGGGCTTTGCCAGCGCCTGTGGTCTTCGCAGGGAGCACGTGCCCATTTCTGGGCGACTGCAAAAGCACCGGTCTTGAATTGAGTGGACATAGTCCAATAACGGCGCCTTTCTTCGACCCCACAACTTCTTTAGAAGGATTGACTCACAGGACACTAAGCCGATCCATATAAATAGCCATTTTGCTCGCCATCAGCTCTGAGACTGGCATTCTCACACCTGAACTGTTATACACGAGTCGCTTCGATGACATTGCTCTCCATCCCGAATCATGACATTCCGACACATGCGCCTTTCTCACCAGTGATGGTGAGAAAACTCAGCCGAGTCGCCACTCAGCAGCCCCGCCACAACGCCGCATCTGAACGGCGTCAAGTTTATCAAGTCAAGGAAACGAGGCCGAAGTGCGACGCCTGGTGGTGCCAAGAGGCAGGAGCAGAATACAGTGGCTTACTGCACGAGGCCTTTGTCTTGCTGCAGTCACATTGATGCGCGGGAGGTCACCCAAGGAGTCCCGACAAAATTTACTGTGTTATCACGGGCAAAAAGCATTCGGTTGATAGGCGAGGTCGAGAAGAGCGGTAGCTACTCTGTCAATTCTTTGTTCTGCGCCGTTTTCTCTTCCGATGTGTACATTTTCCTCAACACAATCTTGAATGCTAATCACAGATGCTGACTCCATTTCTCTCTAGCTTTGAAATAACGAAACCCAGAAATTTCCTTCTCCAAGATCGTTAGCCCTTTTATTTGCATTTTTAGTAGGGAGGAATTCGCGGTTGTCAACACGGCCTGTGGCCCCAGCGACCTTCTCGACCCAAGCTGCTAAACCACAATGAGTGTCTCATGGAGACCAAGATCCCAAATGTGTCACGTCCCCCGGATTCACGCCCCAAGCGACATACAAACACATCCTGCGAAGTCGTATCAATGCTTTCAACGCCCTGGTCTGAATTTATAACGCCGGTCAGTCTAGGAACGGTTCGGCTAGTCACGGGGCAGTCATGGGAAACTCACAGAGGCCCTGGTCCATGTCAAAGACGTCCTTTTGGTGCCAAACGGCGAATTTGCACATCTTGTTCAAATTATTGTCCGTCGAATGAGGTAACAACAGTGAAGCGTTGAGAGAGACGTGTGCTTGTCGCTCAAGTGTTGAGCAAGCTGATAGGGCTGTCGCATTCAAGTGTTGTGGAAGCCGATGCAAGGCAGTCGAGGTGATAGAGCGGGCTAGAGTTTTGCCTTCGACTCTGCATGTTTTGCCGTCGATGGTTCTGTCATCGTGTCAGCTTTTGCGTCTCCCAGGGGAAGTGCCAATGATGAGAGCAAAGGGACCCGGGGATACTTACTTGGGTACCCTGCTGCGCTCCGATGCTCAAGACTGAGGCACAAACGGTTGTAGGCGTGACAACCATTGATCAGCCGGCTGTCCCGTTGGTGCTAGTAGTACCATCGGTCAGCCTTTCGGCCGCCGGTAACCAGTCCCCCATCATAAAAATATTTTTCTTCACACTCGCTCGGCGTTACCACATTTTAATCACGCTTGGGGAACTGGCCTTGATACTGAAACACTCGGAGCCACCAATGATGAACTCGGGCGCGTCGCCTGGACTTCCGTCGGGACCAGATCCAAAATAGTGTGGCCGGGCAGGCCATGCTAAGACGAAGGAAAACTGAGATGGCAGCGGATACGGCGAAAGGCTGGCAGACTGGACGCCGAGGAGACCTGAGCTTGAGAGGAGCAGACCCGCGGTGGTGCACCGGAGACTGCAGGACAAGCAGCAGGGCTCTGGTACCTGTGCCACCAGGGTTGAAAAAACCGTTAAGCAGAAGATTGAAAGGAAATGGTATGGTGAGGAGAAAACAACGCAACATGAATTTGAGAACCTTCAACAGGGCGGTGACGGATGCCGGAGTCAGCTTGGAAACACCCCTGAGGTGCGGGACCCTCGAAGCCGTGTGTCTCCATGGTGTCTCCGGTTACCTAGACCCGTCAGCACGATCAAGTGATGGAACAAGCATACCAAGTGTTCTGCTCTGCCGTGGGTCTGACGGTGAGCTATTCTGTCACCCTCCGTTCCGAAGATGACGAGTGGACGGGAAGCTTGTGAGAAGCAGGGCACCAGGGCACGGAATTGCTGACGGCGGTGTAGCTGGGCGCCGCGGTGAACAGAATAAGAGAAGCATGTGGGCCAAAAGACTGAGCATGAACATGAGTGGCCAAGCGGCGAGTGAATGGAACGGAAATGTCGTGATGTTCGGCTTTGGTGTTGAGTCCATTGTGGCAGATGGTAGATGAGAAAGGGAAAGGAATTGAAAGAAGGAATCGAGCCGATCGAAACGCGTTGATCAAGGTCAAAACAAACGGAAAGCCATGGGTTGATTCCTTCCTCACATCTGCCGTGACTCGCCCGGGTGGGCTTGAGGCTTCCTGTTGCTATCACATTTGGGAGGGAGAGGCTCCTCCTGCAAATGCAGGAGCTACCAAAACCTACCTATGAGAAACGGTATTGATGGAAACGGTTTAGTATCTATCGAATCTGCCTTTTGCTCTGCAGCTGCTATTCTTTTATCCCTTCTCTTTCATATTCCGCCTTCTCCTCCCCTGAGAACATTAGGCTCAGAGGTTATTACTCATATCTCATAACGGAAAGTATGGGGGTATCTATCTCTGGAAGGGCCCCCCAGTTTTAGAGGGAAGAGTAGCTATGGATAGTCTCAATTCCATAGACAGACCATCTTGCAACTAGAATCAAGGACTTAGAATGCCTCGGGTTTATGAGAACGGTATATAGTACGGTCCCTCCACGGGAAGAACTATCCCCTGCTCAATTTGTGTCGCCTAGCCGTCTTTTAACAATCTTATCTGTCAAAAGACAGTCGTCCCTATGGTCCTTCCCTTTCAACACAATTTCCTCAGGAAAGAATAATAGGGCTCAGAAGACTATTGTTCATTTCAAGACCATCCCCAAGACTGCGTTCCTGCAAAGAAAACTATTAAAAGACGGGTGAAGACGGTCAGGGCGACGGAACTCATCAAGGGACCGCCCTCCTACCCAGGGGACGGTGCTATATACCGTTTTCACAAACCCCATAGGGGGCGCTATAGTAGTCATAGGACAAGTCTAGTGTTATCATTAACCTTCTAACCTGGCTCAGAATCCAGGCTGCCGGCACAATCCCAAAGCTGGGCATGCTTGCTATAATGCCTGCGGGGTAGGTCTAACCGAGCCAAGCCAGACCCAGTAGAGCTCACTTTAGACTCACCTACACCTTACTTTAGCTCAGTCATATTCCGACCTAATGGTTATTCCAGGTTCAGGAGTAGCGTGTAACATCAAGGGCAAATATACAGGTAGTCTAAGACTACCATGAAAAGCATCAGAGACTACTCAGAGCCAACGATCTTAACGTCTCGGATTCCGAATAGCCGAGATATTGCAAAGAGTGCATGTTGAGAAGGAGTGGTATGAGCACGTGAATGTTCTGGACCTGGCGATACTCAACTCAGAAATTTGCTAGATACGGTCTTCACGGTTGCAAGTGGTACATGCTCCTTGACAGGATGGCTGATTTTGAGTGACGTATCATCGCGAAATGGCGTAGAGGCAAGAGTAATAGGCCGAAGACCTTCTTTCCTTGGTAATGCATTATTGAAGGAGTATGCCTCTGCCACCTCATGAACACTACATCGGGCGTTGCCAGTGGCGTCCCTTGACGAGGCGAGAAAGAGGCCTGACGGCTACAAATTCCTCAGTCTCATCGACCGTTCTGTCGCACAGCATCTAACAGGGGCATGTAGACAAGGCAGTCTTTGAATTGGTTCACGCCAACTCTACCTCTGTCTTCTGCCTCAAATTCAGCGCAAATGGCGCACAGGAGCCCTGCCTTCGTATCAATTTGCCAAGGAGGCAACTGCAGGGCCCATATCTGGTGTACTGGTCATACTACCTAGCTGAGCACCCTAATAAGCACCCTACTTAATCCATGTTCTACACCCTCTGCATCTCACACCATGTTCGGGTAAGCGCTGTTGGGACACAGAAACAAATTGTGTGCGCCTGTGATTAGCTGTCCTGCGGGATGGCACAACGCTAACGCTGTGCCCCATCGTCATTTGTCGGGCACTGATGCAGCAGCCTAGCACCCAGAATGTAACTGCCTCACAGAGTTGAGCCTCAACTTCTTGTTTGTCAGGGGTTTTTTTGGCACATCCTCCCCCCAACCTCGATTTTTTCACACACACAAGTCCTGCTCCTTTAAGACACTGAGAGATGAAAGTTGCCGCCAGTGAAAAATATCAACGCGCACTCATTTGGCATACAGCTTACGGAGCTCCTTGAAGGCGAAGGCTGGTTTGAGGCTCGTCGGAATCAGCTTTTGTATAGTTCTGCCAATGTATGTTCAACTCATATAAACAATCAAATCCGACGATGGACGGCGCTTGAATAGTTCAGGGATCCGGCACGGCTCAGACAATTCAGAATCAAGTAGCATGTCTCTGCATGGCTAGACAAGCATTGGGTGCTCCCCAAAAAGAGCTCTGCTCACGAGCTTTCTCGCATGCGGTGCCCATGACTGGGACTTGTGCTGAAGATCAGGGCCGTGGCTCTGTACAAAATGTGGCCGCAAGGTGGCGCAGAAGCAACACTGGAAAGTCGAGGCGTCCTCTTTGACTGACCACACATTTTTCGGGCAGGGCTTCATTAGCCCCATTCAAAGCGCTGATCGGACATCAGCAACCTTCGAACAGGCATAGATGTCCTCCCGATGGTGGCTGGGGCTTCGGAGCCTCGTCTATCATTGAGAGGCATGCAGATGACATCGGTTTGGCTGGGCTTTTTTGGCTCTCGATGAGGCTTCAATTTGCCTAGAGTCTCTGCCTTGGGCACAGAATAATCGATGTATAGGCATATCAACCTCGTATCCATCTGCCGTGGAAGCCTCGTTACAGCCTAGTCAGCCCAAGCGATTGTGAGCACCCTCTTTGCACCCTCTTTTGCACCTTGTAACGATGAAAATCATGTTCAGCCAAGCATCATCGGAGACGTTAGGCGCGGCTTTTTGTCAGAATGATTCGCTGCCCTCTTATCTGTGCCGCCTTAACGTTTCACAAACTCTCCTTTCGCTGGGCATCGGTGCATCATCTGCACCCTTCAAGACCACCCAGCCCCAGCTCCTTCGCGGCTGTATTTCCTAAGCCAAATCGATGGGGGTCCAAAATTTTGTTTATAAAGGCTCGGAGAATCATTCACTTTTCTCTCCATCCCTTCTTCCTCACCCACCATCCACACATACGGAAGCCCACTCTTTACATGTGTTCTCACGATCGCCAGCACTGCTCAGAAGAGTTCGCAACGATACCTGAATACTGGCAGGTTGTTCCAGCGGCAAGGGACCCATCATTCAGTACGCTCATCATCATGCTAATCTGGAACCGAACTTGGGATTGTGTAAGTTGAGGTTTCTTTGTCGCTAGTGGCCCTGGGCCGGGTATCGGTTCCTGGTTCTCCCCCAAGTTATCCCGTTGCGTGCGAACGCTTGAGGCAAGTGTCTCATCCCACAGACGACTGCAGGAAACTGTGTTGCTCTCTCTCTTCGACACTTCACCTGCATCTCTCATGCGGCCTTGTGAGACGAGCGTCGCAAGGCTTCGACCTCTTTGGATTCAGCCTGATGCTTTTTGACACCCATCATGTCTACGAAGGAGTATCTATCTCGTTCTGTGGGCCCATGTTCACTGTTCTTTTTCCCTCTCTTCTGATAACCACACAAATTTTGGCCCACCATCATGGATCCAGTCGTAGCTGGCCTCGGCGGACGTATGTCCCGCATGAGCAGTTCCAGTGATGTCACTCAGAACGACAATTTGGCTTTTATCCACCCTGCCTTGGCCAACCAGTAAGTGATATCTCATCGCTCGACCATGTTTGTCTCTGCCTTCTCGAGTCACCTCATCGGCCTTGCAAGCCCTCGCACACTTCCACCGAGTTTATGGTGACGCTTCTCGTGTTCGAACACTGAAGTGACCCTTCAAGCCCACGCATAAGGAGATCCGCTTATTGAAGGGATTCGAACGGATTCCTGACTCATACAACACCTTTTCTGACCATTTGCATCGTTGTAGGGTGTTTAGCAACGGAAGCCTTTTTCAGCCGATCGCTCCCGATCTTCCCAGCTGCCCTGCACACGGCAAGGTGTCATACCTCCAAAAGACCTGTGCCGGCTGTCTCATTTCCTTCCCAACTAACTCAAACCTTGAGCAGCATGCCTCTACCTCCGGGCACATGGCCTTTTCTTGTACTTGTGGTGCACAATTCGCCAGATCATATTGTCTCACCCGCCACATCAACTCCAAAATTGGGCCAAGCTTCCCGTGTGAACTTTGCGATGACAAAGAATTCCCCCGACTGGACAAGTTAGGAGATCACCTTCGTCGCTGGCACCGGCTGGGAGTCAAAGCCTTCGATCAGTACAAAAGCGGGTGCTCATCCACCATTTCTGTCTCACTGGCGAACGGTGAAACCCCTCAGATTCCAACTAAGCACTCCGGAGAATTCTATTCTACGCCACCTGGTTCCGGGTCTATCGGAATGCTCGACGGATTCCCCTCGGCTTTGAGCACTGACATGGATGCCTGCTTGAGTCAGTCCAATGCTAGCCCTCACAGCTTGACGGTAAGCGCACAACAATCCTCAATTCGGAAGAAGGGTTTCGTTGAGCTTACTTTGGCGTTGTACAGGGTTCTGATAACTGGTGGTACTCTCAAGCGAGCCAGAATACATCATACCCACCTTGAAGCGCCGCGCAAGATTCATCTTGGGACGCGAACCTTATCTTCGTCCTTCTATCAGTGGTGGGTTGTCCGTCAGAAGGGAATTAATCACACGGTGACCGTAGCAGAACCGTTGTGAAACGTTGGAAGGGGGCATCTCGGATCGTGGCTGACCAGTTCATTTCCGGAATTCATTCCTAATCGACGGCTTGCAATTTGCCAGATTCAGATGTTGTTGCGGAGATCACGACTAAGACCGGTGCTGCCGTCGGATTTTCAGTTGTTGTGGCGTTCTTATCAATCTTGAATCTCAGTAATTCAAGCATCGGGGAGACAGCATGCATAGTTTTGCATTTATCTGTAAATAGAACAATTCTGATATACGTTTCTTCTTTCTGTCTCAATCAGCCTAATCATCTTGGAGTCGCCACTACCATGAGCAGGTGATAGCTGCCACCTTGACACGGTCCAAATGATCGCGAAGGTGACAATTGGCCCGGAGAAGGCTGTGGGATCATGCCTTATTCGCAGACTCTTTCGTGCGACGATCCGACCTGCCCATATGTTGGAATCTTCCTCCTTTGAGCAGTCCCTTCAAAAGCCTCATCTTGGTCCTGAACGTCACCCCAGCTCGTTCATAGCGCATCATGGGTCTTCCAAAGACTGGCTGACGCAGCCTTGCCATGCTGCCAATGTTGCCAGGAAAGGACGCCACCAGGAGAAGCTCATGAAAGCGTCTTTGCGAAGACTCACTAAAAGTGGCGACCGCGCCTATGCAAAGAAAGCTTTTTAATTCGCTCTCAAGACTTCGTGTTTTCCCTCGCATTCTCAGCCAACCACTCTGCAGGAGCTTCCGGTCTCGACCCCCGGTAAGCCAGCACGAAGCGATCCTTATTACCGTGCCCCAATAGCTCTCAGCCCGTCATAGCTTTCAAACGCTTACTCGGCGAGCCCGCATCCGCATCATCGACTGCGCCACGCTTCGAGGGCGACAGGCTGGCCTGTGCGAGTGCCCCAAATGAGAAAGTTGTGTCGATGTGTTCGCAACCATCTTTGATTTCAACGTTCAACATCATTCGCTCAGTCTCAGGAATGCCATCATCCTCCATATTCTGCTCTTCATCGGGAATGGGGATCCTGTGCGCGCTACGGTACGTCCATCGTTTCGCTCGAACCATGTGGTCAGCCCGGCCGGGCTCCGGTTGGTACTCAAAGAGCCATCCGCTCGCAAACGGCGCATCACGGTCTGGAAGAGACCCGAGGAGCTGTTGGGCGGCCTGGTTGTCTACTTGAATTGAGTCTTTTGCGGCCTTCTCTGCCAGGCGGTACAGGTCGGGCTGCACGGAATCAAATTCGTCAGCCAGGTGTACGTACCGCAATTCAGGGCACCCACTTACGTATTGCTCCCCCCAGGTAATCTCCGTTCCGGAGCGCGGCTCAATGGGTCTTACTGGCCAGAACTCGACGACATAAATCTCCTCTCCGCGGTCCTTCTCGACGGTGGCCTCGCAGCGGAAATTATGGGCGCCCAAATCCATCTCTGGTTCGTCGATGAGAATCTCCAGGTCAGGGTCGTACTTCACATAGGAACCTTCGTGATCCTCAAAGCAAGTGATGGACCAACCTCCTCCTGACGAAAGGCGAGACGGGACAGGATCGAGTGAGCGACAGAAATTGTTATAAGCCTTCCAAAGCTCATTCGATATTCCAGCCGCAGCACAAGCGGCGGAGAAGCCTGTCTTGGCCGCGTCGACCGCGGAGCGGATCTCAGCCTCACGTCTCTGTCTGGCTTCTAGCTCATCCTGGAGCCACGGCCTGGATTTCCAATCGTAACGGCCGGTCCGCTCCTTCATCTCTTTGAGATCCACAATGTGCCAGTATTCGTATTGTAAGGCTCGCTCCAGGGGACGAAGGCCACGGCCTGGGATGTTGCGAGAGAAAAGAAGATGCTCCAGCTGCGAAGCGTTCTGTGGTGGGGGGCTCACGGGCCGCTGGTGATGACGGAGGACAGCTCGCGTATTCATGTCATTGCTAGGAATGGCTGAACGGTATTTGCAAAGGCTGTCGTCATCATCGTCGTCATTGTCCTTGGTGTCTTCAACTTCGCCTTCACTGGCGCCAGAATCACTTTCGCTGATGGAATCGTCAGGCGAGAGGTCATCGGATGAGCCCACGTCATCAGAGCCATTGGCCGAAGTGGCACTGTTATCGCAATCACGGCATTGAATCTATTCGTCATTCATTTTATCAGTATATGTCTCAGTGCTGTCGAGAACCTCTCATCTTTTGTTTGTTTGCACAGTGAAACTCATCAGGTTGCTCGTTACAAATTCAATTTCAATGAGATCGAGCTCAACAGCCCGAGCTTCAACATCTGACCTAAGGATCAACATTTAGGACTGACCTGGTTGCCTTGAGGACCTTTATCCACACCCGCTGGTCCATGGCCGGTATCACGGGACTTGTTAAATTGGAGATGGAGAGCACCTGGCTGCTCCGCAGGGTGGAAAGACGCCGAGGTGTCGGCCACCTCGGCCTCGTGGTGCCCGTCGTGCATAGTGCGCCGAAAAAGAATTTGATAAGAGCTTGAGATGTGGATGGCAGTTTGTGGCGAGCAGTAGCTAGAGCTGTGTCTGTCCAAGAGGACTCTAAAAGAATTGTTGGGAGTCAAACGACTAGAGATTGCATCGAAAAGCCTGTGTGCTAGTTGCAAATGCAGAGCATCTGTGTCAACTTTTCTCGCCGCGGTCGCGCGGTCGCGCGGTCGTGGGTTTGAAACATAAAGTTCAAGGGAGACACATTGTAGAACTGGGTCTGCTTTCGTCGTGATTCAGCTCCCTGTCCTGTTTCCTATCATCATAAAAGGTAAAGTGGACCAAACTTTTGCAAAAACACCAGTTTGTGGTTTTATACAAGGCCAATGGGTGAATTTGCCTAATAAACATTGCGATCGATCGGATGAAAGCTCGAGGACGGTTGAATAAATCGACAATTGGCTCTCCCTGGCTTCACTCCATTGCCTTCCGCCTTTTACAACAATGCTTTCATCCCAAGTCTTCCCCCATCACGATCAGATGAACTAGAACAACCGAAAAGGTAGCCAAGCGATGTCTTCAACCCACTGCATCTTGTCCTCTTCTCCTTTTCGAGGTCCCCCTCTCAGCCCACGGTTCAACATGAATAGAAACTTTGCTACGGCACAATTACTAAGAGTCGATACCGCAATGCTGACTGTAGGTTCACGTAGACAATCCTTTATGGATTTCCTTCCTCTTTCCCAGTGAAGGATAATGACTACCAGTCAATCTCATTTAGAGGCTTCTTTCAATGTCAATAGACTCTCCACAAGTATGAAGGGGACGAAAACTTGCTGCTTAATGGTCGCAGCCTTTTCATAGCCAGACTGCAGGCCAAGACTTTGGCACCCTGCGCGATGTGAGTGTACCTCTGAGCCTCAGGTACATCCACTCTGTCTCAGCAGGAAGGATGTCCAGTGGAAAATATATGTTGGAAGCTACTCCCAGGTGACCCAGCGCTGGGGTTCTGCCACACTCTAGCAGCCCAACACATCATACACTTCACTTTACGAAGTACCCAACATGGCCAACTACGAACTGCCGCACAGCTTCACCCTGAACCACACGGGTGAGAACATCGCCCAGGCCCAATCAGCGGGCTCGTCTCACCCTGTGCAACACCCCGAAGGTGTGAAAGAAGCCACGCCGGCACATTTATTATGCAACCAGGTTCCAGGGACCCACGAGCCTTGGTGGTCCATTGGGTGAGACTGTTTTTTTTTAACCCTCTGCTAACCGGAATCGGCCGAAATTACCAGACCTGGACATCGGCATCACACGCTGCATAGACGCCACATGCGGGTCAACTTCAACCCAACCCACACTTGTGCCACCTGCAGGGAGACACGCGAACAACTACGCTTTAGAGCAGCATGCCTCCAAGGCACGCCACAAATCATTCCTGTGCACTTGCACCACCAAGTTCGTCAGGCTGGCCACCCTGAATCGACACATTGCAGCACAGGCTGGGCCGAAGCACCACTGCGACTACTGCGATGACAACAAAAGCTTCGCTCGGCCGGACAAGCTCATCGACCATCTCCGCGCCAGCCACAAGTTCGGAGAGAAAGCCATTGCTCGGATTCGCGGTCAGGGTGATGACCAGCCTGGTAATCTTGGCCGTGGTATTCCCATTACCACGGCCGCTGACTTGGCTCTGCCCGCGACGATTTCGGCTGGGAACGAAGCCGCTCTTGGTGATGTCGTGATGGGTCAGGCTGGCTCCTCTGCTGGACCAGCCGGCTTCTTCGATGGCGATCTGAACGACTTCCCCAGTTTCAATGTCGAAGAATTTCAGCCGCTCAGCACCTCCATGGACTATCCGTGGCTTGATGCTGCCGGGGAGTTCGCCGGCGTCGACGAAGACCTGGACTCCTTCATGAACAACAATTTCTGAGGCTTCTACACCTACTTTCTAATGTACTGCTTTCTTACGTACCGTTTCTCCATGTACTGATTTCTTCATTGTTTTCTCTTCTTTTGATGAGATACGACTTTCATTTCCAACAGCCTCCTCCCAGCAACAGCCTTACTTCCAAGCTGCACACGTTCTCCCCTATTGGTCCTGCCACACCTGCGATGGCGCTGTCTCGTACCGTCCATCAGGCGAGGCAGATAGATAGTCTGTTCAATGATTAGCGTTTCGTTTGCAATCTGTTCCATAACCATCGTGAAGGAAGTGTGAGCTACGACCCTGTTGGTACGTACTCAAAGGCCCAACGCAGCGGCACGAGGACATGTAGTTCCATTTGTAGCTCTGTTTTACCACTTTACCTATGGAAATGTCCGTGAAAGGTATTTGGGTGTTGCCCGATAGGCTGTAAAAGCTTGAAGAGGACCTCCTTGGGCGACTTGTCGTTGACCTCCATGACCTCTTTCCCGTCCGCTTACGTAAACATGGACAAGACGGACTAGGACTCCAAGTGGTCGCGGCCCTTCAGTCTTGGTTATTTCAAGGCGTCGATGGGGCTTCTCAGAACCTTTGTATGTGAAGAACTGTCTCCATATATCATGAGTCGAAGTGGACACCTCACCTGCACCTAATCACCTATCATGAGCACTAGTGAGCTCAGCATCAAAAACATTAATCTAGCAAGATGCTTTCCACGCCAAGCAGCAGGCCAAAAGAATAAGAGCAGCAGTCCGCCACAGGAAATCCAATCCTGACCCAGGATATCTAAAGTGTTTGCCAACACCCCCATGCAACGCCGAAACAAGAAAGAAACCGTGACGCTCATGCCGTCCGTCTCTCTGTGTACTCCAGGAACAAAGGCCCAAATCCAAGGCTAGCAGACTCAAATCACCACTGGCTCTTCATCGCCGTCCCTTGTATCATATTCAAGATGTTCAACCGCGCGCTCCACATGACATTCTCAGTGCTACCCTTCTCCCGTATCACAGGCGGCTGCTCCTGCTCGCCCTCGCCGCCTACGTTCTGGATGTCGCTGTCCCCATGGATGTTCCCCTTGGCCTTGTGGTGGAAGAACACGGGCGGCGTCACGCTCAGGCACTTGGCGTCCAGCCCCCGGTCGCCCAGCGTGCCCTCGCGGTCCTGTGGGTCCCCAGCGGCAGCCAGGGCGGCCAGCTTGCTCCACCCGCCCACGGAGCGGCGGCACAGCCAGGCCAGGGCGTTGTCGAAGGGGCCTGATAGGCGGTCGACGCTGAGGTCGTACAGGATCTTCTGCGCGCCGCGGTTTGACACTGCGTAGGCGAAGGTGCAGATCGGGGCGGCGGTGATGTGTACCCAACGTGTGCGCTCAGGATGCGCCTTGAAGTCCACGATGCCTGTGACGTGGTCCAGCGGGGGTACAGTCGCGTCATTAAGGATCGTGTACCGCCGCATCATTGCCACCTTGCCGGCGTCGTCTTCTGGCAGCTCCTTGTTCTCGGGCAAATCCTCCGGAAACGGCTCCCCGCAATGCCCCAACCAGAGGATGTCCCAGTCGTCGCCGTAAGGGCTGCTCGGGATGGGCCCAGCGGAGGAGGATGGTCGGCCAGTCGGGAAGTAGGTATGGGGCAAGTTGGACATGACGGCGCGGGCGCCGGCTGCGACGAGTTCGAGTTGGGGTTTGAGGCGGACGTCCCAGTCCATGTCATCTTCCATTATGAGGGCTGAATCGAGGTTCTGTTCGACAACTCTGTAGAGGATGAACAAATGTACCGATTAGCTCCTGGTCATCAAAGTAACGGTGTCACATTGCCAAGGGCGGGGGCTCAGGAATGTGTATTTGTGGCGCTCACCTCCGGATCGCATTCATATGGCCCCTCCAGCTACCCAGATTTGTCTCCATCAACTTTTTCCGGTCAATGCCGTATGGAACAGCCTTGTCCGGGATAGTCTCGCCGCGCACGCCATCAACCCACTCGATATCGAACCCCGTCAACGCTGACGACAGCGAGATGGCATCCCTCTTGTCGGTGCGCTCGGGCAGGCCGACGACAAAGACCTTGGCGAAGCCGAGGGTGTCGTTGGTCACACGGTTGATGTCGGTAGGAGTCGAGTGGCCATGGTAGTCCCTGCCGTATGGTTTCTCGGCGACGCTGGATTTCGAGGAGGACGAGTCTGGCGCGGTGGGCGAGCCGCTGAAGGCGCTGAATGGGGCGGAGAAGCTCGAGGGGACGTGCAGGGCGTTGCGGTTGGGGTGGAGGAGGTAGAAGCTGGTGAGGATGAGCAGGGCGATCGAGATGCCTATGACGGGCCGAGGGCGCACGGCGATCATCGTGTGGGCGAGAGCAAAGCGGCGCGAAGCACGCGAAGCAAAGGCGATCTGCGCCTGTCCAAGCTTTGAACTTTGTCCAAGAAGTTAATCCTGGTTGAGGGCGGACCCTTGATGTCGTATTGTGGGGTGTTTGAGTTACGATTAATTTGACTTAGATCTGTGTCACTGTAATAGACAAACGGGGCACAAAGGACGGAAAGCCTGCCCTTTGGAGCAAAAGTGTCAGAACGGGCGAATTGAAGCCATCAAGAACAACGGCAGCGACTCGAAAGATTATGATTACAGAAAGAAAGAGCCAACGAGTGAGCGAGTGGATTATGACAGGTTTAGGAGAGCCGGGACGAGTCGAGTCGGCTCGAGCTGATCTGCATCTAGAGCTGGACCTGAGCCCACCTGCTCATGGGCCCCTTGTCCTCAAAAGGCGAGAAGTACATGCATACCAGGTACCTGGGCGATCTACAAAGAACAAAGACCTTATCGCGTTTATCGGACGAGACCCCTGTCAAAGTACCGTTATACGAAAAGCCCCCACCGCTTCCCTGAAGGCGCTTACTCACCCTCTGCTGAATGTGGTCTCATGAAGCACGATGCTTCTCATCACCTACAATATCCTACTGAAATTCATCTGTCCAATTGCACTTCGACATCAGACTTCTCAAGGGTAATCCTTCAAATCTTCCAACGATATATCCCACTCTTTGGCCAAGGCCGCCTTCCATGCGTCCAGCGTCAACTCATTGGTCTCTCCATCTGTATCGTAGCAGGCCTCGAACAACATCTCACCGCCCTCAATAGCCCTCACCATTGGAACCCTTATACTTTTGGCGTCAAATCCACGATAGAAGTCACTCCCTTGTGGCGGGAGCTTGATCCACACGTGCTCTGCGCTACACTGCATACCGGGAGTTGGTCCCTCTCGCAACTTCTTTAAACAGTCTAGGCAGAAGTCACAATTCCAACAGCAGATGCAGTGGTAAAACTCGTGATCAAAGTCAAACTCCTTGTCACATGCTGTTCCAGGGGGTCCAAGCCCGTTGCAGAACCAACCCGTCCGTGAGACCATGGTTTTCATAGTGGACGTGTGCGTTTCCAGCATTGTAGAAATGCGGGTATTGAGGAGAGTGAGCGCAGTGGCTCTGGCCTTCGATTCATGTAAATCTGCGGCAACGAGAGCGTCGACGTGCTCCTTGGCCAGCTCAAAACGCCGGGATTGCTGTGAAGAATCCGGGACCAGGGTTTTGACTGCCTGTAAAATTTGTTTGCCCAATTCTTCCACCAGCTCTTTGACCTCATGCTTGTCGCTGACCTCTCCATCGGTGATATCGTCAGATTCAAAGTGCAAAGAAGTGGTCAGCAGATCTGGTGATCCCATCAACGTCAGGGCGGCGGCTGCATTGTTGAAGTCTCGGCAATGAGCCAGTGACTTGAAGAGAGTTAGGAGTCCATAATAATCATTGTCAGGGTTATCATCCGACAGAATTTGTAGCGCAACTTTGATCTGCCGCGAAAGGAGGCCCCTTGACTTCTCTTTTTCGTCGCGTAGTGCGTACAGTGCTGCCAAGTATCCGACCGGATCGCCACCGTCAGTACCGGAATCTTCTCTAGCAAGTTTGGAGAGCATTTCGATATGCTCTGGCGGTCCTTGATTCGTTGTCAAGGTGTGAAAGTAATATTTGGCAATCTCGGCAGTGGCGTTCGTTCTTGTGGTGGATGCTACCGATCCTCCGATCGCATGAAGCTGGGCACGGCATTCATGCCAGAAGGCCAACGCGTCGTTGACAGAACCTGCACCTTCCGGAGATCGTCCATACGCCACAGCCATTCCGCGGTGATACAGGAGTACTCCACGAGATACTTCCTCGGAAAAGCGGTCGTCCTTAGACATCTCGGTCGCTTTGTTTTCGCCTGGTGCCAGGGGAGTCGTCGCCTTCTCTAAGGCCGCCCATAGTCCTTTCAGGAGATTCGAGTCCTCATTTGCAATAGTGAACATTTTCGAGATCGTGAAGTTGTGGTCTTGGTCCCGTGCAATCATTTTCAAGACAGGGACCATGCTCCTTTCACTACCATCCGTAGCCAAGGCGCCCTGAAGCATTTCCTGCGCCTTCTTTGCGTCATCCAAGCTCAATACTGCCTTGATATGAGCCACTTGGCCTGGCTCCGCCCAGTATGAGATTGAGCTGTTGGATACCAAGCAAAATTGCTCCGCCGCCTGCTGTATATTTCCGTCCTCCAGATGGGAACTCCCCAAGCTAAAACGAAGATTCATGATATCTTCCTCTTGTGCCGTCGGCCAGGAGCCTTCTCGCTCGGTCATTTTGAGGGCCAGTTCTACTTCTGCAATGGCCTCTGCAATGTCGCCCAATCGATAGTGACACTCAGCCAAGTTGGCGTTTGAAATCCAGCTTGGATTCTCCTCCTCGAGTGCGCGTTTGAAAAGCGACTTGACAATCTGCGGATTATCCCAGCCCTCTGTGACTGCTGCTTGCCCAATGCGACTCCACCACAGGGAGTCAAGATCGGAGCTTGGGAGCTCCAGAAAGTTTTGACACCACAAGCTCACACGGTACCAATCAACTTCGGAGGTCTCGCTGGTGGATGGGGCAGCTGAGATTGTACCGGTGGTGTTCATGGTAGGCGTTTGTGGTAGTGCTTGACTTTGTTCGTCCTGTTGGGAATCAAGGTCAGAAAAGGTAACAGGTAAAGGACATGCGTCTCCCAGATCGCTCAACGGCCTTGAGGGATATCTATACAAGGAGATTCAGAGCTGAGAAGTAGTACGACGAACTTACCACCTCCATGAATTGGAGTATCCAACCCCTGTACCCAGACAAGGTCTCGGCCGTGATCCGCCCGCGGTCTCTTAACCAACTCTCGATCACCATCTTGACGAGCGGCCGGAGGTATCCTCTCACGGGGCTAGCGTATTGCTGTACTTCCTCGCGCCACTGTCTCGGTAGCCTCCGAACCACAGCCAAGGTCGTCAGCCACTTCTGCACATCTTTCATCTCTTTTGCGGTCCACCAGAAATGCTCCACAATCTTCTTGTGGCGTTTGAAAGCCTCGTGGTCTTTGAACAGGTGGTACAGATGTTGTCCAATCTCCCGCTGCTCTTCAGGCATTAGACCTCCCTTTTCGTCATATTCAAGCTGGGTGAGTCTTCCCAGATGGTATGGTAAACACCAAAAGAGATAGCGTCCTATCTCCTGGGTCTCGTCCCTTGGCTCTCCACACAGGTATTTCAAGGCTCGCATCGCAATTGTGTGATGTGCCTCATACTCATCCACGGCAATGGTGCTTTGACGAGTGTGCAAAATGTTGGATGCAGAATCGAAATTGAACCGGAATTGATCCCGGATTCCTTTTTGTGCCAAATCCCAAAGAAAATGACCGACAACCTCATGATCCACGTTATTGATGTTAATGGTCATGCTGATTGTGGGCTGGTCTTTCGATTGCCGACCTTTGCGGTCTTCCTCCTTTTGCAAGTACTCAAGTGCTCCGTCCTGACCTTCTACAAAGCAGCCATCTTCGGAGCAGTCAATCTTGAGGACAGCCAGGTACTTGCTGGTGATGATGTCTTGTAAGAGTCCAATAGACTCTGTGCCGGAGTAAAGGAGCTTTTTGCTACCCATGAGCTTATGTTCCTGATGGTCGAGGTAGGGGTACAAAAAGGAGAGCTTACCATAGCACCTTCAAGTTCGGCCACCGTCATCCGCCTGCTGCTGAAGTGGACCCATTTCAACAGCTCATTCAGCTCGCTAATCTCTTCCAGAGTCAGTGAACGCTGCAAGGCTTTGATTGCTGTCTCATGGCTGTTCATTGGATGGTTCAACACCTTATCCAGCTCCGCAATGGATGTTCGGGAACTTAATAGTCGAACCACCTCGTCCAATGCGAACTGTAGCTGGGAGTAGCTGCCTGACGCTTTTGGTGGTAGCTTCGCAAGCACATTGTCTTTGGCTTTCTGTTGCACGGAACCTGGCGCCGCATGCCGTAGGAGGCCCTTTTCGCTGAGTCTGTCCTCAATGAAAAGTCTCATGTCCGACTCATTGTACCGATCCATTTCGATTCGTAATGCGTTTCGAGTTACATCTTCGTTTTTCAATACTGCGTCCGTCCCGCTCACCAGCACTCGCACACGACCTGCAGACTCCGCGGCCAGTTTAGGGCTGAAGATGAAGTCAAGCAGAATCTCACGCTCTTTCTCTTCCAAATTCTCAACTCCATCAAATGCAAGGTAGTACGTCGTCCCTGATCCTGGAGCCACAATCTTCAATTCTGACCACAGACCATCCACGTCTGAGGACGAGTTTCGGATCAGCGTGGAAAGGTTTAGGGATTCACATGCCTTGCCCAGAGATTTTCTCACGGTGGCATCGACTCTCGCAAATTGGAAGGCCATGTACCGCAGAGCTGAGTGTATAACATGTTTGCCGTCTTCATCGACCTTTTTGCTGCTGGCTGGCATGAAGAAGTAATGAGCAATGTACGCTCGACCCTTTTCTTCCTCGAGGTGCTTGATTATTTGAGCAGTAGCCAAGGTTTTGCCACTTGAGGGAGGGCCCGAAACGATGAGCACATTGGACTTTTGTTGGTTATCACCCTTTGCAGTACCCTCTGTCCAGGAGACAAATGCCTCATCCTTCCATATCCAGGATCCTGTCCCTTCCAAGCACTTGTTTGCCAGATTTGTGCACGTTTGTGTGGTTCGTGTGTCGAGAAGGACGATCGTTGGCACCTGAAGCGTGTTACGGATCTTGATAAGGGTTTGAGTGCGTTCGTTGTTGTCTTTGAGCGATTGGACTGCCTGGTACGTATCCTCGACCGTCTTACCAAAGACAGCAGACCTTTCCAGGAGTGTCACCACGCCTGACTGTGTCTTTACCAGCACGCTCAAACTGACCGTCCCCTCAATATCTCGCTGTTCCTGCAGCACTCGCCGGAACTCATTTAGTTCAGCCTCCAGAGGCTTGTTATCGTCGAATATAGACGCAATTTGTCTCTTTAACCGACTGCCCCGGCGACCCTGGCGGTACTTCACAACGTGGGCACAGATCTTTACGATGCTGACCATTACACGGTGAATTTGCTGGACCATAACGGGGTCTATGCCTTCGATGGACTCGTAGATCTCGAATTGTGAGAGCGCTGAAGATACGACCGTGAAGACTCCGTCGACCGCTTCGTTATAGCCCCTTATTCGCTCAGGTATGTCGAAAACGAAGCTCAATGCAGAGCCTGCGATGTTGGCCGCGGCAGCCGGAATAGGAATCTAGCGATGTCAATCTTCGTTCATTGGTGACGAGAGTGCGGAATCACTTACAAAGACGGCCGCCTGGGAAGCGGCCCCAAGGAGCATTTTCATATACTTGAGCGACTGCAGGCCCACAGTCTTTGCTTTCTCCCATTTATCCTCTGACTCGTCGTTGACGTATCCCGGCTGCTTGTTCGCATTCTCAATCTTTTTCCTCACATCATCGAAGCTTTTCACGTCGCCTCTCTGAAGCGACTCCCCGCAAATGTCCTGGAACTGCCTGGCCGCCTCGGCCCAAATCTCATCCAGAGAAACTTTCGTGTCGGTCATACTCCTTGGAGGTCTTACACTTGCAAAACCTACGTGATGAGGAGATTGTTGTTGTTTCGGTTGCAAATGGCGCTCCACGTCCACGTTGAAGCCGCGCGTAGGTCCAGACTAAATAGTGGGACTGTGAGCAAACGCGGGGTCGTGGATGCAATTTGAATGTTCAGCTCGTGAAATGTAAGGCTGAGCTGCCTGCATGAATAGCCCCCACAGAGTAGAGGTGATGATCAAGTCTAGCTTCCATTTTGGGCCCTGCATAGAACCCATGCTGGTAACCGACATTGCATATGCGCTATCGGTTGTGGCGGCGGCATAGGTGCCCTGTATAGGGCAACTGTTGGCCAATAGAACTATGTCGTGGGAAACATACCTGATGTGCAGGTATTTCTGTTACTGTTGTAATAAAAACAGTTAGTAGACAAGCATTGACAGAGTCGTCAACAAAATCGCCGTGCACATGAGGATCTTCGAATCGCCATTTGCTGATTGCATAAGTCCAATCTTTGCCTCGCTCCCGCATCCTCAGCTTAACCTAGATAATTGAGAGGAGACTTCTGGGCCACTCGAGGCTCGGATCAAATCATCAGCATCAGGCAGTCCATTCAGCGTTCTGCATTGCCACTTGAGGAGAGGTCACTAGATATTGCAGACATGTAAGCAGACTTCTGCAATGCTGCACTACATGGTCTATTTCAGCGGCGATTGGTAGCCTTGTCTTGGCCCATATAATGAAGACCACAACTTCAAGGAATTAAATGAACTTGACGAGTTGTACCTTTTGCTAGCCAATTGACCATACTCTCGGATGACATCTGAAGGTAAGCTTGTGCAACCAGTTACCGAAATTGGGGCTGCTCGTCTTCTTTCGCTTATAGTTACGAATGAACTATACAATCCTTTATCATGTTTCAACATGAGGCATTAAGGCGAACATTTGTAGCTTTTTGAGTGTGCAACCATCAATGACTGCTTGGAATTGCTCTTCAGGTAGTCTGTTCTAGTAAAAAAGGGAACAAGTCACTTTTTGGACCCAGACCCTGATTCTTCCTTGCCCTTGCCATGCTCTTGGTTGGATACTTCCCCTGATGAGTACCCACTGACCTGCCGCTTGTCCATCTTTACCCGCGTGTACGTGATCGATGATTGGGAGGCCCGTCCCACTGTAGCCGTTGACAAGCAAGGTTGGCCTTGGTGGGAGTTGCCGATCAGATGGTCACAGGGGTGTTGCATTCCAGTGCATGGCAGGGTCTGGCAGGTCTTGGCCTGGACCACCTTTTACGATCGACGCTCGCCTGACACGAGCCTCATCTGGAACACCAACCTCGACAACAGCCGATCATCAGACACGCCAGCTTGACGGGCAATAGTATCAATTTGGCTCATGACGGCTTCTTCGTCTTCGAGATTAAGCATATCGTAGACTGATAGCCAAGCTCAAGCTCATCCCATCCAAGGCGAGTCAATTGGCTCGTATCCACCCAAGGCCAATTCACCTCTCGTCTCATCTCGTCCCAACGTGATGAACCCACGAAAACCACATCCTACAACGACAAGGCGAGCTGGCACGGTGGCAAAGCGAGCGACTTGGAAGACCCCAATAAGTCCAGACACAGACACCCACTGCAAAGCCAATAAACACACAGGTTAGGTGGGAAAACCCAAAGGCCATCAGTTCAGATACAGTGCCCACCGCAACGTCAATAAACACACAGACAGGTGGGAGCAAGACACTGCAACAAATATCCCGAGGCTCCTGTAAAAGGAAGTACCGAAAGGAGGGACGCGCTGTAGCACCTTATAGGGGTGGCAGGGCGTGAAGAGGGTGTTGATCGCAACCTCTCTTTTTGCACTTTCGTTCAACAAGCGGAGACCCTCAAAGGATGACGATAGCCTCACATTCACACAGTATCCATTTCTGACAGAAAGGCATCTCGTCCTATTTTTCACTTTCTGCAGGTCTCATTAAAGATTATTTCATATCCGGCTATCTGATTCGAAATCAACACATAGCTTCGGGATCACGGCGTCTGTGGTCCTGATCTAGGACACTCATACAGAGAACACCGTCACAAGCTAGCCTTAGCCATAAGGTTTGACCTCAGTCCAGCTCACCTTCACCTCATGCCGCACAGATATGCGCTCCAGTGGAATATCGTCACTTCCCTCACTCGGTGCTTTGCCATCGCTCCCCTGCACACTCGTGCTCGTTGTTTGGCCACCTGCTAATATTCCCTCACCGGAGTCCGTATCATCTAGTACCGCGAATGGGCGACTACCATGATTACCACTCTTGAACGCGGGTCGCCGTACGCCACTGGTGCCTCCACCGCCAATCGTCACGAGGTCGGCAGAGTTCAGAGCGCTCAGACCACTGGGCCGTCTGTTGGACGACTTGCCTGCGCCCGAGGTGAGGACCCGTCCGAAAACGGCTTGCGCGACAGGTCGGAGGAGGGGCAGGCACGCGCAGATGACGGCGCATTCGCCCTCTACTACTGTCAAGATCCAGGGGACGGCGATCAGAACTTTCGAGAAATTAGCTGACATGTATTCATGTTGTCGGTTTAGGAGTAGGGTTGGCCCACCAGTCAGATCTCCGTCTTTTCCACCGGCACTCAGCTGGAACAGGAAAATCAAGCGGATCGCGCTGATGAACGATACACTGGGGTACAAGTCAGAAACAGCGGAGCGAGGCATGACTGAGGTGTTAGCACTCACAATATGCCCAGCAAGAAAATACCAGCCAGGCCTATCTTCTGTGTAGACCCCATACGCAGACGGGAGATCTCGTATGCAGGCAGCGCCATGATCGCACAGTCGGTAAAGATATTCGGGACCGCATTGCCGATGAAGAACTTGTTATTGTCAATGCAGTGGCCCGGGGTATCGGGCAGCCAGATCTTCTGTATAGGCTGGCATTGCAAGAATGCAACCAGCGCGACGGCAATGATCCACGCCAACGTCAGCCCGCCTAGTACGCAACACCCTCTCTTCACAAACGGTGTCGGGAAGATGCGCCAGTACATGGCCAGGATCGAGAATTTGCATACTACCAGCAGCGTGCCATAGATGCATTCGACGGCGAATAGGGCCTGGTATTTGTCAACACTCCACAAGAGCCCCAGCGCGGCATGAATTTGGGAGAGGTCTTACTGCTTGACCTCGGCCATAGCTCGCTGGATCGACGATCTTGTTCACCGCATAGTGTCTACCCACTCGCCCGAGATGGACAGCTAGTGAAAGGGGTTAATCAAGGGCATCCACGCTGAGGTTTCAGCCGCAGGAGGGCAAAGACGGAAACTTACCGAAGATTGCTTAAGAGCGCGTCAGTAAAGGTAAGCACGAACCACAGGTAGGAAAGGAGGCTCACCACAGATAACAGTTCCGATGAGAAGCGGCTATACAAGATGTCAGTCCAACTTGCTCTTCGCCCTCTCTCACATCACGATTCTGTGATCCAGGCCTCATTTTTTGCGTACCACACACACTATGATGAGGTAATCCTCGATCCCAAGCGAGACCCTCTTAATGTGCCTAGCCCATAATCGCAGACCAACACTCGCGAGCGCGATGAGCCCCACGGCGATGGAGACGCCAACGACGGCCGGACCTTCATCGTAGTCGATATACTCCTGCGAGAACTGTGATAAGTCCCCTGCATGACTGCCCATCGAGATCGCAGCAAGCCCGGTGCTTGGATGTCGTCTTGTAGTACTTTCAGGCGGCGGTGCGGAGGCTCTGCTAGAGACAAGACTCGGCAACGGCGGCGGCGGCTTGGGAAGAAGGAATATCCTTGAGATCAGCAGTTGTCATCGCTATATTTCCCGCAATCGGCGGAGAAGGGGAAAAGAGAGAGGAAAAAGCCGTTGGAATTGTCAGCACGGTGGATTGCAACATTCGGTTCTCAGAGTCTTAAGGTTCGTCCCAGCAGGGGGGTTCAGCCGGGCCAAGGGAGACCGTGTAAGTGGTGTAAGTGAGCCGACTCGAACTGCTCTTTTGGTGGGCTCTGACTCGCTCCCATACCCACACAGGGGTGGTTTCTATCCACCACGAGGCTCTCGATAATGAGGGTCATACGATTTACACACCCCACTGGCCGATCAGGACATGTGCATGACTGCCGGAATCTGATCTTCAGCTCCCGGGCCGCATACTTATCCTCTGCAGGCGTCCGTCAATACCACATCTTTATTTCCCTATTCGTCTGTGTCCAAATCCAACAGGGTACCAAAACCGCGTCACATTTCCCGTTCCGAACCTCTCCATATCTTTCTTCCCTCCCCCCTTCCCGCCAATCCCAGCAATCCAGAACCGAAGGAAAAAATGGCCACCTCCTCCTCCACCACGAAGCCCGCAATTATTATCGTCCACGGCGCATGGTCCCTGCCAAGCCCGTCCTACGAGCCCCTGAAACAGCAGCTCGAGGGCCTGGGCTATGAGTGCTACCTGCCCCACCTCCGGACCTCGGGCGCCGGCGACGACGTGCGCGGCCAGACGTGGGAGGCGGACGTGAAAGTCATCCTCGACACGGCGCAGCCGCTCTTCGACCGCGGTAGGGAGGTCGTCATCGTCGCGCACTCGTACGGTGGCATCCCGGGTGGCGCCGCGACGGCCGGCAACGGGGTCGCGGAGCGCGCGGCCCAGGGCAAGCCTGGCGGGTTCAAGCAGATCATCTACGTCGCCGCGTTCGCGATCCCCGCCGCGGGCATGGACCTGCTCGCCACTTTCGGCGGCCAGTGGCCTCCTTGGGCCGACTTTGCGCCCGCCTACTCCAAGGTACGATATGCCGCCGAGGCAATCCACCCTCCTCTCGTCTCTGTCTCTCTCTGTGTGTGTTCTCCGAACCGTGACTAACAGCCGCGCCCGCGGGTTAGAACCACGCGATCAAGCTCAAGGAGGAGGCCAAGCAGGTTCTGTTCAGCGACGTGCAGGCCAGCCCGGAGGCGCAGGCGAAGTACTGGGACGGGGTCGTGACGCACTCGCAGGACGCGTTCGAGAAGCCCGTCACGTTCAGCGCCGCCGACATCACCATCCCCAAGAGCTACCTGGTGTGCACGCAGGACCAGTGCGTGCCGGGCCCGCTGCAGGAGCAACTCGCGGAGTCGTTGGGCTTCAAGGCGGAGCGAATCGATGCTGGACACTTCCCCTTCCTCAGCCAGCCGGACAAGTGTCTGGAGATACTGAAGACCATGATTCTGTAGTGCGTGTCTCTTGATTTTCTCAGTGCTGAGTTCGATCGGAGACGACGCGCTGCCGAATATTTATCGAGGCTCTTCGCTGTGCTGGAATATTGGATGGGATAGACTTGTGGTGTGTAATGGTCCACTAAAGTGTCTTTAGTGACTGAATACGTAAAATAATGAATTTAGATATCCTAGACATGTTTAAGACACTCCGTGGAGGACGCCTACCGGGAAGTGCCCGTTGACCCCCGAAGGCCCTAGGGATGGGCAGAATTTGCAAGAGATTGTTCGAGACCAATCCGGTGCATATCGACGGCCATGTGGCCTGACGGACCCATTTCTGACCCATCTGACCGGCCCGTGAGTGGGCAATCGGGGGTGCGTTACAGCTCCTGGATCCGGATCGGCGAAAGGCACACCAGCTGTTCTGCTTCCGAGCCACAGAGGATAGGAATCACGACGACACGGTCTCAGGTCTCTTTCTACCGTGCCCGAGCTCCATCATGATCCACTCATACGTAGCCCACTGGACCGCGTTGACGATGAAGGCCCGGACACTGCAGACTGCCAGACCCCTGAAGAAAATCCGCAACCCGCCCTCCTTGTACGCATCCCTCGCAACCTGAATCGCTCCAGACCTCTTCGAGACTGTGCTGCTGAGCAAAGGGCTGCTCTCCCCTGTCACAACCGCAATGGTGCTTGCATTGTTCACCTGTGCCTGAACTCGAGTCTTGATCACGTCCAGCGGGAAGATGCTCGCCCACGTCACGATGCCCGCGAGGCCGCCGCAGAGGAGCACCTTGGCTGTCTCGCTGCCGGTGAAGCTGCCGCCTTGGTCTTTGTGGGCTTTCGACCACTGCTCTATCCAGCGTGTGGTCAGCTCGTAGCTCCAGAAGTAGAAGCCGTAGCCGACGCTGTCCCTCAGCGCGGTCACCGTGCCGCCGAAATATAGTCCCCGTATACCACCCTCGGTGCGCAATATTCGCTTGGTGATGTCCCAACTTGATGTCTGCGGGTTGGCGCTCAGTTGTGCCCGGCACTTGATCAGCTCAGTGGGCGTGGAGACCACCCATGTTGCGAGACCGCCAATGGCGCCTGCGATAAATGTCGTCCAGAGATTCGATCCAGTTGTCGACTGTGTTGAATTTGGTGATGTGTGTGAAGGGCCCTGTGGCGAGAGCGCTTGGTTCAGGAATGCTTCTGAGCGATTGTACGAGACGAACAGCAAGGCGTTCAGGGCGCCGTAGCCTAGAATTGGCGCTGCGGTGCCCGTTGAGAACTTGCGAAGCAGCGAGAGGGCCGAGGCAGACGATGATGGAGACAGCGAGCCTGGGAGACTTGATGAAGTTGTGGGAGACGGATTTCCGGTGCCCCGTCCAGAAGCCTGGAGGCGCACCTTGATGATATCGAGAGGGTTTCCGATAACAATTCCGACGGCCCCTGAGATGTAGCCGGCCCAGAAGTCGGCAGACATGATATATGCTGCAGGAAATGGCCGGTGCTCCTATAAAGTTATCCCCCGCAAGTAATCTCCCTCGGTTCGCAACCACCTTCCACGGATCACTGCATGCGGTTCAAGCAGGAGCAATGTCTTCGGAGTACAGTCGCTGTTCACTCTGTGGGTTACAGAGTATTCCAGAAAAAGAAATTCAGTATATAGCAGAGTGAGTGTCGGTAGAAGCTTTAGGACGTGCTGAATGACGAGGGAATGGCGGAGGGAGCAGGAGACATGCCCCAAGGGCAGGATTCACAAGACAGCGACAGACACTTGACCTTTGTAATTGCATAAAACTTCTATGCTTACTGATGCCAATTGAGTGACTGGATCTACATAGGCGGAAAATGCGTCGGGGGATTTCGAGGTCTAGCCGACAAGCCTGGCAAAATACTCATGTAGGAAAGGATGTACCTCGGCCCAAGTACTCCCGGATGTTTACGTGATGAAGCGGCCAGAACGGGCCAGATAGGTGACCAAAATGGCCCAAAGCCATGACTTGCAGCGAAGTTGGGTGAACATGAGGACGTATCCCTCTCAATTAAAATTGACAGAATTGTCCATAATTCGGGATCTCTCGACATTTCGTCAAGAATAGTCGGCGTCTGATGACCCGTAGAACCACGTGTTGTTGCACGTGACTCGGCGAGGCAGACGCGTCGCCTCTTTCTCGAGCTTGGCAGTCGCGCCCGCTCCAAAGTAAACATCAATCAACACGCCTCGTCCGAGCATATCCGAGGCGATTGAAGTGGCAAATTCTCGTTGCAACGGGCCGCAGAGCTCGGTTTTCAACGACACTGAAGGCGCAATGTAGGTCTTTTCATCATTATCACCATCACCATTCTGCTCTCACCCACTCGAAGCAAGTACTCATGTCTTGCAGGACCGAGGTCGCGTCGACCCCTAGGGCCAACAAGGAGAATGTCGCGCCTAAGAGTCGCTTTCCTACGCCCCAGACCATCGACAGACTCCACAAGCCATTCAAGTGTCCCGGATCTGCCATCAGATCTGCTGCAACAGATAGGCCTGCCAGGAAGAAGAGGAGGATCGATTACAAGGGAGCAGATGGAGAGGTCGATGCCGACAAGCCATACACCAATGAGGACCGCCTCGCTCTCGCAAATCGCGATGCCAACCGCTTTCCTGTCTTTCAGGTCAAAGACAAAGACAAGGTCTTTCGCAAGGCCTTCTCCATTCCCCTCGTCAACAAGAACAGTGCTGCCTTCAACCCCAACCGACCACCGCCTACGTTGGGCCTGAGAACCGGCGCTGTGTTTGTTGCCAAGCCCCTGCATGACCCAAGCGGCGAATTCGCAATCGTCCTCTACGATCCTACCATCGATGACAAGCCCAAGGAGATCGAGAAGCCGAAGGAGGACGAGAAGCCGCCTCAGACCCAGGTCATGGATGCGCCACTCGTGCACAAGAGTCTGGCCGAAATTCTTGGTATCAAGAAGAAGGTCGACACAGACCACCCACGGGTACCAGTGGTCATCGACCCGAAGCTCGCCAAAGTCTTGCGTCCACATCAGATTGAAGGTGTCAAGTTCATGTACAAATGCACCACTGGCATGATTGACGAGAAGGCAAACGGTTGCATCATGGCTGATGAAATGGGTCTCGGAAAGACGCTGCAGTGCATCACACTCCTGTGGACTCTGCTTAAGCAGTCGCCGGATGCGGGGAAGACTACCATACAGAAGGCCATTGTGGTCTGCCCCTCGAGTCTGGTGAAGAACTGGGCGAACGAGCTGGTCAAGTGGCTCGGTCCCGGTGCCATCACACCCTTTGCCATCGACGGCAAGGCGACCAAGGAGCAGCTAAATCAGCAGCTTAAACAGTGGGCCATATCGAGTGGTCGCTCTGTGACGCGCCCGGTCATCATCGTCTCCTACGAGACCCTGCGCTTGAACGTGGAGGAGCTCAAGCACTGCAAGATCGGGCTGCTGCTTGCCGACGAGGGGCATCGTCTAAAGAACGGTGAAAGCCAGACCTTTACGGCTCTGAACAGTCTTAATGTGACACGCCGCATCATTCTGTCTGGAACACCGATTCAGAACGACTTGTCGGAGTATTTCGCCCTGATCAATTTCGCCAACCCCGGTCTCCTGGGAACGCGACTTGAATTCCGGAAGCGGTTCGAGATCCCCATTCTGAGAGGTCGCGATGCTGATGCATCAGATAAGGAACGCCAAAGGGGTGATGAATGCTTGTCGGAGCTACTTGGAATCGTCAACAAATTCATCATCCGCAGATCCAACGATTTGCTCTCCAAGTACCTCCCACTGAAGTACGAGCATGTTGTCTTCTGCAGCAATTCTCCATTCCAAAACGATCTCTACAACTACTTCATCAAAAGTCCCGACATTCAAGCTCTGCTTCGCGGCAAGGGAAGCCAGCCCCTCAAGGCTATCAATATTCTCAAGAAGCTGTGTAATCATCCAGATCTGCTTGACTTGTCCAATGATCTTCCTGGCTGCGAGGAGCACTTCCCAGATGACTACGTTCCCAAAGAGGCACGAGGCCGTGACCGTGATATCAAGCCATGGTACAGCGGCAAAATGGCAGTTCTAGATCGCATGCTGAGGAGAATTCGTGCGGAAACAGATGACAAGATTGTGCTCATTTCCAATTACACATCAACACTCGATCTCTTCGAACGTCTCTGCCGGAACGAAGCCTACCCCTGCTTGCGTCTTGACGGCTCGATGAACGTCAACAAGCGGCAGAAGCTTGTGGACAAGTTCAACGACCCAGACGGGGGCCAGTTTGTCTTCTTGCTCTCCAGCAAGGCTGGTGGCTGCGGTATCAATCTAATCGGCGCGAACCGCCTGATCCTCTTCGACCCTGACTGGAACCCGGCAGCGGACCAACAGGCGCTCGCCCGTGTGTGGCGTGATGGCCAGAAGAAGGACTGTTTCGTCTACAGGTTCATCGCGACCGGCACGATCGAAGAAAAGGTGTTCCAGCGGCAGTCGCACAAGCAGTCGCTCTCATCCTGCGTGGTGGACGAGGCGGAGGACGTAGAGCGCCACTTCAGCTTGGACAGCCTGCGGGAGCTGTTCCAGTACCGCACCGACACGCGGAGCGACACGCATGACACCTTTAAGTGCAAGAGGTGCAAGCCTGACGGGAAGCAGATCATCAAGGCGCCGGCGATGCTGTACGGTGACACGAGCACGTGGAATCATTTCCCGAACGAGGGCCTGAAGGGCATTCAGGACCTGTTGCTCCGCCAGGAGTGTGGTGAGGATCATGTGTCTGCTGTCTTCCAGTACATATCGCACTGAGGAATGTTTTTTTTTTTTTTAATTGCCCGTCTCAAGATGATAGAATGAGTAAATATTTCCCAAGCAGCGGAGTTCTTGACGGTGTTGGTGGTGTGCCGGGAGGGTATAGCATGGTTTCAACTGGCTTCTGAATGCGTAGAATATCATTGCATTGCTTGGTGTTTCTTGGAAGATATGAACAATCATATTATCTACCTTTGTCTTCTCTGCCGAGCCTCTCGTAATTTGTTATTTGCGACTCCCGACTTGAAGTCCGAGCACGGATCCTGCCGACCTATGGCGACCTCTTCCCGTCAGCGAGCATCTTCGCTCCTGACGCGGGAGCCTGCAGCCACCCGTCGCCGCTTGACCTGGTGTCTGTTGCACGGCCGTTTCATGCCAGATCTTAGAATAGCGACGGGCAGTTGCATTTCTTGTGGTGGCTTGGTGGGCTGTCACCCGCGAGGACCCATGAGGCCTGGGGAGCGTGGGCAGGGGAGCAGAATAATGGAGGAGGACTGAGTCTGGGCCGCCCCGTTGGTTTCGATTGTCTCACTGCGCGACAAAGAAAGGCGCCAGCTTCCTGCGACACGTGGGAAATCTCTCTGGGCGGATTATCAATCGTGGCTAGCTGTGAGACATCAGGGGTCCCTTCGCATTTTCGAAGCTGTTTGCGGACTCATCCGACCAACAGATCGAGCAGAGAGGCATTGGGGCTGGAGACAGATTAGCGGAAAAGTACAGTACAGAGAGGCTGTGTCCTGAACGGGAGACACTTGCTCCGTTGTGTTGGTGTAAGTAGAACAGCTGGACGAAGCTTTGCTCGATGAATTATTTGTTTGCTGCCTGGTGCCACTGATTTGCCCAAGTAGAATCAGCGATCCCCTTTTAACCCCCCATTCTGCAGTGTGTTTGGAGATTGGTGTCAGTCAGTCCAGCCCGTGTCGCGCTCACTTGCACCTTCACCTGCACTTGCATGTTTACCGGCTTGGAGAACTGGCTTGTGATCCTTCTTCCCCCGACCGACTCCAACCCACCCACGCGACCTGGCGAGACACACCACGGAGGCACTAAACCTCGCTGTTTCTCTTTGGCATTCCTCAACCAAACCACACAGGCATATAGCTGTCTGCTCCTGTCCATACCTCGCATTCAAGGGCCAGCTCGTCCCTCAATCCGAAATTGCGGCGCTGTGACCGTCCGTTCGAGCTCTCAGCATTGACGCTGACACAGCGAGGCGCGGCCGTCATCCTCCCCCCAGCATCGATTACGAGACGAGACACTTCCTTTGCGGCGCAGTCAAGCTCCCAGGACTTTTCGTGACAACTGCAACAGGAACAACAAACTCCTTCGCCCACAATCGATGCGGCCGTACGAACCTTTCTTTGACGAAAATACCGAGTTTCCCTTAGAAGACCAAGCCCCCGAGGAAGAATTGAGGCGCTGGAGTCGACCACCCCAAAGCATTAAATAATAAGGTTGCCGCCATAACCAGGCAGAGCCCGAGTCAGAACGCCCACGATGAGCTCATCCAGGAGCTCCCTCCCGTCTTACACCCGCGCACCACGACAAAACCGCTACTCGCCTAGCTACCCGGCTGCAAATCCGGGGCTGGCGCCTGCTTCGCCTGCCTCGAATGCAGCTCGTGGGCAAGGGAAACGGGGGGTTTCCACAACTGTGATACCGACTCAGTCTCCCAGTGCTGGTAAGTCCCACCCCCAAATTTTCTCCGATGCAATGCGCGCAGCCAGCCAGCCTCAGCGCCAGCCCGACATTGCAGGCTGGGTTTGCCACTAGCAAGCCAGCTGGACGGACAGTCCGGCCAACAGGAAAGACTGTCATCCATCACCCTGTCCGGATCCTGAAGCTCTCCCTGCCCACACACGCTCCATGTGTGGTTGCGGTTCAAGGACGTCGTTTTGTGAAGTGAAGTGAACTCAAGGGGCGGACTGGCGAGACACACAGACGGCAATCTGCTGCTTGCGACCCGGAATGAGAGGCTATTGGCAATATCACGGCATTCAAGACTTTACGATTACGATTAATACGCAGAGACATTTCGATACGCGGCCAGGCCCCACCGCATCTTGTATCCTGGCCGACCCGCGAACTCTAAAAATGGCATGCAGCCATCCCATGCCCAGCCAGGTAAACAGCTATATGGGTTTTGCTATCCCAAAGCTGCCGGCCCAGCCCCTGTACGGGGCTGGATTAGGCCAGGGGAAATAACCAACGGCGTCATCAAGCCAGGCTGTGCCGTCCTGCCGAGCCAGCATGCCCATTCAAAGCCCCAAACAACCAGAGGGCCACAAAGCTGAATGACAGGCTTTTTGTTCCATTACGTGTCCGGCCATCTCGGTGCATGATTCGCCACTGCGTTCCTGTCGGGGTCAATCTAACGGAATCCAACGGTGGAGCCGGGAGTCCAGCCTGTGACGAAAGCGGGACACCACCAGCAGCGCTGTCTGGCAACTGGCTGTGCTGCGTGGTCTTCAATGGAGGCATCCTGGCAGCCTGAACACCCCTTCCTCCACCTTGAGAAAAAGGGGCCGTCAATAATTCACTCTACCCGGCAGCTCACGGGTCTTCCCCTCCCCATTCCCGCTAGATCTTGGAGTCTCTCTTGGCGGCCGAGTCCACCGCACCCAGGCCTAGTCCGAAGTTCTGTCCGCTCATCACTCCTTCTAGAACTCCAACCCGCCAGCCCGCCCCTCCTATCCATTCTCGCTTCTGCTCGTTAACGGCCTGCGCCTGACCAGTCTGGGAGAGCTTCAGGGTCCTTGGAGATTTGTTTTCGTGGCCCAGCGGATGCAGGGGGCTTGAAAAGGGACTCTTGCTGACGGATCTCACTTTTATTTATGCAGGCTCCATCCAGCCATCTCGAAGTGTTTCCAACGAGATGCCGCAGTTTGCAGCAACTTTTGTCCCCGGAGGTTACGACGATTATTCTATGCCCGAGATGTACGCTCCGGCGCCCCAGAGGTATGTTGAACATTCTGTTAATCTACTGCCCCAATATTCCCATTTTTGTGTGACCCAGTTGGCCCGCTGTACTTTCGCGACCGCGATTGACAGCTTGGTCGCTAAAAAAGGAGGAGAGGAGCTGAGAGAGACTGACGTTGGATCGGGCACTACTGCAGGGTCATGCCCGAGGTTCCTCAAAACATGCAACAAGACCTCCAGCGCATGGAACTTGAAGCAGGACAAGTTCGATCTCATCCATCACACAACGGCGCTGGCCCCAACTACGGCGGCGGTTACGGCCAGGAGCACGAGCCTGACAGCAGCAACTTCCGGCCCTTCGAAGACGATCCGAACCACAAGCCCTACAAGTCGATGGCGGCCAACGACATGCCGAGCTACACCCCCTTCCCCAAGGTGAAGGGGGACAACATCCCACCAAGCGACGTCGAAAAGGAGGAAATATTGTACAACGCGCGCGAACATGTGCTGCACTCCAACAACGTCAATATGCAGTTGTCATGGGCTAGAGACGCCCTCAACTACGTTGAGATCGCGTCCGAGGATCGTTCGCGAGATGCTGCGAACAGCGGTCGCCCGACCACCCCCCAGCAACAACATGAGCTCCGCATTGACGCCGTGAACATCATCAGATATCTCTCTGAACAGCACCACCCCGAGGCTGTATTTATGATGGCCAAGTGGGACGAGTTCGGAAAGTTCGGCGTGAGGGAAGACAAGAGGAAGGCCTTCAAGGGTTACAAGCTCGCGGCCGAGCAGGGCTGGGGGCGCGCCGAGTACAGGATGGGAATGCTCTTCGAAAACTCTAACGAGTTCGACAAGGCCATCACGCACTACTACAACGGTGAGAGGTTAGGAGACTCTGCCGCCATGTACCGTTTGGGTATGATGGCCCTGCTTGGTCAACACGGTCAGAGACAAGATTACCAGCGGGGTATCGACCTCATCAACAGGGCCGCCGACACGGCAGACGAGGATGCGCCACAAGGAGCGTATGTCTTCGGAATGCTCATCGCCCGAGATCTCCCTGATATCACTGTCCCCGAGCAACTGCTTCCCTACAGTGTCGAGACCGCCAGGCAGTATATTGAGAAGGCGGCCTACCTCGGATTCGCCAAGGCCCAACTCAAGATGGGACAAGCTTACGAGCTCTGCCAGCTCGGATGCGATTTCCAGCCTGCTTACTCCCTGCACTACTACGGCCTTGCCTCAGTACAAGGTCAGCCAGAGGCGGCGCTGGGTGTTAGTCGATGGTTCCTTTTCGGCTACGAAGGCAACTTTGCCAAAAACGAGGGGCTCGCCTTCAAGTACGCGAAACAAGCCGCAGACGCCAAGTTGCCCACCGGCGAGTTCGCCATGGGATACTATCACGAAATCGGAATACACATGCAGAAAGACCTGAACGAGGCACGGCGGTGGTATGAACTAGCAGCGTCACATGGCAACCCTGACGCCGTCGGACGGTTGGACAGCTTGCAGAGGAACAAGAGCCTGTCAAAGAAGGACCACGAGACAACGGCTCTCACAAGAATCAAGTCTCAACATGGCTCGATGAGGGGTAAGCGGCCAGAACGGCTGCAAAGGCTCAAGGATCAGCAACACATGGCGGCGTTGCCCGAAGGGCCAGCCACACCAAACGACCCGAGCGGAAGAAGTCCAAGAGCATCCCCCAACCCATCTCCTAGACACGGGCCGACAGGTGGTGATGGCCGGCCCCCAGCTTTCGGTTTGAACGTGAACGTTGACCACGGTAACCTTGCCATGAGGCCGAAGTCAGCAGCGCCCTACCCAGAAGACGAAACTAAACCTTATCCTCTCAACGTAAACAGGCCAGCATCCGCAGCCCCATACCCGGATGACGGATTCCAACCGCCAAGGGGCAACCAGGGTGCTTTCGGAATTCGTCCTGGAAGCGCTGGCAGAGGTGGACCTGGACCAAACAACCTGGGGCCCGGCAGTGGCATTCCGCCAGCCGGCATGCCTCCAGGTGGACGAGGCTACAGGCAGCCAAGCCCTGGGCCAGCGGGCGGTTACAGACAGAGCAGCGCAGGAGGACCAGGTCCGGATGGGCGAAGACCAGTCGGCGGACCGGGTGGAAATGGTATGGCATTTTCATCTAACGTCGGCTCTCCATTAGGATATCCATCGAAGAATAGACTAACCAAACCAACCCCTCACACAGCAGCAGGACGAGGAGGCCCATACGGACAACCAGGCGGTCCCCAGTCACCACCGATGATCCCACCCGCAGGCTCCATGCCCGGACCCCAGTACGGTGCCCGAACAAGCTCGTTTGCCCCGCCGCGACAGGAATCCCTCGGACCACAGCACCCCGGCCGCCAGTCAAGCCAGCCGCAAGCACAGCAGCAGCCACAACGGCCCATGACCGGATACACACTCTCGGACAACGGCGGCCGGTCGAGCGCGCCGCCGCAGCAGAACCCGGCTGGCGCGCGGCCCCCCACGGCCTCGTCGTCGCACGGCCCCGGGACTGCCAGCCCTGCACCTAGCACGGCCAGCGCCCCTGCCAAGGCGCAGCGCAAGCCCACAGACCACCCTGATGGCAAGACGATCGGCAACGGGCCGTCGACATTTGACGAGATGGGCATTCCGAGGACGAAGGACAAGGATGATTGCGTAAGTTCCACCGTTACCAAAGACCTGTCTGCTCCGTTTTGGTCGTGAGGGTCTGAAGCTGACTGTCCAATCTAGTGTGTCATGTAAAAAGAGAATAGCGGGCTGGTTCGAGATAAATACTCGATATCTGAATTTACTCCCTGTTTTTTCAGCCGGAGGTGGTGCGCGCATTGTGTTTTTTATCCAAGCATCGCGCGGGTTATTCTTCTTGCTTTGCTTGCGAGGGTTGATAATCTCTTCACATTCTTCGCTTCAACTCTGCTTGAGATACCATACCATATCATAGCCAGGCCGGCGGCATATACTTAATGAATTGACACTCACCCCAGCTTAGTTTTTCCTGTTCTAAGATTGAGATGCCGTGTTATAGTTGGTTGTTCCGGGGGCGGTTCATTCTTGTGTGTTTCCCTCGTAGGATACGAGTAGCATCTATCGCAGTGATGTTTTGGTTGCATCGGGTAGTCGGTTGGCTGGTCTTTGATTTTGAGCGTGCGGGAGTCGTTATTAGTACTTCAAATTATTCCGTCTTGTGTGATCCGTGGCATATCCAGGCTCATCAAATAAGAGTCGCTTCAATTGCTTAGTGCCGTGTGTAGTGTACAGGAGCCGGACCCGGGCTTGTTCGTCCGATGTCCGTGTAGGTGGGCTAAGCTTGCACGACGTGCAACGGTCTAGGCTCGAAGCGTTGATCACAAGCTTGTGGATAAGGTTGGCCGGATGCTCCGCCCCGTCGATAGTCCTTGGGAGGTGCTTCTTTATCCCCCACGTGACCGCATGTCCAGAGATCGTCAACCTCTTCACGTCACTCAAAGATGAGCCGAAAGCCTAGCTAGCTCACCACATCACACTTTCAACATATCAAGTCACGCACGGTCTCTTCGAATTTCTCTTCTTCAAGGATTTCCCGGGGCCGTCAATCGTCTCTTGACCGCCTCCGAGGGGGCGGGTCAAGGAGAGGCGGAATATATATTCCTGACTGACAACGAGGCAGCATCCTATTCAACGTCTTAGTCCTGAAGAGCAGCCGGCCGTCATAAAAGCGGCTCCCTTGATATGTCATCCAGCAACGTCTCGCATGTGGGTGGACCCACTCGGACATTTGCGGACATATAAGCCAACGGGTCGCCGAGGGCCTCAGAGACAGGTTTTCGGACATAGGTACTTTTAGGTCTTCTTCGGATTTACGTGCTTGTATGCCCGATAGATTTCGTTGCTGTAGCACTTATGCGCGTTGGCTACTGTTTCTGGACATTGTTGAATGGTGCTTTTTATTCCCATTATTGCTGCGAGAGTGAGCAACGCATCCGGTGTGAATCCGTTCAGGTGGCTGAGGGGATGAAGCAGAGGGTATCGACCAGGCTCTCTGCGTATTGTCTAATTGGTTCGATCTTTCGATCAAGCCGGGCTGTTGTGAAGAGACCGATCACAAAAGGTGTACAGACCATAGACGCTGGCCGTTCTATTGTGAAGGGTAACGATCGTGAGGAAGCTTGCCATTCAGGAGATATAAAGTTGCCGATTTGAAGCTATACGTAGCGGTATGACAAGGTATCCCATTTTGTGAATTGTTACCCATGTAATGACGAAGAAAGTGAGATACTTGCCGACTGAGCATTTTGCAATCTAGTCGACGACATTGAAGAAATGTAGAGCCTTTGCGACTACACCCACAGAATGTCGGTTTGTGTTATTGAGTAGCCGCTCGAACGTGGCATTGTGAACTTTGGCAGCGAGACAGATATCTAGGGCGATTGATTGTTTATGCTTGCTATTGCAGTTTCTTTCAGTTCTCAATGCTTAGAACCGACCACAGAAAATTATTATGGAGTTTCCGTCTATTTTCATTGATTTATGGTTTCTGCAAAAAATCTCTCTTGATAAACCCAAACCACAAGCCTCGTGGTTGTTGCTTGCGGATGTTGGGGGAAGTCGTTGACGTGGTGCTCCCTCGTGTGACCCGGGTCCAACAAAACCGTACGATCCCTCAACTTCGGTGGAAAAGGTAGGCGAGCATTCAGACTCCATTCAAAACCTGATCTGCGTGGTAATTCGTCTTGACTAATTGTCCCTGAAATGTTTGAAACTTGCTGCTCGTCCATCTCTAATTCTCCCCAAGCTGCATGGCAAATTTGAAACTAAAAGGTGATTTTGCGAATTCCCCTGATTGAAGAGCTACGGCGGACGTATCAGTATCACCACTTGCTCGTTGAATGAAGTTATGCTCGTTGAGTGCTAGCTTCACATTCATCATTTGTGATGGTATAATTCATGACAAAGGTCTTCGAAAGTTATGACCGAGTCAAGCACGAATTGGCCAAACCACGAAGTTGGGGCTCAAAAGCTTTTCTTCGATTCCAGAATTTTTCGAGCTTTCAAAAGTACGGTAACAAGCGAAAAGTCTCCATGGTGTCCTCTATATCGTGACCTCGCCACCGCTAGATGTCGGTAGACCTGTGGGTCTGTCTCAAAACCCACATGCACTCGGACATTTGCGGACATTTACTCGGGCTCTGAGCTCTACTCGCCCAATCCCCGAAATCCAGCCAGAGCACTCAATTATGCCAACAAAGAAGGCCGGATGTTCGCGCGGTTGAACAATACCATGTGCAGTCCATGTTTCTCTTGTTGTCTCGGACATTTTCAACATTATTAAGATGTCCTTGCGGAATACTTGGTAATGTCTTTTTTACAATCATCACCTCTCACAGCCCCTTAAATATGTGTCTCGAGATTTCGAGATGACGATGGCCGACTCACGAGCACCACTGGTCTCTAGTCTGACGGCTCAGCTTTGGGATCTGTGGACTGCATCATCTCCTGATTAACTAGATTGATAGGACAGTTGTTCTTGAGAGGATCCGCGAGTATAAATGCACTCAGACATGGTGCGTACTTGCGTCTTGCCCCTTTCTCTCCTGGCTGGCAATACGAGTGTGATTGACTGTCTACGCTACTAGCCCATCAACATAGGCTGATGTGCATAGATTTTGCAGGACGGAAAGCTGCCGAGCTATCGCCCTGATGGCCGCGCTCTGGGCATCCTATTCGAAGATGTCGACGTCTGGGGGACAGTGGCCGGTGAGTCCCGGGCTGAGGACGTCCTTGCAATATTCGAGGACATCCTCGTCAGGTGGCCGACCAAACTATTCCGAAGAGCAATCGGCAGATCGTTACACCATACTCGAAAACTAGTCCAGGGCGCATCTGGCGTCGTTCCGCCCGGAGAGACACTACTCGTCCTCGGACGCCCGGGCGCAGGCTGCTCGACGCTGCTCAAAGTACTGGCCAACCAGCGCGGGCCCTTCACCGGCGTAGACGGTACCGTACAGTATGGTGGCATCGACTCGCCCGAGATGCGCAAACACTATGGATCCGAGGTTGTCTACAACGCCGAGGACGACCTGCACTTCCCGACGCTGAGCGTCGCGCACACCATGGCCTTCGCGCTGAAGCTGCGCAAGCCCAGGCGCCTCAAGGACGAGCCGGATGCCCAGTTTGCGCGACGTATGGCGGATCAGATCCTGGATGCGCTCAAGATTGGACACACCAAAGACATTATCGTGGGGGATGCCTTCGTCCGCGGCGTGTCTGGCGGTGAGCGCAAGCGTGTCAGTCTTGCCGAGGTGCTGGCTGCTGCACCGGCTGTCGTGTGCTGGGACAACCCGTTGCGCGGCCTTGACAGCTCGTCGGCGCTCATGTTCCTTCGGCTTCTCAAGGCCATGTCCAGTGCGACGGGCATGGCCAATATTGTCACGGCGTACCAGATTTCGGAGACCATATATCGCGATTGCTTCGACCGAGTGCTTGTCCTGTACGACGGTCGCGTGATATACTCGGGGCTTGGTGGGCACACCGCGAAGGAGTACTTCACTGGGTATCTGGGGTTCCACTGTCCTATTAGACAGACAACGCCTGACTTCCTCTCGGCGGTCACCTCACCACAGGAGCAGCGGGTTATAGGAGGGTTCCAGCCCCATCCTCCGCTTGATCCTGATGGTCTTGCGGACGCCTTCCGTCGCAGCCCTCACTACCAGACTCTCCAAGCCGATTTGAAACACTTCCGGGAAAAGACCGCAAAGGATGAGACCAAGGCTATGAGTTTCCAGGCCGAGTTCAGCTCCACCAAAGACCCAATGAGCCTCAAGTCCTCCATCACGGTGCGAAGCCCTCCAACCCAGCTCCTGGCCGCCATGACACGGCACTACCAGCTGATCTGGGGCGGGTGGCGCAACCTCCTAACCGTGCTCTGTCTCAACATGACCAACGCGCTGATCCTCGGCGCGGCGTACCGAGGGTCCCCGACGACTAGTACGGGGGCTTTCCAGCGCAGCGGCGGCGTCTTCTTCGGGCTCATCTTCTTCGCCCTCAATTCGCTGGCTGAGACAGGTACCGCCGTGCGCACACGGCCTGTTTTGCGCAAGCACCACGGGCTTGGCATGCTGAGTCCGGGGCTCGCGGCCGTGGCGCTGACGATCGCGGACCTGCCCGTTTGCTTTGCGCAGACGATCTGCTTCACGATCCCGTATTACTTCCTTATGGGCCCACCTACGACCGCCGGCGGGTACTGGTTCTTCGAGCTAGTTGTCTTTGTCGCGTATGCTGCGTTCATGGCAGTGTTCCGCCTCCTCGGCGCTGCGGCCCCCAATGTCCCAGTCGCATTGATGCTTGGTGGCGCGGCGATGCCGGTCTTGCTGTTGTATTCTGGGTATGCGCCGCCGTGGCCGACCCAGCTGCGTTGGGGCTCTTGGATCAAGTGGATCAGCCCGAGTCCGTATGGATTGGAAAGTCTTTTGGGGTTCGAGTTCTGGGGCATCACTTTGCAGTGTGGGGAGGATGAGTTGGTGCCGAGCGGCCCGGGCTATGAGGTATATCTCCTTTCCTCTTCTTGGACGTATTGACACGGATGATGGATGATGTGCTGACCACGTGCTACCACCGCTACAGAACATTACGATTGCCAACCAAGGCTGTCCCATCCCGGGCAGCACTGCTGGCGTGGCATCTGTGCCCGGCCCCGAATATCTTTCAGCACAATTTGAGTACCTTCCGACCGACGCATGGCGCAACTTTGGCATTATACTCTGTTTCTGGGCTGGGTATACAGTTTTGCAGGCTCTAGCCCAGACGTATGCGACAAAACGTGGAGAGAGTAGCATAGTAGGTCGTGTATACAAACGTGGTGCTTCCGTCCCAGGGGCCTCAACGGAAACGGCTCAGAACTCAGAGAAGGAGCTTGATGTAGAGGCCCAGTCGCGGTCACCGTCTCTCACAGGCCAGAGGCGCGCCGATGACTCGAGCGCTTCATTGACACAAGTTGAGGACAACGAACCACCTGCGAATTTTGAGGGCAAGGTATGACAAGGCATTCTGGAGGATTTGACGCATCGCTGACATGGCCAGGCGTCTTTCACGTTTTCCAAGATCTCGTATCAAGTCTCCACGAGCGATGGCCCACGGAAACTACTCGACTCTGTCAGTGGCTATGTGAAGCCAGGGCAGCTGACAGCCCTGATGGGAGTGTCAGGTGCCGGCAAGACGACACTGCTCGACACTTTAGCACAGAGAAAGACAAATGGCACGGTATCTGGTCACATGAAGCTCGGTGGTCGCTCGGTGGTGGGGATCGGCAAGGCATTCTCCCAGGCTTGTGGATTCTGCATGCAACAAGACGTGCATGACCCCGGGACTACAGTGCGAGAGGCTCTCGTCTTCTCCGCCATGATGCGCCGGCCTCTTAGCGTGCTTAAGGCCGAGAAGCTGGCTCACGTCGACCGGGTAATGGATTTGCTTGCCCTCGAACCAATCGCCGACGCACTCATCGGCACACCTGGGGAGGGTGGACTGGGCGTGGAGGAACGCAAGCGGCTTACCATAGGAGTGGAACTGGCTGCGAACCCGTCTGCGCTGCTATTCCTCGATGAGCCAACATCTGGCCTGGACAGCCAGGCTGCCTACTCGCTTGTGAAGTTTCTTCAGGGTGTCGCCGCGTCCGGTGTCCCGATCATTTGCACAATCCATCAGCCGTCGGCCGTCATCTTCGACATGTTTGACCACATCTTGTTATTGGCCCCCGGCGGCAGGACTGTCTATTTTGGGGAGACTGGAGACAACTCGGGCACCGTCGTGGACTACTTCTCCCGTAATGGCGTGGCGATGGACAGCACGGCCAACCCAGCCGAATTCATCCTCGACATAGTGGCCGAGCCGTCGATGGCTGACGAATGGTCTCAGCAGTGGACTGACTCGGTGGAGAACCAGAAAATACTGCAGCAAGTCGAGGCCATCGACCAGCAGCCATCCAAAGATGAGCTCGAGTCACATTCGCTCCCCTTCCTCGCCCAGTTCAGCCTCCTCACGCGACGCCACGCGACCTCAGTGTGGCGCGACGGCTTCTACAGCTTCAGCCGGCTGGTCAAGACAATATTCATGGCGCTCTTCATGTCCTTCAGCTTCTTCATGCCCGAGCACAGCCTTCAGGGCGTGCAGAACCGCATCCTAATCATGCTTCTGCTGCAGTGGATCGTCCCCGCTACAGCGGCCGACCTCCAGAGCGTATGGTACGCCAAGTGGGCCCTCTTCACAGCACGCGAGCGCTCCGGCGTCGGCTACAGCCCGCTGGCGCTCTGCGCGGCGTTGGTGGCTGTCGAGATTCCCCTAGCATTCGTCATGTACACGCTCGCCTTCGTATGCAGCTGGTTCACGGTAGGACTGGGCGGCGCCGGGCTCGGTTACCTGTGCTTCCTGGCGCTTGGGGCCTTCGGCATTGGATTCCCGTTCGCGGTGGCAAGCTTCAGCGCCGACGAGGAGGTCGCCGGCTATGTCAACAGCCTTGTGTGGTGCGTCATGGCCACGTTCGGCGGCATCGCCATCCCGCACAGCGGCATGAATGACTTTTACCGCCCTTGGCTGTTCTGGGCTGACCCCATGCGGTACTGGCTAGGCGCCACGGTGTCGGCAGCGCTGCATGGCGTACCGGTGCGATGTTCAGATTCCGACATGACTATGCTGAGTCCACCAGATGGCTTGACGTGTGGTCAGTACTTGAGCGAGTACCTGGGCCGAATGTCTGGCTATGTCGAGGACCCAGACGCTCTCGACAGCTGTGCTTTCTGCCCTTACAGCGTGGGTGATGAGTACGCGGCCCAGTTCGAATTTCACTATTCTGAACGCTGGAGAGACTGGGGCGTGTTTGCTGCGTTCTGCGTCAGCACGCTGGCCATCGCCTTTGTGGTGAGCGGATTGAGATACGGAGGAGGTTTGAAGATCTTCAAGCGGAAGTCCTAAGCTGGTGCATGAGCTGAGACCTTAATCAGATTGTCCTGGTTAGATAGAAACCATCAACATAAAAAATTCCAGAAAAACAATCATTAATAAGAGGGGTTGAAGCATACCTAAAGACAAAACCAGACTAAATAGCAATGATGGTGCAGATCAAGGGAAGTCAATTCCCTTGTTTAGCCTCTATCTAGAAAGTCTTAGAAACACTCCCTCACAATCGCAGCACGCCTGCGAATTGGCTGACATGATAAGTGAATTTTGAAAGCAATTGATACTTTTCAAACCTGCACTCCTGAAAAATTAGTAATTATAGCTGACTAATTAGGTGCGTAGTCATGTATCTGCTTCCTATCGGCCTCTCAAAATCTCGCCTCAACCGCCTCTTGTTTCATGGCTTCTCACCCCCAAACTGAGGCGGTCCAGCCAGCGAACGTCGGCTCGGGCCCCCAGCATCTGCACGCCGCCTGCAACAACTGCAAGGGGCGCAAGATCCGATGTTCAGGTGAGCGGCCGAGCTGTCTCTCATGCAGCAAACATGGGCGAGAGTGCGTATACATGCCGTTGAGGCCGCGGGGCAGAAAGCGTAGGCGTGGTCCAGAGGATCCTCTCATTGGGTCTGGCCATGATGGTGGGAGCATCACCAACATCAACACAAATACAAGTTCGAACAGCCAAGGCTCGCCGGTCATCATCACACAAGGACAGCCCCATACGACGCAGACACGAGCACGAGCTCTCTGTCCCGGTCCACTCGCGGTCAAGCGATATCGCGAGCTACACTCGGGCATGGGCATCTGTCAGGCAAGCACCGGGGCCTGCCAGTTCTACGGGCCTGCGTCCAACGTTGCATTCCTACAGTCCTTCTACCAGCGCATCCATCATAATGCGGACAGCTCCAATTCTCAAGAGTCGCCGTCTGCGACGCACATCTGGGGCTTGGACAAGTGGATATTCTCGCCTGAGCCGGGCCAGCTCCGCGACGAGGCCCATGCCCTGCGCGCCTTCTTGCCCAGAGACATGGGTGACTGCTTCATCATTACTTACTTCAAGGTCTGCCACCCGCAGTTCCCCTTCCTGGTGCGCTCGGAGATCGAGCGGGCGTGGGCTAACCTGTGGGAACCGCCCCAACTGCCCGGGGCGTCCGCACAGGTCTCCAAGGGCAACAGGCTCACCGAAAGGAATATTGTGCTGATGGTGCTTGCCATCGGGGCCATCATGGCCAGCCTGTCGCCCGAAAAGGACGCCAAGGTCATGGAGAGATGGGCCTGCCACTTGTCGTCGCAGGTACAGTTGTGCAGTTACTCCTTCGAGGACACCTCGCTCGGCGGCGTGCACCTGCTGCTGCTCAAGTCCATCTTTGGCATCCAACTAATGCGCCCCAATGATACACACGTGTACGCCAGCCACGCGGCCATCAACGCATTGGCGCTCGGCATGAACCGCGCCCAGGTGGCCAACGGCCCGCGGCCCGAGATGCACCGTCTACGCGTCACCTTTTACAGCCTCTACGCCAACGAGCGCCTCGCCACCCTTGTTTTCGGCCGGCCCTCATGTCTCCGGGACGAGCTTATCGACGTCGCTCTCCCCGAGGATCTGCCAGCCTCTGAGCCCGACGAGAACACCAACCTGGCCTACGTGCGTGCCATGGCGGCTCTGGCAAAGACAGCCGACCGCATCAGCACAGGCATTTACTGTGCAATCGGCGCCGATGCAGCCACCATCGACCGCACAGCCCACGAGTGTGACGCAGAGCTGGACGAGGCGATTCGGTCACTGCCTCCTTTCCTACACTTCTTCGACACAAGCATGCTGGCGAGCCGGCACTCCTGGCAGGAGATCCAACGAACGCACCTGGGGCTGACGTACTACCATTGCCGGATCCTGATCTACCGGCCGCTGGCGTGCTTCGCGAGCATGCACAGCACCAACGCCGAGGCAGCGGCCGAGGCTGCAGAGCTGGGAATAAGCGACCTGCAAGGCAGCATCGCACGGGCGATGGCCGCGTCGGAGGCGCTGATCGGGCTGGCGCTGGACGCGTTCACAGTACGCGTTCCGGATATGCACCAGGACGCAGGCGTGGCGTACACCGTCATGGGCGCGTGCTTGACTCTTCTCTACCGCGTGCTGGATGGCCCGGGGCGCACGTCCAGCGCCGACGCCACGACGATCTTCAACCTCGTCCAGGATGGCATCCGTTGCCTTGACCTCATGGCCCATCCGGGCCCGCGTTTCGGCAAGATGACACTCAGTGAGCGCATCATGAGCGCGGCCAAGGACGCTTTCCGATCCGCGCGGGAGGATGGCGGCGGCGAGGCTCCTAGGTCGCAGCCTTCTGGCGAAGGACTGGGCGGCGACGGTGACGTGGATAGCGCTGGGCCCGCTCCCGAGCTGGACCTGCAGGGCACGCAGGACAGTCTCGACGCCCTGCTAACGCAGTTCCCCTGGCTAGAGTAAGTCTTTCCCGCCTTCAAACCCCCCAGTATACTTGCCACTTAATGCCCTGTTCTGCTGAACTCCCATCTGTACACAGGACCGCACCATCAGCCCAGACACCGGACGATATGTCTCCCGCCTTTCCGACCAGGACAGACGGCGTGCCTGCCTCGGCCGATGCGATGAGCGCGCAGAACGCCTTCCCCACGCTGTTCAGGACTGCTGCTCCATTTGGCAGGGCATTGCCCACCTCGTTGTACGGATTTGGCTCCCGTCCCTGGCCTGGCGTCATGGGTGGGGATCTCGATAGCGGCCACGAGAACAGTGTGAACGGAATCTCGTGGGACTTGGTGTGATTATGTTGCCCTTTTGCCTACTACTTGGCTTCAAAGGCTCAGAAAGGCGCGTGTTTTTGCGAGCATGTGATCTGAGGAGTTCAACTTGGTCGAGAAGTATCCAAAACAAAGGGGTTGCAGCGTAGTGATCATTGCATTTCTCGCCTCTTGGCGCACCTGCATGTTTGTACGTAGCTGAGTCCTGAATTAACCAAATAGTTTTCTCGAGAGCAAAAAAAGCTGTGGTAGTCCAGGGAGGATTGGTTTAGAGAAAAGTCACTGAATAGATAATTATTTAACATGCTAGCATTGAGGCGGGTGGTAGTTTGGAGAGTGTTGACATCTTTGATGTATTACATAATCAGCCTAAACGGTGGAGCTCCAGGGGGTCCCTGCACCTGGATTGGCCCTGCCAGCCGCAAAGGCAACGTCAGTTCGTCAGCCTTCCGCAGCCTGCTCTGCCGTTGGCTGTATACCGGAGCTCTGCACTTGACTGCGTCCTCCACTAATCACCATCACCATCACCAGCGACCAATCTTGACGACGAGTAACTTTGCAAGCGAACCCTGAGTCGCTCACAGATTTGAGATTCCTCTCAATACATCACATCGTACCTCACACAGCTGCACAACTCTCCCAGAAGCCAATAGACAGCAGCAAGGAACCCAAGACCTACCTCCTCCCGCCGCAAGCAGTATCACCTGCGACCACCGTCAACATGGCCGAACGCCAACTGCAGCAGATCCTGTCCCAGCTGAAATCCCAAGCCTCGACCCTCAGCTACGCCGACGCCGCGCCCCTCCTCTCCAAAGCAAAACTGCAGCTCCTGAAGCTCAACGCCCTGTCGCCCTCCCCCGCCACCACCACCACGCAGTCGTCATCACCCCAGCAGCCACCGCAGAGCGTGCTCGCCCTCGCCCGCGAGACATACGAGCAGGGCGCGCTGTACAGCATCCGCGCGCGCGACCCGGAGGCCTTCACGCGCTACGTGACGCAGCTGGCGCCCTTCTACGAGCTGCCGGCCTCGGTGCTGGCGCCCTCGCTGGCCGAGCGCAACAAGGTCACGGGCCTGTACCTGCTGCTGCTGCTGACGCAGGGCCGCTACGCCGAGTTCCACTCGGAGCTCGAGAGCCTCAGCACCCGCGAGGGCGGCGGCGGCAGCGTCGACGTCGAGGGCGACCGCTTCCTCGGCTACCCCATCCGCCTCGAGCGCTGGCTCATGGAGGGGAGCTACGACCGCGTCTGGAAGGCCATGAAGAGCCGCGAGGTGCCCAGTGAGGAGTTTGGCGTGTTTTCTGAGGTGAGTAGATGTCCAGAAGTGCTGTTCAATGATGCTTGCTTGTTTGCTTGCTTGTTTCCGTCTTGCTAACCGTTCTACCAAATACAAAGATCCTCACCTCCCAGATCCGCTCCGAGATCGCTTCCAGCAGCGAGCGCGCCTACCCCTCCCTGCCCATCTCATCCACAAAGTCCCTCTTGTTCCTCGACTCCGAGGGCGCCGTCATCGACTTTGCCCGTTCCCGCGGCTGGATTCTCAAGGACGGTCGGATCTACTTCCCCAAGGAGGCGGAGCCCACGGCCGGTGGTGATGACGACGACGAGGCTGCGGCAGGCAGCGGGAAAGAGGAGATGAGCAAGCTGGTCATTGAGAACGCGCTGGGCTATGCGCGGGAGCTCGAGACTATTGTATAGTCTTGGTCATGTGTGGTCGAGGCGGAGGTTGTTGACAGGGAGGGGGGGGGGCGGAGAGGTCGGTTGTGGCTCTGGGCCTGCGCCGTCATGGCTGGCTTCTACGCGGAACACACAACAAAAGAAGATATAGAAATGATGACCCTGTAATGCCACTGCAATGACTCTGATTGTTGAGTGACTGTGTGTACGAGTGAGGATGACGTACCAACTTCTCATGTGCTGGCGACACGAATACAGATGGCACTGATCAATTCGTGGCAAAAGCTTCAGTGTTATTCCTCAAGCTTACCATTGCTGGACGTTATCGGGAAAGTCATAAATTCCGAAAGCAATCCAGAAGGAGCTCCGCAATCGACCGCTCGACCGCTGCCCTCTGCTCATCGACATACGCACACCAACACGGGAGTAGTAGTTCATCAATATAAGTATATTGCGTCAACATTCAAGACATTTGTTTACCCTTCATCCGCCAGGTTTTCGTCTTCTAAGAGCCATCGGGAAAACAGACCTCGACCTTTTTGGGGGGCGTGCACCATCCATTCCCAACGCTTTAAACTCACCACAGGCGACCCCGTATCCCGTCCCGACCTTCAAATCGGACCAAACCTCTCCATCTTCATGTCGTTAAAAACAGCTAATTACACTTATCTTGTAGAAGGGCACCAAGGTCAACCCGGGCGCGCATTCTGGATCCATCGGGGTGTTCCTCAGAAGAACAGCTTCAGCCCGCTGCCGTGCTTGCCGACTTCGCACACCTCGCAGACGGTGCACACCGTGCCCTTGTACTTGGAGTGGTACTTGGACCCGTCGAACGCACACTCCTCGTACGCCGTGCCGCTGTAGATAGGTGTGTGGCTGGCCGCGCAGATCTCGAACTCGGCGAATTGGTCGAACTCGATCTCTATCTCGTCATGTGGGTTGCGCTCAGCCAAAGTCTTGGTCTTCTTGGCCTGTGTACATATTTTGTTAGCATGCCCTGGTTTCAACATTCAAAAAGTAGCATGTATGACTCACGTTCTCAAGGATCTTGCCGCCTCCTCCGTTGGCCAATATGCGGTTTGCGAAGCTCAAGGCCGAGCTCAAGTTCTTGGCATTCCTGGCCAAGTTCATGGCGTTGAGTAGGGCAAGCTGGCGATGAGGAACCTCAATCTTGGGGATTGTGAAGTAAGCTGACAGCTCCAGAGATCGCTTCAGCAGCTCGGGATTGGCATTGACCTCCGCAGGTGAGCCAAGTTTCCTCCGTGCCAGCTCGACGGACATTGCAACTGTGTACTCGCTCGCCGAGGTGATGAGCTTCTTGGCTTCTGCGACCTCGCTCTCGCTTGACACTGCATTGACCAGTATCGCGTGAAGGACACTCTTGAAGATCTTGACGCCGTCCTCCAATTTGTTTGCCTTCATCGTGTCGTAGCCGCGTTGGAGGTCATTGGTGGCGAGGTGTTCAAGATCTCTTGGGATAAATGGCAACACCGACCTAGGATCTTGCTCGTCGACCGTGCGGCGCACATAGTTGATCAATGGCGGCAATCCCGCCGATGCAGGGAGGTAAGTCTTTGACGCTTCGTATACCTCCAAGAATCTTGGCTTGAGCGGCGCGAAACTGACAGCGCCGACTTGCCTGTTGAGAAGGTTCATGGCGCTCTCGAAAGATCCACCGGCGACGTGATCAACTGCCAAGGGAGAGTTTCGAGCCCACATATCGGCCTCGCTACTGCCAGCACCACCTGCATCTGCGCTCTCAACATTAACGAAGTCGCCTTCCACATCTGGAACTTCGTCATCTCCCATGTCCCAGCCAGCAGCGTCCTCATCGTCGTCAGCTTCTGCCAACGCGCCGTTCTTGGCGACAAGATCGTCCACGGAGTCGTCGCCGAATCCGTTCGTAGCTGCAGGCGTGTCCTCGAGCGAGAGACCCTCGACTTCGCCGAGAAGGGCCTTCTCGAAAAAGGACTGTGAGGTGGCCTTGGTCGGCCAATTTGCTTTGAATGTTGGCACAACTGGCTTTGGTGGAGTAAGGGGCTCGCCAATCTTTGGCAGTGTGATCTGGTCTTCTGTCAAGCCCGTAGCTTCCAAAATCGCCTGACATTCTTCCTCCTGACCGTACGACTTGGCAGTCAGATACGCGAGAGGATAAAGATCGACCTCCTTGAACATTTGTATCCTGTCCACGTCGCCAAGGAACAGGTCATTCTGGAATCGAGAAGTGAAGTCTCCTCTGTGCTCAGCGATCTTTGCCATCCTAGCGAGCTTGGACTGGTCGCCAGTGGTCAAATACAGGAAGGATAGCTTGTCGAACTGCTTGAGCTTTTGGTAGCACATTTCGACAGTCTGGTGGTTTCCATGAGCCAGGGCCTCGGCGCCGAGCTTCACCCAAAGTGCCTGTTTGTCCAGTTGCTTGGCCATCTCCACTGCGACCTCGAGGTTGCCACATTCAAGCGCGAGCTCGAATCTTGTGGTTGGATCCTGAACGAACTGCAGGGCAATTTCAGGGTACCCTTTCTTCTGCACGTACGAAATTACAGACTGGCCGACCAAGCTTGAGTTCCTGATGATGTCAAGCATTTCGCTGTAGTTCTTCTTGACTAGGGACAGCTTGAAGCGGTACTCGGTAGGGTCGACGTGGAGAATCTTGGGCTTGGCCGCTCGGTCCAGGCAGTAAACATTACGGCCCTTGACGCGGGTGAGGTACACAGTGGTATCCAGCGTCCGCACAATGCCATTGTCGCCGTTGAGCAGAGTGTACTTGATGTGGTTGAGGGTCGAGTAAAGTAGGACACCGGCGTCATCCCAAGTAGCACTCTTGATACGGATGGTCTCGTGCAGGGTGCTCACCTGCTCGAGGGTTTTGGTGACAATAGTGACGTTGTGCTTGCTCAGAAGGGCGGCGTAGAGACCGTCATTGGACCAGACAACGTACTTCACACCATTGACAGACAGATCCGCAATGCTCTTCTTCTGCTGGATATCGTAGAGGTGTACAGCGGTTGGAGTGATGATGAGAAGGTTGCCGGTTCCACCAAAGTAGATGTCGGTCGTTCCAACGGGAGGCTTGAAGGATCGAGTGGTTGAGTTGGACAGGTCTTTGATGTCAATGGTCTGGCTGGATGTGTTCAAGACAGCGAATCGATTTCGAGCCACGAAGATTGCAGAATTGCCCTGCCCACGTTTTGACTCTGTGGGCTCGATAGCGCCGGAGCCGTCACGGGGAAGGTTGACGAGCTCGTACGACCCGCCATCTGAGGAGGAGGTGACCAGAACCGAGCGTTCCGCCGGGTTGTATGAAAGAGTGCGAGGAGGCACCCAGGCCGGCCCAACCTTCTTAAGGGAGAGCAGGGTAGGGCTCTCAGTGTTCTTCTGGAAGTCGTACGACTTGACCTGCTTCTCCTTTGTGATGTAGAACAAAGTGCTCTGGTGAACGGCCATTGCTGGTCTCTCACGCTCCAGCTTGAAGACCATGACTCCATTATCGTGACCGGCCGCGAACAAGTTAATCTCGGGATGAGCAGCAATGACCCAGAATCGATCGTTCTCTCGCTTGAAGCTCTGCACGCTTGTCCTCTTGTTCAGGTCCCACACGCGAATGGTCTTGTCCTCTCCAACCGACAAGATGAGGTCCTGGTGGGGATGGAACAGACATCCGGAGGAGTTCTGGAAGTGGCCTCGACATGTATCGACCTCCCATGCCTTTGTCTCGCTCATGCGCCACAGCTTGACCAGCCTGTCGTCGCCAGCCGACACGATCAATGGCATGGTAGGGTGGAACGCGACCCAGTTGACACCTCGATCGTGACCCTCGAGGACAAACTTCACCACCGCATCTGTGTTTCCGAACATGTCGGTCTGGTTTTGGTTGCCGCGGGCCACTTGCTCCTCGAATGTTATAGATGTGGGGGCGGAGTGCTTCTTGCGCAGCCCTGAAATATCCCAAACACGGACGGACTGATCCAGGGATGCTGACACGACTAGGTCTTGTGTCGGGTGGAAACTGGCGCACATGACATAGTGGTTGTGGCCTGTCATAGTGCAGATCAGGGATCGATTCTGCCAGTTCCATATTCTGATGGTCTGGTCGTCGGAGGCTGAGATGATCCACGGGAGCTCGTGGTGGAAGAAGACGGTTCGGACGTAGTCGAGATGCCCATTGAGCGTGAACAGCTCCCTCCTCGTGGTCAAAGACCACACCTTGATCTTGTAGTCGTCGCCGCCTGATACGAACAGGGGTTGAGTCTTGTGGAAGTCGACGCCGCGGACGGGGCCACTGTGGCCTTCAAGTCGGTCGATCAGGGTTCCCATACGGTCTGTTCACGAGTAAATTGAATGTTAGCAATCGCCGAAGCTCATCTGAGGGCCCCAGGGGTGGGCAAGGCCAGTGGGTAGAGTTGAAGCGGTCGCGATCCACTGCCCAACCAGCCTAGCAATGCGCCCAACCCCATTGCCATCCAATAAAGTTTACGTACAATCCCATAGCTGGATGGTCGAGGAATGGAGAGAAACGAGAATCCATGGTCTGGAGGATTTGAATATTAGTATCGATACGACGGTTCGCTGGGAAGATGAGCGAAGCTTACCGCTTGGGGTGGAAAGCAATTCCCTTGGCGCGGGAGCTCTTGCTCTCGAACTGTTGACGCATTGTCAGTTCTGGTGCTCCTCTTCACTCTAGGGCGCGGCTAATGGACATATGATGTGTGTGGACGGACCTTGGTGAGCATGCCCGAGGAGGCCATGGTGGGTAGTGGTCTGGAAGCCCAAGCTTCACATCAACTGAGAGGGACAGACTGGTGGGATGTTGCGATTGACAGCAGGGCGAAGGGCCATGCAGTGGCTGCTGCTGCTTGAATCTGAATGGTCTGATGAAATTCAAGAGTGCCCGGTGTGGTTGAAGGTGAAGGAGCGAGTATGGACCACCTGGCACCGGTCGTCGAGTCCACGGCTTGTTGGTGTTGGTGTTGCTGGCTGTTAGGGGAATCGAGACCTCCAGAGTGGAATCGTGGCCATCTGCAATGTGGAAACTAGCCCAGGCAGGTTGCTCGTCACAGGCCTGGACCGTGCACGCGGCCGCTCGAATTGACACCCTGGCAATGGCACTGGGCAGGTCCGATTACATTGATAACGATTGCGCTTTCTGGTCCTATCTACAGACTTGAATGCCACTACTTGAACGTATATGATTGCTAAAGCTTTGAAGATGAATTTCAAATATCACATCTCGGAATAGCAAGATCTCAAAACAATTCTTTTGCTTTGGAGTTGTTGTTTGGTCATGTATAACTCCCCCAGTGAATCTAAGGCGCAACCCCCCTTCCCAACTTAGGGAGCTGTTCTCTGACGCGCTAGCCTCTTCAGGACAGCTCCCAAGGCAATGTGTTCACTTTCGACGTCGGGCTTATAACTGACAGGAAAGGAAGACCAAACATTTTAAGACAATTCCCAGAAGGCCAGTTAACTTCTGCCCTAGCACAGCATCTACTACCACTTGTTGTTGCTGAACACTTGAAATCAGCAAACTTGCCACATTTCTAGAGCAATGGGAGCATAGTGGAGCTCGTTGATAGGCAGCTCCAAGCTTATTGACTGCATACGGGGCTTCCCTCTAGGCCGTCGACTGCGCCCTGTCAGGCTGCTTCGATCACAACCTCTCCCACCCATTCTCAAAATCGCGTAACCTCTGGTCTTCGATTGCTGGGAAGAAGAAGCCATGATACGGCTATCACAGCTGCCAGGGAGCCTGCTGGCCTCCCTGCTGGCAGCAACTCTCTTCAAGGCCCAGCCGACATGCGCCGGACCGTCTGTCGAGATCGCCATGAAGGCCGCATTTCCCTCGCCTCCATATTTGATAGAGCTGCTGTAAGGACTGTCTCGGGACCATTCCAGGATGATTCTGTAGACTGATTGAGTTTCTAGGGAGACTGCCGCTCAGGAGAATGCGTCCAGCTACTTTCCCCTCCTCGACCGCGTCGCAGATGGCTACTTCTCCGAGCTCAAGACCGACGCAGAATTGTACGAGAGTTTTCTGTCATTACTTCAAGAAGACGGCCACATAACCAGCGACGAGGGGTTGTCAATCTTTAAATTGGCTCTGTCAACGAGATCGGCAGTCCCACGAATCGAGGCGCATTACCAGTATTATCAGACAGGTGTCGAACCTACGCTACAAGGAAACCAAGATGGCTGTGATGCGTGGGCTATATGGATGGGCCAGCAATATTGTATTCCCACCCTGGACGCAGGCCAGACTCGAGGTCATGTATCCGAGCGACAAGACCGAGATTTGCCATTCGACCTCTCGCTTGGTGATGGTCCTAGCTGTATCCTCTACGCAGACATCACTTCCCCTCGATTTGCACCCTTTCACAGGATCCTATCGGAGAAGGCACTGAACCGGGAATGCACCTACAAACTTCGGCATCGTAGGCTGTCGTATGAGAATCTCGAGCCGCTGCCGGTCAGTGGATATGGTGTTGCACTGCAGCTGAAGAGGACAGACTACATTGTCATCGACGACCGCAAGGCAGAGGAAGATGCAACGCAGAAGGTCATAGCCTCTGAAGTCGTCCTGGACCAGGAGGAAGAGGTCGCCGATCTCAAGCCCCTGTCCACATCCGAGCTATCCTCCCTCGGCCTGAAAGCAGCTTCTTTCATCACGCAGAGTGAGGACCCATTCAGCACTCTGCTCAAGCTGACCCAGGACTTCCCGAAACACTCAAGCTCTCTGGCCGCTCACAATGTCTCTGATGAATTCCATAGCGAGCACAAGGCCAACCGCGCCGAACTCGTCCCTGCCGGAACCAATGTACTGTGGATGAACGGCGTTCAGCTCGTTGAAAGACAAATGGATGCCTTCACCCTAATTGACTTGTTGCGGAGCGAGCGAAAGCTTATCAACGGCGTCCTTGACTTGGGCTTGACCGGAGAGGAGGCAATTGCCCTTCTCACCCACCAATCTGTGGCTGCTGCCAAGGCAATTGATGACGTCCAGAGATTCGTCTGGCATGACACGCCCGAGGATGGAAAAGTCATCGTTTATCTGAATAATGTTGAGAAAGATAAGCGTTACGAGGCGTTCCCCAAACACCTAATGAGTGTAAGTACTGCTGTAACTCGTTTCTCGGGGCTATGACTAACGGTTTTCAGCTTCTTCAAGGTGGTGGAATGCCTGGCTCGCTGCCTCAGATTCGCCGTGACATCTTCAACTTGGTTTTCCCGGTCGACCTCAGCAAGGAGGAAGATGTCGCATTGGTGGCCAAACAGCTCCAGGAATTCGTCAAGCGCAAGCTCCCGGTGAGATTTGGTATTGTTCCTTTGGCTTTCACCGATGCCTCCGAGCGACAAGCCAAGATAATCTACAACCTTGTGGAGACATATGGTCTCGGGGCGATGATGGCATATCTTCAGGCTGCTATCGAAGCCAAGAAGATAGGTGATGCGGACAAGGGATTGTTCGAGGCGGCGGTCGCCAACCGGACGTTGCGAGAAGATGCAACTGCCCTGACCTTTGAGGACGCACTGGCGTCTGAGCACCACGGAGAACAAACTCGCCTCTCCAAGCGCTGGGCCGATCGGTTGCGCGCCAATGGTGCAACTCCTGTCTTCTTTGTTGATGGCCTTCCTATGTCACGCGAAGGCAACTGGCTGCAGCCGATGAGCCAGCAGATTGGGATGGACCTGCAGATGCTAAGGCAGGCTCTCTTCTATGGTGAAATTGAGGAGGACCAGTGGATTCCCGACTTCTTCTTGCAGAATGCAGCCAAGCGCCGCAACACTGTTATCTTTCCGAGCGACCCGAAAGATCTAGATGTGTTGGATGTCAACAAGTTACACTCGGAGCATGCAGAGCTTTTCGATATGATCCCGGTGCTTGAGGCGTACTCGGACTCTACCAAGGAGAACTGGGCAGTGCTGACACTCGTCCTCGACCTGACCAACCCAGAAGGTGTCAAGCTCGCCGCCTCGGCGTTGCAATTCCGGGTCAACAACCCTGGCATCCGCCTTGACATCATCCACAATCCTGCGGACTCAGAGGAAGCATACAAGATCAATTCTGCACTAAAAGCTAGCCAGTCTGACCTTGCGGCTGCTGACTCGGAGGAGCTATTGAAGATCATCATCGACACTGCCGAGGGCCTGACTGAGGAGAATGATCTCTACGACTCCGCGCTGCGCCGATTCCTTGCGACCGCGGCTGTTCGGCCGGGGCAAAATATGCTCATTCTCAACGGCCGTATCGTCGGGCCTATCGTGTCGGCAGAAGACTTCAATGCCGAGGACTACCAGCTCTTCTTGGATATTGAGCAGAAATCGAGGATTCTGCCAGTTTATAACGCCATCGAGGATCTTGGTCTTTCCGAGAAGGTTTCTAGCCCTCTAGCAGCCGCGAAGGTCACATCAATCACTGCATTGTCTACTATGCCCGATGTGCCTGAGGGTATTTTCGAGTCTGGTTCTCCACTCAGAATCTCTGCATTCAATGTGTGGAATTCTACCCACACCGCTTTTGAGGTTGGCGACAAGTCGAAGGCGACAATCCAGCTCGTGGCCGTTATCAACCCTGCAAGCGAACAAGGTCAAAGATGGGTGCCGATTCTGAAGGTGCTTTCCGAACTCTCGGGGGTGTATCTCAAGGTCTTCATCAACCCCAAGGAGAAGCTAGAGGAGCTTCCGGTGAAGAGATTCTACAGATACGTTCTCGACCATGCCCCTGTCTTCGACGCTTCTGGGAAGGTCAAGTCACTCACAGCAGACTTCAAGGGCTTGCCATCGGAAGCACTGCTTAATGTCGCAATGGACGTGCCTCCTGCATGGCTCGTAGCCTCCAAGGCGTCCGTGCACGACCTGGACAATCTGAAACTGAGCTCGATTAAGAGCGATGTTGAGGTCATCTACGAACTGGAAAACATTCTCATTGAGGGCCACTCCAGGGAGTCCACGGGATCTCTACCTCGTGGCGCGCAGCTGACACTAAGCACCGAGAAGGATTCCAAGGTCGCAGACACGATTGTCATGTTCAACCTCGGCTATTTCCAATTCAAGGCGAACCCAGGTTTCTACAACATCCAATTGAAGGAAGGCCGTAGCTCTGATATATACCACATCGAGAGCGTTGGTGCCAAGGGCTACAGTGCTGTTCCTGGTGATGAGGGAACAGAGACCGCCCTGATGAACTTCATGGGCACAACTCTGTACCCGCGTATCAACCGAAAGCCCGGGATGGAGGAAGCTGACGTTCTCGAGGAAAGTGGCGAGGGAGGTGTGTTCGACGTTGTGTCTAAGGGACTCAAGTTTGGCAAGGATCTGTTTGGTGTCAAGACAAAGTCATCCTCGGACGAAGAGCATGCTGAGATCAACATTTTCTCCGTCGCCAGTGGCCATCTGTATGAGCGCATGCTGAACATCATGATGCTCAGCGTGATGAAAAACACCAACCACTCCGTCAAGTTCTGGTTCATCGAGCAGTTTCTCTCTCCAGCGTTTAAGGACTTCCTCCCTTTCATGGCCGAGGAGTATGGCTTCAAGTACGAGATGGTGACCTACAAGTGGCCTCACTGGCTTCGCCAGCAGAAGGAGAAACAGCGCGAGATCTGGGGCTACAAGATCCTCTTCTTGGATGTGCTCTTCCCGCTCTCACTCGACAAGGTCATCTTCGTCGACGCAGACCAGATCGTCCGCACGGACATGTACAGCTTGGTACAGCACGACCTTGAGGGTGCGCCGTACGGCTTCACCCCGATGTGCGACTCTCGCGTCGAGATGGAAGGCTTCCGCTTCTGGAAGCAGGGCTACTGGGCGAACTATCTCCGCGGCCAGCCCTACCACATCTCGGCCCTGTACGTCGTCGACCTGCGCCGCTTCAGGGAGCTGGCGGCCGGCGACCGACTGCGGCAGACCTACCACACGCTCTCCGCCGACCCGAACTCGCTGTCCAACTTGGACCAGGACCTGCCCAACCACATGCAGTTCCAGATCCCGATCCACAGCCTGCCGCAGGAGTGGCTGTGGTGCGAGACATGGTGCAGCGACGAGACGTTCGCCGAGGCCAAGACGATCGACCTCTGCAACAACCCGCAGACGAAGGAGCCCAAGCTGGACAGGGCAAGGAGGCAGGTGCCTGAGTGGACCAAGTATGACGACGAGATTGCGGCTCTGGACCGGAGGAGGAAGGGCAAGGTTGAGACGGGCGATGGCGAGCAGAAAGTGATTAGGGGCGACGGGGAAGAATTGAAGGAGCCTCAGGAGGATAAGAACCCCAAGAGCAGGGCCCTCGAGGGTGAGGACCCAGAGGCTACGGAGCATGTTAAGGATGAGCTGTAGAGGTACGGTGGAATAGAAATGCATAGATCATCACACCATCGCGTGGGTTCCTTTCATCGCTGGTTGCAAGCACCTCGTGCGTTTGAAGGATCCAAGACACTGTTCCCTCGATATGTCCTCGCGGTACAACTGTAGCCGGTGTTCCTACAGCTGACCTTGGGTTTCTCTGCCTGGTCTGCAAACCTCTGTGAACACTCAGTTGGCGCAAAGCCCGCGCTCTCACTTCAACGAGAAATCAGGACTCGAATCGCTGGTGGAAAAAGGTCTCACAAGATCAGCGGCCACAGAGACTGGTGTGTGCATCCCAAACCTCGTTCCCCGAGACTGAACGAAAGCTGACCAGCGAGGTTGGGACGGCTTTTCTCAAGGTCTTTGCTGCTCAGAGCAGATGGGTTTCCACTGTACTGATCAAGTCCCTTCAACATTTCTCCAGTTCTACACTTTCCTCTGACTACCCTCCACGCGCATTTACCTGCCCTGTGATTGTCCATCATTTGACTTTGCAATCTCACTTTGACTTTTCCTCTCATCTTTCGTGTTTGTAGCGGCTTATTTCGCGGAGCAGGCTGCAAGTTTCCCTTGACCAAGTGCTCATAACCTTCGAACCCTTACTTCTCGGTTCCCACGCCCATCAGTTCGCCTAGTCGCTGAACGTTGCTGCGACCGATAGAAGGGACTCGAAAGCGAAACAAAGCTGGTGCTGCAACCGACTTTCTTTCCAACCTGCTTCGACAGTGCCTGAACTTTTTGTAAGTCTAGTCACCACCTTTAAACTTTCCCTTCGCTTCCGATTAGGAGAGAGCGCGTCGTGGCGACTGCCTCAAGCAACTTTCTTCCACTCCAAAGCCACGCAACTTGGGACTGCTTTCTCCCTCGTCCTAACTTTTCTGAGCTGACAAATTTGACAGCTTGTGACGACTTTGTCATTTCTCCAGTTTCACAGCCTTGCCAGTCGCGAGCTACACGCTGCCTTCGAATCCCTTACTTTGCAACGAATGATCTGGCCTTCCATGCGTCATGGATGGACTTGCGAGGTACAGTATACAGACTTTCTTTTCCAAACAGAACATACATCTAACACGTGCTGCTCCAGTAATTACAGCCACAGCGCATCTGCGCCGGAGCAAGACCGACCTGGGGCGCTTTCCACAGGTGGAGCACAACACGACAACGATCGCAGCGAGATCACGGGCATCCATGTCCTGCCGACGTACGGGGAGATCACTGCGCAAACTGGCCAGTACCTTCCTGCTGCTGATCCCGCCTCGTGGCATCTGCCTGGAGCGCGAGGTCGATTGGACCGAGAATTCCGCCTCTTGAGAGAAGACACCGCAGGGCAGATACGCGATGGCTGCCGTGAAATTCTAAAAGCAATCCACGGTCCAGGTCTTGAGGCCTACCGCCGCCAACGGACCACCACTAACTTCGACTTTTGCGATGATGTGAAGGTTCAGCACGTCAGCATGCACAACCAGAACGGAATCGAGTTTACGGTTGCGTTCAAACAGCCTGAGCCAGTAAGAGCAATGGAGTATGATCAGCGACAAGCCTGGTGGGAGCGATGCAAGCGATTTCGGCCTGGTACGCTTGTCTCGGTCCTAGATACAGCAGGAGTGATCTTACACTTTGTTGTGTCTGAGTCAAGCCTACGCGGAGCTGCAGGCGCAGCAGGTCAGCCTTTCGCAGACAGTAACTACTTCAACCTTTCAAGCGACAATGAGTGGTCCTACGCCAACCTCATGCTAGTTGAGTCTTCAAAGCTCAGCGACGCTCTCCGTTGGTACGATGATGCACAGCCCTCGCGATACCTCCTGGACTTTCCAGATCTGTTGCTGGCTTCGTTCAAGCCTACACTGGAAGCTCTCCAACAGCTGTCCCAGTCACCCGACCATCACCTTTTAAGCCTCCTAGACCCCGATTTGCCAGGGTCGAATGGAGATCCCGTGATTGAGCGGCCAGCATATGCCCAGACACCTGAATTCACGTTCAATCTGGGATGCCTGGCGCAAGAAGGGCATGCTTTTCAATTCGACCCAAGCCATGCTCCTACAGCGGCTGAAATTTCCTTGTTGGCTAATCTTCCCCCTGACCAAGCCGAAGCATTGCTCAAGGCGCTTTCAAGTGAGATTGCCCTCATCTATGGCCGCCCGGGCACTGGAAAGTCTTACTTGACGAGGGCTATCATCCGGACTTTGCTGTACAACAAAGACAGCGCCGACCTTGGCCCAACAATCTGTGTCTTTCACAACGATGCTTCACTAGATCGGATGGTTGAACAGCTTCTCGATGACGGCGTTGATGGAATTGTCCGAATGGGAGGTCGCTCAACCTCAGAACGTCTGCTGAGCCTTGACCTTCCTGCTACCAGCTACGCAGGAATGTGCGGACAGGAGAGACACACTGAGAAGCAAATCACAGAATTCTCCAGGATGTTGGTGTCGAATATGGAAGAGCAGCTTTTACAGCTATCGAATATCAACTTGCCGTTCGAACTTCGCAGGTTTGCTTTCTTGGACATGTACGATAGACTTATTGGGCCACACCATAGGTCATGGCAGCGAGATCAGATTATTGAAGACCTGGAAAGGACCTACCAAGAGTTCGAGGAAATTGATGCAGAACTACCTCGGTTTCATGACGATGCTCGAAGGAAGATCTTGCAAGGAGCTCAGGTCATTGCCGTGACGACAACCGAACTTGCCAAATCTCCTCAGCTACTTCAACCGCTCCAGGCTCAGGTCCTTATCTGTGATGATGCCAACGAGTTCCTCGAATCACAAATTTTAACAGCCATCCTCCCTTCAATTGAGCACTTCATCCTGATTGGTGACCACGAGCAGCTGCTTCCTAAAGTCCGCGCGAAGAAGTTCCAGCGCAGCAGTCAGGCGGGTGGCCTCAAAGCCTTGGACGTCTCGCTTTTCGAACGACTCGTCAATCCGCCGTATCGGCACGGTCCAAACTTTCCATTCAGTACCTTGGCGACCCAGTGCCGCATGAACCTGCCTATTGCCAGGTTGATATGTCCAGCTGGACACACAATCTTGAGAGATGCGTCTGCTGTGGTGGAATATCCACCACTCGCTGGCATAAGAAGTCGCATCTCCTGGTTTGACCACAAGTTCGTGGAGAGTCATGAAAGCTCAACTCGAGATGATGACTCTTGTGTCAATTACTTCGAAGTTGAGATGGTCACAGCGATGGTGTCTTACATCGTTCGGCAAGGCCAGTACAGCTCGCATGATATTGCCGTCATAACGCCCTCCTCGGGCCAGCTCCGCCAGCTTTTGAGGCGCATGGAGACAGAGACTTCTTTCACAACAGAAGTCGACGACCGTGACCTTGAATCCATTTGGGAGATCAATCCGAATGAGCACAGAGGACTGAGCACCTACACAGGTCCGGTCTTCGACGGACCACAGGAAAGCGACCGAGAGGCTGCCTCTACCGAGAGTATTAGGCTTACCACGCTGGAAAACTTTCGCGGAGAAGAAGCCAAGGTAGTCATCATTTCTCTTGTCCGATGCAACTCTCAGAATGCTTGTGGTTCCATGGCTATTCCAAATCGAATCAACACCCTCATGTCCCGAGCACGGCACGGATGTTATATTCTAGGAGACTCGGATACCTACAAAGGAGTTCCGGATTGGGATCGCATCATCAATATGTTGCAAACTGAGGGCAATCTTGGAGACAGGCTCGAACTTCAGTGCCCCCGCCATCCCGGCGAGATCATCTCTGTCTCCAGGCCGAATGACTTTGCCCTAGCATTTGCGGATGGCGGTTGCTCTCAGCCTTGTGGGAAATTGCTGAGCTGTGGTCATGACTGCCAGTCTTCGTGTCATTCGGAAAATTTGCACGAAGCTATGACATGCAATCAGCCTTGCCCTCGGCTAAAGTCAGGATGCGAACATATCTGCCCCCTGACCTGTGGAGCCCGCTGTGAAGACAAGTGCGGTGAGGTGATCGAGGATGTTTACCTGAGTCTTCCGTGTGGTCATGTTCTTCAGTCAGCAAAGTGCTGGCAGGTGCAGAATCCATCCACAATCATTTGCGAGGCTGATGTCAACCATAAGATGTCTGGTTGCGGTCACGAAGTAACCATTCCTTGTTTTAGGACTGGTGTGCAAGACAGGTGCCCGGCAAGGTGTGGCAGAGCACTTCCATGTGGCCACATATGTCAGCGAAACTGTCAAGAATGCAACTTTAGCGATGAAAACACGTCCATGGATGGCCTCGACACGTTCGTGGAGGCAGCGCACGAACTGTGTGATCAGGCTTGCGGTCGGAGGCACGCCGACTGTGCTCATATTTGTCAAAGGACCTGCCACGGAAACACAGATTGTGGTCCCTGTGAACAGCCATGCGACGTTCGCTGCAGTCACACCCGCTGCGATAAGCTTTGCCACGAGCTTTGCATGCCATGTACTGAGGCCCATTGCGACTCCGGCTGCCCACACGGCAAATGCACTATGCCTTGTGCCGCACCATGCAACTGGGTTCCCTGCTCCAAGCGTTGTACTCTGCTGTTAGACTGTGGACACCAATGCCCTTCTTTATGCGGCGTGGTCTGTCCTGACTCCAAATACTGCCAGACATGCGGCTCGGAAGACATTCTTCTCAGCATCGTCGACAGCTTGGGAATGAAAGATTACAGAGACGTTGGACTGGACGAAGACCCTTGCGTCTTCTCTTCTTGCGGCCATTTCCAGACCAGATCCTCCATGGATCAGCACTTGGGCATGCAACAATTTTTCAACCTAGCAGACGACGATATGCCTTCCAGTATCAAGGGTGTGTTGAGGCCATTCTCCATTCAAACAGTCGCCTGCTGCGCCCACTGCCGAGGCTCTCTCCGTGAAATCTCCCGTTATGGTCGAATCATTCGTCGTCCATTACTTGACAATGTGCTGAAGGAGTGCATTTCCTGGTCAGATGCGAAATTCTTTGAGCTGAATGCCCGTCTGGCTGAAGAAGCGAGAGACCTGAATCGGCATACGGATTACCGACGCCTCCCCACCTCCTCCGATCAATCGAGCCTCCGAATCCAGCTGGAAGGCCACATGCAGAATCAGATCGAGGGCTTGAGAAATTCTATTGGCCAAAATAGATACACAGGCCTGACTGTTTTGTACAATGAGATCGGCATCTATGCGAGGGAAATGGATGCCAAAGAAGAGAGCGTTCGGAAGGTCGCGGGTTTGATGAAGCAAGCAAAGGAGAACAATGAGGCAGCTCACCGTTCCACGGGTCTCGCTCTCCACGAGCCGTTTGTCCACCCTCGCGGCCACATATTTGCAATGGATCTCTACCTTAGGTGCAACATCACGGCAGTGGCCGACTTCTTGAAGCTGAAGAGGGGAATACATTCGACTGGCATAACTATTTGCGATCGCACCAGATTTCAAGGAGACGTCACATCAAATTTGAAGTGCTCTCTCGACTTGATCAGGTGCGCGAAAGACACAAATCGGCAAATCTTTGAGGCTCAGGGTCATCTATATTTTGCATGGTTCTGTGGTTTCGCCCGCGCATTTGGAGAAGACATACAGACACGGGCAGGAGAAATTCCTCCCGTTACGGCCTATGGCTCGGTCCTGGCAATGTCAGGATCCGCGGCGACGTACAATGAGTTCAAGCACTCCGGTTTGGACCATATCAGCAAGGCCCGTGAAATTCATGAAAGCTGTGACTTGAAGTCCCAGCACCTGGAGGAAGAAATCGAAACTGTCGAGTTCTTTGTCGGGGAAGGCTGGCTCGACGGGGGATCCGTTTGTGAGGGGAGCAAAGATTGGTACACTGCCGTGACACAGAACTCTAACGGTGCCGGGTCATGGGACGCTTGTGACAATGGGCACCCTTTCAAGAACTCGCGCTCGGCATCTATGCCCTTGGGACAGCTGCAGTGTGTGGAGTGTGGACTGATCGTGGCAGACAATGGCCATGTCTCTGAGGAGAATGCGCCACGTGTTGCGGAAGAGACTCCTCAGGTTGAGACTCTTGTGGATGTTTGATGGAGAGAGATATGGAGAAGTGTCTTTACGTCAACTCGGAGGTTGGGATCATGAAGGCGTCGGATTGCTCGTCTGATTATTCGGCGCTGATTAATGGACTTGTTAGGCGCTGTCTTTAGGTTACGGCTTTGCTGTTGTATTTATGATAAATGACTTCCTGTGTAAACTCGCGTCCCCAAGGCTATAAGTATTGAAGTATTAAACGACATTATCAAACCCATTGAGAATGAACTATGATCTGGGGCCGTGATTATTTGCACCGAGCGGGTGGGCTCAACATGGCACTTCATTCACTCCTTTAACCCTCCATGCGGTCATCTCATAGGAGTTTTATGAAAGTTTCAAACGCAGCACTCAAGTTTGAGGTCCTTTCTTCTCTCCTGTACATGACTCCGCTCGTCTGTTCATGCTTCCGCTAGGCAATACGAGACAGTAGCTTGCACAGTTCCTCTCGGGCCCATTCCCCCACCCACGCAATATGTCCATGAGATTTCGACGGACTTGAAGTGCCATAAATAGTAACGGTCTTTGCGGCAATCATCAAATCTCTCATGTGTAGCTCCTGTAATTGGAGTCAATCCCCACTTTGCCGTAGAAGTTCTTTGGTTTTGGAACATTTCCAGACGAACCGCTGAGTTGCTATGGAGGTGCGGTGAGCCTAATTAGACTCAAGATTTATGGGACACTGCAATGGTTGCTCAATATTGGACTTGGCATAGGAGCTCATTGACTCGGTGCTAGATCTTCATGATCTCGGTAAATTATTGGGGAGAACACTTCTTGTTCAATCTGTACCCTGAACTTTAAGCTTCCCCGGCCGTGCCGGGATAGTGCAGATTTAAGCTCTATGCCTACAGCTCAACCTCTCTGGGATTTGATTGTCCCCGTCACTTCCTAGTCACGGTCAAGGACTCGGCCGAGAAGTCTTTTTCAGCCCCGTACCCCTTCAGATTGATATAGTGGTTTCAAGAACCCGAATCATTGACAATTTGATGGCAAGCTAATCAGAAAGAGTAGGGTGGAACTATTGTCTACACTGGCCCTCTACCAGAAGCAAACAGAGGCGGCGAAATCTGTGTTGAGTCCCACAAGGCGGGAGACCGGTGCCTCTCAACATCTTTTGGGGGCCATGTTGAGGCTCAAATTTAAGCGTGACGGATCCTGCGGTAACTTTGGCATCTCTGAGAATTTTGTGCAACGCTGGATGACCGTTTGCCGTTATACGAAAGCCCTTCCGGGCATTCGGGTTTGAAGTGAACACCGTGCTGGTGAGCACTAGTTGACTGCAGATGGGTATCGTATGACAAATAGATACGCCAAGTGCATTGAGGGCATCTAAGGATGCATTCTGCAAACTTCAATAGAGAAGCTAGCTTGTCAGCTCCCGCGGCATCTTCAAACTTCTTATTACAGTGGGTGGAGCGTAAGTGGATCACAGGATCAGACGGGCTTGTACTTTTATGCTTTTCCGACTGTACCTTGTGCTAGCCCGGACAAACATGCTCCAGGCGAACCCAGGCCGGACGACAAGTACTAGCTGACTGCTGCGTCCAACTTTGGACGAGACGAAGCCCATGATGATCATCTTTAAATATTCCACGTCCTTCCGGTGACTACTCCTCGCTGCTTATTCCTGCTAAATTCTGTTGTTCTTCACGTAGCCAAGCCCAAGAAGGCAGACAAATGCTCATCATTGACTCCATAACATCAAGACGGTCCCACGATGCGGTTAATTCTTCTGACAATCCTACTACCCGGTCTCTTGGCCCATTCCTTGGATCACACTCGTCGTGAAAGGACGTGCACCACCGAAACCGCGATTATTCGGAGAGAATGGGGCTCGCTGACGTCTTCCGAGCGAACAAATTACATCGACGCGGTACTTTGTGCTCAAAACACACCTTCAGAGCTAAACCTCCCTGCAACTAAATCACGGTTCGATGACTTTGCTGCTGTTCACATCAATTTAACCCGCTCTATCCATAACAACGGCGTCTTTTTCCACTGGCACCGCCACTACGTATACTTGTGGGAGAAATTCTTACGCGACGAGTGCAACTACGCCGGGTATCAACCTTACTGGAACTGGGCTCTGTGGCCAAACTTGGCAGCCAGCCCGCTCTTCGACGGCAGCATGACCAGCCTCGGTGGCGACGGTGAGCCTATTCCGGACCGACCACCCACAATCATAGGCTCGACAGGCTTGAAGGTTCCCCCCGGTAACGGCGGCGGTTGCATGAAGAGCGGCCCATTCGTCAACATGACCGTGACGATGGGACCATTCGCATTCAGTGATTTAACTACGGGCCTTCCCTCGAATTGGAGCGACTACAACCCGCGATGCCTCCCGAGGGACCTGAACGACGGAGCCTACCAGTTCAACAACCAGACCATGATCGAGCTGGCGCTGGAGCAGCCTGAGATCGGGGCCCTGACGGACTTTGTGAACAGTGGAGTTGCGGGGGAGGGACTGGGGCTGCACTCGGGTGGGCATTTTGCTATCGGCCCTGTGATGTTTGATACCTTTGCGTCTCCGTTTGACCCTGCGTTCTTCGTGCATCACGCTATGCTTGATAAGCTGTGGTTGGATTGGCAAGAGATCGACTTTGCAGAGAGGCAATTCCAATATAACGGAACTAGTACCGTCTTCAATGGCAACTCGACGCCGCCGGTGACAAATGAGACGGATATCTACTTTCCCAGCATTGGTACCACGGTAAAAGTCATGGATGTTGTGGATGTGAAAAGCGGGTTCTACTGCTACCGCTATGAGTAAAGGCAAAGGGGCACTTGTATATTGATGAGATATTAGTCGAATTATTAATGATGAACTTAATTGGCTGGGTTCCTATGTATGTGCACATTCTTTGTGTCCTTGAATTTAGACACGGAATAGGTCTCATGATTCGCGGGACGGACTTTGCACCAAGAACATTTGACCTATGTTGAGAAACTGCTTCTAGACTTCCATACGTCGGAGTCTTGATCACTGATTCTCAGTTGCGAGCTTCACAACCTCCTCAGCCACAAACTCCGGCCGACTAACATTTACACAGTGACCGGCCCCTTCGACGAAAACCCTCCGGATCTTCCCGTCAGCCGCCACGGCCTGCTCATACATCAACTCCAGCAACGGGGTGGGAACGATCACATCCTTCTCCGGAATGATTAGCACGCTGGGTATTTCTTTCCATGCCTCATACGTCACCACGCCGTCGAAACTGTCCGAGCTATGCCGTGTCATCAGAGCGAGATTCTGAGCCTGTTCCTCCTCGGACTCGAGGTCGTTGAAGATGTACGCTCCATAAGCTGGGTCGATGGGCGGCAAATATCCTCCCGGCACGCCGGTCTTGAACGGCTCGGATATGGCATCCCGAGCAGACATCCAGCTCCGATTCCCTTGGCCTAGGGGGAGAACGAAAGAAGCCAAGTAGAGGATGCCGATGACAGCCGTGCTTTTACCTTCGGCTGAACGGTCGGCTTTGCTGAGGCCCTTCATGGCGGAAGACCCCGGCACACCACTGTACGAGTGGAGCAGAACAACCACGTTGGACGGGTCTGTTTCGCTGTCGAGGTTGGACGTGACCTCTTTCCGGATATGCTTGGCGTCGTCCTCATTGGTTGGCGCGGGAAATCGCGAGCCGTCATTGGCTGAGGGCAGATTTATGGCTCGCGCATCGTGACCCTGCTTGCGAAGAACGTTGACGAGGCCGTCGTAGAGAGGTACTGTGGCAAATGAGCCTGGTACGATCACAAAGGAGGTCTTGGGCTTGAGTGAGGCCATTTTCTTGCAGATTTCGACTTTTTGAAGGGTTGAAAAGAATTATACAGAATGAACAATAAGTTGGATTAGAATGTCGGCCGAACTGTCAGAGAAGCCTCATGAGGCAACTCCTTTATAAGTCAACGCTCCATCTCCGCACGATGAAGCTTGTTGGGAGTGAAGTGACATTGGCATTGTCTACCGCAGTACTTGTTGGTCCTCCTTAGAGTCACCGTCGGGAGCGGACGCTAATCCACTCGTGGGTGAAAGGATCCCGCAAGCTTACCAAGCTGCCAGAGAGGGTCACAGATAATGCTACCATACCATTTTGACCTAACCACTCAGAAGGTTTAGAGGCTATTCCGCTTGGATAATGTTCTCGAAAGTGGTTATGATGGACTGAGCTAGTAAGAATATAGTGCTGAAGTATGTTTACAACCTCTGCCAGAGCACATGATTGTTGTGCAGAGGCCAATCCCATGCAAAAATGCGAACTACATTACAAATATTGTATGTGCATTGAGTGAAAATTGTCTTGTGTCTCTGCAGACGAACTTTTATCAATCACATTGTGTTTCGCGAGACGTCAGTGAATTCATGTAAACAGTCAAGACACGACTCCTTTGAGGGCCATATCCCTGCACCTTGTAGGTTGGCGTTTGCTTAGCGCGGGAAGGATCTTCGCGTGATAGGAGAATTAGAAATCACAGACCCATATCCTTGAGGTCGGACTCGAAGTCCGAGACTAGTCCCTTCGAAATACACATATGATATATATAGGACGCAATTTTCATTATGCTTAGACGAATGAATCTGTAAAGGCGATTGTTAACAAGAGGCTCCTGAGAAGTCACAACCTGTCTGAAATGGAAGAATGTAACCCAGTGGGCCCGGGATCTCTTAATTTAGTGCCAAGCTTGAGATATTGTCCGCAAGACTAAGGGCGTGAAAATTGTCTAGACTTGACAGAACACCAAGTTATGATTTGATTCAACGCGTGATGAATGGATAGAGACAAGGTCTGCGCAGAGAGCCCGAAGTTAATTCCAAGCTTTGATATAACCACTGACGTAGGGATGGAATTTTGCATGATTTCTACAGGAGATGCTTGTAAGACTGGTAAACCAGTCTCGCCTTATTGATCTAGTCGCTTTGACTGGGAAGTTCCAGGGACATTCCAACCGCCACGTCACGTCTATTATGCCGTCGACGGCCACGCGTGAAACAAGCTCCAGAGTCTTTGGTTGGCTACTCGACCAGATCTCCTGACGGTTCCCCTTTTGCTTATTACGTTCACAATTAATCCGTCAGCATTTTTGAAAATAAAATTCCGAAGACGCCGTGCTCAAGTCCGACTACAGAGACTCAGTTGAAGTCGGCCATCATTCACCATGACATTCCAACAAGCCGAGTACATGCAGGGTTCCAATACCGGGGAAAGCTCTCAGTCAAAACTCCTATCCCGCAACCCATATCTCGAGTCAGAAGACGACCATCACGTCTCTCACGGCGTGGAGAATTCTCACGATCGAAGCCCCTGGTACGCTGAGGAGAGCACCTACGCGCCTGCAGCACACACCGTGTATCACAACACAGGCAATACGAGCAATTCAGAGTCATACGCATACCCATCAGAGCATCCGGCGAGTCCAGAGGCGCCCCCTGTGCCAGCGCGCCCGGGCGGTGAGCCCTCCACGTGGTCGCATGTTTCACCGCACTCAGAGAACCGACACTCGCCTGATCTCGAGCAGCGTCCAGATCTTCCACCAAGGCCACCTCACGAACAAGATGACCACAACCGCTCGCCGGAACCCGTCGAAGAGCTCGAGCTGCTCCCGCCGCGGCGCCGGCTGACGACAGGTGATATACCAGTCACTACAGTAGGATACACGAGAAACCCAGAGAAACTAATCGCGTATCTGATCCCACTGCCCCCACCGTCCGCAAAAGGCCGGACCCTCGACGTCCCCCAGCGGTACATGATCTACACCCCACCAGCGCCCCACCTCCTGAAGCCCGAGGCTGGCAGCAAAGAGGGTAAGCGACACAAGGTGAAGCGGCTGGCGCAGCAGGAGGTCAAAAAGGCCAAGACATTCGAAGGCAAAACGCTGTCAATCCGCGGGCTGCATTACAAGGCGATTCGCGGGTGCGACTGGGCCGTGGCCGCCATCAAGAGCTCGGACATCACTTTCCTGAACCGCGTGCCGCGCAAGGAAGTCGGAGAGCTCGTCCTCATCCACCCAGCCTCGGTGCTGGCGGACCACAGCCCAGCCCAGGTGCACACGGAGGTGGGCGCGCAGCTTCGTCGCACGCAGCGCCGGGCCGCGCGGGACAGCATTCTCAGCACGCTGCTGTTCCCGCCTTCGATCGCGATTGACACGCTTGCGGCCGTGGTGTGGCCGTTTGGAGGTCTGGCAGAGATTGATGGCGTTTGGATGTACGCTTCTTACCGGGCATACCTGGCGGCGCGCTCTGTGACGCGGCGGATGGACAACGAGCCTGTTGTGGATGAGGAGGGCCAGGGTCTTCATGAGCCAAGTAGGTCGGACAGGGGACTGAGCCCTGTGTCTGAGGAGGATATCTACACTGCGGGCATTGAGACCTCACGTCCTGATGAGGGTGAGTCTGGTCGCCAGAACAGCCGTAGGGATAGCAGACAGGTGCACTTCGAGGAAAACCTTGACGACGAGGACGATGAAGACTTGAAGAAGGCGACTGGAGCCGGTAAGAAGAAGGACAAGAAGAAGACTCTCAAGGTCCGTATGGTCCCTGACGATGCAATGGACACGATGGCAGCCTACTTCCAGGAGATCTGCCACCAGAGGAACCCAAAATCGTTCGGAAGCCCCGGAATTCCCCCGACCAAGACGGACGTCCTGGCAAGCATCGGATGGTGGCCCGATAGGAGGGGCAGAGCTCCTGGTGTGGAACATGGTGGAGACTGGGATGACGAGAACGTAAGTCTCACTCGGAGTATTCAAATTAGCAAATTTCTAGATACTGACACGGGGCGTTTAGTGGCAGACACGACAGGTCAAGGAAGACCTGGACAAGGTCTTGACCAAGGCTGCGAAGTCCTGGGATAAGTGGTGCAAGTCTTATGCCCAGTATCCTGAGCGAGCACTAAAGGAGAAGGGTCACAGCAGAACATCCGAAGTCTTGAGAAAAATTCGTGTAAAGAAGGACACACGTGGGCCACGCGTTGTTGTTTAATTATGATTGATTTTGGTGAGCACGATTTGTACGAATTCTCTTGTAGGTGGATAAACTTGTTATATTGCAGTGTACATGTCTGTAAGAATAGCCTGAGTAGGTTTTTGAATAAGTCTCTATTAATATACGCGGACGGTTGAGATTTAAAACTATTATCAGGTCTTTTCTCAACACATCTCCCATGTAGACTTTCTGTATCTGTATTAAAAGACTGACTCATAAACCAATAATTGCGTCTGTGCTTATCATCCATGCCTTTTCGCCTTCAAATTGTCACCTCGGCAAGCACGGCTATAATGGTTGTCTACTTGCTTTTTCGAAGTTACCCAAGTACGTACGTGCAGGATAAGTGGCATGTGAATCCTTGCATTGAGTGGTAGACACGGAGTGGTGGCGCCCGACTTGCCGCGCCACCTCACGGCTGACTTCTAACGTGGTGGAAGATCGGCTTCAAATTATATGTTAGCACTCATGATGCTGTTCCTCGATACGCAGTCACTCGACCCATTTCACAATGGATATACTTTCAGGGGACATCTTGATCTCCGTCCTCACCGAGCTACGAAACACCAGCGCTGGCAACAGAGACCTGTTCAGATGTCTTTTGGTATGCAAAGAATGGAACCAATTCGCCGCCCCCATCCTTTACGGCAACGTCGCCCTTAGGAACCAGGTCGTTGGGATGTTTACACATTGTATCCAACCGGGGCTCTACGGGGAACGTGTTCGCTCCATCACTCTCAGATTCGACCCAAACCCTACCACAGTCGACTTCAACAAGGAACTACGACTCATAGCTTCCGTCCTGCCAAAGCTAACCAAATTGTCATCATTATCGCTACACGTGCGAATCGGCTGGGCCAGCCACGAAATTCTTACCCATCTTTTGGAGGCCATACCCCTGTCTTGTACGAGTCTCGAGCTCGATACCGGCTACACTGGCTGGGGAGATGGTCAGTCCGCACACATGTGCGACTCCGTCCGAGCCGTGCTCCCACGCATGCGCCACGCACGCATCCGGACTGAAACGATGTGCGCCGCCATGCTCGGCACCGGCATTCTTCCAGACGAAGTTGTTCCGGGGGGCGAATGGAGACACCTCACAGACCCATTCACGCCTATTCACCTGCCCCACATGTACTCGCTCCTTATCGTATGCGCACGCCATTCGCTGATCCGGCGCTGCGGGGCTCCACGCCTGCACGACGGTAATCTGTGGACCAAGCCCTCCGGATCAGCGTGGGCGTCCATCACGGCCGCGCTGGAGAGGCTTGTCGAGACGCCGGGTGCGATCCGGCAGGATGGTGCGAGCATCTGTGCCGTGGCTTGCACGGACTACGACCAGGATGACATGGCGACCTGGAAGGCCGTTGTGCGTGCAGATGTGGTGGCCAAGACGTCGTGGGCGGTGCCGTACCGGATGGTGTGGCACGGGGTCATTCCGGGATCGTGGCTGGTGCGCCTGCCCGGTGGGCGCGAGCTGATGACCACCCTCGAGAACATTGAGCAGCTGGCTGAGGGCGAGGAGTGGGTTAACGTTTCGGGTGGCGCGAGACTGCCGCGTGAGATCGTGGAGACCGCAAGGGCGGGCAAGCCTTCTTTCGCGGCTGGATGCGCACTTGAGCCTATGTCGATGTTGAAGACGGCGGCACAATGGCGCCAAGACAACCCGAATAAGATAACCTACATTTGGAGGAACGAGACGACCACTGGTGAGAAACTTCTCGAAGCGGAAAAGAGAACTGGCAGGGACAGCTATTTCTCTTTGCGGCCAGTGATCGAGAGGACACCCCATGGCTGGATTCGAGGCTACAGAAACGAGTCTCTTAAACGGGTGGGAGCCCTCGAGTTGTGCAGCTGAGACAAGAGATGCCAAGCCGGCCAGAGAAGCCATCTTTTGGCAATTGTAATGGCGGCCGCCCACGAAAAGAATGAAACCAAAAATCATGCTGCGCTAGTATCTGGAAACTATTTAGTGTTCTCATTCTCCTTAGCTTGACGCCCGATACTGTAGCCAGTCAACATCGGCAGGAATTTAACAGCAATACTGTCCGCACATCCTTGATGCTTATTTAGTGGAAGAAGAAGACACCAATTCATCCACACGAACACCACGGTGAGATTAGACTAGGTGTCGTTGTTGAAGGGTCCGGGGGCGAAAAAGGACTATGGGAACAAGCTGAGACCGATCGTTGACAAGTGTGGCATGAGTAGTACTGAGCGGTAGCAGGGCCGGATGGCTGAGATCATTGCTCGACGTGGAATATCGATCCCAATTCAAGGCCTCAGGGTTGACCTGAAGAAATGGTCAAGAATTCTCGCCTGTCTTTCTGCCCGGTTGGTCTGACAGTCATGTCCATTCCTTCCTCAACTTGCAGGCTGGTGAGGGGGATGTCTCTCGGGCTCAGAGGACTAAGGTATTACAGCCAGGAGCTTGACCAACTTTTGAGTTCAGATTGGGTGCCAGCTGTTGAGTTGCAAATAGAACACTCGATTATTTAGGATACTGTTATTCAGTCGAGCCCAAGCCATCCTTTAGACCTCACTGAAGACTTGCTGTGCAGCAAGAGAGCCCATCTCATCTGAGCTTCGTCCCATTGCTAGCAGGGCTCCAATCAGGGAACTTCCGGAGCCACTTTCTCACAGTGCGGATCTGCCATTTGTGTGCTTCCCGGATGAACTGGGGCTCATTCGGCACGTCCAAGATGCCATAGCTGTCCCAATGATGCCCGCCGTCCACGATCAGGTATGCTGGGTGGAGATCAGAGCTGTACCTCTGTGGCGCTAGATTGGAGTGGTAGCAGCCGTCGAGCCAGGGATCGTGATTCCCGTCGATGAAACCCAGCCTATCCGCCTGAAAGTCCAACGCTCCGTACGAATTCCACCTGTCGACGTCGGGAGAGGACGGAATCGCGTTGTATTCGCCCGGCGGAAAGGCCAGCGTGCACTGTTCCTGGGTGTAGTTGCCGTCCATGACCCTGGAAAGAAGCGATTTACCTTGCTTTGCAGCAGCTTGGTACAATCCCATTTCTGTGCAGGTTGTGTAAAGGTAAGCGAGGTCAGATGTACCAGCCTGCTCTGTCCAGTAGGTTGCTGCATAGAATTAGTATCAGTATGGCAGCATAGATCTGAGAAAATAAGACTTACCGTTTCCCTGCCCAAAACAATCACCGCTGGCATAGTCTCCACTCGAACATGTGGGCAAAATGATATCCTTTACGTATTTCGCATAATTTCCAAGGTTCTCCCAAGATTCGCCATCGGTGTACTTTGCCAGCTGCTCGTCCACGGCTGTCACCTCCGCTGGTGCATCAAGGTTGGTGACGTTTGAACAGAATGACCAGAACTCCGTCTTCTGGTCCGTCCAGGAAAGCTCTTGCCAGGTGTCAGTCGGGTAATCGAACGGACCCCCAACAGGATACGCAATGGTCTTGGCGAAGTCCCGGTTGTCTGTCAAAGACTCCAGTCCGAAGAGTGACTTGAACTCCTGGATAGCTTCAGTGTTGCCAGCCGCTACCAGGCCGTCAAACTTGTCCACGATGTCATTGATGCTCTGGACGCAGTCGCTTGGGCCAAACTTCTGGATTGGGTCATACCACTCCGGGTATTCGACAGCGACTCGGATCACGCCGCTGGCCGCGATACCGCCGTACACGATATCTGGGTATGTCTTGACGGTGAAGGACGTCTGGGCACCAGCAAGACTTCCACCGTACAAGATCCAGGGAGTGGCTGGTGCTGTCAAGGATGCATTCACTCCCGGGAAGGTTGCGTGTTGCGCAAAATACGCAAAGTCCGCTACAGTTTGCTCGTTGGTCAAGTAAACCAGATTGTCGGTGGTGAGATTCTCAAAAGGAACGCTCTGTCCATAGTAACGGTTTTCTATAATCACACCGAGTCCCCCTGTGGCGTTCATCAGGATCTGGATGATGCCTGTCTCAAGGTTTGAGAAGCGATTCCGTGCATCCGTTTCACCACCTATGTAGAGGAATACCGGACCACCAGGTTTGTAGTAACTCGAGTCAAAATAATAATGCTGCTTGAAGGTGGCATTCGTGTGTGGAGCATATCTTCATTCAAGCAATCAGCGTAAATCTGGCTTTGAGATTGCGTGGGGCTTACTCACCGAGCGTCACTGGGGAAATGATCCACGGGCTGGTCAATGGTATACGCAGAGTACGCGTCGGCCTGGCGCGGGCTGAGAGCTAGAGACTGCGGTCGTTCAGAGGCCCCTGGTCCAGCAAAGGCCAGGGAACCTAGGGCAAGGACAGAGAGAAGCGAACGCATGGTGATAGTTCTGTCCCACGCGGCAAAAACACAGTCAACAATGCTTCTCTGTTCGAGCAGTGCTGCAAAATTCCAAAGACCTCCCAACATTCCGGCCTTGGCGGTATTTATACATGAGTGCCTGCAAGGAACGCGTGCGAACAAGCACTTTATCTCCGCGAATGACGAGTTGTGTGCTGCACCGTAAGCCGAGCCCCGCAGGCGCGCATGATTAGAGGTCGACGCCGCCGGGAACCGGGATGCTGAAGAGCTTATTTCGCACGCTATATGCCGATCATTAGTTGCGTGATGATGGGATGAACCGCATCAAGCTTCCTGACCTTCCTGTTGGGGAAGGGTGAGGTAGGATGCCTTCTGGGGCCGGATAAACCTGGCCTCATTTCGATTTCGATGGGTCTTGCGGTGCAAACCTCACTGAGCTGCAAACTCCTCATGCTGACTTGATGCCAGATTGAGGAACCGTTACATCCGGACTACCTCCGCTCTGTCTGTATCTTCCGCGGTTTAGTCTGTGTAGCAAAGTAATGGAACTTCGGCCGTTGACCCCAGAGGGAAACTACAGTTTCTAAAGGTACATTATGTCCTCAGATGCGCGCATTTGACCGAAAGGTGTTTATCCCATGATCAAGGACTCAGATGCAGCCAATGTCGAGGTCAAAACCTGGGACGAGAAGAAGTCATCGCGATGCTAAACAACTTGTGTGGCAGCCAGTCAATCTGACTAACTAGGTTGAAGGAGCCAAAATTATCCGTTTATCTAGACAACTAGATCGGTTCCCCTGCAATAGCATTCTCGCGCCATGGAGCCATGGCTGCCCGGACGGCTCAAGGATCGAAGAAATATGGCGGCCTGCCTTGCTTGTTCCTGTCAGGCTCCAGCTCGGCAATCTCATCCTTCCACCAATCCCAGAGATCGGAAGTGGGAGTGATATGTAGCTGTGTGGATAGTAGCTTGGCTAGGAGGGCTTCATCATATGGCTGGCCAGCGTTTTTCTTAGCACTCTGTTCCACTATTTTTATTTCTTCGATTCTTTCTGGATGGCCTTGAGCGGTAACGACACATCGCCCCCTGAACCGATTTCGATATTGCATCCGGGGAATTTCGTGGCGATTTCGAAATATATTATGTTTCGTCATGACCTTTTCTGCATCCCAACGCCACCTGTTCTCAGCGGTTACCTTGATTGGAAGTGGGCAGTACTCGTGATCTGGACTCGGCGACAAATGGAATCCTATCAGCCGACTCAACTGTTGCTCTGTTGGGGGTGGGATGGTCGTATTGCGGCGTGTGTTGTGTATGTATATGCCGTTACACTGTTGTTGAGAGAATATCTTGTCAGCCTTGCGTAGTGACTAGTCTGTTGATTTTGAAGCTTTGTTATTTCCAGGCTCAACTCTTCGCCACTCTCATCCCGATCAAATAGGACAACGCCGCCGCATATCTGCGTCTCTGCCCAATACCCGGCAAGCTCTGCCCCACCGTTGGGTAGCGGTGCGAGTCTTCGAAGCTTTCGTTGTAGAATAGCGTGGCTGGCGGCAGCAGTATTCGTGCCCCTGAACGTTTATAGGGATGTTTTTTTGAGCTGTATTGCGAGCCAAGCCTCATGGTCTGCGTGCTTATGATTTCCGTCGTCCATTTGCCACAGGAAGACAGCTATGTCGTGGCAAGCAGTAAAGACAGGCTCAATGAGACGAAGTTTTCAGGCTGCAGAGTTGCGTATTGTATCTTGATAACATTCTCCAGTTGCTTCTCGTCCTCAGCCCACAGTGCCCTTCGCAGGCCTAGTTCTGTGATCGCAGCCAAGAAGTGTAGCAGAAGGCGATAGGATAAGTAAATGTAGCTAATCCTATTTTTTTTTATTACTTATCTTATTTACAATAATAATAATATGATTACCAAAACAGAGGATAAACACTTGTGTTAAATTCTTTGACTTAATAAGTGCACTGGTTCATTGGCATAGCCACCATCGATGGAATGCCAAGAAATTTGGGCCTGGGATTATCTTGGGACACTCTGCCGCCTTACGTACGTCAACATTCAAACGATGCCTACCTTTCAACCTTTCAGCGGCACTGTATTATTGTTGATACCAAAGTGTTTTCTGTCAGAGTCACTCCGTACTAAGACAGAGTGCAAAAAGCAAACAACTGACTATGGATGGCCGGCATGTCTAATCTCTGGTTTTGAGCCGTCATCTTGGCCTGTGGAATACTAGTCATCTTTGCCTTAGCAAGGGTGAAGAATCGTCTCAACAGCATCTTTCCCATCATGTCCCAAATGCTAGGTGTTCCCATCAAAGAGATATTCGCAACCAAAGGCACTTGCTAGATCAATGCTCATTGATGATCCTCATCTTCACTGTGTACATGCACTGCCTCTTCCCAGAGTTCTCGTCTCTCCCAGAACTTCCTGTAACGCTCCGCAGCTCCGCGGCCAAGCGCGTCCCGAACGTCTGTAAACCACTCCTCATGGGGCTGGCCGTCCGGGATTGCTCCCCTCTCCAGTAGTACCTCGACGATATCCCAGTATCCCTTGAATACAGCAGCATCCAGTGCGCTGCCGTATAGGCCCCCCTGCGCGTTGACGTTGGCGCCCTTATCCAGCAGCATTCGCACCGAATCTATTTGCCCCGAGTGCGCCGCCGCCTGCAGAGCTGAACCAAAAATACCACCTGCTGCGTTGACATGGACTTCGGGGCACCTTTCGAGGAGGAATTTTGTTACCTTCGCGCCGTGTTCTTGTGCGTTTGCACATGCCCATTGCAGCGGGAAGCCGTCCTCTTCACCTCCGATATTTACGTTAGCGCCGTGATCCAGCAGAAAGCCGATCCTGTGAATCCGCGACTCTTGGCTCGAACTGTCAAACGAGCTGGAATCAAGCGCCGCGTGGAGGGCAGTAACATGTTGTCGTCCTCGTGCGTCGTCAACATCGACGTTATGGTCCAGCAGCAACTGTAACACGTCGTCGTTATATGCCTGAGCTGCGGCAGCGTGCCAGGCACTGCCGAACGTGCCGCCCTGCAGGTGGACGTTTGCACCGTGCTCAATCAACAAACGTGGGGTTTCGCAATGTGCCCTTCCATTTTGGCAGGCCGCCTGAAGGGCGGTTCCGTATTCCCCGCCCTCGGCATTGACTTCGGCGCCGTGGTTGAGTAGGGTGCGCACGCTGTCGATACTCCCGTCTGCGCAGGCCGCCTGCAGGGCAGTGCCGTAGCGGCCCCCGGGCGCGTTAACATCAGCGCCCTTGCTCAAAAGCACCACCACCAGTCGATAACTGTCCCAGCTGGATCCAGACGCGGCCGCCTGCAAGGCGCTTCCAAACTCGCCTCCGGAGGCATTGACATTGGCTCCCAAGTCGAGCAAGAGCTGTGCAGGTCGTTCATCTAGGCTGCAGCATGCTGCCTGTAGCATAGTACCGTGATAGCCGCCCTCAGCGCTCAAGTCGGCGCCATTCTCCAGCAGAAACTGCACACTCTCCATGGCGTCTTTGCTATAGCAAGCTGAATGCAATGCGCTTCCGTAAAAGCCGCCTTGAATATTAACATCGGCACCTCTATCAAGCAAGAGCTTCGCAACGTCCCTCTTGTGTTCAAATCCAACCCAATTGTTAGAAAACAGAGCCTGGAGCGCAGTACCGTAGTAGCCGCCCCGAGCGTTGACATCAGCGCCCCTTTCAAGCAACAGCTCTATATCTGATGGCTTTACATAGCCATCACAGCACATTGCCTGAAGCGGGTAGCCGTATTCCCCGCCCGGAAGATTGACATCGGCGCCTCTCTCTAGCAGCAGACGGATACACTGCCTATTCTCCGAGTGGCTCATGTGGGCAGCCGCATGATGCAGTGCAGTACCACGTGTTGGGCACTGCATGTTTACATCGGCGCCGTTGTCGAGGAGAAATCGAAAGCATTCGATGCCTCCGCCGCTGTCTGTAGCCACAGCCGACGTCATCGCACACCCAGCCTCATTTACTGGTGCGTTGATGTTGGAGCCGCGGCCTACAAGCAACTGCACCACGTCGAGGTGATCGCGGGACGCAGCGGCCTGTAAGGCCGTGCCCCATCCGCCGTGTTGCGCATCAATGTTGGCGCCTCTGTCGAGGAGGAGTTCAACGATCGCAATATGCCCTCTGTATGCTGCCGCGAGTAGCGCGCCTCCCGTTGGTCCGTTGTTGGAATTACAGTCAGCGCCTTTGCTTATGAGAAGCTGGGCGACAGCAGTGCTCCCACCGAGCGCCGCATAGTGAAGTGCTAAATCTATATCTTCCTGCGTTAAGTATGGATTTGTGCCGGGACCTCCACTCAGCAACATATCGGTGAGATTGACATAGCCTCTCAGGGCGGTATAAATATGCGGCCGGGTTAACACTTCGTTACGCACCCACAAATCCACTTCATGTCCAATTAAATCGCAAATCGTGTCGGCTTCATCTTCAAGAATTATGCGCACGCTTTCGCTACGTATTGCGAGTGCTCGTGCAGCGAGTTGGCCGACATCAGCCGACCATAGCTCGCGCGGTACCATCTCGAGATGTAACATCCAGTTCTCGAAAGCATAGCTTCGGAGCTCGTGGTCAGACAAGTCTTCTTCACCTTCACCAAGAAGATTGACGCAATGGAGGTAGTATGCAAGACACGAGTGAGCGATGTGTAGATGGGCGTCAGTTTCGGTGAAAGAGAAGCCTTTTGCCGGGCCATTGGCAATGCGCTTGGACATAAGATACTCCTTGACTGTGAAGTGGGCTAGACGGATATACGTGACTTCTTTGGTATAGCGGATCCATTTCTTGCGGATGACCGTTTCTGAGACTTTCCGTACGACAATTAGGCTGGACATGTATCTGATGAAGTCTGCAGGCCCACACAGCCGTTGGGTATTATCAAAGACCGCATCATTTCCGGGGCAGAGGACGAAGATCTCCGCCAATTCTTCGAGTCGGAGGTCCCTATTCGACGAGGAGATCCACTTTAGGGAATTTATGATCTGGGGTTGAAATCTCGGGTCTACGTTCACGAGCAGTCTCTCATACGTTGCGTCGAGTCCGATAGGAAGCTGTTGGAGCTCTGCGCGGACGAGCGGGACAGAGGCGAGATTTTGGAGGTTTTCGAACTGGCAAAAGATGTATTGAAACCTATGGCGACTATCAGCGACAATGGATATGTTTTTGTGACAGAAAACTTTATCATTACCTACATTCCGTCCGCATTCTTCATCAGCGTTTCCTTCGCCTCGTCCTTAAGGTCACTAGGCCAAGACGTAAAGGCAGCAGATGCGAGCGTCTCATCAATGTACAGACCGATGTCGTGGTCGAGCATATCTCGGTACATCACCAGATCAATTTCGGCTCTCGATGGTGGAATGAGGACAGTTCTCATCGTTGTAACAATGTCTAACTCCGCTCGACTTGTGCATAAGATGTGAACATTGTCAGGCATCACGGCAATGATGCGTTTGAGGCTGGTCAAAAGCTTCGCTCGCTCACCAGCCATGGTCGGACATTCGTCTAAAGCGTCAATGACGATGAAAGTCGCTGAGAATCCATGTGTGATAGCTAATGCTGCCGCTATGAGTGCCTCGGTGTCTGGACGCTCGCCTCTCGTCTTATATTCGCCGAGGGCCCGGATGGGCTCTGGTGTGTCAGGCCTTCTGGCGTAGATCTGCTTGACAAGCGACGCGAGCATTACGTTTACAATCTGTTTCCTTGGGTCACTGAAGCTAAAGAAGAAATATGCAAGCGCAGTTTGGGGGTCCGATGCATATCGATCCCGGAGATGCTTGACGACGGACGAGCTTAGAATTGATTTCCCACAACCAGCTGCAGGCGGTTAGCGGGAGAACCGGAAGACACTAGCAATGGTAGTCGTACGTACGTTTGCCATTGAGCCATAGCAGAGAGCTAGTCGACGTCTCCCAGGTCTTAAACTTCTGGCTGTATCTGATCAGCCAGTCACTTGTGCCAATCATGTGCTTGTCACGGGCAGCGTTGTATGCTTCAGAGGGATCGACTGCACACAACCAGTCGAGCAAACCGTCCCGTTGCTTTTTCTCCTGTGCATCTCTGACTACCTCTAGCAGACCCGAAACATCGGTGCCAATAGTTTGCCAGCGGCGAATGGCCTCCGAGTGCCGCTTCTCTGCTGCCGATCGCTCCACTTCGTATGTGATATCTTTCCAGGTGTCGTTGATTGAGGCAAATTTGCGCTCCTGGTGTCGTATATTTTCTAGTAGATCATCCCATTCGTTCCACTTGACGATATCTTGACCAAGGCGGAAAGCGGCGTTGCGGTCATAGTAGCAATAGCTTCCAATCTGGAATCTGAGGATCTTTTGGTAAAGCTGCTCTAAGGCGTATTTGAATACATTGCGCTGATCAGGTGAGGAATTTTTCATTTGCCTATTGTTTGACTCGCAGCGCCGAATGTAGAGATCCTCCCACATGCGGCTGTGTGCTATGAGAGACGAAATTTCCTCTAGACCCTTGGCCAACGATGCGGCTTGCTTCGGGGGGTTCAAAAAGAGCTATAGGAGTCGATGAAACTTAGCCCCCAATGCAATGTATCGACCCTGATACTATTTTACTGACCGGCAGCAAGAGACTAACGGCCCCCCATGCTATCGAGGCAGACGAGTTCGCGCTCACGGCTGCAGTGATGTACTCGTTAGCCCAATTGACTACCCCCAGGACGGGCTGCACCAGGTCCTTGACTTGAATCTCCGAGCTTCCGAACTTTAGCTTCCATGTGTCTCTGTTTATCTCGTCCATCTTGTGCTGAAGTATAGTCTCCATCAGGTCTCGAGTGTCAGCCCTCGAGCCAGGCGTCAAGCCGAGCGTCGCGTCGAGCCCGGCGGTAAAGTTCCCGCGAAGCTTGGCTTCATATTTAACTATGAGGTCTTCATCGCTCTCACGTAAATTCTCGTAGGCCAGATTCCAGAGCTCGTGGATCGGCGTGTCACTGGCTTCAGGCGCAGACGGCCACTGCTTACTGGACTTATCCCACAGACGTAACGGGGACGGTTGGCTGCCGGTAGGAGCTGATGTTGAAATCGACGACTTAGAGAAGCCTGTTGTAGAATTGGCCATGGGGCTCATGTTCGCTCGCTGCTCCTCGTGGCCAGCCTGACCATCAGCTTGGTCATTGCGATTGTGATTGGCTTTGGAGCCGCGGACGCGTAATTTCTGCTTGAACTTCTCAAAATCCATTCTCCTGTGAAGCTATGTTGTCACGTTTTGCTTCGCGAACCCCGAAGAGGCCAGTCTGGCAGGTCAATCACTTGTATATGCACGCGGCCTGTGGTATGAGCTGGGGGAGTGAGGGGTTGAAAGAGGTTGGTTTGAAGATGACCCATCGAGGGCAGGATGGGCAATCAGGTTATAGCATTCCGCGGGGAGTGTAATACAGACCGATGCTGAATATCTCTTTTCCCGCCGCTAGAGCGGCAATATCGAGTTGCACAGCATACTTACTTCCAGCAGTCTCTCAGCTGCACTGTCTAACCTGCAGTTGGATACCTCACGTAGACTATTGGAACAGAACCGCGACACTGAAAGAAATGTGAATCGGTTATTGCCGAGCTTAACTTCCCTCATAGAAGCTTACGCGAGGGGAGACCATTACATAAAAGGTCATCCCACGAAATCAATCCAAATAGGGGTTATGCTAGGGCGGGTTTTCCTACAAGAGATCATTTGATCTCTATCATAGCTCCTCATTTTTACTCACTTGCGAAACATAGAGATACTGTCGCGGCGCAATGTGAGGACGCTGAAAGCGTGGAAAGGTCGTCACCGGTTGAATCGCATGGCCGCGCAGCGGCAGAGCGCCCAGGGTAGTCGTAGGCTTCCGTGTAGGAGTTTCTGAGCCCTCAAGCCACCGTGGTTCTGTCGTGATGAGGAACGAACAGATTCAACATGTGCAGACCGAGCAAAGGATCGTCTTGATTTGAAGTGTTCTGAAATAGACAGAAGCTCGGAAGAGGGGCGGCCTCTGTTGCTTCCGACGGACTCGTTATACGGCTTTGAGCACCTTTCTTTACCAATGGGCAAACACATCATGTGAAGCTGCAGTGGCGTGGTCCTGAAGTCGCCGTTGAAGGGGCAAGTAACGGCAGCACCTGTTGGCGGCAGCGGCTTATCCAGCAGAGCTTCGAACTGCGTCTCTGCCGCAGCCTTGGCAAATAGATGCCATAGTTTCGACTCTGAGCGAGCTGTGAAGAAGGGTTGGCCGAATAATCGGCCGGCCGCTTTTCACGGCCTTGGCCCACCACTGTGGTAGACTAATCCGCCCAGGGTGAAACATGGCCTCGAGTTTTGGGCCGCCAACAAGGGCGTGGGTCGTTGCAGGTGACGAGACCATCAAGAACGATGAAGCCCGAGCCCCTGGATTTCAGGAGCGATGAGCGGAAAATGGAGGCTTGGGTTGTCGTGCTTTTTAAAAGTCTTGTATGTTGGCGGGACGCTTTGCTCTGCGCCGCGTCGCCACAAAGGACGTCCAGTGAAGGAATGCTGGGTTAGGGTTGTTGGAGCTCTTGACATGCGCTGAACATGGAACACACATCAAGAAATTCTCTATGCCAGGTCAATTTTGGATATCTGAATCATAGAAGATAAACCAGATTAAGATGAAGATAGAGCTGTCATTCTCAAAAGTCGGGTTGTTGCAACCTTCTGTAAGGTTAGCTCACACTGCGTGCGGCACAGGGCCATGGGGTGCTGACATGGAAGCGGCGCATCGATATTTCAGGAAACTTTTGGGCTTACTCTGTGTTCGGCTGACATGAATCCAGAAGTCTCATAAGGTCCGAGGTGATTTTGGAACATGGCCGTCGCATCTGGCTGGCCCTGGGGCGTCAGCAGCCCGCCTTGAGAACGGCCTGCACACCTGCAACCAAAATGGAACTTGAAATCTCATAAGACGGTTCTATTGTTTAAAGCCAGATCCCCTGAACATTTTGTTATCAAGCAGATCATGTGGGTCAATTATTTTCTCTGACCTTTCTCTAAAGACGAGTTCTGCCCGTAGCTCACGACCAGAACTAACTATATTTCACCTTCTATTTGCCCTGTCCACCAAAACTTGAGACTATCAACGAGCAAAATGAACACCAAAGCTTGTGTCCCCAGTGGTCCTGACCACATCAACTACTACAAAGGTGGTTGGAACATCGGACAAAAAGCCAGAGTCGGCCCCCACAAGAAGGAAGTCATCTCCATGGCACGTATCTACAACCAACGCCCCGGCCGCCTCCGAATGCACGTCTATGGCGGGCCAACAAAGAAGGACACGAAGCTCGCCACAGTCGAAACGATCCCCTTCAAGAAGCAAGGCTGGACAAAGTGGCTGCGCTTCTTCCCGGGAGTTCGCAGCGGCGTGCCCTCTGACGTAGACATCATTCTGTTCCCAGACGAGTCCAAGGGCAAGGGCAAGAACCACGAGGGTGCGGAGCGCATCGAGATCCGCGGACGCCAGTTCCGATTCACCGCCGCCGTGGGCCACGGCCAGCAGCACCGGCTCGAGACGTTCGAGTGGCGGTGGAGCGACGGCGGCGAGGTCGGCCACTACACGAAGCGCATCCCCGAGACCAATGGCCGCGGCTGGAAGCTGCTGCGCCTCGACACCGAGGGCCAGGACGGCAGCCGCGACCAGAAGGAGTGCGTCGCCGCCTTTTCGCAGACGGGCAAGTTCGGCTCCAAGTCGCACCGCTACCAGCTGTTCAACTCGGGCGCGTCAGGCCTCCTGGGCGAGCGGTTTGAGCTGTATGCCTATCTTACGTTCCAGGCCATCCTGGACCAGGAAGCGCGTGAGGCGGCTAAGGCAGCGGCGGAGAGGCAGGCTAGGATGAACCAGCAGATGAATCGTAATCGCTATTAGATTCGGAACTGGTGACTTCACCCAGTGTTCACGGGTTTATTTTGTTTGAGGATATAAGGAAGGAGTTTCACTGTCGACTGAATGGGATCAGATCTATGGCAAGTACGCCTCTAGTATAGCCAAGGAGTCTAGTCGGAACAAAGTTTTGCGAATGTCCAGGGAGCTTGTGGGCTCGTTTGAGCTCCGTTGAGGCTTTATTACTATAAAAGTTGGGTTATATAGTCGTGCGTGCTGCGACCTGCGCGTGTAATGCATAACTGAATCCATTTACGAACGCTTACTGTTCCATTATCCGTATGTATACCTTGTGTATCCGCTCTGTTTATGCCACACGCCGAATGCCCATCGCACGTTCTACGTCTGAGCTCTTGGGGTCAGATAGACCATCAAAGGTGGCTTCTGCCACAAGTTGTAGATCTTCTGGTCCAGCCAGCCTTTGCTCTCCGGCGCCAACTTCAGATCAAAGTTGAAGACCAGACGGGCCATGATCGTCCTCATCTCGGCGTATGCCAGGTTTCTACCTATGCAATTCCTGGGACCGAAGGAGAACGGCTGCAAGGCCTCTTTCCTATCCTTGGCGAACTTGGGGTTGTCGTCGTTCAGCCATCTTTCTGGGTGGTACTCAGAGGGCTCAACAAAGTTTTCCTCGTAGTGGAAGGTCGCCCACTGCCAGATTGCAACATGAGTCTATGATATATGAGTTAGCACGCTTGCTTCCTGTACGACTCTGTGCAACGGGAAACACTTTGATGACGTACATCCTCAGGAACATATTTCCCGCACAGTACCCTACCCCCCTTCGGGACAACACGCGGGTTGCCAATCGGCACGGGAGGGTAGTACCGCAGCGCCTCGTCCAGGCAGGCAAGCATGTAGTTCAGCTGCCCTGCAGAGTTGATGTTGATTTCCGACTCCGCTGTGAAGGTTGACCGGACCTCCTTGGTTAGTTTTTCCAAGGCTTTGGGGTTGTTCAAGAGCAGGAATGTGCAGCCAGATAGGAGAGTCGCCGTTGTCTCGGACCCTGCAACGATAAGCAGGCTGGCGTGGGACTCAATGTCTTTTTGGGGCATTTGCTGTGTCTGTTAGTTGAGGGACTGGCAAAAGTCTCGGGCAGGTGTAGTGCTTCAAAAATTGCAGCGGAACGGAACACTCACCCAGTCTTCTTGCTTCATCAAGAGACCCTCGATCAGATCATGGCGGACCTTTCCCAGCTCCACGCGCTTTGCCACCCTGTTATGGGTGAAAACCTCGTGCTGTTCGTGCGACTCCATCAGCCTCTTGGGCACCATCTTCAAGAGCAGTCTCATGATGCTAGGGAAGTGCGCGGCAGTCTGCATGTAGGCACCCGCCTTGGTCAGGAAGAAGATGGTCGTGACCCATGAGTGCCAAGTTGAGTTCTGCAGACAACCGAAGGACTCGCCCAGCGCCAGGTCCCCAATCACATCGAAGGTGGTGAAGTTAAACCAGGCTGTCATATCGAGCGCCTTAGCGCCGCCAACGCAGTTCTCGTGCAGCCGCTGCATCAGCAGGTCGACGTACGACTTGATGATAGGTTCCTGCTCGCGCATCGATCTATCACTAAAACCGTGCGCCAGCTGTCGCCGGATGATGCCGTGCTTCTGCCTGTCGGCCGAGATGAGGTTGTCCGGCGCCTCAGGTACCGGCCGATAGAACGGCACCCACTTGCCGCACTCCTCGCCCTTGGGGTTGTGGCCGAGGATTTCCTTCCACGCCGAGGCGTCCGCGAACGCCAGCTCGTCTGGCGCGACGCGCACCACGGGCCCGTACCTCTTGTGCAAGTCAAGCATGTCGATTGCGAGAGTGCCGCGCAGGACCCCAGAATGGTACGGAATCCGCGTGGCTTTCCATAGTAGCGGTCCTGGGTAAGACCGCAGCGGGTGGAAGAAGACATTGTAGATGAATGTTAGGCCGATATATGCGACCGTCGCCTAGTGAGCTTAGTTAGTAGAACTACCCGTTTAGTGCGAATGTCCACGTCAAGACGTACGAGTGAGGTCCAGAACGCGAGTGTCGTGCTGATCCCTAGCAGGCCGTCTTTTGTGACCGCCATTCTCAGATACTCAGCCTCACAGGCGAGACAAGCTGATATTTAGGCTTGCAAATCAGAATATCGTGTCTCTGTTCAATAAAACCTCAATATGCATTCGTGGAGGGAGGGGAAAAGGTCTTCGAGTGCGACACGGCCAAGTCGTCAGCAGAGGCTAGGTAGCGAGGGATGGATCGTGTTTCATGCGCAGCCTCGACAGACACTCTTCAACAGCGTCAAGTGTGAACCAGCGTTATATACGTCGGCGACAGCTGCGCTGTGGCGAAGTCGGGAGATTGAACAATTCCGCCTGCTCGAATCAGTCGAGATTGTTTGAGGCCAGATAACGCCTCGCATAGTAATTCCCAAGTCGAGGGAGTGGGAAATGACATAGCACCTGATCGTATTCGGGTCTTGTAACTGCCAATGGCTCGCCTTTTGCGGAGCTCCTTCGTCCAACTCATGCCCAGACCCCGGCACGCCCTTGACCTACCGAAAATGGTGCTTTTGAGGTAAATCCTTGCGCCAAGTACCGCGTCCGTTTGCCGGCTACGTATTTGCGGCCCGGTGATGCTGTCGTCACCCCTCGGACGACAGGCACGAATACGATTACAAAACAGGGATCCACAACACCCCCCGGCCTCATTCGGCTGTGCCCCGTTAAACCCCAAGTCCGGCCCCATCAATGCTAGAAGCATCCGCGGACTTTGTCGCTCGGGTGCGGACAGACCTCCGGACGCCGTTCAAGCCAAGCCACCCGATCCTGTCAGACACCACGGAGTTCGGACGGAGATCATCCTGTCGTGCAGCTGACAGCTGCACGTCAACATTCTAATTTGTAAGGGGTCTGAGCACTCCAGAATTTGCTATTTTCCTAATAATGGTTTGTTCTGTAACAAACTTTGGAGTGTTGCTCAGCTACAGTAAGCTCTTGCACCTTAAGAATAGCCAACAGCCTAAATTTATGGGTTAATTGACGCTGCTAAAAGAAGTTGGATGAGTTCGCGTAAGCTATTCCACTATATTCAAGGCGCGTAAAAGAATGGCTTGCAACAGCAGAATTCTACTGTGCTGTGAAAGCACTGCGGTTCTGTATCTGCTGCAGCTCCTTTGCTTCGTGTTAAAACTGGGAAGGATGCTGAACCGATACTAAGCGGCGGGAATAAAGAAGCTGCGCAGTGGAACATTAACGAGTTGGAGAGCGGTCAACAACTACAAGCCTCTATGGGCTGTCATGTGGGCAACATATGAAGTCATTTGTACCCGACGGACCCGCCTCATTTCTGCTTCAACGAGTCGTTGAGCACGAGGGTATTGATACAAATTTTCTCCCAGGGGTATTCTTCCATGCGGTTACGATAACCGCTGCAATCTTTTATGTTAATCAAGGGCATATCAACAGTTATAAGCTCTACGCTAGCGCGTATGAGCCAGTATTTTTCCAAGTTGCTGTCGACTGCCTTGCCAACACGTGCGATCTACGCGTGGGGACAGCTTAACAGGTCAATAAAGACCAAAGCGAGAGAGATGCATAATACAGCTCTTGGTCAATCACATCACACCGTTGTTGATTGGCGCCCGCATTGTTGATCGGGCGTGGCTTTAAGCCCTCCAGCCACAGATAGTGGGCACAATGGTGAAGAGAAGTGAAGCGAAAGTTTAATGAGATACACAGCATGGGGTGTCCGCTATCTGTCATATATCAAATTCTGATTCAGCGAATGATACAAAATTTGTATTAACGTTACATTGCTGTTTTGTGATTCTACCGTCGTCAAGCTCGTGATGACGAGGAAGGGGTGTCGATAAATCGAAGCAACATCAGATATACTCGGGGAAGCCTAGTGGGCCATTATTTACTGAAAAGGCTGCCATGCGACAACAAAGACTTTCGTATACTCCTCAGGCTTTCACTAGTACGAGCGTAATTATTTTCTCGATTTTGATGTTTTTGAGAATGAAAGGTGAATGACTGATGTGCCTTTGCCAATGACTTGAGTCCCACTGCCGTCAGCTTGTGCTTTACCAATCACTAAAAATTGTGAATGGGAGAATAATGGTGTTACATCCGGCTCAAATGATGAATGTCTTATGTTTTTCCAGTCACCCAAGCACGCGAATCCCAAAAGTTCTCCACGGTGTCCAAGTCGGCGAAGCACACAAACGTCTCGTGCTGTTGCAGACACATAAATGCGTGAAAACCAACAAGAAACTATCTATAGGTTTTATTGGGCTTTGATTAATAATGCGCTCTCCTATGTCCGTCGTTCGAGTATCTGCGACATGGTCTAGTCGTGGTGTTCAGCTCGGCTCAATCACGTCTTTAAGGAGAGTGCTCCGGTTCATACTCCTGAGCGTATATAAGTTGCGCTCTTATACCCACCCAGAGGCCGTCCCTTCTTATCTTCTCCACCAGCAACGAAAACACATAGCAACACAGAACAGGACATTCACAGCAACGAACACAAAGTACAGCAAAGAAGTGCAACAAGGGTGCATTTTCAGAATCTTGCTATACTTCTCAAGACTTCAACATACCAGACGAATCAAGAAAGACGGACAACAGCGTCTCGGTCCGTACTAATCAGCCCATCACACAGCTACTGCTTCCCCTACCCCTAAGTAATTACAGCTTAGCCTACACAAAGCGCTAACACCTGAAGCTGTGCAGCAAAGATGTGTACTCAACAGGCACATACCGTCAGGGGTTCGTGCGCCCATGTTATTAGCAGTACTGTTCATCGTGACATATGCCCAGCTGCCAATGGTGTTTTCGGAGGTTGCGGGCAGATAAATATACTCCCGGATGACATCACCTTTATCGACAATATGTGCCAGGACTGTTGGCCTCCAAATTGACATTATTGAGAAAACAGTGTCACTGGGGAACATTGTAATGGCCATTCACTATTTATTCTAGGATCGCTCAGAAGTATGGGACTTGGGTCTTGGGGCCGCGGATGACTGCACAGCTCACCTAGCTAAATGAACACATGCATTTGCTATGAGCCCTTAAAGCCTTTGGTCTCTGTCTGCACCGGTGCCTCCCATGAAATGTGAAATGGCAATGAAATGTACAAAAGATTGGTATACACAGATCTGAATGACAAATCTAGTCGTTGCCAGCACCTTGTCTTGCGCGTTGGTAGAAAAGATAACTGGCAGCCGCTTTTCGCGGAGGAAGCGGTCGGCAACGTCATACAAGACAGCTGAACGCAAGGAACATTATTCCCAGACCACAAGTTTGCAGTATAAAGCACTCCATCGCTGGAATGCTTCTGCCCGTGTGTGGTAATGCAGTGGAACTTGATGTACACGAACATGTCACCCATGCTGACTCACTTGAAGAATTCATTTCCAAGGAAGGAAAAAAAGGAGAGGAAAAAAAGAAAAGAAAAAAGAAAACCGGCCGCGCCTCTTTGGCATCGGCGGCGATCATCGAGACTTTTCTGGATGTTCATTTAAGTTTTCCACGCTTTGAGACTGAGCTGAATCTTGCATTTATTGGACTCCGCGCGCACAATCCAAGGAGTTCACGGTGTTTTCCGCATGCGGGATGGTCATGAGCAGTAGTAAACAGAGGTATGATTTAGGCAGGCATGATCATGAATTCAGCAGACAGCGTACTACCTTTTCATCTATCTGTGTTTTCATCCCACTGCATTGCTCGCGCAAGTCCACGGTTTTGATCCCGAGGCGGTTGCTATGGACTGAATCGAGACCCAAAGACCCAATACACAAAGGAGACAGCCCACGACTAAAAGAATCAAGCTCACAGCAAAGTTGACTGTTTTTCTCCAGTTCGTGAACCAGCTTCCATGGTGCATCCACAGCCAGAAGATGCCCGGCAGTCCGAAGCAGAACCACCCAGCAAACGCTGCAGCGATGAGCCCGATAAGATCGTTGAACACTGGGATTGACTGGGAGATCACCATTCCGATGGCCCAGATAGCCAGAGTAATGAGAAGCCAGGAGATAGTCGATACCTTGGTCCTCCGGATGGCATGCTTCGTATTTCCAAAGATACGTGTGTAGACGTACTGCGACGCAACGTGGGTGTAAATGACGGCGGCGATAGCAATTGTAGGGATTGCAATTCCCCAAATCGCTTTGCGGACTGTTATGCTGCCAGCCGCAGAGAGAGCCGGCGAGGGGACGTCTGGCCCGACGTATACATAGATGATGACGGCGGAGATAATATAGAGGGTGGTGTCCGTTATCTGCAGGAAGGCCAGCGCCTTTGGCCAGTCGTCCGGATTTTTGAACTCGGCGATGATGCTGAAGAAGATGGCGTGGCTGGCTGTGAGAGGACACGAATCAGACCTCTTGTCATGGTTTTGTTAAGGTTGTTGATGTGATGTGAGTATATTCGACTTACAGAAAGCACTGGAGATGTTGGTCACAGCGAGGAAAGCTGGAGCAAAGCCGAGGGATTTGAAAACCTCTATGGATCCAGTGCCGATAGGTTTCTCAATACCGACATCAACGACTGTGATGAGGACGGCGACCAGGATAGAGATGCAAGCTTTTCGACTGTCAGCAACGTACTGATTAGTCAGATCAAGATCGGTCCGCCCGTCTGAACTCACATGCTGCTGACATCCAGCTGGTGTACTTCAAAGTCCTGGGAATATTGAATATCCAGAAAATGAACATGCCAATTGCTGCCCATGCGACAGTACAGACTTTGCTATCCGTCAAGGTATTCATGCAAATCGTCCACATGAGAATATGCCCACCCAGGAGAAAGACCTGGAGGACGGTTTGGGCCCAGCCAAAAAATTCTCGGAAGACACCGCCCATGCCAATTGACTTTCCAATGAGTCCAACTGCGTCTCCGAAATTCTGAACGAAGGGATACTCCTTCCGGAACTCGGCGAGGAGGAGCCCGGAGGAGGTCGCCAACGCGCTGATGACACATATGAGGATAATACCCGGCACGAGGCCTACGGTGGCCAGGACGGAGGGCAGTGACAGGATCCCCAATGAAACGGTCTCTGCTACCAGCAGGATGCCTCCTTGCCTATAAGAGGTTCAGTTTGCTGCACTTCATCGACGCGGAAGAGACAGCTTAGCTACTCACAGCCAGTGCAGTGTCTTGAAGTCAATCAACTCTCCCTCGACGCTCCCGGTAACCCCGCCGGCATTGCTAGAGGCACAGGACGCAGGCTGTTGCTGATCGTCACCTCGAGCATCTTTGGGACGAGCATGACCCTCGAGCGTTGCCGAGTCCTCAGGGTCGACTGGCGCCCTTGTGATTCCCGTCTTGGTTTGCATGATGACAGCCGGCTGGAATATGGGGCAAGAGATCGGGTCGAGCCGACTGACCTGGATTAGATGGTTTGAGCCGGGCTAGTTCGCGATTCTTCTAGCTCGCTCGACACCGAGGAAGGATACAAGGTGAGTCAGGGACGAACGGTGGGACCTGCTTGGTTTCGTTAGAGTGTCCGGAGAGGAAGAAAGGTCAAGTTACTGCCATGTCATGCAGGTTGAAGCGGTGGGGATCGGAGCCAGGCTCTTGCATGGAAGGAAGAGTTAAGCCTGACGGCCCCGAACTTGAGTCATCCGCGCCGCCTGACCGTGGGCCGACCAGAAATCATTGTCGGAGGCAATCTTCCTGACACGTTCGACGTCGAAAGGTGTCGCTGGTCGTGGAGCCTCCGATTGGGTTTAGGACGGCACGCGAAAAATCAGCGGTTCTCGTTACGTCTTTCAATCCACTTTTGCCCGGCCCGGGCCCCTTTTCAGATTCATGAGATGTGACCTCGGCTGGATGAACCCCGAGCCTTTCAAAGTTGCTAAATATACTAAATATACTTTTTCGACGTATAACAAGCACAGTGTTAAAGTCAAAAGTTCAAAACGCGCATATATGCATTGGCAAGGGGGGTAACCGATGGGTGCGGCTCCCAGGCCATGATATTGGCACCGCTGTTGCTTGACAAGCCAGTGTGAACGCAACTTTCCCGGAAAATGTGACAATTGTTCGGGAATCCCGGCGCCGGTGACAGAACTTGCCGGCCGCGCCGAGGTTTTCAAAAGTCTGCTTAATATCATTGTGTAGCTCTGATGAGAAAATACTTCAAGCAGGCGCTGTGGCGCCAAGAAACATCCCCAGACCCACCTGGTTCGGAGCCGAAGAGCCGCCGTACGAGTAGCCTCAGAGACAACTTTGAGAAGGGGTCCAAATTTCATACAATCGTCTTTTATTTTCACGGACATATTGTATTAAGGTTACTTTCCTCCTCTACGCCGGCAGGAATGCGTCCCGAACTGTGAACTACCCACTTGCCGTTTTAACGGACCCAATAATCCCTCAAAAGTCTTTCGCCTATACATAAATAATCATGAATTTATATAACATCAAACGGACCGATTGTTGATTTCACTGACGAAGTGGTATAAGAAAACCAATCCCTGGTAGTTTAATATTTACAAGCACGGCTGTGTGTTAGATGCAGACGTCAAAATGTTCACACCATCCATCGTGCTAAAGCATAGCCCTCACACAACCTGTAACCTAAACATCAGGAGCATCGCAAAAGCCAGTCAAGTACCATTCTCGAATCTCAAGCCCGCTCTTTCCCTCACAGCGCCATACATCCCAGCAATATCCCCACGCAGCTCTCCACCACCAGCCCCGTCCCTCTCCAACACGTCCCTGCACCAGCCCAGAGCCACCGACGGATTCCGCACCGTCACGCCAGTCTCCTCCGCCATGCACAGCGCGTGGCCTAAGTCCTTCACACCCAAGGCCACACCACCCGCGGGCCCCCTCCGCCAATAGTCTCCGCTGAGCATCCTTTCGCTGTATATGTGGAACGGGTTCGTCCCAGGCGAGCTGGAGCGCACGAAACAGACGTCGACGAATTCCTTCACCAATACTGGGTTCACACCCGACTTCTCAGCCAGCGTGAATGCCTCTGCCAGCTGGCACGCGGCGTTGAGGGTGAAGGTGTTGGCGATGATCTTCATCTTGAGCCCTGTCCCGCACGCCTGGTCCGGGAAGGCGATCGTGGCGCGGCAGAGGACGCCGCGGCCGCCGTGCTGGGAGAGGAAGTCTTCCCCGCCGGTCAGGTATGGCATTGCGCGGGAGATCGAGTCCGCTGGTCCCGAGGGCAAGGCGATGAGCTGGCCGGCTGCGGCGGCTGGTGGAGGGCCGAGGACGGGACAGGCGATGAACTCCGCGCCGTGGGAGGTCAGAAGGTCTGCGGTCTTGTTTGCGGTGTCTGGATGGACGGTCTCCGTGCCGATGAAAAGCTTGCCTCTGAGGCCGTCGACGTTGTCTGCTGTGGTTTCGGAGACTATGGTTTGGTAGGTTGATTCTACCACGGCGTCATTGCTTAGGCACGAGAAGATGATATCTGCTTGTGATATGCCTTCTTGAAGCGATGAGGAAACCACAGTGCTGTCAAGGGGAAGCTCTGCGGCGAGGTCATGGCACTTTTGTGTGGTGCGATTGTAGAGAATTAATGGGGAGCTCAGAGAGCCATGAGAAATGAGGGACTTGCAAGCACCTCTGCCTATGTTTCCAGTCCCGATCCACATGACAATCGGCGCCATCCTGAAGTTCTCTTGTATCCCAATGCGTGGTGGAAATAGTGAATGAAACAGCGCCCAGACTGAAGGGTTGGGATTCTAGGATGTTGACCAGGTTATCTTGCTGAAAGTTCTCCAGATATGTGCACTGGCAATATTGGGGGGGACTTACCTCTTATAAGGTGGAATTGGCACCAGACGTCGGCTTTCGCCATTCCAAGCACTGCGGCTGATCGGGATGTTCCAATAAGCACAAAGGTAAGCTCGCGGATCCTCCGCGAAACATCCGCGGAGCTGGAAAGATGCATCCGTCCGCCCACGCGCAGAAGAGCTCAGAGTCAACACCTGAGCAGCTCAGTTGCTGTGCAACATATATGTGTTTCAAAAATCCCGAATTGGAATTCTTGGGCTAGTGTGGGACCTCATGTCTCCCCTGAGGAAGGAGGCTGCTTCAGTCAACTGTGGGAGGGAAGAAGGCGTTTTCCAATCACTTCCTTTACGCTGCGCCCGTCATGCAAGTATGGAGACCCGAAGGTAGCCTGGTCCTAGCAGGGTGGAAAATCCATACGTCACAAAAAGCTTGTGTCCGGAGATAAACATGATCGAACAATTGACAGCTAGTACCCCAGATATCGCAGCGATGCGTGGGTCTCGGAGCTGGTTAAGTTCGTGCTCTGCGATGGGGCAGACAAGGCGAGACGAGACTTGATCGTCGGCGCCGGTCCCTACCCTGGGTGACAACTGATGCGCTTGCTACAAAACTTCACCGACATAAATAAGCAGAGCAAGCTGTGCGTCTATTGACAATGGTCACACGCAATAAAGACGGACATTGAATCGATTTCTTGAAATTCATTAAATATGACGTGACTAAAAGGAGATCATGCTGTCTGAGCCAGGTCTGGTATCTATGCCCGTCCCCAATGCTCCACGACTCCTGTATAAAAATGTTGATATGTGCAATCACGCCAACCCGATATCGATCCGTCATAAATCAATGTGCGGCGTTTTCTCATCTTTCTCCAAACCACACCATCTTTGGGTATTACATTTCCAACAAAGGGTATCCACAATCCTCTCCCTATATCCATTGACCTTTCACTTCTAGCTGTCTATCAAGGGCAAGCTTAGACAGCCGAGCCTCCTCGGTGCTCGGCGTTCTCGACAATTCCCTTGTCCGACACGCCGTGGTCCAGGCCACCGGCGAAGGTGGTGGTGGGCTTCCAGCCAGCTGAAGTACGGGGGGTCGTCTCCTCCATCATGCGGTCGACCTGCTCCAGCGACAGACCCTTGGTCTCTGGGATAAGGAAGTAGGAGTAGACGAAGGCACAGGTGCAGAGACCACCCCACACGAAGAAGACGCTCGACTTCAGGTTGCCGTGCGTCTCACCGACCATGTAAGGGGTGATAACAGCGATGATGGTGTTCCACAGCCAGTTGGAGGCGGTTGACAGGGCAACACCACGGGAGCGGATGGGCAGAGGGAAGATCTCGCCGATCAGAATCCAGGCACCGGGGCCCCATGTGGAAGCGAAGAAGAAGATGAAGATGGCGATGAAGGCAATCTGGGCGTTGACGGCCGGGATGTTGTCTGCGATGGACTTGGTCGGGTCTGCGGGGTCAGGGTGGGTGTGGTTGAAACCGACCGTAACACCGATGATGGCGACCAGGAACTGGCAGATAAGCATGCCCAAGGCACCGATGATGAGGATGGAGCGACGGCCGAACTTCTCGACGGTCCAGAACGAGATGGGGGTGGAGCACACGTTGACCAGCGTGAAGATCAGCGAGATGAGGAAAGTGTTGCTGATGGCACCGGTGGACTGGAGGAAGGGCGTGGAGTAGTAGAAGATGAAGTTGACACCAGTCCACTGCTGCATCATCTGCAGGGAGGTACCGAGGATAGTGCGGCGCAGGTTAGACTTGGAGCTGAACACGGAGCCCTTGAAGCAGTTGGCCCAGGATCCGAACCAGGTGGTGTTAGGGATGAGCTGACGCTCGTACTCCTCGTTGGCGACAATCTCAGCAAGCTCGACCTGGATGTACTCGGAGTCGGCGGGCTGGCCACGGAGGCGGGAGAGGGCGTCGGTAGCGCGGTCGAGGCGGCCACGCTTGACGAAGTAACGGGGCGAGTCGGGCAGGAAGAGCAGACCGGTACCGAGGATGACACCCCAGGGGAACTGGATTCCAATGGGGATGCGGTACGCCCTAGTGTCCTCGTAATGCTGGGAGCCGTAGACGACGCAGGCAGCAAGCAGCAGACCAATTGTGATGCAGAATTGGTAGCCTGCGACCAGAGCACCACGGACTTTGCGGGGGCACTGCGGAAATACGTATGTCAGCTTCAGCTTCTCTAGAATCACTCAGGGTTCCTCAGCCAATGGCCCAGGCTAGCAGCTCTAGCCTGACTCTTGGCAGCGGGTGGCCAACTCACAATTTCAGACATGTACAGGATGACGATGGCGGACTCGAAACCGACACCCAGACCAGCAATAAGACGACCAGCAACGATTGTACCGAGAGCAGAAGAGTTGGGCGTAGTAGCGATCTGAATAACGACACCACAGATGTAGATCAAGCAACCGACGATGACAGTCCACTTGCGGCCAATGAACTCGGCGACATCTCCAGCGATGATGGCTCCGAAGAAGGTACCGGCAGACAGGATAGAGGTGATCAGAGACAGGTTGGAATCGGTGAGGGCGGTGGCAGAGGCACCCTCGACAGCCTTGTAGAAGGCAGGAGAGCCAGAGACACCGTTGATGTAACCAGAGTCATAACCGAAGAAGATACCACCGAACGAGGCAAAGGCGCAGATGACATACGCCTTCCAGGTGACGGGGGCCTCGATGCGTTCGACATCGCTGGTCGTGTGCAGGCCAGCAGCCGCAACGACCGAGTTGTTGCGGCTGTGCTTCTCGTCGGTCGACATGACGGGCGAGGGCGAGGGCGAGGACGATGGACTTTTCCTCCGCTTGTTTTCGGGTGTGGTGGGGTGTTCCTCCCTCTGTTGGGATACACACAAGGGTCAGTCTGACGCTGACTTGGCGACCTTGAAGATCTGGAAGGTGGGGGTATGGAAAAGAAGGAAGTATTGGAATGAGGTAGGTAAACAAGCAGACGATACACTCCAAAGGGAAGGGGGGATGGGATATAAGAACCTTTTATGAACTCGGGGTCCTCCGTACCCAAAGTACTCTTCTTCCGTCCCCAACTGGTTCCTGGCCGAGTGCAACGATGGGCGACTGGGGGAGCACGAGCAATGGGGGAGCACTGACCGTAGCTGACCGGGTACAGGGGTACTGGGGTGATTTGGGATAAATCTCAGCCCTTTTTCTCAATTGTACGGCGTAAAATACGGCCCCGAGGCTCGAAGTTCGGGGTCTAGGTCTCCTCGTAAAATGCAAGGTGCGATGTGGGTGACCGACTCAAGGCTTGTCAATTGGCCTAGTATTTGCTGGAGCTGCAGGTTGGGGGGACGGGGTACGGGGTACGGGGTGCTTGCAGAAGCGACAGGGGTCAGGCGACAGGGGGGCAGGGGGGCAGGGAGCAGGGGTCCTTTGTTTCTGAAATAGGTAGTTGGGGAAATGGGCATTGGGAAAGGGGGGTGGGGACACAAGAGCAAAGAGCAAGAACAAGCGCACACTCAGGCTGCGCAAGGGAAGGCGGGAAGGAAGAAAAAGAGAAGGGACACGCAAGGGGACAAGGGTCACACAGGCCGCTTCCGTATGGTGGTGAAATGGTGGTGATGCGATGCAATGCGTGACAGACTCGTGGTCATCAGTTTCCAGTCCAAGGAAGGATTGCTCCGTCAAACGACACCAGCTTGGCTGCCAGCTCTCAGACGATACGATGCAAGCAATCCATCAATCAATGGTCAGTCATGGCGACGGATTGCCTCGAAAACACCTAGGGCGGGAAGTAGTCATCTTTGGTCACTCGACTCAATCGACTCACTCAACTCATCATTCATCGTCCATTCGCTCACTCGCTCATCGGCATCACTTCATCATCTCCCCTCTAGCAACCATTCACAGGCCTCCTCCAAGCATTGATCGTCGGGGCGGCTCACGATCCACCTCTCTTTGTCTGCGTGCGCGTCTGCAAGTCTGAGTGTCGTGGCCGATCTGGCTGTCGGGGTCTGGCTCGACCTGTGGTCCAAGCTGCTACAGTTCGAAACAAACGAGCCATCCCGTCTTCTGGCCAGAAGCCGCACGACATATCCAACACTATCCCATGAGCAGAAGAGCGCATCATGCCTAGAGGCTCCTAGAGGCTCTACTCCTAGCGCATCGTCTGAGAGCTTGGGGGCGCAGAACAAATCTGGGGAAGGTTTTGCCATCGCGTCGCCCAGTCGCGTGGCGTTTTGCGGGGACTTGTAGGATCCGGCTGCTTCTGCGAGACTGGCCAGTCCCCGAGAGTGAGGGTTCAGGGCTCCAGTCCACGCCCCGAGGACAGGCCGGTCCGAAAAGACGAAGAGAGACGCCCCAGAATAAGGCCATGGTAAGGCCGAACCCCATCAAGCCAGCCAGTCCAGTTGACACTACCCCGGCCCTCTTAGCCACGCCCACTGGCTCGGTTTTTCCGGGGTTACTCGACCTGCAGGATTGTGGATTGGGTCGTTGGCGCAGGGGTCCTGGGATGTCTAATCACAATGTGCGCCCTTGCCCTCCTCCTTACCACGCTCCTGGGTCTCATCTCGTGAGAGCAGCGTGCGCCCCCGGCGGAGGGAAAAGGCGTTTGTTTGCCAGGCTTTGTTACACTGCCCGTGCCTTTGACGCTCTGGACACTACTGACTGGTTGACCCGGCTCGACTGCCGTCCGGAAGCGGCTGGGCTCACTGGGCGGGAGGGATCAGCTGAGGGGCCGAGTACACAAGGCCACGGCAAACATCTGGCAGAGCACATGCCCAGCTCCCGTATTTTACGCATCCGTCTCGACAGGGGGTGGGTGTCGTCGCCCGACGGTTACAACATCCGACCAGAGAGAAGCGCCGAAAATGCAATTGTCGATGGAGCTAGGCATACCCTTCCTGCATCGCAAGCTTCTGACTTGCTGCACGGCATCAAGTCATCATCTCGTTTCGAGCTTCTGCTGCTGGGAAGCCAACGGGGGAACACAAGAAATCTGCCTGCCAGACAGTGCATCGTCGAATTTTGGTAGCGAAAGACAACAGCATCTTCACCGAAAACAGCTCTGAGATCACTTACCTGCCTGTCTTTTCCCGATGCATCCGTGCCATCGCCTTCTTCCCCAGCCGTTCTCCAACCCCAGAAATGGCGGCCCGGTTGACTGCCACGCACACCACCCTCTTGGAACCAACGATCCTGGGGCCAATCTCGAGCCATCGGACGAGCATCCCAATGGGCCAATGCTCGGTGGTACTTTGACGCTAATCCTCCCCGGAGCCGTCTGTTATGCATCCTGTCTGGCTAAGACGCAAATTGGCCGGCTCCTGCCCGCCATGAGCTGTTGGTCATTGCTGCACAGACACTTGGTCAATCATTTGACATGCTCAGTCTCGCGATGGACGGCACTCTATTTCACACGTCTCAAAAAAAGGAAACAAATGAACTCAATTGGTGACAGCGCCATCGTGCCAAAGATTTGAATACCAGACAAGTGGCTTGTCCATCGTGCTAGATAGGCATACTGACTCACTGCCCAAGCCATAGACTTCTGGCACCCGGCGATTCGGCAGGTTTGAGAGCCTGGTTGTGGCTGCTTGAGGCTTTGAGATCACGATGGCTTCCTGTTTCTTCCATGTCGTCGTTATCTCACTCTCCACTTCTTCTCCATTCCGGGGCTCCAGATTCCACCACCTCCGCAATTGCTCCAGTCTGCGTGCGAGTTCGGCCCACAGAACCGCAGTCAATAAAATGGAACCCGCCAGATCCAAACGGGCCAATCTAAACCAATTAAGGCTGCAGAGTGGGTGCCAAGGCCTCAAAGTCCGTTTGAAAACTGACAGTCCAGGCCCTTCTGGATGTCTGAAAGGATCAATCCAGCTGTACGAGGTAATAACTGGGGCGCGGCGCCTACGCGAGCGCGCTGTCGGATACCATCGCCCAGATTCTTGCCGTCCAGCCTCGTTGTCTGCCCGTGTCCAGGATCTGTGCCACCAAACCACTGCCTACAATTTGTCACCTGTCTCCATTCCATTGGTGTGAGATCCGCCATGACAATCCACGGCAGCCTTGCGCAACAATTCAGCAGTGAAAGGCATGTACATTCCAGCCTGCTCGACCATGTACCAGCTTGATTGAAAGCTGAGCCGGGTCACATGGCCCACCGCCACCCGTGTCCGGCATCCCGAGGCCAGTGGTTCCGGACCACCTCGTGACCTTCGCCTGAACAACGCCGGCCGCTTCACGATAGAAATCTATGAATAATGCTTCGTCATTCGTTCTATCAAGCGCCTCCGGCCTTCTGTGGTCCAGCCCTGGCGCTGTGGGCCTGGGCTGCTTCAGAGGCAATACGGTCGACTTCGTCCGATTGCGCCGCTGTGGCCGCCTGCCTCGGCAATCTCATCCACTGCTAAACACTACCACAGTGGCAACCAAGATTTATTGCAATGCTCGTGGATCTGGGACCCGCCGCGTGATGTTGACCGGCCCGATTCTGGTTTTAGCCAAGCCGCCGAAATCCAGAACGGTCAAGTCGACACGCTTGTCTAATGAGCTCCCCACAACCTCCCTCTTCGCGGACCCCATAGCAAACTTTTACCCCGTGGGTCCTCCAGGAAATGAGCCGGTCCATCGATGCTACCCAATTTGGTGCGTCAGATCTTGTTGGTGGTCAATGGGGATTAGGCCTCTAGTGAACCTGCCTCTGACGATGGCGCTGACACCACCAACACACTGATGATTGGCACGTTTGTGTGCCACGAGTTCAGCGAACGGCAACCCATTCCATCCTTCATCGCCGCCCACCCTCCTTCCCTGCCCTGCTGGCCCAGCTGTCCGGATAGTTTCCCAACGCCACTACTTAGCTGTCGTCCCGGCTGTCTGTCACCCGCACAACCTTAGCGGCTTAGCCGAAGCTATCATCCCAGCCCTTGTTCTCCAGCAAAACCACACGTGCGGTCACATTGCAACGTCGCAGCCTCAGACATGGGTTGCCACGAGTTGACGCGGCCGTCCTACCTTGCTGCATTATTCCCCTCAAAGACGACAGCTCTTGGTGACCTGCATTTGGAATTAGAACAACCAGAACAAGGTGGTGACTCTCGATCGGATCTCTCCGAACGATGTCCTGGGTTGGGTAAGATGATTGACAGCCTCCCCCTCTAGACTATATCTTGCGAAGTCACACACAACCTGCTACTAAACTTTTCTGAGTCAGCACAAATGCAAAGAGAGACGAGCCTCCTGTGGATCGTCACTCAAGGTTTGTGGGCTGCGATGTGGTCAATGTTCTACACGCACCATCGCCATCACGGTTCCACGTGACATCCTGACCAGGCCATATATTCTACGGCGTCGCACTGGCTCTATTGGAGAAACCCCAGACTTAAGCCTTCGGCGTCTATTCGGCGGGAAGCGCAACGCAAGCGCAGCCACAACGCCGCATCACGGTAGTCCCGTTCAAGACAGGTGTGAGAGGCGGACCCTTTTTGTCTCGGACCATGTTCGAGTTTGACACGCTTGCCCCACGGTCCGGATGGAAGGAAGGAAGGGAGGCAACTGACGGGAGGATGAGAGCTGTGCGATTTCCTCGAGACCTGTGTGACACGTGTGACACAAGCTGGAAACCAAGTGGTTTCGAGTTGTTCATTTTGTTGTACCCGATCGAGGTTTTTGTTCTTCTCTCTATTTCCTTCTTTTCCTCAGTGGGACGTTCCACCCGTCGGCCTTGCAGGGCAGGTGCAACGTGGGCTTGTGTTGTTTTGAGCTTGTGCCACGAGGGTATTTTACTTTCAAGTCGGTGGAAGCTTCGATGGCCTTTCAACTTTGTGTACTTACGGCTTGCCGCATACCCAGTGGGGTCGTCCCCTGTCTGGAAAAGATTTTGGCTCGCCTTCACTTGTGGGTCGCGAGGAATTTTTCTTCCCCCTATTTTACTTTGTGTCTGGACGGCACGCGAGCTGGAAATTGATGCCTAGGGGCTTTCGATAGCTCCGTTGAAAGTAAAGACAATTAGCAGGGGCTAATCTGTAGGTCAATTGCCTGATATCCATCAGGATGAGACTGAAGGTGTAGCATTTTTGCAGCACGGGTTTGATTCAGTTCCCTCGTTATGCAAGGCGGGCGTTTTATTTGCCGTGTTCTAACTATATGTGTTCCTTCAGAGCACCAAACCTCTTTCTAATTTACTTTTGTATGAAGCTGCCTTCTTTTGACCCCATCTTTTGACCTTCGAAACTGTCTTCAGTGCTAGCAGTAAAGGTCTTAACGAATCTTTCGTTCTACTTCTGATGAAAGAAGGAATATGACACCAAAAGGGCCAGGTGACAAAACGCATAAGTGAGACGAGAGCCCAAATATCGAGTCGACTTCTGAATAGGTTGGGTCTGCCATTGCTGCGCACTACCACTTCCTCATAAGCAGAGTTCCACGCTTTGTATGGTGTCTTTGTGCTCTGGACCTTGAGCTTGAGAATCCAGTTCGGATCTGCGATGTACTTGTTAGTTCTTGAAGGACAGTGTACCCAACCTCCCTGTGACGCACCGGATTTGTTCACAGCCACCCAGTCCATGCCAATGACCTTTCTGATCACCGCGTGGTCGAGCTGATAGAAGAACGAGCCGCCAGACCGCTTGTTGTACTCCAACAGCGTCGGGACACCGAACTGTTCGGGCTCCGCAGGCTCGTCCTTGCCGAACCAGACGTGGCCCAACCCGCCGAACGTGCGCCGGCTCCAGTTCCACCCCGCCTCTCCGTGCTCGCGGTCGCTGTAGGGCGACGCGTTCAGCCCTGGCGGTGTCCCTGGCTCGGCGCCGCCCGTCAGGAACCCCGTGAAGCAGTGCACGAACTCGTGCGCGAGGATGGCTGAGATGCAGAAGACTGCCCTCTCAAAACTCATTTGGGCATTTGCTTGAGCTCGTCGGAGGCGTTGGAACGTTGCCCTGGTGCTGTTGTCTATTCTCTTGGTGCCGTCCTGGATCTCTGCGGTCAGGTTCTGTAGTTGTGTCGTGCACTGCTCGATATTGCTTTTTGATTTGAGCAGACTTTCCACCAGCTACGAGCACGGTCAGAACAAAAGCCGTCAGAAGTTTGAGGGAAACACTCACTCCCTGGTGTATGTAGACCACGGCACTAGTCCTGCAGTCATAATCCTCCATGTCACCACCCCAGGCCCACCTCTGCGTCAAGCCGTAGCCAACGAGGCTATCGCAGACGCAAATCGGAATCCCAGACTGCCGTACCTGCCCTAAGAATCTGGCAACCCATATCGGCATATCCTCGATATCGCCGCTGTAGATTCCCACCTCCGGCGCCGTGCCCGCCCGAGCAGCCTCTCTGCGCTCCGCCACGATCTGCTTGCCGATGTTGACGAGCACCGTGTTGCCTCGACCCTCCTCCAAGAGCTTCAGAGCGACGTCGACGCACTGGCCCAGTGCGGCTTCGGTTGCTTCGTCGACCGCGGGCCCGGGTATCATTCGTTCGGCCTTGCTTGGTGCCAGCGGCAGGGCGAATTTGACGTCCCGCGTGAACAGCCTCAAGCCTATCTTTCTGGGGAGTATGCGGTTGCGTTTGGCTGCCCTCGACGGTTGGTCGAACTCGGGAGGATTTGGGCGCTTCATCCTTCTGCCTAGGGGCGGTTTTGACAGAGTGATGGCTAGTGGAGGTGGGGTGGCGCCTTTTCTTCTGCTAGTATCCGTTGAATTTCCAGTGGCATTAGTAGAATTGTTGGTGCCTTTGGGGATTCTGCTCATAGTGGCACTCTTTTTGCATGAACAAACAGGGGTTATAAGAAATCAAAGTAAAACGCTTAAAGACCAGCGTCGATGAATGTTAGATAATAAAATTAGTAGTAGTCGAAACAAGCGAAAACAGCAGCCAGTGAGGTGAGGATAGGCGAGAGAAATTGGAGAATGTTGCTACGACGTGTCTACAATTGTGTCCTGAGCAGAGAAGAAAGGCCTGCTCGATGTCCTCAGTTGATAGAGCACATCGTAGCGGGATATGAGTTCCAATAATAGGACATTCTTCCTCCATGAGAGGGTCTATCGTAATTAGCCGTAATGCACCTCTGTTAAAGTCCCACACAGCTGAAGAACTATTCCGAGAGCAAAGGCAAGCTAAACAAAGCCATCCCTCTGGGACAACGACACTTTCTAAAGAGAATTTCGGTATGGATAAAGAAGAACATTGATCGATGAATCTTCCGAACAAAGAACCACGGGACCTCGCACCCATATCAAAGCCTTATCCCAGAATTTCGAGATAGCCTTTGCTTCTTGATTGAACGTGCGTAACCAGGTTGGTAGGGTGTGCCAGGTGTGGTTCAAGGCCCGATTTGCTTGAAAATAGGAAACGTCAGGAAATCACATGGGCCAACTAAGAGACTTGTCCTTATAGAGCAAATTGAATGCACGAAAGTGTCAACTCAACGCGGAAGGCCTGAATTGGCCTCTCGGGGCCCAGCTCAACAGTTTCATCAATATGTTGACGGAAGAACATCTCTCAGTATTTGTAGAGGTATTGAAGACAGAGATACAAGACGTATAGTCACCCGAGCCGCCGATTCTAGTGGCCTAAGACAATGACCACGGCGTGACGAGTAGTATCACTACTTCTGAGCCTGTGCTTGACGATGACAGGTGGACACATGATCAGAAGCTCCATTCTAGATGAGTACAAGACCGAGAACAATTTCCTGTGTTAAATATCATCGATTCCTCCTGAGGTAACGATGCTCTACGGGAAAAAAAACATAGGTCGATCAAGCAACGGATCTTGAAGCTCGAATGGCGAAATAATGTCCGATGACATCTGTGTGACTAAAGGGGTACGAGCTAGAGTGAGGCGGAGATGTACGTGAGAAACTTAGAGCTGATGGTCTCTACTCTTAGAAAAATCGTGAAATCGCGAGCTGCCCTGAGCTTCAGGACACAAGTGATTGGTCTGTAAGGTACAATTTGAGTTAAACACTCCGCGATGGATTACAGTGGGAGCTTTGACACATATCACAGTTCATTTTCCACACTGGACATTTTGACGCCTCCTGTTGAGTCTCATATGTTTGTTCACTCTCTGATCTATACCATGATGGTGCACTAAATATTGAATGAAGCAAGGCAAACTTTTCAAGTTACTTCTACCGGATTCATGAAGGTTGCTACTAATCACCGTTCTAGCGCAACCGCCAAATAATGGCTTTACTGTAGTGTAATTTGAGTCTTTCCAAAATGTCTGACGTGCTGAAATACAATACCAAGTAAAAGTTCGTGTGTAATCTTTTTTTGCGCAAATCCATAAGAATTTTAACCTCGAATGAATTGCAGAGTTGTCTGCTAGTCGACAACATCTCTCACACAGGCTCTCACACACGAATCACACAACGACTTGCGCCGCACGCATAATCTGCCTACGGTACCTCAAAATAGCCTCCTCCTTGACGAGATTGGGAAATGCTTCACTCGCACTTGCGAGCTGGCTACTCCCGGGCTCCGCCAAAAGTAGCAAGCTTCAAGACGAAGTCCCATAGACGACCCCGTGCGACAGCAATCAAGTTGGACTCTTGCGGTTGTGCATCGCATGCGTGATCTTGTGTCAGATCAGGGCGAAGCGGGACTTGGGCTTCTGAATTCAAAGCTGAGGCTTCTAGAATCGTAGAAGGCATCCGTACTGGGGTGGATGGACTTGTGTCTCCATCAAGTGCTCCAGTGGAAGGGTGGAAGGGGATTTCGATGACACTGCTACAGCTGGTTCCTGTGTCGCTTGCAGTGATGCCTGGTTTTCTGTCAAACACCGGGTGTATTTACAACAATTTCAATAAAAACACGAGCCTCCTGAGTTTGGGCTGAATTTTACAGGGGTACAACCTCTTTGGGGATCCAACCCATCTTCGGCATAACCCCTACCGAATATGCTGTGATGCATTGTAGGATTGTGTTTGAAAGATCATATTATCATGAATTTGAACCGGCATAGATGTACGCTTTGCTTTTTTGGTCACTCCCTGTGTGCATTTGGGTACCCGTGCGTGGCCTTGGGATCCATGCGGACTTGGCCTTCACTGCATAGAGAATGCTGCACCGTGTGTTCGCCAGCTGTGAGCTTTTCCCAACTCCATAATAGGATGAACTTGAAAAGAATCTTCCGGAGCGAATCGGAACCAGTTTCTAATAGTCGAAAAATGGACTCGGTAAGTTTTCGATGTCTTGGTTTTTGTGACTGTCGTTCGATTTCTCCGGGGCTCAGCGAGTTTCAGCCGAGAGCTAAGGCCTCACGCTGAGCCTTGAGGGCATTTTGTGAGGAGACACGGAGCCACCCGCCGTTTTACAGTTGGTGACTCCTGAAAGGCATGTTTGTGACGGATCATTACGTCGCGCCAGATTCGATCGGGACTTGAGTTTCCGGGTTCCTTTCTCCAGCTATCACAAAGGTTGTGATACCGCTGGCTTCTTAGCAGGGCAGCTTAAGGTGAGTAAGGTTGCCCGACGGGGGGTTTTGGATTTGCACTAGCATGACCTGCGACGAGGGAAACATGCACCGCCACGACTCAACCTGAGACGGGAAACAAATGTGCATGTCGAACAATCACGAGGAGAGGAGTTATATCACCGGCCGATGTCCGTCTGTCTGGTCTTCGGATGGCAAGCTTCAAGAAATCAAGTCGAAGTTAAACGCGGGCCGTCCATCTGATTTCTCTTTCAACGCTTCGCTACAACCACAATGTCTTCCTCTTGGGGGCTAATCATCTTTGCCGCACTTGTCGGCCTTACATCGGCAGCGCCTTCATTACTACCTCGCCAGGCTGCGACAACACAATTGACCTTCACCGGTGCAGGGGCTGCCTTCAGCGTGACTGCACCGGTTGACGGGAGCAATGTTACACTTAGTAAGCCGTCCCCGATTTACTCTAACTCGTCTTTGGCACCAGATTCTGACTTCACCCTCACCACAGATAATACCCTGGCCGTCGACTTCATCGCCCAAGCAGGGACTGCAAGCTGTGCCTTTGAGGGTGTCGATGGTGTGAAGCTCACTGTGATCGGTGCCAACTCAGGCGCCACTATCGCACCACCACAGACGATCGTGCGTGCGAGCTGCCAATAGCTATCTCATTTTTCCAGGGGACTCCGGAGGACGTGCTCCCTTGTAAAGCAATAAGAACGATGATGTGATAAACGGCCGGCCGTTGATCTTGTTCGGATTGACCCAGTTTCTAGGGCAACAATTGTACATATTGGGCTCAATGCTCCCATCAATAACATAAATGAGAGATATTCGGTGTACAAACACAACCAGCATTGTATGTGAACTCGTCGTTATTAGGTATTGACATCAAGCCTTTGCAACACTAAGCCAGCCTCGTTTGTCCACAGCAGTACTCTTTGTCCTCGCGATTGACACCACATTACTCTTTGTCGCAAGGAGGCAACATACGTTCTTTGCGAAAAATGGAGGAGCCTCTCGAGTTTGTTCCCGTCGCCTGGGTCTTTCTGTGCTTTTACTTCTGTAATAATGGCATTGTTCACAGTATTCCGTTAGAGCTTGCACAAAAAGTTACTATATAAGCTATGTAGGCACCGCTTCCGTAATCATCACCCTGGTCTCCACACAAACATCACTGGACCATTGATTCAGTCAACGGAACGACGGAACAACTTCACAACAAACGTGTTACAGGTCAAGCATATACACGCCGCATCATCTGCATCATGAAGAAATTTTTCAGCAATCTGTTCGGTCGTAAGACGACTCCCCCTGAACCAAAGGTCCCAGTGGCTAAAATCTCTCTTCAAGCAACGAATAAAGGTTTGAGATTGCACGTGCCATACATGGACGACAAACACAAGCCGACTCTGATTCCCATCGCCCTCCATTTAGGGAGTGAAGAATACGAGCATGCTATTCAGGAGCTCATAGTATCAGCGAAGATGACTCTTACGTACTTGGAGAGCAACTATTGGGAACCGTCTTATCTAAGACCTTTCATCCATAGAAACTTGCACCGGGAAGAAGTGAGATTTTGCGTCGAAAGAGGCGGAGCGTTTTTGAAGCCCGAAAGCCTCGAATTCTTCCATACTCTGTTCTTCGCCGCTTCTTTCGGCCGCCCTGTCCGGGTGATCTGCAAGTGGGCTTGATGGGATCTTTGTCAAGCCTATCAGCGGAAGGTGACCCAACTGTTACCAGGCTCAGCAATTGTGCTGATTTTCATTCTTGTAAGTACTTTCATCGCCTCCATTTTCTTTTGTTACTCAAACAAGGACACCAAAAAAGAACACAAAGGAGTACGAAGACAAAAAAGAATTATGAACAAAAATAGTAAGTAAATGAATAATCCTCATATGATCTCATGGCCCAAATTCGTATGGCGCACATTGGCCACTGTGACTCAACTGCCCGGATTCCGGTCCGACTACACATTTATGTCCACGTGGATTGAGGATGTTACAGCTTTTTGAATAATAAGAAAGCTGTACTTGACGTTTCGATTTTTTTACGGGCCGGAAGACTTGACAATAGCCATCCTGAATCCGAACAGTCGCCAGGATGGAATGACACACTGAAACTATCCTACCTACCCAACTCATCAATGTCTATAATTAGGACATGACTCGAAATACATGGAATAAAATACGTGACATAGTCGACATCTGAAGTGGATTGGCAAAAAGATTCAATCCAACCCTCTCAGCTCTATCGTAGGCGTGCGGAACTCCGTCTTGCTTGGGGCTATTTCGTAGCTGTAATTTATTTCAGCCACGGCCCTCCGCTATGGGCCAAGTCGCGATGCCGTCGCCAAGGACATTTCGTTATGCCTTGTGGTCTCGCGTCATGAAATTTCTTACGGGCTTATAAATGTCCACGAGAATGAGTGGTAACGGAGAAGAGAGCTGAACAGCTTCAAAACTAGCTCCATTATCCGCTGGAAGCAGAACTATCACATCTCAGCCGTCTCCGAATCCCAACTCCACCATATGCCATCACGCCATATTCGGTACAGCTTTACAACTATCGCCAAGACAGCACCATGCAGTTGCAATATCCGCCGTTAATCCCCCCTCTGCGTCATACCAAGCCTGTCCAATGGGTAAAAGGCTTCAGATACCCAATTGCGAAATTGCACCAAGCATTTCACCATTATGGTCACCAATTATGTGGCAGACCCACGGCACCGGTAAAGATATCTGGTGAGGGTGTATTATCGATGAGTGCTGCAAGGTACAGAGAATGAGATATATCAGTACCACTCCTCTCCTGAGCCAGCTCAGGTGTGTCGAGCTCAGTTCAGGCCATTTTCCCTCGCGAGACACGATGACAGCCAATGCTAATATTCAAAGCACTCTTGGTCTTGACCAGAAGGCGGCGGCTGCTCCAGGTAAACCGGCCGATAAATCAGAAACAGAATCCGGGGACGAAGTCGATGCCATTAGAGAGCGCATACTGGCAGATCGGCTGCAGTCGAGCAACCCGCCAGTCCTCCCTATCTTGACATTGTTCCGGAAGAAGGATCACAAGCAGCTGGACGAGATCGCTACCCAGCCGTCTGTGTACGATGACCCGTTGGTGGCACAATATTTCACACCTACTGCACGCTACGAGAACTTGCATCGCTTCGATCCCGAGGCAAGATGGACATGGAGAGAGGAGCTAGTGAGTTTGAACCGGCAGAACGGACAGGTACAACGTAGCTGATAGCCTCTTTCCAGCCTCTAATCAACAAAATTGATTGGAAGATCACACTCTGGGCTTGTATTGCATTTTTTGGCTTGGATCTCGACAGAGGCAACTTAAGTCAGGCCAACACCGATAACTTCCTCGAAGACTTGGGACTCAATACGGATGGTGTGTATCTTCCAGACGGTGTATCGGGGAATACTTCAAATGACACTAATTTTGGCAGACTACAATCTGGGCAACACAGTCTTCAGACTGGCCTTCTTATGCGCTGAGCTCCCTTCGCAGCTGATCAGCAAGAAACTGGGTGCGTTCGAATTTTCCAAACAGTTGGCAATCATGCGTCTAACAGTAATACAGGTCCTGATAGATGGGTACGCTTCAGAATTACGATCCGAAAGTTACGACGGACTGACTGTTGCAGATCCCTACGATAATGTGTCTCTGGTCAGTTGTGGCGGCGTCACAGTTCTGGCTCAGCGGCAGGCCATCTTTCCTCCTGTGTCGAGCGCTTCTGGGCTTGCTTCAGGGCGGCTTCATCCCGGATGTTATCCTATATTTGGTAAGCTTCATCCCGCTTCGTAATTTTGCACGGTTCCTGATCATTCAAGTCCTACTTCTTCAAAGGCACCGAACTACCCTTCCGGCTTGCCCTTTTCTGGACATCATTGCGGGTGACTGACATAGTTGCCCCAATTCTCGCCTTCGGACTGCTACGGCTGCGCGGCTACCATGGATACGAGGGCTGGCGCTGGCTCTTCCTCTTCGAAGGGATCCTGACACTCACCATCGGCGTGTGGTCTTGGTTCATGATGGCTCCCTCACCAACGCAAACGAAGTCCTGGTACCGGCCGAAGGGCTGGTTCACTGAGCGAGAGGAGGTCATCATGGTGAACCGCATCCTCAGGGACGACCCTTCCAAGGGAGACATGCATAACCGGCAAGCTGTCAGCCTCAAATTGTTATGGAAGTCGCTAACGGACTTCGACCTCTGGCCTGTCTACATCCTCGGCCTATGCTTCCAGATCCCGACAGGTCCTCCTGATCAATACCTGACCCTCACGCTCAGAAACCTTGGTTTCGGCACGTTTGACTCGAATTTGCTGACAATCCCCACTCAGTTCTTCGGAGCCATCACTGTGAGTTGTGCGATGGTACTCGCTGCGAGGCTCAACCTGCTGAACCAAATCCCAGATGATGATCGTGACATTTTACTCGGAGCGTTACAATGAGAGAGGCCTCATCGGAGTGCTCTGTCAATTTTGGGTCCTACCAAATATGATCGCCTTGGCTGTACTACCAAACACCTCGTCCGCATGGGCACGCTATGCAATTCTAACCGTCCTCTTATCGTTCCCATCAGGTATGCTCTCAACACGACTGAAAACTTTGGCTTGCAACGCTGACCTTTCATCAGCACATGCAATGCAGGTTGCCTGGTGCAGTCGTAATTCCAACACTGTCAGAGCCAGAACTGTTTCAGCTGCTCTCTACAAGTGAGTCTGCATCTGACTGCCACATTGGCGTAGTGCTTGTGCTGACCATTCTCAGTATGTTTGTCCAAGTTAGTGGAATAGTCTACTCAAACGTCTACCGAAGTTCCGATCGTCCTTTTTGTAGGTGTCTGCCATACACTCATACCTATGCCGCGTGCATATAATCATCAAAGCTGAGTTTTGAAAACAGATCGCAAAGCAAACCGTGCCTTGATTGGTGTCTGCGCAATGAATATCGTTCTTTACCTTCTTACCAAGTTGTATTATGTCTGGCGGAACAAGGTCCGCGATCAAGAGTGGAATGCTATGACCAAAGAAGAGCAGATACAGTATCTTTCCACTACGAAGGACTCAGGCAGTAAAAGGAAGGACTTCAGATTCGCTCATTAGACTTCATACTAAGTACAAAGAGATAATTAAAGGTCTGCGGTAAATATTGCGGACTTCGGTGTTTGCGGTCGTGGGTGCTCTCAAGTATTTTAATAATGGTGCCGAGATGAAATTGACTTGTACTTACCATGGACTATTGAGTAGCTCATAAATTGAGCTCGGCTTCATTCTTCAATTCGGCGAGCCCTTCTGTACATACAATTACCCACAGTATCAGACAGTTTTGAAAAAGCACCTGCAAAGCTTTCGTTTGGGCTGGTTTAGGATTTAAATGGCTACAATTCACCCTTTTCAGATGAATCAGCTGCGAGTCACTCCTTGCAAGTGAAGTGGCAAATATCCAACATTGGGCATTCTCTTGGTCGCATCAGCAATCACAGATATCCATAAAACGTAAGTTCCATATGCACGTCGTCAGACCGAAGCCATCAGTCGCACATCGAAGACTTCCCCAAAGCCGCTGCTGAGAAATCTGACGAAGTCCAGCAGAAATTTCAAAGTCAACATGATTGCTCTCAACGCCCTAGGCGTGTTGCTCGCCTATCTCATGATCCTGACACCCCTGACTTTTGCCGATCTTGTCAGCGATACACCCACCACAGTTGCCAGCTCGGCGGCCACGAAAATCGAGATGACTGGATCTCTGGTAACAAGAGATACTGACAAATCCTACCTCACTGTCATTTCTGCCGCTCGCAATCTCAATAATCCAACTCCCGGCACTCAGTACATCTATGATGAGAGCGCGGGTGCAGGAACCACCATCTTCGTTGTCGATTCGGGCTTCAATACTGCAAACTACGAAGACGAATTTTGCACTGACCATGGACGATGGTTCGAGACGTATGCCATTCCACGAGAAATTCGGAGCGAGATGCTTATTGACCGCGAGCGCGAGGTTGGCGTTCACTTTCCGCCAGACGACATGGCTGATATCGGAGGTATTGGTTCAGATAACTTGATTCATGGACACGGCACCCATGTGGCCATCGCCGCGGCGGGCTGCGAGTCTGGTGTTGCTCCCCGGGCGAACCTAGTTCTGATCAAAGCAACTGAGATCAAATTGAACCGTGAGGGCCAGGTAGACGCGAGTGGCCGATCTTCAGTGTATCCGCAGGCGCTCATTGCTTCCCTCCAGTTTGTGATCAAGAGGATGCAAGACACTCGAGGCCAAGAAGTCTCTCTTGGAAAGGCTGTTGTTCTGCTTCCATTCAGCTTAGTGATTCGAAACATGGGTGATGACTGGGGAAGCGATCAGCTCGAATTGTTCGAGCGGGATATGAACTCCACATTGAGCCAGCTCGACGCTCACGGCGTGTCTGTCGTCTTCCCTGGAGGCGATTCTGGCCATGGCCAAGGAAAGGAAGACTCGGGGCCCGATGCGAAGAGCGATGACTATCCTTATTACACATCGTATGTTTTCCTTGCCCATATAACCGGCTCTTGTCTAGCCCTCTCTCGACATCTGAGCTTCAATTAAGAATTACGGACCTCCACTGATTCGATTCATATTCAGGGAACTCTTTCCACAATCACTTTCTATCTATCAAGATTTTGTAATCTTGGTCGGAGGAACCGACGAGGAAGGCCGTCTACGGCCCCAGTCCTCACCAGATGATCCGTACCGCCCCATCTCGATCTACGCTCCGAGCAAGATACTAGGATACGACATCGCTACCAACAAGACACGATACCTTTACGGAACGAGTTTCGCTGCGGCTCAAGTAGTGAGTGAAATCAAATTCAAAATATCACACGCTGATTCTCGCACTCACGTACTGACGGGTCGGACCTAGGCCGGCTTGGTCGCCTACTCCTTGGGACACCCGAATAACACAGAAATTTTCTCATACAGCGTTCATGACCCTCTGCACAACACAGTGGGTAGGCGTGCCAAGAAATACGTTGCACAGCTTGCTTACCAGCGACTGCGTGATGAGTATAAACTTGCCTCCCCGCGACACGATTACCTATACCCTGTGAATGACGAGATTAACGTCGCATACAATGGGGCGCATGGTGTGCAGCGCGACTGATTATTTTCTTCTCGGACTAAGAGATTGAGGAAGTCAGGAACCTCATTCCCTTCTGTCATATGCGGTGCGGATTGGTCTCATAGGGAGTAAGCGTTTCTGAGAGGCCGACACGTGAAATGGAATTAGTTGAGAGACCGGACCATAATTCTGAGCACCGCTGTGTCAACGCATGAAAGCTTCCCTCGACTGTCAAAGCGAGTCCATTAAGACTGTGGCAGATCAATTTTGCGTGCCGACTCTTCAGTACTCCTTCTCTTCCCAAGCCTCAGTATTTGATCAACACTGGACCTATGAAAGCTTATGAATGGCTGTGTTGTCTAAGACATGCGCTTCAGCGGCAGAGCGGCTCGCCATCGGCGATAATGCGTTCGGTGTCTCGGACGTGGCCGCCTGCAGATGGGCTCAATGCAACAGTGAGCTGCATGTAGTTGCCGCCATCTTTTCCTCCTCCAGTTGTCGATTAAAGCCTCAGCGTGGCAAGGAAGGATCCACGATTGATCTTGGCAATGCGACCTGTTAGGACAAGAAGTAAGCAATGAAACACTGCACGACCTAGTAAATATAAAAGCCTGTGATAGGTTCTAGATGCAACCTAGACATGCTGTTCTATATTATACAGGAGGTGGGGTGAACCTACCCCTTGGTTTCGGGACCCATACCCGGGAAACCCTTCATCAATCCGGCTCTCTAGCCTAGAATTGTGTATGTATGTGTGCATGCTGTTCGTGTAACCGAAAAGCACATTTGGATCCGTTTCTAGTGGTCAACGGGCTTCCTAGCTATGAGATCGTACCTCGATCTACACGACCAGCGTACCACAACCACAATCATGCGAGCTCGCTTACAGATAAGCGCCTCAGCGTGCTACGAATGGTCTATTGCAATTCGACAGGTTCCAGCTGCAGGAGCAAGCAGTGCAACTCTGACATTATATCGATACCTGCATTCCTTAAGTCTGGACTCCACCCATTTCTAGAGCAGCTCGCCACCTCCTTTCCGAACTGATTCACTCGCTGTCTTCCACGCAGAATTTCTTTTTCTACCGAACCCTGTCGATATGGCTAAGCAAGAGACCTTCATGACTGAGGACGCCGGTGTCGACTCCAATCAAGATGAGACAAGTATCGTCAAGGAGAGATACAGAGGCACTTCTGCCGACCAGAATGACATGGATATCCTGGGCGTCAAGCAAGTCCTCCGACGGAACTATCGCTTGGTCCCAATGCTCGGGTTCTCCTCCATAGCGGTTATCAGCTGGGAAATTGCGCCGATCTTCCTTGCGTACGCTCTGATTGACGGAGGGACAGCAGCGATCTTTTGGGGTTTGGTCGTCGGCGCCATAGGCTTTTCTCTGATCTACGCCAGTCTGGCGGAGGTAGCTAGCATGTGTCCAACTTCCGGTGGACAGGTAAGTATTCGCTAGAATTCGAAGTCAAAATCATGAGCTAATCCAATTCTCCCGGTATAAAAAGTATCACTGGGTGTCCGAATTGGCGCCGCGGAGTATACAGAGAGGATTAAGCTATTCCGTCGGCTGGTTGATTGTGATAGCTTGGCAAGTCTACCTGGCTGGATCTAGCCTGGTAGTTGGCATGATTATTCAAGGCATTATCGCGCTCAACAACCCCGACTATGTCTTTGAGAGGTGGCATTGCACACTTCTCACCATAGCCGCCATAAGCTTCGCTGTGCTGATGAACACGGTGCTGTCCAGTCATCTGCCCGCCATCCAGTACTTGCTGTTTGCTTTACACTTTGGCGGAATATTTGCCATTGTGATCCCTCTATGGCTAACGGCCGACCGTGGAAACCCCTCAGATGTTTTACTCACCTTCAGTGACAACGGTAACTGGGGAAATGTGGGCCTTTCGTCCATGATAGGCATGACTCTCTTTGCCGGCCTCCTCACTGGATACGATTGTATCGCGCATATGTGTATGTGCGATCATTGTCCTTTCCCAGACAGCTCAGAAGAAAGCTGACACTATTACCACGGAAGCCGAGGAGACCATAGATGCTTCTCGAATTATCCCGATAGCCATCACATGGAGCGTAATTTATAATGTGATGACACTTTTCATCATCGGCACAGCTCTGATATTTTGTTTGGGCGATGTCGAAAGCCTCTTAAACACGAGGACCGGGCAACCGTACATTCAACTCTTCTACAACGCAACTCAAAGCTATGCTGGTAGTAGTGTCATGGCCGCGATATTGATCACCTTGGTCGAATGCTGCGTGATCAACGAGGTCGCCACATCTTCAAGGCAGCTCTGGTACGTGCTAACACAACGCGCGCGTTGAAATGTTAGAAATTTTGCTGATGCCACTCAGGTCCTTCGCCCGAGACCGCGGCCTGCCTGGCTCGACGTGGCTCTCACATGTGACTCCAGGGTGGAACATCCCATTGCGGGCGGTCTGCCTTACCGTCGTTGTCACCGCGCTGCTATCTCTGATCAATCTCGGATCAACAGTCGCACTCAATGCTATTAACTCTCTGGGCGGCGCCGCATTCCTCATTTCATATGTGATCACCCTTATCTGTCTGATCTGGAGGCGCCTCAGGGGCGCGCCGCTACCCCCGCGACGATGGTCTCTCGGCAGATATGGTCTTGCCATCAACCTGGCGGCATTGGCATTCCTGGCTCCGATCCTCTTTTTCTATTGCTGGCCATTGGCACAACCAGTGACACCACTCAACCTCAACTGGAGCTCGGTTGCGCTTTGTTGTGTCTTGCTAGCTGCTCTTGTTCATTACGTGGTGAAGGCAAGGCATGAGTACGTCGGACCTGTAATGCGAGTTAAACGAGCCTAGGTGAAAGACTTGGAGACGACTAGGATATTCATGCCATAGAACACGAGCTAGAGATTACTGCCACAGGTTTATGCAGGATGAAAAATGAACTCATGCACCTGCTAGACACGGTAGGTAGTGCCGAATGGCCAAGCATATGATGAGCCATATCAGAATTGATGAGATACACGAAAATATTGGACGAGGAAAAACTACAAACAGAAGCTGCAATGAATGCTGTGTTAAGCTAGGAGGCCCTTTCAAGCACTGAATACATGAAATAATTGTGTTGAAACTGGCTGGATATAAATAGGAATTAGTTCCCAGAAGAGAAACTTAGTTACTCTAGAGACCTATCTATGACGGCATTAGCTAAATGTTTATGTACCATGGGCAGGGAACGGGAAAGCTGTCCTAAAGCTTCTTTTGTGACAAGAGCGGCGGCTCAACCCACTGTCAACACTTCATGTACTGAGACTACCTCCGCCGTGTAGGGCTTCTAGGTCTTTAAGAACTCGCGGGGTCCTTGCGATGAGCCGCACAAATCAGGGTCACAAAAGGACGGACACATGTCAGGACACCGGTGCTGTTTGAAAAAGTGGGATCGACCCCCATACACTCAACAAAATTTTCATAAAACCACCGCTCGTTCCCATTGCTTGAGTGATGTACAACCCGAATTTCGACTAACTGTGCGGAAGAAGGACCACTCCTCATCCTATCCGTCTGTCAAACTGTGCTCTTGGCAATTCTGAACCACCGTCTCCCTTCCAATCGAAATATCCACACAGGAAAGAAATCAATGAACTCCCAAGAAGAAAAGTAAAACAAAGCTCACAGACTCTTCCCCCTCAACCCTCAGCCCTTCACAACGTACAAGTGCACAACGGGCTTTCCACCTCGCAGCCCGTTTCGGGACGAGTCCCAACCGACCTCCTTGATGGTCTGCTTCATAGCATCCTTGTCATCCCCCCTGAATGACATTCCTTTGTACCAGCGCCCGTTGCCGCCCTGGTGGACCTCGATCACCTTGTTGAGTTCCGGATTGGGGTTGCATGCTCCGAAGCCCTTGAGCAGTTGGCCGATAGTGGTGTTGGTAGGGACATGGCAGGCATGAAAGGGAGCGGTGAAGTTCACCGGCAGCTGCCATGGTGGGGTGTCGTTGGTCTTGAAGACATGAATCTTAGTGTGCTCTGCTGGAAAGAAGTAGTTGTACCCCGGCTCACATCCTACTCCGCCGGTGGAGTTGGTCAAGTTGACAGCTGGTATCGAGGGGTTGATGACCGGGTTTCCGGCCGGGGCTTGATTTGTTGCAGGGTACTGCGTCGGGTTCACCGCGTTTGTGACATAGCCGCCTGGCGCTGCAATGCTGTAGGGGCGGCTATAAGTATTGTAATAATGTTGGTACTGTTGGTACAGCTGTGGATAGTAGCCGTAAGGCTGTGGTGTGTAGCCGAACCCAAAGCCTGATCCATATGGGTTCTGACTAGTTGGGGGTGGAGGGCCACTGTCGGGGCCATAGGCCGTGTTTCGACCGGCACCGAAGAAAGGCATGGTTCAGTGATTGTTGGACTAGTTCTATGCTTTTCGAGTCAACAAATGTAAGCCGTGTGGACAACTGCTTCAGGCTGGTAGAAATGAGATAAACGTACGTCGTGTTAAGCTAGTGCGCGTATGGCGGATGAGGGAATCGAGTGGCTCGGTGGGATGACCAAGAACCGTGATGGCCAACAACAGAGTACCCAGGGTTGGACGCTGGTTGGGATCTTTGGTAAAAGGATGCTGTGAGAGGAGTGAATATCGAGTGACCTGTGAATTGATGCAATGATGCGTCAGGATGTTTCGATGCAGCCTGTTTATGGGTAATTGCTTGCTAGATTGCTAGGGACTGAAAGAGTAAGGAGTTGGATGGTCAAGTTTGGAACTCGAGTCTGAAGAGTTGGATGGTATTTATATTAGAGGGGGAAGAGGAGAGAAGGGCAGCTCGAAGGCCACCAGTTAGGATCAGTTCAGAAAGTGAAGTGAAGTATGACTGTCAGGCTCTGCCAGTCATTGTGCGGCGAAAGATCATGTCAATTGCATTAGGGAGCACCCACGAGTCACAGCTGTCCGCGGAGTCGCCACACCAAAGTCTCGGTCGTTCTGGGGAGTCCAGACAGGCTGGTTCAAATAGGTGAATTGGCCCACGAGGATTTCCGTCTGCCAGAGTCTTCGATTCTCAATGTCGTAAAAAGCGGCCGCGACGAACAAAGCCCAAGAGCCGGTCTCCAGATCTTCGTCGAAGTGCTGTCCGATGATGAGCCTTACGGCTGGGTAGGGTAAAAGTCCGTAGTAATTAGATGGTGTTGATCCGTCTCCTCTGCGGTCCGAAGGAGGCATTGGGGTACCGCTCTAGGGCATTGACAGGCCTCGTGCTGGACCAGGTGAATTCCAGACTTGGCTTGACTCTTTCGATGTCACTCACCTGTGACGAGATTGATGGTTGACTCGCGACAGGACTCATGAGCCGGGAAGACCTAAGTTCCAATCGTAGCCTCAACTCGGAATCAGGGGCTCTTCCGTAGGAAATCTGTGCAGACGGGCCTGACGATTGCTCGATTTGAGAAGTGGTATTCTCGAGATGGAATGCAGTACCAGTGCTCTCAGAGAGCTGACGAAGTGGCAGAGTCTGGTGGGTAAGGATTCAAGAACAGAGTAGTGTCGATTTAGGAGGGGCATCAATCCGGTTATATGCACAGAGTGCTGGACGCTGGTGACAGTCACTGTCGCTGGACAGTCATCGAGCTTCCCCCAACACAAGACACGAGCTGATGGCGATGCTGAGCTGGAAGACCTGACCATAATTTGTCCGTCCTGAACCTGATGATTCAGTTTAGCGGCCAGGGTGGCGGGCTCCAATGGGCTGCCTTGTCTGCTGCCGATTCACCAAGCCGCTGCTCGCTTGACCAGAGAGACCATGTCTTCGTCGATGACAATGCCTGAGAACCGGGCTCCTACGGCGCCGTTACTGATCTCGACTGCTCCGCAACTTCTCTGTGACCGGCCAAGCATCTTCGCAAAACCTAGATCTCTCTATCTGGCGATATCACCCGTTCTATCATCGGTTGCTCCAGAGTCCGGCAAGTTGGCGCCGAGTGATCTCGCAAACATTATGGGCGCGAGAGACTGCTCTCCTAGCAGCTAGGAACACTTAATCATGTATTCAGCAGAGCCTGTCTCAGCCGAGCCTCTCACAAATACGTCCATGGGTTGCCATAAGTTTTGATGCGTATAGCCAGACAGCATCTAGGGGGGGGGGCCATATAGGTAAAGCGGAGGTGATAGTCCAGCAAGGCGACAAGCGACGTTGCAGCTCATCCTGTACATGAACTGCGCAATACCCATACTAAATCATGGCAAGGACCGAGTGCTGACATTTCTGCCGTCTAGGCTTGGTGAACTCGACTGAGGAAGCTGCGTGCCGTCCATGCGTGAAGCTCGATGAGTGGTCGACATGCACGAGGCTGATGGAAGTCAACATCCGCTAATCGTTGAAGGGCGATGCTTCTCATTGTCGCTGGCTCATCCATCTTATCTGATGGATGTACTCCCTGGCCGAGAACCCCGCCATCTGGAAGCGTCAAAGGCTTTCACGGTGTAATGTGTCGAGGCTGGTGTCTGGTCCAGAGCCACGAGGAAGCAGCATGTCCAGGCTACTTATACTCTTTTCAAATGCCGCAGGCGTGGTTGCATCAAATGACTGCTGAAGTTTGCTGCCCCGCGATGACTGTCTCAAGCCAAATGACAGAGTTGTCTGTGGCCAGTAGGACTCCTGTTTGCATGTGCAGAGCAAAAGCTGATGCTGACTCTGAAGCTGTCCCAATCGCCGTTGCCGTTGTTGGAATGCTTTTGCTCCGTCTGCCTATTCATCAGAGGCCTGGCAAGTACCCAGAGCAGGGCGTCTCGCGATGCTGGGTCAATCCGTGAGCATGTTGATACGCAGGCATTGAGGTATCGGCACATGGCGATGGCGGGCTTCCAGATTTTGGTTGTGCTTCTCCCAACGCCAGTCTCCCTCGTTATTCTAACTTGATTCGGTACGAGGTCAAAGTGGGGAGGTCGTTGCGGATTCTCACTTCCTCGTACCGTAATCTCGAGTGAGGCTCTGTGGACTTTATGTCAAAGTGTTTCTTTTGAGTCGGGGAGGAGGAGGAGGGTAGTCGCGACAGTGGACAGGATCTTGATGCTTTCAGTCTTGCCCTAAGGAAGGAAAATGCTATCAGAGGAGCGCCCTGCCAACGAACATTGTAGCTATGTGCTGCTGCCTTAATTTGACAGGTGACCGCTCACCGGTAAAGGCCAAATTTGTTGAGCAATGTACGAAAGTTGTTGTCTTCAAACAGTTGCGGCATGGAAGCTTTAGACTGGAAGGGGTTGTCTGGTTTGATCCGTTCTTGCCGCGTTGTCGATACGCCAAAGAAATGTAGGAGAATAAGAGAAAGTCTGGCTGGTCTCGGGACTTCTTGAAGAAGAGGCCTGTTCTACTGGCCCAATTACGATTAAGGGCAGTAACGCAGACGTTATGGATTGCAAAGTGGTTGAGACGCAACGTGAAGCATATCAATCGTCAACAAGCCAAAGATATCAACAAAAATGGAGTCATCGGACGATAAATTTTGCACCGGTACTTGATCAATTATCGTTTACGGTCTGCGTCAAAAACGCTTTCGTCCGTCTATCAGAATCAAAATCGCACCTTGGGTATATCACCACCTTCCTCCAGACTGGGTTCAGATTCGCTGTGCGATAGCGGAAAGACATCCCTCACCGCCAAGCCAACGATCATTGCCGCCTTGCAAAACACGCAAAAGCTCAGTCAAAGTGCACGCAACTAGCCAGCAGAGCCACGTCAGCTCTCAAGCCCATCACGGCCAGCCACAAACAAGTTGTACCGCTCCCGCGTGCGCCTCCGCGCCGTCTTCCCGAACAAAGCCATGGGCAAGCTCGTGGCAAGCGCCGCAAAAGCCAGCACACCAGCCGCGATGAACGTGTTCTCGACGCCGCTGTTGTCCATCCACGGGCTAGTGATGAAGCTAAAGATACAGCCGATGGTATTGTTGATAACAGCGACACCCACCATGCCCTCGAGGACCATCTCGGGGTACGCGTCGACGAGGTACGCCATGGACAAGTCGCCCGCGCAGCCGTAGCCGAAGCCGATGAAGCCTAGCCCGACGTAAGGTACGGGCCAGTCCCAGCCGCGGCCGGAGCCGATGCCGAAGAGGAACATGCCGGTGGGGAACACGACCGTGGGGAGGATCATGAGCCACAGGCGGCACTCGGCCTCCATGATGCCTCCGCGCCGCCGCGTCAGCCACAGAGTGAACCAGTCGCTGCCCCAGCCGGCGATGAAACACCCGATGACGGCGCCGATCACCGTCGGGATGTTCATGTTGCCCACCTCACCGTCCGTGTAGTTGTACGGCGGGTCGTACCACGTGTCCTGCTCAACAGTGAGGTAGAAGGTCAACCAGGCACTTTGCGCGCCCCACTGAAGTCCCGCATACCACACCGCCGGGAAGGTGAAGACCTTGAGCGTATGGAACAGTCGCTTGAAGTACTGCTTGAAGCCCGTGCCGCGCAGATTTCGTGCTGGCGTGATAACACGGATGCGCTGCCAGTATGACTTCTGCTTCTCGGGCTCGGCAAAGCGCGATCCTGCCCTCTCGAGGTCTGTGGTCACGGGTGGCGTCGCCGTTCCTGAGATGCCGGCGCCGGGCTTCTTCTCGTTGATGCCGGTCGTTTCCTCTGTGGCGCGTTCGACTCGCTCGGTGACGTTGAGGCCGTGCATGGTCGTGTACCCGGCGCGGTCGAAACCTGTCTCTTCCAGGCCGAAGAAGAGCAGCAGGAACGTGCCGCCCGAGAATGCGGCGCCCATGTAGCCCACCCACCGGAAGCCGAGGAAGCTCTCGGAGATGTAGCTCGCGATCAAAGAACCCATGTAGGTTCCCACACTGGTGGCCAGGACGTACACGCCGATGGCGGCACCAGCCTGGTGCTCGAACCACAGGTCCATGAGACTTAGCTGCACCACAGCCTCGGCGACGGCCTCAGACGCGCCAACAAACAGCTGACTCCAGATGGTATCATTGGCGTTCTTGGCGGCGCCGAACCAGATGCTGCCGATGAGGCCAAAGGTCATTGAGACCAGGTACAGCAGCCGCCGGCCGTAGAGATGCACAGCAGGCGAGGACAGGAGCGCCCAGTAGCCAATGCCGATGAAGAGGACACCGGCGCCCGTGTTGAAGTACGAGTAATCGATGCCCAGCTCCTCGTTGAAGCCCTCTGAGGCAGAGCCGGCGTCGTTGGACGTGGCGGCCGTTAGGGCAGTGATGAAGCACACAAGGGCAGTGTGCCAAATCTTGCGGGCCACGCTCCATTGCAAGGGGTCGTTGGGCGAATCGGTGGGCTGCGGGACCAGGACGATGTCGCCGTGTTTCTTGAGCGAAGAAGCATCGCCGCTTAGGGACAGGAGGGTATGACCCTCGCTGTCGAAGAGGCGGCGAGTGCCTGGGATGTCCTCTAACTCATCTTGAGTGAGAGAAGGACGTATGATTTCGAGCCCGCCATTGGACTGATCATGGGTGAATTCGGGGGCAACTGCCATCGACTTGTAAAGTGGATTCGGGCCTTAGGCACGCGACACACGATGTTCCTGCTATCGGCTGATTGGTGTAGGCTCTGTTCTTGTCTTTCAGACAGACGCGATGCTTCCCGCACCGTTTAGTCTCAGCACATCGTAGGGTATGATATCACGTAAGAACGAGCAAGAAGAAAGATGACAGGACTCCTGGGGCAATTAATTTAAGGATTGGGGCCAGGACAGAATTTTGCAAGACCGATGGATCGACGGAGTTGTGCCCAAAGCGGGTACTTCTCTTATCTGCCCAAAGATAAGCATTGGTGCAGCGGCCGCGTGGCGACGGCGTCGACGGCGCGAACCGGGTTTTGTGTCGGAGATGCCGACTGCCGAATCCTGCCTCCAAGATTCCAGGTTTGGGGATTTGGGGGGTCAATGTTCGCCCTCAAGCTGACGTAGTGCATGGCCTGGCTCCCCAAACCAGATATTTTCAGGGCGTGCTGATATGCTGCCGCCTCGCAATGCAAAATGGGAAATCGAGTTCCGCCTAGAGGTGTTCGCGAACAACACCACATATCCACGCCTGATGCATCTATACTTGAAATGCTGATAGCCTGCGACGCAGTGGTGGTACTCTCGGGGATGGCCCGGGCTGCTGACATCCAAAGCTAAAGCTGCTGTTGAAGGGAGTGCGAGGCGACTCGGCCCCTGGCCACCAATGCACCCCTTCAATATACAGCAACGCACCGTCATGTCGAGTATCCCAGTCATGCCACCCAGGCAAAGCGACCGTGTCCGTCACTTTCGATAGTAGCTGCCGTCTGTTGTCGATTGACCAATTAGCAGCATTAGCATTGCAGTCTGGTCTTGTAAATGAACGATGAAAGTCGAGCGAGACGTATTCGCTGCCATGGACAAGGTCTCATGCAACTGATACCTCGGTTTCGTCTTCCTCAGTCCTCGATGTCCCCAACCATCCTCAACCCGCCCTTCAGCCCAGTCCCTCTTCTTGACTCATCAGCTTGCCGATTAATCTTCCTTTTTGTCTCGGTGTCGACAATGAGCTTCTTGAGGTAGACCTCGGCTTCGACGGTGGCGCTGTAGGCAATAGCAGTCCAGGACCATATGTTCTTCCTCTCCGCATCCGCGCCAGCTGCCAGGAGCGTCCTAAGCACCAGCAGATGGCCATTGCTACTCGCAAAGTGGAGCGCCGTGTTACCCTCAGAGTCTGCATTCCGGACGGCCTGTTCGGGTCCGCAGGGCACGTAGGTCAGCAGGATCTGCAGGACCGTGTCGTGGCCACCGCGAGACGCCTCCATAATGGCATCGCGGCCGCGGATATCGCGGCGTAGGATGATGCCCGGGTCCTGCTCGCTGAGGAAGTGGACGATCTCGGTATGGCCCGCCCCGGCGGCCAGCATCAGGGCGGTCTGGTAGTCGTCGTTGAGCGAGGGGCAGTCGGCCTCGCAGCCGAGCGAGAGGAGGAGCTTGACGATGGAGAGGTGGCCCAACGAGGCGGCGAGGTGCAGGTTCGAGTTAGACAGGCCGCCGGGGGAGGTGTCGGGGTTGTGGAGGAGCTTCGGGTGCGAGTGCAGGATGCGTTTGACGAGGAGGGCGTCGTTGGCGTGGATTGCCCGCCGCAGCCGGGACGAGGCGTCGATCCTGAGCGCGGGCACGTGGGGGTCAGCTTCTATTCGACATGTTTGAGAGGGGTCCCGAGACAGTGGTATCATGGCTTACATGATGGCTGGCTGATGAATGCTGCGAGAACAGCGTAAACAAAATAGATTTCCAGAGTCGGCTAAAGGCGTCCACGGTTAGTGACTGGAGATCGTTCCCAAGCCGAGAAGACTGGAGGACTAGAGATCAAGCCAACCGCGGCAGCTAAACATGACGCGAGCTTCCCGCCCTGCCGCCCAGCTCTGGCTGGGTTCAGGGTTCCACAGGCCGCTGGAAGTCGCGGGGGCGGGGGTAAGAGGGGCTGTGGAGCAGTTTGCCTGCGGGTGCGGATGATCTGCATGTGCCCAGACTTTGGATCTCACCCTCCACAGTCCGTTTGTAACCTCTGCTTTGACTCCTCATCAATCTACAACATTCCATGATCAATTGCAATCATTATGATAGCCTCCAGCTGAAATAAAGTCAGAATACCTCCGCACAAGGGACTCCTGCATACTGAGTGTTGCTTCTTTATGCGAATCGTGCCTGTACTGGAAAAGGAGAGAACCCCTAATCGGGTCCAGCCTCAAGAGCTGTCTTCATGAGTAGGCAGCGATGGAAATTGGATGCATCGTACGATACTACGATATCAGCTTCTTCAAAAAATTGAATCGTGGTCGGAATTTCTCCATACGGGTCTTTTCCGTAGGCATTTTTGAGGGACTGTCTGGGACATCTGCAAACGCAAAGGGAGCAAGCGCAATGAACCACAACTCTCATGTTCTCCTCAGCACGCTGAGCAAACGGAGAACACCTCGGAGTAATAGAGCTCGGTCGCTTGCATTGTACCGTGTCTTCTGCTGCGAACCACAGGCATCATCAGCTCACCCTTGCCTCTACTATTGGTCCCTAACTGAAAATGCGGTGGTGGAGGCTGGTAGGCCTCCCGCATATCCCGAGATGCTTTGACACTCGTTGGGACCTGGCGCAGGTGAGGCGAAGTTGACCACATCTTGAGGCCGCACACAACCACTACGTGACGCCCATTTAACTATGCAACACCCATCTCAGTTAAATGCCTATTTCTTTCTTGTTCTTGAATTAATTATCGTCCATCGAAAGCCCTCAAGCAAATCGTTCTTGCAAATCGTTCTTGCAGTAGTTCAAAGTGAATACATTTGTCAGGCCGAAGCCATGCACGTCAAGCTCGAATCAAGCTCCCAAGACCCGTCCTCCTCGTCTCCCATCTTCGTCCTCACCCTCCCTGAATACGAAATCCGCGTCCACCCCCGCCAGCCCACATGCCAAAACTGCGACCAGCCCGCCATTCGCAAGCTGGCCAGCCCTCTGAACACGAACAACGCCGGCCGTCCCTACTACATCTGTCCATCTTGCCCATGGGATTTTCGATGGGTGTGCTGGGCAGATACCAAAGGCATGGCCATGGAAAATCCACCATGTGATTGTGACTTGCCCTCCAGGCTGGACATCATTGGCCAGCATAAGGGCGAAAAGGCTGGTAGGGCGTTCTGGACTTGTGTGACGGGAAATTGTGGGTATTACTCAGAGACTATGGACGGCACGCGCGGGGTGAGCGACGACGGAGGGTTCTACCCATAGTCATTGGGAATTGCTTGGTGTCGGAAGTGAAATGATATTGAATCCCTTCCACTAAATATGCCTCCTATGTCAGATGTCTCAGACCCCCAACCCGGTTTGATCGCTTGATGGAATGACTGGTCCTGGTCATGATTGTGTTAAAGCATTCTGTCACAATCTTGGGTTATGTGAAGATGAACCCTAGCAATGCATCTGGCGCGCTTTAAACGGCCCCAAGTCCGCAGAAAAATCATGTTAGATGTGCCTGTGTCTGAAAAGGTGGTCATGGACTCATTTCACCCAACTCCACGTCCTTACTCCTAAAGGAAAGTGAAGAGCGAAGTATACTGCGCTTCGATCCAAACAAAGTCGAGTCTGAGTCCCTGTCCAGCTCCTGCTGAAGATTTTCCTTTGCGTCTTCTATCTCCGTTGTCGCCCAGTTCCTGAACCACAGGATGGTCCCTGACGTCAGCAGCAGGGTCAATCCACCGTACAACCCAAGCCATGGCGATATGATCTGAGCACTATCCTGCGGTATCCAGCTGAAGAAAGTCATCGAGAAAAATGTCTGTTTCCGGGTCAGATTTTGGCTCTCCCTAAAATAAGGGGTGACTTACCGCGAGGAAGGTCCCAGGCAGGAAGATCATGCCCAAGAGAGAGATCTGTTTCATCTGGCTGCTATCCATCTTCGTCGCTGTAGCAATGCTGAAATTGACTTGTGCGTCACGCCTTGTGTAATAGTTCCATTCCTTGTGACTCATCAGTTCTAGGTGCTTATGTGCAGAGGGTAGGCAAGTGAGAGATACTCGTACCATTTGAGTCGCAAGAGTCATGGCACCAAGAAGTCCCTCGCATTTGCGGGTTTTGCTTCGAAACTCGGCCATCATCTCCTTCAACTTGGTGTCGATGTACATACCAGCCCCTTGGTCCGTTTCCTGGTCGCTACCGGACTCCCGATCAGGCTTTGGTGGGGATCTCGGCAGCGTCTTCAGGTGGTCTCTCATTGACTCGAGCTCCATATATAGGCTTCCAAGTCCATTTTTAAGGGAACTCATCGATCGCCACAATTGTATGGCTTCACAATCTCTCTGCGTCATTGTCTGTCTGGCTTCTTCTTTCTTTGCCTGTTGATCCACCTCCTTCTTGGCCTCCTTGTTGACTCTTGTTTCCAGCTCCAGAATCCTTTCCTCAAGTTCCGTGGATCTGTCGTCTATCGCATTGAACAGGCGTTTTCGCTCATGCTCTACGAAGATCATTGGGAGCACTAAGGGGTGGAATGCAAAACTCTTGCATCTGTCTAACCAGAGCTCGGTATCCTCCATGATGTCTTCTGTACAGCCATACATGACCGCGAATATGAGGGGCTTATCGGTGAAACATGTTGTGGACAACACAATGTCATCGCCTTGGGCAAGGGACTCAGTGTCTGACTTGCAGTGATAGACTGTGAATAATCAATCCATCAGCTTGTTGTCACATTGTGGGAAATAATTTACGTAAATAACAATCGGAGTCATGATTCTTGCTTTGTTTGAGATAGGAATCAGTGGCGTACCAGTCGAGCGGCCAAAGTCGTCTGAGCCCGTCCATGTCACCGACCTGGAGCTGAGAACAGCAGTAGACTTTCTGACGATTATGGAACCAAGCGTTCTGTGCTGGCAGAGGCTCCTGCAGAAATTGTGAAATTCGTCTTCCTTATATGCTACTGAAGTGCTGTTTGTGAGATCACCCTCAAGCCGCTTGTGCATGGCTAGCAGAAGGGTAGGACGATGCTGCCCTCTTGAGGAAGGCCGGCACTATTTTTCCTTTGTGAGCATACAAATTTGGATCGAGGAAGTCTTGAATGATCTTACACGGTCAATCCAGGCGCCATATTCAGACACGGTGCTGAGTTTCTCAGGCTGGAAGTCTATTTCGCCCTGTGAGAATGCTTGAATAAGCTACATGAAGAATTTGCGATCGAATTCCAAGTCTGACGAACATGGTTGTTCTGTTGGATCTTTATTGCAAGGATACTGCAACTTTGGCTGGGATCGAATTTGAAGTGCCTCCTGTCTTTCCTCTTGAAGTCTGTCGTTGAATCAAGCCACTCCATCGTCAATTGAGCTTATATTGCCCGGGAATTGTATCTATGGAGCTGATGAGCCGTTTCAGAAGAGAATCGTGCTACAAGTATGGAAGATGGAAGAGAATGCATGGCTGTTTCTCGCATGTCTCAAAAGATTACTGGGGTAATCCGGTCTAAGTGAAGGTGGAGAGGTTTGGCCAGTTTGGTGGCCGATGGGGCCATTACGGCACGGAGAGCCTCATTCAGCATGTACTTGAGCAAACTGACTGGCCTCTGAGAGCGGGCCACGTTATCATGTGGCCTGTACAGATTGCGCAGTCGGGCGCGGACTGCCATGCATTGCATGAGGCACACCCCAGTTATAAACAACCACTCGTAGAGCCAGGAGCATCTGCAAGTAAGCAGTGGCTCATGCAAGCATGACAAAAATACATCTGCAGACCAACGGAGTTATCTGAGGCTTGTACGCCCACCCACTAATACCACACCGCCCAGTTCATGCTAAAGATTCCGTCTAGAATGCCTCATTGTGGCACCACCCATGTCAGAGGGTCAATAACTTCTACAGCTGTGCGCGAGAGAAGTGCACTTCCTCACTGCTGCGGACTAGTCCCTCAAACACAAAAATCGGAGGTCGAAGCCAGACAGCTCATCAGCCTGCCTAAAATTGCCTACTGAGAGAGCCTGTTTGCCTTGTCATCGCCGCAGCCTGTTTATCCACTTTACTTGGGGCTGTGTCTAGGTCAAAATTGACACGAGTTCATCTTGAAAGTCGGGCACCGCGAACACTCTCGCCGTATATATATATCGAATCCTACGGTGTTCCTTCCGTTGAAGTCTGCGGTTCAAAATGGCACTTTTCAAAAAGATACTGCACTACGCCGGTTTTGCAAAGAAAGACGACATGGCCAAACCTGTAGAATTCGTGCCTTCGGACATTTTCAAGCACCGTTATCAAGACCCAAAGGTCTTGATAACTTACGTGAAGGGGTTGCCAGATGGTTTCACGGATGATCAAATCACCGTGAAGGTATGTCGTTCATTTCCTGTTAGCCCTCGCATCAAAGCTAAGCTATGTCTTCATTCAGCCTGTGAAAGACGGTCAGCTTGGGCTGAAGCTGCCACGAAAACTCGAAAAGGTGGGTGCTGTGAAGGCCACTTGTGAAACATGCAACTAACTTCCAAGCAGGAAGAGATCGAAGGGGTGAACAAGGCTTTTATCAAGGCTGAGAGGGACCGTCAAAGGGATAATGGAGCTTAAAGTCAAACAAAGGGCGTTATCGTGCACTGAGACGGAGACCATCTTTTGTAAACCAGAATAAATGGTGATTTTTCAACATACGCTCTCCATGCCGAGAGGGGATGGGGGGCGGTGGCTGCAGCATTTTCTTTGATGGCTTTAGAGCAGACTGGATTGTAAAGGAAATTATTCGAAGACTTGCCTCAGACTTTGTCGGCACTCTTTGCGAAAGCCGAACTTGACTTGCAAATTGTTTTCCAGCTCTCTTGTCCCTTGAATATTATATGGTCTGTATCGTCAAACCAAACGTAGACCTGTGAAGAGCTGACAGTGCCGCATGAGACTTTTGAAGTATCATCTATGGTTTACAAGGCCGCTGAAAAATTCTTGTACTTCGAGAGAGCTTGCGCGTTCTCCAGGGTCCACAACCAGCATTTTCTCTCCGACGAACAAGAGTACTTGTTTCAGTTGATCACTGCACCTACCATGTTGTTGTAGAGCCCTCAGATGCTGAATTATTGTCAGGTCAAATTCATGATTGCTTTCATGCAACATTGAAAAGGTTAGAGCCTTCCACTTACCGAAATAACTGCATCCCTCACCCTCGAGCTAATGTTTACATGCGAGCCAGCCCACAGAGAATATCGCATTGTGGCGCGTCTCGACTCGACTTTCAACTTCCTGTTGCATCCCCAGCGCAGCCTGTTAAAGAGGAAAGGCGTAGGCTCTTGCTTGACTATTTTGAAGAACGTATCCTCGATCAATTGTCCAGGGGCCTCAGTGACGGCTGGGTCGTCTTCTTCTTCCTCACGCATTTTTCGGAAGGAATCTATACCATCCTGGCCCAATATTGCCCAGGTGACAAAGTCCAGAAACAAGCACCCAAGACACCATACATCGTAGTTGAGTGTGATGAGACTTCCAGGATAGTGCTCAGGCGGTCGATAGGTCTTAACGTGGGCCACTTTGCTGGCCTTCAAATCCTCGTTCGGCTCAAATCGTCTAGCTTCCCCGAAGTCTGCAAGCTTCAGTACCACAGGTATACTGAACTGGTCGGAACCAGAATCTCGAAAACAGAGGATGTTTTCCGGCTTGATGTCCGCATGCAACAGAGCGTTCGTTCTCTCAAGATGATCATCCGCGAGGTTGTGAGTCGCCACCAATGCCTCGGCGATCCCAAGGCATTCGCCAAGAAGCCATTCATCCGAATACCAATCTGCTACTCTCACTGGCGTGACATGTTGAATGACTCCGTCTGGTGTGTACGATTTCCAGAGCTTCTCCAGGCTCCCTTCATTAGCGAAAGGAAACAAGAGGTAATATCGGTCACGATAGGCGAATGCTGAGAGAAGGCGAACGATGCGGTTGTGTCTCGGCGCGTCGTCGTTGGCCTGAACCTCTAGTTGAAACTTCTCCTCTGATAGTCCGGCAGCTAGCCTCTGCTCGAAGGTCTTCAAAGCGAAAACTTGGTCGCTGTCCTGTGTCTGATTGAATGAGGACTGGGCGTCGTTTATGGAAGGCAATGACAGTTCAACTCACCAAGTCATGACTGTCAGGATAGATCTCAATTCGTTCCACGTAAGACACTTCACCTAGGATGGGCTTTCCTATTCTTGCTTTTTCTCTCCAGGGCAATGAAACCTCCATGGGAAGCTCTTCGACTGCCTGGTTGTTTCCTGTGCCAAATTCGGTGAGAAATGGCGTGTACACTTGCCACTGCGTATATATAAAAAGCTCCCTCTCTCTTGCGCTGACATTGAGGTCGGTACTATTGAAGAAGTCTGAGTTGAGAGGCAGGTCCTTATCGCAGAGTTGTGGATTTCCGAGATAGAAACGGGATAGCATGAGCTCTTCTCTGCGGCAGAGCAGCAGTGTCGCGAAGATCATTCGTCGTCCCGTGCAGTACCTCCAACCGCAGGCGCATCCCTGGTGGGCTGGACAGATATCCTGTGCCACATCTTGCCAACGATCCGCATCTTCCCTCGCATTCAGAATTTCTCCCACTTCTTCGATATTGATTATTTCAATTAAAGCGGCTCGGGGTATGAAACGATTGCGAGAGTCGTTGCAGTCCTTTTCCGATGCGCGCAGGAGTGCCTGCGTAATCCTGTCCCGGATGGCTTGTCCTTGATTACCGATGTGAGGTGGGTTGGTGGCATTTTCCGGTCCCGAATGATGTGACATCTCAGCCTGCATCAAGAAGCAGGTCAGAGAGTGATAAGAAATAGGTGTATATGCTGTATTCGGACTGTCGTGGCACCCTAGATGTGACTAGTTGATTATGTCTCGAAGCCAGAGGCCCTCCTTGGCTCGTCCAACATCACATGCGCCAACCAAAGGCGGTGGTGATGATCAACTGCAGTTGACTGCATGCAGCTAACAGAAGACGATAGCTAGGACCGCCCCGCAGCGACTGTCCACACAAACAGGCTCTCTTCAACACATGTAGGATGGGATGGTGTGGATCGCGTTATTTGTGTGTGTGCAACATCGCACACTATGGGAAACTTTATTTGTCAGTCTTTAGACTCAAGACAACAACACAAGTTTGTCGGCTTCCGCCCCAATATCAAGGTATCGAGGTGCCCAGCTCACCTTCAGCGGCTCAGATCGCCAGATTTTCGAGGCTCTTCAAGGCCCAGGAGATCGAGGTGCCGGCTGGAGTCCGGAGGAAGGTGGAGAGAGCCGTGTGCGGCTTTGCAAAAGAGGTTTTTCCGTTTTTTTTTTTTTTTTTTTTTTGGTTGTCGACTGGCCAAGCTCTCGGTGCGCACATTCCTGCCCTTTTAGCCTGCCTGGCGGCGAAGCGATGCTCACTTGCATGTGGCCCCAGCCATGGTGCGTGGACCCCCACTGTTTCTCAATTTCTCCTCTCTCAGCCCTTCTGCATGGCGCTGAGTGACCCATGCGCCCGGCTTAAGCCCATCAGTGGTGGAATTCTCAGGTTCTGGCCCGCGCTGCAGTTCGAAGCGATGAACCATTTGTTACCGCGTTCTAGTATTCATTTTGACCAAGCACAGTATCGTTGTGTAGGACAACTTGCTGCCTTACTTTGTATCCGTATGTTTGGGACCGGAAAGGCTTCTATTATAGACTCGTGGCAACTGCTCGCCGTTGCACGTCCACGAATTCCGATGCTTGGATCGGATTTTAAAGCACCTTCTGCTAAGGATGGGCTCTTCCGCCCCCACACAAGATAAGCCGTTCCTTTTTGAATCGATTGGTCTGGCTAGACCAGTAGCTGCATCAATAGACACATCCACGAGCGCCTTGTGTAACAATCATTCACACCGGTCCGGGAAAACACTAATACCCAATTCGTTCGGTTTTGAAGACTGGCTGCTCAGGCCGGAGGTAGGCAAGGATCGAGAGATCTAGCCCCGCTCCGGCTGTTTAATATTGACGTGGCAGAGCCTCAACTTGTAGAGAGCGGCATTTCAACCGTAGGCCTCAATATAACATTGGGCAGGTATTGTGAGCAGATCGGGGTAGGAGACATACCCATACTAGTCCCGATTGCACGTCGAGCGCTCTGTCACATTTTTTTCGGATACTTGTGATGTGATTTATGTCCTAAGCACACCGAGAATTTGGGAAAAAAACAGCACCATCCTATCATGACCTACGGGAACATATTCTTCTGGAGACCCTGGGAACGGAGCGACTCAAGTAGCTCCAGCAACAGAAGCACACGCCAATCGTCTTCGAGGCGGCCCAGCTCGGCAACTTCAAGGTCTACATATAGTGAACAATATGGCGAGCCCCAACTGATTCATGCGCCATGGATTGATGAGGCAAAATTGAAGAAGACCTTGAAGCGGAGGTATGGGAATGACTACCGGCTACTTGTGAGCTTCTCCCATGTTCCCATCTGTTTTGGAGCTGACCAGTTCAGATGAGCAACAACAAATACAAATTGTACTCGCCCCATGGCTTGACGGAACAGGAGATCAATTATTGCCTATGAAGAGTCTTCTTGTGTCCTTCCATTTATTCCATCGCTCTCTTTTGAAACCAGTATATTTTTACTATTGCCTTGTCGATCAGGGTCTTCCATCCCTTTGCTGGAGCTGTGGCTCCATGTTCTGACTGTATTTCAACTTTTACGGAGGCAGTATGGTGATGTATACCTCTGTCGTATTACCACCGCTGGGATATCTTTGAGGCTTCTTGGCGAATTCGTTTTATTAGGCTCCGAAGTGTGTTGCCAGTCCCTTGCTTGAGATTTCTTATACCCATACACTTTAATGCAGAAAGCCGGTTCAAATTCGGCCTTGACCACGATTTGTTTGCCTCTCTCTATTTTCATGGCCTACATGGAGCAGTGTCGCAATACTCCATACGTCAGTTAAGAGTTTCCGCCCACAATCCATCCCAACTCGTCACAGAGGGTCTCTCATGTGTGATTGGTGGTAATTGCTTGCGTATATGTCGTCTTGGTGGCTCACTCAACGAAATAGATATGCTCGTGACGACGTGAAGGCGTAGAGAGAAAGGGGTTGGACGGCTCCGTTAGCTTGGATACTGCTAGCAGATGGAGACAATGAAGTCCTCTGCGCTCTCTGTGCGGGTTGTGGGCTAAGCCCGTGCTATCAAGAAGCCTTCGAAGAATGCCTGCAGGGTTCCGACTTCATGATCTTGAACAATCGTCGAGACATCTGTGAGAAATGTTAGCCAGCTATTCGCTTAAATCCCAAGAACGTGCGGTGAACTTACATTGGTCGGGCCGAACCACAACAATAGTGATTGATTCGTGGTCAACGCCAATCGTATCAAAGGCGCGGCCGTGCCCAGAGTTGTAACTTTCGTCGTCCACAAATACCTTGTGTAAACCTACGCAAGTCAGTATTTACTTTCCTAAACCAATTCCCCATGGCTCACTTTGTATCATATGTTTCCCTGTGAAAGGCTTGAAAACCTTCGGGATGTGGTGTGACTCAATCCCCGTTCTTCTTGTCTCGAGCACTAGTAGGCACTCAATGACACTGTCCGCGTCTCTATCTCTGCCCGTGAAAGCGCTGACTGTGGACTCAAGGCTTGAAGCAACTTCGTCTAGACGATTTCTTGTTTCCTCCTGTTGGATGTCCCCAGCGAACACGACGACCTTCCATCGTCGATCCGACCGCAGCACGCTCAAGAGTTGGTGCACTTTTGCATCACTGTACCTCACAACTTGCGCACTGGGGAAGCGCATCCCCACGACCAATTCCGACTTCTGCTGAGCAACGGGTACGCCGTTCGTCTTTTCATTCCTCCCAGTAGGCCATGTAATTATGGACTTGCTGTACTTGTATGCCTGGCCAGCGGTGTATCTTCCGGCTTTAACGAACTGATCTCGCACATAGTCTGCTCCAGCGCCGTTGACTCCGGACTTGAAGATTTTGCTCCACATGCGATCAAATTCGATCAATTCTGCTGCAGTCTGCTGCCGCTCGCTGACATACGTCTTGATCAGTTCTTGATTCGCCTGCCCAGTAAGATAAGAACCAAGTTTCCACCCGATGTTGTATCCATCCTGCAAGCTGACGTTCATCCCCTGGCCTGCCTTTGGGCTGTGCGTGTGGCACGCATCGCCGGTCAGGAAGACTCTGTATTGCTCGTGGAAGTTATCCGCGAGTCTCTGTCCAATTTGGTATGCAGACCACCACGTCGTCTCTGCGATATCCATATCGTATGGGCGGAAGATTAATTTGACTCGCTGCTGCAAGTCTTCCAATGTGACTCGGCTGGCAACAGTATCCGATGGCAGTTCGATGTAAAACCTAACAAGAGAGTCGCCCTCGCGAGGAATGATGATCAAGTTGCCGCTCACTGATTGTATCACAGCTTTCTTGCGGATATCCGGAAACGTGGTTCGAGGGTAAAGATCCATGACCCCCCAAATCGCGTCTGTGGAATCGCCGAGCATTTTAAAGCCCAGAGCTTTGCGAACAGCGGAATGCGCTCCGTCGCAACCCAAAGCATATTTGGCCCTAAATATCTGTTCGACTCCATCTTTCAAGGCTGTAACCGTCACTGGATACGAATCCGGGTCTTTCGACGTCTCGTTGTCGACGTGTACCGTTTTCACATCGTATCCATAGTCGATTTCTGCGCCGCCACATCTCAGCATCTCTCTCGTGATCATCTCATTGATGCGAGCCTGGTTGAGAATCACATGAGGTTGGTGGCTTAAACCGGGTTCCGTATCAGGCGCGTAATGAGACCACTTTATGCCCCCTTTTTCACCATCGCTCAAAGCAGTCCCCTCGTCCGGGGCCCAGAAGGCAAGCTCTAGCACATGATATGACTCTCGGAGAAGTTGATCTGACAGACCGAAGCTTTCGAATATCTCGACTGTGCGGCACTGGACTCCATCAGCTTGTCCCTTAACTAGCGGACCGTTGCGGCGCTCAAGGACACGGGAGGCGACACCGTACTTCGCGAGCCAGAGGGCTGCTGTCAGCCCGGCGGACCCAGAGCCGCAGATCAGGACATCGGTATGCTGGATGTGTGATGAGTCACTCATGGTGGCAATGTAATCAGCAAGTGTTTGATTTGAAGGCGGCCAGCAGAGCAGCTGGTGTCGATTTAGCTCCAATCCGCACCGAGGAGAGATGGTACGAACTTGTGCCGTCGACTTAGGGCCTCGTTCTCTGGATATTATTTCCTTTTATCCAACAAGTCTATGGAGAGAACAATCTGAGATAGTCACTGCAAGTGATGCTCGTATCGATCTCGCGATAGCGAGGCCGGAAATTCAAAATTCCGGATGTGAAGTTGCGGGGAAGTAAGCCTACGCCCGGACGGTCTCGCCGGCCCAGCCAGATCTCCAACATGCGAATTGCCCAGCTGCTAGCGGAGATACTGTATGTCCCCGCAAGCTACACATCGCTTTTTCTGGGCATTCTAACCGGCATCGGTGAGAGGTAGCTTAACTTGGCCGTCGCTATTTGAGAAGCAAACGCGACGACCGACGGCCGAGATAGAAGCTAAGTCATCAGAATACTTCGTGATGTTTTCAAACGGCGGCGCAAAATTTCGACCCCAACCACAGCGGCAAGAATGATAGGTAGCCTCGTCCGAGAATAGTACCCCAGTTGCGACAGCTCAGAGGTGATCAGAAGGCGCACATACGTCACCTATTTGTCCTCTGAGCAATTCTGTGCAAATTGGTCCATAACCAGCATTACATCGCAACTCGCTCAGCAGTTCTTTACGGGAAATGCTGTAATTGTCGAGTTTTTGAAGGCGCATGAATTCACCCCTTGTAACATTTCGACAAGCCCTTATTGAAATATCCGTGAGTGGATCACAGTCCAAATTTCGGCGCAATGCGTACCGCCATTCGATTTACCCGACAGCATCTTGTTCCAGGTCAGTTTGGTCTTCCACGACATATTATTGCCGTCCTCGCTGCACACACACATTCATGAACGGCATACTCTAGGAACTTCCGCGCCCAATGAACTCACATAGCTACTGACTTCTGACATGCCCGCATTGAGTCGAAGCGCATGTTGTCACAACAATCTGGCGTTGCCGATCCGGTTCCCAGGTCGACCAAACTTCCGCTTCGCAGGACCAGCATCATGCCTGATGGAAGTGTGTTGTGGCCCTTATCATAGCGTATCTCCTCCACTACAGCAGTAAGCTTTTGACCGGCTTGCCAGCTTGCATGAATTGGGCCGATTCCCTGTGCCAAGCCACGATGTCAACTCCCGTCGACAGTAATAACATTCATGCTCACTTCCGAGGTGTCCCACTTCGCTGCCCAATATCGGGCCTCAGGCTCCTCTTACAGTCTCAAATTTTGTTTTGCGAGCTTGGCCTCTGCTGTTATGAAGGCCAATTATCCCTGAGGTGTGTCAAAACTCTGGGTACGGGATCTGTTGGCAACATCTAGGTCCCCTAAACCTCGACCCCAGCTCCATGCATCTCACAGGGTTAGTGCCCTGCTCGTCTCATGACGAATTACTAGTATCGCGACTAACAGCCCAACGTCATCATAACAATATCAACTACTGCTGTAAGCGGGTCACACATCAAATTAGGTCAGATAGTCATCCGCACCGCGAGGTTGACGACAAAGCCCTCTCTGAAACATCACAAGCCGAGAGATGGGAGGAATCAACAAAAGACCTACACGTACGTGCGTAACGGACGATTGAATCATTCGGGCTTCCCCGAGTGTCATTCGTTACAACCTTCAATAGTCTCTCTCTCTCTCTCTCTCTCTCTCCACTCGAGGCGTCGTTACATCGCTCGAGCGGCGGTGATAACGTCAAACGCAACCATGGATAACTCGTCCGGAGCATCATTCCCAGCCACTCTTTCATACGTCTCCTTCGTCATAGGCATAATATCTTTCATCATCACAGTCCTCAACCTCCTCGCCCTCTATGCCAACTTCATAGCCACCATTCGCAGCGCACCGATCGAGATCCGAGATGCTCTGGGCAACCTGCGAGCGCAACTGCTGGAGGAGCGTGAGGCATTGCGGCAGCAGACGCGCGAGCTCCGCAACAAGAAGGCCCAGATGCGCGAGGGTCGCCAGCGGTCACTGCACCCCGCCCATGCCGGGCGTGCACGCAGCTCGAGCCGCAACGGCCTCAGCCCGCGGCCGAGCAGCGGGAACCTCCGGGGCGGCATGCATACATATGCGCTGAATTACTCGGAGCAGACGCTGGGCTTGCACTACCAGACGGTCCGGGACCTGTGGAGGCAGTTTAAGAGCCTCGAGCGGCCGTTCCTGGTGTCGAGTGGGACGAGGGCAGAGGCTATACGGAACGGGGACGTGTGGGTCGAGAAGGACTTGGTGGACGAGAAGACCTTGCGAGAGGATATCGAGCTGCACGGAGAGTCTGGGAGTTTCGCGGATTGGTCGGCTTTCTATCGGTGTGACTTTACGCATCGGTTCATCTGGTGGCAGAACAAGTCCGACGTCGTGAAGCTGGCGGACGAGGTCCAGCGAGTAATGTTACGAAGAATGGAACGGGAGGTCACATGCATGCGCATGATGTTGAAACAGCTGCGGGATGGCGGGGACGGTCCTGAGGACATCGCGAGTCCGCGGTTCGATGGCGGAGGAGGAGGCGGTGGAGCCACGACGAGTGGAAGGGCTGGCAGCCGGGGCCCTGTTCCACTTGGCATGCGAAGGAGGCCTACGGCGGAAAACTATAATGTCTACGAGTCATCAGAGTCCAGCAGCTCAACGACTGGCCCAAAGTCACAGCGCCGTCCGGATGAGAGAGATCCGAGAGTCCATGTCTCCGAGGTGAGGCAGAGCCGCCCCCCCTCAAGGGCGGGGCCTGAGCTGCGTTACAATGGTGAGGGATGGAGGCAGGGTCAGTTCACTAGAGTTGTCCAATTGTCTCCTCGAGGAACTGCCCCGCCAATACTTGAACCGCCACGACCCTCGAGACCTCGGACACGTTCGGGATACGATGGGCCGCCTGGACCACCTTCGCCTTATGACAGGAGACGGTAGTTGTTCTACGCCTCCTTGTTCTCCAGACGACAAGAACGGAAGCGTCAAAAGACCTGTCCCTCTAATTAATTACCTACGATTTGATCACTACAGTGATACTAGAGCTAGAGACGTAATTGCAGTGCTCAGTTGAAAGCCCCCAGTGTAGAAATTCGCTTCAACCCGCAGGTCCGACACAGACTGCTTCGTATTCATCAATCAAATTATACTGTAATGAGTGAGTACCATTTTTTGACTATAAAGAGTCTTGAAGACTCGTACGAAAAATCTGGACTGCCACTTCAGAAGGACTCGAGCATGGCATCGAGTGCGACTCGATTGCAAATCAATCTGATCCTTTGGCTGATACCATTACCTCGTCATCAAAGAAATTGGACAAATTCGTCAAAAGCCAGCCTCGGCCCCTTTCAAAACCAAATTGTACTTTTACAGGCGAAGCGGGTGCTTCAGTTCACCGGGAACGTTGTACTCGGGAACCTTCATGTCCAGAGCGGAGCCAGAGTAGCCCAAGTCCTCACCCGTGAGAACGGCACACTTCTCTCCGATAAGAAGGGCAGTCGAATATGTGTTGCCTGTGTGCGTATTAGCGTATCGTTCATGTCCAACAAATTATATCAGTGGAACTTACAGCCGACATTGTCAGGGCAGATCGAAAGATCAGCAACCTTCAGGCCCTGGACGCCGTGTACGTTGAGGCGCTCGTCGAGCACGCCGTGCTTGACGATGCTGTTACCCTCCTTAGGAGCCATCGAGCAAGTGCCCAGACTGTGCCAGGTACTCTCGACATGGCGCTTGACCCACTCCTCGACGGCCTCGATATCCTTGCTGGTGTACTGGAGCTCGTCACGGACCTCCTTGTGGTGAGAGTTGAGGTAGGAGATGGTGGGTTTCTTCTCCGCCTCTGTGAGTGGGCTGGACCAGCTGCCGTGGCCAAGACCTGCTGAAAGGTTGCCGGGCAGGGCGTAGGCCTTGGTCGTCAGAAGGTCCATGTCATGGGCCCTCGCGGGTGAGTCGTAGTCGAAGAACGGGTGCTATTTATGTCGTCAGGGTCTATACGCAAGGGGTTGGGTTAAGATTTAAGGAGACATACCATGGCCTCAACCTCGCCGGCGTAGGCGTCCATTCGTCGAGCCGTCTCACGCGACTTGATGTATCCCCAAACCATGGGAACCATGTCCCGCTCGTCGTTCATGAAACCCGTGTCGAAGTCGGGGGCCTCGTACGGGTCAGGGCTCTTGATGTGCGTAGAACCACGCGAGAACGGGTACTCGAGGAAGTGGAACATGGTGAAGAACTTGCCGGCGGGCATAAGCATGTGGTCGCCGAACCATCCGCTGATCACGCTGTAGTGCATGACGGGCTTGTCAGGCTTCTTCTCGAAATATGACTTCCAGCCATCCTTGAAGTGGGGAGTGGGCCACCGCTCGAAGTCCTTGAGTTCTTCGGCCGTAGGCCGGATCTTTACACCGGCCTCGATGCCGTTCGTGGCCAGAGGACCGGTGCCTCTCAGGTTCCATTCTTCGTAAACCCCTGTACAATAATTGGTCAGCAAGTTACTTTCTCCAGATTGGCTCAATGTTCGACAAAAAGTATTGACTTACTCCTCTGGGTGTCAGGGTCGCCACGAACAAAATCGTCGAAGCTCTCCGTGTCAGGCTTCGCACGATAAACAGAAAATGTGAGATAGTGGTCCTGGAAGTTGAGACCGACACCGGGCAAATCCACAATAGGCTTTACACCAACAGCCCGGAGCTTCTTGGGGTCACCGATACCAGAGCGCTGGAGGATGAGCGGTGATGACAGAGTGCCGCCGGACACAATGATTTGCTTCCTCGCCTTAAAAGTGCGGCCATCACGGATACCGCCGCATGGCTTTGTAGGAACAGTCTTCACGCCGACCGCGCGGCCATTCTCGATGATAACCTTGTCGACCTTTGTATTGGTAGCAAGGTAAAGATTTGAGTGAACGGCTCGAGTCGAGTGGATATAAGCGTGAGCGCTGTCACTCCTACGTCCGGTGTCGCGGTTGATCCACTTCAGCCAGTGCTCAGCGCCGTGGGCAGTGACAAGGTCTTGAAGATCATCGACAACAGGAATACCCTGGGTCTCAACAGCCCTGAGGAAGTCATCCTTAATGGGATATGTGTAGTTTCCAAACGAGACCTTGATAGGGCCCTCGTAACCGTGTAGGTTGCGGTTATGTGACGGGCGCTGATATGTCTCGTGCTTCTTCATGAGTGGAAGAAGCTCTTTGGTTGTCCAACCCTTGGCCTGGAAATCGTCGTAGTCTGACGCAGAGGCACGCGTATACATCATAAAGTTGATCGATGACCCACCACCGAGGATATGGGCACATGGCACCACCGCCTTTCGGCCAGCGAGCCACTTGGACGGACGAGACTCATAAAAAGATGCCGTTTTTGAGTCCAACTTCATGTTTCGTGGGTAGATACCCGGCCGGTACACCCATGGGTTGTTGAGATTGCTCTCACCAGCCTCGATGAGCAGCACCTTCAGGTTGTGGTCCAAGTTGGCCAGCCTGTAAAATTATTAACGTGCTGTTTTCTTTGCGGCGTCATCACTGGGAAGGAGACCTACCGGCCGGCCACCACACAACCGCAACTTCCACCACCACATACGATGATATCAAACTCCTCCGGGAGAGTGCTCAACGACGGATTGACGATGTACTCGCCCATGTTTGCTGACTTAAGTATATTTGACTTTTTCAATTCGAGGAAGAATTAGCTCCTGGTCAAAGAGAGAAAGTAGAGAAAAAATATCAGAGTCCTAAGAGGGTTTATGTAGGGACTCACTAGCTGCTGTCAACCATATCAATGAGACCCCCCAAGGTGATAGCTCCCCCACAGATGCAGGAGTTCATCCCTGATGGGGGCATCGATCATGTTGGTCAAAGTAACTTCCCCATCGATAGCTATCCCAGCTTGGATCCCGAGAAACGCCCGTCGCAGCTCTTTGCAGCTCCAATTCCAAGAAACGTCGACGCGGTCAGCCATTGATAATGCACTCCTTCGTTGCAGGTCCCCTCCTTGGGCCCTCTGCGGGCACCAATGAAGACTATCGTCGTCGAGGTCATCTGCAACCTCAAGCTTTAGGTATGGGGGATAAGCTCCTTGTGCTTGCTGTCTGGACTCGCCTGAGACAGCTAGTCCCGGACTCCTGGGGAGCCTGTTGCAGTGGTCCAAACCTTGTCTCTGTTGGGGAGGCTTGAATCAGCAACGGCTGGCCGGCATGTGGAGAGGAGAGAGAAGGCTTTGAGTGATGCTGTATGTCTCGAGTACATTCATCAAGGCGATCGTGTACCGCCAAGTGATGTATAAGTGGCACTGGGCGATCGGATAGGCAGGTGTCTCGCGTAGTACTTACACAGCTCTGGCCGATGCACTGAGTGAAACGGTGACATGTACTTGGTACTAGTCAGTGATTTCAATGGCTCTATCAAAGTAAGATCGACGAATCAGCTTATGCAATGCAGGCTATACCCAGTTTACTCCCTTGCGGGGGATGCTGGGCGTGCTGCAGCGAATCCTCGTCCATGGCGTAGCATCACCATTGAGCCGGCTTTGCGGGGTCAAGCTTCAGCTCGATCATTGGTTGCTTCGAGATCGATTTATAGAGTTGGAGATCAAAAGATTGTCCGGACGAGGACTCATGCTGTGCTACGCCGTTGATGTACATGATGCTGACGAGCCACCGATTTCCGATACTTTGTCACTTGGCTGGTTCCAGTAACGAGCCTCATTACGCGGACTCCAAGCCACCCCTTAGCCCCCGCGCCCGCCGATGGGCAAAAGGTGCGGGGAATGCAGCTCGGGTGCATGACTTTTCGTGTTGGCGAGGTTAGCATGCTTGGTCGTTCAGAGGTGCCGAGACTTGCGGGAGGATTGGCATTTCAGCCAGGTGGGCGGATAGCTGAGAGGAACCCAATGGGGCTTGAGGCCACTTCACCCCCGGTACCCGCCTTATGCACCCCAGAATTACCCCAGACTATCCTCCAATAAGAGCATGCGGGGGTTTCACTCTAGGCCTGGCGGCTCGCGGCAGCTTCCATATACCCGGCTCGTAAAAGGGTGCGGCAAGTTCATTATGTCCGTCGTGACACTGGCGTGTTGGCTGTAGGTTGGTTGTAAAGCCAACGTATCAGGCCGCAGATATCTGTTGGCTGTCATGAACATGTCTGCTTCGAGCTTGGGGCAGCATCTGGGCAGAGCGATCGAGCTTGGGTCAAAAAATCCCGAGCAACGTCCGATAGAGATGAACATCAGTCATTTGACTGTGTCCTCGCTGTGACGTCTCCAGGGACAGGGACCACTCAAAGGGTGTCACACGATGATGCGGAGAAGCATGACAATGTGTTCGACTGCAGTATCTACGCAGGTTGTTCCCTGGTCACCGTAGCATTTCTCCTGTCCTGAACGTGCCTCTGACGGTCATGGCAGGGCGAGCGGTGGCAGTGCATAGTCCCGAGTTTCTGGATGTCTTCCAGACGGGCCCAGATCGATGAGACCGAGCATCCTGCAGTGAAACTGCCTGTGCCCTGCCCTGACATCCGGCGACGCCCTTGACGTCTCATATGGAGGGACGTCTTTGACGAGTTGGAGTAGCTTTGAATTGCAACCGAGCTTGGCGAGAACGGTATATTTGTTCGAGCTGCAGCTCTATAGGATGGTTTCTCCAGCCGAGCTGTCAAACATAATAGGTTAGGGAAGCACGTAGATCGGGAAAGCCGCAATTCCGGCCAGCCGCATAGATTCTGCTTAGTTCACTGCTGATTCATACAAGCACATCAACCAAAAAGTTGGAGGAGGACCAATATCGAGTCTCCAGTGCCTCACAGACTAAGCTTCTCTCAGGTTTAGTTCCGAGGAAGCATCCCATCGGCCATAATCCTCACACGGACTCCAGATATTTGGCCTTGGATTCCCAAATACTCTGAGGTGATTAGCGCCTAGGATGTAACGATCATCGCCAAACACACCCAAGCTCCAATATGCGAACGCAATTGAGTTTTACGCGGCGTATTTCATTTCAAGTAAGTTTCATCGTACCTAAATCCAACTCTGCCCTCTTCTTTCCCTTCCAGCAGCGGAACCGCGATACAATCCCCGCTTGGCGGTGCCCAATCCTTCGCTCACTAATCCAGCCAGGAAATGCACTCCTACAGCCACGCCATCCACGACCATGACCTCCCTGTCCTCCATGCCGACGGTCTTTTGGCAGACATCTCTCATCTCCGTCATCCCCGCACAACCTAGGCAGATACAGTCGGCGCCTCTCTCAACCAACCTCTTAGCCGCGCTGGCCAAGCCCGCGTACACTTCCTCCTTAGGCTTCGAGTCCAACTCTAGCACAGCAATATCCGCAGCCTCGCACCCAACGGAAAACTTGCCCAAGCCGTAGGTGGTATTTATAGAGTCCTCGTGCAAGAACCGTGACCTCTGCCCTGTAGTGATCACACTTAATCTCTCCCCACACATCCTGCTCGCGTACAGGGATGCCTCCATGATCCCAATGCAAGGCTGTGTAAACTCCTCCCTAAGCATTGCGATCAACGGGTGAGCAGAGAAGCATGCCACCAGAAAGGCATCGAAGTGCGGCTGGGACGGATCCGTGACGATGGGGTGCAATGCCCGGAAGCAGTCTGCGGCGGACAGGACGGCGTCAGCGCGGCCCTCAATGGCGGATGGTGCTGTCGGGGGTGCTGTAAAGCCATGAACTGTCACGTGGGTCGGGAGCGTGTCGGAGATGCTTCGAAGACAGGCTTCAGTCATGGAAGCGGTCGAGTTAGGGTTGATGAGGAGGATCGAGATGGGGCGGGTAGATGACCCTGTCACTGACGGCAACATCCTCTCCGCGTCCGGGTGACCCGCGAGACCCTCTTCCTCGCGAAATTGAAAATGGCGTGAGTATCCTGTCGTTCAAGACCTTTGCCCTTGGATTCGACAACGATTAGGCTGGATGGTGTTCTCGGGAAGAATTACCGGCTGGTACTGAGACAGGGGAGAGGGGTCGGCTTTCACGTTGCCCGTCGGCAAGGGCTATCGACACCACGCCGAGGCCGGGCGCGACATTCGATTCGTCTCCCGAGAAAGCAAACACAAACAGAGCAACAGCCGATTAAGGGACTTTTCGAGGATCATTGACGAGAAACCATGGACGAATGAAATCTAATATCATCTGCCCCATGCTTAAGTTGGGCAACTTGGTCCTATGTCTAAGATCCCTTCGTTTGCACAAGCCCCCAGCATGAACATTCATAATCTCTTGCGCGCCATCTCGAGGGCTGACTAGCACATCTGCAAGGTGTGGGTATGTACGGCGCCTTCGGCCTTGGGCTCCCAAGCTCAGTCTGGACCCGGCTGAAACGAAGAGCTCTCGTGGGTGCCAAACATCATTCTCATCAGCTCCTCGTCCGGACCGTCGTAATTCAACGCTGGTTGGAAGTCAACGCCCTCATGCTCAAAATCGAGGATCCCATCCAAGCCTTCATCGAACACAATTTGGTCTGACGAAGCCTCTTGCTCGCTACCGGCGAGTGTATCGGTTGGCCCTCGGCCAGACAGGCTGAACCTCATGTTGGGAGGTGCGACACCGGAGGCGTCATTTGAATTGGAGACGACTCTTTCTAAAGAGGTGGAGGACGATGGCGGAGTGTCTTGGTCAACGCTCTCTGACCCTGAAGGCCCGCTCGGCTCTTGACTACTGTTACTCCTACGGGAAACCCACTGATCGAATATTGCACGCAGCCCTTCCTCGAAGACGGTTTGCTGGAAGGCTGCAAGATCCCGTTCCTCATTCGGGAGGTTCCAAGTGATAGCCCCCCGCCGAGTAAGGACATCTGACAAAATTTGTGGCCCGCTACTTGTCAAGAAGTCTTGATAGAGTGTGATATCCTGGAGAAGCTCGCTGTCGATGTACGGCGACCGAGGGCGTGGATCGTGTCCTGGGAACAGAATGTCGAACACGGCAAACCACTGATCCTCTACGGAGGTATTCGAAGCCGACTTCTTCGCAAGTTGGCGTTTTTGTGACTCTGTGATCCCGTCCAGCTTGACTGGTGGCCGTAACGGGCAAGAAGACTCTCGAACGTGTCCGTCACGTTCCTCTTCTGTCTCAAATGTGCCCATACACCGAGGACAATATGGCGGGTTGCGGTGACATCGAGCCAAGTGCTGCTTCACGTCTCGAATTCTGCTCAACACGTACTTGTAGCAATCTCGATACGACATCGGGTCCTTCTTCGTGTATGGACAGGCAAAGGTCAACTTTCGATCAGAGGTTCGTCTGCGTTTGCTGGAGGTGGCCTGGCTTGACGAGGACCCACTCTTGTCAGTGGTGTCCTTGCTGCTTCCCGACTGGTCCGCCAATGTTCGTTTCCTTGTTGCTAAATCCTTTCCCTTGCCCCTATCTTGATTCGGTGCGGTATTGGATTTTCCTGCGCCATCGCAAGGAACATCCTGTTCAAAACGGTATTCTTTCCACCTACAAAAAGCTTCAAATACTCTTGCGGCCGACAAAGCCTTGAATCGCATGAAAGGATGGTCTTTATCCAGCTTTTCATCTTCATCTTCTGAGTACTCCGCCAACCAGAAAGAACTCGATTCCGGCGTCGAAATTTCAGTGGGGGGGCTCAAAGGACCGTCAATTGAAGATTCGTGCATATGCGGTATTTTAATGTGATGGGGAAGACCACCGCTTATGGCTTGCCCATCGCCAATTCCAGTCAAGTGCGCTTCCGTTACAGCCTCACTTTCAATAGCTGCTTCATCTTGATCATTCTTACAGACTACATATTGACTATTAATATGATCCAACAGTCCAGACATGCAGGTCTTACTCACCCCTGACATCCTCTATGGGAATGCAATGTGGGAGATACTTGTCTCGGGACTCCTCCTTTACGGGCGCTTTATCAGGTAGTTTCGGTACAATTAGGTACGATTCCTGAAAAACACTGAAACATTCCTCATCATTGAACCCAAGCACTGGTACCATAGTTCCGTAACCAGAGTCTTCACTTGACGTTGTTAAATCGAGATATGGGTCTTCATCATGCCGTATTTTCTTGGTCACTGGTGCATCGTCATCATGTGCCATGGTGGATTCGTCGAGATCAGGCTGCTTTTGCCCAGCCTGATTAGAGCTGTCGAGAGCTGGTCGGGTTTGGAGGCTCTTATCTCTTGGGCTCACAGATTCGGCTCCCCGAGGATACAGCGAGGTGAGAAACTCGGGATGCTTCCTGGCGACGTGAGGCTCAACGTTGTCAGGCCGGTTTTTGAAGGCCTTGTTGCTGATGGGACAGTGGTAGTCTTCGCATTCGTGGTTGCGCTTGACATGCGTCTGTATCGCCTGCTCCGTATTCTGCACCGGCCCATTCGGACGCGGAAGATGTCTTTAAGAAGGCAGTAGCTGATTGCGGAGGTGCAACAAGGCAGCCAGAACTGCACGAGCGAGGCACAGGGATTGTAAGACGTGCCACACGAGAATGTGAACGGTACGAGAGTGTGAACCTCGAAAAAAGCGAAGGATTGTTTCAGCAACTTTAAAGAACAAGAGATCAAGTCCCAGTGGAAGAACGGTAAGTATTGCGCAACCAGGGCTCCGCTCTATCTGTGCCACCACCAAAATTTGCAAGCGTGCTGACGAGTTGTGGTTTGATGTAGCCAAAGCACAATTGTGCTCAGAAGTATCTTGTACCCCTAACTCAAGCTGCAGCTAAATAGGCGAGCGAATGAGAGGCTTCAGAAGATTGGGCACCTTCCACACAACGTTTTGTTCCCCTTCGTTCTAAGATGTAATTGATAATCTATTTCTCCTAGAGATATGATATCTAGACATTTTCAGCTTAAGTCGGCACACTGCCCTCCTAATTATACGGCTGAACTGGGTAGAACCACACGGCAAGAGACAACACAGCGTACAATGCCATCATCATTATTCCATGTAGCCTGGCATTTATGTTTCACAGTCAGCATTTTTTTTCCTAGCAGAATAAGAAGTGCATAATTATATCAAGCAATGTACAAGATCTACTGACAGGTTAAAGTTCCCCGAGGCAGAAATGGCATTCATCAGGTAAACCGACGTGAACAGCGTTGTCACTGCTAGTATGTCGAAAGATAGGCTGGCTTCATCAAATCCTGCACCCCAAGCCACCAGGACCAGGAATGGAGAGCAAAACAAAGCCATCTGTAGTGATTTGTCAAACGTAAATGTCAGCACTGCATTCATTGATCGTTCGGCCTGCTCAACTGCGGCTACATCACAATTGAGGACGGGAATCAGGATGTAACCGCTGAAGCCGAAACTCGGGGAATTGTGGCGTTCCCTCAGCTCCAGAACACTATTAACAACAAAATCGACGCAGAAATAGACAAGAGCTGTAGTTATGACAAACATGACGGACGCCGTCCAGATCGAGAGCTCCACTGCCTCGCTTCTTTGTCGTTGTGGTGCGGAACCGCCGTTGTGTGCTTCAGCTCTCAGCGCGTGAGCGTGGATTTCTCGGGTGGGATACTGCTTGACTGGTGGATCGCATCCAAAAAGTTCCTTGTGTGTAGACAACTGGAAGAAGAGATATGCCCCGTACGTGACCATCAGCAAAACGGAGACCCCCCTCGACACGCCTGCCGTGGAAATCACTGGCAAATCTGTTTCTTTGTCGAACACCGTAGGCGCGATAAATCCGCTGGTCACCAAGAACAGCAGCAAAGTGTACTTCTTGGTAACTCTGATGTCATGGACCATACTTTTCTGTCGAAGTGTGGCATAAAATACCGACAGAGCAGGGAGGAGCAACAAGTTTGCTTGTAGGTTTCCTATCAATGACATTTGCATCATAACAATCTCGCCTCTGAGAAGTAAAATGATGCTTGATATTGCTTGCATCAAGTTGCTATTTCGGCACGTCAGCGTGACTGAAACGCGGGCTCTGGTGCTCGCGTACCTGGCGGATATGTAGAGTAGCATCCCATATCTTGTGCCGATTCTCGCTGTGATACTTCTGAGAATGGCGTCTTCTAGACCGAGTAGTCCTACAGCAGCCAAAAAATTGACAACCAGAACTGCAATTACCGGGCCAGGTACAAAGCCGAGAGCAATACCTGCTGGGACACAGAGTAGAAGGACGTTTATCCAGGACCTGAATAGAAGACCATACACTTGTTTCACCACTGAACCGCTGGTAATCTTCAGATTGACAAGACCATTTCGCCAACAGTTTCGAAGACTCATGTGGTCGGAATTTGGAGTCATGGTCAGGAGCCAAGATCAGATAGGCGGGTAAGCTTTGAAGTTGAGTCTAAGGATGTAGCAGGTATGGCAAGCAGTGAGAAATGGACATCTGGCCTACCTGGAGGAGATGTCTTCCAGTTTCTTGAAAGACTTAGTGCTCACCAACAGGTTTGCTTGAGACATGTCATTGCACTAGTGAGAAGAGAACCAGGAGGTACCGGCTACAAAACAGAGTATTACATAAGCTGCTACTTGAGGTCGCTGTCACTCTTCGTGTGGGGTTCTATAAACCTTTGCTGTGCATCTTGTTGGCATATATTTCACTGACCTAGTCGCAGGTGCGAGCGGAGGTACTAATTAACAGTTTTGAAAACAAATCGATGCTCAAGAGTGCCCGGGGAACAAGTGCAACCAAATAGTTGTCGGCGTGACCGATTTCTCCTGAATTGCTTCTTCCGATTTTTCTACTTCCACATCCTATCCGCTTGTTTCCTATGGGTGAATCAAATGACGACTGGCGGTTCAAGCCACTCCTGCTCAGCCTCCAATGATACTTCGCAGAGAAGTCAGCACTTAGAGCGACTAATGCAGGGACGCTCCAATGTCTGTTAGGATTCAGCTGTAGGCCTCCCAAGCCCCAGCGATAAGCCCAGCATTCAGCCCACCACCTTTTCCGGTGTGCATCGGCTCAGCCCCATTGTGCCTGCGAAAACCGCCCACGCCTGCATCATGTCTAGGGCAAGAGTGCGTAGTCGGGGTCAGAGACGATCAGGCTTTCATGGTCGCCAGCTAATGGAGGAATCGTGGCTAGTTGACTTGGAGGGCACCTTGATTGTTTCGTTTCAAATCTATGTTTCGATGTCCCAACCTCCCGTTGAACGTGCTGTCAATTGTTGTCGCAATTTCGATTGATCGATTCTATTGTTGTTGTCGTGCCCTAGTGAATTTGAAGCTATCATATCAAGCACTCGGAACAGAGAGAAAGGGCAGCCCCGAAGCGGGTAGATTTCGACATGGATCCGCTCTCAATCACCACATCCGCGATTACGTTGATCCAGGCTGCTGGCTCCGTAAGTCTTTCCGAAACCATGTGCATCTTACCACCCTCAATAGTTGGCTAGGCATATTCCAAGATGCCAAAGTCCTATACGTTGGCAATATTACTAAGAACAACTGCTTGCCAATTGTTAGATCACAAGCTCACTGTGCGGCTTTATCACTCAGTGCCGCGGAGCCGAGACCCGTATCACAGGCCTATGCGATGAGCTTGAAAGCCTGACCTCGGGTCTCGAGGCCATAGACCGCACGCTCAAGGGGCGCAATGCGCTTGACCTAGCGCTGGTGGAAGACGACCTATGGAAGCAATGCGAGCTTGCACTGGACGACTGCCACGTCACGTTGAACTCGCTAGGGGTGCTTGTGCAGAAGATCAGGGAGACCGTGCGGTCCAAAGCATGGGCCTGGAGGGTGAGGGCCGTGGTGAACCTGAATGTGTACGGCGGCGACCTTGCGGCCTTCAGAGACAAAGTGCACAAATCGAATTGGGCGCTCCAGACCATGCTCCAGACGATCAACGTAACACTGTCGCTGAGGAACCACGCTTCGCAGGAGGCGATCCTGTTCGAGCTCGACCGCCTCAAGTCATCCATCGAGGAAGCTCTGAGGGCATCCATCCGCCCCGTAGGAGGCTTCGCTCACCGGCCCGCTGACCACTCGGACGCGCGCGTGGCCCGGAACCTCAGGAACCTGGCCCAGGCGGCAAGGCACTTCCACAGCGCCGCAAGCACGACGGCCAGCACAATTCGCGATGGCTCTCGTGGTGGGGCACCGTGGCAGGCCTACCCGGGGGCGGATGTCGATGTGAGCCTCATGGGCGATCTTCCCTCTTTCAGAAGGGAGCGGGTGGAAGAATACGTCCGTGAGGGGCGCCGCCATCGCAGGTCACTATCGTCAGGGCTGACGAGTCCGAGCTTCTCTCCCTCCGGCGAGCAAACATCTCGGCTGCGAAGAGGATCCCGGTCACCTCGCCGCCCGACAGCCATACATAGTCCTCGGCCGCTATCCTTCTCTAGGACAACAGAAAACGTCATTGTACCGGAATCAGTGACTGCAGCCACTGCTGAGGACGATGAAGACGACGACGACGAGTTCGAACGACTCTTTCTCGATGGTCTGGAGGAGCTTGCAAAAGATCGCATTAAGGAACGTGATTTCGATAAGGCAATCGAGTTCCTACAGGAGGCTATGAAGCGCGAGGTCGGTAGCAGGTCCGACAACGAGGGCTTCCGCAACATGCAGGTGCAGCTCGCACTGTGCTATCTTCTCCAGCGTCGTTGGGAGATGGCAGAGCCTATTATCACTGGCCTGGCGAAGAACAAGGCAGCCACTGATGCTGTTACCTGCAACTTACTTCACTCCATGGCCCTGGTCCACCTGTCACTGTACCTTTTCGACAAAGCCCTGACCGTATGCCGGGAGGCACTGCTGGCCAAGAAGAAGCTGCTCAAGAAGGAAAAGATTGACGTCGAGGACTATGCACAGACACAGGGACTGCTCGTAATGATATACGAGATGAAGGGCGACTGGATGCGGGCCGAGGTCTACCAGTCACAGCTACCGGCCAGCTTCGTCTACACGCACCCTAGGAACGAGGTAGAGTTCATCAGTGCTCATCCAAGTCTCTTGGCCACCGTCCTCGGCGACAACCTCCCTGACTTTTCTGTTCCTGTGCCAAGAGTTACACCGGGCCTGCACGAACTGGATGGATCTGGACCTGATACTTGCCCCCCGTCCCAGCCTGCGCCAGCCCTCAAGAGGAATCACACTTACAACGGTGCTTCGCCGCTGAAAGTCAAGTTTACGCAGCAGTTGAAATATGAAAACGACACAAGCAAAATAGCTTATACGCCAGAATCTGCATCGACAGAGGATGCCTGTCCCCAGTCCAGCCTCGATTTGAGCACCAGTGAGGATGCAGATGATGAAGCTTCCCCGACGACATCACCGGAGCCAGAGTCCCCAATCAGGCGGCGACTCTCCCGCATGTTCGGCGGGAGAAGAGACCAGCCACTGCAGCCTGCTAAGGTGTCAGCGCCACCACTGGACGAGTGTGCTGACGTTCCCGCCCGTGTGCTGACCAGACCCGCTCCAAAACCTGGCTGGGTTAACGTGATGCTTCGATTTAAGAAGCCCAGAAAATTGCTGCGAAAGGCGTCTCACGACGATGAGTCCTCAGACGATACACCGGGGGATCTGGGCAAGCCGAAAGAATTCAAGCTGCTGTATATGGAGCGCATGACGCACGAGAACGTCGATCAAGTGAATGATCCCAACTATCGGCGCCAGTATTGGTCACCGGAAAGCTTCGAGCACTGCAATGCCAGCACTCAGGAGATAGATACAGGCAGTGTTGGTGGCTCAGATCACGGGGCGAGAAGACGCTCGGGGGCACTGCCCGAATACGACGCCGAGTATGAGAACTTGGCGTTCAAGAATGGTGTTCCATATGCCGATATGGAAGGAGTTAGACGTCCTCGTCTGCAACTGGAAGATGTGCAGGAGGGGGAAGAGAACGAAGGTGAAGGCGAGCACGACACAGTGCCCGAGACGACAGAACCGCAACCTATAGCAGAATTGTCAGCCGAAAGTGTTGAACACCTCGAGGCGCCGAGTCTCTGGGACCCATATCTTTGCCGCACCAACATTGATGTCGAAGGATATTGGAACACTGCCATGCGCGCCAGACCAAGTGGAGTCAGGCGTGAAAGTCTCATCCCGGCAGGAATGGACTTCGGTGAAAACGAAGCCCTGGTGTTATTGATGCTGGAACAGCAGCCCAGCGCTCTCACAGGCCTCGAGACGATTCCTGCAGACACAAACGCCTCCGATGAGCACGAAACAGGCAGGAAACGATCCAATGCGGCTCGCACAGCCATCCAACCCGGGGACCCGCTCCTGCAGTCAATCTCCTCCGTACTAGCCTCACTCGCGCAAATCCCTGACGCCGAGGGCCGCCATGCCATGAAGCTCGATCTCGAGATCATGGCACTGGAGTTCAAGAAGCGCTTCCACGACGGACTGGTGTACCAGGACCTACAGAGAGCCATCGACTCTCTCGAGAACGATGCCATCACCGTTCCTCGGCACGAGGCTGATGATTCTGGGTACGAGTCTATGGAAAGCGAAAAGAAGGGGGAGGGGCAGGAGGACAAGGCAAGGCCGGTCGCAAAAAGGACCGTGGTTTCCAAGATCAGGTCGCCTTCGGCAGACCACACTTCGCATAAAAGCACCAACAGTCCCGGAATGCAGGCCACCTGCAACGCGCCCCTCCCATCGCCACGTAACGAGCAGTCACATCAGACGCAGCAGCCTCAAGAAGATCGGCCACCACTGAGAAAGAGATTCTCATTTGACGATGAGGCAGACGAAGTGGTAGATCCCAGCCACGCAGTCGCAGCGCTACGGGCTCTTGTCGAGTCGGGGGAGACCGATGTTATCAAGTCCGCGATCGAACCAAGCGTTCATACCCGGGCCGGCTTTCGGAGGGCCCTGAAGAGGGGATGCTTATTGGATGGATCAGGCGTGAAGACTGAGACAGTGGGAAGTCCTCGTGCCACGTCTGCGAGTTAGAGACGGCCGAAATCGGTGGTAACAATCAAGGCCGGGGGGGGGGGGTCTATACAAGAGACTCCGTAACTGTCCAATTCTCAAAGGAGGTAGACTAGCATCGATTGTGCGCAGTCATGACGACGGAGACTGGAGTGCCATTTGTGGGACGACTGAAGAAATTAAAAGCAAGCTGGCCTTGCTTTACCGGGAAGTAAACACGCTATTTAAGTTTTTATGATTGATAGAAAGGGATGTATTGATCAAGGCAAAGAGCAAAAATCAACTGTTTGGAGGATTGGCAGCAGGTATTGTATATAGCTAAGGCACAATTGTGCTCGGAAGTATTTCGTACCCCGAGCTGAAGCTGCAGCTAAACAAGCGAGCGAATAAGAGGTCTGCAAGGATTCGTCCACCATCAAAGCACCGTAGTGCTCTCCTTCGTTGTTATACACAACCGTCTAGCCATTTTTGCGGCGAAGTAGCTAAATTGCAAACGAGTTTGGGACCAGTTGTGCCCATTTTCGAGAAGCAGAGAAGTCAAGGTTCCGTAGAAATGTGTGCAGAAATATAAATAATCCAATATGCGCACCCCCGAGACAGAAGGTCGAAGTGAATGTGGATGTATCTACAGAACGACAGGAAAAGTCACATGTCACGAAAAAGACCCCAACATTTGAAGCTTTCAAAGTGTGATTCTGCGCAATTAAAATTCATCTTATTTTATCCAAGATGTCTCAGGTTTCTGGTCAAGTCAGCGGAGACACGCCGTAAGTGTAGCACTTTGCCAGGAAAACTTGTGGTTGAAGCCACGAGATGTGACTGACGTCAACTTGATTTAGACAATGCGAATCCGGGCCTTCTCCAGCCCTTGTTTCGTGGCTGTCAGCTCCGCCAACATTTACCGAGAGCATTTCGAACCATTTGCCGAATGAGAACAGGAAGAAGAGATTGGAAGACAAAATCGCGCGTCTAGATACCAAGATTAGGGCCAAGGGGACTGGAAGCCGCTGAGGAGCATTATCTAGGAGACAAATGAAGAGTCGGAGGTGCCAGTGAGGGAACAACAATGCCGACAACTCACATGATTGCTGACAAAGAGTGGGCGCCTCCATGTTTTAGACTTTTATAGAAGCTCTGAACTCGTCGTTGCGGCGTTGCAAGACCAGCGGGCGGATATGATTTGATGCAGGGAATGACGGCAGAAAATGGAACAGGAAGTTAGAAGTCTCCGAATTATATGATGAAACCGCGAATGTCCGCCTCCCAGGGTATATATGCCTCTGCCTTTGTCTGACATGATTCAATTACATCTCTCAACCAAGTGATTATGAGTTCCGCCCGTGTCCGGAACTGTGGCTTCTTGTACCAGAGCGAAACAGGTAAGTGTCCAAAGCCATTCTCAAGTACGTCCTTCCGTTTCCTCCGTCATCTCTTTGCAACACACAAGGACTCTGCATTTGCATTGTCAAAAGCGGCCAAGCGACCTGGAACGAGTCTATCACCGCCTGTGTCGATAGCTCTCGTGAGTGCTGGTACCATGGTGCCGACCGAGATCGTCGCCAGGCTTAGCTCTGTAATAGCCACCTCCGAGCTTCTCAAGAAAAACGTCGCAGATTCCGAAGAACCCATCGATTAGGCCTTTGAAGGAATGTCCTAGGCCAGACATGATTGCTGCCTCGGGAAAGAAGCAGCAATTTGAAGACAACAGACCGGCAGAAAGAAGCCTTCACTGTCCTCTTTACCCTTGAACACACTTGCCATCAGCACCGGGTCCGGAACAGTCACTGGCGCACAAATAGTGTTGCAGTCACGAGCCGAGCTTACTGTGGCAGGATACGGTATGAGGACGATAGCAGTAGCCAAAGATACTGAGCACGTGAGATGGGTTGTCTCGAAATGATGTTTGTAAGTCAGAGTTTTCGTAAACTTTTGAGGCTTGAGGGATTCTCAGAGCCCAAGTCAACGTGAAGCAATCAATGGTAGGGCATCGAGCTCTATATCTTAAAAGAACGGCGTCCTCGAGAATTGTCAGGTCGAAGAGTTCATTGCGGCTGATAAGACAGATGACGTGCGGATGACAGTTGATACCATCCACACTGTCTGAATTCGGAAAGATAAGATGCAGATGGCTTACGGAAGATGAGCTTAGGGCCCTTGGCTGGGGGCTCTAGGGCCTGGGCCTGCAGCAAGTTTTGGTCGTGAACCTGTTTTCAAGCTTGAAGGTCGACTCTTCTCTCCTTCATGTCATTTATTCGACTTTTGGATCAACGTGCCATCGACGCACCCCTCCAGTTCATCAATCGATGCAAGATTATGCACTAGCGGTGATGCCATGACACCCACGGGCTCATGCGTACGGTGTCTTGGCAATTCAGTAGGTTACCACTTATGTCTGGGCACTGACGTACCAGCCAGAAAGTAATGGTATTGTACAGTATCGTACAAAATATGTAAATTGACAGAACTAAATTTTTACTTCGAATTGAAAGGCAGAACACTGTTCCTCGTTAAACAGAATGGCGTTCTATTACCCAAGTCGCTTGAAGACATCAGTGTCTACCTAGCCCCGTGACGTCTACGACACTTGTGCGCCTGCGTTGACTTCTCCCCTACACTTGAAGTAACGTTGGTAGATGTCGAAACCGGGAGGCTGGAAGAAGAGGTCGTAGCAGCTCCGGGACTCGACGTGCTGTTGGTCTTTCTGATGTTCGCAGCAACATCGGAATCGTCCATGTGGTATAACAGCGAGCCCCATCCGAGGCCATCGTAATGCCCAGACCCCTCTCCATAGGTGCTAGCCCCGGGTTCGAAGCCACCGTAGCCAGTCAGGGTGTAGTTGAGGTACTTTTCGGTCCACGGCGCATCCATGCCTTTGACCTGAACGTAGTGACTATACAGCAGCTCCCATGTTGGGCGGGTTGCGCCGCGCGAGGCGTTGCTGACCTGGTCGTAGAAGACAATGGAGTTGGTGTAGTTGACAAATGGGACGTCATAGCCCAGATTGTAACGGGCGAAATACTCGGCTCTGACGAGAGGTAGTTAGTATGGTTGCCTTGACGTATGAGCAGGAATGAGTTCTTACCCTTGGAGAATTCGGCTGTTGTTGTACGCGAACAGATCTTCTCCCTGGTTCCAGGCCTGCTGACCAACGACACCTAACATCTGCTGGTCAAGTGCCGAGTGTCCTTGGTCCCGTCCAGACTCTTGCCCCTGGCCCAGGATGGTTCCAGTGCCGGGCTCCTCGACCAGGTTCGAAACAGCGAGGTTGATGCAGCCGTTGCCGCCTCCATTCTTGAAATAGTCCACAACGAAATCCCAGGTAGTCGAGTTCTCGGTCAGCACAGCTATGGCCATAGCGGAGGCCATGTTACCGAGCTCCCAATTCGCAAAGTAATGGGTCCAGATATGCTCGGCCGGGAGCTCGTGGTTGAGGAACGCCAGGTTCATGGGCAAGAACACGCTGGTCATCATATTCGTGAAGGTGTCGAAGCCATCGTCTTTGAAGGGCTGATAGTCTCGAAGGAGCTCCGCTGCGTTTGCCAGCTCGTGACCCTGGAAGCCAGAGCAGAGGTATGCGTCCATATCCCCACCGATCGTCGTGAGCTTCTCGCCCCAGGCGGTCAGGATAGAAGCCGCAGCATCCGCGTAAGAGTCGTTGCCGCTGATTTTCCAGCGCAGGGCGAGCATGAAGGCAGCTGCGGCATCGTGCCATAGGAGCTCATTGTTGGCAGAATGCTCACCGTCGGAGCCGCGGTAGATGGCTTCGACGGCGTTGTTGGTGTAAGTGGCTTGGGCGTAATCCGAGCTGGTCAGAAGGTCCCAGCTGCTGAGCCAGGGGTCCAGGCCTGCGTCGATCTTGGACGTGGCCCGGTCGAGGTCGGATGTGGTGACCAGCAGACCCGGATGAACGAATGCAAGGGCATCAGATGCACATCCTAAGACTAGTGAAGAGGTGAGTAAAGATCTTTGAAGGTTAACCATAGCGAATGTAAGAAAATGAGAGTTGAATAGAAAATGAGAGGCGAATTGAAGAATGAGAGAATGACGAGCAACCCGCCGGCGTGAAAAGTCAAGCACGATCGTGTAGATTTACATCAGGCCGAAAAAGCCTCTGGTGAGCATCGCAGACACTTTGTATTGACAAACTCCCCTAAATGTTTCTCGTTCCAGCAACTCGGGTCCGGGTGTGAGTGACCCACACACACCCAAATGCCGGGGAAAATCATTCCACCAGCATGTCTTGTCGTATTCGGTCAACCTTGACAAGCATCTCAGGAGCCAGAAAGCGGCGGCTGTTCTGTCATATCACAATTTGAGGCAGTGGCAGCTGCATGTACATGGGGGTCCCGCGGCCCTTAATTTCAGCAAGTCTCCGCCCTCGCCGTGTGGCCGCTTGGTTTAGCGTTAATATCTGCAGGGGAGCTAAAGGAGGAAACAACTAAAATCAGTACTTCAATTAAACAAACACGGCATCCTTTCCGGTGCGATGGCTAATGAAGATGCAGATTCTCGCTCCAAAGCTGTGAAGATAATCGTTCTCTGTGTAAACCCATTCCAATCTCTGAATTTGAAGAAAGGCCGCGTAACTATGCATCGGGCACAAATGGTTCATAAAGATGTGCAAGCATAGAGATGGTCAGAACTACAAGGTCTTCCGGTTGGGATAACTACGTCCTGTTGCTACGCCCAGTGGTTTCGCTCTCCGTCCATCATACCTATCGCTCGCCTTCCCATCTGTCCCGTCAGGATGCTTGACCTGGCCCTTCTCAGGAAAAGTCCATCTGACTTCGAACCTAACATGCCGTTTCCATCCCTATCCCACACGAGCTTGCCCCTTAGGAACACCCAACGAGGCCAGTTGCGGACCTCGATGCCCTCAAACGGCGTGTAGTCAATCCTGTGGTGAAGCAGATCATTGGTGATCTTGAACCTATTCCTCCCCTCCTTGTGTGGTCCGGCACCCTCTTGGGTACCATTTAATGATCCCGTCGAAGCCTCTGCGGGCAGTGTTGCCTCCGGATACCAGATTACCAAGTCTGCATCGAAACCAGGCATCAGGCTTCCCTTGCAATGCCCCAGGCCGTATAGCTTTGCAGGGTTTGTCGAAGTCAACTCCACAAATCGAGGCAGCGATATACGAATCTTGTCATCTTGGAAAAGATACCCAACAGTCGGGTCAAATGTTCTGTTGAAGACCAGGGGCAACCTTGTCTCAATCCCGGGCAATCCGTTCGGCACGAATCGGAAGTCAGAGTGAACACAACCATGCTCGTCTACAGAGGCTGTATCCATTGCCTTACCCTTCTTTCCGATCGGGTGGTCGAACGTAGCAGGTGCATGGTCTGAACTGATGGTGGTGAACGTGCCATTGGCGACGCTCCTCCAGATTTCTTCTAGATCGCCAGCATCATGCCGTAATGGTGGTGCGCAGATATTCTTCGAGCCTTCGACATCTTGCGGCCCGGATCGTAACCTTTCACTGACGAGGTACAAATAGTGCGGGCACGTCTCGGCGTGTATAGGGAGGAGACGGCTCTGTGCGTCGGCAACGTGCTGGACGGCTCTGGGTGCGGACATGTGCACCAGCAATATCGGAGTGTCTGTCACCTCTGCCAGGCTGATGGCACGGTATGTCGCCTCTGTCTCGGCGATCTGCGGCCTAGCCACCGAGTGGAAGAAGGTCCCCGTGTTGCCCGCTTTTGCGAGCCGCGCGGTAATTGCGGCGATCATGTCGCTGTTCTCGGCGTGGATCATGGTGGTGATGCCAAGACTGCGCGCTCTCATCATCACGTTGAAGAGGTCTGCATCGCCGAGTTTCATCGGGTCGTACGTCATATACAGCTTGACACTTGAGATTCCTTCCTTATCGACTAGTTGGGGTAGTTCTTCTTCCAATACCTTTTCGGTGGGATTCGTCAAGATTACGTGAAAACCATAGTCACAGTAGGAGTTCCCGGTCGCCTTCCTGTGGTAGGCTTCCAATGCTGGGTAGATGCTGTCTTCCTGGCGCTTTTGTGAGGCGAAGGCTATAACGGTAGTATTACCTCCCGCAAGAGCTGATCGCGAGCCTGATTCCCAGGTGTCGCCGGTGGGAGAGTTGTCTTGTTGTATGTGGACGTGGGAATCAACGCCTCTTGATGTGTTGTCAGAAATTGCCTCAAGACTGATGTTATGGACGAATCAACAGGCGTACCCTGGAGTGATGTACGCTCCTTCAGCATCAACAACGGCGGTGTCAGGACCGGCGTCTAGACTGTAGCCTAGACATGCTACTCGGCCGTCTTTGATACCAATTTCTAGTCCCAAAGGCAGAACATCAGTGGCAGTCACCTGTTCCACAGTCAGCTACACTATGATAGTCAGGTGCACGTGAGTTTTGATATAAACTCACAATGTGACCATTTTTGATGATGGTGTCTAGCATGTCACTGACTAACACGAACAAGCTTCTAGGTTGGATGTGAGTTTATGAGAAGGTTCGGTACACTTTATTGATCCGGAATTGCCAGCGTAAAAGTTTCCGCCGGAGAAAAGTGACCAAATTACAGCAACAGCCCAGCCTCCAAAATATGAACCTGGAACATTGAAGTGGTTGTGTCAGACGTCACACAGATTGAAACGAAGTGTTCAAGTCAAACAGGCCTATACAGAGATAAGAACCACTTTTGCTCCCGATCGTATGGGCAGAGATATGCCCACCGGCATTTTCAGCGCGTAATTTGTATTCCGGGCGGGGAAAGTAGCTTTAAATGTAGCTAACGGCGCGTCCGCCGACCGGCCCAGTTGGGTGTCTCGGCTCGTTGCGCCGGTGCCGGCTCGGACGCCTCGACAGCGCCCCATATGATAAGGCCCGGCACTGCATGCTCCATAATGAATTGGCAATTTGAGTATTATAATCACTTCAGTAGACTACCAAGTCTTAACGAAGTTTCAGTCCAAGTGTTTCGTACGGTACAATTTCATAATTATCATGGCTACAAAACCTTCCCCACGACTGCTCACTGTAGCAGCCGCCCAGATGGGCCCAAATCAGCTCGCCGACTCCAGAGAGAGCATACTGGGCCGTATGTTGAAGCTGCTCACGGATGCAGCCTCACAAGGAGCCAAGCTGGTCGTCTTCCCCGAGCTTGCCTTAACCACCTTCTTCCCTCGTCACCAAATCGACGACCCAGTCAAAAAGGCAGATTTCTTTGAGCCAGAGTCCCATGCAAACCCAAATGCCATTGTAGACTCGCCGCGGGTGAGACCACTCTTTGACAAGGCCAAGGAGCTTGGGACAGATTTGTATTTGGGTTATGCCGAGCGGTGGACGGATGAGCATGGCAAGGAGACAGACTACAACGCCACAATCTACTATTCTGCAAGCGAGGGCAAAGTGGTAGCCAAATACCGGAAAGTTCATCTCCCTGGTACCAAGGAGCCCATAGATGACAAGACTGGGCGGGGAGTGGAGCAACAGCTCGAGAAGCGCTACTTTACGCCTGGAAATCTGGGATTCCAGGCCTTCCGCGCGCCCAACCTGGTCACAGGCGCTGCGAAAGCTGGATCAGGAGGAACCGGAGAGCCGGTGGCAAAGGAGGTGGAGGGCAAGGGCGATCCCATTGTCGGCATGATCATCTGCAACGACCGGCGCTGGAGCGAGGCATGGCGGTGTTACGGGCTCCAGGGCGCGGAGCTCATCCTCGACGGGTACAACACCACGTCCTACGCGCCGCAATACGATGGGACGCCTGAGGAGCAGGAGGCGGAGGCGCTATTCCACCACCGCATCTCTTGCCAGAGCGGCAGCTACACAAATGCGTGCTTCAGTGTCAACACTGCGAAATGCGGCATTGAGGACGGAGGCGGGCTGATCGCTGGTACAGTGATCTACGATCCTAATGGGCATGTGGTGGCGGAGTCGAAGACCAAGGATGACGAGTTGGTAGTCGCGACGATTGATCTGGCCTTGTGCAGGAAGGGCAAGGAGAGGGTGTTTGCGTTCGAGAAGCATAGGAGGGTCGAGCACTATGGGAGGTTGCTCGAGCAGGTCGGTGTGCAGGAGCCTCCGTTACTACAATAAATCAATCGGGATGTGCGGCCGCACAGGAGACAGCCGTTTCTCTCACCCAGCTCCCCCGTAATTGTGTATGTCTCGTGCTGATACGCGCCTTTCTCTTGACAATGGACTCCTTTCGCCTCGTGAATGCGTTTTCTTTGGTAAATGGTCTCATGCTTGTTTTTGTCTGCCACTGTGGCTACTCAATCATGAACTGACACCAACACCTGAGGCCGCAGCGCAGAGTGCCAGCCAATTTTGTTGACCCAAATGGAGCCAGTCAGGCTGCACTTTCATCCTGCCCCCTAACGCCATCGCTATGCCAGTAAATCACAATATGTTCTGACCCAGATTGTGTACACTCATGCCACACGGCCGCCCATCCCGCTTTTGAAGCCTCCCAGGACGACGTTCCATTGTCCACCGAGGTTCCTGTCGCCCATGCTCTCAGCGTGCCGGCCAGTCACGACTCGCCGCATGAGTACCGTGTCCTTCGCCTTTCTCAACTTCCTTCCATTTCCATTAGTAAGGTATTCCTGGAACCACTGCTCCTCGGCGCTGTCCAGGGGCAGGCTGACAAGCTCGGCAGCTCGTGTCGCGACATCGTGGCCGCTTCCTTCGAGAACTGACGCAATTAATTGCTCAAAAAGGAGCTGTCTGGTCTGCTCGGGGTGTGCCCGGGAGAAGTAAAAGGCTTCGGTGAGACTCGTCCTTGCCAGAGCTCCGAAAAGAAGTGACAGAGACTCAGGCTTGCGAAGAACGGGTTGGACGGCATGGTAATAGGCGAGGGCGAGGGAGTAGTCGTTTTCCTCAGCGTTCTTGACGAGAACTGTAATGATGTCGTCCGCGAATTCGGGTGAGAGCGAGGGGTGTGCGAGATCTTGGAGCGCGTGCTGCAGTGAACGCTGGTCAGCCGCATGCTTCTTGCCATCGAATGGGACGACCTACGCTGAATTGCTGGCGGTCCAAGTGCCATAGCCCTCTCATAAAAATCTCGTACTTCTTCGGCAGCCCAAATCTCGAGGCGAACACTTCGGCGAAGTTGATACGACTCTGCAGCCCAAGGTGCTCGTTGAAGTCGAGGAGCATGTAGTAGAAGACGGAGAGCTTCTGGTGGTCTGAATGATCACTTTCGCAGACCTGGTAGTGAAGTTGATAAAGGCCATTGTCGCCCTTGGGAGGGTATGACCTGGCTGGAAATTGCAGGGCGTCAGACACAAACCCGCGCGTCTCGAGTCTCAGTTGGAAGACATACCTTTGGTGACGCCGACAGACCTCAGGACGCGGTCGATGAAGAGGACGCCATTGAGGCTCTTTCGGTAAACATCGATTTCTCGAAGAAAATCTTGAGTGTATGGCGATCCCCACTCAGGCTTAAAGACCTGGTGAAAGTGGTTGAAGTCCTGCATCTTGGCTGTGGATTACCGGCCTCGAGTCGTTCAGCGATGACAAGCTTGACGAGCCTCGCGGAATTGGCAGCGATCCAATGCGATGCGCGCGCAGGCTTGGAAGCTCCCAGACGGGACGGATGCGATAGCTTATCTGCGTCTGTTAAGGGTTTTGCAGAACATCAGCTATCCTTGGCTAACATGTAACGGCGGGTCCATTCGACACGTGTGGACCCCTCGTCCCATTTTAGCGCGTTTTCCTGACGGTTTGTTTTGTTTACCAGCGCCCGTATTTTCGAGGGGAATGGAGCAACGGCCGACTGCACTCTTTGCAACGGCAGCCCACTTCTGCGACTTATCGATTGCATCTTGTGCCCTGAAGCTTGGGTCTTGCTCTGCTGGTTGGGATCTAACCGCCGACCTTCTTGACTTCTCACCTCGCATCAGTTAGCCTTCATTCCCTCTTGCTTCGTATCATACCGGCAACTCTTTCTCTGCTCGTCGTCACCCTTGCCCACCATGTCGACGCGACCGACCCGACGAGCCGCTGCCAAGCGCAAGCAGATCATAGAGTCTGATGATGAGGACGAGATCGCAAACCCACCCTCTCCACCACCTGCAGACGACGACGATAGCGAGGGAGACTTCACACCCGCGCCGGCTAAGAGCTCGCGCAAGTCCACCGGCGGCAGGAGGAAGACTATCCCGGCCGAAACACCCCCAGCATCCGAGACAGCACCTCGTCGCCGTGGTGGTAGGCCCAGAAAGAGCGCAGCCCCAAGTGTCGCACCAGATACCACGAGCGTCGAGCCGGGCGAGTCTAGCCAGGTTGCAGATGCAGACCAGAGCATTCCTGCTACAAATTCGGCGCCGCGGAGGCGAGGTCGCCCAAAGAAAACTGCCGTCAAAGAAGAAAGTGTCGAGCCCGAGGCAAGCATCCAACCCAGCATTGAGCCGGTCAATGAGCCGGACGAGAACCTGGAACCAGTTGCCGAGGATGCCGAGCACAATCAGACTGCAATGGATGTCGACGAGGAGCAAGAACCTGTCAAGAAGCCCGGGCGCAAACGTAAGAGTGTTGCGCCGCCAGCGACATCGTCAAAGGAGGTTCCGACGCCCGATATACAACAGCCTCCAACCCCCGCCACGCCTAGACTCTCCAAGCCATCCGCAACGCCAGACCCTGACAGATTTCAGACGCCGCTGTCAGACATCACTAATACTGCTGGAAATGATCAGCGGCGGCCCATCGAGGACACACTGCTCAACACCGGCGTCAAGCCGATCAAGCCGCTGGACGCAGTCATGGAAAAGCCCATGGACATTGTGTTGAAGTCCCGGACCATGGTCATACCCCAGGTAGAGGACCTGACACCCAAACCTCGCCTCGTCATCACATATCTCATCCTCACCAACTTCAAGAGTTACTCTGGGCGTCAAGAGGTTGGGCCCTTCCACGCGTCTTTCTCCTCAGTCGTCGGTCCCAATGGCTCTGGAAAATCTAATGTGATCGACTCGTTGTTGTTTGTCTTTGGCTTCCGAGCCAGCAAGATGCGACAAGGCAAACTTTCAGCTTTGATTCACAATTCTGCTGAGCATCCGAATCTTGATTTTTGTGAAGTTGCAGTGCATTTCCAGGAGGTCCTGGATCAGGTATGAATATCCTTAGTTCTGGCAGTGATCCTTTCACTAATCAACATCTCTTTCCAATAGCCTGGGGGTGGCCACGAAGTAATCCCGGATTCGGATCTCGTCATTTCTCGTAAAGCCTTCAAGAACAATTCCAGCAGCTACTACATCAACGGCAAGACATCCACATACACCGTTGTCACCACCCTGCTGCGGGACCGCGGTGTTGACCTTGACCACAAACGATTCCTCATCCTGCAGGGTGAGGTCGAATCCATCGCACAAATGAAGCCCAAAGCCGCGAACGAGCACGATGATGGTTTGCTCGAGTATCTCGAAGACATCATTGGTACATCAAAATACAAGACCCCAATCGAGGAATCCGCCACAGAAGTTGAGACGCTCAACGAAATATGCATGGAGAAGAGTGGTCGCGTTCAACATGTCGAGAAGGAGAAGCACAGTCTTGAGGATAAGAAAAACAAGGCTCTCGCGTACATCCGTGACGAGAACGAGCTCACAATGAAGCAATCGGCGCTATACCAGATTTACATCGACGAATGCAATGACAACCTTCTTGTGACCGAGGAGGCCATCACCCAAATGCAGGCACAGCTTGACGAGGAGCTGGAGAAGCATCAAGGTAGCGAGGCAATTATCAAGGAGCTGCAGAAAAAGTATTCCAAAGGCAGCAAGCAGTATGAGGCTCAGGACAAGGAGACTCAGGCCCTTGTCAAGGAGATGGCCAAGTTTGAGCAGGAGCGCGTCAAATTCGATGAGAAGCGTAAATTTTTGGTCGACAAGCGCAAGAAGCTCGAGAAGACGATAGCCAACGCCGAGAAGACAAGTACAGAAGCGGGGGAGACGATTGAGCAGTGCACCGAAGACATCGAGACACGCGCACAGGAGATTGTCAGCCTTGAAGAGCAGATCAAGGAAGCAGAGTCCGAGCTTGCTGTCATCAGGGAAGGCCTCAAAGGCAAGACGCAGGCCTTCTCAGACCAGATCGCTGCCAAGCAAAGGTCATTGGAGCCTTGGCAGGAGAAGATCAACGTGAAGCAGTCCGCCATTGCAGTCGCCGAGAGTGAGCTGAACATACTCAAGGAGAAAGCAAATGCCGGCGCAGTTGCTCTCGAGGAAATGGAGAAAAAGATTGCGTCCACGCAGGAACGTCGCAATGAGAAACAGCAAGAGCTCAAGGCCTGCCAGGAAGAAAAGAAAGAGCTTGAAGCTGAAGCACAACAGGCCCAGGCTGAACTCGAGCAGCTGGCTGGACAGGAGCCAAAAATCCGGGCCAAGTTGTCTAACTCACGACAAAAGGCCGATGAGGCTCGTTCCAGTCTTTCTGCGACTCAGACCCAGGGCAATGTCCTAACGGCCCTTATGCGAATGAAAGAGTCGGGCCGTATCGATGGCTTTCATGGTCGTCTTGGAAATCTAGGAGCAATTGACCAGAAGTATGACGTCGCAATATCAACTGCCTGCGGTGCACTTGACAATTTCGTCACCGACACTGTGGAAGCGGGTCAGCAATGTATTGAATACCTGCGCAAGACAAACATGGGTCGCGGAAACTTCATATGTCTGGACAAGCTAAGGTCACGGGATCTTTCCCCCATTCAGACACCAGAGGATGCTCCACGTCTTTTCGATCTTGTTCAAGCGAAGGAAGACAAGTTCCGGGCAGCCTTCTACCATGCGCTCCAAGACACTTTGGTCGCCACAGACCTTGCACAGGCAAACCGCATAGCGTACGGAGCCAAGAGATGGCGAGTTGTGACCCTCGATGGTGAACTGATCGATAAGTCGGGTACCATGTCCGGTGGTGGCAACTCCAAGAAGAAGGGCTTGATGTCATCCAAACTTGTCGCCGACACTACAAAAGAACAAGTATTGAAGTTGGAAAGCGACCGCGATGCGCTTGAACAAAAGTTTCAAGAGTTTCTCGAGTACCAACGAGAGCAAGAGACTAGTCTGCGCGATCTGCGAAATCGGATCCCTCAGCTTGAGACCAAGATGCAAAAGATCAACCTCGAGATCGAGAGCTCAACCAAGAACCTGGCCGATGCCCAACGTCGCATAAAGGAGCTCAGCAAAGAGCACCAACCCTCGAAAACCGATGACAGCCGTGTTACCGCTTTGGAAAAAGAGGTCAAGAGTCTGCAAAAAGAAGTCGAGAAGCTGCATGACGAGACCTCTACTGTCGAAGAAGAGATCAAGGCGCTTCAGGACAAGATCATGCAAGTCGGTGGCGACAAGCTCCGCACGCAGAGGGCCAAGGTTGACCGTCTCAAAGCGGAAATCGCTTCTCAGAATGAGGAAACCTCCAAAGCCGAGGTCAAGAAGGCCAAGGCGGAGAAGCAAAAGACCAAGCTTGCCAAAGATCATGCAAAGGCGACCAAGGAACTTGATGCCGCCATCAGAGACCTTGAAAGTCTCGAAGACGAGATTTCAAACCAAGGCGACAAGGCCGAGGATTTCAAGGGCCGTGTCGAAGAAGCTCAAGAAGGCCTCGCAGTTAAGAAGCAAGAGCTCGCCGAGTTGAAGTCGGAACTCGACGAGAAGACTGCAGAGCTCAATGCCACTCGAGCCAGCGAAATTGAGATGCGAAACAAGTTGGAGGAAAATCAGAAGGTCCTCGCCGAGAATCAAAGGAAAGTCCGCTACTGGGAAGACAAACACTCCAAGCTTAGGCTTCAAGACATAGAGGATCTCGAATCCGCTGCCGCTCCGAAGCATGCCGCAGACGGTGCGAACGGTGTTGCTGAAAATGCCCAAGATGGCGATAATGCGGATGAGGCCGGTGCTCAGGCTGAGGGAGACGGTGACTCCGATGTCGAGATGACCGACGCCGATGTTGACGCCGATGCAGTCGAGGAAGAGGTAGATACCACAGTGGTCCGTGATCGCAAGACTAAGAAGACCCTCCCGCGCTACAGCAAAGATGAGCTCGAAGACATGAACAAGGAGACCCTAAAAGGCGAGATTGCCGCTCTGGAGGAGAAGACGCAAAACGTCAATGTCGATCTCGGCGTCCTTTCCGAGTACCGCCGCCGCGTTGAGGAACATGCCGCCAGGTCGTCTGACCTCCAGACAGCCGTGACACAACGTGACGCAGCCAAGAAGCGATGCGATGAACTTCGTCGACTGCGTCTTGAAGGCTTCATGGAGGGCTTCAGCATGATCTCCCTTAGACTCAAGGAGATGTACCAAATGATTACCATGGGTGGTAACGCCGAGCTCGAACTTGTCGACTCGCTCGACCCCTTCTCCGAGGGCATTCTCTTCAGCGTCATGCCGCCCAAGAAGTCGTGGAAGAATATCAGCAACCTGTCTGGTGGTGAAAAGACACTCAGCAGTCTGGCGCTCGTGTTTGCTCTACACCACTACAAGCCGACGCCACTGTATGTGATGGACGAGATCGATGCCGCTCTAGATTTCAGAAACGTAAGCCTGGCCCCTGCTCCTAGTCCCCAATGCATTTATCAGATGATTCTAACACGCCATACGTAGGTGTCTATCGTCGCCAACTACATCAAGGAGCGCACCAAGAACGCCCAGTTCATCGTCATCTCCCTCCGCAACAACATGTTCGAGCTGGCGGCCCGGCTCGTTGGCGTATATAAGGTCAACCACATGACCAAGAGCGTATCGATCGAGAACCAGGACTACATCGTGGGCAGGCGGCCGCAGCCGCAGCAGGTGCAGCAACTTGGTGGGGGCGCGACGCAGACTGTCAACTTCACGCTCAGCCAGCCATGGAGGTGATCTTGATAAGGGCCGTGTCGGCCAGGTAGAAGGGTTTCATGTGTCTAACTGTCTGTGATGAATTCTATGTACGGGTATGCACGTCCGCCACTGCTTGTTGGATGGGTGGTTGGCTTTGGGTTGGGAATCGGTCGGCTTGGTTTTGATAATGACTGCATGGAATGATATACTGTGTTCATTGTTCTATTCTTCTGATTCTTGTTTGCAACATTTCTCGAATACCCAGCCCTTCTTTCATCTTGTGGACGCGTCTTCAAGGCGTGCAGGAGAGCAGACTTTCTCCAACTACAACCTGCTGCATCTTTGTTGTCCACTTTCATTGCAGTAACGTGGCTGCATGGCACGAAGTCTTCTTACATCACACAGGTTTTTATCGCATTCGGCTCAACATCCAACGTTCCCACAACAACTCACCCCCTCCATTGTTTACCACTCACCATCCACCAACTGCAGCCCGCGCTTCACGTATCAAAACATCGAGCATGGCGCAGAATGCAGGCACTGGTCAGCCCGTGCCAGCCCCTGGCACAGCAAGCTCGACCTTGGCCATTCTACCACCTGAGCTGCTCAGCATCATTGCCGCTGACCCGAGCCTCACCAATCGCGACCGCAAGCAAGCCCGTTTGACCTGTCGATTACTGGAGACTGCTATGACGCCTTTCATCTTCAGGCGCGCTTTCATCTCCCGAATTATTGCAGATCGTGATGGGTTCCTGAGCCTCGCTGCTTCGCCTCGACTTGCTGCTTACGTCGAGGACGTGGTCTGGTATGAGCTGGGTAAGCACCCTACAGAAACACTTTCTCGTCCAGATCCATGCACAAGGGCTTTACTCACAATTCCACAGGATGTGACTCAACCGCTTTTGTCCATCTGCCAGAGGCGCTCGAGGTGTACGGAAATCTCCAGTCTCACCTTATTGGTGCAAGTAGACTTTTTTGGCTTTGTGTCCCGCGCTTTCTGGCTATTACACATCTCACCCCTCCTGAGTGCGCCATGGAATTTTTGGGGCGCTTCAAAGCCGCCATTGCGTGCATGCCCAACCTTCATGGTTTCTCGTCGGAGATGATGCCATGGGATCGCATACTCAGCCAGCGCGCTGACGGGTATCAGTTTGACGTGGGACTGATGAAGACACACACTGAGGAGGACCCGCTTGCATGGAACCAAGGACTTCTCAACTTTCTCATACCCACCATGATGGAAGATCATGGCAGAATCACGCGGCTGCGCTGTTTCGCTGAGGGATTTGGCCGCCCGTTGCAGCGTGCCAGCCTGGGCCGAGCTTTCACGTACCTTACCTCTTTGGATCTCGTTCTCCAGCCGGACCATCCCCCCAGCCTGCTTGGGAGTCGTTCTAGGCTTTTCAGGCCAGCATTACGACGCGTACTAATGGACGCGTCAGACCTTCAGGAGCTTAGCATAGCCTTGGACTGTGATATCGAACTTTTCCGGGTCCCAGAACGTTGTTCTGGCTTATCTGGTCTGTTCACAGACAAGGCCGGGCAATTTTACTATAAATGGCGACATCTGCGGTCGCTGAGACTTGCCTTCATGATCCAACCTGAGTCGTGGTTGTTGCCGTTGGTCGACGCTCATTCCGAGAGTCTGCGTCATCTTGATCTCGAGCAGTGCAACCTCACAAACTCCTTTGCGACCAGACTTTCTCAGATACATGGGCTTCAGCTCAATTCAATCATCATACTTCAACGTGAAACCCCCCGCTCTGAGTTAATTTCCGAAGAAGTGACTCCTGCGCTTTGTCCGCCGCGAAACTGTGGACATAGGAGTAGCTGAAAACATCACAATGGGACACTTCGTGACGCACAATGGTCACAGCGGAATGAACGAGGACGACGAATCCTTTGAAGGTGTCGAAGTAGATCAGGTCTCCGATCACAGTTCCGAGTGGTGGTCTGATGCAGATTCCGACTCTTCCAATTGAGATCGCTAAAAGGAACTTCGCTGGAATTTGTCTGTCGTCTACGCCCGAACTCGTCTCTGTTATCGCCCGCTTCAGGGATGGCCAGCGAGTCGTGGCTCCGTGTTTCCCTAAATCCCTGCTGTGAGCTCTGATGGGGGGTAACCAAGCAGAACCGCATGATGGTCTGTGGCATCATGATCAGAGTGGGCGTATAGAGGATTCTTCTGGCCAGTGAACGAGCACATGTGACGCCGTGGATAACGCCTGGAGTTCGCCAACGAGACATGTCACATCGAGGATCCAACATTGTTGACGGATATCAGCGACCCTGGAGGCTGGACAAAGAGCTTACCGCCCGATACAAACTCGGAGCTTCACCTGCAGAGCACAAGACGATAGTCAGTTACGACGGATCAAATACTATATTGATACATTCTGAAATCATCCGAAAAGACAGCCTCGTGTTACTGGACGCTGGTGTGAATGTCTTGTGGGCTTCTGGCCCTTGCAAGGAGACTTTTCCTGCTTGAGCTGCTCTTTCTGCTGTTGAATATGCCCGAAGTGGGCCATGAACCTGTTGAAGTCGTCGACCATGATGAATGGGCCAGAGTTGCCAAGATTTGCTACCTGGCTTATCTTGTCTGTTTCAAGAAAGCATTCCAAACGAGAGAAATCTGTCGCTTCAAGAGGGAAAGATTAGAAAGTTTCGAAATGACATATCACTGCCCAATGCTAAAAGGAAAAAATAAAGGGGGTTTCGTTTGCATTTCTAGGCCAACACTGACCTGTAGCTCTGGGATTGCATGTCAGGTGACAAAGAGACCAATTTAGATGTGACGCCGTATTGACTATCAATCACATTTTCCCCTGTAATTACATCTGGTTTCTTTGTAACCTGGCCATAGGAAAGATCTACACGTGTTCTGTGTCTTGAGCACTGTCAATTGCCCAAGAAGTACAGATAACTCACATGCAAAGAGATGCAGCTGATCGGATAGCAGGCTGGCGCATGCGAGGATGCGGAGGGGAGAGATCTCGGCAGGTGTCAACTATCTTGCGCACCTCCACTGTCTCCTATCAAATCTAATTTCTCCGTTCTTTGGTGAGAAACTCTCGCTTTATTTCGTATGAAGCCGTTAGGACGTAGATGACCAAGGGTTCTGTCTATCCATAACATGGCGTGCATATCACAACAGATTTGAACAGGTCATCGTAGTCTTTTTTTCAGTCATGTTCAGCTTAATAATTGCTTGCTTCTTGTCGCCGGTTATGGCTTTTACTTTCGATTCTGGGGACTCCAGAATTCTCTAAGGCACCGAAATGTCTTGAATAGTCACACAAGATCTCAGTCAATATACATCTTCCGCTACATCGGGTCTGTTACTTGAAGCTATCACTAAAGGTGCTCATATAAGGACGTCCATTCAAGACGCTCAAAGTTAAATTCCCAACCACCATGACTCTAATGGGCTGCCATAAATGTTATACATTTCAAACTTTGATTCACACAAGCTTCACTTGTCGCCTGGTTTCGATATATGCGGGTGCATTCGCCATGACGTCTTTGTCACAAAGACATTCCATGTAGCCAACTCTCTCAAAGGCACCAGGTACTCTTTTTGAGGCCCGAATCGCCAGACCAAGGAGTAAGAGAACTTCCTGCACGGGATATACTGCTAACCTCGTGACGATAGAGCCCTGTATAGGCAGAAACAAGTACGATGTATCGAGGCCATGATCTTCCAGTACCGCGACTCGATTCTCCCCGGGAATGTCCGCCCAAAAGTGTCTGACGCACATTTCTGGGCCTGGAAATGTGAAAGGATCTTCAGCATCTGATGTGCACCCCGGTATGTGCTGTAGTCTCGCTATAGGCCCTACGACGACAATGTGTCCGCTCAGTGGTGGAAGTAAGGGATTTCCTTCGGGGTAGGTACATTGTGCTTCGAGAACCTCAAACCCAGGCACGCTGAATAATTTGTAGTCTTCGTCAAATTCGGGCATGAACTCGATGTTGAAGCCGTGCCGCTGCTCCAGATGGAGACCCATCTGCACCTTGGAAGCCCAGCTCCAGGAGGGTGCGTAGTATACCTCATGCCCCCCTTGCGAGCTTGGGGGCTGGACGGCCCACAGGAGCATTGAACTGAGTTTCTCCTCCCACATGCCGGCGAGGTACGTTAAACCATACTTTCGGCCGATGACTGATGCGAGCCCGGCGACGGCTGGCAAGATGTCGGATTTAAAGGACATGTCTCTGGTAGTGAAATTCTCGACTAGCTCTTTCCAATGGGATACTGGGTCATCCGAGAGTAGTCCGGCCCCAAAATTCAGGGCCCTTCTTTGTACAGCGTTGCCGCTGGATTCATATGATTCTGAGAATTCTTTGGCACACTCGCAATCTCTCGTCTCAATGCACTCCCAGCCCAGTTCATAAGCGCCAAAATATAGCTTACGGGCCGACAGAAGGCGTTCTTGGTAGGTCCATGCCCTACGTTCCACCCATGTTGTGTCGTCACCGGACGGACCGTGTGTGGCCAGATGGTTGTCCATCTTCTCATTGTTGTACATCGGGTGCGAGAAGCGCCGTGCGAAGTGCTGGGATCCGCCAACGAGCAGTTCACGCTGGCACCAGTCAGACCTCCTCTCCGACGACGATAGACCCGCAAATGCGTCCTTCCCAGCGTCTGCAACAATGGTGATCACGGCGTTCTGGTAAACGTCCCCCATGAGCGTGGCCTCCTTCGCCCAGTCCCTGGGCGAGTCCTGGATGATGCACAGAGAGTCGATCCATACGTACCGCATTCCCAGCCTCCGTACGAAATCGATGACATCCAGGAAGGTCTGAGGCAATAGGCCCGGCGCGATAGCCCGTTCAAATTCAGGCATGTTAGCCCGCAGCAGCCTCAGTGGCTGCTCCTTACCCCAGCAGTGACTAAGAGCCACATATTCATGTCCAGTGGAATTTTCAGCCATGAAAGACGCTTTTAGTAGCTTCGGTGCTGTCTGGTCGTCGCCAACATCGATGAGGCGAGTCGGAAGCCAATTACTGGGGAGGGAATTGGGTTTCGGACACTTGGAGTGTGAGGATAGGCACTGGTCTAACCAGGAGCGCGCCAGCCTTACGCAGTCGTTCGACAGAGCGTATGACTCAGTTTTTCGTGGTCTTGATATCCAAGGCCACGGTGATTGGGGACTAACGCTGGAGTCAGCGATTACGCGGCGCAGGCTACGAGGCAGCATCTCCAAAGAGAAAGGGTCAGCTGCGAACTGACTGTGTGGTGAAGACCTCAATATAGCTTCTGGAGCTTCTTTCCTCGCCCCAGTGCCCATTTTCGTCGCAGGGCAGAAGTATGAGGGCATCCCGTGGCTGGCCATGGCCGTGACGATTGTGACGACAAAATTCGAGGGCGACAGCGCTCAGAGAGTCCAGTGGCCAAAATGCCTCGATAGCTGTAGCCACTAGCGTGCAGCTTTGGCAAGCCCCAGAATCTCTGGATGCTGCCAGTTCTGGTGTCTGAATGGCATTCCAAAGACCAGGATTGAGATTACGGCATACAGGGCAGTAATTCGGGCTGTGTTCACAGCGTCGGCTTCGCCGCTGGTTTGCAGAGCGCGGCATGGCATCGGGGAGGTGAGATTGGCGACGTACTGAGGCATGAAAGGGACAAGGAACGTCAGAGAGACACAGAAAGGCCCACCGTGGGGTGGAATCTCTTGGTCCGGTTCTCATGAGGTATTTCGTGAGAGTCTCACGTTTGCGCCATGCCTTTTTGCTCACGTCAGACCTTTCACAATTGTGTGTTTTCGTGACCTGTCACTTTGACCGTCCTGCATGTCTGCCCAACGGTAGCAGATCGAGGGGTGGCTTTTCACACGCATGCAGATTATGCGAAGCACCATTATATCCGGGCGAGCGCGGGAGATCTATGATCAGCATCTCTACACCGAGTGAAAGGCTGCTACATGATTATTTGAGATGGATGAGCACTGCGCCAGTGAGCGGTGGACCAAGCACAAAGCTTTTGTGCAACATTCCTTTTTCTCATGGTGGGTATTTTGTGACATGCGTTTTATCTTCAAAGATCTATAATGAGACTTGCATCTGAAAAGACTGAGGAGATCGTTGAAGGACGATGTTGATTCTCAGGAAGTTTAAAGTGTTTGATTTCTGTATGCCGTATAAAAATTCAATATCTAGGTATAACCGAAGAATTTGTACTCTACATTGCTGTCTTTATCTCCATATTCTTGACTAGCAATATAATTATAGAAACTTGGCAATTCAGTTTGTTCATCTGAATATAGTTTATAGATTTTTTTCATTCTTCGAACTCCTTTATCCCACCAGATCGATCATGGTTGTAATAAAACAATAGACATGGTACGTTGTAACAGAGTACAATCGATTTGTTTAAAAAGAGTATATTGGAATTAACATTAAACTTCTTTTACGAATTAATGTCATTTTAAAACTCATTATGCTGCGGCGTTGCACGATACGCCGGTGGCAGGATGCCCTTAATCGCGGCCGTGATCTGGAGTGCCAAAGTACGGGAGTGCCAGCGATGCTGCGACGTGAAACCGCCCATGACCCAATAATTCTCGACATTGAGATGCCGCTTCCACATACCACGGATCTCGCCCTCAGCATCGAGCCCCCATGTGGCGTCCAGACGTAACGCAATTTCACGGGCTTCATCGTTTCCACCCATTATCTCAGCAGAGGTGTCAAGCACATTCTTATCAGCGAAACCGGTACACCATATAACAGCATCTGTGTCCAGCTCTGATCCGTCGCTGAATTTCAATCCAGAGGCCGTATACGCAACAGGCTCCACATTGGCCTTGACTTTGGCCTTGCCTTCCGTGATCAGCTTTGTGGCTCCAGTGTCGACGTAGTGGCCACCGGCCCGCTCCAGGAGGTTGTGTAGGAGGTCCGCATCAGCATGGGCACTATCGAGGACGGGGAAACCCGCTGCAGCCAGGGCCTCGTACCGATTGGGCTCCTGGGAGGCCAGCAGTCCAAACAGCCCACGACCCAGCTGGCTGTCGACAACTGTGGGCGTAGTCTGGAAGAGCTTATCGCCAATTTCCACGCCCACGTCGTACGCCCCGAGACTTCGCTTGTCGCAGATGTATTCAAGCGGCACTATGTATGTCGGTGATCGAACGACCATGGTTGTCTTCAAGCCGGTAGCATGGCAGTCCTCGAGGACATCGAAGGCTGTATTGGCAGACCCGACAATCACGACGGACTGTGCAAAGATAATCAGCCGCCAAAAGTAACAAGGAAAGGTATGCAGTAACTTACCTTGACTCCCTTCTCCGCCATCTCTTTTCCGTTTTTATACCGTGATGAGTGGATACTCACGCCACTATATAGTTCTTCGTTTGCCACCGTTGGCACATATGGCTTCTGAGACCCAATACCCGTTGCCTGGACTAGATGCTTGGAGACAGCCGTGCGCTCGCCGGCCGGCGTGAAGAACTTGATAGTCCATTGTTTTGACGTTTCATCAAATTTGGTTGACAAGATCTTGACAGAGTTGATCATATTCAATTGGAAGGCAGCTACATATTTCCGTAGCTGCTCTGCCAAATCGTCCTTGGTGAGCAGGTACGGGCTTTGAAGTTGCGTAGCATACTCTGGACCCCCAAATTAGTCCTTTGTTAATCGAAGATAGCTTTGAGCGTTTCAAGGTCACGCGTTCGCTGAATTGTGTGTGCGATCTGCTACTCACTCATGTAAGGTAATTCACAGAAGGAAGTCGGGATGTGGAACTTCATGCAGTCGTATCGTCTGGCCCAGTTGTCCCCGGCTCGGGCGTTACGCTCGGCAATGATAGTATCGACGCCCATGGCCTTGAGGCGTGCAGCGAGGGCCGCGGCTGCGTTTCCGCCTCCGATGATAAAGACATCGGTCTCCAGCGTGTTCGGGCCATCGAGACTTCTGCCAGGTGCTTGAAGCAGGGACTCGTCCTCCGGTTGCAAGTCAAGGCTTTCTAGCCCAGTGCAGAGGTTCCAGATCTTCCAGTGGACATCGCCATTATCCTTGATGGGCAGCAGCAACATTCTGCCCCAGCACCGTGCCCCTGGCGAGTTAGTTCTAAAACTCAGATCACAGTCGATAAATTGCTAACAAATATCGTCAGCTTGCTCACATCCATATGGAATCATTCTGCTACGAGGTATTGGCTGTGAATGCATTCGACTAACCAGGACCGGAGTGGCTGGGATAAACTGAGGAGCACCCTCAAGCTTGATACTTTCAGTCAGCCCCCGGAGCTTCTTGGTCTCCAAGAAACTCTCAGCTATGACAGCAGGGGCTGTGAAGGTCCGGAGATGATAAGTTAATGCGAGCTGATCTCTCCAGTTCGCTTGTTCGGGAAAGAAGCATTTCTTCAGCTTCTCCGCATCTTCGGCGGTCAGGGCGGCATTGAATTCGTTGAGCACCGCGAGTGCTTCCCGAAGAGGCACAGAATCACCCATCGAGGCTGGGTCAAGCGTCCCGGGCGCAATCACAGGCAGAGGGGCTAGTGCCACCAACTGTCGCAGTTCAGCCTTGGGAGGATATTCATCTTTGAATGAAGTGTTATTGGTGCCTTGCACTCCCAGGTAGGTTTTAATTAGCGCGACACCGATCAGCCAGATTTTTGGGCGCCCTGTGCAGACTCACTGGAAGCCATCTTGTGTTTGTGTGTGCCGGATACCCTTGGACGTAGTCGATGGGAAGGTGTTGACCACGACAGTGGAAGTAGGGATGCACTGTTTGTTGTATGATACTATGTTCATGAAATGCAACGCTGTCAATCTGTTGCCTGGCGGGGATCTACACTGATGTTGTATCCCCACTCAAATCGACAAAATTACTGGGTGTTGTCCTTATCCGAAAGGTGGATTGCCGAACGTTTTCTCTACAGTTGGCAGTCCAACAGACTGCTCAAGTGGGCGTGGCATCGTGGGTCCATACGACCAATCAAATCAATAGTGTATGAGAATCGACCTAAATCAATGTCAGTTCCAATGATAATATTGAAAACATCTCTTCTAAATCTAACTCTGACATTAGATCGATTCTGAATTACTTCAAAAAATATTCTCTCAAAACCGCCGGCTGGGGCGAGGTACAACAGCGCCTCGATAGGCACCGCTGAGTCCTAGTGATCAACCTGTACAGGCTTCATCTTGAATTTGGATTTGATGTTCTTTTGAACTACCTTTTGATATCACTGAGGCCCATGATTGCCAAGGGGTCGAGACCACTTTCCCCAGGAAGTCAGCCGGACGAGTAACTCTATCTTATTTTGGGACTGGAGTCTCGCCTGAGAGCAGTCTCCTCTCGCGTATGTTTACCAATCTAGCTGCCTAAACAGCAGTCGACGATGTCAGTCGCATAGGCAGTGTGGATTTGATTTACCCTCTCCCAGGGAGGGAATAGATCATATCAATTCCATTCAAGTGGACCCAACTGAGCGGCATATGAAACCAATTCCTTTACACTGACGGCTACGGATTTCCCATTCCATTATACTAAAAGCCCTTATGGGTGTGATGGAGCTGATTTACACCTTTGGCTGGAACGCATGAAAAAATTCAAATGAACATGCTCAAAATGACCCGAGTGCTATGCAAGTCAAACTCACTGTGACTAAGGACAAACTGTATCATGAATGCCTTTACCACATGCAGTATTAGGGCCTGTGGAGTCATAGGCCACGCCTAATCCCGTTTCTTATGTCGTGCTGTGTACTCTTCAAAACAATTCATGACAATGTCGTCTGTGCCACTGTGATAACACTCTCCGCCAGCAAGGATGAGCACGAAAGAGGTACCATCCGTAATGTTCAACGCCAATTCCTGCACCTTCTGGCTCAGTACTGCGAAATAAATTGTGTCATCAGATGCATCTGGGGCTTACCTTGATTCTGCTACCAGTACTTTGCAGTATCAAGCTTTCTAATCCGCTGTAAGCACCGCGTAAATCTACGCTCACGCTGTTGTCCTGTAGCTCAGCAACGTAAGATCCCCCAAGTCCCCACCAGAGACGCTTGATGTCTTGCAGGGGGAAGGTGATCTCCGTACTGGGGTGGCATTGGAATGACTTCCTCCCTGCAACATTGATGAAGTAACTACCCTCTGGTCCGAGGGAAATGCAATCCGGGCATCGTGTATTCCGATCTCTGCTGAGGAATGACCACAGTTGAGGATACTGTGCTCGAATGGCACCATGGTCTAGTCAGATTTGAAACTCGTCAGTAGTCGCATTCGATACAATGGCGGACTAGAAAAATGTTGTGCAGATGCTTGATTAAGTGCCTACAGGACTCACAGTAGCATCGGGGAAATATACTGCCTTTGTGGTAGTGCGTATAATACGACAGGCCCTCTCCAAGAACGATGTGCTTGATGCTGATTCTGTTGGTGAACGACTTCTCGAGTCGAACCAAGCTGTTTCTTGTCGAATCGGGTAGGTAACTTAATGAGGGAAGACATTAGCCTGCAAGACCGCATGCATGACAAACTTCGACTGGACTAGACTCACGACTTGGTGTAAGCTGGTCCGAGAAACGAGCAATGACGACCCCTCAGGCTGAGGCTAAGAAGCTGACTGGCCTTGAAGGCAGAGTGTGTTTGAAGCGGTACAAGACTGGGATGCCTGTCGTGCTGAGCAGCACTCTCTGAGGCTGCAGTCTGTAGGGTGCCAATATCAGTGTTGCTTCCACTCCTGACACTGTATTGAGTTGAGAGCCTCCTCAACTTCTCGTCTTCTATCTCAGCGACAGCTTGGTCATACTTCGTTCTTATCATTTGTTCCATATTCGCGGACAACGCCTCCTGGTTACGGCGCAGCAATTCTTGTTGCTCCTGTGTATCCGCCATGATATCTTGGAGGTCTTGATGCCGTCTAGTATCCCTCTCCAGCCTAGCTTCTCGAGCGCTTTGGCGATACTCTTCCAGGGCTTGATTGATACGAGTTCTCTCCTTTTCAATGTTGTCACGAACCATCTCTCCGGCTTCGGTGTCCTCAAGCAACTTATTCTGATCAGCAATCTCCTTCTGAATCGTGAGTGCCACTTCTTCAGGCGCCCTCCCCGCGACGGACGGTACGAACATCTCGACCAGTCTTCTGGCAGACTGCGCGTCATTCGTGTGCCTCTCGATCCTACTCCCTCTCGTTGACATCCAACCCCAATATTCATCCGTGTTTCTAAGCTCTTCTTCTCTTTTCTCGCCATCATCCTGACTTTTGAGGCTCTCCCACATGGTCGTGACCAATACAACTTTGCGCAGAGCATGCTCTCCGCAAAGCTTATTGAACATGACGAGATTCTTCCTGGCAGAGCCCTGCATTCGTACATCGCTAATGCGATGAAGGTAGAGTATTCCATGCAACCTAATGCCATTGGCATATGTGATTGATAGCCAGTCAGCTAGTTGTCTCAGAACGTCGGCGTCTGTCATGTTCGTGTCGTCGAACCCCGGAGTGTCAACTAGGTAAATATTTGTGCACTCCGAGTGGGCAAATCGGTAGACAGCACAGTCCCTAGTACCTTGTATGATGCAAGAAGGATCAGCACGGTGATGATGGAAAAGCGGTTAATTGAATGACTGGAACGAACAAGATGAAAGACTTCTCCCGATCTCAGGGCCAACACCTCCTGACACCAAATGCGAAATGAGGGTGCTTTTGCCAGCACCGGTAACACCCATAACCGCAACGAATATATCCGTCTCACGAGGCTCTTGTCCATTGCGGATCTCTGACAAGTCAACTTGGGTGGGAGGATCTGGCTGTGGTAGTTCGTCGTCTTCAATCATCATGGACATTTCGAACTGTACAGTCTCTCAACAACAGATGACACGTATCAGAATGCCACCGACCAGCTTCAATTTGCATGCAAAATACCAAGGGAAGCATGAACAGGCTGTGGGTATGATGGTCCACTCTCAATCACAAGCTTTGACCACATGCGCCGGACGCAACAACAGTCCAATGCGAGAGTCTTCGATTTGTCAAAGCAAGGGGGAATCCTGGTAAAGGTTCCTTTCATTTAGGAAGGACACACAAAAGACCAGAGACCGCAAGGCTGTACAGCATCCACGGTGATTGGGCAGAGATTGTATCGGTGAAAGGTGGGGTAGGACGGAAACGAGCTGAATTAACACGAGAAGTATTCAAATGCCGGAGCCTCATCTTTGCTACCTCCTGAATACACAGTTCAACTTGCCGGTGATACTTATGGCTTGGATCATCGCTTAGTCTCGGCTTGCGTAGGGAATATAGACTGTCTGCTGTAGTGAAACTGTTCAAGTGGTACTGCAGCTAGTGGGGGCCTTGGTGATATTGATGCTACACCCGGAACTGCTCACGGTCCCGGTCTCGAAAGCACGCAGTGGAACAGCACAGGCCCATTCAATGAGCTTTGATTCGTCTCTTGATATTCAGCTCATCTCAAGCAGGGGCAAGATAAGCATGCACGCACAGGCACCGGTCTGCCCATCGCGCCATTTGAGCATGGACGACCGTACTGTGTTCTTTTGGGAATAAAATACTGGTCTCGGATTCCATTAAATGTGGCGTCAATTCGGATCACTCCGCGGTCTCGACCACTGTCCGCGGCGGCCGCTAGAGGTCTGGAAGATGGCGTTTGGTGGGGCCGGGAAGGGAGACAGGGACGAGCTGTGGAGTATCTTGAACATTTCAACGGTACGCACATTCCTGAAGTAACTTGGGCGACGAGAAGGCTTTTGCATCCCACAGGCGCAAGAGCCGCAGTGAGATCAATTGATAAAGGCAAATGTATCTAGCTGCATTGGCAACATCTCTTCCATCTAAAGCCGGCCGTCTAAAATTTCGAACACGATTCCATCATCAATCAAGTACAGATTCATTCTATTCGCAGCCCTTCCCAATCTATTCATCCGATGGATAGCAACAATGAATCTTTCTGGCGCACAGCCTCCCATGCAAACGCAGCCCAGCAGTTCAAGTAAGTTTTGCATGAAGTCCTTACTTATTGTGTAATAGAGACTAAATACTATGTCACATAGTGAGGGTGATATCATCATGGCTGTCATGGGCGTTACAGGAGCTGGCAAGAGCACCCTCATCTCGAAATTAATCGGCGACGACTCCGGGGCTGTGCCTGTTGTTGGCCATGGGCTCCAGTCTGGTGAGCTAAGAGATACAATTGTCATACATTAGTGAGATGGGAAGACTAATTTGGTCATCTTCCCAAAGAGACCAAGCTCACCGACGTATATCAATTCCATCACAAGGTTCACGGCACCATTCACTTGATCGATACGCCTGGCTTTGATGATACCCATGCATCTGATGCCGAGGTGCTCCGAGAGATTGCCTCCTTCTTGTCCTCCACCTATCAGACAAAGGTCAAACTGAGCGGCATCATATATCTTCACCGTATATCAGACAACCGCATCTCAGGGTCTGCCCTTAGAAATCTGCGTATGTTCAAAGAATTGTGTGGTGAGGATGCCTACAAACATGTTGTGCTAGCTACCAGCATGTGGGGCAAAGAAGACCATGAGAAAGCTCTCGGACGTGAGAGAGAACTTGTCGCTGAGGGCGGATTCTGGAGCACAATGAAGGAGCGAGGAAGCTCTGTCATGCGTTGGCTGGGTGACTCTGTCTCGGCGCATGAAATTATTGAGCACCTGCTATTAGCACGTTCTAGGCATGGAGTCGTATCTCTGAAAATCCAGCGAGAGCTGGTGGACGAGGGCAAGAGACTTGTGAACACTTCAGCAGGCCAGGAGGTGAATCGAGAGCTGAGTGAGCTGCGGGAGAAGATGGAGAATGAGCTTCGACGCATACAGGAGGAGAATAAGGAAGCAATGGCGTCGAAGGACATCGAGTGGCAGCAGTCGCTCGTCGAGCAACGGCTCCTGCTCGAAAAGCAGCGTCTCATGGCGGAGCAGAGCCAAGAGGCGCTGAAAGTGGATTTTCACCGGCTGCTTGCCGAGACCGATGAAAAGTATCGAATCGAGATGAGTCGTATATTAGAGGAGCTGAAAAGGGCAGAGGAGGAGATGCATCTGGCTCATAAATTGGGCGAGGAGAAAGACCAGGCGGTGAAGGCGCTCGAAGCCCAGATGTCCGGCGCTGGGACGGCGCAGGAGCAAGCGGAGCTACGAGAGAAGATCATGCGGGAGCTGGCTGATATGGAGGCGGCCAGGACTAAGGAGGAACATCTACGAGAAGAGATAGAGACGAAAACTGATAGGTGGAACAAAATCGTGCTGTGGATGAAGAAGGTGGGAGAGCTGGTTGTTCCAATTCTGGGGGCTGTAGTGGCATCAAGCATTTCGGGGGCTGTTTCAGGGGCGATTCAGTCCTTGTAATGTGTAAAGGTACATGTAGCCCATCATTGCGAACATTCCAGTGGATTTGGTAGCGAATGGAGCTTATAGTGCCACAAGGGGCCGGAAAAAGGCACAGTCAGCTGAACCTCCATGTTGTGCTACTGAGCTGGGACAAAAAGGTGTGCTCATGCGCCACCAAAGATGTATAAATCGTAGATGCAGTCCTGACCCAAGCAAGAAAGCCTTCGAATTTTAGATCTCCTCCCACGATTCTGATAAAAATAGGCTTTGAAGTCATGCCTTCTTGATCAAGCAACGGGTATCATGGACCCCAACCAGTCTCAACCTTCCTCCCTACACCTTGGGCCTTATCCGAGCATTTCACTTTTGTCCGCGTTACTATCACACTCGGCAGCAACAACGCCTCCGTCGGCCAAAATTCTCCTAAAAATTTGCCGTAATGTTGAGCGGGACCTCGATTATGTCACTCGCCTGCAAGAAGAAGTCCAGCTCACCTTGAACACCTATCCTGCGTACCACGCTGATTGGATCGACGAGGTGCGCCGAGCAGCCTCCGAAGCACTCCATCTTGTAAACAAGCACATCGAATCCAAGATGCCCGGGACGCAGCCACTGTCTCTACTCAAAGGAAGTGCGAGCGACCTACAGACCAAAATTGCGAACGTGGTCACTCCCAGCAAGAAGGACACCGAGGGCATTAACAACTTGCGAGCAGACCTGAGCCTGGCCCACGCAAGCTTGATGGGGGCCGCGGGATTCATGCAACAAATAGCCCTTCGACAAGGTGAGCTCACGCTAAATAGGACGCAGCTCCATCGGTTCAGGACTCTGTCATCAGGATCAGAGGGACAGGACACGAGCCAGAGCGTGGCCGTAGTAACTCCAAGGGAAACATCAACCCCGGGATAACATAATGAATGTCCTGGACAGACGACTTTGGGAGTATTTGGGCATCTACCATGTATCATTGATATCTCTGGCACTGGTAAATGGACAGCTGAGCCTTTTCATGAAAGCCATTTGACGAATCGATCAAATAGTCTATAGCTGAGGCTCTCGAATGGTCCCCCAAGAGGCTGCGTCCATGGCCTCGGGCGGCAGAGACTTCTGCCTCAGCCCCGGGAACACCTCGACCTTCCGACGCCAGAAGAATTCAGTAACATTTCTTTGGGAAAACATGTGAAGTCCAAGTAGTGCAGCCTTCGCAACGAGCTCCCGAAGTACATCAGTCTCCCTCTCCTCGGTGCCCTTTCGCCTGTATCGTAAAGGGGCCAGCGCCTCTCTGATGTTTGCTGCTTCACGATTGACTGCTTCGTATAGTCGATTATGGGGAACTACGGCTACTCTATCTGGAGTATACGTGTTGGAAACGAGGTAAGATGTCATGGCGCGCCATGTGTGTTGAAATGCCGGTGTATTGCCTGTTGTGTAGTGATGTTGAATGTCAATATTTCTACTTCCCCAACACACAGTCACAAAAGTTTGCACCAATTCATTGAGACTGATACTTACGATTCTTTTTTTGCCCGCTCATGATAGCCTGGTATGTTCTCATCACTTCGGGAGGCAGTAGTGTGGATGCCGGTGCGCCTGCTACATCAACTCTAGCAGCCAGGAATCGAGCAACAAACATGCGAAGCGTGATAGATCGACTGCTCCTACTGTGCAACTTCTGCTTCCAATCCACGCTGAGACCCCCGGCGAGCTCGCTCAGTCGATCGTCATCTAGAGGCGGAGACTTCGGTGAGCCATCCCAGTCAATATAATTGTCCAGGTAGTTCCGAATGGCAGTTTCGAGCTGTGATGCTTCCTTTGCTAGGTCTGCGTGGGTTAGAGCCTGGGGCAGAGCGTCTTCCAGACGCTCAAGTGCAGCAGATAAGGTGCTGGTCGCGGGTCTGGCTGCGTATCGGGGAAAGGAATAACTGTTGGAAAGCTTTCGCGTTTTCCTCTGTTCCGGAGATCGTCGTCGTGTCTTGAGCCAAATGAAACCCATGAACAGTGCAACGAGCGCTCCAGCAAACGCAGAGCCGACACCAATTCCGGCGGCAGTGCCCTTGGAGTATGTGCAATTGCAAGAGCTGTTACTCCCATTCGTACTGACATTGCTGGAAGTCGAGCTACTTGTCACAGTCAGGGTGCTTATCGAATTCAGGATGCTTGTCGAAGTCAGGATACTTGTCGAAGTCAGGATACTTGTCGAAGTCAGGATGCTTGTCGAAGCCGCGCTGCATGTCGCAGCCGGGCTGCCTGCTGCGTCACTCATACAGAAGGCAGGTGTTGCAACAGAGAAGGGGAGGGAAGGGAATAATGATTATTCAGGATTTGCCGCTGTCATGGATGTACTTGTTTAAGACGGGCATGAACTTGTTGATTTAGCTTTTCTAGGGAGCTGATACAGATGAAGATTTCTGAGGGGACATCAGAAGAGAATGGATACAAGATCTCTGGAGTAGAAAGGTTGGGGATCAGAAACCCCCCGTTTCTGGCTTTGAGGTCACACAACGAGTCCGAAGAGCCTCCACAGTAGATCATTCCACCTTTATACTGTACTGAACAAGATGGGCCACAAGACTGGGGTTTGCATTGATGCAGTGCGACATCAGGTTTCGCTACCGATTCCTCAGGTGGGGGTGAAAAGCAATCTTTCAAGCCACACTGTCAGGCCCTATAAGGTGATGATGTGTTTTAGAATGTCTTTTATAGGCTGTCATGAAAATGCACGAAACCTTGCCTTCTTGATAAGCGAGGGTGGTCAGAAATATTGCAGTGTCACACAGAGTTCTGGACACTCAGCCGCCGTTCTCGTGCATGTGTACCAGGATAATCTAGCCCCCAAAGATATTGCTTAATGCAAATGAATATCGTGATCCAAGGTCACATTCTTGTGAGAGCCTGCTTCAAAGGTCCAGAAAAAAAAGAGGCTGACGTGGCAAGGACTTTCCTACAACCCGCACCAACGTCCCCATGTAGACCTATCTCTTCACCAATCTCCTCGATCAAGCGCGTTGTACTGATCGCGTCACTTTTTCTTTGTTTGACTGTACAGACGATAGCCAAGATGGAGAAATTATCGCACCTAGCAAGTCTATCCAGGCGCAAGGAGGCGTTTTCCGAGCCCGATGTGATGTTCGGCATAGATGTTGGCATGTGCTGTATGTATTGCCCATCCATTCTGCTACCACCCATCTTGCTGAGGGTGAAAGAATACAGTCACTAAAGTCGCCTATGCTATTCATGAGAGCGGAGAGTACAGAGTGTGCAATTTTCAAAGTTGGACGGACCTCGGGGGCGCCGAGAATGCAACTGACTACGTTCCGACGATCCTGTATTACGAGAAGGAACATGGTTTATTGGACGATGCACCTAAACAGATCGGCTTCATGAAAAAACATCAGAGAGGACAGCTCAGAGCTTACGAATGGTTCAAAGAACATTTTCCGGGCAATCTCCCCTATTCCCCTGAAGAGCCTGGGAAGACCCAAGGAACATCCAACACACATTCCTCCAGCACCGACACATTCATTCTTTACCGACATTTGCTGACAAAGATATATGTGGCTATCAAAAATTTGGCTTCGGAGATGTTGAAGGACGGGCCGAACTGGGAAGACGCTTGCATCGAGTTCATCTTCAGCGTTCCGGCCACTTGGAATAGGCTGACCGAGACGCTTGATAACATAACCGAAAGATTCAGAGCGGTTGTGAAGGAAGCTGGGTTTGGGGATCAAAATCATCACAAGGTGATGATTGGTCTTACAGAGCCCGAGGCAGCAGCTGCGTTCTGCTTATCAAGTAATGATGACAGTCATTATATCCAGGTATGTCTTTGTGCTCTGTATTACGAGCAGAATTTAATGGCTGACGATATTCTGACCATTGATAGGATGGGCACAAGGTGCTGATGGTTGACGCAGGTGGCGGTACAACGGTATGGCCACTGCCCCCGTCCATTTTGATTACCCGGGAATGTTTATGACTATTCACAACACTCGCGATCTGTATGTTCCAACATGAGAGACCTGACCTTGACTAGGACATCTGCCTCCTAGATAAGAGACCGTCGCAAACCGGCGAAATTACCATCGACCCTCTAAGCGCTCCTGTGGGGGAGAAGCTAGGCTCATCCCGTATCGACAGATCTTTTGAACGCCTCGCCAGAGACAAGTTAAGGAAGTTAGCTCATGACAACCACCTGACTGAGATTTGGGATACCACCAAGATGAGTCGCGAAATGCGGGAAACACCTGATTTCCAGAACAACAAGAAAAGCTTGGACATGACTAAGATCAGGAACGGAGAGTATTTCACTGTGCCACTATCCAGCGCAGATTTAGGACTGACAGGTGTTCCTGATGTGCTTGCTGGAGACGATGTTATGAACAATCAGCTGAAGTTCGATTTGTACGAGCGTTTTACATTTGTCCTAAATTTGTCCTTCCTGCCCTCGGAGCCCTGGAGACAAGAAAACAGACTGATTATTCAGATAAATAGCCTCGAGTTGGCGAATATTTTCGACGAGGCCGTCCTTGAAGACCGGGAAGTATTGATCAAGGGGCGCCCTGAGACTCTTCCTGGGATGATCAAGCTCATAAATCGTCATCGTGATCAGTTGCTGCATCGCGGGGATCGACAGGGCTCGGATAGCTCTACCGCGACAGACATAAATCTAATACTCCTATCTGGTGGACTCGGTTCATCCGCATACATCAAGTATAAGATTGAAGAGTTTCTATCCAAGAGCCCCGGAGCTGGAAGCGGAGTATCAGTGCCCAAGGTGCACACCTTGACCCACCCGCAAATGTGCGTTTGTCGGGGGCTCGTCGAGAACAGAGTGTTGGGGATATGGCGTGCGGCCAGGTGCAATGGAAGCTACGGTATCTTGCAGAGAAAGCCGTATAAGGGCTGGAAACCAAGACACTTTCTAGCAAAGTATGGCAATCATTTGCACAATAGTGAAGGGAGGCGCTATGTTGAGCAAGTGAGCTGGCTGGTTAGGAAGGTGAGAAAACTTCTCTCTCTGCTCCCCAGATTTACTGACATGAAACAGAACCAGCCCAGACCAAGTGAGCCGCCGACCCTACTACATACCTTCGAGATAGGCGCGCACAATTTGTTGGTCGAGTTCGTGGTCTCGAATGAGGTCAAGCCTTCGCGATTTCCAAGCCGCGGTATGAGGGCATTATCTGTCCCTTTTGCCTTGACTTGACAATGGAACTAACTCGTTCCTCAGAAGATTTCATTGCCAAGGTCTCCTGCGACCTTGCAGAGCCAGCAAGAGACCCCGAAGGGAACTTGTACTGCTACGTGGAGCTGTGCTTCCATGTTGCTAGGGTCGAAGTGAAGTGCTGTGAGTACTGCCACGGCCGAAATATTCTGGAGCGGCGATTAAAATCATCACATTGACAGGGACATCCGATGACACAGCGAATCGTCAGCTTATTGGACAATATATGGGCGACTGGGAAACTCGGCAAGCATAAGAATACGGCTGAGTTTATGGTTGCTCCAAATGGTAGCCATGAGCAAGGTGGCTTTGTTCATCATTTGACTGGGGAATTGATTCTTTCGCGATACCTTTCGTGCAGCAGGGGTGGTTGAAATCAAGATGACTTTGAATTAAAGCTATAGAACCCAGTTTTAGCTCAAAAATGGACAGCGTCCAACATTTGTGTCGTCTATCCAGACTGGACGTTTGGATGACCGCTCGCAGGCTGTATCTTCATGTAAATGCACAAGGCACAACCATCTAGGTTAACAGGAGGTTATTCTAGTGATCGTTTCCACTTAAAGTCATCGATCTCACGAAAAGATGGAGAGAGTACCGAGAATGTAGGGTTTTCTTCTTGAAGAGGTACCAAGACGCCTCAAACAAGCATCATCCATAGGATCTGCTGAACACACATGCAATTCTCAATCCCCAATTCCCGTACAGATTGGTTATTTCACAAGACCACGTGGCTCACAGGTTTCAATGGTACGCATCCATTTGTGACGCGAGCTGCATAACCATACCGTTATACGTTCCTCTTGGTCTGATCAAGGAACTCGACAAGTTCATTTTTGGCAGCTTGCTCCTTGGCAGCCTCCTACCATTTCTCAGTCTGTGTAGTGCAGCATTCATTTTTGTGGCACGGAAGCATGGGATCCATCATTTGCACAGAAAACTTTGAATACCACTCAGAGGCGGCCTAATGTATACCGCACCTTGATAACAACAGACGAGGCTGTCTACTTTAATGGCAGAAATTTCCCGAACAGGAGAGACTTTGAAGGCCTTCTATAATGTTCCACTAACTGCAAAGGGAGATTGGACAATCCAGTAATTGCACTTGGGCTAGCTGCAGACTCTTTCGACTTCAGTGACAATGAAGGCAACTTTACTTGGAAGTAGTCTGCTGACCTTTTGCAATGATCCCTTCGCCAATTTCAACATCATGTGAGCCGAGGCTAACCATATTTAATTTTTCACACCTTTCTGCAAAAGTAACCTTACGCGTAGGTAGTTCCCGACCATCTAGTCTAAATCCGTCTGCGCAACCAGCGTCCCATTTGCAAGTACGCGGAAGCCATCCGGGATCTTGTTGTGGGCAGGCCGCTCCCACTCGACGAACTTGAGGCCCGCGGCTCTGAGCCCAGCCCGCGGCACAAAGCTACTTGGTCTGGCTTCTCCAATCGGTTTTCCATCTTCATCTAGCCACGGAACTTCCGGTCGCCAGGACTGCGGCCACTCCAGGGGCCTCGGGGCCTGTGTGTAGTGTGTGATCAAATTTTCTGGCTGATTTCGCCGGTGCAGCCAGCCTCGAAGGGTCCGCCGATAGTGTTCGATGTCTCTGTCGAGACGCACTTCAGGGTGCTTGGTCCATTTCCTCTCCTCGATCGTGGATATATCCGCGCCAAGGAGAACCTGCTCTGCGAGCTGGGTATCTTGGGTAATGACCTCATACACGGTGGCTACGACGCCCATGAGATCGATCTTGAAGCTGCCCGAGTTGTTGAAAAGCCGAAAATCTTTCATAGCGCCCTTCCATCCAAGCTTTGCAGCACAACTAAAGTCAAAAATCTGTAGCACTTCCGTGACAGGATTGATGACGAGGTTTCGAGGTGCTATGTCTCCGTGGACAATGCCAAATTTTAGGTTCAAATAGTCGACCACCTCTATGAGCTGTTCGAGATGCTTCAGTTTGAAGAGTCTGAAAGGGTTATCCTGCAGTGTCATGCCTGGTACGAATACTGATGTGAAGCCAACGACAACTTGGATAGTGCCGTAATTCGGGACGTTTTCGTAATCCGTAACCACACAGTCAAAGGGCACAATATTTGGGTGCCCGCTGAGCCTCAGCCAGCAGTTGAGCTCGTGCCAGTTCCTCAGTGCTTGCTCATGGTGGAACTGATACTTGAACACGGCCCTTGATCCGGGCTGGGATCTATAAGTGATAAGATCCACACACGGGGACAGTCTCTCAATCTCAACAAGGTCATCCCTTGAGACAACACGACCGCGCATGTAATTCTCCGGTATCATTTCGACGGGGCAATAAAGAGGCGTCAGAGCGGAGTCGTCTCTTGAATCCGACGAGGTCGAGATAAGATGACCGTCGATCGAGAAGTTCACGAGGTTAACATCGGGGTCAAGCTGGTCGACGAGGTCAGCCAGAGCTTGGGTGATTCGCTCTTCCACTTCTTCATCGCCACCACCAATGTCAACCTCCTCGGGGATACTCGTCGAGATATACCGGCGCTGGTCCCAATCGATGGTGCGCCACGTCGTAGGTCCTCGGGGAAAGCTCTCGCTGGTGTAAGAATTGAAACGCCGTTTCGGCTGGCAATTATGAAAGAAACCCATCATGCGGGCCGACTTTTTAGATATGAATTATCCTCAAAAATTGATCAGGTGATAGAATGAGAACAGGATTTCTAGTAGCAAAAGAGCCACGCTGACCTTTGGGCTTTGTCGGCAAGGTGCTGAATGAGATGAATTGAAGTCGAAACTCTGCGATTCACCTTACCATCTAAACATACAGGAGATAGTCAACAACCAAGCCACCGTCTTCTTTCTTGAGAATCGGTATCACCCGGGATGAGGTGTGCAGATAAACAGACAACTTGGGAGAGTTGTCGTAGTCCAAGGTCACATCCCTGAGCCGGGCCAACGGGCCTCTGCATTTCAAGCCGTTGGTGCCGCGCACTCGGTATTACATAATGAACCCTTTCCTCTTTTCAGGGTCTGCTTTCGCCATGCCCATGGAGTCTAACATTCAAACCTTGCCCCAGACTCGGCCACCAACAGACAGATGCTGCCTGGCAGATCGCCCCTATCACGCTCGGCAAGGAGGGCCCTAAAAGCCTTGTTCTTGCCCCAAGGGTAGTATGAGTCAGATCTGCCCACTGCCCTTGTGATTCTTACAATGTGGTTCAGATCCGAATTGGGTCGAGTTGATATGGAGTGGATGAGCTTGCTCAATCCGTTTGTCAGAACCCCCCACATACACTTTGTGCTGAACAGATCATTTCCCGCATCAAATTAGGTCTGGCATCGTTACCTATTCATTTGTCCTAGGACTGGGCTTCCAGATGTCTGTTCAAGTAGAAATGGCAATGCGACAACTGTGTTCGGCTATAGCCTTTAACTGTTCGGAGGCACGAAACAATAACTCCTCTCTCACAACAAGACTGGAGGCGGAGCATAACCCCCTTTTGACACAGTACAACACAATCTTTCATTCTAAGATGTATGTTGCAGTATAGATGGAACATTTTTCTGCCAATGAGTGCTCATTGTTGCACCATTCGTCAACTCTCAAGGTCTCTCAGGCCTAACCCCACCCCTGGCTCGAACCCCTGACGGTTGTGACGCAACGTTGGGAATGCCAATGATGGATCGCAGGCCGCAGATGATGACAAAACGTGACGGGTGATACGTGGAGTAGATCCGATATGGGATTGCTTGCGGGTCAATCTCTAAGTCAGAAAACTCAATACTTTTCTATGGTATTGTATTTCAATGTGTGTATTTTGTAGAATTATCTGGAAGACGGCATTTGGCCACAGAGGCAAGTTCTTCCGCTCCCATTCGTATGCGCTCATCATTTTCCTTGGACAAAACCTTGGTGTTCCTGCAAGCTATGTACGGCTGATCGCCTGGAGACGAATTCAAAGGGGTGTGGCTAGCCTCAAATCGGCCGACAATGTGATAATATTGGTTAGATAGCCGCAAATTATTTATCAGTTTGTCTATTCCCAGGTACTTGTGAGTTGTCACGTAGCTTGATGTTGCAGAATACGATGTCCACCGTAGGACATAAAGGTATGCTGGATATGTAAGGCTGTGAGTACATGTACTATGAGCGTGTGAACGGCAATTCAGGAGGATTCTCCCTTGACCATGTTATGCTATCTAAAACTGACATGTATGGATGGGCAACGATGCCATGCAATACCACCTGGTTGTATTCAGCACTGCCTGGGCAAAAGGAGGATGCGCCAGGCCATAGCCAGATACTGAAAAGGAGCTCGTTCGATATTGCGCTGCGTACAGCTCAGTTGAAGCCGATGAGAGGAAGTCGACCTCAAGGGATCGAATGTTTCGTATATCGCATCTACCCACCACTGCTGCGTTGAACATCATGTTGCATCTTGAGAGAACAGTGGATACGTAGCCATATAACCCTTTTTTCTTTTAGCATCTGCACGCGTTAGACCAATTGATAAGCCGTTGTAGGATCATCATGATATCTCCTGTTCACCAGGAGCAAGATATCAACGACACGACAGCTTCCAGTGTTCGTTTGTCGGAGCGCCTAGCATTGACCACAGACGTCGCATTCCAAGCCTGTCTAAAATTAGTGCAATCAAGACAGTGCTTGTGCTGAATGATTCTTTTGATATGACGGCTGGTCTGGAAGGTACAACATTTCGATAAAGCCGTGATTCCGCAATCCTACTTTGTCAGCATTGCACACAATATATTGGCAACTAACTATACATCCCGCAGGGATCCCAAGCATATCAGTGTAACTCGACCTACAATTCCTGCATTTGGAGGACCGCAATTTATCCCGCAATATATGAGCATGCACAAAACGCAACACAACATGCTCAATTCGGTACCTGCGGATCACTTCAATCCCAGATAAATCCAAATTCAGTTTTCGCATCTTCCCTTCATCCGTGAAAAGGTCACCAAAATTAGGATCCGATCACCAGAGGCCACATATACATCTCTCCGGATGATTTGGTGTTCTGGCTTCCGAGAAGCCGCCGTAGCATGCGACATCTACCCATTCACCCCGAATAACCGAGCCGAATTTCGAGCTTCATCCGCATTGGCTAAGAGGTGCTGCCTTCAATATAAAAGTTCAAGGGACTTCCGCCGATCGCAAAACAGAGACCACGTTCTGCCTCTCCACAGAGCCTATAGTTCAAAGCCCGCCATAAACGTCGAGATGCATTGGCTGACTCTCGTGAACACCGTTACAGGTCTTCTCCTGCTCGGGAAAGGAGCCGCTTCCGTCATCAAATCAACGGATACAAGACCACGGCTAGGTCGCGCTTACAACGGAGTCCTGGACGGCGGCGACCTGTCAAGCTTCTCCCTTTCACGGCGCCAGAGCTCCTCCCCTCAGTGCGGAGCGGCAGCCAACGGTGCGCGGTGCACCAACAACCTCTGCTGCTCACAGTGGGGGTACTGTGGCTCCTCGGACATATACTGCTCCAATATCTCGGGATGTCAACCAGCCTATGGAGTGTGCGAGGGCTCGTCCACTACAACTTCTGCGACCTCGACGACCTCGACGACAACCACAAGCAGCTCCTCCTCTTCTACGGTTACGACGACAACTTCGAGTACTAGCACCAGCAGTAGTAGTAGCAGCAGCAGCAGCAGTACTGCAAGCCCGACGGTTGTCCTCCCACCTGGCCAGAGCACCACGACAGATGGCACATGCGGGAACAACAAGTCTTGTCTGGGTTGGGCGTATGGACAGTGTTGTTCCCAGTTTGGCTATTGCGGCTCGGGTGATGCATACTGCTCAGAAATCTCGGGATGCCAGCCTTCTTACGGATTATGCGAGGGTTCTTCGTCATCTACCACTCCTGGCGTACCAACATCGACTTCGTCGTCCACAAGCAGCTCATCTACGTCTTCGGTAACGACTACGACGTCCTCGGTGACCACCACAAGCTCTACCAGTAGCAGCGCCAGTGCGAGCCCCACTGTCACTCTCCCGCCAGGCCAGAGTACTACAACAGACGGCACTTGCGGAAACAACAAGTCGTGTCTGGGCTGGGCGTACGGGCAGTGCTGTTCGCAGTATGGGTACTGTGGAAGTGGGTCGACGTACTGCTCACCCCTCGCGCAGTGCCAGCCAAACTATGGGTTGTGTGACGCTGCGTGAGTCCTGCGAAGGATGTGATGTTTCGGACCACATTAGATGGCAAATTCCATAGCTAGAAAATAACACCTTTGTTATGAATCTCGTTGTCTTGATTTGTGGATTCAGTGATTCCTGTTAAGCGTAGTCGCCACCCGCGATTAATATACTGTACACTTAAGGGGGTGGGACAATAATGCATAATGTTGTATAGATCAATTGAAGCGAAGGGTAACAACAAGAGAGATAGAATATGACATCCTATGATCTCTGAACGATGTATACCTTAGCTGCAATAAAGAACTAGATTTTTAGAGAATTGTCCCTGATGGCGACTTTATCGTTGCATCCCACTTGCATACAGTCAGGAGTGAAGAAATGTCATACCTGAATCGTGAAAGAAAAACGAGATTTCATCCTAAATATGCATTTTTTTTTCTGAGAAGCCTTGAGCGATCTCTTGTATTGATTATTCGCTTCGCCCTCCAGATGTCGGTAGCACGCCACCAAACCAGTCTCACTTCAAGAAATCGCCCTTCGTCCTGGCCAGCACTTCATCATAATACGGCTGGAACGCAAGCCAACCCTTCTCAGGACCCCCAACACTCTGCGCCGAGAACGCGCACTCGGCCTCATCAATCAGCACCTTTTCATACCCGCCCGCAGCAGCCGCATCAGCCAGCAGCTGGGCCTGACAAGTACGGTCCAGCGACATGAACCAGAACGCAGCTTCATCGACGCTTTGTCCAACCGTCAAGAGACCGTGGTTCTGCAGGATGACAGCTTTCCCACTACCCAAGGCACCTGCAATCCTTGCACCCTCTTCCGCGTCAACCACCACGCCGCCAAAGTGTCTGTACACAGCATGACTGCCATAGAAACGGAGCGAGTCCTGCGTGATCATCTCTAGCTCGCGGCCAAACGCACTAAACGCCTTGCCGTGGACGCTGTGCGCATGACATGCGGCGTGGACGTCCGGACGGCCGCGGTGGATGGCGCTGTGGATGGTAAACGCAGCCGTGTTGATGGGGTCGCTGCCCTCGACTATGGCGCCGTTCTCATCAACAAGAATCAGGTCGGAGACTTTGATCTGCGAGAAATGGGCCGACAACGGGTTCAACCAGAAATGGTCCGTCTTGATCGGGTCGCGCACCGAGATGTGGCCCGCTACGCCTTCATCGTAGCCCCGGTCGGCAAAGACGCGGAATGCTGCTGCCAAGTGCTGCTTGCGGTACAGGCGTTCCTCCTCGAGGGTGGCGAATTGGGGATAGCTGCGGATTCGGAGATCCTGGCCAGACTTGGTCTTGCCTAAGGACTGGACTGCGGTCGGTGGTGCTCTGTGTGGTGTACTGGACGTCGTAGGCTGCTGTTGGACAGAGGCGAGTGGGCGGGAAGCTGAGGTTGTGAGATATCGGGGTGGTGCTGAAGCCCGGCAGGTTGCTGCCGAAGCTGCTCTCACGGAGCTAGCGGGCCGACGACCTACTTGGCTCAGGATACGATTCATGATGGCTTTCGTGTGATGTTGTACAAGAGACACTCGGCTTGCCTCGTCAGAAGCTTAGAAGAAGGCGGGTCAATCGGCAACGTCCCCACCCACCCGGCACCTCTTCCGGCTCGGAATTGCGCTGTCACCCCGCGTTTTACCCACATCGGAGCCGGCACCGAAATCTGGGGTAAATGTCGTGGCCTTAGATGGTGGGACCACTGAATCCACCAAAAGAGGCTGTCGGGACTCAACTTGAAAATCGTTCGGGGCGAACCCAGCCGAGAAAATACAAGGGAATTTCAGTGTTTTTGTTTTGATGTGCATTGAATTTTGTTGAAGGATGTTTTGGTTACTTGACCTATGTTGATGATTTGACGTCGATAAGGTATCCCACAAGGACTATTCCATTGGAGACTATTCTGCAAGACGGTTTTCCATTTGTGATTCTTCCAGCGAAGACAGGTCGAGAGAGACACCTACTTTACTTGCGAATAGGCTCCACGAGCTTCTGGCAGTCAATCACCTTCTGCGGCTCCACCATTCCGCACTCGACCAGTTTCTTCATCACTCTGATGGCCCAGTACTGGCAATTTTCTGTGACCTCCTTCCTGCTCTTTGCCTGAGGAGGTGGCTCAGCTGCAGCAATCTTGCTGACGATGTTGTCCATCTGAGGTGTAAGATTGGGCACGATCACGAAATACTACCATACAGAGTCAGCCAGTGTCCGATTAGGGTCGTACAATATGAGTCCGACTCCCAGGGTGCAAGTGAAGTGAGCAGGGAGCTCAAGGAAATGACTTACATCTCGGATGTCCGGATTACTCAGAGTGGGCACAGGGATTCCATCCTAATAGAACTTAGTTTCTCTTCCTCTTATATCTCTTAGAGCCAAGATTTGAGTGGGTTACGCAGCTTGAAATCTGTGCACGAACCTGATTCGGTCTGTAATCCATGAACTCGGCGTCCCCCGAGACCTGATAGACATTTCCTTCCAGATCGCCACCTTCAACATCAGCTGTCTCGAGGCTCCAGTGTAAGGGCTCGCCCTCGGCCTGGTTGTGTCGAACGAGGTAGAGCTGCTTCATTTGGGAAGTCGACTGTTTGTTGTCAAGAGGCGACTCGACCTTCTTCCAGGCAGTCTTGATGCCATTTGAGTTGTGTGTGCGGACATCTGCGTTGATCAGCACGTGCATGATCTTAAATCGTATGTTGGAAGGATGAAGTGATTGGCAGCTTACAAGATGCTCCGTCATCGGTGATGGCAAATTCTTTGTTGAGTCCAACGCGCTTCAAGGTGATATTTGGATCATGAGAGTCTACAGAGGACACTGAATCGGCGCTGCTTGGCCGTCGAGAAGTCGAGATATCTGTCATGTCGCCAGATTGAGTTTGATATATCTCAAATCGAACATGTTGCGAAAAAAGGTTTGCTGGTTGTGGGACACAGGGCTTGACAAGAGCCAAAGAAGACTGAATGCTGGAGGTTAGACTGTTGGGAGCGTTCTGGAGAACCATATGCGCTTGAGAATCCGGTGACTCTTTTCAAGTCAATTAAGGAACAAATAAATTTGCTCGTGCATCTGATTTTGACACATTCACTGCATTCTGTGAGTCACTACGTGGTGTACTCGGGTCTGTTGTAGGCAGCCGCCAACATTTACATGGGTCGTGGGCTTCAGCCACTGCCAACAGGGAAAGCATATGTGGACACTGGCTTGTGCTCATGACATACCATGTCAGCAGAGTCAATTCGTGCAATTTAATAGCAAAAACTTAATCAACCAAACCAGCCACGAGATAGATTTACTGTCAAGAAATCTGGAAAGGCAGTTGGATACCGTGCGTGCTATGTCGCTGGGTGTCAGCAAACGAAAGAGCATCCGCTCACATATATTGTAGCTCTCTTGAACGCCAACATTACATCTCAAGCAACGACCATGACAAAATTTTCGTTTAAATTCCCTGCGACGATTCAGATGGAAAGCAAAACTTGCACTCGAATCCTCCTGAAGTCCACAGCTAGCTCCCGCGCAACGAACATTACAATGCGCAGACATCTGCGTCTTGGGTAGCTTCAAAGTCAGTGCCCAAGGATGAAGCAACATCCTGTCTCGCACACAGACCATACGACAAAGATATCATTGGGTAAGCGAGACATGATGTCAAGCCACGCGCCTGCAAGACACATGCTCGACATGGAGGATGCTTCAGGGGACGCACAGGGAGCTAGGCTGCCGGGCCACGTGGGTGGTGATCCAGAGGCTGAGACAGGTCCCGCATCCGGAACCCACGGACGGCGAGGCCGTGCTGCTGTGCTACAGCGCCGGCGGAAGTCTGGAGATCGACGTGTCGGTGCTGGACGTCAGAAATAGCTCTTCGAGCGGCGTCACTGCTGGTAATCACGGGTGCCGCGTCTAAATCCAAGCTTTGCGTGTCTCGTGAACGACAATCTGTAATTTTCCAATTTTCCCATCTTGTCTCACGACTAGACCGGACGCTAGCCTCCAAGCTGATCATTCTTCCCTTCTCTTGGGTGAAAAACCAAATATGGCCCCTTGTGAGAGGCCGCAAAAATGTCATACAGCTGGTACTCATCCGGCCTTCCCCTTCCGTCAACCCTGCCGGTCGTGCCCCCGCCCACGCGACCCAGCTCCCCAGGCGCAGCCTCGAAGTCAAAGTGCCAGATCGTCTTGGAGATGACCAAGCTCGCCTCGAGGTACGCCATCGCCTTGCCGGCGCACGAGCGTGAGCCGATGGAGAATGGGGCGAAGGCGGAGCGCATCGTCGCGACTTGCGCTTCGTTCTCGGAAAGCCAGCGCTCGGGCTGGAATCTGTAGGGTTCGGGGAAGTACTTCTCGTTGTGGTGAAGTGCGTACATGCTGACGCCTACCTGCGTGCCAGGTGGGATGAGATGCCCGTCTATAATCAATGGTTGCCCTTTCTGTGGGTCATCCTCAGCGAGCTGGCGCCAGGGAATACCGGGGACTGGTGGTGCCATGCGCCTGTTGCAATTATCAGTCATTGTGCATTTGTCATTAAAATAACTCTTCCTCAAACTTCATCTGGGTTACTAACATCGCCTCATCAATACAAGCACGCAGATAGTGACAGCCAGAAAGTTTCGGGCCGCTGTGAATCTCGGCAGCACTGGAGAATGTTGTCCGTATCTCATTCGCAAGCTTCTTATACGTCTCAGAATTGATTTTTCTGGTGATGTAGAAGAATAAAGCGGCTGTGGCAGCAGCAGTGGTATCGCCGCCTGCGGCAAGGAAGAAGATGCCCTCGGAGAAGAGCAGCTCACGCAATTTGGCATCATTCATGGCTGCGCCTTGGGCCCCTTCGGCCACGAAGGAAACGAGATCGTTGCGAGCGTGCTTTCCCTGACCCAGGCGACTTGATGTCATTTGCTCCAGGAGGGCAAAGAAACGCTTCCGGCTGCGGCCACTGATGCTGGCGAGCAAATTTTCGAGGCCCAGGTCGTAGAGCAAGGGGAACTGGAAGAGGCAGTTGCTCTTGAAGTTGCCTGCGAATATTCCATCCAACACAAACCGGTGCTTTGGGTCACGCTGAACATTGAATTCGAACCCAAAGGCCAGGAGACCTATCGTGTCAAGCCCAACCCACCTGAGCCGAGGAGTGATATCCATGGGCTCTTTGCTAGATCGAAGCTGCTCGATGAAGATGTCAACCTGCTGTTGCAAGGTGGGCTCGAAGAGACGCGTCGCTCGTTCAGTCACGGCCTGACCGATGACCTTCCGCTTGGTGCGGTGAAGGCTCTTGTTGAGGCAGTTGAAAACATTCGGGGAGGTCTTCGCCCCTACGAGCAGAGTATAGACGAACGATTTGCCAACTCGCTCGTTGTTGTAGATATCTGCATATTCAGTCAAGGACTGGTTCCGAGATTGGGATTTGATTCTTTGTCGTACCTCTGAGGGCGGTAGCAGTGTTGAACACGAGCCTGTTCGGACCCTGCCGGTAGACAGGCCCTAGTGGGTGTGATTGTCAGGATGACTGCAAAGGCAAGCACAGGTGGTTACACTGTCCTACCGTATGTTCCGTGGTCTCTCATTATAACCAAGTAGAATCGCATCCAGAGAGCATTCCACCCACCATATGCGTCAGTCACCTTCGCAAGCCATGGTCCTGGATATCGCCTCAGCGGGTGTAAAAAGATGCGGTAGGCCGAAAGAAGGAGGAGCTGTCTCGGCAAGTCAATAGAGCAGTCACCGGGACCGGGAACAGTATGAAGTGAGATTTGGACGCACATATGGGATGAGAAGATAGACGAAGTACTTCGCCAATGCGAAGATAGACTCAGAGGCAGACATGTTCGTACTATCGATTTAGTCGATTGCGGGATGAAGCAATGCAAGGCGATCAAGCGCGTGAGGCAGACCCACGCACGACTTTCGCTTCAAATTATTGATTTTGTCTGAATCACAACGCAGTTTGAAGCTGACAGAAAGTGAGGAGAAGCACACGCTATTTATTGTCAACGTTGTAACCCACTAGCGTCATCTGCTTGACCAGCACCTGCTCTTCCAAGAACACCAACACTCATGAACATCAAGACGCTAAACCTGACTGGGGAGAAAGATTTCACATAAATGTGCACGCTGTTCTTCGATGACACAGAGCTGATAAGCGCCGCCTTAGATTTACATCGCGACCACCTCTTTTGATGCTCAAGACGACAAGAACCAGCTCTGAGCCGTAGTCGTCACTCCCAGTGCGTTGATTTACCCGGGAAAAACACGCTTTCGGTAGTTCATAAAGATCCTCATGGGTAGTGACTAGGTCCATAAGAGCGTTTCCAAGCGTGTCGCGGGAACATTGGTACAGAAAGACTGCTGGTTTTGACACATCCTTCAAACGGTCTGCTGCGCAGGACGATCGCGTTTATATCGTTTTCGTGCCCCAACGACTAAGCCGACACAGATTTGATCTATCTCGGCAGATGATATCGAACAAAACGAGCAGCTTCGTGACTAAGGCTTCGAATCCGGATGTCCGTGGAGCTTTGCAACTGGATTGCTGGGGATTTTAGTGCTTATATCAATGTGTCTGAGATTACGGGCGGGACCAAGAACACTGTGATTGGTGAGTCGGCGACTAGGAAAAGTCAACCTGAAATTCACGGCATTGTGTATAAAGAGAGATTGGCGACTACGTGCGGTATATTGTGTGATAGTCTTCATTCTTTGCAGCATCCTGTCACACAGACCTATAAGGCCAGTTGGTAAAGATGTCCTCCTTGATATCAAAGTACGTTTTCAGTACCAAAATACACCTGTCCCGACTAGCTCGACTCTTCATGACGTTGTCAACCTTGAGAACGAGACGATCTTTAATGGTTTTCGATGGATCTTGGATGGCAGTCGACGAATCGACTGATGATGCTTGGCTTGGCTGTGTGGAAATTTCGACCATTTTCTGGAGGTGGCCATCGCACATCGATCAGAAGCCAGAAGTTGAGTTGGAGACTGGAGAGGAGTATCTAGCCTCCGGGGAGAACAATCTGGAATCTGAGCACCTAAACTCTATCCAACTGCCATACCTGCATAGCTGCACACCTGCATAGTCGAAGCACATCGCCCATCGATGTGCTGCTGCTCTGTGTTTTCTCATTGCGTCATCTGGCCTCTCCCCCCAATTCCTGCCCAGCTGCTCCCAGCTTTGCAGGCGGTCCAGGCGGTTCCTGGTGACCGCTGCTAGCGCTGCGACTGGGCTCAGGTGGCCCCCAGCCGCATGTGGATGGTCTGAATCCGAGGGCCTCCAGGACCCCCAAACCACCCAGGACCCTGGCTCGCTGGGCCTGGCCTGGGCACTGACTGCCCCACCTGCTTTGTTGCTGGAGCAGTAGCTGACCTGACGCAGCAAGGAAAAAGCTTGTCCAACTCGAGTCTCTTTCATCTCACTTCATCCACTCACCATCCACCTCCACCCATCCACCGTCCATCCGTCACTCTCTCAACGTTTCTTCTCACATCCCACCAACTTCACCGACCATCGCACAGTCCCAGGAACAGCAAATCGTTACGATGTGAAAGCAACGAGGGCTTCACGACGTGGTATAACTTGCAGGAAGTCTCATTTTTTGGCTTTAGCGTTCGCTTTTCTCACTCTTAGCCTCAGACAACATCTCACCGTCTGTCTCATTGACATCATCTCTCATTCCAACCTTCCACCCCACAACCACCGCCATCATGTCTTCCCACAGAGACATCCCCGACGACATCCTCAACCGCCTCAACAGTGTTTCAGGCTCCTACAACCCCAGGGACGACGGCCAGGAGCGAGTAGCTGCCGTTGTGGCAGAACACCTGCCCGATGGGTACACCGCCGCCTTTGATGGCTTTGACGGCGCCAGTCCCGCTGCTAACGAATCCAACGGCCCGGCCGGCTCAAGTTCCAATCCGGAACAGGCCGACGACTCCGAACCCCCCGTGGAGTCCTCTCTCCTCCTACAGGGCGGTGACATCCACCGTGACCTGTTCAAGATCCCCGCCCAAGCACCCGGTCTCCAGCGTGCCATGACCTTCTCTCACCCCGTCCGCACTGACACCCCCGACAACGGGCTGACCGCCGCCGACATCAACCAGATCCAGGGGTTCCGGAGGCATCACGTATTGCAGAAGCAGCAGACGCAACGGCCCAGGGGGGGCTTCCAGGGCGGCACCAGCATGCCCATCACCCGCAGTTTTGTCGAGTTCTTGGACCTCTACGGCGCCTTTGCTGGTGAAGATCTTGCCGACTCCGATGATGAGGGTATCACCGATGAGGAGGCTACCCCATCTGAGCAGGCCGTCGACGAGCAGGAGGCCAATGAGAATAGTCCTCTCATCCGTCGGCGGCCCCACCACATAAGGAGAAAGTCCTCCCGTGTGTTGAGGCGGCAAGGTGACGCTTCCACCACCAAGACATTCTTAACCCTCCTCAAGGCATTCGTGGGCACGGGCATCATGTTCCTGCCTAAGGCCTTCTACAATGGCGGTATCCTCTTCTCGTCTATGTGTCTCATATCTATCGCTGCCATCTCCATGTGGGCCTTCCATCTCCTACTCAAGTGCAGGACCTCCTGTGGCGGTTCCTACGGAGAGATCGGCGAGACCATCGCCGGGCCCTGGATGCGCAATGTTATCCTGACTAGCATCACACTCTCACAACTGGGCTTTGTGTGCACGGGTCTTGTATTTGTTGCCGACAACTGGTTCAGCTTCTTGGCGGCCGTCTCCAACGGCGCCAATCCGCTCGGCATCAAGGCCCTCATCGCCCTGCAGGCTCTATTGCTCATTCCGCTATCCTTCATCCGCAACATCTCCAAGCTAGGCGCCGCGGCCACCCTCGCCGACGCCTTCATCCTCATCGGGCTCTGCTACATCTGGCAATACGACATTAGTCACCTGGCCACCAATGGTATGAGCCCTACCGTCGAGCTGTTCAATCCCAAGGCCTACACCTTGACCATCGGCGCCTCCATTTTCACGTTCGAGGGCATCGGGCTCATCATCCCCATCCACGCGTCGATGCGCCACCCAGAGAAGTTCGAGCCGCTGCTGGGGCTGGTGATGCTCATCATCACCTGCATCTTCACGTCGGTCGGGGCGCTGTGCTACGCGACCTTCGGCGACCGCACGCAGATCGAGGTCATCAACAACTTCCCGCAGGACTCGCGGCTCGTCAACGCGGTGCAGTTCCTGTACGCGCTAGCCGTGCTGATCGGCAACCCAGTGCAGCTGTTCCCGGCCATGCGTATCCTCGAGGGCCGCATCTTCGGCCACCGCAGTGGCAAGAAGGATCTGCTGACCAAGTGGAAGAAGAACGCCTTCCGCACCGCCCTCGTCGTCGTCTGCTGCGCCATCAGCATCGGCGGCAGCACCAACCTCGACCGCTTCGTCGCCCTCATCGGGAGCGTTGCCTGCGTCCCGCTCGTCTACGTCTACCCGGCCTTCCTGCACTACAAGGCCGTCGCTATCACGCCGCGGGAGAAGATCGCCGATGGGGTGCTCATGGCGCTGGGGATTGTTGGGATGTTCTACACGACGGCGATCACTGTTGCGAGTAGTTTCGTGTGAACTTTGCATGAAGAAGAGGGGTTGTAAAAGGGGAAGAAAAGGGGAGGAGACCCCACGGCGAAGGAACGGTTCTGCATATCTTGGCATCTAAACGACAAATCATCTGTGGGAGACTCGGGAATACGATTTGAGTCGGCGCTCTGGCGTCGGGAAGACATGTGCATGGGAGATAAAACGGAGCAGCGAGAGATAAAGGAGGGACAGAAAATCACGCGCAGATGGGAGCAGCAACAGCATCGGATTGGATATTTGGGCGTGTGGTTTGTAGCATTGTTGTTGGTTATTTCTTTTTTTGTGTTGTGATAGCGCTTGTAAACGATTTCGATGCATACATGGGCAGGTAGTTATCGATCTCAACAATCGATCTGGTTCTCACCTCATGTCAGTTCTGTCTATTGTGAACCCTTGCACCAGCCATGACATACAATCAAGGCCAACACCATCTGCCAACAACACGACGACCACAAAACCAGCTAATCCCTTCCGGGATCGACATCATACTCCACGTCCGTCCGAATAACATACTTAGCCGACGGCCTCTCCCCACGGCGCACCCCGGTGCCTTCGTGTAGCAGGCTTCCCTCTGTCTCGCCGTGCGGGAACATGGCCACGCTGCCCTGAATCGGCTTGACGGGGTACGCGTTGAGGGTTCCCTCGCGCGCGGCCGGCAGGAAGAAGGTCGTCTCGCCGGCCTCGAACTCGTCGTTGAGGTAGATGAGGAACGTGAACAACGACGACTGCTTGGCGTCCGGCGGGCTCGCATCGTACTGGTATGTGTCGTCTGGGAGGATGCCTGAGGGGGGCCAGGCGCCGTCTAAAGGGGGTGGTCAGTATTTGGTTATATGGAGGGGGGCTCCATAGAAGGAAGCAATACGGAAAACACAGAACAAAATGGACAACACTTACCAATATGCGCCCGGTATTCCGCCCCCGGGACATATCGATACACACGGAACCGCCGATTCAGCCCCCTTACCTTCCGACCACCCACCCGCGCGGGCACGAAAGGCTCTACCCGGCCCCAGATCCCCCGGCAAAACTCTTCATCAGCAACCCAGTAGAAATTGTGCGCCAGCACGCTATTCTCCCTCGCCTCGTCCCCGTCAGGCCGCACCGGCGCGTCAGGAGCGAACCCGATCGCCTCGGCCGCGCCGATGATCTGCCCGCACTCGTCCGGCGAGAGCACGTCGCGCAGAAGGTGCAGCCCCGGCACGACGGGATGAGCGTGGTGCGTGGTTTGCGGCGCATCAGGCGATGACGGTGGCGCCAGCGCGATGGTGCCGTCCCGTGAAGCGTGCAGTGTCGCTGGGTGCCGGTTCGGTGGGTTGCGCTCCGCGCCTGGGATCGTCTGGATGACGCGGAAGCCAGCCCTCATCGATTGCGGGATCGATGCCGGGAGGGTCCCGTCCATGACGGAGTCGTAGACCGTCCGCCGGGGGCGGTCTGCGTCGCGGAGGTCCCAGGCTGGCCGCACCGCCATTGGACCGGGCTCGGCCTCTGCTGCTGCGCTGTCGGGTGGTGGCAGCGAGTGGTCTACTGGCCCTGTGACGCGCAGGACGGCGTCTAGGACCTTGAGCGTCTCGACCTGGGCTGCGGTGCGCTTGACTTGCCCTTCGCGCTGCTCTGCCAACCCGCTGATGACGTCCAGGTCGCGCACCCAGCGGCACAGGGCGCCTAGTTTTGGTGCTTGCTCCCGGATGCGCATCTCTGAGAGGAGGATGCGGGCCTCCGTCAAGCCGCCATCTGCGAGGGCGCCGCTGATCCGCGACGTTAGGTTTGCATCGGCTGAGGTATTATTAGCCTGCTGTCCCTCCTGATGATTTGACCTATGTGAACGTGTGGACCGGGGTGCTTTGTTCAGTGCTGAGTGGATCATATTTCAACGAACCTGCAGCATTAAACCCGGTGGTACAAGCCTTGCGGAACTCAAACACCGCCGTCCTTAGGTCCTTGCATGCTTTGGACTTGATTAGGCTTGGGTTCTCTACCAGCGCTTTTAGAGTTTCGACCGTAATCTCGAGGTCCTCCTCCGGCACGACCGTGTTGAGGAACTTGAGCTCAAAGGCAGCGCCAACGGTGGGCAGCACAGGGGTTGCGGCCTGCTGGGTCTTGACCTTCTTCACCGCGCCGAGCTGCTGCTGGCTCTGCTGCTTGCGCTTTTGCTTGGACTTGGACATGTTCGCAGTGATAGGAGTCTGCTTCGTTCAATTAAGAGGAAGTAGACGAATTTATATATAAGTTGAGGGTTGATGGATTGATTGGTTGGGGTTGGAGTAGCAAGTGGGTGCTTGGCTGAGGAGAATTCGGGTCGTCGACAACTGTGTCACGTGACGGGGGGTGGTCTGATCCCATCACGGTGGCGAAAACGGCTACGCAGGGAGAAAAGTAAGTTGCAGATCTAAGCAGACACATAGAAGCCAATCTCAGGAATAAACCAAGTGTTGCATAGTAATTGACGATAGAAAAGTCTGCTGATGCTGCTGCTTGGCATGGCAATAAGTCTTCATCACAGCGGGGTCAAGAACGCAGAACTAACTTATCCAGAAATGTTATATTCGTGATCGCCAGTGAGGCTTGTATTTACTTTAGAGATCTAGACCATCCTGACAATGCAGGTCTAATCCGACTAGGTTTCTAATCATGCACCCTCCTATACCCAATTCTTGTCTCATATATACCACAACCCCTCTACACCTGTATACCCTCCGGCACCGACTCATCTGTAAGATTACCACTAGTATCTCCATCCTCCGCCCCCAACCACTTGGCCATCACCCGCACCGCCTCTGCGTACTCAACCCCAAGGCTGTCAGGCGGGTTGAACGGCAGCGGCTTGTCCCACGCGTGCTTCGCCTCCGGCACCACCCGGTGGCCGACCTCCTTGCCCCTGGCCTTCAGCCTCTCCGCGAAAATCTTGCCCTCGGCCAACAGCATGTCGTACTCGCACAGGCACAGCTGCACAGGGGGCAGTTTATCGACCAGGTAGTCCGGCATGAGGCCCGGTGACAAGAGAGGATTGTCTAGATGCGCCTTGAGCTCATTGGGCGGGTAGATATACGACGCGTCGAAGATGTCCGTCAGCGACCGCGGAAGGGTCATCTCGGGTTTGCTGCAGGTCAGGCGCTTGCGCGGCCGGGACATGGTCCAGTCGAGCAGCGGGTAGAAGAGCATCAGACCCACTGGCTGTGGGACCTCGGCTTCGGCCGCCTTTGGTATTTTCGAGCCACCCTCCCCGGTCGACAGGGCTAGTTTCGACATTGAGTCGGTCAGGGCGGGCTCGATCTTGTATCCGAACTTCTCGTGGTCTTGTAGCAGCGTCCAGCTTGCCAGTGCCAGGGTCCCGCCGGCGGAGAAGCCGGTGAGGATGATCTTGTTAGGATCTATCCAGAACTCGTCCGCCCTCCGCCATATTTGTAGTATTGCGTCTGCGCAGTCCTCGACGGGCGTTGGAAAGGGATACGTAGGCGCCAGCCGATACTCGACCGAGAACACGACAGCGCCTAAGGCCTGCATGACTGCCATAGCCCATCTCCCGTCATCTGTGGCTTGCCCGAGCACAAAGCCTCCACCGTGGAAGTTTATGATGGCAGGTCGGCGGGATGTCGGGTCGGGCTGTGGGTTCAGCGTAGAAGGGATCTTGTCCATCGGGTTGTCGACTTGGCCGGAGGGAGTTGTTGGTAGGGACATTGAACTCTTCGACTTAATCGATTGGGAAGATCTGAAGGACATCCTGGACGATAACCTGGACAGGGAAGGTCGGAGAGAGGCGCTCTTGTCACCGGTTTCATCCCCACTACTGCGTATGGAGCTTTTGGACGAGAAGCGCGATAGAGGAGGCTTGAGGCCAGAGTCATTCCCGTTCTCCTTGCTTTTCTTCTTCTTGAGCGACCTCAGACTGCCCTTGGAGCTCTTTCTCGACAAGGGACGATCTGGTGTCCATACTTCTGCCTTGATCTTTTCCTTGCCGCTGTACTTCTTGGAGAGCGTTGAGTCGAAGTATACGGTCTTATGCGGTGACGGGACAGCGGGCGAGGCCATATTGCCCATGCCAAAGGCAATGGCAGCTCCGGTACGATATGCATACGCCCGGGTCGCCAGGGACCATCGCGAGGATTGCTCAAGAGGATTATTGTATACATCGGTGGAGGGCTCGTCAACTGCGTCTTTGGCCTCCTGGACAACATCTGGCTGCTCAGCCAACGTGGCAGCGGCGCCTTCGGACATGGTTTGCTTCTCTCGTGATTTTCTGGCTTTTCTCTTGCTCGGTAGGGACTGGCCGTTGACTTGCTGCAACTCTTGCAACGGTGCTGCTGCTGCTTCGCTTAGTAGGAGCCAGAGGGAGCCAGCTTTTCAGAGAACGAGTACAAACAAGAATACGTCATTTCACGATAGGCCCAGGGGAGGTTTCGTGACCAACCCCATGGTGTCTCAGGGGTTGACACCCAGAGCTGGTTGTGATTGGAGTAATCTCCGGGGCGGTCCTCCAGCAAGGCAAAAGGAGACAGGAATCTAGCTGTGAGACTGGACTATCATCTGTTTCGGGGTTCTTGACCAATCTGACAGGGCCAGTGACTGGACGATAACGAGAACGGTGCAGGAGCCACAACTCGCAGAATCAAGCGAGCTTCCCGTTAGGCGCAGCGGGTGACGTCAGGCGACCCCCAGCTTCGGGACACACCGAGCACGGGCCATGCTGACGTCGTAGTGGACAGTGGGAGGAGAACGGGGGCGTAACGGGTGGGGGAGCTTTTGTTCCGCGAAGATCCACATGTTGGGACGGGCGACGGAACATTGATCAGCAAGTCATGCCATGGGCACTTTGCAGGAGATTGTCACAGATTGACTCCATCCGAGTGAAGGGGGCCTTGGGGCTCTGGCTCATTTTGTTTTGTATCTCGAAACTCGTCATCCTATTCTCGCCATCCCATTTGTACAGCACCAGCGCATGGTGCCCCTGTGCCAACACGCAGCACCAGCATCATGCTCCACAACATGTTGCGACATTGATCCATTCAGCCTGGGGTCACACTGACTGGCAGAGCATTGCGGCCCGTCATCAGATCTGGCAGGGCAGGCAGGCCTCAAGCAGGCCAAGGAGGACTTACTGGCCCATGTGTTACCATCAGCCCCAAATCAAGCTATTGGCGTTGCGAATCACTGCTCTTGGCAGGGCCTAGTCTCCAACGACCAACCCGGCAAAACACCACGCCATTCACTCGTCGTGGTGCTTTCAGCTCTGATCGTGACAGCTTCTATCCATTTAAACTTTCTCTTGGGACTGGGACGGCATCGTGGACGGTGAGGTGATGCGTGTCCACCAGGGGTCGGTCGTCTTGGGCGGCTTGTCGTGTCACTTGATATAGTGCCGGACTGGCCGCCGGGTAGATTACCGTTGTTTCCGTCGCTTTTCCGAGCTGTCCGGCACTTCTCACTCGTGGAGGCAGTCGACCACGCTGCCACGCTGCCACTTGTTGGCGCAGGACCAAGCTTTTCTTGATCGGCCCTTGGCACACAGACAAGAGATTGAGCCACAACAATGACTTGACGCGACCTGACATAGCAATTGATGATGCCCCGTTATATTTAAGTCGGCCTAACATCTGTATGCAAAACATGGCATATCCACCTGCTACCCCAGGTCTGTTAATTCCGGCTGGTCAATATTTGAAATCAACCAGAATCGGGTGACAGACGAACACACAGGCTTCTCGAGGACCGTTTGCTCCGGGCTGCTGTAACCATTATTTCCAGTTTTGCACCCGAAGTTGTGCGCTCGCTCGCCTCGTCTCGCATTCCCTCGCTGTTGCCCATCTCGATCCCTCCTGCATCTCGCCCCTTGTCAGTCCTGAGTGTTTGGGACTATCAGCTGGGATTGGAAATAATCGGCCTTTGAAGAGCCTGGACCTGACCTATTTCGCCTGTTTGCACCCGGCTATTTCTGTTTTGCAGGGGATAGGGCCTATCTTTTTTGCTGGCAAGACATGCGGCTCGCGGTACGTACCGTAGACGTGCGCAGAGTAGCACTTACACCACACTAACGTCATAAGACCCACCCGTACTTACTCACAGTCCCCGGCAACCGCCAGCCATCAGCAGCCCAGCAACAAGCCCGTCGCGCCTCTCGGCCCCGGGCTCAACCCAATTTCGCGACCACGCCTTAGGGACCTGGACTAAGGCGCCGCCCATGTCCGTCTCTTACAGGGACTGGACGGAGAGGTGGGAGAGACACAGAGAAATCTGTGGAACGCCCGGAAACCAAGGAAAGGTTAGCAACCAGATTTTTGAGCCACACGTGCTGCAGCTCTTACGTCGTTTTGTCAACCCTTGCGGCTGGCCCGGACGAACAGCTCCCCATCCGCCATTAATAACGCCTCTGTTTCCTCCCTGCGTCACTCGTTCCACTGGCATCCAGAAAAACAGTTCTTATTATTTCTCCATTTTCAAGACGTGATACCCTCCTAGCAGACATATTCCACTAATACGTTTTCCTTGGTTAGATGTCCTGCTTCACTGCGGACGAGAGCAAGGAAAAGCCTACCACCAACAATAACAAGAAGAGAAACAACACCAACAATTCTGGCTGCCTGAACAGGAAGATGACAGCACTGCAAAATGTCTTCAGGGCCATGTCCCCAAGGTCCAGTGCCGATCATGGCGCTCGAACCAACGGGACATCAAGCAGCCACAACCGCACCAGCTCATCCAGTTCCAGCAGGAGTCTTGGCAAGGCAAGTCGCCGCACTGAGGAGAAAAATGCCAGAAAGGAGACAAAGGCCCTGAGGCTGCAGGCCGAACGGGAGGAGATTGAGGAGAGGAGAAAACTTGAGGACCAGGTCGCCATGCAAGAAGAGGACGAGGAGACCCGCGCGAGGTACGGCTGGGTCCGGGAGGCCAAGGAGCTTCTCACCATTCGGGAGGTTACTGAACTCTCCGAGGGTGCAGAGGTCACCTTCCGTGCCCGCATTCACCACCAGCGCAACATCTCCAAGCATCTCGACTTTCTGCTCTTCCGCGACCAGACCCACTCCCTCCAGGGCGTGCTGCAGCACGACACGTCCCACTTCGTCAAGTGGGTGCAGCGTCTCGAGCCAGAGTCGCTCGTGCAGGTCACCGGAACGCTTCAGGCACCCCCTGAGCCAGTCCGGTCCGCTACCCATAAGGATCTTGAGGTCAAGATCTACTCGATTCACGTCGTCAATGCCGCTCGCGACCTGCCTTTCGACAACTATGAGCCCCCTGAGACGACCCAGGCGCGCTTGTCGAACCGTATTCTCGACCTCAGGCACCCCAGCAACCAGGCTCTATTCCGCATCAGGGCTATGGTGACAAGGAAATTTCGCGACGTCCTTGACCGCGATGGCTTCATCGAGATTCAGACTCCTAAACTACAGCCTGCCGCCACCGAGAGCGGAGCCGAGGTCTTCAAGGTCAACTATTTCGGACGTCGTGCCTTCCTGGCACAGAGCCCGCAGCTGGCCAAGCAGATGACCGTGTCTGCCGACTTTGGCAAGGTGTATGAGGTATGTGACTAATTCTGCGTCCTTCTTCAATTTGGATTGGAGAGGTTGCCTTCTTTTGAGAGTACCAGCACTCACTTGGGGTGGCCCCTGTCCTTCGATGGGTTGACTTCCACTTGGTTGCACCCAATCTCCATTATCAATTCTCGAGATCGGTTGAAACTAACAACTCAAACACAGATCGGTCCAGTCTTTCGCGCCGAGAATTCTAACACCAAACGCCACCTTGCCGAGTACACCGGACTCGACGTGGAGATGGCTATCCAAAAGGACTACCATGAAGTGATCAACGAGGTAGACAGGTTCCTCAAGGAGGTGTTCCGCACTCTCCAGTCCATGCCTGAGCTGGAAGTTGTCCGTCAACGGTGGCCATCTGAGGACCTCGTCTGGCTAGAGGAGACGCCCATCATCCCCTTCAGCGAGGGTTTGCAGATGCTTCGAGACGATGGCATCGATGTCGAGGAGGAGGATTTGTCGACCCGGAACGAGATTCGACTCGGCGAACTTGTCAAGGAGAAGTACAAGACCGACTACTACGTCCTCGACAAGTTCCCAGCCAATGCACGGCCATTTTACACCCACAAAGATGCCACCGACCCCAAATGGACCAACTCTTTCGACATGTTCATCCGTGGCCAAGAAATTTGTTCCGGTGGCCAGCGTATTCATGATGCCGTCGTACTGCGTGAGAACATGCGACAAATGGGACTGTCAGAAGATGGCATGGAGCACTACCTCGCCGCCTTCGATCTCGGTGCACCACCCCATGCCGGTGCTGGTCTCGGTCTAGAGCGAATCCTGGCCTGGACCCTGCAGCTCGTCGACGTGCGCTACGCGACTCTGTACCACCGCGACCCCAAATCAATGCCTGAACGAAATGTGCGCTTGGCCCACCCGGAGTGCGACACGAAGCACGTCAAGCCCGAGGGCGTAGACTACCCGCTCGAGAAGCTCATCGCCAACTACGGCGATGCTACCAACACGTCGTGGCTCGATGATCGGTTCGAGATCTGGCGGCACCACACCACCGGCGCCGCCGTGGGGTACGTCCGGAAAGACAACAAGTTCGCCATGGTAACTGGTGACCCACTCTGTGACCCATCTCAAACCAACGAGGTCGCAAAGGCATTCGTCAAGTTCGTTGAGAAAGACCTCAAGCTCACACCGATCTGGATGCTGGTGTCCGAGTCCGTGCAGGAAGTTCTCGGCCGCAACCTGGGCTGGCGCACCCTCACCTGCGTTGAGGAGCAGCGCGTGGATGCTGATAAGCACGCGGCCGGGCCACAGGGCCGCGAGGCAAGGAAGGTCGAGCGCGAGGGTATCGACATCGACGAGCTGCGGCCCGACGAGGACTTCATGCGCCGCGCAGACGCCTCCATCGAGCAATGGATGGAGAAGCGCAAGGGCAAGAAGCAAGTGCACCTGACCGAGATCAGGCCTTGGGTCGACATGGAGCATCGTCGGTACTGGGCGGCGCAGAAGGACGTCGAGGAAGACGGCAAGAAGGTGAAGAAGGTCATGGCGATGGTGGTGCTCGCACAGCTCGCACCCCGGCACGGCTGGCAGGTCAAGTGGGCGCTTGACTTCCCCGGCACGCCGCCAGGGGTCATTGAGGCAACGATCCAAACCGCACTGGCCGCGCTCACCGGGCCCGTGACCTTCGGCGCCGGCGTCAGCGAGAAGCTCCTCCCTGGGGCGCACCTGGGCGGCGTGCGCGCCAAGTTCCTCGCCAAGACGTACGACACCATCATCAAGAGCCTGAGGCTCAACAAGAAGAGCGAGTTCCGCGAGAAGTTCGGCGCATATGGCGAGCCGGTCTATCTGTGTTACCCTCGGATGGGCCTCGGCGTGAGAGACTTCAAGCATATTGTCCAGTTTTTCGAAGACTAGATCTGAACGGCGATTAGCGGAGGCGCCCAGAGATACCCACAAGGAGGTTAGAAGGATACCCAGGAGAGATTAGAAGGCGTGCCCCGGGTTGAAGGGCGTTGAAAAGGAGTCAAGAGACTTACATGCCGTCTGGAACGGTCACCCAAAGGAGAACGGCCGCATTTGGCGTCTTGGTGGCATTAATTCCTTTCCTTTGTGTTTTTCGTTTTTCATTTTCGCGACTTTATCGACTACCCCCATGAGCAAGCATTTGCAGAATAAGTTACCATGGCATGCAAAGCAATTGTAATGAGAGAAATATGATAGATGAGTATAGATACCAGAGACCAAGAAGAACTCCTTATTTGTGTCCATTACGCGTACACACACACCTCCCTCCAGCGCCATGGTCCCGTCGTCATGGACCTATGTATCCTTGGTGATCTGCAGTCTGGCCAGGACCTGTTCACTGCTACCCTACCATACCATACCGGTGCCGACTCTTGGCCGGCCCGGTTGGAGAAGCAAAGGCCTGGTGACTCCCCGGCTGTCCGCCGGTATGTGCTGAGTAGTAATGACACCCGCCGGTTAAAACGGCTGAATAGGCCGCGCGCATTAGCTCCCGCCGCTCCTCGTCCTTGGCGGGAGCTCGCGACTCGGTATATATCCTCACGATGGCCTGTTTCAATGCAATTTCGCACCGAACTCGGTGACTGGTCATCAAATCCAGCATTCTCACCGCACACTCACTGAATTTCCTCTGAGCTAAATCTATCCAACATGCCTCCAATCCGCAACCCCATCCTGCCTGGCTTCAACGCCGACCCCTCCATCCTGCGCGTCGGTGAGGACTACTACATCGCGACCTCGACCTTTGAGTGGTTCCCTGGCGTGCAGATTCACCACTCCAAGGACCTGGCGAATTGGGACTTGGTCTGTCGCCCGCTGTCGCGCAAGTCTCAGCTCGACATGCGAGGCGACCCGGACTCGTGCGGAGTGTGGGCGCCGTGCCTGACGCACGATGGTGAGTTTTTGAAGAATTCCTTAGCTCTCTAATGATTGTGAGCGTGATTTTATGCGAAGCATAGAGCACGACTCGGCCCAACTTCTGTGCATCTTTAAACTTAGGAGCGGGCATCATTCACTAACAACCACCCAGGCGAAAAGTTCTGGCTCGTCTACACAGACGTGAAGCGCAAAGACGGCAGCTTCAAGGACGCACACAACTACATCGTGCACAGCGCGCGCATCGACGGGCCGTGGAGCGACCCCGTCTACGCCAACAGCAGCGGCTTCGACCCGAGCCTGTTCCACGACCCCACCACGGGCAAGAAGTGGTTCGTCAACATGCTGTGGGACCACCGGCGGCGCGGCGGCCTGCTGGGCAACTCGGCGTTCGCGGGCATCGTGCTGCAGGAGTTTGATCCCGCGCAGGGCAGGCTGGTCGGCCCTAAGAAGAACGTCTACCCGGGCACAGAGCTAGCCCTTGTCGAGGGCCCGCATCTTTACTGGCGGGATGGGTGGTATTACCTCCTTACTGCTGAGGGGGGCACGGGGTATGAGCATGCGGTTACGCTAGCGAGAGCTAAGGATATCTGGGGTCCGTATGAGGACCACCCGAATAAGCATGTTCTTAGCAGCAAGGATCACCCGCATGCGGCGCTGCAGCGGGCTGGCCATGGGGACTTCGTCGAGACGGCTGATGGGAAGACGTATCTTGTTCACCTATGCGGACGGCCGACCACGCAGAACAGGAGGTGCGTCCTCGGAAGGGAAACGTCCATGCAGGAGTGCTATTGGGGAGATGACGGATGGCTGTATGTCAAGAACGGACCAGTGCCGAGCTTGTGGGTTGATGTGCCCGGGGCAAGGGACGAGGAGAAGTACTGGTCAGAGAGCAAGTACACATTCGACGATCTGCATAAGGACTTTCAGTGGCTGAGAACGCCTGAGCCAGAGAGGATTTTCAAGGTCGGCGGCGGGAAGCTTACGCTGTACGGCAGGGAGGCCATTGGCAGCTGGTTCGAGCAGGCGCTGGTCGCCAGGCGGCAGACACACTTCAGCTACGATGCCGAGACTGTCATTGATTTCCACCCTGAGGACGAGCGGGAGTTTGCGGGGCTGACGGCGTACTACTGCCGATACAATTTCTTCTACCTCACTGTGACGGCCAACTCGGATGGAGAGAGGGAGCTACTCCTCATGATCTCAGACGTGTCGTGGCCGGATGGGAATCTGGAGAAGCAGCCTCTGCTTCAGCCGGTGAAGATCCCGAAGGAGGGCAAGATCAAATTAGCGCTCACAATCCGCGGGCCGAAGCTGCAATTCTTCTACGCCCTCGAAGGTGAGGAGCTGAAGGAGATTGGGCCCGTACTGGATGCTTCGATTTTGTCTGATGAATGCGGCGGACACCAAACGCACGGCTCCTTTACCGGTGCATTTGTTGGTGTGGCATGCTCGGATCTGAACGGCACAGCAAAGGAGGCAACATTTGATCATTTTGTATATCGACCTGTGAAGCACGAGTCTGATCGTTATGAGATCTGACACGGCGCTTCTGCAGGCCTCACTAGATAACCTCACAAATGACAAGTTGAGCGCTTGGCATGGACAAGATTTGACATGTTCTCCGGACCTGAACGCCACATCGGCTGATCTTAGCTTGGGATTATCCCGACAACACCACTAGAATATCCTGCCAACTAATCAAGATGCTTGTACAGCCTCCGCTAGCACCTTTGCGAAGGCATTTGGGTCAGGGTCCCTCCCCAGATACTTCCTGAGAAGTCCCAGCTCGTCGCCCGTGGTGGAACCAGGCTGGAGTATGGCACGCCGGTAACGCCTCCCTTCTGCCCGTAGGTTCTCATTGATAATATCTGTAAGCTCAGAGCAGGTATTCTCAGTGAATAGAGGCTGAAATTTAGACTGGAACATGTCTGTACTAAAAGCATCGGCGCTGGGGGCATATGCCAGCTACATTAGCGAAGCATGAAAGGGGACTCTGACCCGAAAAGCTTACAGCAGATAGCTATAGTAGCTGGCTCCATAGCCATGGATGAACCGAATGTGCGTCTGTCCATGGAGGGTCTCGTATCCCAGTCCGAGATCCTCTGGGCCACTCAGAAGGCTGAAGTCATGTCTCAGCTTGTTCATTAAGACGGACAGGTCTCGCGTAGCCTCGTCATCCCAAGTCGTGTGGACTGCCATGTCGAACTTTGCATGGACCAAGTTGCCGAGCTCGGTCAATGCGATATTTTCGTAGCGCGTGGAGACCAACCTTTCTATCGCATCTTCGGGAAGCTTGTTGTTCTCCTCGGGGTTTTCATAATGACAAGATACAGCACGTATGATGTTCTTGTCGTAGAAGAAGTGTTCAAGCACTGAGGTCTCAGGGTTAGCATGTACGAAGGGAACACACCTGGTTTGAGCTACAAGGCGTTACACGAGTGACAGCGATGCCACTGCTAGACATGCAAAACAATCACTCACTGCGGCTAGGTATCTCAAGAAAGTCCCGGGGCGTGTTCTGGTGAAACCGGGCGTGTATGCTGCGGCTCGTCAGGTAGTGGATCGAGTGGCCCATCTCATGAAAGCATGAGACTACTTCTTTGTAGTTCAGGAGGCTGGGCCGTGTTGCAGTTGGGGGCGAGTAATTCAGCATGAGGCAGGACGTAGGGTAATGCCTGGTCCCATCCGGCCTGGTGAAGCCCTGAGAAGATGTCAGCGAGGGTCCCGGGACGACCTTGAAAACAGAACTCGGATAGTCAAGACCTACTGGCTGCATTCCATACTGGCCTACATGGCCGTATTTGCCCTCACGGGGATATGGGTCGATGAATAGGTAGCCCAAGAACTCTCCTCCCTCATCAACATCATCCCAGACAGCAATGGCCATCACATCAGGGTGCCAGGTCTTTATGGACTGGTCCTTCGGCGAGCTAATGACAAAGCGGAGTCCAAATAGCAATGAAAATACTTGGAACAGTTTTGGAAGAACAAGCTGGAAAGAAAAGTACTCCGAAATCTTCTCGCTGTCCGTCTCGGAGCCGAGATCTCTGGCCATCCGCTTGTAGTACGAGAAGTCCCATCGGAAAATGGCCTCCGTAGAAGAATCGTCTTTAAACTCCGTCTTCAGATTGACCAATTCAGACTCTTTCAATAAAGCCAGTTGCTCCAGCTCTTTCCCCCCGAGCTCCAGCAACTGACCGCTGATGCTCGACATGAAGCTTAACGCCTCCGCTTCGGACAGCATCCGTTCGGCATCTCTAGACTTTGCGAAGTTTTCATATCCTAACGTCTTTGCGGTATCATGCCTCAGTTGAAGCATCTCCATCAAAAGAGGCCCGTTGCTGTCCTTCAGCCGATTGTCCCAAGCCTCATAGTACCTACGGCGGACAGCAGCAATTTTGGCACTGTTCAACATGGCTACCCGGTTTGGAGTCTTGAAGCTGACCCAGAACTTCCCATTGTCCTCTTTCTCCTTGAGCCTTTCCATGGCCTTTGGAGGCAAGCCTTCCAACTCATCGAGAGTCAGCCAGATACCGCTGACATCTGCGTTGAGGTTCGTGATGTACTCCTTCAGCACTTCAACCAGTCTCAGGTTGTCCTTTTTCAGACGCTCCCTGGCCTCACTGTCCCCCAGACCAAGTCCATTCATCATGAACTCGTGCATGAGCTTCTTCAGGTACAGCTGCGACTCAGGAGGTAAATCTTGCGTTTCGCGCCTCTGCGAGACAGCGGACACGACCCGAAAAACGTCCTCGCGGGTGAGTTGTTGAATGATGGCCTGGGATACACTGATGAATGCATCTTTTGCAGCCACGCGTACCTCCTTCGATGTCGAAGCGCTAGAGAGGAAGTAAATGGTACGTAATTCTGTAAGGCGCCGGTTTTCCTCATCGATCAGAGGCTGGATGGCATTTTCGAAGGTTGCTTCCGACACAGGAATGCGAGCTACCTGGTCCCAAACTCTGCTCAATGTAGTTATGGCACGGTCGGCTGTCTTGATGAGAGACTCAGGAGTGTGGTCTATGAACGGAGGCGGCTGAGGTGGCTCGGATTGCATGGTGAACGAGACAGGATTAATTGATTCAAAAATCGTGTGCACAATTTGGGAAGATTGGTCTTGTAGGAACACGATGAGATGTCAAAAGTTGTCTTGGGAGACTCAACGGGTTTTATATTTCTCTGAGTCCCCTGAGTGAGGCATAAAACGTTGCGTTGGTGAAGATGCCGCATAGCCGTGTTGTGACTGTTGGCTGAGCACGAAAATTCCCTCCAAGGGCGCGAGCGGCGGGAATTGTACGCAAAACGAGGTAGAGATAGAAAATGGGGAAGTCTCCCGAGTGGCTTACCTTTGAATCCGGCTAAGCCTAAGTAGGCCGGAAGATCCTCAAGTTGCATCCAGCATAAGATAGGCAGCCAGGGCTCGGTCACCGGCATGCGCGTCCGGAGCAACCCAGTCCAAGAAGAATATATAATCTGATGAACAGGATATAAATAATGCTTGAAAGACTCGCAAGACTGTACCGCCTCGATTTTCTTTCTATGTCTCGTTTTCTGTGTTATATGCCTCGAGGCGAACCGTTCTCTTCGGGGCTGCTTCATGCCTCTCACAATCTCGTCCAATTTAGCTCATAGCCTTCAGGCAATGCTCAAATTTGATCTTTTTGCCCACTGAAAAGATGCTGCTGAGGATTCAGTCTCGTGGCCGCACGGAATTTTCCTCAACGAGGGACCAAAAGTCAAACGAGGGACACGTGGCTTTCTGTCAGAATCTCCCGCGTTCTTGACCTATTCTCAACGATCTTGTGCATCTTGCCAAGCGGAATGTTCTCCGGTCTCACCGGCTTGTGTACTTCTCTCTAAAGTCAACAACTTTCCGGTGAGATCTCGATCGTCTCACTAGCAAAGTTGAGGTAGGAATACCGCGACTTGTCCGGCTAAAAAAGAGATGCCACGCAGGTAATATCATCCAGATGCGTTAAGTCGGCCCACGGGTCAGCTTGCCTATTGTAGGCTTCAGATGTGGACCATAGAGATACAGCCCAAACAGAACATGTGGAACCAACATTTCTGGATACTCCAACAGCAGAAAGAGATCATATCTCTCGAAACAACCCCTCTAAGCTTCACGGACTCATGTAGACGTTCAATGTCTCCCAAATGTGCCTACGTCATTCAGTACAAGGAAGTGGATGGTCAACAAAACTCAGGAGCCTTACAGGTGCTCTTCACTTCTGTTCGTTCGAGACTCCGTAGTCACCCGGACAGATTCTCACAGTCTCCTCAGGGATCAGACGTGATGGGCGATGTGTCTCCGCCATCGTGTGTTGAGGAACAACCTTTCCTCGCCACCACCTCTTCACAGCCATGAGACGGATGAAATAGTTCCTGGCCGACTCGTGTACCTGCCTTTCCACATCGCCCGTGATGACCAACTCTGCTTTTGTAATTCCACTCCAGGGTTGGACTTCTCCAACCGGGTGAGCTGATGGACCGGCTTTTGCTTGGGACGAGAGCTTCTTCTGTTCTGTGAACCGCTTAACCATCAGCCAATCCACAATAGCTTTGTATTTTTTGGCGCAATCAACAGCTGATCGAAATCCGTTCGCTCCGAGGTACGATATGGCGGCTCCGTTCCGGATAAGCATCTTGACAGACTCCACACGGCCCGAATAGCATGCTGCCATCAAAGCTGAGCCGGACGGACAGCCTTCGTAGTCCACATCAGCACCCAGGCGTAGGAGATTCGTCACCACCAGGGTCTGACCTGCTACAGCCGCCATGCACAAAGGGCTCCAGGAATCTTGAGGCTCGAGATTGGCCAAGACACGTACCCTTTGTAGTCCGAGTCGCCGGAGATACATGTTGAAGTGTTGACGGAGCCATCGAGGAACATAAGCTGTGTTGTCTGGGGCAAACCCATATGTGACCGGTTCAATGTCGTCGATCACAGAACCGAAGTTCAAAATATATGAAGTTGAATAGACACAAAACATTGCGTATCGTGCTGCGGACCAGCCGATCGAATTCTTCGCGTGAACGTCAAGGCCACGACTGAGAAGCCATGCGAAGGTCTCTTTGTGACCTAAGGAAGCTGCCAATTGGAGAGCGCTCCACGAACGGTAGTCCACGACCTTTAAGTCAGCTCCAGCATCTGCCATCAAGCGAATCAAATCAAGTTTTCCTTTCTCCGATGCATACATGACAGCCGTGCGACCACGGTAATCTCGATGCTCCAATGCTGCACCATGACGAACTAATAGCATTGACATTGGCGAATTGTTTGACGGCTCTGATGCGATGGCTATCTGCAGAGGTGTCAATTGTTGATGGTCCAAGATATCTATATCCGCACCATGGTCAAGTAGTAGTTTTACGGCCTCGCAGTTGCCATCGCGAGCCGCAAAGTGCAGAGGTGCTCCTCCACCAAGTCTGTGTTGGTTGACCGCTGACCTGTCAAAATATGAGTCCTCAATACTCTCGGAGCTGTTGAGCGACAGTCAGTTATGGCTCAAAGCTGCACCCAGAGCTTTCTCAAGACTTACGGCTTTGTAGTTTCAAACTTTGCAATATGGTCCAAGAGGAGTTCGAGTCCGCGATTGTTCTTATTGGCAATCGCGATGCAGATTAGGCTTGGCACATGGGCAGTGACTGAGGCGCCTTCACTTTGGTACCTGTGCAGCAGGAGGGGCAGTGAATTATTCAGTGACGATCGCATGATCATGGCCTGAAGGGGTGAGATACACCCTCTGTTCGCAATGGAAACTTTTCCGGTGGCCTTTGCATTGTGTGCCAGGAGCCACTTGATGAGCTTCTCGTTCGAGTCCTCAATAGCCAACAACAGGGCCGAGCGGCCATTTTGACGCGGCAAGTCAACGTTGATGGGACAGCCCTGGCTGCGTAGTGTCTCGCATTGCTCGATATTACCTCGGATCAAGGCTTGCTCGTATGAACGAGCCGAGTCTCTGGCGTACTGTCGTGGCTCGGATCGGTAGGCTAAATATTGTTGTGTCGTGCGGAGACAATCAAGAATCGGTTCACGTTGTAGGTCTATAGCATAATCCACGGGGCTCATGCCGTAGACATCATTGTCCATGACGCTCCCGTGCTCGACAAGAAATTTGACCACCTCTATATGGTCATTTTGCACAGCGAAATGAAGCGGCAAACAACCGCCAGCATCCTTCAGGTTGAGACTCGCACCTCGGGAATGGAGGCATTTGATCGCGTCGGCTTCCCCATTTACTGCTGCTAAATGCATCGGAGTGAGAAGCTCGGCAGACACGGAATCGAGGTCCACCAGAAGTCCTTTATTGACGTAGAACCTAAGGACATCACAATGACCATTCCACGCTGCCAAATGTAGAGCATTGATTTCAGACACCGAGAAATCCGCACCATTGATGGTAATGAGAACCGGGGAGCAGGTTCGCCGCCAATTCAGTTGCCAGTCTTGGCCTTTGGCTGTGTGTAGATGATGGAGGAAAGCCACGTTACCTTGAAATGCAGCTTCCAAGGCAGCATCGATGCCATCATTATCTGTGATTGTTGGATCAGCTCCTATTTTTAGGAGTGTCATCGCTGTTTCTGTAGATCCTTCGGATAAGTGCAGGACGACGGCGGACTGAGCACCAACACCAATGCTAGTACAAACATCAACGTCGACACCGCGCTTGAGGAGTTCCTCGAGTTGCCATTGCTTCTCAGAGTCAGACAAGTAGTGTATCAGACCCTTTCCACCGCCTTGGTACGGGTTGATTTCGTCCAAAAGCGATTCATTCGCATATTGCAGAAGGAGTTTGAATATATGCTTAGCATCGAAGCTCTCCGCGGGCTTGAAACAGGCCACTTCCAGAGCGGACGTTTTATTAATGCGCTGATGCATGCTGACGCCATTCTCGAGCAACAGCTCAGCCAGTTTCACATGATGATCGTTGACGGCTGCTTTCAAGAGCCCCAGGATTGCAGCAGACTCGCGGACAGATTCCCAGGAGTTCATCTGTTCCAGTATCTCCAAGAGAGTGTCGCTTGAAATAGGCCATAAATTGTCAAGATCATCACGTAAAGGTTTCAACAAGGACAGTATCCCTGGAACATGTGCGGCTGCCTCGTAGGACTGGATGAATCCGAGATGCGAAAGGCAAGAAATCGCGCGCGAGGCAATCTCCCCTCGAAGTTCACCCAATGTTCCCCTCAGGGTTCTTGACTTCTCCACATCTGCGTGCCTCATAATTGAGACGCACCGTGTGAAGTTTTCCCACACACCTTTCTTTTCCCGCTGGTTGAGCTCGTCCGATCCGAATACGGTTAACAAATGGACCACATCAGGATCAAGCTCAGGACTCTCAAAATTGATGCAGCTCTCGAGATAGGTGTCCAACGGAAGCTTGCCGTCAATGGAGGACCGCAAACCACTGGGAAACATGCGGATCAATTGAAGGACGAACTCTTTACTTGTTTTTGGCCCAGCATGATGCAAAAGGGATGCGTTGCTGGCATCGTTAGTACCCGATCCGATTCCCGCGTCCAATAACATGTTGAATGCTCGCTGTGTGCCCCGTGACACACAAAGGGCACGAACAGAAGTAGGACATCCCAAAGACTCGGGGTCGCATTTGCCGGTTCGTAAGAGTAGCAGGGCCGCCTCTTCCCAACCCTCTCGAAGAGCGAGTGAAATAGGTGTATACCCTCCTTCATCCCTGGTCCTCAGCGCCTGCACAATGTTTCCTTCTGTTTCTACTTCCAACACTGCCCGAATGAAATTTGGGAAATGCAAGCCAAGATGCAAGATGTTGTCCTTCGCTTGAGATCGTACATTGCAACCTGTTCCTTTGCGCACAAACTCGCCGACAATCTCACAGAGGGCATCATAGCATATATCGGGCTCAGTCGGATTGCATTTAGCCAAGTCGTGAATTGGCAGGAGGCCTTCATGATTTGATCGGTGGACGTTCATTCCAGAAGAAAGTAGCACCTTGACCACAGCTAGACCATCGGGAAAACGGAGCTTCAATAGCTCCAGGGCGTGATCGAAAGCGCTCTTGTTTTTGCTGTCATTCAGACCTTCAATATCGGCCCTCGGGTCTTTCAGCACTTCAGTGAGTATTCCAATATTGGCATCTCGTATCGATGTAAAAATTGTTCTGGAAAGAGAGTCCTGCGACATGGATATTCTCGTGTCAACAACAAAGGAGTTTTTGGCGAACTCGCAGCCCAACTCAATAGCGAGCGACCATGCTGCTTGACATAGTCGGAAATGACCAATGGATTGATCTATCATCGGGCCCAGGCAGATAATCAGTGTTTCAAGACGTGAATCGTAGCGATCTGTCCCTTCATGATCGTTGTCATCCAATATAACTTCCCTGAGATCGGCCAATTGGCTCAAATCTTCTTCTTCCACATCGACGCCAGCCTCTAAAAGGGCAACTGCAGCACCCAGATCATCCACATAGTCCGCCACTCTCAATGCGACAGTGATTAAGGTCTGGCCTGCGAAAGGGCTCGAGCAGGCATCGAGCTGAGTTGCACCCGCTTTCAAGAGCGATCTGACAGTGTTTTCTCTGCCAAACTGAGACGAGTTTGTTAGGCCGTAGCACCGATACTCATATACATACGGATGTAAGTATTCGTATTTCAGAACATCGTCCTCGTGAATCACTAGTAATAAACCTTGCAATGCACATTGTAGCGGAGTGCCGAAGCAGCTTCGTTGATTTAGGCTCATCCCGTTCTCAACAAGGCATGAACAGATGACCGGGAGCGACAATGCCGCCGCCAGATGTAAGGCCGTGAAGTTACCGTCCACTAACTGAGAGTGTAACCTCAAGATGCTCTCATTTCGAAGTGGTCCTGGGAATTCAAATCTGCCAAGATCCCAGACATCATCCGAGCTTGAAGGATCATCCTGGCCTAAGATGCTGATACGATCGACACGATGAGAGATAGAGCTTGTCAGCTTAAGAGCCCATGATGTAAAGTTTTCAGACTTCGTTGGCTGGAAAAGAGGCTCAGCCGTTTTGACCAAACTCTGATCCATCCAATGATGTCTAGCAAAAATAGGCCAATTATACGCAGCATACGCATAGAATGGATGCTGCTTGTCCCTAGCCTCAATTTGATCCAACAGCTCGTCTTCTTCTTTGGCAAGTGAAGAAAAGTCTCTGTAGAGGAGGAACTTCAGGCATTGCTTTGCCAGCAAAGATTCACAAGTGCTTTTTGAGACTCGGAAAACATCCATCTCCGGCACCGACTCCATCTCGCCCTCTAGGTATTCAAGGACAGAGAAGTGAGCGAACTCGTAGTAGCGGCCGTCGTTAGATTTACGAACCAACGACCGGCACAGCCTCGTGATGGAGTCCTCCCGGACAATGGAAAGAGAATCCAAATTATCGTGCCTGCTAACCGTTTCTGGGACTGAAAGCGCTTCCCTAAGGAGGGCAGTCCCCAAGCGGGGTTTGGCATACGCGATGAAGTTGAGCATCATCTGCGTTAGTCGTTGTTTGCCCTTTGGTACACGCTGTAAGATTCGTAGGTAAGAGTCGTTCAGGCCTGGAGGCAGTTGATCAAGAGCTTCTCGGCATTCTTTGTCCGAAATACAATCGCCAAGAGAATCCAACTGGCAAGCGACCCAGCGAAACCTTCATATACATCAGTATATTGTCACCAAGATGGATTCGGATCGACTCACATCCCCTTGGCACCATCGATCAGACGCTCCAGTATCTCACCCTTCAAGCTCAAATCGTCGATGCGCAAGCTCTTGTTCGAGATCCGCTTTTCGATCTCAGAAGTGACATACTCAGTGATATCTTCGGTATGGGCTGCGATTTCCACTCCCGTGAAGTCCTCCTCCAGTCGATCTCTGATATTGTGCTCGTCTCTGCTCAGCAACGCAGTGGATATGTTATCAGAATACCCTATGATATCAAGAATGCTGTCGACGACATTGTTGGTATTATCACCACATTCATCGAGGCCGTCGATGATCAAATAAATATGATCAAAGGATTTGACCATGTCGTTCAAGATCCTCTGCAGGCCCGAAATATCTGGCCGCCTCTCAAGAGCTCTGTCAGGGTGCAGCACTCGATAGTAGCGTTCGAGTTGGTCATATGCCACTTCTTTCTGAATCGCAAGCTGCGAGGCGAGAGCAGACAAAATGTTCTCGGTTGTCTGCGTTGTGATATTTTTGTAGTCGCAGAAGTAGAACGCCGTCGCAACGTCTTCGGAAGTCTTCTTGAGCGCCTCTTCAATTATCGTCCCAGCAAGAACCGTCTTGCCAGCCCCGGGGATGCCGCTCAGCCAGAGTGCTGAATCAGGGGAGGCCAGCCACGTCTGGAATTCAGGCTTGCGCGTGAGCCAAAGACCGGTCCTTGGATATCGGAGGGACAGACTCATTTCGTAATTCTGCTGTGGATTGTAAGTGAGGAAGTAATCGAGAATCTTCTTCCGCGCCGAGTCCTGGTGAATCCGGTTGACTATTTCCCGAGTCTTCTTTGCTTCCTCAAGAATTTGTTCAGTGTTCTCAATTACTGTTTCGGTCTTTGATAGAATCTGCAGAAGTTTTCCCATGGAATCTGCCGTGAGAGCGAGGTTGACGTTCTCCTTATGACGGGACACTTCATTAAGTAGTGTTTTGGTACGATCCGATGCGAACGGCCAGACGAGCTTCCTCTTCGTTGAACTGTCTTCGAGCTTCTTCAATTTCTTCGCAATCTCGTCGAGGGTGGCGTGGCACGCCGCGATGTGGTACATCCGGAGATTGTCAACATGCTGGTCCTTGAGCCCATCCGTGTCAAGGGCCTGTGCCAACCTGGACAGACTATGCAGAGCACCACCGAGCAGGAGGACTTCCATGGAAAGCTCATGCACTTCCTTGTCGGCGTTTCTTGCAGACTGGAGGTACTTCTTTGTTCTCAAGAACACAACATCTGCCAGGGTGATGACACCAGCGATGCTGGCGGCAATTGACAACGGATCGGCCATCTCAGAAGTTGTAAAAACACATGGACGACTTTGGATATGTGGTGACGGGCAACCTCGGGATGTGAGAACATGAGAAAGGGTATAAAGACCCAGGACGACGAAAACATAAGGAAGTGTTGTGCTGACTTCGAATGGCGAAGTTGCTAGCCAAGTTCAACCTTGAGTTTTGCCTTGGCCGGAGCCTCAACATGCCCCCTGCAAAAAAGAGGGTACCATGTACGTGGTGATACATCCGTTGTGATACCCAGACCTGCATACGTCGAGGCAGTCTGGCAGGCTGACGCTTGCGAAAACAGTAAGGTGCAGGCCTGCCGTGGTGAGACGACCAGTAATAGGAGCTTGCTATGCACCCGTAAAGGTACATTCACAGGAGAAGGATGCCCGAGATGCAGCCCAAGCCAATCTTTGGGCGTAGACGCAACCAAGAGACTCATTTGTGATTACGGGATAGGCTGGCCTTCCAATGGAGATACCCGTTGCTTTCGAGTGTCTCTGACAAGTTGGCAGGGGCTGATGATGTGTGGACTGGCTGGCTCAGCCCATTGCACACAGGAGGCCTGCAAACCAGGCTCGACAAAGATGTCTGCTGTTCGCATCGACAACAGACAGTCCAAAGAAAACACTCGCTAAAATCAGCGGAACTGCAGTGGCGTCTCGCTGCGAGCCGTCCTCATGGCCGGAATGGCTGGCTTGCTTCGGACGCCCATGCAGGCATGCGCTGCCCCAACATGGCTGAAGGTGCTAGCACTGCAGGCACAGCCATCGTCAGTTGATGGGCTGAAGCTTTTGGTAGATCGACACACGTCAGGTCTCGGAGCAAATGGAGTAGCATCCGCACCCCGATTGATGTTGTGCAGGGACCTCTTGTAGCAACAGAGAGACACTGCGGGGAAGCAAAATCGGGAAGGTCGTCTCTTAGGCCCCTGCTACTGTGACGTCCCATGGCTCACCCAACCCACGCTCCTTGACTGAGCAGACCGATAGACCATCCGACAATCTTTCGGTTTTGTCCTAATAATATTGGAGATGGACCTGCGCTAGTCCTCTGTTTCCCTAGCCATGACCATTATGTATCCCAGTCGACGGCGATAGGCAGGGGAGCACCTCCGACTGGCTGGTCAGCCAGCGACGACCGTTATCAACCCCAAAGCTTGATCCGGCAGAGATGTACAAGCCAAAAGCTTGAATCAGTTAATCTTTAGAAGAGGAACACCAGGGGTGGTGAGAGCAGTCTCAAGATGTTCTCATGACACAGTGCACCTTCGCGTTCCCTTCCCTCAACCTTCCTTACCATACGGGACCAAAGGACGGCCATCAAGATGCTTCACAAGTCGGCGACGGGGACATGGCTGCCCGCATGGGTTCCCCAATCTACAGCCACCCTCTCTGTCCTCCTGATCCTGTGCTCGGTCGTGCAATCATCCGTGAGTATCTGTTTCTTCCCCTCATCCGTAACCACCCTGCTAGATTACAACCACTAACAGACACTCAGACGGGCGGATATGATGGCTCAATGCTCAACGGGCTTAACATCCTGCCCTCCTACACTGACTACTTCCAACTCACCGCCGCCACGACAGGCCTCAACACCGCCTCCGTCTTCATCGGCGGCTTCCTGGGCCCCCTCGTGGCAGGGGTGACATCGGACCGCCTCGGCCGCCGGCCAACCATCTTCTGGGGCTCGCTCGTCACCATCATCGGGATCATCCTCCAGACCGCCGCCCAAAACATCGCCATGTTCGTGGTCGGGAGGATCATCCTAGGATTTGGGACTGGCGTCTCGGGCGTTGCCGCCGGCGTGTACCTGTCAGAGACCTTCCCCAGCCGGTGGAGGGCCTGGGGTGTCGGGCTGCTCAACGACTTCTACTACGTCGGCGCGCTCATCGCTGCCGGCATAACGCTCGGCACGGGCCAGTGGCAGTCCACCTGGGCGTGGAGGGCACCTTCGCTGTTCCAGGGTATCTTCTCTGTCCTGTGCATCGTCGTCCTGCCTTTCATCCCCGAGTCGCCTCGATGGCTCGCCTACCAGGGGCTCTTCGAGGCGTCTCGCGAGGTGTGTGCCCAAACCAACGCCAATGGGGACCCGAATGACCCGGTCGTCCTCGCCGTGTACAAGGAGATCATCGACACGCTGGCGTGGGAGAAGAAAGAAGGGAGGAGCTTGAGCCCTATGGAGATCGTCAAGACGCCTGCGGCTCGGAAGCGGTTCCTAATTGGCATGAGCCCTGGACCATTCTCCTGCATCGCCGGGAACATCATTGCGTCTTACTATCTCGGTCCAGAACTGGACACAGCTGGCATTACAGACACCAACGACCAATTGAAGGCAGTGAGTAAAAGTCTCCCATATGCATACGGCAGCCCTACTGACCACGTCTCAGAATGTCGTCCTCAACGTCTGGTGCCTAGCATGCTGCCTGGCCGGGACGCACCTCGCGGCCAAATGGGGCCGGAAACCAACAGCCATCCTCTCCCAATGCCTCTTGGTAGCCTGTCTGTTCATCATCGGAGGCCTGTCCAAGAAGTACGCCGACAATCCGGACGGTGCATCCACGAGCCTCGTCTACGGCGACGTCGCGGTCATGTTCCTGTTCCAAGGATTTTACTCCATCGCATGGACACCGCTGCTTTACCTCTACCCGCCCGAGGTCATGAACTACTCCATCCGTGCGAACGGCGTGGCTTCCTCGTATCTGATGCTGAATGTTCTAGCGTGAGTCCGCACTCCCTTTGTATACATGTGCTTTAGCTGAGTACCCCCAGGCTCATCTTCGTCTTCATAATGCCCATCGGCCTGGCCAACATCGGCTGGAAGATGTACATGGTCAACGCCTCGTGGGATATCGTCATTGTGGCACTCATCGTAAGTAGCATGAGCAATTTTCCATCAATTCAAATACTGTCTTACTCACACATACACAGGCCGTCTTCTGGATCGAGACAAAGGGTAAGACCCTGGAAGAAATCGACGCAATTTTTGAAGGCGAGAAACACTCCAACGTTCCTGATGTTGAAAAGGTTCGGCGGGGTGAGGAGACTGTGAAGCTTGAGGCTGTGGAGGAGAGCTTGCCAGCAACCAAGGAGTGATCGCTCTAATTGTCCATATTTCGTGGCTCAAATCGAGTCGAGCTATAGTGATGTGACCAGTTTTGTATACTAATGAGTCGTGCCACCTCTCCGCGCAGGAGAGCATTCGATCAGTTCCACCGTCTGGCCCCACAGTGCCTGTCTCGGTACACTTTGATGACTTCTTGGTATCCTTGGAATCTAAGTAACTATTCCTCGGCAGCCTAGTAGTCGACGCTGGTTACGTCCGTTCCAATGCTGAGAAATCCTAACTCCATGCCTGTAGGTGGTCTCTGAATCTCGTTTGATTGCCCTCATCCGTTTGATTATGATTCTTTTCTCGTTCGGTTCTTCTTCTCTTTTTTTTCCCCCGCTCTATCTCTCTCTACCTCGGTTATCACTCTCGTATTGATGATTTATAAGTGGAGCACAAGTTTTGTCTTTTCCCCTTTCTGTATAACCATAACCTAAATTGTATATAGAAAACACCCAACGTTTCACCTCCAGAGAAGCACGTCTGTCTGATCAACTCTGAAGTCGACTTGCTCGTTGCCACCATCCCTGAGCCAGGTAGATGACAACTCAAGTGCTCAATCATCCTTAGAAAAGAGCTCCCACTTCACATACGACATCGCCGCCTCGCCATCTTCCTCCCACCGGAGCCAATTGTACCCCCGCGGGTCTGTTCCATAATCATTCTCGCCCTCGTCACACCGATGCAGGCTGTCCGGAATTTCCAGCTTGTCCACAGCCAAGTTTGCAACCCACCAGTCTTGCAGCATCACCAATAGGCTATGTGTCTCGCGCATCCTGAAGCGCGTCAGATTGCGACGTCCTATCCGGTCCAGGCCCGGCTGAAGTCGACCAGCCTGCCGCCAATGTAATTGTCCAGGTAGATGTCCCGCACCAGAATGCCAAGGGCGTGCAGATCCTCCAGATCCCGCCACATGGTGCTTGTAGAGATCCGGCCCGTATTGAACGCCTCGTCGAGGTCGTCGTCCTCCGCGAGCTCCTTGACAATGGCGCGGATGGGCTGTCCCCGGTGCTCCTCCCATCGCCCCCACGGTCTGTCTCCTTTGAGCGTGTACAGTGGTTACTCGTCGTCCGGCTCGTACTCCAGGCCTCCTGTGATCATCGGCGTGACTTTTGCCTCCTACTACGGTGTGAGGAGAAGGTACCCGCGAGCCGGGACTACGAGATCCAGCCTATTCTCCTGTGCGAGCCTACCGTAGGCGCGACACTCGCAGTTGAAAGGATCGTAATAGTCCACGTATGCCTGCGACGAAGAGAGGGGCTGGGTGAGTTCTCTGGCAGGCGCATCTATTAAATAATCCAGACTGCAAGATTCAAACTTGAATAGTTCCGCGTTAGCTTTGACCTTCGACCTTGAAAAAAGGGACCACTCACCATCTTAAGGGAGTAGACTGTCCCGTTGATCTCTGCTTTCCAGACTTGACTGTCGAGGTCGTCTGGGTTGCCTAGGTTTTCTATGAACTTGATCTCGGCATGCGCATCGGGGGTGAAATGGGCCAGCTTAGGTCCTGGCACTTGGGGAAGAGGCACAGGAGGATTGGGGACAGAGTACTGGAAAGACATTGTCATACAAGCCTTGGCCAAAATTAAATCGGAGGACGACGATTCCGAGAAGCAACAGAGATGACGCCTGCGAAGGGAGAAAGGTATCATGCAGTCGAAGATATTGCGCTAAAAGTACAGGATGTAGCTGGATACAAAAACATCCAGAGAATGGCTCGAGAGGCAACATTGGAAACGCAGGTAGAACGAATTGTGGAGCACTGGAAACAGGCTTCAGTGTTGATTAATTAGCTGTGGTGTGGGGCGCCAAACTCTATCCTGTTCTGTGCCGTGAGGCCGCAGAACGTAGGCAGCTGGGACAGTGCCACATTCCATTTGTAAAGTAATGGTTCAGTGGTGGTGAGAAATCCTGATAGGTATGTTTTCCTGACTCCCTATAGTCTCCGTCAAGTTTTCAAAGGGCATAATTTTAAAGTTCATTTCGACCACGCCCCAGCGTTATACTCAAATGTAAACGTGACCACTACCTGCCTAGATACATAGGTACTTGTTTACTTGTTAAACTTAAATAATACTGGTATTCAAATGTATCTAGGTATATTTGAGGTAAATTTATTGTATCCCTCTTACTTACTTTCAAGTCAGTTTCATAACTTGGTTTGTGTACAACAAATAAGCGGTATAAATGGTTGCTAACACGAGCTTGTCTGCAAAAACTCAGTGTAAAATAAAGCACTTTACAATTACTTGTGGGATAAATTCCTGTTACGTATTCAAATAGAACAACACATCATCTGTCTTAAAATAAACTGCCATAGGTCACCTACTATGGAACAGCTGGCTATGACACTGTGATGTGGCCTGGCCTCTTGTGGCATCAACTTTTATGGGATAACCTTCTGTGGGATCGGGAGACAAATAAGTATAAGATAGCATGTTATGGGATAACCTGCCGTAGGATAGCCTGCTGTGGGATAGCCTGCTGTGGGATAACCTGTTATGGGATAATTTGCCATGGGACTGTGGAATAACCTGGTATGGGATAGATAGGTATGGGATAACCGGGTGTAGGATTGTGAGAGAACATGATTTGAGATACCCTGACGCTAGATGATCAGGTGTGGGATAACCAGGTGTGGGATAACCAGGTGTGGCCGAGGGCGAGGTCGTGATCAGGAGAAGAGCGGACGGACGAGAAGCTCACGTTGTGATGATTTCAACCAGTTCAGAAAGGAGACCAGGGGAGCCTAAGGGATGCCTACCAGGTGCAGGAAATGTCAGCCAGTGACTTGCCTCCCAATCCCAGGCAGAGCAAAGAAATGCCTCCTTCCTCGGCTTAATATCCGTTGTTCCTTCCACCCAGCAGGTAGCCGATGAATGTAAACTTAGGGAGTGCTTCGCCTACCTTGCGTGTGCCCCTGCCTGAACTTCAGGAGCAGGTAAGAGGCCTACAGGGCAGAAGGCATGGAAATCACGTCGCTACAGCCCTGAGCCTCGTCTGAAGCTTCTCATGCAAGCCTCAACTATCACAGACAGGCCTGGCGATATACACTCTCTCTACGGTCACACTTTGGAGATCATCCCACCACCATCAACGACTCGAGCAGATAAGGCTACATATTCCTCTCTCGACCAACACCAGCAGGCCTGGCACGAAACTCCCCACCACTGCTCCCCCTCAGACTCCTAGACAAGCAAGAACGAACCATGAACGTTGGAGGAATAATCAGCATCGCCGTGGGAGGCATCTGCATCATCGTCATGCTCATCATCCTGCTGTGCAGAATAGGGGCATGGAGCCTCTGCGACGGGCTGGAGAGGAGGCACGTCGTCTAAGCCGAGGGACGCCACGCTTGATGACCGAGACAAGAAGAAGTGCACTGGGACACAACAAGCGATGATGGAGCCGCGATTGGTGGACAGGCATCACGCACACACGCACCCAAAACATCATCACCAGGGTTGGATTCGAAGGAGGTCAGGATAGGCATGTATGGGAATTAGGCAGATGCCCTTCCGAGGTTAGCCCGTCATGGTGATAATGCGGCTTGGCGGCACAGACGAACGGTCACTGGTTGGCGAGCAAGAACGCGTTCCTTGCATCTCATCCTTGGCGCGGTTGTCGCGGTGTTCGATAAATCATCTCTCACTCAGACCAATATAAAAACGGTTGTCTATCCCCCAATTCAGGCCACAGCTTCCTCTTCTCGTGCCAATACCATCGATCACACATCCACGCACCAGATATATGCACACACACCAATCTCACAAAATGGCTGCCCCAAACATCAACCACGCAGGCTACGACCGCCGCCTCGCCGTTATCCAGACCATCCTGGACAGACTCGGCCTGACCGCCACCTCCATCACCCCAGTCGAATACGTCGAGCACTCCCCCTTCCCTTATAACAACTTCCTCTACAAGCTGGACCTCGCCGCCCCAGCCATCGCCGCCAACTTCACCCCCAAGCCGTGCACCACCCTTCCGCCCGCCGAGGGGATCTCCACGCTCATCCTGAAGCTTTCCAACCCAAAGGCAGAAGGCTTGGATAACACTAACCGCGTCGAGAACGACGTCATCGCCTCCTCGCTCATCCGGGACTCTCTCTCCCAGCGCGCCCCTGACATGGCAGACATCGTCCCCGCCGTCTACGCGTGGGAGCCCTTCATGGACCCCTCGCCCGACGCAGACGAGGCCTCCTCGGGCTGGACGCTGATGGGATACCGCCCTGGTTCAAACCTAGACGGGCACTTCGCCACCCTGGACGAGCACGACAAAGTCGCCGTCATGGAGCAGGTCGCAACCATCCTGTCCGCGATCCAGGCCGTCCAGCTGCCCGCTGGCGTTACCGGCCTCGGCGGCATGACCCTCACCAGCGACGGCGCCATCGTCACGGGGCAGCGTTCCATCCTCCCCGGCGGGCCGTGGCCGTCCTACGCAAACATGTTGGCCTCGAAGCTGCAGTTCCAGCTCGGCGGCGACGCGGAGCACAGCGCGGTATTACGTGGGTGGCGGGATAACGGCGCCCTTCGCGCGAAATTGGACGACTTCATCTCAAGCCCCGCAATCGCGAAGGTGCTGGCGCGCGGCCGCGTGGACGCCAACCACAGGGTTCTGACCCATGGCGACTTCAGTAAGACCCTTCTCTTTTCGACCGAACTGATCTTCTGACAGGTTCTTGTTTCCGTTGTTCTTTTAGCGATGAACAACATGCTCTACGACCCGGCAACGGGGCGCATCTCGGCCCTCCTCGACTTCGACTGGGCCGCCGTCGCGCACCCGGCGCACGAGTTCTTCTCGGGCCTGCACGACCTGCAGGGCGGCACGCACCCGGGCGACGCGGCGCTGCAGTCTGCGGTGCTCACAGGCGATTTCAACACCACCACCGCCGCCGCCGACGACAACAAAGAGGTATCCACCACCCCAGCCTGGGCTCAAGCCCGCACGTGGGACGCCGCACTCCGCAAAGCAGGCGGGCTCCGCCCCAGCAGCCTCGCGGGGATCACGACGCTCGAGTCCCTCCGCGAGCTGGAGGACCTGGTCGCGCCCTTCGCGCTGTGCCACAGCGTCATGCTGTCGCGCACGCCGGCGGACAAGACCCAGGCCCTCAAGGCCGAGACGGAGGCGAAGCTCGACGCCCTCCTCGACAGCCTCATCCTGCAGGCGGGTATCTAAGCCCAGCGCAGTCATAACCCCCTTTCCCCATTCACACCTTCCGCGGGCTCAAATAAAGAGCTAGGTAGGTCAGGCCCCGGACTGAGGGGAGCTCGCGGACGGTAGGGGGAGGAGGCACGAAGCTTGCTGGTATCAGACGTGCCGCCCGTCCTTGTGGCGGGCGGAGCAGGGGAGCTCTTCCCGATGGAGAGACGGATGATCAGAGCAGACGTCTTAGACGAGGGGGGTCAGACCCATTTTGGGTCTGGCTTATCTTATGTGGCCGCCTCCCTGTTGCAGGGGAGGAAGCATCATCGAGTTGATGATGCATGGCTGTCTACCCTCGCAAGTCTGCCTCCGTTTTCGTTCCGTCGGAAAGCCTTCCCATGCGAATAAATGTCGTATATGTACCATAATTTGCAAAATGGCTCGTGGACTGCGCTCGCCCGCTTTATTGGCAGTGGCTGTCGTGGGGATGACAAACGGGCGGATTCTGGGGATGGAGAGGGGTAGAGAATAGGAAGGCCAGTGGGTGAGATACAGGGGACGATCGGAGAGGCTGGGTGGAGTTGCCAGGAAGCGAGGGGTATAGATGGATCATAGGAGGCAGGGTGGGAAAGGAGCTGTTGCGGGAGTGGGTTCCAATACAATACACGCCATTGGACCCCATCAATCAAGAACTATCGTGACCCGGTGACATGCCTGGTTCATGGCCTGTCTATTTTCTTTTTGAGCTAAGACTTTCCCTCCCGTCCTCGCCAGGGATGCAACATGTCAGCAGCCATTTCTGTTGCATGCAATCCATCATTAAAAGCCAGCGCCAGAGAGTAGTCATGCGTGATCAAAGCCGGGTGATTGACAGCCCATTCCTCCTCAACAGCAACTACGGGTATGAAGTAGAACGTGCAGCCATTTCGATCCCCTGCCAGCCTACCAAAGACCAAAAAAGTACACCGGGTATGTGTATATGCGTCGCAACGCCAAAACAGTTTGGTATTCGCTCAGAAGTGACTGATGCCTCCCACTCCAAAACAGACAAGCAAGGGCCACATGTATCCGTCCGTATGTACAAGAAGGGCAGAAGCAGCAAGCATATAACCACCCTTCTTTTCAAGTCCCTGAAGCATAGACACATATGCACACAAGTGCAGAGGCATTAAATGATATCTCATTTCCTTCACTCCGAATCAGAATCAATAGCAACACTCGCGCTCCTCTGCCCACGCGCCGGCGACGTCGGCGATTTGGCCCCCTTCTTCCCCTTTCCCTTGTTCTTGGCCTTGCTGCTGCCTGCAGAAGCGTCCTGCTTCGAGTTGGCCTCAGCCTGCGCCTTCTCAGCCGCCTCGCCCTTGAGGTGCTTGGGGATGCGGATAGGCACGGCGTCTTCCTTGTTCTTCTTGCGGCTGCCCTTCTGCTTGCCTTTAGTCGACTGCGGCTCACCAGCGCCTTCATGGTCCTCTTGGCCAAGATCAATGCTGTCGGACCTGGGTCTGGGGTCCCGGCCCCGGTGCACAGGGCCACTGTGCTCATCATCAATGCCCTCAATCCTCAGGATCTCGCCCGATACCCTCTGGCTGCTTGCCCGGCTGCTCGCACTGCTGGATCGCCGCTGCCTCTCCCTGACGGCGCGGGGTTCCTGGGACGGCGTCCGCCACACCTTGCTGCCCGGGGCCGACTTTACGAGCTTTTCCTCCGTTTGGTCGTCCGCTTGGTGGTCATCTAGGCGCGGCAGGGACTGGTGGATATTGTAATAATTGAGCAAGTATCGCGCATTAGTTGGCACGTCCTGCTCCTCGTAGTCAGGTACGGTCTTTCGCAGTCTAAACCAGACCAGCTTCAGGGTCGGCCGTCGCCATTTTGCCCTGAAGCGCTCGTCCACAAGGCTAGCCCATCGGATCTTGGAGTCACTGGTCACGCCCGAGTCGTGGATGGCTTCCACAATGCGGAGTTGGTCCTCAACGCTCATCCCACGATAATCCTCGCGGGCGTTGGCTAGCTCCTCGCTCAAACCGTTGACGTTTCTGGGTTCGCGAGGTGCTTTGGGCAAGTGATCATTTTCTGCGCCAGCAACACCCTTGTCCTTCAAGTCCTGCCACTTCCATTTGCACTGTTGGCGATTGCGGGTAAGCCCCATGGCCGTGCTGATTTGCTGCCAGTCCAAGAGGGACTCGTCATCAAATCCTTTCGCACGGGGCCTAGGACGAAACTGATCGTTGTTCTCGCGATCGATCCGGATTTTGTGTAGAGCCTCCTCGACTGCGTTCCTCAGAGTCTCCGTCTCGTCTGGCTTCCACCGCGACTTGTGCTGATGAGCATGCACAAGGTAGGAGTTGCGCCAGTAATCCCTGATATCTTTCTGATCACGGTTGATCAGTTGAGCAATCAAGGAAAACTTGTTGCCATGCTTTTCAAATAAGTCATGCAGCTCCTCCTTTTGCTCATCAGTCCACTGGCCGCGGCCCGCAAAGTTGTGGTAAAGCCTTCGGGTCCGCTCAACGATCTGCTTGCGGTTTCGTTGGGGAATTGCCGTGACTGCACTGTCCCAAAATTCCTTGTGCATCGGGTTGCTCATGTCAGGTCTTAAATGAATCATCGCGTTGAGCTCGGATTGATTCTTGTCGTAGGCTCTGCAAAACTGATCCACAACCTGACCGAGAGCATTGAGCTCTTCACTGGTCCAAGGTCCTGTGGCCACCTCACCTCGTGGTACTCGCTTTCTGTTGGTGGCTGTGGTATTCTCGTCATCGACGGGAGCCCGGCTCTTGCTAAGACCTCGGCCATTAGTTGCTTTCCTAGACTTCTTCCGCCTGGCTGGGCCTGCAAGCAGATTCTCCATCTCATCCTCAGAAACATTATTTGAACGCCGCTTGCGCTTCGGCTTTGTGGGCTTTGGCAGAGTTGGCTCTTGAGATGGCTCGTGACTGGTGGCTGGCTCACCATCCTCTGGGTTGTTGACGTCGCCGCGCATGACGTCCTTCAGCTTGAGCGACAGCCTGGATTGGCTTTCGCCCTCACCAGAATCGTCTTCCAGTTGCGAAAGCGAGAGAGATTCCTTCGATTGAAGACGCCGCCTCTTCTTGTGCTTCTTTGGCTGGCTAGCAGAGACCTCGGGTTCCTCTTGAGCAGGAGCCTCAGTCTCTGGGGCAAGAGCCCGCCCCGGGAGCTCGACTTGGCTCGCCCCTTCGACCTCATCTTGAGCGGTGTCTTGTACAGGGTCTCTTGTGGTTACAACACTCTCATCTGCGCCGTCATGGTCGGACTCTTCCACCACATCAGCGTGAGGTCTTCTCCTGCCAGGCTGCGCAAGCCAATTCGCCCTGACATTCGCATCCAAATTTGACATTGCGTCCTCGGTCTGATGTTGTCGGCCCTTCTGAGTAGTCCTCTTGCGGGAAGAAGCAGGTTCGCCGGGGCCTTCGTCTGCGCCGGCCGCCTCTGCTGTGATGCCGTTGACTTGCAGATTCCTTGTCGGCTTTCTGGCGGATTTGGGCTGTTTTGTCTGTTTCTTCGGCGGACTGACATAACCGTCACCAGAATCTTGGTCGTCCAGATCCATGGCATCACCGTTCAATTGGGCTTCATCCCGGCCAGATGTGCCAGATCTTGACAGTGATGCCGAGCCTTCCGCGTCGGGTCTGACCTGTATTCGAGCTGGAATGCTCTCGTTTGAGCCCGTTGACGACCGGCTTGGCGAACTCCTTGATGCCAGGCCTAGATGTGAGGCTTGCTGCGCCGCGTGGAACTACAAGTCCTAGTTTAGTTGACGAATCAGACCAGGGGTGCAGGTCAAGACTTACATTTTCGTTTGCGGACTGCATGGCCGCTGGCGCGCGTGAAATCGACCTCGACCTCGACCTTTCTAATCTGCCCAGCCTTGCCACACTCGGCGATCCCAAGTCAGACTCGCTTTCGGAAGAAAGTTGCTCGGGCTTGATCTGACTTGGCAGCAGATCGGAAAGAGGTTCCTCGTCATCGCCGTCCAACTCCGGTCTGTCGTCAATGATCGACATTTGTTGCTTGTGCATAAATGGAGACTTCTGACGCAGGTGGTCTCGGTTGTGCGCAGATTCATCGTCGTAGCCTCTGTCGTCATGTATGATTTTGGCGATGGCGAATGGCAGCTCGTTGTCTTCGATGTCGTCCAAGTCGCTCTCAGGCTCGATTTTGAGGTCATGTGCTTCCATCTCGCTTCGTAATGACTCTGTCGCGCTGCTTCTTCTTCTTCTTGGTGACTCACTCGCTTGGCTGGCAGGGATGACTTCTTGATCCGCTGCATCGGCCTCCAGGGCTGGGTTGTGACTTGCGACTCCATTCACAAGAGGTTGCTGGGCGGACGGCGGCGAACCTCCCAAGGCATGTGATACGAGCGTTTGCTGAGCATCAGGACTCTGCACATCCCGGTGCTTCTTGTGTTTGGACTTCTTCTTCTTGGGGGTCGATTGTGGGCTCTGCAGGACTTCAGGCTCCGGGTGATAATTACCATTAGGGAGCGGCTCCCCATTCAGCAACGCATTGTCTTGTGGTAGGTCTGATTCGTTGGCATCGTTTGGTTCAGGGACATCCTGCTCGGCTATTGCGGCCATCTTGGATCGCTTCTTGGATTTCTTCTTGGATTTGGACCTGTCTTCGATGTGACCATTGTGCGCCAGTGACTCCACGCTTGCAACCGAGCCATTGTCTCCGGCCTCGTCACTGGTCTTCCGCGACTTCTTCTTCTTCTTCTTGCTCTTTTTGAGGGACTCGGGCACCGTCTCGCCATTGTTGTCGGCCATTGCTGCCATGTCCGCCGCCAGCTGTTGGTTGACGGCGTCACTGTCCGAGCTCTTGCGCCGACGCTTCTTGTGCTTAGCTGGTTGAGGAGGGTTTGAGGCAGGGTTGGGTTGATGGTTGTCGCCGTCGGACTCAAGATCTGACCATTGTGGGCCGATGGTCCTTCCGATTTCGACTGAGAATTCGTCGCGATCGGAAGCAGTCCTGCCAGCGTGCTGCTGGAACCCACCTGCCTCATTCTCAACCTGCCTAGACTTTTTCCCCATGGTGAAGAGAGCGATCGCCGACTACCATTCACCACACCATGCCCTTTCTTGCCTGTTCGGCTTCTGGTGGGTCGGTTGCGCGGCAGGCGCAGTGGTGGTGCGCATTCGTCGCGAGGATCGTGGTGCTGGGACTGCGTCAAACGAGGGTCGAGTCTGGCGGTTGATTGAATAAAGTTGAGTGCAAGTTTGGTGCAGAGGATGCGACGCACACTGGACACGACCTGGAGGCGAGAGAGGGAAGAGAAGAAGTTGGAGTGGGCGTGGGAGGCAAGGCGTGGAAGCAGGCGATCGATGGCAACGGGTTGTTGAAAAAGCAAAAGTTTCGATAGGCAGCTTGCAGCTCGCCCAAGCTCTCTTTCCTTAGGAGGCTTTGGTGCCCCGCAATTCTTTGGGGTCCCCCCACTGAGGATAGCTGCAGTGCTGGACCGGCTGGCTGCTCCACAGGACCCTCGAGACCCCACGGCAGGCAGTTAGCTGTCGCAAACAAATATGGAAACAGAGATGGAGATAAGATGATGGATGATGGAGAGAGGCTGATAGAGGGTGTAAACTGTTGCAAAAGAATGATGCATACAAAGACTAAGCGAGCTAACAACTGCGAGGCCAGCACTTAGGAGCTGTGAGAGGCATCAGAACCAGGGGTTTAATTATGCCCAAACCTTAAGGAACGCGCCACGCGAAGAAAAGGAAACGTTGGAAAAGGGTGTCGGGCGCATCAATTGGTCAATGGCACGGCCAGAGACGCGTTGATGAGGCGTGTCCGGGGAGTGCCGGGGGTGCCTGGTGCGATTTGGAGGTCTCGGATGCTGCCGTCGAGCTCGATCCTGTCCTGCACCTTGTCCCATGCACCAACAGCAACACCAGCTCACGGGTTATTCATCCCTGGTGCCATCTAGCGAAGCGAGAACCAAGATGGCCAAGAACCCTACGGTACTGTCCCAACAAGAATGTTCTCCAGAATCGAGAAGGGCTGCTTGCTGCATGCAACAGACAGCAAGCACTCATCTCGACGCTTCTAGTTCAACCACGTCGATATTGACTAGGAAGGTGGAATATGATGTCAATGGCAAAGCGATGTGGAGCTCAATTGTAATTCGGCCGAAAGTACTGTCTTGGAGCACCTGTCGAGAATCCCAGCTGAATCTATTCCATGGCAGGTCACCGTGCCTTTCTTTGCCTAGTGGTGGTGAGAGAGGCTCATGCCGATGAAGATCCCCAGAATCAATCTGCAAGAGACCACACACCTCAGTCTGTCAGCCCAAATGATGTGTCAACTCAGATCGGCCCGGGGTGAAGCCTCCAACGTAAGCTGACCATGTATATATACGGCACCTGCATATACCCATCCCATCTCCGTGCCGTCCCATCGCATCTGCTATTCCCGCCGTCCCTGAGCTGTCAGAATGTGTGTGTGTGTGTGTGAACCATGTGGCGTCAAAGGTGGAGGTCAGGACCTGCACGCCACTCGCATGGCATTCTAGATGCTAAACATGCATTTCTTTGCAAAGATGCATATCTAAACCGTACATACCTACATAGACAAGTATGCATTTCCGAAAGACGTGTCTCACTCGTGCTTGTATCTTTGCTTCTGCAGAGACGCAGCACAGACCAGCCCTAATCAACGTTGGACTGATTGAACTGCACCGTCCACCATGTACTCCCCGCGCAGATAGTCTGACTAGAGGTACCTATTAATATCATTCATCCCAATTCCAGGGGTCCCCCTCCAATTCGAGCGAACCCGCCTGCTTGGGCCTTGGCTTCCATCGCCCGGGGCAGCAGGGCCTCTGGGAGGTCCGCATCCTGGCGGCCAAGAAACGGTTCCAGATCCGTCGTTGGTGCCCTCCGTCCCTCCGTGCAGGCCCTGCCAACTAGACTAGCAGCAGCGGGATTTCCTTTCCAAGGACAGCTTGACCTTTGTCTGTCTTGCCCGTCGCACAGCAGGCCGAGCCCGCCAGACCGCCAGCCCGCCCGCCCTCTCGGTTGGCCTCACTTTGCAGGGTCCCCAATCTCATTCACCCTTTCTCATCAATCAATACGCCCTCACACCCACATCCACATCTAATTCATCTGCACCCTTTCTCCTTAGTATCGATCTCATTCTCTTAAGCCGCCATCTCATTTCTTTCTCAATTCTGTCCAGTCCTTTCCTCTCAATGCCTCTTTTTACGCTCCCATAGCAGAGCAAGTCACTCCTTTCAATCATCTATTGATCCATCTATCCAACATCCCCTTTTCTCAACCATAACATTAGACACCGCGCAATCTACAGGATAGAGAGCATCGGCGCCCTGACATCATGGCTTCAGGCCAGCGCATACACAGCGCCGTCCTGAAGCAGCTCATACGCCCGCATACACCATGCAGGGCTGCGCATTATGCGCCATTGGCATCCCGCCGTGCCGAGTTCCCGCCCAGCGGCCTCGCCACGCGGCGGTGGGACGGCGCAGCATGCACGACGATCGGGAATAAGACATCACGCGGCTTCTCTACCGGCCGATCATTACGCATACAGTTCAACGAGGACGGCTTTTCCTCATCTGGCGGCAGCCACAGCAGCAGCAATGGCGGCAGAGGCAATAATGACGAACCCTCGCTGGGCTACAAGATGCTCGAGTCGGCCGCGACGTCCTTCGCGTCGGTGCTGGTCCTAGCAGTGGGGTTCGCGAGCGCCGCCTACGCGTACCACAAGTTCTACAAGAAGGTGCAGCTGCAGAAGATGGCCAACGCCTTCGAGCCGGGCGACCCCGTGCTGGAGATGGCCGCCCTGGGCAAGGGCCTCACCAAGTCGGGCTCCAGGCCCTCCAACGTCCACCGCAACGGCGACGACGTCGACAAGGACCACTGGGTCCAGCGGCCCGAGCAGGCCATCATCGACGCCATCGTCAGCGGCCACGAGTACGGCCACTACCACCTCCTTATTGGGGAGAAGGGCACCGGCAAGAGTAGCATGTTGATCGAGGCCATGCGTAAGATTGACGGTGATGGTGGTGAGTGATTTTGCTGGTTCCATGTGCTTGTACATCATCTGGGGGTCCCTTAAATAGGTGGTCAGGTCGCAGCAACAAGAGATGCTGCAGAAAAAGCCGCGAGTCCCAAGTAAAGGTAGGCGGGCGATTTGTATAAGCAATGGCCCGTAGAAAATGGCGGGCTCGCAGTGGTACAGTGGCCAGAGGAGCTCTTCCTGCCAGCGGGGTCTCAAGAACCCATACGATGCCACCGAATGGTCTCTTTGGACTCGGAAAGGCTCCTCACGCTGTGCAGACAACCCAAACTGAGACTGTGTGCGGGCTCGGTCATCCTATCTCAGCTCACAGGATGATATCTCTTGTTGCTGGGGCCTGGAAATCTCTAAGAGCGCCGTTCCAGTAGAGAGAAGAAATCCGCTGACTCTGATCATCCAAGTGGCCATGTTCGAAGCACACTCCGACCTGGAAATATTCCGGATCCGGCTCGGCAAGGCCCTGGACTACGAATTCCACGAGGACTACATCGGCGGGTACTTCAGCGAGAAGGGGCCAAGAGATGTAAGTGGTGAACTTGGTGTGAGACTTTCTTGATGTTTGCGTGAATCTGTCCTCGAAAATCCCATCCCCTCCGTGTCTCTCACAAGTCGTGCCATGCTCGCTGGCCCCCAAGACTGGGCACCTGAGACATCCATATGCGGCCCACGTCACCTCACAGCCATCCCAAGAGGCCAGGCAGCGGCTTGAACCAGCTGAGAAAGCACCCTGGTCATAATGTTCGCTGACAGAACCATCACAGACAACCGCATTGCTAGACATCGAGCGAGCCCTCAACAAGCTGGAGAAAGTCGCGCTCGATCGCCGGGCGAAGGTCGGCCGTCCGCTGGTGATCATCATCAACCAGATGCACTTGATCCGTGACGATGAGGACGGCAAGGACCTCTTCGAGCTGCTGCAGCAGCGCGCCGAGATGTGGGCCGCCTCGAACCTCGTGACCATGGTCTTCAACTCGGACGACTACTGGGTCTACGAGCGCCTCAAGCAGCTCGCCACCCGCATGGAGGTCCTCAGCGTCCAGGACCTGCCCAAGGCCCCCGCCACCGCCGCCCTCAAGCGCTACCGCGCCCGCTACTTCCAGGAGAGGCTGTCCGATGACATGGCCACCCAGATCTACGACAAGGTCGGCGGCCGCCTGACGTTCCTAAATCGTGTCGCCAAAAGCATCGATATGCTTAAGACTTGCGACGACATTATGGAGGTCGAAAAGACTTACTTCCTGAACCAGTGCTGGATCCTGGGAATGGAAATGGACGATGACGTGATGGACCAGCAGAAATGGGCTGTAAGTGATCGATTATCCTGTGTCTGTCAATGAGCAGCTGGCTAGCACCTTTCTGTCCCCAATCCTCCTGGACGAAGCACAGTCACCATTGGCCTGCGCCCTCATCAAGTACAAGCAACGAGATTGACTGGGGCAATCATCCACGAACCACTCACCTCACCCAGAAACAGCCAGCTAACACTTTCCAGGCCGCAGCGATGGTCCTAGCCCTGGCGCTGGTAGACCGCGAGCGCGAGCTCGACGAAGCGGAGACCTACGACCCGGTGGTCGGGCACAGGCTGCCGTGGTTCCCGATGCACAAGGCGCAGGAGATCCAGACGCGCGCCGACTTCGTGCGGCAGCTCGACCGCATGAACCTCTTCACCATCACGAGCACCGCCCAGATGCGCGCCTCCAGCGTGCCCATGCACCGCGCCTTCCGCGAGATCTGCGCACAGCCCGGCTTCCGCGAGCACCTCGACGCCACGATCCAGCGCATCTCCGACATCGAGAGCCTCGGCCGCACGCGCGAGCTTGTGGCCAAGGACCTCGTGCTGGGCGGCAAGTATGAGATCGGCAAGGAGGGCAGCGGGTGGGACAGCAAGGTCATCGTCTCGCTCAGGCAGCCGCCGGAGGAGGATGGCGACGGCGATGGCGACGACAAATGAGTTTGTCGTGGGTCCGGAGCTAGTTTCCCTTTGAGATGGGACCGGCCGGGCGGGATCGGGATCGGGAATTGGGCGGCCCTGTCCCGGTCCGGTCGGCGGCTTATTCCCAAAAGCCGGCAGCAACGGCAGTTGCTGTCTCCTGCAGCTCGCCTTGCTCGAAATATCCTGTTTTCCCCAGCCTTGGCACAGCAAGCACTAGGCTAAAGCCAAGGATCACACCGACAGAGACATCTTCAAGATCACCCAACGCCACGCGCCGCATCGCCGGCGGCTAGAGTTGCCTAGCCTGGACAAGGAGCAACCATGAGGACGAACGACGTTTCCTGGCGTTTAGGTCATTCGAAGTGTTGGGCGTTGAGGATTGAGCGAGCAGGTGTTCCGGGGCCAGGAAAGAAAACAAGGAAATGGGCGGTGAGGGAGTGTGAGGATATTCCTGCTCGTGGACTGAGCTTACCACGTGGTATTTATGTATTATATTGTGTAAGATGTATTCCGCTTGTCTGTGACTCCGCGTCACCATTGCAGCTAATGCAACGGTCGGCCGATGCTGAGAGGCATGTTCCCTGTGCTGTGCAGTTTGTGCCTATTTCTGAACCTTCTTCTTTCTTCTTCTTTCAGGCACACGACCTGCGCAATACTGAAATTCGGCCGCGCCGAGGCAGATCGTCAGAAACAGACATCGGGACAAAAATGCAAGGCTGCAGATGCAACCGCCGTCAGAGAAGCATGACTTCATGTACGTGGGACGCCACATCCCAGCACCTTGGATCTCGGTACCCCAGAGGGGGCACAGCACAGTCGGAGTCCGGAGTAAGCAAATGCCAGAAAAGAGAATAGAACGTGCAGGCGCTGTGTAACACAAAGTTTTACCAGCCGGGCATATTTCTGCCGGTCGGCAAAGCAAGGTTGTCAACAAGAAAGGAAAAAGTAAGCACATCAGATGCGAGTGTGTCCCCGCCGTGCTGTGCCTCATCCTCCCCCACAAAACAAACGAGCGCCCGAATGGCACCTTGATGGATTGTTGGCAAGATGCAGATCTGCACACTGACCACATGACCGACACCAGGACGTCAAGCTGTCAACGATTCGTTGGTATTCGGTTCGGCGGTTGCTTGCAGTCTCGGATAGTCTCCGCCGTCGTGCATCGCACCAAGGCTACTGGGAGTGGGAAGCACCAGAATAAATCACAAGCCGAGTGAGGACGGGCAGTCGACAGCTCGAAATCTTCGTGTCTCTGCGCGTTAGTGGAGCGGCGCTGGAGTCAGACCCCTCTTCGAACCCCGTTGTTGTTGGCACTTGCACTGCATGAAGGGACCCTCCGACGTGGACCATGGTGCGAGTTGAGGATTTGTGAGATGTGAGATGCATGCACGGAGGAAAGATGGGTACAGAAAAGGATTTGACACAGCAGCGACAAGCCCGCAGTAGCGAGGAAGGCCCGCATCTCCTCTTCTAAAGGGGCAGCTCATCGTCGCACCAGTAGGCATATGCTTGAGGAGCTTCGGTTCGACTGGCCCGAGGAGCCAACCGCGTGCCCACCCACCTGCACGAATGCTGCTGCGGCCGCTAGCAACAGCTGGAGCCTGGAGCAAGATCAAGTGTGCTCGATTTCCACTCAATGACGGCATAGGTGCCCTTGCTCCAGACCCGCTCCTCCTTTCTGCAAGTGTACGCAGTGATGTGCAGAGAGTACCGCGATTTGGGCCGCAATTCCCCCCCGTAGCATTCTGCTGGAGCGGTTGAAGCTGAATCCGTCCCACAATGCTACAGATAGGGACCGGTTCAGAATGGCGCCATGTCGAGTCCGAATGGCAGCCAGTTCCGTATTGGTACCGATAGTCCGTGGGCAAGGTCATCGGCGTCGTCAATCAGTGGGGACGGTACACGTGCTGGCCGATGAATGAGTCGGTCGAGCTGAGGCGTGAAGCTGATATTCAGCCCCCGCATGCAGAAACCGGATGTTGTCAACAACGCACGGCACGGGATGTGGCGAAACAAAAAGCGACTCCGACCGAAGAGGGCCGGAGGTGAATGTGATGCTCCACGTCGCACGAGTCAACGCTGGAACGTGTCAGCACCGCTGACAAGACTTGTCAAAAGCAGCCGCGTCGTCCATCCTGCTCGTAGAGGCGCGCGGATGCAACTGGTTTGTCTAGCATTGGCCGTGATCGTCAGCAATGATCGACAGGCCCAATAATCGTGCCGATGGCAACAGTCGGTCTCCGATGACACCCGCCTGGGAGACATTTATTCAGCCTTTGTGCCGGAGCGCGACCCCTTACCAAGAGCCAGAGCCAGGAAATATGGCAAAGCACCGTAGCTGCTGACACTGCCTTCAAGAAGGTGAAGCCATACGGCAAGAAAGGGCGTAGAGCCCGGAGGTTTTCTTGCCGGTGCACGATGTAACCAGGCTCTCATCATTCGCTCTTCTTGTGTTGCGCCGGAAGACTAGCTACTGTTGAAATGGCCTCGACATCGGTGGTTGGGGGATCTGTGCAAATACGCGCTGCCGTAGACGGACCGTGATGGATAAATGCATAAAAATATCGCACCGCTGGAAGTTGCCCGAAGTACAACTTTGTACCATCACGATTAGCCTCAGATGACCTAGACTGTACATGGCGTAGCGTCTGAGCCAGGTGGGCTGGTCTAAGTAACAGCTTCTTGATTGGCCAACGTACCAAGGCATTGGAAACTGTAAAACCCAGTCACCCCTCCCTCGTGCATCACCGCCCATGCTATGGTTACATGACCACGACAAGCAGCAGTTCGCCCGTCATCGGGTGCTGTTTGGTTTTCCGCTACTGTTAGGTCGTCGCCGTCGCGCCGCGCATCGTGGGATTTCTGGGCGCCAAACTAACACCAGGGGTCAATCTGCGCATCCCTTGTTCAGACTTGACCAGACTTCTAAGCAGGGGTGTGGAAGAACGTGTCAACTTTCTCACATGGTTATTTGAAGAGGTTAGGGGTCGTGGCCGGCAAAAGCATTGATGGCAATGTGAAGAGGGGTGCGCACAGATGTTGGCCGCTGAGGTTCGAGTGGAGCCGCTGGTCCCGTCGGTTCGCCCCGTTTCCGTCAATCGCAAAGTTTATGGGAGACGCTCGACCCTTTTTACCCGCCTGTCTGGGTATGTGCTGGGGCGAGCCCAAACAGCTCGAAATTTGGAAAGTTCCTCACAGTGCTCTGGTGGTCGGAAGGAACACAGCTTGATCGCGTATCCATTCTCCCGCGTCGTGATTTGCTTCCTTTCAACATGTGCCAGTGCTCCAAGGGCGCCGCGACGGTCAGCAGCACGGGCTTCTCCACAGCATTCCCTGTTGTTGTGTGCTGACAGCGCTGTCAGCTGCAAAGACGATCGCATCGGATACAGAGTGATGACCCGATCATAGGCTACCCAATTTACAGCGAAACGGGGCCGCTGAGCTCCAGGTAAAGGCAGCCAGTCGAAGAGTTTCCCCTTTAGGCAAGCCGGTCCAATTAGCAGTGTCATCCTCCAAGCACGTCTCGAGGCCGCGTCAGGGCATGGTGCACATCGAGGATTTCTGCCTCACTAAACAGTGCCTGAATGTCTGAAGGATCACCTGTACGAGTGCGGCATGGGCGCCGGTCCACAGGGATCTGTCCACTCTTGTTTTGACGCGACAGTTGTGAGATGAGAGCCTTGGCAACTGCTTTTTCTTATTTCCCCAGAAAATAGACAGAAAAGAAAAAGCAAGTGAAGCGAGCGATCGGGGCCGTTCCAGGGCGATTAACTCTAGATCAGGGTCCAGTTTCATTGCAAGTCCCGAATCTGTGCCCAACCATGACGTCTAGCCAGCGCCTGTCGTTCAACTTCGCTTAAAATGCATCTGCGGGCAACCGCCGTCATCAACGTTCGACTGCCATCGAGAATGAGAAGCCTGAGAAACCCAATTCGGCTCTCGTTCGAGGTTGAGGTTCCCCCTCCGTCAATGCGGCTTTGTACCACAGTAGATCTGGTGGGCGGAAGCTAGGGTCCGCCCTGTTGGTTTTATGCGAGGCGTGGGGGGCCGCAATGCTATTGATCGGCTTCTCGCGACCCTCGTCACCCCGCGGCGGCTGCCAATTGTTGGCATCAATGCTGCGAGGTTTGAAAGCCGAATCGCCGGTCACGGTGATAGCTTCGCAATAGTCTGAATTCAACGCTGCAGGATACTCTGCAACAATTGCTTGATTGAAAGGCTGGCAGGCTGAAGCGGTGAGCGTGCTGCAGGCACAGTCCTTTCTGACATTCCACCGATACTCTGAAAGCTGGGAGTATCCCAGTTCCTCGCCGTCGGTCTAGACTTGCACCTAACCGATCTCAAACCGGGACAATGCAATGACGGCAAAGGGCTGATCGACAAGTGGCGCACCTCGGTCCGTCAAGCCCTAAATCCCCAACTAGTTCCTAGTGATCATGGAACTGCCTTGCGTTCGCAGCTGCCAGCACCAGCACTACAAGACTAGTAGTATCCTTTTGGAGTGCTGATGACCGCCAGTGGCTGGGCCAGATCAATCGAGCAGTTGTGCCAGCCTGGCATTTTTCCAATTCAGACCGGCTGCATGAGACGTGGCTTTCCTTCAGCTGACATGGCGAAAGGCTAAGGAATGGAGTTTTGGGCGTAACCGGGCGGATTCGTAGCCTCAATGGCTGGCCGTTGGACGGGGTCGGCCCCAGACCCGGACTGGACTATAATTACCTACCCGACTATGTCGTACCTCCGCCGGGCCGCCGTTGACCCGGAAGTTATCATCGGTCATCGGTGACGAGTGGACGTCCTGATGTGCATGCGAATAGGGTTGGTCGACCCTGGGTCTCAGGAGTTGTGAAGAGTGACAGTGCAACGACCGGATTCAAAGCATGGAGTCTCAGCACTGGCGTGTCCACTACTTGGTGCTGCCTAAGAAGCACGAGTCAAGTTGTATGATGACAGGAGTGGGATCCCAGGACCCCCATCCGCATCCACCAGATACATGTTCAGAAGCCCCCGCGAATCCGATGGCCGTAATGGACTCAGACTGCCTTGTTGCTTCACCTTTGATACTACAGGTCTGCGGCAAAAGCCCAAAGGTGAGCAAAAGCAGGCATCTCAGCCAGTGAGCGGGAGATGATGATGATCGAGGCGTTGAGTGGAGTCTACGCCTTTCCGGGTGCTCGGTAGTCAGTCGGCTCCAGTACATGCTGCCGTATCTATTACATGACACATCACATTCCGGAGAAACGCCGTGATGCCTTATTTTCACTTCAATCTGGTCAAAATCCACAGCTGGCAAAGCGGTCCTGGCCCGAATGTGATGTTGCGACGGGGCGGGCGGGCGGCGGGCTGCGGGCTGCGGTGTCATAGCTGATCTTCTGTTGCATTTGTGCGGTGAGCGAAGTTGGGGCCACCAACAGCATGAGGCTCAAGAGTTGTTCCAGGATTGCAGCGAAAGCTGGCCAGTGCTCCTCTGCCACAACTCAAATTTCGGGGGATGTTGTGATTGATCCAGTCAAAGTAGCGGCCTCGCATGCATGCATGTCGCCCTACCCGGGCATATTCTGGACAGCGTTTCGTTTGGTGGTTATGGTGTGGCGCGCGCCAACAGGGCAACTAATCGCATAAGCTGGCATGACGGGAAGAGAAGGGGGATCGGGGATGCGACTTCTGTCATCCGGTGTTGTCGTGGTCTGGAAATACCACGACGCTGTGCCACCCCAGCCTGTGGTGTCAGTCAGAATCTAGGGGGACTTCTCGAGATGCTGGCTTTTGCACAGAGTTAGGAGGATGATATCATGGAACATACAGCCTCTTGCAGCACGTCACACCGCGTGGGAGGCCGAGACACTGAGTCAGTGACTGTGTGAAGTGTGCGGAAGCGATGTCGAGGCTGCAGAAAACCCGAGGTGGAAAGCTGGGCTGTTCCACAGAAAGGAGCTGGCATGTTTGCGATGATCTGATCCTTTCCGACGGGAACTGACCAGGTTTGAAAAGGGAAGTGCGTTGTGGCAGGTCGAGAGCGGTTGGAAGACGTGGTTATGAGGGCTACTCCGTTGGTCATGCAGCCACCTGCTGTCGTCGAGGACCCGTATGGAGTCGGCGTTGGAAGACAGGGCAGTAATCCTGACTGGAGTAGCGACTGGGTTTTTTTGACAATGTCGGCCCGTCTGTGGCACCGCCTCGCTCAGGCCTCTGCGCAGCAAGTCGCTTTCAGACCTGCTGCGACTGCTTGGCAACCCGACATTGAAGGTTTCCAATACGCTCGCGTCCCGATAGAATGACGCCGACCCATGGTTTGGGGGCAGCTCGCTCCGGGCATATTCTTATCTGGACCCGTCCGTCTGTACGTGCTGGGCCCTGCTCAGCGCACGGAGCAGGAACTGCACCCGTGCCTCACCATCTCGTTGAGAAGGTCCGCACCCTTGTCGATGGGCCCATTGCAGAGTGCAGCGGAGAGGGAGGGACTTGCATGAAGGGGTCGATGGAAATCTACGACAGGCATTAGCATAGCCAATGGAGAGTGGAGTGGGGAGGGAGGGGCTTATAGGCATATCGATGAGTACAGTACTGTATGTAGTACACAATGCACCACTGAGAAGACTGCGGTACGCAGACAGGACTGGGCTGGACACGACGGGTTCTGGCTGCAGGTTTGCTCAAGGTGCAGCTGGTGTTAATTGCCATGTCGGGCGGACTCGGCCTGGGCCCAAGTGAAAGAGACGAATGTCTGGGAGTACGAAGTTGCATGACCTCGCGTCGCGTGACATTGCCCCGAGCGATGAATCAGTGCTCAAACGAAGACTGTCTGTCCCCTAGGTCATGTTCTCGTGGTCGAGGTTGCTGCACCCTCTGCCGTGGTCTACTCCGTTGGAATCCGTCACGCACACGAGTCTTGATATCGCAAGACTGCCGGATGCTTGCTATCTAGTTGAGACCCCGGTTATTCCAGCCATCTTCCATGGCCGTCTGGTGAAGTGGCAGGCGCGCTGTTGGTGGAATGGGTCCAGGCAGTGTTTAGCTGACTGCCCGTGTCGGGTATTTTGACTGCGTCCATATCCGAGGCCTAAGCTGGAACGAGAACGTCGTGCAGCGTAGATCATGCGGCCAATAACATAGCGTTCGATCTAATTGTTGGAGGTGTGGGTGCCAAGTGAAGGCGGTCGGCACGGTCCAAGGGACTGGTCACTGTGATTGACGTGATGTGACGGGGGGAGATGGAGGATTTGGGGAACAGACAGACAATCTTACCGACTTGCAGGTGTCAACCAATTCTACTCTATTCTATTTGAGTTGACGGGAGGTGACGGTGATGGTGATGGCAGCTGTGCCCGTGTGCATGGCCATGCTTCCAGAGCCCCAGAAGCTCACCGTTGAAGAGTTTTCCCGGGTGCGACTGGGCGCGACTGGGAGGCCAGTCGATCCACGCAGCCGTTGCGGGTGCGGATGGAGAAGTTGGGTGACTTTGGGGTGGACCGTGCACACAAGGGTACTGTGTATGTGGGCATGCCCAGGTGTATCTCTCATCCTCATCTAAGGTCACACAACACAGGCGCATGTCGTGTTGGGCCAGCTGCACCACTCGCGCAGCAAATTGCACTGTGCATCCTTGCATCTCGCAGTGCACGGCAGTAGACAGGAGCAGAGCGGAACAGAGGGCAGATCAGTGCGGAGCAGGGCAGAGCAGCGAAAGCTTGGGAAAGCGGGACATTCCGATGCTCCTTCCTTTTTTCATCTCGCTGCTTCATTTGATGCTTCACCAGAATAGAAGCGACGGTCCAAGAGGCAGGGGCACAGAGAAGGGACGGACTGCACCACTGCACGTAACAGTACGCTACCGTCGCACAGCAGACCCCACTCTCGTGCCTCTGCTGCACTTGCAGCACTTGCTGCACTTGCACTTGCACTTGCACCTGCCCTTGCCATTCCTCGCAGCACCATTGCAGCTGCCTCGCCTCGCCTCCTCTCGCTTCGTTGCTTCTTTCCTTCTTTTCTTTCTGCAGAATTCGTAAACACCACCACCATCACCAACATCGTCGTCGCCAATCTTAGGGGGGGTCCACAGTCATCCTCGTCCTCGTCCTCGTCCTCGTTCCACGTCCACGGTGCTTCCGGCATCGTTGGCAGCTGACGAGTCTGGAGTCGCAGCCGGACGCTCGCATCGGTGTCCCATCCATAATAATGTGGGCACACAATACACCCCTCTTCCCTCCCACTTCTCCCACCTCTCTCTCTGTCCCCTCTCCCCTCATCCCCCCACCTTCTGGATAATATCGTCAGACCCTGTCCCTTCCTGCATCAGCACTGGCCCAATCCCCATCTCTTGGTCGATGATCAGCAGGTCATCCCTGCTCGCCCCGGGTCCTACGGTCTAAATGAATCGCGTCCAGAGACCACTTGATACAGAAATCTTTCTATCCCGTACTTGCTCGGCCACTCGTTCTCGTCGTCTCGTCAGGTCTTGTCCCTCGACTGGTCGTCGTCTGCAAATGGCTCCCGACCCCCTTGCCCGTCAACCCCCATGCCCACGATACGATATAGACTGACAAGGGCAGGGGCGCAGGCAATGGCGATGGCACTGACAGGGACATGGGAAGCTTGAAGAATGGGTATGGACCAGGGCTTGGGGGGCCACCCTCAACACCACAAGGAGAAATAAGACCTCTCTCCACCTCTCCTCCAACCAAAGCACCACTTCAAACCCCTCCATTCTGCCGTGAGATTGTGATTGATCCTCGCTGCCGTCTTCACCTCTTCCTGCCCTGTGTCACCCACGCGGTTACGGGCTTCCCTCCTCTCTATCCATCCCGTCTCGGCCGTTTCCCGACCCTGAACTGATCACTTTCGCTCGGGCCTGCTTCGAGGGCAAAGAGACACGTTTCTTGCCCATTGCTTGTTGTGCTCGTCGTGGAGGGACGTTGGACGGAGCCGAGTCGAGGCCGATACTACCACAGTACTGGTTGGTGATTTTGATGTCTCATGGTCCCCGGCCCCTCTGCTCGACACTTCGCATCAACCAAGCGAGCACTTGACGCTATCCGACCGTACACGGCCCATACTATCTGTGTGTCCTGCTCGCCAACACTGGCGTCCTCGCTGGATCGTCGACTCCTCACTTGCTCCACAATATCCATGCACATCCCGACGTCCTACCCATCCTGCTCCCGCATTCATATCCTATAGCTCCAGACAGGCATATCGTGATCGACCGCCCAACCACGTCTGGCACTTTGCCATATTTGAGAGACTTAACTGCATCACCTCTTGTTATCTCCATCTCCGCTTCCTGCATTTCTCCCCAAATTCCACCTGCCCACCACTTTGTCCCAAGTCCGCACGCCGTCGTCTCACACCCGCCCGTCCGACCATACGGCAACCAACTCTCTGCTCGTTGGCATGGTCAGTTCTTGCACCTAGGAGCTATGGAACATTCCCTTCGTCTTGGCGCTCAAGATAGGATCTTGTCGTGGTCGGCGACCAATACCGTCGGGGGCCTGGGCTCAGACGATCGTCACTCTATGATACTTCCGCAATCCCCCCCATGGATGGATGCTCTTCACCAAATTCATCCCTCCTCTATCGCGCACAATACCAGCACTGCCTGCGCTCCCGCAACGTCTTCAACTACATCCTCGACGACCGTGCGACACCCACTGAACGGCCAGTTATCACCCATCAGCACGGGTATGGATATGGCTGTCGGGCACTCCCATGACGACGGCGCATGTCCGTCTACCGCAGACTCGGCGACTGCCCGGCCCGTGTCGCAATCAGAGTCCTCCTCCGTTGCAGATTCATGGAGCATGATCTACGGCGAGAACGCCGAAGATGTTAACGTGACGCATGTCATAGGTGAGCAAGACATGCACTGGGAGCATGGGTCGGATGAGGGTATCGCAGTTCCCAAGGTCGAGCCTATAGACGAGGACATGCGGCTCGACGAAATCAAGGAGGCGCCACCCACCCCTGTCCCAAGCAACACCAGTCCGACATCAGCTCAGCCAAAAGCCAAGCGACCGCGTGGAAGGCCACGCAAACACCCACTCACCCCAGTTGTCTCCACCAACAAGATCACCAAAGGGCGTTCCAAGACTGGTTGTCTCACTTGCAGGAAACGCAAGAAGAAGTGCGACGAGGCAAAACCCAGATGTGCGTCAGAAAGTCCAGGGAGTTCCACAGTGGGCGGGGCCTACTTCACACCCTCGCCCACTGTGTCTTCTCTTTCCCTCCTCCTGCACACTCGTTGCTGACCAAGACTGATAGGCATGAACTGTGAGAAAAATGCTGTTGTCTGCGAGGGCTACCCCGAGAAGCAGATATGGAAAAGCGGAAAGGAGAAGGCTGCGGAAGGTACGAAACGAGCTCTAGTGAACCATGACTTCTCAGCGCTGACGTCTTTGTCTAGGTGGCTTGAGCCTTGCCCAACCTCTGCCAGTGATAACCATGCAACCAATATTCCATGGGCTTGAGAACGCAGAGGATATGATTTTCTGGAAGCACTACCACGCTCATCTGAGCACGGTTCTGACAGTGGAGGGCGAGCACAAGAACGCATTCAAAGATCTGCTCATTCCAATAGCCACTAAACACCGCGGCCTTATGCACTCCATCCTCGCCCTGTCAAGCAAGCACCTTGACTTCGAGACGCCATACGGAGCCAAAATCCTTGCTGACAACCCAAACACCAGTCTGGACGCCCTTCAACAGCGGTCTGACTACCACCACGAGAAAGCCATGGAGAAGTTCTATGAGGATCTCGCGCGGTCAAGTTTGAATTCGGACAGAGAAGACACCGAGTACTCGACAATATTATCTGCTCGGTACGGCCAGATGCTGTGTTTGCTTCTAGAGGCTCTTGCCGAGGGCAACCCCCGTGGTGAGCACAGGGTCCATCTCGGAGGATATCAGCGTCTGATCCAGCATTCACCGCCCGAGGACCCGGCATTTTTGAGCTTTATCATGGAGTTCTTCCAGTATCACATCTTCGCCGACGAGCTTGTCCGCTACCCAGACATGCACACTCCACGACTGGCCTCAGAAGACTGGACGCCCAGCGTTTCCATTCATCCACCCCGGCTGTTAGGTGTTGCCGATGGCCTTTTCAACTACCTATGTCAAATCACATCGCTCAGGAACACCATCAGGGCCAACATGGCTGCTGGGGTAGATCCAGCTGTCGATTACACGGGTCTGTACCGAGCCGCCGAGATCGACGCAGCGATCCGCGACTGGACACCGTCGTGGCCTCCAGGTGACAGTCGAGACCGGGTAGGCCTTCTTTACAAACAGATGATGTGGGTTTACCTGTTCCGGACGATATACCCACCATCGACTGTGTCCCCGACGCCTTCGTCGTCCTTGCCCCTGCTGCACAATTCGTCTGTTCTCATCGGTTCAACAAACACTCCTCCAAGATCTGCAAACAACAGCTGCGCCTCGTCGCCATCAATAAGGCCGCGCACCTCCGCCTCGAACATGCCACATCAACCCATCCGCCGGCACACCATCGCCAACTACACCCTTTCTCAAGCGCCACCTCCGATCAAGCACCACCAGCACACCTCCAGCATGGAGTGTCACCAATATGTCGCCGAGTCCCCGCCGCCAGTCCGCCAGCCACCCAACTACGATCCCCGTATTACCCTCGCTGTCAACGAGTCCCTCAGCATTCTCGAGACTTTCAAGCCAAGCGATCCTTCTCAGAAACTTCTGCTGATCCCATGTCTTGTGATCGGTACAGCTTGTTTCGCGCCTGAGCAGCAAGAGAGGATACGGACGGCGGTGAGGACAGTGAAGGGATACACGGGCTTGCGCAACACGGAGAGGGTCACCGAGCTACTCGAAGAAGTCTGGCGGTGCATGGAGCGTGGCGAGTGGGTACGAGTTTGGGACTGGCAGGGAATTGCCAAGAGTATGGGATGCGATGTGCTATGTTCATGATTGTCGCTTTTACGGTGCCATTTCGTCCTTACTGGCCAAGCGACACGGTCAGACTCCGATTCGAGTCGAGAGGTCCATGTCGAGCGAATCAGCTTCATCCTAACTTCGATCGATGCCGTCTTCTCATTCCAACGGCCATTCCCTCGTTACAAAGCACGGCTCGTGCATTTTAGCAAAATGGAGCCAAGAGGAGCCGAGACAGCCATCTATCATTCGTTTCTCGTGTTTTTCGTTTACTATCGTTCTCATGTACTTTGACCAGGCCTGTATTGTCTTCGATTCAGGCATTTCATATACCCCATTTCACTTCCAACTGCCTCGGCATTGACGGATTTCTATATCCTTACTGTCTTGGACCACAAAGGCATGGCACGTTATCGCTGGTGGACAATGGTGTGAGCAATGATCAGATGGGGAGAAAGCGGCCGCCTTGGGGTTAGTCTTGGCCAGCATTCGCGGCGTCTTTTGGGTTTTGCTCATTTATGTCTCTTGTTGTCATTCACGCATATCCACTGGTCAGGATTCGGAGTTTAATTTTGTTTTGGCACATATATGGTTCAGGAGAAGGCGGGCCAGTCGATTTTCTTTCCTGTTCCTTATTTTCTTTGCTTTTTTTGTCCACCTTTCCTGTTTATATGTTCCTTGCATTTATGGAGGCGCGATTAGAGTGCAGCGAGGGGGGTTGTTTGTCATGCGTTCGGAGCAATTATCATGGATTTGGGCTGAAATGGAAATTTTGCGAGGCTGCTCGGACTTGTTGCCGATGCCTCACCGCCGAACACAAATCTTTTCCCAAGTTGTTATTGGTGACCCTATGTGATGATCTCTTCTTGATGGCTCATTCTGCACCAAATACATCTGCAAGGCCCCCGCGTCCCGCATCAAATTCAGCCATGCATATTTATACAGGCTATCACGAGCAGCGCACACGGCTTGCTGGGAGCTCAAACGGCGCCGGTGTTGTTCTCAAGTTGATCGACCCTTTCTATGGGAGATCTCTGAAGTCAAAAAGGACAGGGGACGCTTATTAATGAGAGATCACAAGTTCTTGCCAGTCTATTACTTGATGACTATAAGAGCCTCTACTCACCCCAGCATCTGGATTCCAGCCTCAGGGCTAGGACTGGGAACGTCTTGGCCTTCGTGGGTTTCAACAACCAAGAGTCTGCACGCTGTGCATAGCATTTCTTCGATCTCACTGCATCAACCTAGACATGATTGTTTCCTTTTTTTTATCACACATGCGCTTCCCAAGAACATTCTAAGAAATCAAGAAGCCCTTTCAAACCATGACGGCAAGGAGCAGGGTGGTCGAGCCCGGGCCTTCCGTTAATGCCGAAACTTAATTGAGTGGACATGGCACGGCAGCACCGTCCGCCTATTCTGAATGGACACAGCCGGTTTAGCAGATTGGACCTGAAAGTTAGGATGATAGAGGCTTGGGAAAAACGATTTCTGACAGCCCAAAAGCCTCAAGACTTCACGATACCACCTCGAGCACGCCCTTGCAGACTGGTGGATCAATACTAAATCATCGCTTTCATGGCTGGAGGCTGAACCGATGTCAGAACCCGGCCTCACAGCACCAGGGGCTCTCGGACTCTCGGATTCTAGGTCATGTGCGAGTTGGCATGACGGTGCTTTGAACCTGTAAGTCGCAGAGCATTAGAAAGGGAATGAGGATAGGTTAAAGAAAGTGTACTGAGGACTGAATTTTGCTGAGTCAACAAGTCCTCCTCTGGCCATAGTTATTTTGCCTTTCTTGTGAAACCTGCGTCCGTAGAGGCCGGGATGAGGAAACATTAACACACTTACAACACCGAGCTGTTTGGATTGTCCAGAAAGCAGCATAGGTGGGCTAATTCCACTTTGGTCATCCCCATGATAATTCCATACAAAACAACAAATCGAAGCCATATAGTTATTCGGGTCAAATATTAGTGGGTCACACCTCACGCCACTTTTTGACAACTCCTGTACAGACAACATTCCGGGAATAGCATCATGCCTGGAGCACTTAGGACCCACTTCACCTCTTGTTTTGGAATGATACCAACTCATCAAAAGCGTCCTAGTCAGAGGTTCTGAGTCGTACAGGATACGAGTACGAACACATGTGTTATGTAACGGCTTCATGGTAATATTCCATCAACTTGAATTCCTCAAGTCTGAACGAACCAGACATCACGATTTATCTTACTTTGGTGCTCTCTACTGAAGCTTAAATACGTCAAACTATCAACAACTTTTCGTGGGACTCCCTGATAAACATGCCGCACTCCTTTCTTCCATTAGATGGCGAGGAAACGAACACTGCAAGGGAGCCATTTGGAGACCTGGCACCGTAAGTCCAGTAGCACCCTCGAGGCATAGTAGCCAGGTTGGAAAATACGAGTTGATCACGGGTGACAATTCCATAAATCTAACGAGTTTTGCAGCTGGGCCGAGCCGGCCTGGTATAATCAACTAGAGAGCGTCTATTACAACGAAAGCCACAGGAAACTCCGAACCTATGCACGGGAGTTTATTGAGAAACACGCACTTCCGTTCGCGAAGGACTGGGAAGCCGCAGGAGAAGCACCTCGAGCCGCCAGAGAAGCTTGGGTCCAGTCAGGACTGGCCTTCTTGGACGTGCCTCAAGAGTACCGGCCCAAACATCTTCTTGCTGTCGCCGGCATACCGCATTATCAATTAGATGCGTTCCACCAACTCATTCTCTGGGACGAGATTTCGAGGCTGCCCAGTGGTGTGGCTCTGGCTCTTGCCGGTGCTTCTGTCGTGGGAGCTCCGCCTATCATCGCGGCCGGCACAGAGGAGCAGAAGCGCCGCTGGCTGCCTGGTTTGTTCGACTGGAGCACCAGCTTCTGCTTAGGCATCACTGAGGCCACAGCGGGCAGTGACGTGAGTGCTATACGGACCATAGCGCGCAGAACTCCCGATGGAAAGGGGTACGTTGTGTCTGGTCACAAAAAGTGGGTGACTGGCGCGCCGTGGGCAACGCACATGGTCGCTGCCGTGCGAACTGGAGAAAGTCCAGGAATGAAAGGCATATCCCTGCTGGTGATACCGATGAATGCGAAGGGTGTGTCGCAAAAGAAGATACACAACTCGGGACACAACGCTGGCGGATCCTCGTGGGTCTATCTAGAAGATGTTACTGTTCCGGCCGAGAACCTGCTGGGCTCAGAAAATGCAGGCTTTTCGATCATCATGTCAAATTTCAACAAGGAGCGTGTGGTACTGGCGGTAGACTGCAACAGACAGGCGAGGATGTGTCTCAGCGAGGCATTAGCTTACGCGCACGAACGCGAGACTTTCGGCCAGCCACTGGCATCACATCAGATTATCCGAAGCAAACTCGCAACACTGGCCAGAGAGGTGGACGCGCACTGGGCCTGGCTGGAGCAGGTCATCTACCATGTCAGCAAGCGTGGATGGCAGGCCAAGGAGCTGGGTGGAGTCATTGCTCTGGTGAAGATACACGGTGCCAGGGTGGTCGAGCTGGCGGCGAGGGAAAGCCAGCAGGTCCTCGGCGGGAGAGGTTTCGAGAAGGGGCTCACTTTCACGGAGCAAGTCACCCGTGATCTACGACTCAAGGTCATAGGGGGCGGGAGTGAAGAGATACTGAACGACCTGGCCTGGCGAGAAGAGCACAAACTGTCTCATAGGCGAGGAGCGAAACTGTGATGGAGATGTCGTGATCTCTCGAGTCGGCGGCCACGAGTAATTCTAGGGGTAGCCACTAGTGGAGACGAAACAGTGTTCTTTTATCACGAGGGAAGACTCAAGATCCTTGTAAACTACATGAATCGTACGCATCATGCAGAAAGTAAAAAATGACAGGCCGGCGAATCCCGTGGCCTATGCGTTAACATATTCATCGCCAGCACGAATGACCGCGGAGATCCGAATGCTTAATGTTTTCCCTTCTTCAGTTCGAGCCGAATGACAGCTCCGCATCTATGGATTCCGAGGCATCCAGAGCAATCTCATATTTCAAATCCATACCATGGTGCGCAAGGCTGCTCGAGGATGATGGGTCTCTCGTCGTGCAAGTGTCCCCGAACAGGACCGTGCTCCCGGGGCTCGAGAACCAATTCATAGCCTCAACGATCAACTCGAACAGCACGATATCGGACTGGCTGCTCTTCTACAAGCGGCCGGTGACAAAAGGATCCGGCATAGAAACTCTGAATGCCCTCGTTTCCCTTGGGTATGAATTGACCGGGTTTCCGGGATCCCTACATGGTGGAATGGTGTCTGTGATAGTCGATGAGGTTGCTGGGCTTCATATTGTGCTGAACGGCCATGTCCCGGGCACGGAGTTGGACAAGTCATTTCGGACGGCGTACATCAACACATCCTATTTGAGACCAGTCCCGACACCAGCGACGGTTCTTGTGAGATCTTGGATCGCGAAGGTGGAGGGGCGGAAGCATTTGGTTCGAGTCGAGATCGAGGACGAGAACGGGCAGACACTGGCAAAAGCTGAGGTGTTATACATATCAATTAAAGGCAAACTTTGACTTTGTTTCTGAACATGGATGAGTCCTTCATACGCGAAAATCTCGGCCCCATCGATATGATGTGTCTCTAGACAATAAACGGCCGGCGAAGTCTTTCGGATTCCAATGATAGGGCTTTGTGCAACTATCGCACATCGAGGCCGCTCTCAACTGCCTCACGGGACGTTACAGGACCAATGACGATGATCATTTGCTGGGCGGGCAAACTGATCGATCCGCGTTGCTGCACTGCATCCTGCGCTAACCTCCATTCGTATTTGGGCTACTACAGTTGTCTCTCGGCTCAATCCAATGCCTAGCCCCAATTCTCACCGTCGGACTCGGATCGAGTTTGGAGTGTAAGATAGCTGGAATAAGTCTTAAAAGAAGGTAAACCCCAAAGCCCTCTTTGACGCCGCAAGACTTTTCTCAACCCGTTAGAAAGAAATCACCAACGCAATCTCGCCCATTCGCACAGTCTTTGCATAAACCTACACACGTACCCAAAAATGGTTGCCCTTGACAAAGTTCAGCAGTCCAATGCTCAGATCGCCACAACGTATCCCGCAGGGCTGGTTGCTGTGTTTGCCGGCGCAACAGCTGGCATCGGCGAGACCTCACTCCGGGAATTTGCAAGACACACAGCTAAGCCGCGCATTTACATCGTAGGACGATCAAAAGAAGCGTGCGATCGTCTCGAAGCAGACCTGAGAGAAGTCAATCCTGAGGGCCAATACACCTTCATCAGGTCCGATGTCAGCCTGCTCCGCAATGTCGACGATGTTTGCAAGCAAATCAGGGAGAAAGAGTCGGAAATTAATGTGCTCTTCATGAGCCAGGGGACATTGAACTTTAGTAAACGTAAGCGAAAAGATCAGCGGCTCCATGTCCCCCACGAGACAAAGCTAACATCCCCGAAGAAACCGAGGAAGGCATGAGCTACCTCATGAGCCTGACCTATTTCGGACGCTTGCGAATGGCAAAGAACCTGCTGCCATTACTCCAGCGAGCCACAGGCTTGCGGCGCGTTGTCTCGTCCTTCACAGGTGCCAAGGAGGGCAAGGTCTTCGACGACGACTGGCAGGGGAAAGAAGGCAAGATCCCTTTCACAGCCGCCCGAGGTCACGGGGCCACGATGATGACGCTGGGCCTTGAGGCGCTGGCGAAAGAGGCTCCGGAGGTCTCTTTCATCCACGCATTTCCTGGAAAGGTCAAGACCGATATCATCAGGAGTGATGATGGTGCCATCCTGAGGACTGTGGCAGTCATCTCCAAGGCCTTATTCTTCGTGACCGGGTGGACCCCGATTGTGGAGGTTGGCGAGAGGCATACATTCTACTGCACGAGTGCAAGATTTCCTCCCAAGAAAGTTGTAGGGGAGCCGACTGCATCGGGAGTGCAGCTGCCGGATGGCATGGATGTGGCTAGGGGTGTGGACGGAGGCTCTAGAGGTGGCGTCTACTCTGTAGATACATATGGCGACAGTGCTGACGAGAAAATTGAGGAGGTCCTTGCTAATTACCGGCGGGATGGCACGGCGGAGAAATTGTGGAAATATACGGAAAGCGAGTGGCAGCGGGTAACGGGGACATTGTGTCTTTAAAAATCACTTTAATTATCAGGCCTTGAGCAGGAGTCAGGGTTCATGGTGTATTGACTTCGATGGTCGATTTTTTTCAAAAATCTTTTTTCATTACCTCAATATCTTAAATGTAAATTTCACCCTGAAGATAACTCTAAAACCTTCATCAAATGACGGTTGGTTGTTGATAAAACAGTGTATCGCTCTCATGTTTATTCTCGTTCGGAACGCAAGTCCGCTTCTTGAATTTATCTATGGCAGCACCTAGGCATGAAGAGGTTGGAAATTTGCCCTAGGAATGTTCAACAACTGCCATGAATCCAGACCTGGCTTGATCTGGTCAAGTGCGAGCCTCGGTTTCAAACCGGTCAGCAGTCATCCGGCGAGCTGTTTTCGACAATCACCGCATAAGCTGCCGGCATCGGTCTACCAATCCCAAGCAAACAACAATTTTGATATGCCACAGACGAACAGGGTCCTTCACGTCAACAACGTTGTATAAGACTGGCTCCAATCCACTGTCTTCCATCAGTCCAACAGCACGTATGTCATCAATCTTCACGTTACATTACAAATGAATTTAGATTGTCACGATGTCGGACTCAAAAGCCCCGTCATTTTCCCTGAAGCCGGTCGTCGAAGAAGACATTCCAGCTTTGACCGTAATGTCCGGCCTCAACTTCGAGGAAGACAGACATACGCAACTCAAAGCCGCCCATCCCACGAAGCCATATGACCATGCGGGCGGAACCCCCGACTCCATCAGACACTGGCTCAGTCTGCCTCAAAAGGTCGAAGTGACCAAGGCAGTCGACAACAAAACGGGAGAGGTCGTCGGCTGTGTTGGCTGGGTCTTCCGGGGTTTCGAAAGGGACCCCGGTGCCGCGGGATTCGTAGAGAAGCCCCAGGAGCCGACCAAGCCGCCTGCCAACTCCGTCTCGTCGGACTTCGTCAAGACCGAGGCCGCGGACCTCGACCCCATCGAACAGCTGCGCGAGCTCACCGACGACCACTTCGCCAAGTTCATGAGGAGGGTCATGCCGCCCGGAACGCGATGCATGTTCATCGCCGGCATTCAGGTGCATCCGGACCACCAGGGAAAGGGCATCGGTCGTGCCCTGGTCCGCCAGGGCACCGACCGCGCGGATGCCGAGGGCGTCTTCTGCTGGGTCCACTCGAGCGAAGCAGGGGCTGTCTTATTTCCCAAGTGCGGGTTCGAGGTCGATGAGACTCTTGAGATCGACCTGGACGAGTATGCTGGCAAGATGGATCTGAAGCCGCCGGCGGGTGATGATAAATGGGGCACATACACGTTCAGATATTTTGTGAGGCAACCTCACGCTTCTTGATATTTCAGAACGCATATAGAACGGGCTCAAGACATACTATACCCTAAAAATCGTACAATTTGTGGACCTCCGGGCCTGCCGCTCCCTTTCCTTGAAGTTGTCCGTCGCTATCTAGGCTGTGTCGTTTTCATGGAACACCAATGCCCTAACCTCAATGCTCTCCCGGACCGGCACGTCCTCCCGATCAGTGTCCGGGTCAACAAATGCCGTGTGTGGAACCCGCCTCGCCCTGCCATCCGTTTTGGTATCAAAACACTTGATTAGCAGCACCTCTCCCGGTGTCAAACCGCTCTTGTAATACCAGCGGTGCGCGTTGTTGTACTTCACCTGCAGCGTCTCCCCCTTGCGGGGCTTCGGCTTGGTGTAAATTAAGCCCGTGGGCACGAGGTCGGAGTCAGGCACGGAGTGTGCATCCGCAACAGCGAGAGGGTCCCTGAGGACGGTCGAGATCGGCCTCCACACGTTGATGATCTGCACCCGGCCCTTGAGCAGCTTATCCGCCTCATCCGGGAGGTGGTGTGGGACCCGCGACAGCGAGGCCGAGTAGGACTGGTCTATGTGCACGCGCTGGACTGGGCCTCGGCGAGCGGCCTGGGCACTGCCATCTGAAGGCAGTTGGCGGCGAATCGTATGGTCGAATATGAATATCTGGGAAGCGCCAGTTCTACAGTGAACACATAGGTTAGTCAGTGGTAAATGGCCGCATGTGTACACGTTCAGGGACTTACACGTCCTTGAGCAGCTGCTCGGTCTCCTTGTAATACCCCTGCTTGATTTGTTCATCGTCCAGGAAGTCTTTCTCGTTGGCAGTGTGTCTGTGGAATTGGAACCCGTTTCCGTCGAGAGAGTACTCGTCCTCATGTCCGTTCACATCATGGACAGTGACGGAATGGCTCTCGACTGGTCGGTCATATGTCTCTGGCCTGTCAACATATGTAGGGTGAGGTGGGGACCCATCCTCGTTCTCTTTGTAATAATTCAAGATTGTGTTGACGTCATGAGGCTTCAAAGATGTCGGTTTGGGTGCACTGCCGAGCTGGGTTTGGAATTTGTCGTTGGTAGATCCAAGCCCGGTGTTGGTGCTTATATGCTGAACCGCTGCGGCTGCCATGTTTACGTAGAGTCTGAGGGTTTTGCTCTTGTTATGATATCACTGTACAGTTTTTGATAGTGAATCTCAATTCTAGGATTCTCGCAGCGGATTACCCTGCTTGAAATAGTTGGACCGGAGACTTTCGATCGTGATGATGGGTTACGGCTGACAGTACCCCATCTCTCCACACGAGCACGCAATATACTCTAGCATCAAGATTTATAATCCCTAGCTCCCATAGGCTTTGGGGATGTTTCAACCTCATGAAACCATTGCACAGTCGCATGCGGTCAACCCCGACGGAGTGATTAGAAATAGAACCTTCCGAGGTCAACCTCCGCCCATGTGCCCAGCCATCGGGTCGCAGTTCGACCAGTGAGACATTGACGGACGCAACTAACAGCTCATCTGACAAATCCAAAATCTATGCATCTCACAATACGGAGTACTGACTGGTTCCTCTGCAATTACCGGTAATGACGGGTCGAAAAAGCTTGGCGTGCATATGCCAAACCTGACAAGTATTCGGAAATCCTCACTCACACAAAGATGATGAGCCTCGGGGTGATTAACAAAGCCGCCGCAAGTCACCACAGAAGGTAAAGAGGTCTAAGAGATTTCTTGAGTTGGTGCCAATGTCTCGCACTGATCATGAGCAAAGGTTTCTAAGACCTACAAGACGAGTGAAAGAAGAAAGACTTAAGAATAATAGAAGCCATAATGAGATATTAATAACCCCATGTCAAATCTCACTCACAGTAGCTGGATACTAACAGCTCGATTGTCTCTGAAGACACTCAGAAATAAAAACAGTTGTCTTCATCAAGCTTGAATTCTGCCCAATTCCGGAGAGTGAACACCACGCCGCCTGACAGGAGGGCGATGCTGAGCAAACTGAGGCTTCGGTAATCTTCATCAACAATAATGGCCGCCTGCAGGACCCAGAGTCGACACAGTCATGAGCTCTGAGAACATCCTTCGGCTCCAATATCCATCCCACTGCAGAGCCACTCGATTCTCTGGTTTTCATGACCCATTTGATGGCACAGGGACATGGATCAGCTTTGTGATCGACGTTCCGTCCTCCAGGACTTCAGCCGTCTCATCCAGCTTGTAGCCCCTCCATTTTGGCACCAAAATAGTCCATAAGTACCAGTACACAATTGCGAACGCGAGACTGTATTTCGGTCAATGAGAAGGAAACTAAGGCTCGGATTTGCTACGAATAACTCACATCGAAATCCCTACAATCGCATAAGTCGCGTAGAAGAGTCCGGACTCTGGCTTCTTAGCTGGTGGGAAGAATGGTGCTGCAAGAAGAGCCAGACTTAGGGCAATGCGGAGTGCCACGGCCGGGACCCATGCCTTGAACGGGCGCTTGAGGTCCGGCCTCTCGAATCGAAGCCACAGGAGACCAGCTGCAGTGGCTATTGCAATGACCTGCCCTGGGTATCCTTCGACTTTGAGAATAAAAGAGTACACCTCGTTGGATGGCGGCAATGTGATCACAAGAAAGGAGGGAATGTAATGTACAATTAGGCCGCCAAGAGGAGAACCGAAGGGCTTTGTCGAGGATAAGATACTGGAGAAAGGGAGGAAGCCCTGGCGGGCAATTTCCTGCTTGACCCGAGACTGGAGGATTTTGACTTGAGTTAGCCTCCAGAGCAGTAAAACAAAGCTAGAGTTGTACTCACCATCGCGAACGCGACAACCATGACATTGCCAGCAGCTGACAGAGCCACGGCCAAGGGTAAGATCTTTCCGCCGACATTCCCACCAAAGACTCGCTCAAAGAACAACGCAGCCACCAACTCACCGCTGGCCTTGATCTCTTCCACAGGTACCACGATGAAATAAGCCACATTGGTCAGTAGATAGAGCACACATGCGGTCACAAGTGCGGAAATGGACACAAAGCGCAGTGTCCGCACCGGGTCTTTAACCTCGTTTAGAACGTTGTTGGCGTTCTCGAGGCCGGCGTAGGAATAGAACACTTGGAACAGCGATGTCGAGACAACGCCCCAGTTCCAGTTGGACCCTTGCCAAATATCATCCCAACCACTGACAGCACGTGTTGTCAATACTCCGGGAGCGGATCCAGTGGGTCGAAAAATGACGACATAGAGACCAGAGAGAATCATGAAAACAATAAGGCCGACCTTAATCCAGCCCAGGAAATTCTGGATCTTCACACCAAGGGCTCTGAACACTCCATGAATGATCGTGATGACCGTTAACAATCCCACAGCGACACCTTTCCGCATCCACTCGGCGGGCTCCTCGACCCCAGCCGCAAATAACACATACTGGCTGAATACGACACAGTTGCTGGCTGTAAAGCCCAGGCAGACAACCATAACCGCGACGACGGTGCTCGCGAGGAAGCGCGGTCGGCGGTACGTGAACTCGAGATAGACCTTTTCGCCACCGGAACGCGGCAGCATGCACCCGTACTCGAGCGCGATGGCCAGCCCACACGCGGCGACGACGGCGCCGACGACCCACAGGGAGAGCGCGAGCCCGATGCTGCCAACCGCGCGGATGATGGTCCCCGGCGTGGCGAAGATGCCGGACCCCAGCACGCGCGAGATGACGAGGATGTAGGCCGACTGGCGGCTCAAAGTGCGGCCAAGGGTCGATGTCTCGGGGACGACATCGTTCTCGATAGCGCGGGACTCTGCCGCATCGAGGCTTTGGGTCGAATCGTCCGACTTGATGGTGCTGTATCCCGGGGTCTGGGATGTGGGGGTGGTTGGCGAGAAGAGAAGGGGGAGTGCTTCTCTGTCTTCTTCTGTGTCGCCCATTGTGTCTTTGCTTTTGTCTTATCGCTAGATATGGGGACCTTTCTTCGCGTCTTGCTCTTCTAGCAGATTCGTCTGGGAGTGATTCTGAAGCGTCCTATCAGACTCACGATGACCAGAGGGAAGCAACGACATTTTGGCAAGCTGCATGCGAACGTGAGATATGGGTTTGATGCACTTGATAACAGAGCTGATGGTGTATAGAATGGTGTGATTTGGTTCAGCTGAGAAGGAAGCGTGAGACATGGATCATGGGGTGGCTCGCACGCCATTTCACCTCAAGTCGACGAAACACCACTCACGGTAGCAGCGGGAGGATCAACGTTTGAAATAGAAGTCTGTCTCCCCCACGTTGATTAGTAAATCATAAATTGAGAAGCCGATTTGTAAGTTAATTCCCAGCCGGGATTCAAGCTCTTTTGCTTCTGAAAGTCCGTTTCGCTGGGTTTGCGTCCGGAACTCAAGGCACTGTCGTTCCCAACCTTGAAGCGTTCTTGTTTCAAAGGTTAAGTTGCCGACAATGAGCCTTTTTTGGATGATATGTTTCTCTTTTTTAGACGGCTTTTCTTAGCATTTGTATATTAGAAATGCAGCTATCAAGTACTGACCCAACGTTTATTGACTTTCGAGGTTCTCGGGCCCTTTCCGAGAGCAACTGGCTCTCAAACATGGTGCAAACTTGTCCTTCCATCTTCCATCAACAACTCCGAGTATTAACATCTGGATATCAGGGACGTCCGAGTGTTTCTTCCCATCAATCAACGCATCTATCTCCTCGAGTGTCTTACCCCTTACTTCGACCCAGTAATAAGCGATGAATGCGAACATACCGATGTTCCAAGCCCCATTGATGATGTAAAGCTTCCAGCCGATGTTTTCCAGTGCGAAGAGGAACGCAAAGTTGCCCCAGATGCCCGTCACACATATCACAAAGCTGAACATGCTCATGCCCCAGGCGCGGATGCTAAAGTTGAGCATCTCAGCTGGGACTAGGAACAGAATAGGTATCCAGCCGAAGCCATAGCAAGCGCTGAAGACGAAGATCATAGCGACTGAGGCGTATATGCCAGGCTCGTAGTCCGAGTCGCCGAACATCTTCGTCAGAACGCCGATGACGAACAGACTGATGGTGAGCCCGCCCGTCGACACCAAGGCAGCAGACTTGGCGCCCAGTCGGTCCGTATAGAAGCTCCCAAGGATAGACACAATCAACGTGCAGCAGTTCAAGCCCACGTTGACAAGCAACTGCTGCTTCGGGTCCGTAAGCCCGGAATGGTCCAGCACCTTGCCGATTTCGTAGCTCACAAGCGTGTTCCCCATGACCATCGAGAACAGCGCACAGGTTCCAGTGATGATAAGCCTCTTCCTCGTGCCCCTGTTCTTGAGCATCTGGGCCCACGGCATCGGGTTCCGCTCGTAACCAATCGTGTCGACAATCTCAATGAACTGCAGCCGGACCCGCTCGTCCTCCTCATCACCGCCGGAATTGATGCGCGCCAGAACAGTCAGCGCCTCATTTCCCCGACCGACATCCACAAGCCACCTTGGGCTCTCGGGCATCCACGGGAGAAGAATGATACACGCAATGCCCCAGACGCCCTGGAGTAGGCTAGGCAAGCGCCAGGCCCAAGAACCCTGGATCTGAGCCGCCCCATACGACACACCGGCAGCCGTTAGAGCACCAACGTAGAACAGGTCGTCGAATAGCCCGAGACCCCAGGCCCGCTGGTCCCAGGGCAGCGTCTCGGCGAGATAAGCGGGCGCCGTGATGGCGGAGGCGGTCGTGCCGAATCCGATGATGATACGCGCCGCGCAGAACATGGCAATGTTCTGGGCCGCCGCCTGGATACCTGCCGCTGTGATGGTGATTACGGCAGCCCAGAACAGGGCAACGCGACGCCCATACTTGTCCGTCAGCCACCCCCAGAACAGGCAGGCGATGCAACCGCCGATATAGATGGTAGCAACATTCAGAGAGCGGGTGGCGGTGGTCAGCTGGAAGTAGTCGGTGTACTGGTGCATGATATTCAGGCCGCCCATCATTGCACCGTCGTAACCCTGCGTCTGTGAGGGAATTGGTATCCCATCAGTCTGCATGCTCGCTCACTGCTGCAGACAACGTCATGTGTGCTGATCTTCAGTGAGGTTGACTTACCGATGCCGTGATCACGCAGCACATGAGGAGGATGAACGTATTACCGGACACTGTCTTGGGGTACCATATCGGGGCGTGAAAGGGGAGAATATCACCCCTTCTGGCCTGGTACGGGATCGGTATGTCCGCCATGATCAAGACAATGACGAAAGCACTGCATGCTCGATCAAGAAAGCAGTCTCTCGCAGGAGAGTCTGTTCAGCCACGAGTCCACTGGGAAAGACTGCGATGACCTTTAGACGTTTCTAATCGTCACCATGTTGGCTTTAAGGGCTAAAAGCTGCCCGACTTCCCCGGACCCATCAACGCACATAAGGTAGCAACGAGAACCGCACAGAACAAAGCTTCAGATAGTTAAATGGATATCCATCGGACCATCCCCACAAGGGAGAGCTGGACCCTGCAGACCCTTTCCTTGAGATTCGATATTACCACGGTACGAACAAGAACGTGGCAAAATAAGCCAAGCCAAGACCGAATCCGAGCATCCGCTCCCCTAGAACCAGGCTTTTATCAATTGTCTGCGGCGTGAGCGACTGTACTTTTATCCAGTCAGCAATTGAAGGTTTGGCCGAGAAAGTTAAATGTCTAGTTATGCACGTAACATTCATCCGGACTCTTCTTCCTAGGAGATGTCGTCCCTCCCTCGTCAAATCAAGATCGGGCAGCGGCAAGTCATGACTCGACAGAGCTGAGCCCGCTGTCGCATGCAATGGAGGTGTGCATCGAACACAGCGACCTCTGTCGAAACGATTTAGGCCAACCTCTCAAGCTCCTTTGACCTCTCATCCTACCCTGGCGTCACTGTTGGGCTCGCAATGATCGTCGCAATGCGTCCCGATGTGACTGCAGCCAATCAGAAATTGCTGCCAGCGAGGTCCGTGATGTCTCATAGCCATGCATAGCAGGGAATGGTGACTCTGTGCAGTCTAGACCGCCATAGCCGGCAAAGTACTGGAAAGGATGCCTCGTCATAGCTGGACTCGAGGATAGCAGGGAAGGTAGTATTCTTCAACGTTTATTCTCGTTGCACTTCGATACTAAAGTTGCAGCAAATGCGTGTGTTACGCAAATGACCTGTGTGTTGCAAGGGTTTAACCCCAGAGAGTCTGACCTGAGTATCAGATGCTTCCATTGTCCACCGTCATTCACTTCGATAGTAAATCGACTTGCTACCACAGCTGAGCATCAAGTGGACTAGAAACATAGCGGTACGCGGAAGGGATCTTTAGGATCGTGCAATGGGCTGACCCCGTGCATCAACTCTTTTCAAAGCATTGTCGCCGGCTGCTGTCAATGCTTCTAAATGTCGTGTTTTAGCTGACCGCACTTATCGACCAACGGTGGTTTTGAAAAGCATGTCACGGTCTGTAAAACGAAGTTGGTGTACTCAAGATCAAGGCCGCGCCACTTAGGTAGGTGACATACCCATGTGCCAAAAAAGCTGCAGGGGCGGGCCGGGCTGCAAGCCAAGACGCAAGCAGAAGTTTGCAACTGTGTTGCTTTCGTCCAGAGTTAGTCAACGCAGGCTCAGCTGTTGCTGTTGTGTTGCTCAGATATGGTGCAATTCCCTTTTCTAAGCCTCTGTTCAAGCTGGCACTCTTTGGCCGCCTGCCATTCTGTCCGATGTCTTGGAAGAAAAGATCATGCGGACAGGCCTAGATACCGACTTCCTTCACCGCCGCTGAAGTTTGGCGTGCTTGGATGATATTCGACCATTTTATGCGAGTCCTGGGTAGGCAGTCAAGTGGACAAGTAATTCAGCAAGCTCATCGAAAGAGGGCTGTGTTTTAGCAGCCTTCCGTGAGTTGCACAACGACACAGTGGGCTTAGGATCTGGGACCTCCAACAAGGCACAGTTGGAGATGTCAAAGACTGAAACATACAAACTCAGAAGTACGAAGACCGAGGAGAAATTCTGATTCAGCACACATCATTTGAGGTCGTCCAAGTTGGAATTCGATTCAGGATACGATGGCTGTCCTCAACTTCCAACAGAATTCTACGAAGCCTCAGCGTAGTATGTGGCCACTAAGTTTCAAACATGCCAGCTGTCTCCCAGGAAGATTAAGTCGTGTGAGAATTTGAGGTAATTCTTATGGCCAGATATGAATGGACAATTGACTGCCCTTAGTACAAGTCCGGCTGCTTGGCAATCGTAATACACATTGACAAGGTAGCATTCTCTGAAAAGCTCTCAGAGCAGAGTAGAGACCGTACTGCCTAAGTAAAATATTTGATCAGTTCTGCCTGAAGTCGCTCGTAGAGCCACTATGAAATACCTTGGTCAATGAAAGCTTCGAATATATCAAAAAGATTTCGTGCAGGCTTTTAAACAAAGAGCAATATGTGCGCTGCTTCAACACGGACTTGGCAGTAACGAATAAAGTCCGAATTCGCCCGCCCAGCTCCGCCTGAGTGTCTGGCGAGTACGAGCCATCCACAATTTATCCTTCGTGTGACGGGTCAATTTCTCGAAGCTCTTGTTTACAAGCCAAGACTGGCCGTGAGAGGCGGAAAATCCGTGTTTCATGTTTCAAACAATACAAAAGACCGTATGCCAAGGGCGGCTCCTGACGATCATGGCTCGGCAACCACTCGATCAAGGTGCGGATCCGTCCTCAAGCGGCAGTTTGGCCCTGAGTCCGCACCCGTTTCGGTCGATATTTGCCTAGGATGAACGCGAGATCACTGAAAAGTGTAGTGATGCAGCCATGTACACTATAAATGAAAACTCCTGCAATATAGAAAGTCTTGGTCTGAAGGGGTTCCGGCTCCAGACTTGCCCAGCTTGGATGTGGAGCATTATTGAGCATATCTGACTCTTGTACAAGTGAGTATAATAGGGTTGTCTCACTCGATGACTATGCACCGTGACCTCGCTATGTTGTAACGCTTCAGAGCCGCAACACACACACACAATTACAGCCGCCATGACGAGATTCTCTAAGGTCGCAGCAGTGTCGGTGCTGGCCACCACTGCATATGCCCAATGTGGCTCGGCGCCGGACGCCACGGTTGACGGCACAGAGGGCGCCTACACGGCCACAGTAGGCTCGTCCGAGGTGTACTCGGGCAGTGACTACTACACGGCCATCAAAGAGGCTCTCGACGGCATCACGTCTGGCCAGACTGTCTCTGTGATTGCGTCGGGCTCCATTGGAACGAATGCCATCCACATCGACAGCGGCAAGACGTTCGAGGGTTGCGGCACCATCACCGCTTCTATAGCCAATGGAAAGGGAGCCATCGAGTCCTTGAACACGAACGATGTCAACATCCCCTACCTCAACCTTGCCGGCGAGGTGTACTTCGGCCTGCACTTCTACGGTACGACTGGCCTGACCTTGGGCGAGATCAATATGGACCTTACTGCCGGCATTGGCATTCGGTTCGACCGGGACGAGGCCGCCAACTCCAATGTGAAGATGGGCACTATCACCGTCACAGGAGCTAGCGTAAGTCACTACACTCTTTCCCTCCTAATCAGCCTTCTGTGTCCGTGATTGAGCTACAAACTCCGAGACACGTCCCAGAGTCCTGCGCGCTCCATCAGCAGGGGCTCATCGGTTGGGTTTCTATCTTTTCATGATTATCCACTGACATCAGAACAGTCCCACGCCGTTGAGACCTGGAACATCGACGGGCTCACTATCGACTCAGTGATCGCCAAGAATGTTGGCGAATGCGGTCTGCTCCTTCAAAAGACCACAAACGCCCAGGTCGGACTCGTGCAAGGAGATAACGCCGGCGCCGGAACCGGCTACGCGACGCTGCGTTTCGCGAACCAGAACGGCATGCTTTCCGATGGCAGCTACACTACCAACGTGGTCATCGACAAGGTCGTCTCTACCGGCGGCGGCCGCGGTATCTTCTGTGTGTCAGAGTCTGGTGGTGCCGAGATTGGCACGGTTGACCTCTCGGGCAACGAGAACAACGCCATCCTCATCGAGAACTGCTACAACGTGGCGATCAAGGCCGGCACCGTCGAGGGGGGAGGCGAGGTCCGCATCTCGGCCCGTGACGAGTTCGCCAACACTCGTGACATCAGCCTCACCCTCGAGGTCAACGACAACTCGGTCAGAGAGTCGCCCTGCTCTGAGAACCCCACCTTCAGCATCACGGGTAGCGCGACGATGGATGTCTGCTGAACATGTGAAGTTTTCTGCATAGCTTGAGTGAGGTTCAGCAGAAATGCGCAGGGCTGACCTCTCGAGATACTTTTCTTCCTGTCACATGTTACCCCCCACCCCTCGATGTACATAGATAAATGGCCGTCTTTGACGCGCTTCTTGTGGAAATACTTGAAAATTAAGATCTCATAACAACCTTCTCGAGCGGCGGGAACAGGTACAAATCCATCAGACCTAGACTACTAGGCCACTATTTCACAGTAATGACAGAGGCGACGCTGCATATAGCCCGAGGCTTTCCTCTTTTACGGAACTACATCAATAACGGAAAATCTACGGATTTTATTTGGATGATAAAATCTCCGCTCTTACTGGTTCTGTGGAAGTGAGGGTTGATAGTACCTACGGACTTGTAGGATCTGCACTTGCTCCCAATGCTTGAGGACATCCAGGAAGCGTGATGGCTCGACAGCATATCAATTCGCCAAGTGCAGCTTCAGTTGTGTATGAAATCTTCATTAGAAAATGGTTTATATCACCAAGCCCTCGTGCTTGCTGAAAGATATTCGTTCTGCCGCCATGTGCGCGACATGAATCGGTCCACTGCGTAGCTTTTGTTGAGCCGAGCAAAGAAGACAGCATTCAACGTCTTCTTCGTCACCCGTCGCGACAACTGGTTGCAGAAGATGCGAGCGAGCGATCCACAAGTGACGAACGTCTCATCTGAAATAGGCATGTAGCATGCAACGATCTGCCGCGGACTATATTGACATTGCCGAGGCTCCACTCACTTAGCTTCGCTGTGGGGACTGCTTGCTTTGGTGTGCAGCGGATCTCGCCGAGGTCAACGTCACCTCACCACCTCGGGGGCATTGATAAGAAGCTCACTTGGGATTGCAGGTTGGTTTGTGCTCATGGCTCGCGAGGAATCTGTCTCGACTTCATCCCAACCACCCTCGAGCATCTCTACAGGCGAGAACTCCCAGAACACGGCCGCCGCCCATCGCAGTGGGGTTGCCGGCGATGGTGCGGGCGAACGGCCTTATCGCTCGCACCTACGACCAGCTTGCCAGGCATGCAGGAGGCGAAAGTCCCGCTGCAAGGTCGACGATGGGGAAGAGAAAGGGTGTCTCATGTGTCGCGTGCACGGGACGAAATGCGAATTCCCCAGCACGACTTCCAAGATCTTGACATCTTCGCGGGCAGCTGGGCGCAGTAAAAGGGCCGAGCGTCCACAACCCGGCGGCGCATCGACGGAGAGGCAACGACAGCTTCGAATTCGACAGGAGCCGTCAGTCTCGGTTCCTGCACAGCTGTCCGAAACCACGTCCTCTCAGCAGCACTTGGAGCGGGTCAGACACGACGACGATGCCGCCCAGCATTCAACAACCCTGATTGCCGGCCTGGGAAGTCCCGAGGAGGTAGAGAGCTCACACATCGTGGGCCCCGTCGTGACCAGCGACACCCAGATCCTGGCGGACTACCTGCGCGCGGACTCGAACCGCGGGGCAGGGAGAAGACTGGCCCCCGCTGTGCGTCCCGGCCGCAACGCAGGGGGAGGGGGAGGGGGCCTCGACAACTCGGTCATGTTCGCGAGGGTAAGGCGGCGGCCGATGGGCCAGACGCCCAACCAGACGCTCGCGTCGGGAAAGTGCCAAATCATCGAGCGGATCGTCGAGCCCTGGGGCGACGAGCTCATCGACACGTACTTCCGCAAGGCCAACGCCTGCTTCCCGCTGCTGGACGAGGGCTCCTTCCGGGACCAGTTCCGGCGGCAGGCCGCGCATATCTCGCCGGCGCTGCTGGCGAGCGTCTACGCGCACGCGCTGACCTTCTGGGCACAGCCGCGCCGCGCCGCCGGCCGCCACTGCCCGGACAGCAGGTTCGTCTGGAACCAGGCCACCGACGCGCTGTACTCGGAGCTGCAGCTCGCCCCGGGCATGTCGACCGTCATCGCGGTCCTGCTCGACGTGGGCGGCCGCCCGTCGACCTCGATGATTGGCAACGGGGTCTTGATCGGGTCTGCCGTCTCAATCGCCCACGGTCTCGGGCTACACCGTGATCCGAGCGACTGGGATATGTCTGAGCCGGAGAAGAGGATCAGGGTGCAGATTTGGTGGGCTCTGTTCGTCCATGACAAGTGGGTCAGTCTGGCGTATGGAACGCCTCCGCATATCCAGGGCAAATTCCACGATGTACCGCGGCCGAGGGCTGATGGTGTCGGGAATGCGATCTTCCTGGCTCTCGTCAGTCTGAGCGAAGTCCTCGATGCATTCCTTGTACACTTCTACGCGTTGAAGTCGGACAGACGCGCGACGTCGGAGTTCGACCCGGGGGCTGCTCTAGGCCGGTGGGAAGAGTCTCTCACTGGTGACATCCGCCGGCTCATTCTGCAGGGTAAAGACCTCAGCGTCCCTGGGGTAAGTAACTTCCGCTTGGCGTATTTATTCGTCCGCCTCCTGCAGCGGAGATTGGAGCTTGACAACACGAGGGACGAAGGCCAGACTACAGGCACAGACTCTCAATCTGGACGTTACAGCCACCTCCGCAGAGCCGCAGAAGATATCGTGCGTTTAGTTCAGGAGCTTCGGGCACCGCAGCTCAATGACTTTTGGTTGCCCACTACCGCTTTCATCTTCACATCCACCATTGCCTTCCTGCTCCGGGTTGCGCTAGAGACAGAGAAGACAGCCAGTGGCTTAGCCGAGAGTACCTCCTTGAGGCTCGCAAATGACCTCGTGGTTGCATTGAAAGGTCACCAACAGAACTCGGCTTGGGATCTCGGCGACGCCTGCATCGCGCAGTATGCCGATGTTGTTGAGGATTTACGAAAGGCAACACCGCCTGCCAATGCCGTTCAAAGAAACTCGGAAACATCAGTGCCTCAGATGGAATGGCAGGATCTCGATTTCTCGGGCTTGCCAGACGTTGAAGAGCTGTTTCCCAATCTGTGGGACATGTTCGACAGCAATTATTGAGAACATTAAATAGACCGGTGCATGTGCACATCCTGCATCTGATCTGATGCTGTCCGTCTACAGAATGGTGTTCATCTGTCCTGCACTGCTGGTGGCCTTCACAGGAACTGCGCTCAGTGTCATCAAATAATGTAGAGCTCTGCTAGTGACTGCCATAGCAACGACGCTCGCTGTTGGTTCGGATGTGTCTCTGTGAGAAGAACACCAATTCTATAGTTCCGGGTGCCTTCTCAGCCGCACATCTGATCTGGGCCTCCGTAACCTCAAGTGGTGCTGTCCGCGTATACGTCTTCATGACACACAGATTGAACCTTCTATACGCAGTAGCCGGTGTGTGCAGGAAGCCACGTTTTGTTGAACGCGATCGAGACACGACTCAGGCTGCCAATCACACCCTTAATGGAAAGATATCGTGGTCATCGAGTCCGTTCATCTAACCTTAATTAATTGATGACATGCAAGTCATCGCTGCGCATGCAGGGCATGGAAGGCCACCCCTTTTTTGCCATCAGGGGGGTCTTATCACCAGAACCCCACTTCTCCCGGCTCAGTCGCGGGTGCAACGTTAACGGAGGGGGCAAGCTTGCCACTGCGGGCACGCCCCAGGATGCTTCGAGGCCAAGAGAAATCTGCTGTCATTGACAATACCATCTCAACTGGACATCCTGCGCGTGTCGAGGTGCTGTATCGTTGATCCTGGCCTCGCGAGCAAGAGGTGCAACTTAGCCGACGCACGAGTCCCAAGCGTTCAATACTGCTGTTGCACATACTCAGGATGGCTCCTCAGGGGCATTTGTGGCTCGCAGCCACGATCTTTAGTGGGTTGATCTCAATCGTCGCGTCGCAAGACACCTGGTGTGGAAAGGTCTACAACGGGTAAGTCTCCCAGCTGTACCATTCCTCAGACCATGATAGAGACTTACTGTGCGTCTCCCAAGGTCGGCCCAGATCATCCCTGGTGGTTTCATGACACAGCCAGAGGCAGCGTCCAGCCCTCTGCTTGACGTTCAGATCGCAACGCGTCACAGCATCTATGTTGGCAGTGAGACCACGGCAGAGCTCATTGTCGATGCCGGCCTGTCCTACTACCACGGTACCGCTTACTCTTCTCCTGCATCGGGCGCAGACAACGCGTCTGACACCTTTCGTTTCACTGCCACGGTTCAGGACAATGTTCTCGTCTCCGGAGAGATCCCCGTCAATTCAACAGACAATCTTTTCCAGTTTGACCTGACCGGGCTCACACCGAGCGCGTCAGCATCATACTCAGTTACTCTCACTGGAAGCACATCAAGCGGGTCCAATGTCACAGCAGAAACTGAACTCTTCTACCTTCCAGAGAAGACCACCGGAAGTGTTGTAAAGGTCGACAGGCTCTATGGCTCTCTTCTGTACCGAAATGACGCCACAGGCGGCGACTTCAAGCCAGTCTTCCCCTATGGATACTACGGCAGCTATAGCGGATACTTCAACGACACCACAAAAATAGCAGCATTCGAGGCCGCAGGGTTCAACGCCGTCAACCCAGTGGCCGACTTTGCCGATACCAACATGACGGACAGCATCGACGCCATGGACCAGGTCAACCTCCTCTTCCAGTACGACATGCGGAACTCGTTCCAGAACCTGACGTCGGTCGCAGAGCAGATCCCCCTGGTGAAGGACCACCCCTCGCTGCTGACCTATTACACGGCAGATGAGCCGGACGGCTGGGGATATACCTTTGAGTCATCAGTGGATGCCTACAACCTTCTGGCGTCACTAGACAAATACCATCCCACAGCACTTGTCCTAAACTGCCAGAACTACTACTTCAAAGAGTATACAGTAGGCGCCGACATCCTAATGGAAGATGCCTACCCAGTCGGGATCAATGCGACCTTCGCAGACAAGTGGGGCACGCCCTGCAACCTGACCTATGGCGACTGCGGATGCGACAACTGCGAAGGCAGCCTGTTGGACGTGCCAGCGCGCGTCGACGACTTCCACAAGTACGCGGGCTGGATTGGCGGCTCCGCCGTCACGCGAAAGCCCGTCTGGGCCGTGCCCCAGGCCTTCTCCGGCGAGGGCTACTGGGCCCGCGACCCGACCCCCGAGGAGACGTGGGTCATGGACCTGCTCGCCTTCAACCACGGCGCAATGGCCCGCCTGGCGTGGATATACCCGCCTTCCGACGTGCTATCTAATGCGACGGCGAAGCTTGCAAAGGTCGTCACGGTCGAGCCGGTGGTGGACTTCCTCACCGGCGCGAACCCCGTGTTGGTGCAGGACGGGCGGTCCGGCGACGGGGTTCTGGACGCGGCGTACTGGTCCACCGGCGACAGCAGCAAAGGGGTCCTGGTTGGCGTCGTCAACGCGGTTAACTCGTCTTCTGTAGCTCCCGTACAAATTCCTCTGCCAGAAGGGCTTAACGTGTCCAAGATTGCGTCACAGCCATGGGGGAGTGTGGACTGGAGCCTCCAGGGATCGACATTGGTGGCCGAGGGAGGTCTGGAGGCACTCGACACCAGCTACGTGATACTACAGTAGCGATAGCATGCCATAGGTGCATATGAGCAGAATAATACGCCCGATATTGAGATTTCGCTGGCACTTTTGAGCAGTTGATGCGTATTGTACCGGTAGTTAGGTATGTCCCACACCCGCCATGGACTTCGTGAGCGCGAGCAAGACGCCACACAACTAGGCCGAACCCGAAGTAGACCTAAGGGACAACTGTGCTATATCAAATGAACTCTCAGTAAGTTTTGCATGACGGTGTAGTGGAACAGGGTCCTGAGAAATCGAACTCGAACAGAGTTGGCTGCTGGCTGAGGCATTTTTTAGGTAACGAATGCTGGGCTTTGTGAGGGGACGCAATTAGCTGTAAATGCTTAGCTCACACCATTCTGACCAATGAACTTACATGAACGAAACCTTAAATAACCCCCAAAGACTCCCGACATAGATCGACAAATACAGCCTCTTATTAAGGCCTGAGGTTCATCTCCTATCTCGACAATTCCTTCTGCATATATGAGTTCGCCAGGCACATTTTCTTAGATCTGGGACCCGTATATGTTCCACCGCTGCCTGCTTGTTTTCCTGCTCGACTGCATCTTATCCAACAGAAGTCTGAGAGAACCCCTTCCTGTGGCCTATAACCTAGAGCGCTCGTAAATTTGTCGCTCCACGTCATTCAGTGTCTAATTCTCTCATGATGATTTCAGGTTTCAATTGGCAGACTTCAATTGCTCCCAGGAAGACCATCCGTCAGCATGCTTGGAATCACCCAGGTCTTCGCCTTTTTGAACCGTCGCCAACTACTCCAACGAGACTCATTGCAGTAGCCAGGGTTTCATAACCGTTCGTGTGTCAGGTCTAGCGGCGGCGAGCACAGCTTCCAGGATCCTGCCAGGAATGTCACCTAGGTAGCCAAGGGCGCGCACGACCGTCGGAACCCCGCTCCAATCCGTAACGTGCCTCATTCCGTCCCATACACGCTTACGTTGGTTGACATCGTGTATAGTAGTGAAGCTGTCTCTCAGTCCATATTCAAACCCAGCTGAACTTGACCATGGCCACGTCCCTTCCCAACCCAGTGGTCGCCCCGCCACACGTCCACGAGCTCCTGGACCGGCTGCACGCCCGCTCAGCCGAGCAGGAAGCCAAGATCGACAGCGCCGTCTACGACACGGCGGGCACGAGCGCCTTCGACGACCTCATGCGCGACAAGTTCGTCGCCCTGGACCAGGACAAGAGCCAGTTCGTGTACCAGCTGGCGCGGATGACTGGCGCAACCAGCGTCGTCGAGGCGGGGACCAGCTACGGCGTGAGCACCATCTACCTCGCGCTCGCAGTGGGCCAGAATGTTGCGGATGGGAAAGCGGGTCCTGGGAAGGTCATCGCCACTGAGAAGGAGCCCGAGAAGATCAAGCTCGCGAAGGCGCACTGGATGGAGGTCGGCCAGGAGATCGAGCCTTACATTGATTTGAGGGAGGGCGACCTGCTCCAGACGCTGAGCAAGGACTTGCCGGAGGTAGACCTGCTCCTGCTTGACAGTAAGTGAGCCCACATCACAATATTATAGACGTAGCTCACCATTACAAAGTATGGGCGCCTCTCGCCCTCCCTACCTTGAAGATTGTGCAGCCCAAGTTGAGACCAGGGGCTGTGGTCATCGTTGATAACACGATATCTGGAGAGCAGCGGTACAAGGAACTGTTGCAGCACCTCAGGGATCCAGAAAGTGGCTTCAGCAACTTGACCGTACCGTATCAAAACGGGCTGGATGTTTCCGTCTACCATCCCAAAAAGTGAATCACACAGAGGCTCATTGGAGTGGATAATGAGACGAGGTTCCCTCGCATCATATATGTTCGCATCATCTCAGGGGCTTTTCAAGCCATGTAAAAATAGATTTCGTTGGTCATCCAAGCTCTATGCCCCTCTCAGATGACAATTTCAATATGCTGGTAGCGTCGGGCTGATCGAGAATATATTGGAATCAGGATAGATTGTCGTAAGCAAACTCAGGAATCGCATAGTCCTTGGTCAACATGGTCAGGGACTGTGGACGACTTCGCCGTCGATGTAGTTCGATTGATTAGGCAGGCATACACATGCTCATTTAAGTCACATCAGACGATTACACATAGCACAATTAGCCTGTGGCGGGCAGCAGAGAAAAGAAAATTCCACGTATCGCAAATGGCTTATGAATCGTCTAGGACTTCATGCAGACCAGCTATCGTCTAGGATGATGTGCGAAACCATTACACTGTGATTCTTTTTCACCACCAGACAAGCTAGGCAAATAACCATTCGCTATCGCTCACTACCATTTTGCTTCACCGTTGCTATCATTCCTCGCACAACAGCACCCCCATTCAATCACAGTCATACCCCCACAATCTGAACAATCTTCGGGCCGCCACGCAAGGCACATTCCTGCTTCACGTCTGAGTTCCAAAGCATCCTCAGGACACATTCTTGAATTCATACACCATACTTTTCCACTCCACGTCGGTCAAAGCAATCGTTTTAACCTTGACCTTTGAAATGTAATGTTTGACAGAGGCCGGCAGGCAGGATGGGAATCTTCTCTTGACAAGCAACGCCGCGATCAAAATGAGATTACGCCAGTCGTTCGGTTCATATCCCTCTTTGTCAAGGCCATCCAAAGTCTGGAAAAGTGCTTGAACCGAACAAAATTGATCCGCTCTATTCAGATAGTCGCATAGTACGTAGTTGTTTGCCTCCGAATTCAATTGAATATCGTGAACAAGGTCCTTGATATGCTTGAAGAGAACGTAGGGGTCATTTGGGGGCTTGCCATCCGGAGAGAGGGTCAGAATATCTGCAAGGATGTGGTCCGAGACACTTGATTCCAGAAGTGCGAGACAATGTGTAGCTGCGGCAGCTTCCTTGATTTCTCCAAAGCTCCTGGTGTCCGGGACATTTGATGGTTCTTGAGCCTCAATGAAGCCCAATAGCGAATTGTGCTTGAGCAGTGTCTTCAATCTCCACTCCCAGACTTCGAAATGAGAATCATAATTCAACTTAGGGAGGGGCAACTGAATGGGTCGCATTGAGGGCTCCCAACCCATGTACCACTGGCCCCCACTGGGTGGTAGGCGGTTCGAAAAGCTCATTGTGCGTAGTCTTGGAAGTTCTCTGTCACAAGAATCTTTTCTCTGAAAAGTGGATTGTATACACGAATCTCATACTCAGGTAGTTCAGAAAGTGAGGTTTATATCTTCGTGAGATTTTATGATATGACTACCAGTGGACAATTCATGAATGACTGTGTTTTGTGTTGTGTTTCCAAAACTTCCAATACATCACGAAATGTTTGTCATTCTTCTATTCTGAAAAATCAAAATCCGTCTTGTAGATCCATGCTGGTACGACGTAATTATTGAGTTGGAATGAACGTTACAAGATGGGAGGCAGAATTGAAGAAACTGCCAGCAGTCTTAAGAAGCTCCTCACCCTTCCAGAAGGGATTTCTCTGAAGCCACTTTTCCTTCAAAATTATCACATACCGAAAGACAAGAGCCATTTGGAATATCACATATGCTTGCACATCTTCTTTCAAACCCATGTGACATCGTGGCAAATTCTTGCCAACTCCACTGCTACCTGCATGACACGGCTGGGTCCAACTTGCTGATTGAGCAATTCTGCCTCCGTCATATCTGACTCACAAAACTCTATCTATATCCAACAGACTTCTTAGTCTTCTCTAAATACAGGGAATCTTTGATTGACAAGCATCACAAGCGAACCAGTTGACCAAGCTTACAGACGACTGCCCACCGCAGTGTCCTCACCACCAGACTCAAACTCAGCCCTGGCCTGCTCATTGAACCTCTTCCACATGGCCTTCCTCAGCTCATGGCCATCCATGAACAACTGGAACCATGTCTTGTCGTATTTGGGCAGTCTTCTACCCAAGCCTTTAGTCGGCTCCCCAGATAACTCTCTCACCTTCTCAAAATACTCCTCAAAGTCCGGATACACCATCAAAAACTTGGGCCCATCCCCCTTCTCCTTCATCCTCGCGGCCTCCCATGCCTGCATCTCCTCAACACTAGGTAGCGTTCCCCTCCCCGCTAGCAACCGCGCCGCATATACAGCCTGCCACTCGAAGATCTTGAACGTCAGCCCCGCGCCAACAGCGCCAACAAATAGCAGTGTAGGGTCCTGCTGCCAGACAATGTGCTGATACAGCCCCGGGACGCGGTTGTTCCGCGTGGGGACCTGCGGGAGGAAGGGCAGGCTCCAGCTGTACCCGGTCCCGAAGATGAGGTGGTCGACGTCGGGGATGGCCGTGCCGTCTACGAGATGGACCGTCCGGGTCTGGGCGTCGACGCGTGCTATGGAGGGCTGTTTCTTTATCCGCGGGTGGTTGAATGCCTCGTCGCCGAAGTAGGTGTTGAAGTTGTGCCCTATGACGATGGCGTGGACGGCACCGTTCGTCACCTTGCTTGACGCGAGGTCGTATGCGATGTCTGCGCCTGATACAGAGGCGCCGACCACCACGACTCGCTGTTGATATTGTCAGCTCGGAATTCTCTGGGTCTCAGCGCAGATCCCAACTTTGGCTGAGAAGCCACTCACCTTCCCTTTGAACCCATCCCGCCCCCTGTACATCTTGCTATGCAGCACACTCCCCGGTCTGGACGACTCAAACTCCTCCAGCCCTTCGACAGCAGGGATCCATGGGACATTGAAGTGCCCCGATGCCACGACTACGGCATCGAACCTCTCAACCCACCACTCATCCTCGTTCCCCTCGCCCTCCCGCCGCAGCGTAACCTCCCACTCCCCACCAACCTTCACCGCCCTCTCAACCGCGGTGCGGTAGCTGACCAGGCCCGCGTAGCCGTTCCGCTCCCACAGGCCGGCGATATACCGCCGCAGGACCCGCCAGTGCCGGAACGGCGTGTCGGCGCCGTGCCGGCTGACGGACCACTCGCTGCGCTCACCCGGGATGGACTCGGCGCCGCCGCCCGTGAAGCTCATGGCCACGTCGTCGACGTTGGTCTCGAGGTACGGGTAGATGGACGACTCGGCGAACCGCGGCTGGGCCGGCCTGGGCGTCCGCGCCGGCAGTGTCTGCGGTATGGGCACCGGCGGGTCACCTGTGCGGCTCGCCAGTGCTGCGAGGTTCGTCAGGTGCGGCGGGGCCGTGGTGTCCCCTATCCTGCGCCAGGTGTCAGTGGTGAGGGAAGGCATAGTGGAGTGCTTGGGAGACTTACCAGCAGCCGCCTGGGCCTTCGCGCCGCTCAAACACCCTTATCACGTCGAAAGCCTTCTCCTGTGCCAGGGCGTCGACGGCAATGGCGCCCGCGGGGCCGGCGCCGATGACTGCGACGCGCTTCACGGGCATCTTGGCTGTGGGGATATTGCCAGGCGAGAGAAATAGAGTAAAAATAGAAGTGTCCCTGAGCTGATCACACTTGATATAAATAAGTTGGAGTGAAGAAGACTACAAGTGATAGGTAGGTAAGTGTGGATGGTCTCTCCTCGGATTTCAGCCTGCTACGACCAGGGTCATGTCTGCCAATCCTCTGCCACGAACGCGCTATTATCTTAGACGAGTGATTCTCTCACCTAGGATACTTCCGAGAGTCTTCTATAGACTTACATATCCTGACACATAGTGAAAGGTAAGATATGTATGCGAACTTTGGAATCCTTCGGCCAACCGGATGGTGTGAGATCGCGCCATCTTCTTAAGCCGGGATTAGCCAGTCTGCCGCCATAAAATGGAGCACACCTAATGGTGTGTGAACTAAACGCCGGAAATGTACAATATGTCGCGTTTCTATTGTACTTGTCATTCATTTTAGGCGCGTGTTTTGGCAGGTTTTGTGGCATTGTTACATTGTTCGCCTTTGACTGTTGCGATAATTCGAAGTGGATGCATCATCTACACAATGACGATCCTTGCACTCGTGAGCTTGTGATCGAGCTGATGCAGTCTGAACAGCCAGATATATGAATCCGACCATTGGGCTCTATCAATATCTACTCGATATATGGCTCGCAAGCACACGGTATCTTACAGTTGGAGGCTCAACGCCCACCGGTGGAAAGACAGCCCTTCGTTGAGGGGAATAAATACCATGATCCTAGCACCTGCTGTCATCGAACCCATTTCTGGCCTGTTGAATCGTGATCTAACCCATGCAATCCAAACGCCGGTCTATGCAGTATCGTCAAGCCCTACAACGCCGTACCAGTCAGCCAGGTCCCCATAGTCGCTCGACCTAGGACGCTCAGAACCTAGACCGATATTCTTTCTAGCAAGAGACCAAGCACCACTCTTGTTGCCTGGCGTGTGTATTTCAGGGCGCCCCATTCATCTTAACCATCTCGTACTCGCCCGCGCCGTCTCTGCCCCTGCCTCGTCCCCTCCCCCTCGAGAAACCCTGCTCCTCGTCGCCATCCGCCGCCTGGCTGCTGCCCTCTCCGCCATTACCACCAGCCGCGCTGCCGTTCGCAGTGTTGTTATTGTTGTTGTTGCTACTGGAACCGCCCCCAATTCCTCCCCCGCCAAAGAACACGGGCCGCAGCTCCCGGTACTGGCACCCCCAGACGCCGAGCGCGACGCCCACGGCGCTGGAGACGGCCATGGCGACCCACCAAAAGACGTTGCGCGGCACCTGTCCCGTGTACAGCGACACGACGACGAGGTGGATGAAGTGGGTGGTGAGGCCGAAGTCGAGGACGAGTTTCGAGCGGATGACGATCATGACCATGGCGACGGCCCTGGACACGTGCAAAACAGTCCAAGTCAGCAAAACTATCAAACCGGGGAGCACATTCCCTGTCCCCCCCCCCCCCCAGCCAGCGAATACAAAAACTCACATGAACAGCCCCCCGTCCAGGATCCACATGAACGCGTTCAGCCACCCCTGCGTCGTGTCCCCCCTGACGGCCGACCAGCCCAGCACCAGGTCCAGCGTGAAGCCGCGCCCGGACACGAGGGCCGTGAAGAGCATCAGCACGAGGGCCGCGAAGTAGTACAGCGCCTGCAGCGCCGCGATCTGGCCCAGGATCCGAAGCGGCGGCAGCTCCGTCAGGGCGCCGGAGCGCGGTGGCCTGCGTCTCCGCGCCATTTCGGGGGATGTGTGGTGGTGGTGGCTCGGGGCGGGGGCCCTGGTGGTGGTTTATGTGGTGGTTGTGATTAATGGGCCGGATGCGGCGTCCACCAACTCTCGGGAGCAGCTGTTGAAGATCGCGGATGAATGGGTGGGTGGGTGGTTCGAAGAGTCCGGGCTGCCTGCTACCTAGAGCGCATTTCGATGTACAAGACAGACGGTAGAAGCGCGGTGTCGGTTGTGGTGTGGTAGCTCTGTCGGTGGCTCTGCCGGTGGTTCGATCTGGAGTTCGAGGCTCGTGTGAGATATGAGTCCCACTGTATCGGGTTTAGGGTCCGTCAGGAAGGCAGTCTATCGGGGTATAGGATGTCGAAATTGATGACAATGTGTCGTGTGGTGATCGCAATCATGCCCCCCCAGCCAGCGTGCCAGCAGCATTTGCCAGCCCGGTCCCTTGCTTCCCTTGCCGCCAAGCGAAACCCTGGGGCTGCAGCACGTCGGGAGGGCTAGCACCAAGCTCCCGGCACTGACGTACGTGCCTCGACCTGGCGCCAACCTGACCGCCTAAAGAATTCTGCCGCCCAGAAGCTCTCTCCAAGCAGGTCTCCTCCTGTAAGTGAGTGAGTGCATCATCCATCCATCCACCGGTTCCGACGACCCAGTACCAACTTCCACCCGGAAAGCCCACCCCCCCCAATCCGAACAACGATAACCCCCCCCTTCCCCATATCGCATGCCAAACCAAGGCATCCTCTCCCTCTGCGAAGCAAAGAAAATGGGCCTCACGGACTTCTGGAAGTCGCCGACGGACAAGCGCGCGGACGAGGTGCGCAGCGGGGCCGTGGCGCCCTCGCGGACGGAGCGCAGGCGGTGCTGGGAGAGCCGCGACGCCTACTTTGCGTGCCTGGACCGCAACAACATCCTGGACGCCATCAAGGACGACAAGGCGGCCGCCAAGCAGTGCTCCGCCGAGGCCGTCGGCTTCGAGAAGGATTGTGCTGCTGAGTGGGTAAGTCGAAAAAAACCAGATTCTCAAAGAGGGAGGCGGAAGGACGGAACAGGGCAGAGGGGCGGATGGCTAAATCTTTCCCTCTCCCGCAATATAGGTCACATACTTCAAAAAGTGGCGCGTGGCAGAGCACAACAAGAAGCAGAGGATAGCGCAGCTGCAGGCGCAGGGCGCGCAGAACATGCAGATTCAGAGCGGGCCGGCCGGGTCATGATTAACAAAAAGCTCAGACCCAGGCAATGCAAGGCAGAGCAGTCGAATTGCTACTTTGTTTTTCACCTATCGAGCTTCTCCTCCGGTGATAATCGTTGGGGAAGGGCCTCTTTGGGGACGGAACGGCTGCGAATGTGTACATACCATGTGTGTATAAAAGAGAAGACAAGGAAGGCCACAGGCATATGTAAAAGAGGCATCTCAAGCCCCAGTGCTTTGCGGGGGTTTTATGTCAAGGCGTTCAGGAGTGGCGGGACGGCAAAAAGTATAATACCAGGAACATTCTACTCCATTACAAACTCTGATCAAGTATATCCGGGGACTCGAGTATAAGATCGGATGCTGCAAGGCGACCCAAATATACCACACACACCAGCTGAATGTAGCCCAAAACTTGCGAACCGCACCAAACGAGCCCAAGAATATAAAAACACTTCAATTACGATTGCCATCCAATGTGTAGTCTATGAGGTATCATTGAAGCTATATACAATGTCCCGCATGCAGCCACTTACTACTTCCCTCATTAGACGCGTCTCTGTGTGGGAGGAAAGGGGGGTGGGGAGAAAGGAAAGGGAAAAGGCCCATTCTTCTTTTTTGTCTTCCGGCGTATTCATGACGAGTAAGAAACGAAAAGACAGCCTGTGTTGTTGTTATTCTTCATTTGAATTTTTGTTGTTGTTCTTTATATCCATCGTCGGGGAGTTCTTCCTTCATAGAGCAAGACCCCGAGAAAAAAAAAAGGCTGTCTCTCCCCATTCTAAACCTATCACAAGAACTCCGGTAAACAACAGCAGCCACCAAACACAACCTGGTCAATGGAACGCAGGAACAAAGAGAAAAATTGTGTAAAAGATTCGGGTGGGTTCGACTCGGGTGAGCGTGTCAGTCGGTAGACAAAGTAGAAAAGAGTTGAAGTGGTTGAAAAAGAGAATAAGCGGTCGAGAGTTCAGGGGAAAAGAGTATTGACAAGAAAGGTTGGATTCGATGCTTTCGATGCTGTAGTGGTATCATATCGTTCTTTGCGCGAATAAACAAAAATCGTCCCCCGCAGAGGAAAAAGGTCTGTTGCCTTGGATGTCTCTCTTCCTCATTATCGCCTCCCGTCGTTGCCACACTGTTTCCTCTCGTTCTGGTCCCCGGGGGATAATCCCGATGGGACCGAACCTCTTGTTTCCATCTCGGGCGCTTGCCCCTCCCTGGGTTTACGCCGGCCCGTTGACGGCAGGCAGGGGTGGCAAGGCCTTATCCAAGCTTTCCCGGCTCATCTGCCCCTTAACACCGGCCTTGTCGGAGTATCTCGACACCTGGCTCCCGCTTCTCGCCCGGCCCATCTCGTGGACACCAATCCCGCTGTCGGCGCTTTCTGGCTTTGTGAGTCGCTTCCCGTGGCCAAATGCGCTGCCATTGCCCACCATGCTTCCACTCGTCTTAGGCGGGGTTGGAGGTGCCCTGGATGGTTCACGCATATTCGAAAGCACCGGATTCCCCGAGCCGGAGCTGTTGCGATCCTGGCCATCCCTTGCCGGCGTCCACGGTCGCCCATCAGAGCCAGCTGTCACATTACTTGTCCGGTCGCCATGGCCATGTCGATTTGCGCCGTGGTCACGCTCGCCGTTCGTAGAACCCTCGCTAGGCTCTTCAACAATTGGAAGGATCGCCTGGTTCGCCGCATCATTATTGCTGGCCATCAGGGACGGCGCAGTAGCAGCCGCGATGGAGGGCAAGATGCCGCCGCCGGCCGAGCCCGTTGTCCTGATGATGCGATCTGGAATGCCCTGCTCGGTGTGGCCGTGCCTCTCTGTCTTTGAGGCAACATGCTCTGCTCTTCGCATCGTCTCCTCAGCTTGAGGAGATATGGCCCCAGAGCCACGCCCCGGTGGCGGGGGAGGCTCATGGGTAGGAGCCGCCGGTACATTATTACTAGTTGACTTGCGGCCTGCACTGTTCCAGCTCGGCACGCGCTGTTTTGATTTTTCGGCAGCTGCCTCAGCCTCGGCATTCTGTTTCTCCTCGGCCTCCCGTTTTGCCTCCTCGGGTGACATTGTGATACCGGACATGAAGTCGAGGAACCGGTCGCCGTATTGCTCTGGTGGCAAGGCCGAGATTTGCGTTCGGTCGCTCGAGAGTCCTTTCCAGAAGTGTTCGATCTTCTTGATGACACCATACTAGAGTCACGTCAGTATTTGGATCTTATCACAGGGAACAGCTTTCAACGTACATGTGTCAGACAGTCAATCACTCCCAGGTAATAGATCTCTTCACCTGGCATATTGTCCTCATGAGTGGCACGCATGCCGCCATCGTCCGAGTAGAACAGTGACTCAGACTTGGCAGCACCCTCCTCCAGGACATCAGGCATGCCAGACAAGCTCTGTCCCATGGGCACCGGTCGCTCGGACTTGATCAGTTGTCGCATCTGAGCAGCGCGGCGCTGATTCTCAAGCTTTGACGGTGTGCGCATCAGCACCTGATTAGGGTCATCGGAAGCCTGAGCGCCACCAGGGCTGAAGACCTGGAGATTCCGGGCCCGCAGGTTCTCGTCGTTGCCCTTGCGGGTGTCATGGACGCCGATCAACAGAGAATAGTCCATTATGTGCAGCTTCTGCATCAGCTTGACATCCTTCTGTAGCTGTTCCATGAACAGTCGCTTCTTCTCAAGGCCGAGCTCCAAGTGCCTTTTCCGCCTCAGCCAGTTCAAGTCCTTCAAGGTAGCCCGAGGGTTCTTCTCAAGGTCTTCTTCCCTGTAGTCTCTGCCAATGGTAGATCCCTTGAGGTCGAAGGTTGTGTGAATGTCTCGGTGTGGCGGGAAAAGATTGTTCATGACCACGAAGTGAATCTTCCTACCCCACGGCGTCTTGACCCGATGAAGACCGTAGAATTGAGAGAGTAGCGTGTTCGGGTTCTCAGTGATATGCTGGTAGTACTCCTTCAGTATCCTGCGGAGAAATTTGTGTTCGCCGTGGTGGATTGTTTTGATGATGAATCTGTAGTCTCGGGAAAAGTAGAAGAAGCTGCCGCTCTTGCCAGGTGACCCGAGCTCAGAGAGGATATACTTTCCTGTCAGAGACATGAGGTAGTCGGCTGGATCCAGATGGAACAGCTGTCGCAGATGTCGGAACACCCAAGGTGCGTAGTCCTTGAATTTGAAGTCGTACTTTGCAGAGGGAACAAGCTCATTTCCGGTGCTATATTTGCGGACGGTCAGTGTCGTTTTCTCAACTCCCGCAGCTCCAACTCATCAGTAAATCGTGATATACAAGACTTACATATCGAATGTTGTTTTGGACTTAGCGTCAAAATCCGCATCTGTCAATGGACGATCCAACTTGGCATTCGTGCGAGACACGGAGACACGAATTCCTGTCAGCATGTTGTAGGCTGTGACCCAGTTTGCGTGCTTCTCGTCGACCTTGGTGCCGACTAGCACCCGGTCATCATCCTCCTCTTCCTTCTTCTTCTTCTTGCTGGCCCGCTTCTGCCTGTACGCTTCTGCCCACCGCATGGCGTCCTCGTCGGGAAAGGCTTCGTCGCGAGGGTAGTCACTGTGCAACGATCGGGTGTTGCGCCTAACCAGGTTGATGGAGGCTCTCCTAGCGCCGCTGGGCCCGGCGTTGGTCGGGGAGAATCGACCGCTTGTGACTGCAGAGTCCTGGCCATCACGCGATCCGCGGGGTTGGCCGGGCCTAGGAACCTCGAGGGTATGACGGTGTTTCAGCCCTTGATTTGCCGGGTGGAGATTGGATGTGGATGCGTTGAGACTCGTGTTACCCGACATCTGGGCAGGAGAAGAGAACCTCTGAGGTGCTGGTGAGTTCGGGTCCAGGCTGGACCTTTGGTTTACCGGGCTGGAGGACCAGAAGTTGGAGCCACTGTCGGCATTGAGACCGTGACCATTGCTGGCCCCAGGTGCATCCCCTCTCTGGCCCTGATGCATCGTCATTCCCATTGGGGAGGCCTGGACAGAATCGATCGTTGCGTCAGCCATTGACGTCCTTATCGATGGGGGCTCAGCGAAACTGTGGCCTGAAGTGCGATCAGCCGTCCCATTAGGCATATGTGGTGGTCGTGGGGGAGCGGCTCGGTCTGGCGGGGGGATGGTGATAGGAGCACCATTGGACAAGGGCTTCTGGGGTGCATCCCCATAGCCGAGGCCACCGTTTGTTTTCCATCCATCTCCCCCTTCAATGGCTCCGTTGTGGCCATTGGTTGTGCTCATAGTCGAGGTCCGGGTGTCGTTGCCGTGCATCTGAGTGGCATCCGACGACTCGGAAGTGTGCGTAGAATGGGAGGAGCTGCCGTCGAAACTATCATTTGAGACGTGCGAGTTGACGGGGTGCGGGACGTGTCCATTGACCTTGATATCGACGTTGCTGATTCCTTCGTAGTGGCTGGGGCCGTTCAGGTGGACGACTCCGGCGTTCTGGAAGTGGATTGGCGAGTTGTGGTCATTGAGGAACGATGGCATCTCGTTAGGGGCTTTTGTTGAGCGTCAAGAACAGTATACTAAATGAGCGATGATGGTCGGGAAAGCCGAGGGTGGAAAGGGGAGGAGAGGCCGATAGTCGAGGAATAGGCGCAGGTTGGTCGTGAGCCAAGACGAAGGAAGCCCAGGCAGTACGCACGGGGGTCTAGCTGGCTGGCTGGCTCGACGTCGCAAGGAGATAAAGCTGGAGAGGTGTGATTCTGGTGTGAATTACGGTTTGCTCGCCTTACTCGAGGAGTCGGTGGATGGTGGTGACGTCCTCAAGCAAGGCAAGGCGTGATGTTGATGTGTGGTGGTGGTAGTTTGGGGGGTGGTTGGTTGGAGGTGGTGGTGGTGGGAGTTGGGAGCGAGTCGAAGAAGGAATTAGGGGATAACGAGACGGGCGAATCGCGTCGGCATTGCTTGTCAGGCAATCAAATCAATGGTCCGGGTCCGGGGGTGACTGGTGTCTCGAGGCGGTGCGAGGGCAGGCGAGGTCTCAAGGGGGCGGTCGCGTCTGGCGCAGGCTGCGTGTGCGAGCTTGTTCTGGAGGAGAAGACGGTCGGAGGGGAGGTCGTTGTGGTCGTCGGCGTATTGAGTGTGTTGAGTGTGTATGCAAGTGGTCAGAGAGAATTGAGTTCTGAGGTGCGGGAGGTCGAGGGACGTCGTCAGTTCGCTTGGAGATTGCGAGTTTTGCTGGGGCTGGAACTGGGCACAAGCGACAGCACAGGGCAGGCGGGCAGGCAGAAAGGCAGGCTGGTACACACAGCAGGGCAGAGACACAGCAGAGGAGTGCAAGGGGAGAGAGTGAGGAGAGGGAAAGGAGGCCCGGGTCGGGCTTAGGGGGCGCTAGGACTACCAGGGCATGGACAGGCTGGGCGAGGGTGGGTAACGGATCGGATTGGGCGGCTGAGCCACTGAGATGGGTCCTGCCAACTCCCCTGCCAATTCCCAGCCCAGCTGAAGCTGTCCCTGGTGCCCTGGCGTGCCCCCCAACCTGCTCTACCACGTTGCTGCGGGTTGCAGGTGCAGGGCCTGCCGGGGCATCTCGGATGGATACGACAGGTCAAGCAAGCAGCTAGCCAGCCAGTCAATCAATCAATCAATCGATCAATCGCTCAATGGGTACTGTACCTGAGTAGTCTAAATTCCTGCTGACAGTTCTTTTGCATCTTCACATGAAAGCAAGTCTTCGCTCTGTCGACAGAGAGCCGCTGTGTAGCTGTTCGCGCCTCGCGGATCTCAGGTCAGCAGTCGGTGGGTCGATTTGTAACGGAGTAATCGACTTGGTCAAGGTTCTCAAAAGAGAGGTACATAATCTACGGTACTGCATTGCATCGCCTTGCTGGGCATTTGACGAGCTCGCCGGTCCGAGACCGAGCATCCTTATTGATCTCTTTGGCCTCAGCTATATTCAGCCGTGGAATAATCTAGATACATAGACTTTTGTATCCTTGCATGGGTGGAGTACAGTTTTGCTTTCTCTCTCTCTCTCTCTCCATCAACGCCACAGCAAGGTGTACACACAACTGCAGCAGCCAAACAGCCAGGCCAGCCAGGTCACTATACGGAGCACCGCCTTAGCTGCATCGGTAGTATGACACCGTATGGTTACATGCAGCGGCAGTGTCGGCGACAAGTCTGTCCAGTCCGTATTACCGCTGCGTATCTTCTCTCGCAATCGCGGTCAATGAATGCAGCAACCCCGAGTGAGCCCTGTGTCGCAACCATGGGTAACCCGACCTCGAGCTGTGCGAGCTTGTTTCTCACGATATCCACAGTTTCCAGAAATAACATTCCGCAGATTCAACGACGCGCAAACCTCAGGAGACAGCACGTAAAAGGCAACAATACTGAGTATATTGCAGAGAGGGGATATCACGACACACGCATTTCTATGACTAATCCTGGGGCTTCCTCCCTCTGACTTCTGAACTGTACACACATTCATATAATTACCTATTGATACGTAATCTGCAACTTCTAGACTATAACCAGGTCAGGCCAAGTCACAACACATTGCAGTAATCAGGTAGCAGCAGGGCTAGGCTGTCTGTCAGTCTGCTAGGGCTGGGCTGGCAGGTAGCACCACCACCACCACCACAATGCGGGCCTGTCGACGATCACCCCCCTGAATCTCCAACGGGCGTGGGCGAGCCCAGGTGAGAAGGGGAAAACCAAGGCCACATGTCAAACAGGGCGGGAATGAGGTCACAGCGTTGGATCAGCCAGCCTCTTCAAATGTCCGCGCCCAAAACAAAAGTCGACATTGATCAGCACTTGAAACAACATGACAGCGTGGGCAGGTCCCAGGGGTGGCCTGTTAACCCTCTTTCTATTTCTCTCTGTCTCTTCCTCCGTTCGTCCCCTCAATCTGACAGACAGTGCAACAGTGCAGATATTAATCAATCACTCACGATATATACAGGAAATACGCGTCAATAAACGGAAAAAGAAAAAAAAAAGTGTGAACAAATTGATCAAGACTTAATAACCCTTTCATTGCTATAGTAATGCATAAATAACACAACAGCCAGCCATAACAAAAAACAAAAGCAGCCATAGTGGCGAATTAACCCCAGAGCAGCGCAATCACGGCTGGACCACCCCCCGGCCGAAACCCGAGAGGCGGCGCATGCGACGCCTGGGATGGGTCTCCACAACTCATCAAAAAAGAACAAAAAGGGGAGACAACCAAATCTCGTGGCTCATGGAAGGACCCACCCCCGCCAAGACCACGGCCGAATTTGGGGTGAGGGTGGTGTTCGTTCGTACCGGGAACGACGTTTACGGTCGGGATCTCGGGGCCGCGTGCCTTATTTCCTGGAATATGAGACGAAGTGAGGGGGAGAGTGAGAATGAGAATGAGATTGCTGGTAATGTAGCTAACGTAGACACGTGTGGTCATTACCGCATCGCGGTGCTGGGCTGCCTCTTGCTCGAGATGATGGGGTTACTTTCACTCATGGATGCAACGGCCCAAGGCCTGATATTTTCTGGGGATGATGTGGAAGCAAGATGAGCATTCACCACCGTGATCACCTAGCCGGCATTGCGATGCCCGCCTAACCCACTCAGGACATAGAATACTAATACAACAACCCGCAAATATCTCCTCAGGGCCTCGCCTCTGTCATTTGGTCGCGCGGGCCGAAGGCACGTCTCAAGCCCCAGCCACTACAGCCAAGCCGTCGTAGATCATCCTCTTTACCGCCCAGAAAGTGCCCCCCTGTTGCGGTACGCCAGTTGCGGCGGCAGCCGGCACGCAGATGCTCTCCACCTCGATCCTCCCGGTCGCACTCTTCCTGACCGCGACCGCCCCGTCGATCAATAGTGTGCCCTCGCCCCGGAACTCGGCAGTGTGCCCCGCCGTCTGCATCGCCCTCCGCAGGTCCGCCAGCCGCAGGTCACCCACGTGCAGTGGCTGCGCGACCGACCGCGACGCCGACGCCATAGTCGTGGGCAGCACGTCCAGCGTGGGCACGACGGGCACCCCAGCCTCCTTCACATCATCGGGCTGCTCCTTGGCGTCGTTGTCGCCCTCGGTCTTGAGGCGCTTGTGGGCGGCTGCTTCCTCCTCAGCCGCCCCGGGCAGGTGCGGGTGCGTGTTTGCGTTGCCCTCTGCGCCCACCAGCCTTGCCGTGACGGTCACAATTCCCAAGCCGCGGACGTTCTGCCACTTGAGACGTTTGACAAGCGGGTCGGCCAGCTTGACGACCCACGCATTTGTGTCGACGCTGGCGTCCACCGAGACCCCCACGGCCGGCGTCAGCACCTCGGCCGTCGTGATGCTGTTGTCGGCAGTGGTGATCTCGGCCCCAAGGAGCTTCTTGCAGTCAGCTGCGAGTGCCATCGTTTCCTCCTCGTTTCCGGACACAAGAATGAGCTTTCGTGGCCCAATAAGTGGGATAAGCATGTTTAGTGACCGCTTGTCGTGTAGGCCACTGACGTCGACGAATGCAATGCGCAGGTTGATAGGAATGGTCTCTTTGGTAATGACCAATTTTGAAGGGCCCAGGTTGGGGACCTCCTCCTCTTCTCCCCCGTCCAGCTCATCGTCCACGGCTGCGGAACCCTCCGAAGGGGCTGACATTGGCTCATCGTCAGACACGGCTCTGTTCAACTGGGGGCGTTTGTTGGTGGTGGTGGCCTTTTTGCCGAGGTCATCCCACTTGCGCTTCTTTCCAATGCCCTCGGTTTCCTCCTTCTTCACAGAACTTTGATCCTGTCCGTCGTCATCACGCTCTTCTGCTTTGAGGAAGTCTTCTGGTCGGATAAGATCACCGAATTCGTCGTTCCTCTTCCTTCGTACTGGTATTGGGAATATTCGTTCCCTGCCTCGCTTTCCACGCACGTCGTAGTCATGCACGCCCGATTTCTTTACCAGGACGTTGATTCCCAAGTCCTCGTCCTTCAAGACCACCTTCTTCCTGCTTGCCTGTCCCATAGTCGTCGACACATTCAGAGCTCTTCCTTGCTGTTCGGTCTCCGACTCTTCTGACTCCGTGGAGGATTCGGATGAGGCATCATCCACGCCATCACCCACTGCTTCGAGGGCAGTGGAACCACCGGTCTGCAGTGTGGCTTGTAATTGCCGTTGTGTAGCCAGCCACTGTTGGTAAATCGTCAAGTCGTTTCCATCGAGAAGTACCCGTTGTGCCTCGGAAAGTTCAAGTTCTCTTCCTCCTCCGTAAACTTGCTCGAGGGTCTCTCCACTACTCAGCTGCTCAGCCGCGACCCCATCCCGACGCTCTTTCCACCACTCCCACAGTGTCCTGGATATTGACGGTGTGTCCTGTAAGCTGAGATTTGGTTTCTCGGTAAGTATCACAAGATTCTTCGAGTCCTGGGCAATGGATTTGAGGACATCCTTTGAGAAGCCCCATTCCATGCTTCTGTCGCTGGCAAGAACGACCATGCCTCGCGTCCACCCTTCTTCAGTTGACCTTCGCAGAAGGCGGTCAATCTGTGCCTTTCGTTCTAGCAATTTGAGGTGCTTGAAGTCGAATGGGCCTGATTGCTTCCCCTTGTTGCCATCTCCGTTAACATTCTTGGAACCATCGGCGACGGCTTCGAACTCGCGCACGATGCTCTCATCCATCCATTCGAACATGCTCCTGGCATGGCGCAAAGTGCTGCTGATATTCCTCGCGGCGAGATAGAGATGGGCACCACTCAGGCTACCTGCGGCATCCTTGCCTTTTGCTGCCTCTTCACGCCATGCGTGCTCCATGAGGTATGACAATTCAAGGACCCTGGCGCTGGAGTCAACCGGGACCAGAACAGTACCGCCCTTGGCCACGCATGCTCGGATGTTGTCGAGCAGCTGCTCGTCTCGCTTGGTGCGAGACAGCGCTGTCGGCGTTCTGCTGCTGCATACAAGTGCGGTGGGCTTGCGCAACTGCTCGATAACCTCTGCTCCTCCGTGTCCACCTCCCAGCCACGCAGCACCTGCAAAGACGTTCTCTCGGGCTTGATTCCAGTCGACAGCGTAAACAATCGACTCTAATCCATGCTGAATGTGCCATATCGTACCACCAAGCGTGTGTCCGGAGTTGTAGGCGGTGATGGTCAGACCATTCAGGGGAGGCGAGAAGGGAGATGGCAGCGGTTGGTGCGGTTGAGAGTACTTCAGCGGCTGTACGAGCGAAAAGTACCGGGCGATTTCTTCGGAGGTTGGGGCTTGTCGCAGGAAGTTGTCATCAGGGGACGCTGGTTGACTGTAGGCGTATGATGTCTCGGCCAGGGAGCCATGGTTGATAGTTGTGGCAGCCGCAGGAGTCGACGAGTATAGATCTTGCAGCAGTGTTCGTCCGAGATCGATGACAGGTCGGGTGGCATAGACGGGGATGCGAGTGAACAGCGGGAAGTTCTTGCAGCAGTGAGCGAAGGCGGCGAGGTGGGAGACGGTCGCATGGGTGAGTAGGATCAATGATAGCGTAGGTACTTGTCTGCGTTCATGTTGGTTCAGCAATTTCCAAGCAGATGTAGTGGGTTGGATGCGCCCGGCAGGGAGCTGTGACATACTTCTCGAGCTCCTTGAGCTTCTCAACGTCGAAGGTCTCGTCCCATCCGACATCAATTAGAACCTTGACACCTCCATCCAGCTCTAACAACGACTGGGAGGCGGTGGACTCTGAGAGGGCCCCCTGCAGGGAGCAGAAGGTGAACATAGTCGCCCTGAATAGCCTCTACCTCGTCATGCGCATCTTCCTCCAGACAGAATAGTTGGATTGCACTGGTCCATGCGCCGGCCACCGTGTCCCGTGGTAGAATGCTGATTCAATGGATTGGGAAATGGATCAGCCACTCCTGGTGGGCTCCGTATGGGGTGGGAGCGTGCTCGAGTGAGTGCGCGAGATAGTCCAAAAACATCAAATTTGCGTGGTTGTTGTTGTAGGTAATACAAAGACCACGGAAAGTTGATCCCTGGCCACGACCAGTTGACGTGCAGCCTTCCCTCGCCTAAACTTTGGTCTTCTCTTGCCGCAAGCTGCTCCAGCAGACCAGTTAGCTGCAAGTGATCAGCACGAGGGGGTTTCAGCGGCAGGCAGTTTGGCTGCTCGGGAGGAGCATGGATCCCTGTCTAGTGTTCCTGGTGTCACTTTTTGGAAAGGCCACCTTGAGCTTGACCATCGCGCGACGGCGAAGACGACGGCTGTTTCCCATACTTTAATACCCAATCAACCTGTTCCATTGGAGACACTCTCTTGACATATCTACATTCGTGAACCCACCTCGATACTCGATCATGACCATGCTGCTGCTCATCCAAGCTCAGTGATTACTGTTTGCACCTCCCCTCTCTCCTCTCCCTTGGCGCAACACAAGCATCCTGGAAGCCCCTCGGCGATCATCAACCACCGACAGGTCCCGCGACATCTGACAACCTCGCCTTCGCCTGACTCCCTTTCGCACGAGAACCATCCTCCGAGCTTCCCATCGGCCTCTCGTTGTAAAGCCTGTCAAGATGGACCACGCCATGTATCATTCCCTTGGCATGGGCCAGCAAGATCCCAACGACCCAAACAACCAGTACAACCAGTCGAACCAGGGCACACCCAATCAGTTCCAACCGCCGGTTGCTCCCAATCCATACCAACAGCAGCAACAACAACAACAGTTCCCCCCTCAGGGCACTCCCCAGGGACAGCAATACTATGGCACGCCCTCGTCAATGCCACCTGGCGGTCCCTCGCCCCAGCCAACACAGGGATATTTCCAGGGCCAGCACCAAGCAGACCCGAACGATATAACATCACAGATGGCAGGCATGTCGCTAGGCTCTGAGGGCCACCAGGTTGGGACGGGGAAGAGGAAGAAGAAGGACAGGCACGCATACCACCAGGTCGAATCCACCGGGTCTTCTCAGCCATTCAACGGCATCCCTCCCGCAGGTACACCTGCTACGGCCTTCCTGAATGCGGACCCCTCAGGGACCACTGGCTTCGTTGGTCAGCCGGGTTTCTCGCCTCAGCCTCATCAAGGCCAGTTTCCGGCTCCCGCCAATGCCCCGTATACACCGGGGAGTACTGCTTCTCCAGCAGAGTTCGGGGCAAGAAATGGCTCCAGTGAAGCTGCTGTCGCAGCTGGAGGCCAGAACAAGGTCTCACAGGACGAGCTGCCCAGCGTGCCTATCGCTCGAGACGCCGCGCAGCAATATTATCTCACCAACATATACCCTACCTTCGAGAAACATGTACCGCCTCCCGCTTCAGTTTCCTTCGTCGCCTTTGACCAAGGCAATTCCTCACCGAAGTTCGCCCGCCTGACTATGAACAACATTCCCGCTACTTCTGAGGCATTGCATACGACTGGCCTTCCTCTCGGACTCATGCTTCAACCACTGGCTAAGGCACAAGCAGGAGAGTCTGAGGTCCCTGTTCTAGACTTTGGTGATATTGGTCCACCCAGGTGCCGGAGGTGTCGAGCATACATCAATCCTTTCATGATGTTCCGTTCGGGTGGCAACAAGTTTGTTTGCAACCTATGCACATATCCCAATGATACCCCGCCAGAATATTTCTGTGCAACTTCGCCGCAAGGCATTCGTGTTGACCGAGACCAACGACCTGAGCTGTGCCGTGGTACCGTCGAATTTGTCTGCCCCAAGGAGTACTACAACAGGGAGCCAGTAGGCTTAAGATGGCTGTTTGTTATCGATGTAACCCAAGAGGCTTACAACAAGGGTTACCTCGAAGCGTTCTGTGATGGCATTTTGGCCACTTTATACGGCGCGGACGAATCAGATGAAAAGGACGAGAATGGCGAGGCGAAGAAAAGAATACCACCCAACTCAAGGGTTGGATTCGTCACTTATGACAAGGAGGTGCACTTTTACAACTGCAGTGTAAGTGTTGAAGGCCATGTTTCGTGTATCTGAAGCTGACCAGTGAACCTTCAGGCTGCGTTGGAACAAGCCCAAATGATGATCATGCCCGACATCGAGGATCCATTTGTACCTCTGAGCGATGGCCTTTTTGTTGACCCTCAGGAGTCGAAGTACGAACTCGGTGACCTTTTCGATTAAGGACCAAATGCTGACTGAAGTGTAGGACTGTCATCTCATCTCTGCTCACAAGATTACCCCAGATGTTCTCTGCAATTAAGAACCCAGAGCCCGCGCTGCTGTCTACTCTCACTTCCGCCGTCTCCTCTTTGGAGAAGACCGGAGGCAAACTAATCTGCTCGCTGTCAGCATTGCCTACATGGGGCCCTGGCCGTTTGTTTATGAGGGACGACGGCAAGCACCCTGGTGGCGAGATAGACAAGAAACTGTTCACAACTGAGCATCCTGGATGGAGGAAGCTCGGCGAGAGGATGGCTGCCGCTGGAGTCGGTGTCGATTTCTTCTTGGCTGCACCCACTGGTGGCTATCTCGACATTGCTACAATAGGTTATGTGTCTGCCATAACCGGTGGTGAGACCTTCTACTATCCGAACTTTGTAAACGGAAGAGATAATGCCAAGTTGTCACTTGAGGTGAAGCATGCAGTCACTCGAGAGACCGGCTACGAAGCTCTCATGAAAGTGCGGTGCTCCAACGGTCTGCAAGTCTCCGGGTACCACGGCAACTTCATACAACACACCTTTGGTGCCGATCTCGAGATTGGTAGCATCGATGCGGACAGGGCAATTGGCGTCACTTTCAGCCACGACGGCAAGCTAGACTCGAAACTGGATGCTCACTTCCAGTCGGCGTTGCTGTACACCACCGCAAATGGCGAGCGCAGAGTGCGCTGTTGCAACATTGTGGCTAGTGTCAGTGACAATGCCAAGGAGAGCATCAAGTTTGTCGACCAAGACGCGGTTGTCTCGATCATCGCCAAGGAAGCAGCGACAAAACTAGCAAGCACATCATCCTCACTGAAAGACATCAGGCTCATCCTACAGGAGAAGACGATCGACGTGATGGCTGGCTACAGGAAGCATTTCGTTTCGCAGTCGTATCCACCGGCGCAGCTCGTCATGCCAGACAAGCTCAAGGAGCTCTGCATGTACATGCTCAGCATGATCAAGTGCAGAGCTTTCAAGGGCGGCAACGAGACCTCGGACCGACGTGTACACGAGATGCGAATGATCCGCGGGATGGGCTGCCTCGAAATGAGTCTGTACCTCTATCCGCGCATGATAGCTGTCCACAACCTTCAGGAGACGGAAGGATTCGCGGACCCTGAAACAGGCCACCTGAAGCTTCCGCCTACGATGCGCAACACCTTCAGCAAGGTCGAGCCGGGCGGGGTATACCTAATGGATAATGGTCAACAATGTATCATGTGGTTCCACGCTCAGACGTCGCCGAATCTGATCCAGGATCTCTTTGGCGAAGACAAGACAACGCTACAGAGTCTCGACGCATATACGAGCGAGTTGCCCGTGTTGGAGACGCTTCTGAGTGCGCAAGTGCGGAATATCATCGAGTTCTGGAAGACGCTAAGGGGCTCCAAGGGCTTCACTGTTCAGCTCGCAAGGCAAGGTATTGATGGCGCCGAGTATGAGTGGGCGCGCGGGCTGGTCGAAGACAGGTACGTAACTTACGACAAGGACAACAGGGCATATGCTGACACCACGATCAGGAATAATGAGGCGCAGTCGTATGTGGACTGGCTCGTCAACATACACCGCATGGTGCAGCTCGAGCTCGCAGGTCAGCGCAAGAAGGAGGTCGAGACGGAGAACTCGGCCATGGGGACCTTCGCCGGCCTAAGGCCCGCCTACTGGTAAAATCCACGACTGCCATGGGGCAGCGGGGATGGCTGGGGGCGCGGAATGAACCTCAGGTTCAGGGTGGTAGTGGACGGGTGTCAAGTCTTGCATCGCAGAGAGCGCCGCTGCACATATTGGATGGTTGATTATTACATGGAGTCGTACTAGGTCGGGCGGAAATGCAAGCGATGGTGACGCTGGCTGAGTTTCTGGTGCCGCAGAGATGTAGCCGTCAGCATGACGGTGCAAATCAAATATTACATGATTTGTTTCAAGCCCCCAATGGCGTCTTGCTGACAATGGGTGATGTACATGTTGACGTGGCATCTACAGCAATGCAACGGGAATAGCGCTAACGTGTGATAGACATAGACAACGTTGAGCTGTCTGATTGTGCTGTTTGAGATGTGGTGACTGTCGCACCTGAGCAGAGGAGAGAGAGTCAAAGGGGCATGGACAGCACGCTTCTGGCTGTCGCACCGCAACGGTTCTACACTTGAGCGACAAGCAAGCTCCCCAGGTAATCATCGCGGCAAAGCCAAGAAAGTCTTGCCTGTCATGCCAACAAGCGAGAGACCAGACGGCCTGTTGGGAGAGGGGAGGGGATGTTCAGGCAAGACTGTTTCCCAGCAAGTGAGAGCCGGTGAGGCAGAAAGGATGAGACAGTGATCGAGCTTACCTCTCCGCGGTCGGTGCTTGGGTAGTGGATAACAGATCGATCTCTTCCGATCAACGAATGAGGAAAGGCAAGGGGAAAATCGGAACAAAAAGCAACTTCCTATCCCCAGAAAGGGGCAGCGCGGGTCCTGGAGGGGAAATAGCAGAAGTAAAAAGGACATAAAAAAGCTGACTGGTCATACATAACGTGCCGCGTCACGATGCGGGCTGCCGAGATAGATCACGGAGTGTCTCCCCTACGTACGTGCGGCTACAGGAAGGAGAAAAGAAACGCAGTTAGATTGATGGATGGATGGCTGCATCGAGCAGGCTTAGGGGATGGGGTGAACAGGACCATCGCATCTTGGATTGTCATTTTTGCATATTGCGCTGCTGTCACACATTGCCCTGCATTAGGCGACCGTTGGATTGCTGTGTAAGTCGTTGGCTTCTCTTAATTTCCGAGTGTGATTGTTGTCGTGCCCTCTTCGCACCAGGCGTCTCCTCCTCCTCCTCCTTGTCCTCGACGTTGAGCTGCTACGTTGCACGGCGTCGGCCAGCGCTGCACACTATGTTCCTGACATGATGTTTTGGTGGCTCTTTCTTCACACGCTCGAGTTCTCAGGGCAGACGTGAGGACGTCCTGTTTATGTGTTGGCTTCGAACGAGCTTTTTGGTCGTCACCCCACACATGCATCGAGGCTTGCTGCATGACGGCGGGCAGGAGGGTGTCGATGAGACTCTTCAGGCCGTAGGACCTCCCCGTCGTGCAACCTGACATGCACGATCGGTGCGACTCGATCTCACTCTTGAGCTACGTTCCGCCAGGACCACCCAGGATGCTTTTCTCTTTGCTGCTGTCGAGGCTCTTGGCGTACTGAAACTTGGGGTGGGGGTGGGTGTTGTGTGTTGTGTCGTGTCGTGTTTCGCTTTCGATCTCTGTCGTAGCGCTGGAGAATTATGTCAAGGCAAGCCACACTCTAATGTTCGGCACTTTTGGGCTGCACTAGAGCAAGACCCATCACACCGTCGTCGTGTGCTGCAGAATCGATATCCATCATGTCTAGGCTCGTTGGACGCCATCAGGGCGGACTGAGCCTCCTTATCTGCAGGGATGGGGACTCCCTTCGCCCAACTTGGGCCTTGCCTCGGCGGGCTGGACATGGTTCTCATAGCGCTTACACGCGTCACATCCAGATACAACTTGTGCTTGTGGGCGTGTGGATCTGTGGCCTTGATTGTGTTTCGGCAATCTGAGACAGTCGAAGCACCATTGCAACAGCTTCACCGCTATAGTTGTCGTTGAGCCAGTTGACCATGACCGGAGTCAGGCAGCGGGCATTTCTTCTTTTTTTTTTTTTTTTTTTTTTGGAACTGGACATATCTACTCCTAGAGCTGCCTTAACTTGAAGTCCACTCTCGGGTAGTTCTATATAGTCCTATATAGCCCATGGGGTAAACTGGGCTCAGCGTCACTTGTTGCTCAACGAAGTGCTCAGGCTTTCATACATTTTTCTGGAGAAAATGTCAGCGTTGACCCATCTCACCCCATTTCCCAGATCAGTGTCTCAGCGCAAGGACATGGTCGTAAGCGGCGGTTGCATGCTCGAAGCCGTCAATAGATTGACCGTCTGGAATGGACCTGTACTGACCGATCGGTCTCGGCTCACCTTGTTCGTCTGCCTACATAAGCCCCGGTCCGAGAAAAGCAACCCCATGCAAAAGACCTACAGAGAATGCGGCACAGTTCACGACGCCATACCACCAACCATTTTCATCGGTGAATGTGGGAATTCCTTCTTCGCCTACTCACTAGTGATGCGCGTTACTTTTGAGCGAGACGTTACGCTGAACAAGTAGAATTTGGAAGTCCGAATCCGACCGAGAGACTTGTCAGATGGGTTCTGGATTATAATTCAACCACCAGTCATGTCAGCAGAGACAACCTTCCCGCGACAGAGCAGGCCAGACTCAGACAGGGACCATGGCATCGATCCCAATTAGGCGAAGAGGTCACATGAGCTCCAGCCGTCTCAGATAGTTCAGCCTCCATGGCTACACGACATGCAGACGAAGCTGAGGCTTTCGGGTACGACGTTGTTCTGCATGCCTAGGCCACCACACACTGCTTTCTAGAGGCCGCCACAGATCACAGATCTTGCATACGCCCTGCATTCCTGCACTGCATTCCTGCAGCCCTGAGAACGTCAGTAGGACTAGAGGCCGACGTAGGCGGTGAAGCGTCCAAAGAGGCTGAGTCCTAGAAGGTAACCCGTACTGATACAAATGTAGAAGAGACTTGATCTTGAATGGTCGTAATATTGCGTAAGCTCAGTAGATTAGAGTAATGACGGACGGCCGGTCGGCCAGCCACCAGCCGGAAAAATTCTGATAATTCCAGAAATTGAATATCAAGACACCAACGAAGCTTCCCAATCCTGACAGAATCAGAACCCCCATACGGACAAAAATAGGCGGCATCCTTCGTCTAACTTCTTTGACTGCAAGCCAAGATACGCCACAAGCAGCCTTCTGCTTCCAGGCCCTGACATAGCCCAAATTTTGATCTAGCACACAAGGTTGCCCAGCCCCATCCTACCATCAGGCTGCTGGGTGACGCGCTGAATCTCCGCCGGGTTGAAGACATGCTCGAAGACGGCTAGGTCCGTCGGGCAGGCAGGGACTGAGGACGAGCCTGACGACCTGCTCTTGCCTTTACCCGCACCGCCGCCCGAGGAGCCACCGCTCTTGTTCTTCTTAGCCGCGTCCTCGAGGATCAGTCGCATCGTGCTCTGCGTGGGGTCCTCAAACACGAAAGCGACGTTCTCGATCCTGCCCCGCAGGTTCGTGTCCCACAGGAACACCTCGCGCCACAGCTCGGCCATCTCCTGCGGCGGGTTGCGGTAGCAGTTGCCCAGGCCGAAGTCGCCTATGACGACGTTGCGGATGTCGTTGTACGCGCAGATGCTGAGCGCCACCCGCAGCTTGTTCTTGGCCATCTCCCGCTCCTCGTCGAACGAGTACCTGGTGCCGCCGTCCTTGAGCTTGGGCCGCGATATGGGCGTGACTGACACGACGGGGAGGGCGCGCCAGTCCTCTGTCTTGCGCTCCTCGTATCTGTCGTGCGGGCCGCGGAAGACAACTTCCGCGTTGTCTCTGTCAGCGGGACGGCACACACACGGTCCGCGTGGGCGCAAGTAATGACGTTTTGACTTACCGACTCTGTCAGAGTAGATACCTGCCGCCCAATGTAAGGGGTAGTGGCTCCCAGTCACGTACGACGCGGGGCCCGGCGTCGCGATCGTAGCGGACAACGAGCTCCTCCGGCACAGGCGCTCCTCGTAGCCCACGACGCCCGTCTCCCAGTCCCCGCCGGGCCTCTTCTCGTTGGCCGCGCAGATGAATGCCACTCTTGTGTTGTTATTCCGTGCTGACCAATTTGTTGCAAGATCTACGGGATCATCCGTGTGAATCCCTAGAATGCGTGTCAGTGAGACCATGCAGTACAACCAAGTACGGGGCGTAACAAAGCCAGTGTCCCAATTGTGTGGACGTACAGAAGTTCGGGTTTGCGAGGCCCAGAGGCCGTTGAGGAAATTGATCTGGTGTGAAGCCCAGTGGGTTCGCAAACAGGTAAGAATACAGCGGCCATGTGTTCGCGTAGTGCTTGCGAATGTAAGGGATTGTAGTTCTCTTGGTCTGAGCCGCCACCTCCGACGGCTTTGGTTTGGATGATCTGGATGAGCTCCCGGGCGGCATGTTGTCAGAAAAGTTAGCCCCGAGGACCTCGGTGAAGGGTTGGTTTTGAGGAACTGTCTCTAACAGGAGGAAGACGATGCTTGTCTGCCCCGGACACCAGGAGTGCCGGTAGAGAGGGGAAGAGAAATGAAGGAGAAAGGAGTGTCCGTTGATTCGAGGGCCACGTCTAGGAGATCATCGACGGGTGCTTTGGGTCAGTCCATTATATAATTGTTCGGCTTTGAACAAGCTCGGAAATCAGATACAAACCGCGGGCGGGTGTGGTTGCAGATATGTCTTCGATTCTCGGCAGCAATGGGCATGGAACGGACAAGGACGGACCATCCCAAGCGAAAAATCAAAGACTGTTCAAGGCGCCGGTGTAACCGATGCTTGAACATACCCACTCATGTCTTGAACATTCATTGGGAGGGGCCAACACTGGTGACGAGCCACGAAGGAGTTGTTGAGAGTCGTTTATACACTGCCCATTGTTCCCGGCTGCCTCTCCTGCGGCGCTTTGGTGTGGGCAGAGGCAGCAGATTGATGTAGGACCACCTGATCCAAATTCATGGTTGGCGGGCTCAGAGAGTGATATGAAGGTTGCAGGCGGCCGTCCGCTACCTGCTACTGCAATCTGCCGTTTGTTACACCAGATCTGGGTTGGAGTGGTTTATGATTTGTTCCCTGTCACCCTGCGCTTCTTGCCCTGTCTTTCTGCAGGTCAACGCCGCAATGAGACAATGGGAAACGGGACAGGTCTAGCGGCCGAGTGGATGGCGGCTCCGGTCGAGATTGTGTAGGGACGCCCTGCGGAACAGATGGACACTAGCAAGCAGCCACGCAACGGTTTTTGTTTTCCCTTTAAAAAAGAAAACAAAAAAAATAAAAAACAGAATGTTGGCAGTTGCTAGTCCTTTACTCAGCACGCCCACCGGAAGGGAGAGCAATGTCATGTGCCCAAACAAATCCGGCCCCTCTCAAGGACAGATGATCGACCGAGGAAGCTTGTCGTCCTCTGTTTGCGAGCCAAGGCCACAACTCGAATCCGGCAGCCTGGGACGTCCCACATGGCACGTTCCAGTGGATCCGCTGCAGATCGAGTGTCAAACGCTGAAGACTTGCCCATGGTTTGTGACAGACACGTCCAACAGTCCCAGCAGCTTGGAGGTGGATAGCCAACCACAGCACCCTGCTCGCTCTGACAGCATCTGTTGCAGCGTTTCGAGGCCACCTGACGGCCTCCGCTGGACAGTTGTTGGTGGCACAGTCACAGAGATCAAGCTATGAGCCGCCTGTCGTGAAGGGGGGAAGATCAACACCCACAGGTTGGCCTCGCCTTGACCTACCTAACACAGCACGAAGAGCCTCACCCTGCCTGGCAGGGCCATTCCCCCCCGTCGAGGCTTGGCACCTCAGGTACGCGACTGAATGAGACTGCGGTACTCGCCAAATGCTAGGTACTTTTGACAAGAAATGTTGTTCCTCGTAAATGGAGCAGCGGGTATCCGTTTGCTTTCAGCCAAGACGATCCGCGGAAACTGAGCATTCGCGCGGGTTTCGGGGTAGGGAGACCCAGGCCGTTGACAAATGTTTCCATGTGATATGTGATGGGAGAGAATAGCAAGCAAGGGGATAGAGATATTACCTGGTACGTAAGTAAGGAAACAGAAATGATCTGCAGCATTCTGTCTCCCAACACCGCCAACACCCCTTTCGGTTTGTCAGTTCTCAGACCGAGAAATTCGTCTCAGCGCCTAGACCTGGCAAGAATTGGGCAGCTTTGAATACTCGGTTAACTTGAGCATTGACACCGAGCTTCAGTGCCAAACACTTGGCTGACATAGTAGCTTTGGATGACTTGATGTGACCAGACTGCCGTCGGTGGTGGCAGTTCTGTCTGTGCTTGCGGGAACACCTGTGTCTCTCCTATGCGACATTACAGTCGGCCTTCAAGTGGAGTGTCTGCCGTTTGATATAGGGTCCCAATATGCTTGAGTTCGAGCGTCGCACCTGTATGGCTGGCATGAATGGGTGGATGCATGTAGATGTTAATGTAATGAAGTCCAATGGACAAACGCGAAGACTACGCGATACCCTGAACTGGTCTGTGCGTGGAAGTTACGTAATGCCCAGCGTAGTGGGTTTTTTTTCTGGCGAGCTGCAGCACGTAACCTCTCCAAAGACGTCACTCGTACAGATCCTGGGCCATCATGGCGAGGTAACGCGACGTCGACACGGTACAGATCACGCCTCGATCTCATTGAACCTCGGATCGTCTCCAATTTCGTTCCCGCTCGATTCAATTCCTGGCAGAGACATGCGCGCAGTCGGCTTGGCTGTCGCTGCCAGGCACATGCCATTGAGGAGCACGAGAATAGGCGCCTCTTTTCTGCCAATATCGCTATTAAGGCGTCGCTACGCGACCAGTGGCAACGTTGCCTCTAGGTCCATTGCAAGGCTACTCGATGAGAAACCCCAAGAAGAAGTCCGCGATGTCGTCGTCAATGGTTTCATCCGCTCTGTGCGATCTCAGAAATCGCGCGCCTTTGTCACCCTAGGAGACGGCTCCTCCCTGGCTTCTCTGCAAGCCGTTGTTCCTACGAACCAGGCCGAAGGGTGCGCATGATCTCTAAAAAGGCCTGCCTTGACTGTCACTATCCATGCTGACGCTCCAGTCTCAACGTAGGCTCACCGTAGGAGCTGCCATTCGCCTCAAAGGGTCCTGGGTTCGCTCGAAGGGCACCGGGCAATCACATGAGCTCCACGTCGACAACGTCCAAGTCCTGGGTCCCTCCGACCCTAAGGTGCATTGCCGTTCCGCTTATTCTCTCTCTGCGAGCTTGCTGAAATTTTGGCAAGCACGAGATGTTTTGTGACTGATCGTGATCCTCGTCAGACATTTCCGATCCAGAAGAAGTACCAAACCCCTGAATATTTGCGAACGATACCTCATCTTCGGCCGAGAACCCCCTTCAACTCCGCCCTTCTCAGGCTTCGGTCCGAAAGCATTGCGGCATTGACCCAGTTCTTTGCCAGCCGTGATTTCGTCCAGACACACCCCCCTATCATCTCTTCATCTGATTGTGAGGGTGGTGGAGAGGTCTTCAAGGTCGGCCCTGCGTTCCAAGACGAGGGCGAGACGGCCGATTCATTCTTCAGAGCCCCAAAGTATCTCACTGTATCAACCCAGCTCCACCTCGAAGCACTCGCACAGGCTGTTGGCAACGTGTGGACTCTGTCTCCAACATTCCGCGCAGAGAAGAGCGACACGTCGAGACATTTGAACGAGTTCTACATGCTCGAGGCGGAGATGAGCTTCGTGGATCAGCTGGGCGGCGTAATGGATGTCGTCGAAGAGATGCTGCGGTATCTGGCCACACATCTTTATGAATCTCGAGTAGCTCAGGAGCTTCGGTCCCCAGGTCAAGACAGGGGTTCTAGCGAAGGCGCTGCTGACAGAGCTTCACCAGAAGAAGTTGACAGAAGATGGCAAGGGATGATGCAGGATTCCTGGCCACGTGTGACTTATTCTGAAGCCATTCAGATTCTAGAGAGGGATGCGCATCTGTTCAAGCAGCCGCCGTCCTGGGCCACAGGATTGCAGTCTGAGCACGAGAAGTACATTGCCAGCGTTGTTGGACGCCGAAAGCCAGTATTTGTCACCGACTACCCATCAGAGATTAAGCCTTTCTATATGCGCGCAACTCCGGAAACTGGCACCGCAAATCACCACACCGCCGACTGTTTTGATCTCTTGGTACCAGAGTTTTGCGAGATCGCGGGTGGTTCGATGCGTGAGCATCGCTTGCCCCAGCTCTTGGATTCCATGAAAAGACATAATATGGCTACACCTACTCTGGACGACGTCAACTGTCCAACTACGAATGACCAGATGCAGTCGTCCAGCAGCTTAGACTGGTACTTGGACCTGCGGCGTTGGGGGTGTCCTCCTCACGGGGGCTTTGGACTTGGTTTCGACCGTCTACTTGGCTATCTATCTGGCGTTCAGAGCATCCGGGACACGGTGACCTTCCCCCGTTGGTACGGTCGGTGTGACTGCTGAGCGGTACACAGCGTACTGGACCAGAAGATCTCGGACACAGATCGGTCCATCTAAACGGCTTTCCATGCTGTACTCGTCAATGCTTACCTACTTGGGACAGATCGTGCTACCAAACACAATGACCGAGTCCTGCAACACAGCGCCGTCCATGTCTCGCTGGTAAATAATCATGCAGCTTTCCTTGCGAGGATTATGGAAGACAGTTTCTTGGTCCTTGCAGGGTCCAAAGACGAGGCTTGCAGATGACAGGTTTCGAGATGTTTTCCGGCCAACATGCTCGTGCGACCGCCCGAGAGATTACGGCCCTACTTCGAATAAATTTCCGTCAGGAAGCAGTACGGCTGCACAGGCCCGTTTGATGTCACTCGCACGGGCTGGCGAGGATGGCCTTCCACCATCATCTGGAAAGCTGTCGATGGAGATGGCATCACACCCGGCTTCAAGTATTCCTGCTTGAGTCCGGCTTCCGACCCAAGCTAAATTCATCATGTACGATACTTCCATAATGTGTATCTCATCTCCTCGCTCGTGGTTGACTCAAGAGCGAGTCGCAGAGCATCAAGTCTCCCCCACTCTCTTCCGCTGTCGTTCCCAGTGGTTCCCTTTTGCTACAGGCTCGCCGGAATCTCAGGCTCGCCTGGATATCAAATACCAAGGCCGAAAGCTCAGCCTGCGGCCAAGCAAGCAGATATGATGACTTGACGAGGATGGTTTACAATAATTTCTCTCAGCCCACAAGTCTCCTTCGTCATCCTGTCCCATCTTAGCTCCCTTCCCTACTGTGTGGATTCCACGCCTACTTTGTTGACCCTGCGACTTCCAGAGTTGAAGGGTTGGCAAGCATTGCAACTCGGGCGCATCGTGCAGTAGTTCTGCTTCGATTTCATAATCAAATTCTACTCCCAGACCACGTCGGGACAACTCTCGGGCTGCCGTTCCTAGATATGTCCATGTGACCCCACAATGCCTGGGCGTCGCCCAGTCAAACGGCGAAGTGGAGTGGATGATGCCACTAAGTAGAAGGGAGTCTTGACTTCAAGCTAGCAGCAACTGTATAGGGGTCAGAGAGCGCTGTGATCGACCGCGTGGGTCGGTCTGAAGCCAGCTCGTGCTCGGTTTGCTGAGCAACATCAACAGACTCACTGGGCCCTGGCCAGGTACCCGTGTCCTTCGCGACAGCATCTTGTGTCAATGAGGCCTCGCACTGTCTAATACGTGGGATGATCACCTCACGTGCGAGTGGAACACTCATCACTGTTGTGCCATTTAGCTTTGCGAAGGGGGGTCTACCGCGAACATGCGGCCGTCTGGAAATCACTCGTGGCTCGGCGGCCAGGGTAAATGTGTCAACACAGTTGACCGATGCATCCGAATGTACGTGGTCAGGGGCCCGTGGCCGTCATCGCTATCAGTTGAACTGAACGCAATGGTCCATAGTTTCCTATGGGGAAAGGCTCATCCAGGCAGAAGTGGCGGAAATACACTTGACGTCGTGTATCGGACATACAATAGTGGTCTGGTGATGTCTATGGTAGTCCTCCATCTCCTCCGCCCGGAGGAACTTCGCGAAGCTCGGTCATTGTCTGTGCTTCCGAGGACTCGGGTTATGCCGGCTATCTGTTTGTCTGTCAGCTTGACTAGCTGCCAATACAGCCCGACACAGGCGAATAGGTTGTTCCCTGAGAATCAGATGCAGGCGGCCGCACTGGATGATGACTACCTGGGTAGCTGTCCACATAGACCAGTCTCGGAGGGTCTCGGGGCTGGGGAGTTTTACGGACTCCGCGAACCTAAAATGCTAAGTCGCCCAAGACTTTGACCGCCGATGACAATAATTTCAAACTTATGCGACACTTGGGCTATGAGTCGCCATTCCGGAGATCTAGAGCAATGCACAGTCTGTGCATTGCTGGACCAGGAGAAAACTTTATATCCCCTATACTTCACCTCGATCATCCCTTCGGCGTCAACGGGAGCTACCGCAGAAGTAAACCTTGTTTGACTTTTGGAACTGGGCTAGGCTCCCACAACAATTGAGTTCACAGAGCTAACTCTATAGTGGTCAACCCCAGCGTTCACATTGGGCTGAGGTGCAACTCGTTCGTTGTCACGACGATGCATAGGTCTCGACCCTGAGGCGAGGCAGTCCGGGACTTCTAGGAACGACTGATACTTTGCGTCTCTTAAAACTCCGAGTCGGCAGACCACAGCGCGCGCCTACCTAGACTTTATACTCCCTATGCATCAATTGTTTGGGCTTATGCTCTAGCTACTGGGAAGACGACATGATCACAACAGACCCCTCTGCACAGCGAGTCGAGGCATCCATCACAGGCTTGAGTATCCTCGACGATCACGTCGGTGTTGATAACTCTTATCATCAACAAGAGGCATGCGGAACAAGTCGACGGCTCGTGAGACTCCGATAAAAGAGGGGCAGCTAATGAGCTTAGGGATGAGCAAATCAATGATCTGCGAACCCAAGAAACTTGGCGGTTCACTCATAGGAGCTCAGGCCTCTTGGAGGGGATCGTCCGGAGATTCCGCAGCCAAGACGAAAGGGGGTGTCTCGAGACTGGGGAAGGACAGAGCCTGTGTTCCATTGTTCGAGGGTTCTGGGATGGGATCAAACGGGTGAGCGACAGAGTTTAAACAAGCTCAGACGAAGATCAATCCTCTGACGGGGGCTTGTTTTGGTCTGGATGGGACGGGCACAACTTATTCCCGTTGATCGTTGGTTTGAGAGGTGGTTATAGAGTACCACTATACATGAGCACATTTTGCCCTGTCAACGTCTCACATGCTTCTGGAAAGCTTCGCACGCAATTCTTTTGGTGGAGCGGCTATGACGGCCTGCGGCGGTGGTCCCTGATGAGGTTTTATGCAAAAGACTGGACGATGTTTTCATAATCTGGCTTTTCATTATGCAGGTGCAGATTAGGACAGAGCTTAATCTTGTCCTGCACGATAGACGAGATTATAGGCATATCGGAAACGACCAGCCTGCGGACGCGACCTCGTTTCGACTTTGGTGGTCTGGACACTTACGCTGCCGTACTCGTATGGAAACGGCATGAACATAAACGGTAATCGTGGAATCCAAGAGGGTCTGCAGAGCAAACCCTAATCTCAACCCACCCCCTCGGACTTCAGAAGCCTGACCGAGAGGTTTTGAAAGCTATCAGGCTTCCAATCCTCGTGCATCTCCACGCGCACATCGAGTCACAAGCTGATCGAGGAACTGTCTCGCTTTGCATGCCTTGAAAGGGTAGCCACGTCCGTGGGCTATCTCGACACTTTCATAGTTCCAACTAGGCGTCGCATGGGGGATCTACCAGCGTCGCATTTGAGGCGTCGCCAGGGCCGGTGTTGGTATGCTGTCAACTTGGTCCGCACCGGGGGGCACAAATTGATCCGACCCTACCGCACGCTGGCTTCGATCCTTATTACAGAGGGCCGCGTAAGCTTGTCTCTAGCGGCTCCGCTTGGTAGGATACCCCCTTCATCAGCAAGCACCCACATGGCAATTGCCGCTTTCTACCTCTGTTGCCAAGGTTTTGTACCGAGAACTTGGTACTGTGACAGCCACGCCTGACGAGGCTCTCCTGGTATCAGGGTGCTGCCATCCGGAAGCCGTCCCAAGCCACCCACGATATGATGCTGACCCCATATCTCACCGTCCTCTGTCCCTCACAGACACAAAATCAATGACCACATGGCTCATTCCCTACGGCCAGTTTGGCCCTCAGGTGATGAGCCTTGGGGGCAGGATAATTCCGGAAATATGTTGGCATGAAACCACATCGGATCATAGTGGAACCCTCCAGTGCGGACAAGTCCATGCGCACACATTGGCGCTCCACCTTAGCTACGCGCTAAACAAGTCCTCGAATTAAGCTTGTTCTGCAAGTCGGGATTAGGAGCGGCGGCAGATGCCAGGATACAGTAGGCCATGAGCAGGGGGGGAACTTGCAGATGTTCCCTCCCGAGAGAGTACCAAGACCTCAGTGGACAGCGGGACCTGCTCACCAAATCTCCACCAAATGGTGACAAAGACGGGGGCTGTGATGGTCATCTTCCAAGGAATCTGGCTGGCTGGTTGATAATGATGGTCGGCCCCGTCTCATGCACGCTCGGCATAACTGGGTCTATCACAATGGGCCAAGACGAGACTTGACAGGTGTTATGTCGCGAGGCCGCTGACAGCCCCCCCCCCTCTCCCCCAAACTTGTGAAGATCTGGCGATACCAAGCACGCCCTGATGTCAGAACTTGTCTCCAAGCGGCCCTCGCGTGAACAGGTGAGCGAGCAGCCACGTTGTTCCTTCCCTTCCATCGGCCCTGCCCAGACCGCAGCGGTCAGGCGATCTCGCATCCTTTTCCTCTCGAGCTAGGTTCAATGCGACCGTGAAGGATTGTTGCCGGCGCCAATAATTCCCTTCCTCGGAACGACTGTCTGGGCAGGCGGCGGCGGCGGCGGCAGCGGTAGCGGGCGGGCTTTCGAAATTGCAATTGCCAAGGCTCCGTAATAAGCAAGCGAGCGAGCTTAAAATTTTTCTTGAATTGAAGCGTAAAACTTAAACTTCTTTTGTGCAGCTGGGGAGACACGTGCGGGTCTACAGGTACCTTTGCGATGGGGTATCTTTCCAAAAAATCCCGAGGATTTCCCAGTACGCGAGTACTTACTTGCGTCTGCGGTGGACCATTGTGGTTTCGAGCTGAGGGCTTTATGACGGCACTTGTACGAGACAAAAGGGCACTCTCGTGAAGACGTGTCCCATCCCCACTTATCACGGTTTCGAGGCGTGAGGCCGAGACTTGTCGGACGCCGCTCACTCAGGTCCATCCAGTTTGCAGCACAGTACGTAATTATGTACAAATGAATTTGGATATCCCCAGCCCCTACCTGGGGTCACTCGTGTGTCTCGTGCCGTGAGCCGCACGCTGACCTCGTAGGTAATTTCTTTCTCCGAGCCGAGAGCCTCGCCTCCGGCATCGTAC